AGGCTTCGGCAGGCGATCGCGAGGCAGAATATCTGTTGTGGAGGGCCATGTTGGACCAGGGCGTGTACGTGAACCTGGGCGAGGCTTTTGCGGAGAGGAAGATCGGCTTCTTCAGATTGACGTTCTCGGTGCCCTCGGAGATGTTGAAGTTGGGGCTGGAGAGAATGATCAGGGCCTGCCAGGCTACCCTTGCAGCGTAATACGGGAGCCTTTGTATGTGGTATATAAAGAGTTTTTATGTACAAGGATCGCCATAGGCGATAGTAATTAGCTGTGGACTATTTAGGACTATAGGACTAGAAAAGATGATAAAATCACAAACTCGATTGAGGATTGTTGCTCGGGTCGGGCGTTTGCACAGTGGCCTAAATCTCGGCGCCGTGGGGGTTCCGCTTGGACGCGGACGCGGACAAAGATGTAATAGTTGGTCTCTCTGGCTGGGACTCGCTCTTGGAGTTGTCGTGGTCAGCCTCACTATCGACATTACCGTGCGAAGGACGAGCGATAACCTGTGGCGCTGACACCCCTCTTGAGATCCTTACTGCTCCTGATCCTGACCCTGCTGCTACTGCTGCACTGTCCTGGTTCTCAGGGGTTCTGGGGCGACTAGCGAGACTTGAGGAAAATAGAGATGTCGTGGATGTCGAGGGAATTCCCACCCCTTGTTCCCACTGCTGCTGATTATACGCGCGATCGTATTCTGAAGTTGTCTCACTGTCCTCCGGATAGTCTTGTTGCTCATAATACATCTCTCCAGTATTGGGGTCGTAATACACAAAGACCGGCAGTGTATAAGGATCCTGACCCTGACGGTGACCCAACTCCGTCTGTTGCTGTTGCTGTTCCTGCTGGTTGAAAAATTGCTGATGGTACCGACGGAAGGCTTCTTGGCCTTCAGTGCTACCACTGTTACTCGGCGTATAGCGTCCGTATCCTGCTGCCATCGCTGCTGCAAAAGGCTCCGTTGGCGGGATATAGCCGGCATGCTCCCCACTACCACCAAACCCATTCTGCTGCCCGGGCGCCTGCCCGTGTCGCTCGGCCATAGCGTAGGGCGCTGCATATCCAACCCTGCCATCAACCATCGCCTGCTCATCATTCTGCGATTCCACAGATTCATGTCCACTCTCGCTATTCGCAGGAAACATGCCACTGCTGGCGACCAGGGGCGTGGGCGGAAGGTCCTTTCGGGGATGCTGTGTCCAGTTCTCGTGCATGGCCAATCCCGCAAGGGATGAGTTAAAGAATAAATCGTTGGTCCGGCGGAGACGTAGGAGACGACGGCGGGATCGATGGCGTTTTATGAGAAAGAGGCCGATCACGGCGGCGAGGAGTAGGAAGAAAGAGGTGAGAACTATACCGACGACGGCGCCGGTCGGGAGCTGTGAGGAATAAGAGGAGGTTTCAGTGGGGGTTTCAGAGGGGGGAGCGATCGTGATGGAAGGGACGGAGCCTGCGGAAGGGGAGGAGGTGATAGGGAGCGTGGAGTAGGTTGGGTTTGTGGGAGGTAAAGTGGGATCTCGAGTAGTCGTTATGGGTGTACGCGTCCTTGTGCGGGTGCGTGTTGGTTTTGCAGTAGTTGTGCTTGGTGGAGGTGATGGTGAATGAGAGTTGTTTGTCGTAGTTGTAGTTGTTTTCACAGTTGTTTTCGTAGTTGTTTTCGTAGTTGTTTTCGTAGTTGCAGTTGGAGGCGGCCAGGGAGATACTTTAGTCGTCGTTGTTATAATCGTTACTGCTGTAGTCGTCGCTGTTGTAGCCGTCGTTGTTGTAGTTGCTGTAGCGGGCGGACTGGCTGTTGTAGTCATGGTCGTAACTGGTGTCGGCTCAGCTGTAGTGGCTCTCGTCGGCTCCGCGGTCGCTGTAATGACTGTCGTCGGCTCCACGGTCGCTGTAATGACTGTCGTCGGCTCCACGGTCGCTGTAATGGCTGTCGTCGGCACCACGGTCGCTGTAGTTGATTCTGTAGTTGATTCTATAGTTGTAAAAGATGTAGTTGTGGTCGGCAGCTCAGTTATGGTGGTAGCTGTAGCTGTCTCCATCGTCGTAGTGGTTGTTGCAGAAGAAGTAGTTGAAGTGGGTCCCCGAGTGGTAGTGGGTTCCCGAGCGGTAGTGGGCTCCCGAGTGGTAGTTGGATCACGAGAGGTAGTACTAATGGCAGCGGTAGTGGGAGATATTGATGGGTCTCGAGTGGTAGTGGTAGTAGAAATAGTAGTGGTATATATTGGTGGCCTCAGAGTAGTAGCCGTTGTTCTTGTAGTCGTGACCTCTTGGCTTCCGAAGATGGTCGTTACTTTTGACTGATTCTTGGAAGCGGCTGTAGTCGCACTCGTGGTCGTTGTCAAAGTGGCAGTTATAGTTGCGGTGGTTGTATCTGGATCGTCAATGGTGGGCACTTTGGATGTGAGCGACGAGGACATGGTTCGATCGGACGCCCTTCTCCTTTGATTTCGTGGTGTTGGTAGTCGTGTTACTCCTGTAATGCAAAGCAGCGACAACGGTTCAGAGTGATTGGGGAAGTGAAGAGGAAAGGAGGAGAGAAAGAGAGACAAGAACACTTCGGTGGGCGGTGGTTGTCCTTTTTAGTGTTGTCCTAGTTTACTGTCTCTCCTGTCCAAATGCGACCTTTCGCTGCCGGAGCTTCCAAAAAGAAAAGAAGACCAGCTAGTGAGCTTTCTTGCCCAATCAGCCACTCAGCCAGCTAGTCATTCAGTCATCCAGTTGGTTGTTCCTGGGCTGTTTTTATCTCTGCGAATCAGATCGCCGTCGACGCTTTCCCGCCCTGCTGGGGAAAGCAAGTCGCGGCAGCGATCGAATCGTGTTTGATTTACTTCACATCACCACCACCCCTACTACAGTTGTCTCACATGTATTTTCGGCATAGCGCGTGCCTCTTTCCTTTCCTCTTTCTGGCCCCAACCAACCCACTGTCACCAGTTCTCCTGAAGAAGAAAGGCCCCATGTTTTAATTTTAGTTTCCTGGATGGCGGTGCAGGGGATGACATGCCATGATGTCTCTCAGAGTTATAATGCTTATTTTGAGGGTGGCCAAAACTGCGAACTATACATATTAGAGTTGAACGTGTGGATGCTCCGTGTCCCGCAGTGAGCATGCGCTAAATAGACATTTGCATTCAACCCCTAAAATTTCAGCGTAATCGCTTAACCACGCTTACGACTGTTTGAGAAAAAGAACACTTGCATCAATCCGTCAGGAGGCTAGTGCTCCTAGCTTAGCGCGCCGATTACTCGAGATCGTCCTTCGCTAGAACTAAATAAAACCAATTTATATTTCATTATATGGAAAGACAATTCTGTCGCAAGTAGCAACGTTCTAATCAAATCAGAAACATGATCCTTTAATGATTTCTAACAACGGCCAATATCTCGCTGTGCAACTGCCTCATGATGTTCGTCTGCACCTGCAGCACTTCCTGCAGTCCCCCGAACCCAGCGCGCCAACTATCCAAACTCACCAACTGTCCTGCCTTGACAGCCGCAACATCCTGGACGAGCCTCTCGATACCGAATGCAAGAGCGTCCATATTCGAGGACATAAACTTGATCTGCATGATTAAGTGATCCACTTGTCCCTGTAGAATCTGCAACCATCCGACTTGCTCGTCCGATGCTCTCATGATCGTATTCAGTGGTCGGACAATGTTGATCAAATCAGCCTGATTCGGGGGATATACTGCGCTTGGTATGTTTCTTGGGGTTGCGTTGGACGTGCTGCCACTCGAAGAATCATTACTAGACATCTCTGGAATTGACGTTGGACGGGGCATGCTGGGAGCCGCCGTGGAGGCGAGGCATGGGGCATAAGCTGATTCGGCTGTCGGTGTGTGTTGAGGTGAGGTGATTAACTCAATTACGAATGATGAAAACATGCAAGCAGTGTCAAATGCTGCGGCGAGCGTGCTGGTAATAGAGATTTCACTAGACTTTGGTGCAGCGGCGGTGGTGTAGTTTTGCATGCTTGGGGCCGACGTGAAGCTCGATAGTCTTGCTTGTTTTGTTGCAGTAATGGTAGTCGTTGGCGGCGCATTAGCCACTATGATTGGATCTGCGCTGGCTTTGATTTCTGAGGGAGTCCTAAGCAGACCGATTGAGGCCGTAGCGAGCATGCTTGTGGGATTGCTAGTAGGCGCGGCGGTTGGGCGGGAGATGTCGACTGGCGTGAAGAAGGACGAGCTGACAGCGACGACCGTGTTAGTCATGCTTGTGACAACGGAGGGTGCAGCAGGCACTCCTGCAGTGACAGTTGCAATGGATGTGGTAGAAAAAGCCGTGTTAGCTTGAGCTGCGGTCATGGCGGATATGGTTGAAGGCGCCGAGGTCTGACTGTTTCTATCCACCTGCTCGATGATATCCCGCATTCTTTGCTCATGGTGCTGGATCTGTATTGCATTCTAGTTGCACGACCTTGCCACAGCTTCCAATATACGTGCTATGTCCGCAAAGATGCTGCTATCAGCGCCGGATGGGGCCGCTGCACTGATTGTGGCGGGAACATTGCAAGGCGTATTGTCAGTGGGCATTACAGTCAACGTCCTATTAGTGGAGCCAGAACCGGACGACCCGGTTATGACCTCTGGTTCCGCGGCTAATGACCTTGATCGTTTGATAACACGATTCGGAGCCTCTATGATCTGGACTTCTTGCTCATCCGCACCCTGGGGCTCCGCTTGTTTGCCATTATTCCGACGCTTGAGACGTGGATCCTGTGGCGGGCCACTGGTTTGTGGATCATGGCTTGTCGACGTTGACACTGAGATTATACTTGTCTTGCGGCCGTTCATAGTGCCAATGAGGGATGAGAGTTGAGCGATGAGCAATGAGAGAAGATGAGTGATGCCATTCCAATCAGCTTCAGGGTTGGTGTTTCGACAGCCAACTGGACCTGAAGCCACTGTCATGTCGCACGGCCATGGGCACGTACGCGAGAAGTACGCGACAGGGTCCAAGCGTGTAGCACAGCATGATATTCAATTTGACTACCGCACTCTCAATTCTCAATTATATTTATTGTTTTTTTCGCTATACAAGATTGCAACTCAGTGCTGATTGCTTTCTCAATGATAGTCAGGATATGGGCGTTTCGCAATGGCCAATGTCTCGTTGTGCTGTTGCCTCATGATGTTCGTCAGCACCTGAATCGCCTCCTGCACACCCCTGAACCCAGTATGACTATTATCTAATGTAGCCAATTGTCCCGCCTTGATGCCCGCAACATCCTGTGTGAGCCTCTCAACATTCGACAAGAGCGCGCTCATGTTGGAAGCCATCCGAGTGTTCTGCAGCAGCAACTGACCGACCTGACTTTGAAGGTTTTGAATCTGTTGTTCCTGTTGCTCCATTCGTCTTGCATTATCCTGCATCACTGCTTGGCATAATCGCGTATCGCTTAAATTTAGAGTTGCATCACCACTGTGGATGGTGGACGTTGTGTTGGGCACGTTAATCGGGACCCGGTTAGAGATATTTTCTGCGGAAGCGGTGTTGGATACGTTGGTGATGGAATTTGTATTGGATGTGCCCGCTGGGGTGGCGGTAAACGTGCTTGCTAGTACTGTCCTCAACATCGGAGCGGCAGAGGTTAGGTTGGATGCACTGGCTGTACAGGCTATTTTGAAGAAGGTGGCGGCAGAGATTGGATTGGATGTAGTAACTGCAGAGGCCGGATTGGAAGATGCGGTCGTAGAGGTTGAGCTGGTTGTGCTTCTGATAGATTCTGTCTCGTCATCAGAACAGTTCTCTGAGCCCATGTCCATTCTGGATCCCTCGTAAGTGTGGCCAGGTTCTTTGCCTGTTAACGTCCTTTGCCACTTGGAGGCCGGTTCCTGTGCTTTATCCTGTGCAGGATGTCTGTTAGGGTCTATCGAAGCTGGGCGCGATCTTCCAGTACTGTGCGCTTCATGGATAATCGAAAGAAAGTGATCCATACGAGTTTGCGGCTCCCCCATCTCTGAAGCCGAGCCGGCTACCTTGGCTTTCCCCGCATATTCCTGCAACTGCCTTTCGACCATAGCCTTCAAGGTACGACCGGTAATCCCAATAAACTCCACGTCCTGTTTCTGAACCGACATGGATTCGAGTTGCCTCGCGATGTGTTCCCACTTCTCGGGTGCGCCTCTCTCGTTTGGCAATGGGACGTCAGACGCGACCATTGATAGTGCTGTCTCGATTATCTCCGCCAGACGACTGTCCTTATAAAACCCACGATACCGTAACGGTCTCTTCATTGCCTTTGGGTCCTGTGGAGCGCGATCCCCATGTTGCTCTGCCTGAGATCCGTTTCCCTCTGATGTATTGGCTGAATGTTCGCTCATGGCGTTGGATGAGGTGAATGGATCAACTGTGGTGCTGACCCGAGCCGACCTATCAGGAGTCAGCCCGAATTTCAGGTACAAGGGTACAAGGCAGCAATTGGGTTTGCGGCGACTGGAGAAAAACGGTGGCCCAAGCGGAAGCGGCACCATGCCGTTGTCCCTGAAAGAAGGGGGACCAACTGGGGAGTGCTATTATGGGGCTAAAGAGCATCCTTAGTTCGCGTACGGATATAGCCTTACTGCGCTACCATTAAGGTAACTGACTAGTCCTGTGATAGATTCATTCGGCTGTTCGTTAGGCTGATGCATATAGTCATCATACACGCTAAAATTTACAGCCCACGTACTGAAGGGTGCACATTCATACCGTCAACTTTTTTTTTACCTCCTTGCATGCAGCATCTCCCCGCAATGGGTTGGGCAGCTGACCTTTTTCGTGCAACCTAATACCAAGGGTCTTTTACAACTGTAAAGGCAAACTCTTTCGGGCTGGTGTGGTTCTGTTGGAAGATGGCACACAACTACTTGTATACAATCATAGTCTACATTCGCCCAGGAAAGGGACAGGGGGTACATGCAGTTCGAGGCTGGGATATGCGCAATGCTCTTTGGTTTCGTTGCTCGCGAACAGGAATATGTCCCGGCACATTGTTTCTTCTTAAAAAAAACCAGAGACATCCTCCTACTGTGGTAGTTCCTCCTGCAGTTCATGCAAAAGTCAAAGCGGGCCAACTCTCTGTTTGCTCCTATTTATTTTACGTGCCACACTTCGCCAAGTTGATGCATGGCTATAAGACTAGGGCTGCACGCACACGCGTTGCAGATGTACGTACATGAATGGGAGATGTAGCAAGGCGAAGAATGAAAACTATTATACCGTCCAGAATGCATCATGCTGCACATCGACATGTTCACACTGTTGATTTTTTTTTTGTTCTGGTGAGAAACTCTTTGTTGGTTTAATGTATTAAAAGTACAAGGTATGGAGAGAAGAAAAGGCCGCGACTATGGCTATTGAAACAACTCGTAAATGCGAGTTCTGCTGTATGAAGTAATTGAGAATCAGTCTATCGTAATGTTTATCTATAGTACAAGTAAAAAGCAAATTGCGAAATAAAGGTACAACTGTACAAAAGGTGTAGTTTGAAAGGTATTTTCTATGGTGGTACGTGTTTCTGTTAGATTCAGGAACACTTCCTCGCGCGAGAAAACGGATCACGGGCGCATGCGAGGGAAGAAGCCCTTTAAGGCTCCTGGAGAAGACTGGGTGTCAGCGAAATCCGGATGGTGCTCGAACAGCGCGTCTGCAACAGCTCGTCGAACTGGCGCATCTTCTCTGTCATCTGAGGTTGTGTCTCCTTCCTGCTCAGGATAGGGCGAAGGCTCAATGGTCGCAGGTCCCGACTCACAGAGCGGAGCGAGTTCTCGGTCATGGCAGCAACCGATTTGCGACGCTCGCGCATCATCTCCAAACGCATAGAGTTCACCGCAGTGGGTTCCATCGAGTGCCGATACTGGGCCTCAGAGATAGGACCCAATGTGAGGGAGTTGGATCCCGAGGAGCTGTTGTTGGTATTATTGTTGTTGAAGATGCGAATCAAGGAGAAGCGGCGACCCTTCTTGTTGGCAGGGGTGATGGCCATGGTTGTGGGAGGGCAATGGGTCATGATTGTTGGTTGTTTGTATGTGAATACTTGTGAGGGAACAGCGGGTGACAAGGACGATGGGGTTTGGTTTCTTTTGAGCTGAAGATGAAGAAAAAAAGAAGGGGAAATTCGATAAGGTCCGAGGGATTTTATATGCTGCAAGGCGAAGAGCAGGAGAAAAGATAGAATGGCCAGGAATGGAAGTGTAACTGTGAGCCTGAATGATGAATACAAAGAGAATAAAATACGGTGTTGTTGTACAGACGGTACAAACGGGGGCTAGGCTAGTGCTCTCGCTGTTATTTTTTGCAGCTGTTTACGCCTTCACACTAGGAGGGGAGGAGAAAAAAGTGTGCTAGGGAGGTTTACGTGAGAGTGGGCGATGACGAGTTGGCTAAAAAAAAAAAGGGTGTATTAGTCTAGTTCTCTGGCACGTAGACTAGGGATTTCTTTTATGTCGTTCAAGGGTAGGAATAACGTCGCGTTGACGGCAGGCATGTAGATGACCTGTACATGCGATGGACTGGGGACAGACCGGTTCATTTAAAACATACCTACCCTCCCAAGAATGGTCGCGTCATGTCCATATCCATGTTCCCCCATCATTCGACGCGGTGGAGCAAATTTTTTTCTTCCTTCTCCGTGTCTTTTGCTGATAATTCCATTCCTTTACCTCATTCTAATGTCTGCCAACGGACTCATTAGGTCATCCCTTTTTGCCTTTTACTGCTCCTCTGCCTCTTTGGTCAAGATGGAGATCCAGCGATGATGTTATGGATGATTATTCATTACTTTCCTGCTCAGCTGCTGGACTTTCTCTTTTTTTTTTTTTACTGCGCTGGAGTCTTCTTAAGCTATCACGCGTCCCCCTTTCCCTTTCTGGAGCGGTGCTCTGATTGGACGGAGTAAATAATAAGGGCGAAGCATTTCCTTGGCGTAATTGGCCAAGAATGACTTCCCTAACGTCTGGTTCGGTCGTCTAGGCAAAGGCGAGGCTTCGATCCAGAATCAACACGACGTTCTTTGAGAAAAATAAAAGATAATAATAATATCTCAGATCAAAGAATATGTTGTCCGCCCCAAGGCATATTGCATTAGTAGATTCTCCAGAAATAGCCTACTATCCGATGCTGTTACAATGGTTCCCCCCCCTCTCTCTTCCTCACTTGTGCAACAGTCAGAGAATAATAATGAATAAAATGAAAGAAACATTTGCCCTGGTTGACCCAAGGAAAGAATTTTTTTTGTGATCCCAACTGTCCACATATCTGGAGGCGACTGAAACGAGGGGGAGTCTATTCTTTTTTCTTTTTTTTTTTGAAGAGTGGGATCTGATGGAAAACAGGGCACCAATCAGCACGCGAATTGTGCATTCGTCCCGCTCCCTCAGATGCTTGTATGCATGCACAGAACCTGGGCAACGGGAAGATTGAGTGAGCGGTACAGGTCTGTGTGTAGCACAAATGAAAAAGGCATTTCCGGAGGCATGGGCCTCTCCACAACTCTATTTTGATATAAACAACGAAATGCAATGCAGTGGATGGGAAGGGGCGCGGAGATGAATCTACAATCCACTATCTCGATTGTTGGCCCAGGCAGTATACTCCGAGGAGCCATCGTTTCTCGTGCTGGAGAAATATAGCGAATAAATGCAGATAGAATGTCCGTCCTACTCCAAGCCTTGCACATCATATCCAAGCAAGAGGCTCTTAAGCAACTCTCATATTTTTGAAACGGCTGCCCAATGCATGCTTCTCTCTTTACATAGCTCCTCCTCGACATGATAGCGAAGTAAGGGTTTATTGCTCGGGTTTAAAGGTTTGAGAGTTCGATGATTTGAGATATATTTACAAGTTCATAATAAAGCTGGCGACGTTACGCGTCAAATACAGCCTTAGTAATTAACTCCCTAGAAGTAGATCAAAATCAAACGCGACGCGACGCGATATTAGTCAGTAGGAGGAAAAAGACCTGCTGTATGCTGAGCATAGTTTGTATCTTTCTGTACCTGAACAACTGCTGGCCAAGTCATACGGATTCGCTCGAATAATTCTAGGCGCAATCGAAATGTTTGGAAAATGGAGGTCAGTCAGAGATGGGATCCAACGCGTTATTGCCCTAAAGTGCCAAAAATAACAAGAAAATACACTCACCAGGCTTTGTCCTCGCCAGTGCAGCTGGGTCCTCTGCAAGGCACACGAACGTCGTAGCCACACCGCTGTCGATCACTGACCCTACCGTAAACAGCATCTGCAAGCCCATCACGAATGCCATGGTGACAATGACATAGGTGAACTCGTTGTTGGCGTTGAAGGGTGGCTTCTCGAACCGAAGGTAGAGATAACTTGCCAGGGCAGAAAGCATGCCAGACATGATGGCGCCCATGGCCCAGACGTTTCCGATCAAGTTGTCGTTGATGATCTGAACAATGCCTCGGTCCTTCAGAATATTCCATGTATCTCTTGCAGCTGGAATGTAAGACTTGCCATAAATCGCGACCTGACAGAATGCGTACTTGTTCACGTAGTCCACGATTCCTTGCAAGCATCCTATTATCCAATAACGCAACCGAGATGAACAATCGCGAAACTCATTCTATCACTTTATCCCATTACCGCCCTATCATCTTTTTTTATGGAGATAGCAAAGACGAGAACTTACCGAGGATACAGTCGATGATACATGCGAGGAACGCCATGATGCCGTCGCTTCCGTCGCCTCGCAGCATCTGGGCAAGCGCCCTCAGGGTCTGGATGGCTGCAATGATCAATGAACCAAAGCAGATACTTCCAATCGAGGTTGTGCAGGCGCGTTTGAAACTCTCTAACGTCGGTGATTTGCTCATACCCTGCGGCGACCCCATCAGGAAATAATAGCAAGCAAATACTCCCGAGATCGTTACATGGACAATGTTCTTGATGACTTGAGATGTCCAGTAGAACGAGAAGAAACAGAACACAATCAACCTGCACCAAACATCCAAAGACAATTTTTTTAGGTTAGGAGACGGATCGCGTTCTATGGGATTAGATAAGTGTATGAATATGTAAGCAGGCTTACGCTTTCAGCTTCCCTGGGGTGGTTCTCGTGTTTGTGTCGTAGTACATCTCATAGCAGCCTGCGATTGTCGTGATAAAGTAGACTGAATATGCTGACTGAACAATGAGGCCAAGGAATGCCATCGCGAACGTAGCTGGATACGCCTTTGAGATGGAGGTGACAGCCCTTAGCATTTCACTATAAATGCAGTTGGCTGTCAGTACGGAAATCTAAGCCCATCAACCTTATTTTTTTGAAGCACTGTGAAGAACACGTACGTTGCGAAAGGTATACGGCTCTGCCAGAAAAACCACATTGACGCGTACAAGAGCCCAAAGATCAGGCCAAAGATTGCAGGCATCCATTGGCGTCGCACAAAGTAATAGACCGCGACTGCAAGGTATACAATGATACTCAACGCGAAGGTGACCTATGTAGCAAAAGGAGAACGAGGTTTCCGGCGTCAGCACCATGTTCAACTCCGCATGGACATGAACGAACTACATGTGAAACCAGGTGAAATGCGGTCATGATGACTGGTCTGACCTTTATCACCTGACGAGGGAAACTGGTATAATTGTGCGAAGTGAATAAGACAAGGAGCGTCAGTAGGTAAAGAATCACCGAGTGGGATGCTACAGCCCATCGTTACCGTCGGATGATGACTTACGCCTGTGTTAATATAAAATATAGAACTGCGACGACAGCACCCGTGAGAATAGAAATCAACATCGTGATTAGTCCTGATCTGGAGAAGAAGCCGAAAGTCCGTCCTGACTGGGATGTTCCTCCACCCGGCTGCTGATAATAGCCATTATTTCCATATTGGCGATCCTGAACGACCTGATGGATCGCGTAATATGATAGGACGACGAATGCGGCGAGCTGGGCGATGAACAGGAGAAATGCCCAGCAGTCATTGTAGCGTGGACGAGGGTTGAACTTTGTAGGCAAGCCCGATTCTGGATTGACAGAGCCATAGGGTGCGGACTCATAACTGGGCGGCGCAACGCCAGTCAGTGGTTGACCCTGCGTGGGTCCTGTTGGCGGTGCGAAATACTGCTCCTGGGCACTCTGGTTCTGACCCCATTGCCGGTGTTGTGCATCCGGGTCGTACATGGGCTGCTGCTGGGGATTATAGGCGTACTGAGGCTGATGGATAGGTGGAGGTGGGCCGTAGGGCTGTGGTTGTTGTGGAGCATAATGGGCCATTGTGTGTTACACGAAGGAGCGTGTGTGCTTTTTCTTTTTCCTCAAAGAGTGCTTGTGCTATGCTTTGGAAGTGGAAAGAGACACGACTGTTGCAAGCGAAGAGTAGACCAAACTAGAAAGCTAGGGTCTGCAGTGGTGGGTGAGCAAGGGAGAACAGAGGACCAAAGGGGAGTAAAGGGGAGTAAAGGGGAGTAAAGGGGAGTGAAGGGGAGTAAAGAGGTAAAGAGCGGTACCCAGCAAGTGTGAAGGAGACTCACGAGAAATGTCTTTTGGCGGGACACGATGGAATGTGAGTCTCGCATATACAGATCCCTCACACTCTGTAATTGCGCATCCCTCTTTTAATTGAATGCAAGTTCAATTCCCAGTTTCAGAGCTCGGATCCGACCTTTTTTGCAACAGAGAGACGCATCGCAGTTGGCATCCACATCACTTTCCTGAACACCTTGCATCCGCAACCCACCCTGACCGGCAGCTTCAATGATCGCACTGTCTGCCCTTGCTGCTCATTCGAAACGAGTCCCTACCGTCACACGCACCCTCGCCTCCTCTCTCGCTGCTGTTTCTTCCTCGAGATCATTCCACCATTCCACTATGGCTTCACAGCAGGAAGAGGGTCCCGTCACCGCCAGCATCCGCACCACTGTACGCGCTAATACGCCGATGTTCTTCCAACTAATAAGATATGAATACAACTCATAACTGAGTGCTGATTTTCTGTGATCAATTGCTACATGGGATATATAGCTCACAGAGTTCCTGAACCCCAGCTCGTTGGAGATCATCAATGACAGCTCCAAGCACGCTCACCATTCTGCTATGCGTGGCGTGACCAGCAAGGAGACCCATTTCAGGTACAGAATGCCTCCAGGAGTGACTGATTGCTATTCGCCATTTCCACTCGATAAGCCCGTATTCCTTACCTGACGTGTCCTTATTTTCTGCTAAACTCGTTAAAACAGAGTCAATGTTGTCTCCGAGGCCTTTGCTGGCAAGACCACGATGCAGCGTCACCGCATGGTCTATGGAGCCCTGAACAAGGACTTTGAAGCAGGCCTTCATGCCCTGTCCCTGAACACCAAGACACCCGCCGAGATTGCCAAAACAACTGAGGCATAGTTGTGTGAGCAGTTGCAACACCCATAGACCCACACTTTCTCTCGTTTGAATAAATAAACCTGACAACAACGTGGCGGGTTATCATGATCAGTTGGAATGACACAGCAAGATGGATATAGAAAGCATGCCTTTAGTATGTTCTTTTTTCTTTTGCGGATGGAAGAAAATGCAGGGACAATGGATATGGATGCATCCCAGCACGGTTCGTTCAGAGACACTGCAGCCGTACTTCATGCGGTATGGACATGCAAATGACCTCCAATGCATTGACGCGAGCGCCCTAGAGAACTGCTCTGCATAGCAGACGTCCTCCCATTGGCTGGTGAAAACGCGTACACGAAAGAAAGAGAACTATCTTTTTCACATCGCATCGACTAATTTGTAAGAAGCACCGTCATGTAAGAGCTCCTACTGTCGTTTTTTGTGTATGATCCGCCGTGCGTCGATTCATGTAATCCTCGCCCGATTGACGGTTCATTCATAACAGACCCATAAACATGAAAACAACAAAAATACTCCTTTCTCCACAACCTCAAAAAGTACATAAACTGCAGATGGCTGCGAGAGTGTGTCAATGTACATATTTGGATGTTATAGTCTGCCTTTGCCATGTCCTGTTATATCTGCAGGTGTACATTTCCACACACCGTAGCATGACATGACAAAGCCTTTGGGCGAGAGACGGTGCTGCACACCGCCTTTGTATAAAATACCCTGATGTGATACTGCACTTTTCCTCACTGTCTCTTATCTCTTTCATCCCTCCCTCCAACGATTCTTCTTCCAGTGGCACAAGCGCCGATAATAAACAACCCCAAGCCGACTTCCTTTGGCTTGGCTTGTACCCGTCGTTCTCGTCGAGTACAATCAACTCCATATATAAACACGCCGCCCAAGGATTGACGCCTCTTGGTCCGTCCTATTTCAAAAAAGGTACGCTAACACCAGTGAAGAACAACAACACCCGTCGCAAGCAGTGGTTCTTCATTTCAGAAGAAGATTGAGTGAAGTGCAACTTTGATCCTTTGTCGTCGCTCCAGGAGCTGATAGAAGCACCCGTATGTGTGTGCTATTGACTCCTTTCTGGACCAATGTACCTGTCAATACCTCAATGCCCAACTTGGCCATAGGAACAGGCTACAGATTTGCATTGTGAAGCACTGGCTTTTCATTCTTCTTCAGTGTTTGCATGCATGTGTAGCGTGAATTGACTCGAGTTTCGTTGTATGAAACTGCTCGTCCGATCGATATCGGTTTTCTTGTGTTGCTGCTTGCTTATGTATCTCCACGTTTTCGGGATTCATGTATGGCTTCATGCACTTTGACAGCGTTCGAGAGTGCAAATGATTATTAATAACTTGCCGCCAATTCCTCTCCACCGCACCTTTACCCCTCTGGTGTCATACAACCCAGGATAGCAATTTCCAAGTCTTTGTCGTTTTCCCCAGTCTCCTATCTCCTGAAGGAAAAAACAGGCGAATCTCAGCAGGTTATTTGATTCCCTACAAGAGTAGTAATCTGCAACGGATACCGCTCTAAATATGCCTGGCTCTTTCCCGCTCACACTCTATACCATGTCCAGTAGTCGCTCGCATCATCTGCAGCAGCAGCCTCAACAGCAAACAAGCCGTCAGCCAGCTGCCAGCATGTATTCGTATGATACGGTGTTCTCTGGAGCTTCGTTGTCTTCTCCGGTATTTCCGATCTCGTCCAGTTCTCCTTCCGCCTTAAATTCCAGCCTTCTTCAAATACAGCATCACCTCGAGTCGCAGGAGCGAAGCCATCTTTACGAAACGGCCCCTGACGTGCATGAGGAGAGGCAAAACTCCAGCGAATGCCCCCGCACTCCGTTGTTCCATCATCCCACGCAACCTTACTACGGCAATCATCCTCTAAATCGTATTTCTTTCCAGCAACACTTCTTTCCGGAGCCATACCATTCTCCTTTCGCCAATAATTATCTTCAGCAACAAAGCAAGCTGAAGCTGGCGTCGGATCAGCAAGAACAACAGCAGCCATTGCCTCTTCAGTATCACCGTTCCATTCAGCTCACACAAGAGAAGAGCGTTGTTCTGTCGCACCCAAAGCTCACGCGCCCTTGGAAGACATATACAGAAGCCCCAATCATTGTCGACTCTTGCACAAATAAGGCAGGGACAGCATCAGGTCTTGTTCGCGATCCAGCGCTGCCTACACACGACCTATCGCCACTGGACCTTTCGGAAGAAATGTCGATTAAAGAGAAGTCAAGCTTCTATGAAGCGCTCCTGGATCAGATCGCTGCACAGCGTGTTAAAACCAACGCCTTAGATGCCGGTGTACAAATGTTATTGGAGAATATTGCTGTACTCAATATGGTATTGGACGGAAAGCAGAGCTCGGTGGATACAGCCTTACAGGATACCCAGCGGGCTGTAAGAGGTTGGCAGTACACATGGGAGGACTATTCGCGATGTGAAACAATCCAGATGCTACAGGAAAACCCCACTACCCTGGCTCCGCTCATTCAAAACATAAGATAGAATGACAAGAAACAACTGTAAGTATCGGCACTTGGCATTGTCGTTGGATATTCTATTTATCTATTATGAACATATAATAATCCTCTTCTGATGTGCATCCCCTAGATCCGACGCGATTGTAGCGAGCTGTACACTCCGAGAAACTTATCGATTGCAGCAACGAATTTCTGCTCAGCACGGTCAAGTTGTCGGGTTTGATCTCTTGAAAAAGCTCCCCTTATCTATCTCCATACTCATCATGATGCATTTGCCCTTTGGGGACCTCGCAAGCTGCAGAACGGTAAGGGAACAGTTTTTTTTAATTGTACATTTACTTGAATTCAGATGATCGTGCTACATTCTACCTATTATCCTTCGCATATTCTATCAACAGGTCTTCGCGCGATTGGCAGCGCAAGGCAATGGCATACAGTGTTGTTGCGTCAGCAGTTAAATGACTCACCTTTGCTGAGGAACCTGTACCGCTGGAATCAACAGATGGATCGAAAATGAACTGGAAGCAACTTTGCAGGCTCAATGAGCGAAGTGTTCGCTGGAACAAGGGCAAACCAGCTTCGGTACACCCAATGTTGGGTCATACAAACTATGTCACATCGATGAAAATTCGCGGTGAATGGATTATCAGCGGCGGATACGATGAAAAGGTTCGCCTATGGGAGGCAGCTACAGGCCGGTGTATCAAGACCTGGGAGGCTAATTCATCCGTGAGCTGCGTAGAGATGCTTGTCGACGCCAACATGGACGGAGGAGGAGTGGCCGTCGCAGCGTTTACTGATATTGGGTAAGCATAACCATTTCGTATCTAGGATACCACTCTGCATATTAATGCTCCTCCTCTTTAGTGATACTACTAAGAGGACAGAGAAATGATCGACTTCCTAACCTTGGAGATGCATCTGGACTGTAGGCTTGTCAAGGTGTGGTCGCTGCATGGTCCCATGAACATGCGAGTCTTAACGGGTCACCGAAAGGGAGTACGTGCGCTAGCGATCAATGAGGAGTGCTTGGTCACGGCAGGGTTTGATCAGACAGCCCTGGTGTGGGATTGGAGTAATGGACGCAAACTTGCCAGCTTCCGCGCCCATAACGAAGCGGTATGTGATGTTTATTCCTTGAGTCTATATAGAGATGTAGCAGAGTAAGCGGATTCGTTCCTTATGCGTCGATCTGTATTTTCCTTGCGCGATAGATCCTAGGAGTGCATCTACATAGCAGCACTGTATACACATTCTGCATTGACGCGACCCTTCGCGTGTTCGATATCCCATCCAAGACATTGCTGCACCAGGTCAAGCTGTTCGAAGTCCCGCGGAGATCGCCGTTACAGTGGTCGCAATTACACGACAGGATGCTCTTGACAGCCACCAACAAAAAAGTTTACGTGTGGCAGCTTGAGCATATGGACACCTTGGTCCAGCGCCAGAAGCAGCGTTATGGACAGTAACAGAACCAATGGCAATCCCAAGGCTTATTCCGTCAATCATTTATATCCTCAGTCTCACCTTCCAGCTGCGGCACCACTCACGGACAAGGCAGCAATCTGGAAACTGAGCTCCAGCACAAGTCACCGTCTTTGACTTCGCGACGCATGTCAGGATCTTCATCGAAGTCTACTACAACCCTGCTTGTGACGCCTACTGGCCCTGATTTCTCTAGCGAAGGATCGTCGCACTTCTATTTTTTGCCCTCAGACGCCTCAAGCATAACGCTTTTGCCGGACTCTGCCAGTAAAACAGTAGCCTATGGCGTGGCAGTGGAGACAAGGATCAAGCCGTGCCTCACAGTAATCCTGAGCATGACAACGGACATGTGGTGCGGCAAGGTCTCTCACCATGACCCTCCTCTTCTGATTGTGGGCTCCCGCAGTTCACCGGCTAAACTCGCAACTGTGACATTGACAAGGGACATCATTGATCCAAGCAAGACTTACAACTCTACTACAACGCCTGCGCTGTTGTCGCCCAAGAACATTGCTATCCAGGACATGTCTGTCGGTTACGGTCATGGAGTGATGTGTATAGATGCGGACGCCAGCAGACTTATCGTTGGGTGTACGGGTGGATCCATCCAGGTCATGAATATGGATCCCACCAAACAATTCCTGCCGCCTTTAACAAACAACAACGCCCCTCCTGTTATCACCCTGCCTCATTTGACGCGCTCTCAAACAGACTCGACCCGGTCTATTAGTTCAATTCATTTATCGTCGCCAGACCTTAACCCAACAGCCGCAGGGGTGCGCAAGGATAGCAGTGCGGAATATTTGAAGAAGACGCAAACGGCTGCGCCGGCTGATACTGCTCGAACAACAGGCCTCCCAACACCAGAGAATTCACCACGCAAGGCATCTCTACCCATCAAGATGTCTACGGCCCCCGGTCGAGGCATCCGGGGTATAAGCCCACCAAGAACTGGGGCACAACAAGGCAAACGGTCAATGACGCCTCCGACTGATCATGAGGAGCAAGAGGTCTTGGCTGACTGTGACGAGGATGAGATGAGAAGCCTTGACTATAGAGTGAGTCCGAGGTCAGACAGCCTGATTCAAGAAGGATTTCATAGGGATGGCAGGACGACTGTTGCGACAACATTTGGCACTAGCTCCAGGAAGAGATCTCCGCCTTTGCCTTCTCCGGCGCAATAGTCCCTTTCGGGTACAAGGCCAAAACAGGCCAGTCCACCTCGCAGACACTTTCGAGTCTCTCAAAGTATATCCCCTCCTCTCCCACCAAATTTATTATGCGACGACGCGAGACCAACTCATCAAACTGGGCTGATCAGGTCACCGGTACGACTATGACTTTTACAAGCAGCATCAATAGCATCCCGTCATCTGTGATGTCTACACCAGCAACTAAGATCACGAAGGGTCGTAGTCGATCTGCGCCCAACTTGCATTTGAGCGCCAACAGTAACAGTTAAATTAGTGGTAGCAGTAGCGATGAGGGTGCAGGAGCATCGAGGACGTTGTCGAAGAGGTGGGTATTCTCATCCGCGTGGAACAATTCCACACGAAGATCTGCAAAGAGCAAAATCAAGCAGCGCCATGTCCACTAAAATTCATTTGAACTTGCACACAAAATCTGTCGCGTTTAGTCAATAGAAAAAAATCGCCAAAAAAGATGTTTGTTTGCTATAGATATAATCCCTGAATACATGAAGGGGGAAAGTTGAGGCATATGCTATGCCTTCTTGGGTTTTACAGTCTCTTTGACGACGGATTGACGTTCCTTCCATCCAAGATAAAGCGGTAAAACAGTGCTGACGGAAAGTATGGGCATGACCAGGGTCAAGATGACTGCAACATGAGGCTTGCCCAGTTGCCGACTCGACTGGAACATGTACACGGCCGCCAGAAGATTGTTGAAGACCAGGTCGGCACTGATGGAGGTCTGACAATGGTTGAACCAGAGTGCCCGGTAAAGAGTACTGGGCTGCATGATGGGTGAGAATACAAACGGAAGCGTGTACATGACGTGACTGACAAGCGCGATCAGAGCCAGGACGAAGTATAGGACTGGGAGGCTAACCGTCAAGAAGCGCTTCTGGGCATCGGGGTTGAAGCGCAGGAGCGAGGGGACCAGAAAGAACGCGTGGGTGAGGATCAAGTTATACTTGAAGCTCGTGGTCATGGTTGGAAAGAAGGGTGTGGCGATGACGCTAACCTCGCCAAGGAGGATCAGGAGCGCGAGGAACAAAGGTACGGTGCGGGCGTGGGGGCGAGTTTTTTTTGTGGGATCAAGTTGGGCAAGAAAGAGGGGCCCACCGACGGACATGGAGCCGAAGAAGCCGAGGAGGACGAACCACCAGGTCGGAGTCCAGGATTTCGTGGGTTGCTGAGGGGAGGAGCGTTTGTTTTGCTGGTTAAGGGTAGTGGTTTCGAGTCGGAGGGATTGGCCTTCGACGGACCAGCAGGTTAAGGCGGTGCCGGTGAGGATGAGGAGTTGGCTGCTCCACCACCATTTGGGGAGGGTGTTGGTGACAATTGCATATGCTTGGACACTAGAAAGAAAAAAAGAAAAAGAAACAAGGTTAGTGTCGGTTAACTGCAAGGATAGACGGACAGCATTTCGTAAAACTGTGTCAAAGAAAAACGAGTAATTGTACTTACAAGAGGTCGGACTCAAGAATAAACCGGTCGAGGTTACTTCCGTGTGCCTCATACTCCTTCTTGAACCAGGAGAGGATATAGTACCAGGTGGTGAGAAGTGAGCTGACGGCGATGAGGATGTAGATCGCATTGCTGGCCGAGAACCTTGTCCGGGTGATGCACACAACGAGAGCTGAAATGACCGTTGCGAAGTATATGGCGATCGAGCCTACGGCCTTGTAGTAAAGCGTCGAGTCCATTGCTCCTGATGCCGTTGCCGTCTTGCCTGTTGAATCCATGGTTGCTTCCTTTGTCTGTCCGTCTGCTGGAGGGTCGAAGCAGTTGAAGGAGTGCGAAATAGGTTCTGAACCCATACCTGAGACATCACGTGGATGGCGACCTGTACACAAAAATAAAAGTATAGCTTCTGTAATGTGAATATCTCATACATCTGGTCGTGTTGGTGTTAAGAAGACCTCCATTTCGAGGTCCTGGCCACTGCCGAAGTCTATAGTTATCCACGTTCGACAGCTTCATGAACACTGGTTGCTATTGATGTGGATACGTAAATCACTAAGGGGCCGGAATTGACTTTAAAGCAATCTGATCGCGTGCTCAACCTTGGCTCGAGCTACATTAACGCGTCCCGATATATCGCGCACTATACTTCTTAGTGGAGCCAGCGTCGATGCCTCAAGTTCCGGGCAACAACATCAAGTGAAGATAAGAATCCATAGCGGTTGAATCGATGGAGAGCCACTCTGAGTTGTATCATAGTATAAGCCCACCACCTCTTGTTTTGTGAAGTCGAACCTCTTGGGCGTTACTCGTAAGGCATTTCTGAAGCTGCGCTCCGAACGCCCTGACAAAACTTCATCTCGATAGGCTAGCGACTTGGATAGGAGCCCAGGACCCCTGTCTTTGAGGTACCAGACGGTATTGAGGTAATGGAGGGCTGATAGATCAGCGAGAATAATAGGGACGATGGTGAATCTCCTGGTTTCGTAGACGCATTTGATCTCCTGAAGGGCAAGGCTTAGTGATATAGCACGATCTTGTTCGCGCAGTCTTCGAATGACGAGAAACATTGCGATAGGAGGGTTAGGAGGGTTCTTCATATTTCCAGTGCAGGGGGGAAGGAGAAGAGATGGAGGAGAAAGGAAGATGAATGCAGAGGCAAAGGAAAATGGTGGGCGTCTTCAGCAGCTGCATTTGCCCTTAACGTTTCTTTGAAAACGAAAGCGTGAACAAATTATTCTGAGACAGGGGGCGAAACGCGCAATAAAAGAATAGAACGTTGTCCCTAAGAGGTTCACTTCAGCCCTCAGTATCGGCTGCAGCGGCACAAGGTAAAAAGAAAAGGCGTTGAACGAAAGCGCGCCATTGAGTTCCCTCCTTGTATTCTTGCACACGTCCGAGGAACGACCTGCCTATAGGGCTCCACCTCAATGCATCCCTCCAGGACTAATGCTGTCTATTGAGCACTGTTGTCTCCTTCTGCAGCCTCCTTTCAAGGTGGGATGTCCCCTTGAACACACAGCTCCTGGATTTGATTAAATTTATCCTGGCTATGATAGACCTGTTAAAGTGGGAGGAAGTACCGGGCGAGAGACTTCACCGAGTTGGAGATGGGGGCCTGCCTTTTCTAGTGCTGCCGGCAGCCACTCTTCTGGTATGGTAGCTCTTCTCTTACTCCGTACGCTTCCCTTGCCTCAATCTTTTGCCTTCATTTCTCTTGTTCATCAACGTCGCCGCCTTGCTGAAATCCCGGCATCCGCTTCCCACAGCTCCTCCCTAGAAAATGTCTTCAAGGATTCCGTCAAGAACCTCTTTTGTGGTTCTGCTCGTCGCCCTTCTGTTCCTTTCCGTTTCATTCCATCCCTCAGTCATCCATGGACAAATCTTCAATGGGGACAGCGTGGTGACCGTGCCGTCTGAAGCTGTCATCATCAGCTCGGATATCCTTCCATCCTACATTGTGACCACAGATGAACCAAAACCTACTGCGACATCGAACCAAACAACCGGAGGAAAGAACTCGGCTCTCGCTGCTAACGGCACTACTACGGCCATTATGCCTCCTGTTCCATCTCTACCTCCATCTACCCCAACAACACCGTCAGCGCCGGCCTTTGTGCAACCCTACACTACTCCGGCTGCAGGTGGCTTCCCCCTTACGGTCGCTACACCCCTGCCTCTGCCTACGACCCCAGCACAGTTTCCTCAGAACATCTCTTCGTGCCCGACATGCTACGGCATGTTTCCGACCCTCTCTCGCTGTAATGTCATTGCCAACTCGAATGGGTTTGCAACTACACCCAACGCGACCTACGAGGCCCTGCTGCCGTTCCTAAAGTGTATTTGCACATTCAAGGCCCTAGATGCTTATCCGTATTGTATCGACTGCTTCTCCAAGACCAGTCAGCAGGTTCAGTTGAATGCCTTGCAAGCGAACCATCTGGAGAACTATGTGGACGCTTTCCGTCAGCTGTGTGGTGCGACGTATAATGGCAACAAGGTGCCAGACATTAACGGAGCAGCTGTAGGACGAGGACCGGCAGAGACGGTGAACAGGAGGCTAATAAGGCTTATTAGTATTATAGTGATGTTGGTGCTGAATGCATGACGCTTTTGAGCGAGCATAGCTACATAGTTGAACACTCCTGCGGTAACGGCGAATGGAAGGGCACGGACAGCTCAGCGCGATGTATGTCGCATTTTAGAGTAGCGCATAGAAACTAAAATACAAACTGATGTCATTTGGCATTCCAATTGATTCGCGATTATCTCGACCCTCTCCCTCTCACTCACGCTCTTTTCAACTTCCCATTCGTTCCCTTCATCGGTCATTCATTCAACAATCAACTTTGGCATGAGCAAGAACTACTTTGACAACCACGGAGAGGCTCCAAAGGCGCACACGGATACCACAGGACAACAGCATGAGGACACCTTTGAAGTACCGGACATTCGTCTCGATAATGATGTGTCGAGGGCCTCGGACAGCAGCTCAGCAAACACATCACCCTTTTATTCGTATCATAATGAAAAGGCACTGAAACTGGTGCGTATGGTTCCTGAAATAACATCATGGTACTTTTCGAACGGCGTAGAGTCGACAGAGCTTGATCTGTCGCTTCGCTTAATTGACCCTCCAAATGATATCTGTAGGAGGATAACAAATATCTAGCGCATGAGACACACAATCCTTCAAGCCGATCTACAGATGTAGACCCTACCTTCCCGCTTTCGACTGCGATGGACACGACCAACTCTTTCGACAATCCACCGAACCTGCGCAATATAGGCTCAGATACCGGAGTCATGGACGAGGAAATCCAGGCAGAGGACAAGACAAAGCCTAACTATACACCAACAGACGATGTTACGCAGGAGTTGCGCGAACTCTACACCGACTTCCAAAAGTGCCTCGATATGCGCGAGAAGTACATGGCGATCTCGTGTCAGAGAGTAGGTGACAATCCTAGCGACAGCGAAGACTGGGTTATCTATCCGCCACCATCACCTCCGTCATGGCCTCCAACTGAGCACCATGGCCGTGTTCCTAAGGGACCTGAGAGCGTCGGCAGTGATTTTGTGCTGGAAGAGGTTCCTATCCCTGGATTGTGCGATCATGTCTTTGAGATGGACGATTGTGGTATCTTTCAGGTAAGAGAGATGAGCATCATAGACATAGTGAATATGCCCAATACAACATCCTGTGTATTAACAGCAGCTTCCACATGCTGACGTACAGGTATACAATTCAAAGGAGGATCTGGCAGCTAAGAAGCCTATTATCGATGTTCCCAAGCCCAAAGAGTACTTTAAAGACTTGGATTTTGTACTCTCTGTGACCTCTGACGGACCCACCAAGAGCTTTGCTTTCCGCCGGCTCAAGTATTTGGAGAGCAAATGGAACATGTACATCCTACTGAACGAGTACGAAGAACTGGCTGAAGCCAAGCGGGTTCCGCATCGCGACTTTTACAACGTCCGAAAGGTCGATACGCACGTTCACCACAGTTCCTGCATGACTCAGAAGCACTTGCTCCGCTTTATTAAGGCAAAGATGAGAAAGACACCTGAGGATGTGGTCATTTTCCGCGATGGCAAAGAGCTGACGTTAAAGGAAGTCTTCCAGAGTTTGAGATTGACCTCATACGATCTCAGCATCGACACCTTGGACATGCATGTACGTATCGGATGTAGTCTTTATTTTGGAAGACAGCTGTTATGCAGAAAGCATCTTCACTAATACAAGTCGTCTGATAAATAATATTGGTAACGTAGGCCCACAAGGATTCATTCCATCGTTTCGATAAGTTCAATCTGAAGTATAACCCCATCGGAGAATCACGTCTTCGCGAGATCTTTATGAAGACCGACAACAAGATCAAGGGCTCGTATTTGGCTGAGATTACAAAAGGTATGCGGTGCTACTTGTTCCAATAATAGCACATCGCGAGTGTACTGCATATCTCTCTAACCACAATTTATCATTATCTTATGAAAATCGCCTTGCAGAAATCATTTCGGATCTGGAGCAGAGCAAGTACCAGATGGCGGAGTACCGTATTTCGATCTACGGCAGAAGCGAGAGTGAATGGGACAAACTGGCAGACTGGGTGGTCAACAACAAATTGTTCTCTCTCAACGTACGGTGGCTGATCCAGGTGCCTCGTCTCTATAACGTTTACAAGGCTACGAAGACAGTCGAGAGCTTTGAGCAAATCATCAGCAACATTTTCAAGCCATTGTTCGAGGTCACGCGGGATCCATCCAGTCATCCCAATCTCCATATCTTCCTTCAGCGCGTGGTTGGTTTTGATTCCGTGGATGATGAATCCAAAGCTGAGAGGAGAATCTACAAGAAGTTTCCATATCCGCGTGTCTGGAATACAGCTTTGAATCCGCCGTACAGCTACTACATCTATTACATGTTTGCTAACATGGCAAGTCTCAACAGCTTTCGACAAAAGCGCCGATTCAGTAAGTACCAAACGGTACTTATACCGGTGGAAACGACTGCGATGTGTCAGTTGCCAATACCAACGTTCCGTTCCGTTTTAATCATTATAGACACGTTTGTGCTCAGACCACATTGCGGAGAGGCGGGCGACACGGATCACTTGACGTCGGCGTTCTTGACCTCCTTTGGCATCTCGCACGGGATTTTGCTCCGCAAGGTGCCCGTTCTGCAGTACTTGTTCTATTTGACGCAGATGGGTATTGCGATGTCACCCTTGTCCAACAATGCCCTGTTCCTGGATTATGATCGAAACCCCTTCCCAACGTATTTTCAGAGAGGGCTAAATGTCAGCTTGAGTACGGATGATCCGCTGCAGTTTCATTTTACTAGGGAACCATTGATCGAGGAATATAGTGTTGCAGCTCAGGTAAAGAGTCGTTTGCAATGTGTCTTTGTATCAGCTTATGGAATAACAACTAAAGCTCGATTATTTCATCGACAATAGATCTGGAAGCTATCTGGGGCGGACATGTGTGAGATCTCACGGAACTCTGTGCGGCACTCTGGATTCGAAAACAAGATTAAGAAGTACTGGATCGGCAAAAAGTGGTACCTTCCAGGAGTGCAGGGGAATGATATGGCCAAGACCAACGTGCCCAACATCCGGATCACCTTTCGACACGAGACTCTTTGCGAAGAACTAAGCATGCTGAAGAGATACTCATGCGTACAGTCACCTCCAGAGTCTCATGATCTCCTTCGACGAATGGACTCGGCTCCAATGTCACCTGGAGCATTCCTGGCTACCACAGAGTCGCCGGAAGACACGGACCAGTGCTGCTCTAACAACCTGGATCCGTTCGTAGAGAATGGAATGGTTGACCTGAGTGACGCCTCGTTGCTACAAATGCATCCACACCTCCCTAAACCACTTCGCGATATGATGTCTGCGACAGGCGACGCGAGCGACGCAAACCGCACGGATATTACGGCTGTCGAGCAGCAACTGGGGATGCTGTCTGTTGTTTCTGGCGTTGCTGTGATTGCGGGACGTGCGGCGGCCAAGAAGAGGGAGAAGATCCGCCTTGAGGCAGAGCAGGCCACGAGTCGATAGATATATGGTCATTTTTAATTTTTAATAACAGATAGAGATAGAGATAGAGATGCCTCCAGGCCTAATCTCATGTATGTACAATTGTTATCTTTATTCGTCGATTAGCTATGGTACAGGTTGTAAGTGCGAGATAAGAGGTTTATCCGCGTCTTGTATCGCCGCTGAAGTTGTCGTCTTTGGCGGGAAGATGTACGTTGAGCCATCTATGCTGGCTAACGCCGCCTTCTCCTATCTCCTTGATTGGCGGATGTGCGCTCGTATTCTTTTTGTGTTCCTGGCATGGGCTGCACCATCTCTATCCTGATGTGTACTGCAGAGTTCTGACGAGTGTTGGTGTCGAGGTCCTTCTCCGTGTCGACTGGGATGACATCGTCCACCAGATCTACGGTTGCTGTTTCGGCGTGGCATCGAACTTGACCTGAACAGGCGGTGCTTATTCCCATGGCGAGTCCAATGGCTCGTTCAATTGCTGCGCCCATAGCGTGAAGCATGATAAACGGGTGTCCATCCTCGACAAGTAGCTTTTTAGCGCGAGTGAACTGGCCTTTGTAGCTGGATGTTTGTGTCACGTAGATGTCTGTAGCGAGTGTCGGAGGGCGTAGTGGCGTACGTTTCCTGAGTGTGGCTAGGGAGGAATCGAGCAAGCGAGGGAGAGGGGATTTTATTCTTCATCAATGGATATTCCAGTTGCTGGCACATTTAACAAACAAAAGGTTGAGAGAATGAGTGAAAGGATCGTTCTCGCCAAGTACCTTCATCCTTTGATATCCGTGTCCGTTTTGTTTCTGGTTTGTCTAGCGCACTCGTGTGCTCTCGCTTTGTCTGCATCGTGTTCCTTTGGGTGTTTGAGGCAGTGATGTGAACAATATAGGAGTTGCTCAAGGTTGAGGGCGGTGTGGTGTGGCTTTTGATTGCGATCTGGGTGGTAGCAAACAAACATCCAGGATGCAATTGACCGGTGAGCAGGTTTTTGTGTTGTGTTTCCCTGGGCCTGAGCACAAAACACACCCTCCGTGCTCTTTGATTCTTTTTCGCACAACTACTCCCTCTCAACCCATTAAGAAGTCATGAAGACAGAGTCCGGAGCATCTACGCCCAAGGAGACGGTAATATCTCATCCCTGCTGTTCTTTCTCATGCACCTCTTGAAGACACATTCGACTATATGAATGCTAATCTCAGGCACCTGCGTTGGCAAACTCTAACATCATTATTTCTATGCTTCCTAAATAGAGTGTTAGCACTCCATCGTCCGACTCGGCCGAGTCCTCAGTCGATGGCACTATCACCGAGTCCATGCGCCTTGAGGAGGAAAAGCTCGAGGAAGAGAGCAAGAAGAAGGAGGAGGAGAAGATTGTCAAGCTGAAGGAAAAGGTTGGTTCCACTTCCTTGTTGCTCTCCGTGTGTATTTTGAAATTAAAAATTGGTGGCAACACCCATCAATCAAACCGCTCTAATCGCTCCAATGTGTTGTCTCCTGGTCAATTGATGAAAACATAGGCTGCCACTGAGTTCACAGACACTGTCAATAAGCAGCGCTTCCAACGACTGAATTTCTTGATCGAAAAATCGACTTTGTATGCCAACTTCCTTGCCAAAAAGCTGGAGAAGCAGCAGAAGGAAGCTCGGGACAAGGCTACCGCACAGGAGGCTAAGCGGGAATCCGAAAAGGGGAAATCAGCTGTAAGTGGTGGCGAGCCCGCTTCCACGGTGGTGAATACGCGATCCAGCTCACGAAACCCACCAAAACAGGAGCAGCAGATATCGGCCACAACAAAGAAGAACACTGCTACTGTAGTCGGCGCTGCCAAGAAGCGCAAGACGGACGATGCGCATTACGATATTGCGGATTATCTCGACAAGGACGTTTTGAAAAAACAGAAGCAGACGAAGGCTAGCGAGCCTGCTGTGGAGATCGCTCCCGCACCCGTCAGCAACAGGCCAGTGATCTCCGCCCGTCAGCCCAAGTTGGTGACTGGAGGAATTCTTCGCGACTATCAGTTGGCAGGAGTGGAATGGATGGTCAGTCTTTACGAGAACGGCCTCAATGGAATTTTGGCTGACGAGATGGGTCTTGGAAAGGCAAGCGATATTCCGTTTTCTATGACGAGGTTTATGTCTCTTGACGATATTCTTACTCACAATCGTTGCGTTTCATTTGACTGTAAAAGACACTGCAAACCATCTCATTTCTAGCTTACCTTCGTGAAAGGGGAGTCTGGGGGCCGTTTCTTATCGTCGCTCCTCTGTCAACCCTCGCCAACTGGATTATTGAATTCGAGAGGTAAGGGGCACTGACGATTCGGCCGTTGCTGTTGCTGTGTGCCAGTCAAGTGCTCATCAGTCGTATTACCCGCCATTTCTTGCCTTCCAGGTTTGTCCCTGGAGTTCCTGTCGAGCTGTATCATGGAAAGCCGGAGGAGAGAGAACATAAACGGAACCGCAAGTTTAAGAAGCTGGATATGACATTTCCAGTTGTCGTCACCTCGTACGAGATCATCATTAGGGATCGGAAATTTCTCTCGCGATTCCAGTGGAAGTACATTATTGTCGACGAGGGTCACCGGCTCAAAAACATGGACTGCAAACTCATTCGTGAGCTTAAGAGCTATCATTCTGCCAACCGCATGCTGTTGACTGGCACGCCTCTCCAGAACAACCTGTCCGAACTCTGGAGTCTGCTCAACTTTTTACTGCCAGAGATTTTTGATGATCGGGAAGGCTTTGAGGAATGGTTTGATTTCTCGGATATTAACGCCAAGGAAGGCCAGGAGCGTATTTTGGGAGAGGAGTCGCAAAGCGGCATCGTCTCCAGCCTTCACCATATCCTGAAACCCTTCCTGCTGCGACGCATAAAGACCGATGGTAAGCGGAGATCGGCCCATTTAACCTTGACAGTTGTGTGGTTTGGTCTCGAAGGATGTGGATTACTTACGCCGAATTCATTTATATCGCATTCCCCTTAGTTGAACATTCCCTGCCAAAGAAGAAGGAGTACTTGCTGTATGCACCGTTGACGCCTGAGCAGAAGAAGTGGTACGATGCGGCCCTTAGTCGCGATATCCGCAATTTCCTGATTCAGAGGAAGTGCGGAATTGATCCTCCCAGTAAACCAGAAACCTCAGTAGCTGATGATGTAGATGCAGCAGCAACCAAGGACCTCTCAGAAGAAGTCGCACCGGATGTGTCAGAGAACGACGTTACCGTTGAAGAACTGGATGCGATCATCGATGCTGAGGAGGAACAAAAGGAGAAGACGACGGAGAACGCAGTCAAGCGGACACGAGGTGCAGTCAGATCGTATGCCGAGAAGTCTGACAGAGAGTACTTTAAGGACCTGGAAGACGGAAAAGCAGTTCAGAAGCGAGAGGATGCTGACGTCTTGTCTGCACGCGAGGTGGACTTCAAGAAGGCGAGCAAATCCGTCACGAACATGAAGCTGATGAATGTTGTCATGCAGCTTCGTAAGGTCTGCAATCATCCCTTCCTATTTGACTGGCCTATCGATCCAAAGACGCGAATGCCTGTTTTGTCAGAGGATCTCTTGAATGCGTCTGGAAAAATGTTGGTCCTGAACCGCCTTTTGGACGCACTCTTCCAACGTGGACACAAGGTCCTTATCTTTTCTCAGTTCACAACGATGTTGGATATTATTCAGGACTGGGCTGAGATCTACAAGGGCTGGGTGTGCTGTCGCATCGATGGCGCTGTACCTCAGGATGATCGACGGCAGCAGATTGGCGACTTTAACAGGAATCCAGAGCTCAAACTCTTCCTGCTGTCAACACGTGCTGGTGGTCTGGGCATCAACCTCACATCGGCTGACACAGTTATTATTTTCGACAGTGATTGGGTAAGGCGCAAGAAAGCGCGTTCGAAATGAATTTGAGCTGCCTGAAGATGTGTCCGTTAACCATGGTATTCATCCTCTTTTTTCTACTAGAATCCTCAAATGGACTTGCAAGCGCAGGATCGCGTGCACCGTATTGGTCAAACCAAACCTGTCATGATCTATCGCCTTGTGACAGCCAACACGATCGAAGGAAAGATCATTGAGCGGGCGAGCAGCAAGCGCAAATTGGAGAAGTTGGTCATCCATAAGGGCAAGTTCAAGCAGCCTCCTTCGAACACGAGCGGCAGTGCAGCGACCGATCGAGCAGCGACACTTGCGGATCTTGCAGAGATGTTGGCCCAGGACGACGGGGAGAGGATCCAGCTGGCGACGAAGGACGATGTTGTTCTCTCGGATAAGCATCTGGAAATGCTCCTGGATCGCAGTGACGCAGCATATGCCGCCAACGGCCCTGTCTCAACAGAGGAAAGTGACACTGGCGCAATCACGTTCAAGGCTGTGAATGAAATTCACGACGACCAGAATGATGTCCTAAAGGTTGACAACATGGCTGCAGCTGTGTAATGTCAATTTATGTAGTAAAGATAGATCGCATTTTCTCTCGAAAAGTTTAAATTAAGACCCTTTCAGAGAGCTGGAACATCCCCTGGAACATCATCTCTATTTGTCGGTCAATGGCTCATACGGACGGTCCAACGCGAGAGCGAGTGGGCATCCACAGTTGTTGAAGGTCTTGGGTTTCTAGAATTTTTCTTCGCGCGTTTCCACTTCATCATACTATCGCCTTCCAAGCTCTGGGTGCTATCAGTCAGCTTGGTCTTCCGTTGCGATAGCGAATCCATGATGTCTTGTCTCGCAGCAATCCTCAGGACGTGCGTTCCCTTCAAGAAGTCGGCGTTGATTTCTTGCGGCATGATCCGCGACTTTATGGCTCTCAAGATGCGTTGTATTCGCTTCCCAATGACTGCGGAGGTCTTTGTGGGCAGCAGTTAAGTATCAAAGGTTGCTGTTATACCACCTGAGGGCTCCACCGCAGTCCGAGAAGCTTGGCTGACCAACGTCCTGCCTTAGAAACTGTTAGTTTGCGCGTAGACGCAACTTTGCTATGGTGTTTGGGTCCCCAAGGCAACAGCTCCGCAACTGTATCAGAACTCAAAAAGGCCGAGTTAAGTAAAGCATTATCATTTTTGCGCCAGGGCGCTGATTTACTATTCAACATCTGAGCCCAAAGATCCATAGTCGAGGATCTGTTATTTCCTGCAATTGAAATTATGCATGGAATTAGCGGTTTTGACTGTACTTTGCTTCCTCTCACGACCGTGGTCCCCATTCGTCCCTTTTTCGACTCATACTTCTCCATGCTTCCTGAAAACGCAATTGGATTCATCCTCGGTAAGATCTATGCCTTGGAAACTGTTGCCAATCCATGTCGGACTCAAAAAGACATTTGCCTCAATTGGCCAAGCCTATCCGTGACGCTACACTCTGGTACTTGAACGTTTCATATGCTGACGCTTCCTCTACCTTGGACTGCCCCACATTGTTTATCGACAATGATAGTCGCCTTATGCTGGGGATTTACGAATCCGTTCATAAAGAATGGCTCAAAAGGTCTCGAGACCATCAAGCGCAACTCGTGGCTGTCTCAGACTGCCGCTGAATATTGGTACCTGTTCACGCGTTGGCAGGTATGACACTTTTTCAATGTCAGCTCTGGCTGTAATGGATCATAGACGATGGTACAGTATAGCCGACCTTTATTTTTATCACCTATTCATTTTCGCGTACTTGTTGCAAATGATAGTATGTGTTGCCACTGGTCTTGAACCTCTGCGGGTCGGTCGTATATTATCATACACTGGGCAAAGCCGACCTTTCACTCGCTGTGCCCATCACCAACTCGCTTACTTTCATCTTCACAACTCTGGCTGGTATCCTTCTGGGCGAGAGCATAGGATCACCTCGTAAGAACATTGCGTTCGAAACATCCAAAGTGTGACATCGTTGTACCACCTTTCGTGAACTCTTACAAACATTCATGTTGTTGATATATGATTAGGATCCTGGCTGGGCATGGCAATGGTCGTCCTTGGTGTCGGACTCTGCGTCCAAAGCAAGGCATGAAGGAGAACGTTCTTTGGATTCGTGTAACGCAGAATAAAACCGATACCAAATGTCAACTTAGGACGAACATGAACGTGTTTGTGTGTTCTCCTAATTGCCACGAATGGTGGCTTTGTATCTTCTTGACTGAGGAGTGACCCTTTGTTGGGAAACGCTTAACCCTTCCTTTCGCACATTCATATTCACATCGCAACCATGTCGACCGTCGTATTGGAAACCTCGATGGTAATAACTGGAACTTGCACAATGGAAGTACGGATCAGGACATGGCAACTCAACTCGCTTGTGAGCTAACATCGTTTGGACAATGCAACAACAGGGAGAGATCACCATCGAACTGTACACAGAGCACGCGCCAAAGACATGCAAGAACTTTTATGAACTGGTAAGGGGCACTTTTAGCGACTTCGGCATGTCTTGAAGGCGTGGACATCTGAATAAGCGGCGCAATAATGACAGAGAATGGGTTGTATTTTTTATTCAGGCTAGGAAAGGATACTACAATGATGTTGTCGTAAGTGGGTTCAGTTAGACATCAATCCGAGCAGAGTAGAGGATATGTGGCTCTCGACAGCTTATCCCCTAACACTTCAAACATGGATTCACCAGTTTCATCGCGTCATCCCAGACTTCATGATCCAAGGCGGCGATCCAACAGGCACTGGTCGTGGAGGCTCCTCCATCTATGGGTACGGCTATTACAATGAAGTTTAGTCAAACATATGACATGGAATCTGAAACTGTACGCAGGCTGAAATGCTGACCGACATGTCCTATATCATACCCCCGTCTTAGTGACAAGTTTGCAGACGAATTTCACCCAGCACTCAAACACACAGGAGCAGGGATCTTGAGTATGGCCAACTCAGGACCGAACACAAACGGATCACAAGTACGGCCAATCACTCAGCTTCGGTGCATTATTGGTTACGTTTTGTAACAATTGTGGTGTTGTAAACCTTGGTTAACGCCTTTATATTTGATTTGAATTTGGTCCGACCTAGTTTTTCATCACTCTGGCTCCCACGCCATGGCTCGACAACAAACACACGATCTTTGGAAGGGTTTCAGGTGGAATCAAAGTTGTCAGCCGGATGGGTCTTGTAGCAACAGATGCAAGTGATCGACCCAAGGAGGCTGTCAAGATCATTCGAGCTAGAGTCGAATAGAGCAGGACAGAAAAGAGAGAGACATGTGTCATTCGCTACGCTTTTACCATGTGCTGGACAAGGATCTATGCAATAAATTGGCGCACGTTCGAAACATATTTCAATATGAGGATAAGAAGTATAGGTCGGTGACCAAACTAAACGCGTGCGACTCCGCCTGGTTCTAATAATGGGCAGTGAGCCCTGACACCTCGGAGGCAGAATAATGCGCTCATTTGATCGGGGTCCCTTGTACACACATGTGTTCGTGCTCGCTGCATATCAAAAAAATGCAGTGCTTGGACTTTGTCATCTTTGAGTGGAAATCCAATTGGTGGCATCTGTTCACCTTTCATGTCCTGTTTCTGCTAGCGGAAGAAAGTAAACTGCAAATACGCTCATCCTTTTCATTGCCCTGTCTTCTTTCTATCTTTTTCATTCTTTCCGTCTCTCCGTCTTTGTCCCTTTACCTTGCTGTCTTGTATTCTATTTATTGGAATATCGTTTTCAGTTCTTTCATTTTGGGCCGATCGAATAAAACTCTCCGCCACGCGAGCAAATAGCTCCTTCTGACCCCTAATCCTCTTTACCCACCGCCATCTCTCTTCCTTCGCACCCTTTCTCTCGCTCCATTCCCTTTCCACTCGCTCATCAGCCATATTCGATTCATTCCTATTAGCATAGACCATACTCAACTGAACATCCCAACCCCCACTTTCAATTAAACCCTCTTGCGTCTCTCATTCATTCACCACCTTGCACTCTTCCCTCTTTCCCTCCTTTCTCTTATTCACTCAATACATTGTTCAAGGCGTTCTGGATATTAGTCTGCCGGTGTGAAACCGCATCTGTGTGACAACCATGCCCAAGAACCGGGTTTCCTCTCCTACGGCTGCTGGCCATAACACCCAGGAAGAACGTCAGTCCTCAGAGTCCGGTGACGACCACGACCATGACCACGATCATGATGATGATCATGTTCATGATCACGACCACGACCACGACCACGATCAGGACCCAGCACAAGACCAGGGACAGGCCAATAATGCCACTGACGGAACAGCGCCCGTAAAGAGAAAACGACTGACCCAGGCGTGCGATCCCTGCCGCAAAAAGAAGATCAAATGCGGTAAGTGTCTTCGTTTCATGGGATGGCGACGGGCTGGATTGCTGGTTGGTCATCATGAATGTACAAAAAAGGACAACAACAACAAAAAAAAAAGATGGCGACAACAACAGCGCCGGCTTGATCGAGAGCAAGGTGTATTGTGTTCAATGGATGCTGCAGCCAAAACACTGGCATAGGTCCTCTTGGCAGCACGATCGGTACCACAAGCATGCAGGAACGAATCTTAACACGAGCCTTTGCTATGCATGATTATTAGATGGCGTAAAACCAAGTTGTGCCAATTGCACAAAGCTCAACGTCAATTGCACGTATCTGCCTAGCATGAAGAAGAGAGGACCTCGCCAGGGCTATATCGAGCTTCTTGAGAAGCGATTGGACAAGATGGAGCAGTTGCTGCAGCATGGACCAGCCGCAATTGACCCAGAACTCTTGGACTCGAAAGCGATCCTTAGTTCGCGCCTACGGCCAGGAAGCAGACGGTCTTTATCACCAGCAACAGATGGAGTACACGGCGAGTCTAGCACGAGGGGAGATCCTGAGGAACGATACTTTGGAACAACATCGGGATACAACTCGCAGTATACAGAATACGACAAGCAGAATGACCCAACCAAGCCAATCGTGGGGCCTAAATACAACTCACAATCGACACTACCTCACAGAGATCGGCCCAAGAACCCGATCTACGGCATCAAGGATGAAATCCCCAGAAAAGACATTCTCGACCACCTTATCGAACTCTTTTTCGACTCGATCTATTTCCAATTGCCCATTATCCATCCCGGAACATTCATGAAGCAGTACAAGGAGGGGAAGATTTCGCCAAATCTGCTGAACGCCATGTGTGCCGCCGTCGCCCGCTTTTCCAATCATCCCGATGTTGTCACCACCCCGGCATTTTTGGCAGGAGAGCCCTTTGCCACCAGTGTCCGTGGAATGCTGATCGACTCTATCGATATTCCCACGGTCTCAAATGTCCAGGCATTGGTGTTTCTCTCTATGTATGAATACGGTGCAGCCAGGGGCCCAAGGGCATGGATGTTTGGTGGTATGGCTTTCCGACAAGCTCAGGAGCTGGGTCTGAATCGCGAGGACAGTAGCCCGGTTTTCTATTTGAAGGGAGACTGGGTTATGCGTGAGACGCGACGGAGGACGTTCTGGGCATGTTTCATGCTGGACGTCTTGGCTTCGTCCTCATCGGGTAGGCCAAGGATGATGGATGAACGCGACTGCGAGGTCTTACTACCGAGCGAGGACCATGATTGGTGCGACGAGAGACCAGTTGTCACGGAAATGCTGGACGGCGGTGATGATTCTTCAGGAACCGAACACGAACCGGCAGCAGTACCAGAAGTAGCCCAGGACAAGCAAAACGAGGACAAACGGAATGAAGACAAAGCTGAGAGTGGACTGGATGTAACCCTATCGACGGATATAGCCGCGAACACCACCGAAAAGGCACAGGAGGCACTCGAACATAAGGATATCTCAACAGCATCGCCAAAGACCAGGAGGCAGAGCACAGGACATGCTCTCAGCTCGTTCGCGTATTTGATCCGCATCGTGGCAGTCTTAGGAAAGGTCTCTCAATACGTGAATCGACCACGATCGAAAAAGGCCATCCCACCAAATCAGCGAGGCTCAGAGTTCTCGGTGATTGATACCGCCTTGACTGCCTGGCACAAGTCCATCCCGCACCGTCTCGCATACTCATTGGAGAATGGAAAGATGGTCAAGGATAAGGGTGAGGGCTGCATCATTGTCTTTATGCATGTCATCTATCACACAGCAGTTGTTCTGCTCCATCGACCTATTCTCGCGGCAGATAAGGCTGCCTTCCCTCTCGACCCGAGCTTTGTGGAAAACTCAATTGCTCGATGTGCAGATGCAGCCAGCAAAGTTTCCGATGTTCTCGAATTCGTACAAGCCTACAGCTGTCCACCGCGAATCTTTATCTCGGCGTTTTTCGCTTACCCGGTGTTTACGACGGCGACCATGTATGGGCTGAGTATGCGATGGAAATAGCAATGGATCTATTTCCCATTGAATGTTGTCGCTAATATATTTATTTCGTTGCCAATAGTCATATCACAAATGCATTTGCATCAGATCCGGCTGTGGCATCCAGAGCGCGACGCAGCTTGAGTATCCACGTCAAGATCCTACAGACTATGAAGTCATACTGGTCCATGGCTGACAAGTTCTTCTATATTATCCGAGATCTGTACTCTATTCAATCCAAGATCAGCTCATCAGCAGCGGCATCCAGGGCAGCAGCCGCATCGCAGGAAGGCTCGGGAAATATTCATAACCAATCCGCAATGTTCTCTACTGGTAGAATCAGTGGATCGTCAGAATTGTTGGGCGCACAAAGGATACCGACATCGGAGACAAACAATGTATCATCAGAGCCCGACGGCGCCTCAACTGCACCGGAAGCAACTGGCAAACTGGCTTCAATCAGTTCTTTCCTCAAGAGTGACTCTGGTTTGATAGCGCTCTGGAGACGAGCCACAGAAATGCAGGTCTTGGATAAGGCAAAACAGGAACAAAGGCAGCTGTCGGTGTCGGAGGAGACACTGAAACGGTCTGTCAGTCTCGAAATTAAAAAAGAGTTGCACCCACAAGATAAAGCGCTACTGGAACATCGGGCGCGGATGAATGCGCTCGAGATTCAGCAAATCAACCAGGAGTTCGACAGGCGATGGAAGTCTAAGGCTGAAGAGCCACCATCATCTAGGAACAATGCCGCTGAAAATGGGTCTATCATGGAGACAGCTGGAGCTAAGCAGGATCCGACATCATCAGAAAAACGACAAAACGAAGAAGACTCCATCAACCCTAAGGGCTCAAAGCAGGCCAAGACATCGAGGGCAACGAAAATATCAAAGTCCACAGGAAGAAAGACTGGCGGACTCTCTTTATCCAGCACTGACGATATTGAACTGATGCAAGCGCCGAGTGCTGTGCCAGCTAATGCAGGTTCAAATCTCGGAGGCGGGAGAAATAGCCAGCAATCAAATGGGCAGTCAATCGACCAAACCACCTATCGTCATTCGATCCTGCAGCAGCCTCAACAATTACAGCAACAGGACTCGTATATACTTCAGCCAATGCAGATACAGCCACCTTCTGGACCATTGAATGAAGCAGGAAGGGTAACTATATCAACAGGAAATATGGGCAACCATTTGATGGATGTCTATGCGCAGCAACAGCAGCAGCAGGAAGCACTCTCGCAATCCATTGATATGATACAGAATGCCAACATCCAGAGACAGCAACAGCAGTTTCAGATACAGCAGGAGCAGGCGGCGCAGCTGTCATCACTCGCCTTTGGACCGCCAGGCGGATTCACCCCATCGTTCTTAGCATCCTCATCGATGTCGAGCCAGCAGCAAGAGTTCTCGCCCCAGGGAATACCATCTGGAACCGTATTTGGCCTGCCTCTGGTATACGGAAGCAACTATGGCAACAATCAAGCACAGAAGATCCAGACAGAGTCCTTGGGATCCTTGTTTGACTTCGCTTTGCCGCAAGGTGATATCTCGTTCCTGTCCAATTCGTTTCAAGTGACGCCTAATATGATGCAGGATAGCCTGGGATTCGGCAGTATGGGAAACGTACCCGTTCCTTCGTCGTCAACCAAGCCAATGGGACAGGCATCACAGACCCCAGGGTCTGGACCTATGAGCGACGAAATGAGCTCTGTTACGGGACTCAGTCCAGCAATCTCTGACACGAAAACTACGTCTTTAAATCGCACCATGGACTCGCCGAGCTCAGACTCTAGCAATCTGTTCAATATCTCACCAAGATTGCATAGCTTTCTCATGTCTGACGAGCCATACATGGGTGGCAATGGCGGTGCTGGCGTTAATGGAAGCGGGGTGAACAATAGTGGAGGTATACAAGCAACTCCAACGAATTTAATACGATACCTGCAGCTTCACCACCAGCAGGAGATGCAGCAACACGAGCTTCAGCAGCAGCAGAACATGCAGCCTGTACTAAATCAGCAGAATTCATTGATCTACGACGATTACTTTCCATGGAATCCGTTTTCGGCTCTACAGCAGCAGCAACAGCCCTCATTGCAGCAACAACAACAACAACAACAACAACAACAACAACATTCGTCAATGTAATTGCTATTTATTCGTGTACAAATATTAATAAAAACTCCTATCATATAATACCGCTGTCCTTGTGCGCATAAAATGTGGAGAAAACAAAGAGGGTTTAGGCATCCTTGAGGGTTGAGGCGAGCACCGCCTTCGTCCGCAATTGAGCTCTGAGATGTTTCCAGATATGGCCCGTGAACATTCCCGGAAGTGCTGCTAGGTTGGTTTGAGGTGCTACTCCAAGTACACCGAGCAAAGTGAAATTAAGTGTATGATGGGTGTCCAGGATGGCTTCATGCATATGAACAAGGATTCCCATCCGCGCGTCGTAAGCTAAATAAAAAAAGGGACCAATGTTTGCATCCATGCCATGGCCTTTGTTCCGTGGGAAGAAAAGTAGGACAAGTTGGTCATAGCTCACTCACCAATGCCCAGGGTTAACACCGCGCTGAATGCCTTTCTCTTCTTTTTCTTTCTTTTTTCTCTCTTTCTTCAACCGCAACTCCTGCACCCACTCTATTCCTTCTCTCATCCCTCTATTCTTTTTCCTCTCTTAACATCTGTTCTTTCATACCTCAAACCTTCTTTCCATATATCATAACATCACAAGTCGGCAACCATGGCTGATCGCTTGCACTCCGGCGTGCTGCCCCATACCGTCAAAAACACATCCGGATACATCGAAAATGCATTCCCAGGCAAGGAGGATCAGATGGTCCAGGTTACCGAGTACCTGAGTGAGAAGGCTTTTATCCCTGCTGCTCTTGCTCAGAACGAAGTGTCGTGGTTCTATGGGTAAGTTTAAAAGCCTGCTCCCTCCAGCTGGAAGCGCGTATAGCCAATGGACGCATGTAGTGACTCAGGAAATCAAAGTGAACGACGACAAGATGAGCCGTCGTGCTTGCTGATGAGAGATGGAATGAGCGGAATACTGACACAGCCAATTCACCTCCGCATTGAACAATAGGAACTTGGGTATTGACGACATGTACTTTGCCTCCGAGTCCGTCGACTCGATCGCCAACCACATCATGGCCCTCTATGGCGCAAAGATCTTCGCCTACACCAAAAACGATAATGGGCTCGACATCAACCTGGAGCGCGAGACCGAGGAGGGTGCTGTTTACATCCACACCTCCCACCCTGGCGTATCTCAGCTCTATGGTCCACAACATGAGAAGAGGTAACGAGGTTGATATGATGATATGCAAACACGAGGATCTTCATTGGCGAGGGGACCCATTATGTGATTGTTTTAAGTTAGGGGTTCTTTGGACAGCTTTTTTGTCATGCTTCCAAGCTAGATGAATGGCACGTACAATTGGCCGAAGAAAAAGGGAAAAAAAAAAGCGAAGGAGCCCAAGGGGAAACCCAATGGAATGATGGACATACCCGCTCCATCATGATTGTTGGATTTTGTTCCTTTATTCAGAGCTGTGAGCTGTGATAAAGAGAGTATGAAATTAGAAGCAACATTGGAGCATGGGAAGTAGGAGAAAGAATTGGGTGGTGCTTGCTGGACAAAAGGTTGAATTGGCTTTATTTATAGAAAAAAGACACAAAGATAGCAAAATAACGGGATTGACATGAGGAACAAGAGACAGCAGAAAAGACCAGGGAGGACACACGGGTAACTGACCTTATCTTCATCTTTCTCGTAGAATCGACGCCAAATACCTCGATGTCAGTAACACGGAGCGCGCCTACCGTCTCGAGTCCTACCGCTCCAAGGGCACTGTGTCGTCCTCATCCTCGACCCAGCTGCGTACCTACTTTGTGCGCGAGTGCTCCTTTGTGAATCCCGACCCGACCAAGGAGCAGGAGACTGACATCCGCGAGACTGCCGACAAGAGCTTCCTCGAGAAGGCGACCGAAAACACCCTCGAAATCTACTCTGCCATCATGAGGATCGCCCTCAGCAGAACTGGTCCTGTCATTGAGATGTTCGAGGTTGAGGGCTCCCGCGAGCGTCGTCTTGTCGTGGCCTACAAACAGCAGACGACCCAGTCCTTCTTCTCAGCCATCTCGGATCTGTACCACTACTACGACCTGTACTCGACCCGCAAGTACGTCGAACAGTTCTCGAACGGTATCACGATCATCTCGCTCTATCTCAACCAGATCCCCAAGTCGACTGCACCGCCAATTGAGCACTCGATCCACCAGATCATCAAGGAAGCTTCGCTGGTCTACTGCTTGCCCATAACCCCTCTCCAGAGTTTCTTCCAGACAAATAAGCTATCGGTCCAAGAGTCGATCTACGGTTACATTGGCTGGATTTTTGCCCAGCACTTCCTGAACCGTCTCGGAAGCGAATACGTCTCGCTCGTCAACATCCTCGATACCAGTAACTCGACCCATCAGGATGTTCTCACTAAGATGAAGAAGCGTCTCCGCACCGATACCTTCACCCGCGACTACATTCTCGAGATCATCAAGACCTACCCCGAGCTCGTCAAACTGCTCTACATCAACTTTGCCATGATCCACTATGTCAACCCAGCTGTCAATTCGCTCAAGCCCACTCTGTCGTACCAGCGTCTCCGCACGGACGCCATCTTGACTGAGGAGGAACTCTACGAAAAGATTCGCCGCACGACCTCTAACTCGCACGAGCTCATGGTCTTTGAATCGTTCCTGATCTTCAACAAGCACGTCCTCAAGACTAACTTTTACCAGCCCACCAAGGTTGCGCTGTCCTTCCGCATGGACCCATCGTTCCTACCCGAGATCGAGTACCCTACCAAGTTATTTGGCATGTTCCTTGTCATTGGCTCCGAGTTTCGTGGTTTTCATCTGCGTTTCCGAGATGTCGCTCGTGGAGGAATCCGCATCATTCGCTCACGAAACAGAGAGGCGTACTCGATCAACTTGCGCTCACTCTTTGACGAGAACTATGCCCTTGCTGCCACACAGCAGCGTAAAAACAAGGATATTCCTGAGGGCGGCTCCAAGGGAACGATTTTATTGGATGTCAACCAGCAGGATAAGCCTTTGGTGGCGTTTGAGAAGTACGTCGATGCTATTCTGGACCTTTTGATCCTCGGACAGTCCCCTGGCATCAAGGAGCGTATCGTTGATCTGTACAAGAAACCCGAGATTCTCTTTTTTGGACCAGATGAGGGTACTGCCGATTACATGGACTGGGCATCTGCTCATGCACGAGTTCGTGGCGCCTCCTTCTGGAAGGCCTTCACTACGGGCAAGTCGCAGTCCTTGGGAGGCATTCCTCACGATACCTATGGTATGACGACTCGCTCTGTCCACCAGTATGTCCTGGGTATCTACCGCAAGCTGGGTCTCAAGGAGGAGAACTGCTCTAAGCTGCAGACTGGAGGTCCAGATGGAGACTTGGGATCAAACGAGATCAAGATCTCGAAGGACAAGACCTGTGGTATTGTCGATGGATCCGGAGTGCTATACGATCCCGAAGGCATTAACCGCACGGAACTCAGCCGTCTGGCTGAGAATCGTCTTATGATCTCGAACTTTGATGTCTCAAAACTGTCGCCCAAGGGATTCCGTGTGCTGGTAGATGAGGTGAACATCAAGCTACCTTCGGGCGAGGTCATTGACGATGGCCTGTCGTTCCGCAACAACTTCCATTTGAACCCTATGGTCCGCTGCCAAGTCTTTGTCCCTTGCGGTGGTCGTCCCGAGTCTGTGGACCTTCAGAATGTTGGACGTCTTTTGGACCACGAGAACCATCCACGGTTCAAGTACATTGTCGAGGGCGCTAACTTGTTTTTCACTCAGGAGGCTCGTCTTCGCCTGGAGCGTGCTGGTGCGATTGTGTTCAAGGATGCGTCCGCCAACAAGGGGGGCGTGACCTCTTCGTCGCTGGAGGTCTTGGCTGCGCTGGCATTCACGGATGAGGAGTTTGCTGAGCACATGCAGGTGACGGAGGATCACATCCCAACGTTCTATCAGGATTATGTTAAGGAGGTACAGACGATCATCGAACGCAATGCACAGCTCGAGTTCGAGGCCCTGTGGAAGGAGCACCAGCGCACGAGGACACCTCGCTCGATTCTTTCGGATGAGCTGTCTTTGGCGATTGTGAACTTGAACGAGAATTTGCAACATACATCATTGTGGGACAACCTGCCACTGCGCAAGGTGGTCTTGGAGGAGGCGTTCCCGAACCTGTTGTTGAAGCAGGTTGGACTCGACCAGCTCATGAACCGTGTGCCTGAGAATTATGTGCGTGCGATCTTTGGATCATACTTGGCGTCGCGCTTTGTGTACAAGTATGGCACAGAACCAAGCCAGTTTGCGTTCTTTGAGTTCATGACGCCTTACTTCTCCAAAATCCAGTGAACGAGATAAATCGCCCCCTTTACACCCCACCCACCCATTTTTGCACACGAAGTTGTATATTTTTACTTTCCTTTCTATTCATTCTTTTCCTTTTTTATGTACAAAGTGAGTCGTTTAGATATCCAGATGTCAGTCTCGTTCAGGTTTTTTTTTTTTGTAGTCTACTGTCGGCTCATGATGCCTATCCTGAATCACAAAGTTTGTGTGATACATATGCTTTTCGATTTGCTCCCGAAATGTGGGGTTTGGGCGCAGCAATTTTTTTTATATTCCGTCGGACAGTGAAACAATCGAGATTCGTTGCGAACTTGTAGTCCGCGACAGTAGATGCTTCTTAATCATTGACGATCTCATCTTGCACTATGAACGCGACGATATCGATGGATCGTTCTTTTTTTTTTTTTTTTGTTTTTCCACCTATTACTAAATGGTTGTTGAATGCTGCTGCTCGGTCAATGTATTGTACTTCACACCCTTTCCAAGTGCGAATTTTATTGGATTGCTCCTACAGCTCCTCGCCGACTACATTATATTATTGGGGAAGGGAAGACACAGTGTGTCGAAGATCGATAGGGAATTGACGAGTACTGACGAGGATTATCATGGGCATGAATAAGGACATGCTAGAGGTGCTTTACGGCGGCAGTTGACGCAGGAGAGGAAGTATATGTCCATCATTCGGGATGAAAAGGAACTCTAGAAAGTAGAGAGACCGCCATTTCACGTGGCTGTGCCATTAACTCACCGTCCCTTTGAGCAGAAGGAACAGGCGGAAGAGGGATGATGGACAGGGGCAATGGTAGCTGGTTGAGAGAGTAACAATAAGCAAGGGAGATATCCTATGTGACTAGGAGGTCATCGATCTTCATGCCATTGATGTCCTAATTGAGCAGTGTCATGTTCGGCAGTAATAAAGCGGAACCCATGGGCATTACTGCCTCGAATGGACCGGCGCTAGCGGCGTTGGAGTTAAGGCAGGAGTCGTTGTTTGGGATTGCCGAAAGCTGTTGGGAGCTCAATGAAAAAGAATGGCGAAAAAGAGGAGTGGAGGTTACGGCTCCACACTCAGAGAGCATCTATAAGATGTAAAGTGCAGAAATATGGTCTAATAATAATAGGGATAGGACCCCGAATATGCTTCGTGTCTGATGATCTGACCGGCCTCAACTCGGTCCGCGATGAACCTCAGCCCTTCGCTAACTGCTTAATCATGTTCAGCCTCTGCAGTACGCTCCATGGCGGTTGGGACGAGCAGCCTCTGACAATACTGCTCAAAGTGTACTTCGTATGCGGTGTTCGCTTGCGGATGAAACTTGCTGAGGACTAAACGCTATCGTGGGACCTCCTCATGCAAATGGCCTTTGTAGCGAGTCCGCGATCCATTTTTTTTCCGTTCCAGATAGCGCTGGCCAGCACGAGTATGCAGCGATAACTCGCTCGTGATCTTCCCTCTCTGCTGAATCGTTGAAGCACAACAGTTGTTGCGTACAGATATTAAAGAGTTGCGTGGATAGACAACTACCCATCCTTGAACTAAACTGCTAAACAATGATTTGCGTTTTTCCTTGGCTGTTGATGCCTTCCTCCAGGCCCGAACACCCGAATAAAAAGTAGCACCATTGCCTTTTTGCTTCCAGCAAGTTGATTGGCTGCGGTGGCCAGCAATGTCGCTGGCTGCGTGAAGACGGGCGTAGCGATGGCGGAAGTGGAGCGAAGAGAAGAGTAGGGATAAGAGGAACATGGCCCTTCCAACCAGGCCTGGGTAGGAACTGCCTTTGGCTGCACGTCCGTGAGTCCGTGCGTCCGTCTGTGTCGGCCCCTCAACCGAGCGCGTCTTCCATAGATCCTCCAACCTTATTTTTTTTTCGCTCGTGGGCTTGACCCATGTCCTGGTGCAACTGCCGCCCTCATTCCTTCTCACTGTTTCTCATTCCCCTTTTTCATCACCAACAGGAGACATGCATTTCTCTGTCCTCTCGTTCCCACTCTCGCTCTCAGTGGCAGCATTAACCGCTCTGAGTAGCTCTGCGATCGCTGCCAAGATTCCCATTCGACCCGTCGTGTTCTACCATGGCATGGGTGACTCTGCTCACTCCGACGGTATGCTGGAGCTCTTTGCTTCCATCCAGGAAATCGCTCCAGAGATTTTTATCCACAGTATCGCTGTACGTTCTTACGCAACTAGGGCATCCTATAATGCACTGAAGCGGGGCTTTCTTTTTTTTTTTTACTGACCTTAAGAGACATTTCTTTATAATCCATTGTCTAGCTGGCAACATCCGAGGCTGAAGACCAGCGGGCGGGGTTCTTCGGAAACGTGAATAAGCATGCAAGTTTATTTTATCTCACAACGACACTCTACACTCTAGCATTAAAAGGTATTACTCAATTGCCCACACTCTAACCGCTACCATACCGTCTTTCCATCTCCCTTTCTCGATTACAGATTGATGTTGTCTGCCACCAACTCAAGGCAGTAAAGGAGCTAGAGGGTGGATTCAATGCCGTCGGATTCTCCCAAGGAGGCCAGTTCTTGCGTGCGTACATCCAGCGCTGCAACGATCCACCCGTCCACAATCTTGTGACGCTCGGTTCGCAACATGGTGGTGTCTCTGATATCCCGGGTTGCATGCTGGAGGACCCATCCTGTCGCCTGATGCGCTCCATTGCCAGGAGTGGTGTCTACAGTAGATATGTCCGCGACCACATCGTTCAGGCCCAATACTACAAGGTATCATATTGACGGTCGATAACGAGGAATAGGAACAAGGAACAAAAAGGCATTTGACTCTAGCTCTCGACTGTTCTCACTGGTTAGGATCCACACAACTTGCAAACCTATCTGCAGCGAAACATCTTTTTACCGGACATCAATAACGAGCTGACACCCAAGAATGCAACCTACAAGAAGAACCTTTCCAGTATTAACAAACTAGTTATGTTCTTGTTCATGGATGACATCACCGTCAAGCCCAAAGAAACCGCCGTAAGTCAGCCCGCACATGTCTCTTTCATTCCATCTGTGGACGCGGACTTGGACTTGTAACTAAACAAAAAAAAAAAACTCTTAATGCTAGTGGTTCGGATTTCAAGACGAGACTGGGGACATTGTCGATCTGGAGGATCAGGACCAGTACAAAAAAGACTGGCTGGGCCTCAGGACCATGGACCAAGCCGGCAAACTCGTATTTGATATCATGGAAGGTGAACACGTAGGTTGACGCCCAACCAGATTTCGTCCGCTCATGTCTTACTCTTGGTTCTAATATCCACGCTCCCCATACTTTTTATAGATGCAATTCTCGCTCGAAGACTTTAATGAGAGGATCACTCTCCCATATCTCCTGGAGATCGAAGACGGCGATGACAACGATGGTGATGATGGCCGCAAAGGAAAGAAGAAACATCATCGCAAGCATGGAGAGGACAAGAATCACCAAGGAAAACACCATAAGAAGTGCCATAAGAAGCATCATGGAAAGCACCGACAAGACATGGTGGATCAATCCGAGATCGTTGTTGACTGGCAGATCGACCTACAGCAGCAAGTCCTTTGAAAATTGCGTCTTCACAAATATGCAGCGTTGTATCTACATGCCATATAAAAAGGGGGAATATCGTCGTTGTCCGCATGCTATTTATTGTATATGCCTCATTCTTAGCATGAAAAACTATTAAATAATGTCCATGATGCCGAGGATATGTGAGGCCTCGCTCAAGCATGTGCCATTGGGAGGATAGACATCAAGTCAATGATATGGATGACCGATGGGTTCCTCCTGGCAATGTCCTGCTGAACAACCACAGCCCAGTGCTGCTCAGCCTGCATGGAGAATTGGACTCTCTTGTGGCCTGTCCATGAAACCGAGGTCAATTCAATCCACTCTGTAGGCTGCCGCACTTGGCGTTCCTCCGCCTTGACCCGCTCAGGATGTCTATTGAGCGGTTCCGTAGGCGCTTGGGGAGTGGTTTCCGAGGCGTTCGGTTTGACAGTACGATTATCTTCAGAAGATGTCGAGGGCGAGGAAGACAAATCTGCTGGCGGGGAGGACAGCGTGGATTGCGAAGAAAATATATCCGCATACTCCATGTCAGCTTTATCCTTTTGTTCGTCGTCCTTGCCAACATTCGATGCCCCATCTCCTTTCTCGCTCTTCTGTAGGTTCTGCTGCAGCAGCAGCGATTGATGCTGCATACCGATTTCGCGTTGCGAAGGCGCATCCAACAAAGCAAGTTCGAGCACTGCATTGGGCTTCCGGATATCCCACAGACAAAGACTGTCCTTCCCATCGCTCTTCGTCTGACAAGCAACGAATCGTGGTGATGAATAAGCGAACGAAATCGACCTATTTTTTTCGCCAATAGCCAATGATTGTTTGGTCAATCCTATGCATAACACGTTAACACATCACATACGATACGATAGCACTGCTAAAAAAACACTTACTCTGAGCCCTTGTACTTGTGAACAAGTTCGATAGAGTCACCCTTCATCACATACAAACCACATCGCTCGCCTTTCATCTGCTCGGAATCGCCGACCTCTGTATCGCACATCTTGAGGATCGTCAAAATTGGCTGGTCTGAAGGCAATACAGAATCGGGCTGAAGAACATCATTGCATTCTTTGAAGAACTGTGCTGGAACCGTCGCGGATACGATGGATGGCATCATCGCAGAGGCAGTCAGGACAGGGGATGGAAGAATCGATAGGACAGATGCGGTATTCACCGTAGACACTGGCTCCGAGGGCCTTTGCAGGTCCCTATACAAGCACAAAGGAGACCATCAGTACTTGCTTGACATTGACCTTGCACATGCTCTTCATGTGCTCGCGCGTAAACAACTCATTACCATAAAACTATATTGGTTCCGAACGAACACAGGATCAACGACGTTGTGTTGCGAACCTTCACAATCGAGCTGGCAACTTTGTTTGATGGATAGCACACCTTCTGAGGAGATGTACTCATTGACTTCAGGTCGCCATCAGGGATTGGGATCAAGCAGATTGTTCCTGGTTCGTCCACCCCAAAAACAAGCTGGTAAGCGACCGATTTTGGGCTACCTTGATGGTCTTGCCGTTCGGCAATAACGCCATGGCAGCTCAAAAATGGTTTAGGTCCTCTCCAAGTAACGCAGCACTGCGGTTGACCGAGCTGATTCAAGTCGCCAATGTCCTCCAACGAAACTTTGACAAACGAGCGCTCCTGAGAGCTCAGAACCACAGCGAAAGAATCATCTGGAGCAAACATGACCTAGTATGTGAATGCATGAATGAGCTATCACTAATACCTGAACACATTTAGAAACCAATGCAAATGGTTTATGGTTGTCGGACCATGCTTACCTGTATCGGACATGATGAGGCTTTTTTCACCTGAACACACCTACGCCACCTGCTCTCGGGTAGAGTGTTGAAATCTTGCAGTTGCCAAAATTCCACATGTGAGGTAGTCTCAACGGCAATCCATCGCTCCTTGTTTCCGCAAATGACAGATGAGACTTCGCCAGTGTAGTCGTCAATACACCATACTCCGTCCGAAAAGTTGGTACTCTGAATCACTGCGTTGCCAAGGTCGGGTCTCATTTTCGATATAATGTCGCGTGTATCCCGTGCATCGCTAGTCGATTCCGACCCAGCTTGATCATCGACAGGCTCCTCAGGCAGATCGCGCAACAGAAAACCAGGCATAGGTACTGTTGCCTCCGCTTCCTCTTGCTGGTCCTCAGAAACGTCGCCCAGTAGAAAACCGGGTGCAGGAAATGTTGCCTCTTCCTCCTGCTGCTGATCTTCCCATACATCGTCCAATAAGAAACCAGGCGCGGGAAGCGTCCGCTCCTCCTCATTCTGGTCCTCCAGTGCATCATCCAGCAAGAAATTCGGCGCAGGGATGGTTGCCTCCTCGTGTTGATCATCCAGTACATCGCCCATTAAGAAACCGGGGGCCGGGAAAGTCGCTTCCTCTTCATCATCACGTGCATCCTCTGACGCATCAGCCGTCAAGGGATCACGCATAGCAGCCTTCTCCTCCTGAGAACCCTGTATACTGTACAGATCATCCTCAGAGCCTTGCGAGTTCGGTATCTCCTCATACCCAACACTGCCGATGCGTGCCTTGACCGTAGACGTACTGCATTCCGTCTTGATAAACACATCCAAATCGTTGTCTACAGCGTCATCTTCAACACTGGGAAGAATCTCGATAGCCCCTGTACCGAACTGTCTCGTGTTCGTCGTCGGCACCTTTCTGCTTGCTGATGACAGCGATATGGGCACCTCTTTCGCCCAAATTTCGGACTCCTTTTCCTTAGCTGGCTGTCGCAAAAGTTGGGTTGCTGGCGCTTCTGGTGCATCAGGCACCTCCGTAGTCTGTTCTTGGCTCGGAGTAGGCAGTTGATCGGTCCCAGTTGCTTGTCTATCGTTGTCCGTAAAGATTGCTAATCGCTCCTGAACTGGCTCCTTTTTGACTGATGCAACCTTGGCGCGTTTGTTCGGGTTCTTGGTCGCTAAAGCGATAGTCGAAGCAGGGGTCGAGTATAATCCCGATTGTTGCTGCGCCTTGGGTGTCGATTTCAACTCTGAGGTAATAGTCGCTTTGGTGTTGTTTTTGGTTGCGTCAGGATTTCGTATAGCACCCTTGCCCTTAGGATCTGAAACCCGAGTGGTCTTGTTAACGATATTGGTGTTGTTTCCAAGCACCTTCCTCCTTGGATGATCAATGACATGTGGATCCCTGTTCTCCTTGTCTGAGTCCTCCCCGTTGTTTTTGGCTTTAAGTCGAGGTCGCTTCTTTTGTACGTTTTCTGGATCCTGGTAAACCTCCATCTTCGGCCGTTTCCTGTCTCCCTTTTTGATCGAACTTGCCACCAATCCACGCGCCGAAGTCGACTGAGTACTAGCTGGCACCAGATTGAGGCTGGCCGAAGGATGCAGTGGCGCTGATGTGACGATTGGCGTCCGTTTCGGGTTCATTGCAGACTTGGCCTTGCTCTGACTCGGTTTCGAGGGTGTGCGACTATCCGTCTTTGCTGCTGATGATCGTGGTTGTGTTGCTGGGTATATCCTTGATGGGCTTTGAGAAGATGCCGCTGCCTTTCCGCTGGGTTGAGAGGAGGCCACCTTCTCTTGTCTTGAGCCGCTTATGCTGATGCTGTTGCCACTGGTGGTGGGTTCCTCAATAAGAGGCGGCCCTGCAGGCTGCGAGTAACGAAGAAGACAAGGCAGCAGCAGCTCCTTGATTTTCACGAATTCCTCAAGTTCATGAGCTGTCAGCGCGCGCGTCTGAGTGGAGATCACGCAGCAAGAAGGAACGATCAATAGACAATTCCTACGATCTTGATCCAAAAAAGGACAGGCGAGTGATGGTGAAGCGATTCCTTACTTGACTGGTTATGATGTATTGCTTTATATTCTGCTGAAGAACCAGCATTTCTGCACCGGACAGGACTTGATTTGCAGTCGACTGCGCAAGCGCATTTGATCGGCCGGTCTGCTTTCTTCTGGCCGTACTCATCAAACTGAGAGTGGGGTGGTGATCAGTGTCCGTGGGAAGGGCAGAGGTGGGGGGATATCAAGGGTCAGCGGCGATGGATGAAGGTGGAGAGGAGAGCGGCAAGGCTTTTTTATTTTATTTTGTCACCTGCCCTAAACAACGCGTTTCTAAAGGCGTTCAAAACTAAAATCCGAAACGCGCCTTTGTGTTGGAATCCAGCTCCTGGCTACGCTGGCTCTGCTTCCATGCTGCCAAGGAGGGATGGCTTTCGGCATTTTGCTTGACCTTCCAGAGGCTAGGCGTGAGTTCTGCAGAGAGCGGTGCCTCAACGCCCTTGGGCACCAGCAACAGGATCCTGTTGATCACCGAGACAGTCTTGAGGTCCGCCAGCGTAACGCGATGCCCAACATAGTGGCCATTGTCGCCATTCTGTCTCAAATGCTCCTCATGGATAGTGATCCACTTCGAGAGGACCTCCTCATAGAACTTTTTTGCTTCCTCTGCTCGCACCTCAGGTTTGGCTGCTGCGACTCTAGGGACGAATCCCTGGTAGAGGACATCGGTGCTGTAATAGTATCGATTGACAAGATGTTCCTCCCAGATGTTGGATCCCAGCAAGTTGAACTTTAGGGCCAAATAGCGCTCGATCGCATTGGACTCGGCCAACTCGAGGATGGTTCCGGAAGATGTGTGCTCGTACACTATAGGGACCACGCGGAAAGGCGTCTGGGGCTTCTGCACTGGCCAATCCTACAGAGGATGGGGTTGTGACGCATTAGGTCTACATTCCATGTATCTGAAACTGACTAGCACTCGTACTCAAAAGGCTTACAACAGGGAGCTCCTCCCACTTAGCGCCGCTGTAGGCAAGGATGTCACGGATCAGTTCGCCGCGGCCATGAAGGGGAAAGTACAGAAGCTGAAAGGTCGAGTTGGTTGACTTGGCAGCCTCGGCGAGGGCATCAGTGGAAGCCTTAGTAACAGTGGGTAGGACGTTGGATGGAGACATTTTTATGAGCGGAAGGAAGATGTCACTTTGGTGACTAAGGAGAAGATAGGTATTTGTGTGAAATATAGCTAGTGGTGAACATTCAAGGTATCCTTTTTATACGTCCGCGTCGATATTAGCGTCAGTTGGCGCAATCGTCAATCGTCCATTACAGCTCAAAAATGGGGCATATCTCAGGCAGCGCACACTCCAGTAACCGAAAAGAGTCATCCGCCACATTTATTCGTGCTTGCTCAACGGCGCTTCAAGCGCTGTTACTTCCATTTCGTTTTCTAGGACCGTGTGTCTGATAACAAAAAGGAAGAGTCCATCCTGCAAGCAGCGTGGCGTGTTGCACAGATCCATTGCGCCATAACTTGGGATCTTGAACCATTTTAATCAGAGAACGGAAAATGGCAACTCGGACTGAGCCTACGCTTATTTCCTTGAAGATCAGAATTCAATCGGACCCTTGTAAGGTAGCTAGAAACACCCTAATGCTCGTGGCGTTTGACGTGCTTTACATGCCGAATTACAAATTCGCCTGTTGCCACCAACCTTATTCCCAGATTGTCTGTGCGTCGTTGTCGCGTTTATTTTATTTGTTGGGCAGTACCGATCTCTTCAACAGCGCTCGTAAAATAGGAGGTATGCACGACTTGCTAAGACATCCTGTAGACTGGACAACCGAACACTCGTATCGCTGCATGCAATCCACTGCCTATTATCGATCACTTCTTCCTCCTCCCTCTGTTCCCCAGCAGCTGCATCGACCACATCCTTGTCAGATCCAGCGATATCTACCGATGCCAATGAGGCCGATGAGCCCTTAGTCTTCTTCCCCTCCTTTTGCTGCGCCGATATAACTGCCAATGAGACATCAGGCAGCTCATAGCCATTCACGTCCATTATCGACTTCTTGTTTATCTTCTCTTTTTCCTCCACGGCAGGCTTGGACGCCTCGGGCAGAGCGACCTTGGATGACAAGACGTAGTTCGTGTAGTGCCCTCCAGCCAGCGTGCCCATATGTACGACCGCTCCATACAGTCGGTACTTCTTGGAGAGCCCGTCGTCCTGTGAGTGTTCGTGGTCTTCATCTTCATCTTCGATCTCGCTCTTGGGTAAGAAATAGGGGCTCATATCGAGTTCTACAGGAATGTCAACATGATCCTCGATTTTACGCATCAAACCGAACCGTCCAGACTGCTCAAATCGCTTCAAGTGCAGGACCAATGTTGGCGGGAGCTGTGAGATCAAATATCGCTTGTACGCCTTGCGGAAGATGTACTTTTCTTCCTCCTCCTTCTTCGCCGGCTTCTTGGCTGCAGCTGTGGAGGTCTTCGTAGGAATACTGTTACCGAACCGATCTGCCTGCTCGTTTCCTTCTTCGCCGTCGTCCGATTGCGATTCCATTCCTGAATTAGATGCGTGATTTTTATCTTGTTTTCTTGTGGACTCTTCGATTTTATCAGCCTCCGGTATACTCTCCTGATCTCCCTTGTCCTCATCACTGCCTTCTTTGTCGCCCTCTTGATCTCTCTTGTCCTCATCACTGCCTTCTTTCTCGCCCTCTTGATCCTCCGGTTGCTCAGCCGAAGCTTCGCCATTTTGCTTGGATCCACGAATCAACTCGAAGCAATTCTCACAAGCAAACTTGTTGTCGTCGTCTAGGCAGTCGACACTCGTGAACTGGTTCAAGGATCGCTGGATTGAAAGTGTCTCGGAGTCGGAGCTGCCAATGTTCCTGAGCATTTTCTCGACGTGTCGCATATGGGCCTCCGAAGGTTTCTCTAATTCTGGGATTGGATCCTTTTCGTCCAGAGAAAACTCGCTGATTGAAGAAGGTCCTGCTTCCGTGGCGACAGATGCCTGCTTCGATGCCACAAAGCGAGCCTTCAGACTTGATCTCGCAGATAGCCCACTCTGTGTGAGGCCACGCACAGGTAATGATAAATCGAAAAAGTCCTCGGGCGCATACGAACACTATGATTGAATAGAACATCAGCATAATTGTTAAGTTACGGGAACTATTTTGTCACTTCAAAATGAAATACTTCGGATCTTCGAAACGTCTTTACCTTCTTGCATGCGTCGCAGACAATAACACTAACGAGTTTTCCTGAGAAGCAGCTATCAATGAACGGCACATATTTGGGCACGTTCTCTGCCTCTTTCTTTTCAGAATCCGCTTCTTCTGTGCTGTCCTCCGTGTCATCCTCCGTGGAGCCCTGGCTATTAAACTTCTTCTCCTCCTCTGCTTCATTTGCAAGCTGCCTCTTGATCATGTCCAGCTCTTCTTGCTTGATTCCATCAAATAAATATCGCATAAGTTCCTGACTGTCTTGCTGTTTAAACCCACGGAATACCTTCCACTTTTTTGTAATCTGTGTAAAGATCTCTCGAGGGGCGACAGTTCCGCCTTGTTGCTTCCACATCGTACTCAAAAACTCTTTGAGGTTCGTAGTCAGAGGTCCGAGTCCTGCATCAGTACTAGCGGCGAGGGACTTTGGAAAAACAGCAGATTCATTCCCGGTATCAGACAGAACGGTCCTTAGTGACCTTGTCTCCGTCAAGACCTAATGAACGATGACGATGACGATGACGGATAAAAATTATGAGAATCCTGCGATTATAAAGTGGAAATGCTAGCACAGAACCAAGCGCTGTGATTACCTGGGCAACAGAGTTGAAGAAGCATGTGTTTCCCAGGTTCTGGAGTCCCGGAGTGAACACTTTTGCCTTGGGTGTAGTTGCAGTAACAGCAACGGCTGTGGTTGTGGTACTGTGCGATCCTTTTGTCTTCTTGGATGTCGCAGCAGAAGCAGCTGTGATAAGCAAGCGGAGAAAATTGGTTGGATGTAGATCAGTACCACAATTTCTGTCAGCAAATCAACCAATGTGAATAACCGCGATCCATTGTTTGACATGCATACCTATCATCTTGGCTTGCTTGATCTGAAGGATCTTCTCAAAAGTGGTCTGGCACTCCTGAATGACCTGGTTTCTGTTCTTTCCTGGCACAACCTGGTCGTCGCAGTCGTAGCACCTAAGAGTATACCCAAGATATATCGCGTTGTTAATGCCGATCTACGGAGTGAGCATTCATACATACTCAGCATGTCCACATACCAACAATCCATGTTTCCCAAATTCATAGCCAAAGGATGATTGTTCTTCTTTTCCTCATTGTGTGCCAGGGCGTGCTCTTTGATGGCTCTCCCACAGTTGATCTCGCAGCAGGTCAGACACATCCACAGCGATTCTGCCGGCAAAGCCTCAGTCGAACTATCCGCATTTGAGAGCGAAAGATCAACTAAGGATGAGTTCAGCCGCTGGATCCGTTTCTCAGTCTTGATCTCGGCATTGATGCACCCTTGGCAATGATCCCAATCCTTTTGTTGACCAAGCCCCTTTCGAAACTTTGGGAGTTTGATGGCGTTCTTAATATGTTGGCATTTTCCATCTTTTCCTGTCTTTGATTGCGGGGCTGTGAGCTCTTCCGATCCTGTTGTTGCTGTTGATGAATCGTCGGTCTTAATGGCTTTTTCGCTCTTTTCTAGAATAGGATCCTTGACGGAGTCATTTGTTGGCAACGAAGGAGGTGAGGCCGGATTGCCGCTCGGTACCGAGCCATTGGGAACGGCGCCTTTATAAGACGATCCAGTGAGGATGTCTGCCAGAATAGCATCATCTTGAGCGTGGCATTTGAAGAGGGGAAATGTGAGTCCGGGGCCTTATAGCGGACAGGTCCAAACGCGCACTGCGCCAAAGAAAAAATTGGTCTCAAGATACCTTCAGCAAAGTCGTCTTTGCTGATCCGCCGTCCTCCCTTTTTCTTTTTTGCCCCCATTGTCGTCGCTGAGATCTGTAGTGAAGGTGGAGTGAAATCAGTGGATGAGCGAGGCGATGGTGGATCAAAGACAAAAGGATCAGGAGAAAGTGTGTACGCGCAGATCAACAAAAATCAAAGCTCAACTGAAGTGTGACCGGTGGCATGCTTGAAAGTGGTATGAAGCGCACTCATGACTGGGACCCATAACATCCTTTTCTTTCATACATGTCCTTGAATCATATAGCTGAAAACGCCCGATGCACATTTAAATGGTCGCTTTTTACAGTATGGATGCGCTTTACTTCGATTTGCTACTGTTGTCGATGCTTTGATCCATCCTCCTCATATTCGGTTTGCCTCGCATCGAGTCAGCGTTGCCTATACAATGCTTGGAGATCGCTGTATTTCTATAGATCACGCTCATTCAAACATTTTCATAAAGAAACAAAGGCGCTTCTGCTTAAATGTGGGTAACAGTTTTTGTGCGCCAGACCCAGGATTGATTTAAGCCTGCCGAGGGAAGAAAAACAGAATAGAGACTCAAGAAACAACATCAAGTGCTCGTCGCAAATAACCTTATCCGCTACGACTACGCCCAAGCAATCACCACCAATCAATTAGCCATCATGTTTGCATGGTTAAATATACACACCACGTTGTACCAAATGTAAAAGAGAGTGGCGCCGTGTAGGTTGGGGGGCTTAATGGGAATGCCGTTTATGTGTGTACGATGAAAAGTGTTTAATAATGATTCGAATGATGTTGCGTAAGGAACGGAACCTATGATCTTATTTGCGCCGGAGCCGCGCAACTATGGGTCTTCAGTGAGTCCATGCCAGCGGGCATGCGACCCACCGATAGCTTGAGGCCCTCTGTGAGAATGTTAGTAAGTCGAAGATTCGATCGTACTAAAGCCGAAGATTAATCGCTTTAGGAACCAGTTACCCAACCCTCCAGAGGAAGCGCAATCCAGTTAAGCTCAATCCCCTCATTCGATATCAACTGCACAAACGGATCGCATTGACAGCCATAACATGATGCGTTCGACATCAGCCTCGGTTTGGATCACTCGCGCGTGCCATCAACCATTAGTTGAAGAGCATTGGCCTTTGTAACAGCGGCATTGAACTTGTGTAAATCTTTCAATATCTCACCCTAGCATACCATGACATTCAGTTCCTGTATATATTTGGCCTGGATCGTTGCTTCATAAAACCGCTTCATCATAGCGCTTGAATGCAGCGAGATTGCAATCCCGTCGGCATGCTCAAAGAAGGAGCTCTTGTTTGCCTCAACAACATCCCGCAGCCTCTGAATCATAGGCTCGCGGTAACTCTCGCGATAGTGTTTTATGTACACCCACTTGGGATGTGCCTTGAGTGTCACGATTAGGTTGAGACAGCTTTTCTTTTTTTTCAACCCTCTCAAGAATAGCGGAACTGAACTGCAACTTTCGGCCTCATTCAAAAAAAAAAAAAAAAAAAAAAAAAAAAAAAAAGAGGTGTGTACGGGTTCTATGGATCTTTGCGCGTAGTAAACCGGTGTCTTGAGAAATCCCACCTTTGTGAATCAAGTGGTGGGGTTACTTTTTGATGAATGAGATATAAGCAAAAATTTGAACTCACCAATTTTTACATGGGTTTAATGCGGGCTGTTCTGGATGTTTGGGGGTCTGACACCATAGCAAAGTTGCATCCTGCTGCCAAAGATAATGGTAAACTTCATTTAGTGCGAACAGCTTCGAGAATAAGTTGATTTCACTCTTGGCTGATTCCTGGAACCACAACCTTTTGTTCAGCTCAACTAATTGGCCAATAGTAGTGCAATACTATTATGGCAGCCAGCTACGTATCAGGTCATAAGCACTATGCGCTCCCAGCCAACGCTTTCCACGGGGCATGCGAGTAGATAGACTGGTTTACATGCTGAAGACGATTCAGGACCTTTATAGACCGCTCTTTGACAAAAATTGTTCAGAAGTGCAGTTAGTACGAATTGCTTTCGTTCAGGGACTTCAAACTGAAGGCTATCCGCGATTCTTCCACAGGCTCCTTGCAATATGTGGTGCAGGGGCTGCATTTTTATCTGTGAATGATGGTTTTATTAAAGGATAATCCCCTGTACCCTTGTAAAGCTGACTTTGCCATGGCGGCGTCCACTATACCTCCCATCCTTTAATCTTTTGCTCCTCGCCAGTACCTGCGGGCAGCAAAGTCGCGTGACGATCCCGAAGAACCTTTTCAAGAATCTTGTCCGCGCCCCTTTCCAACAGCAATGAGGCCACCTTCCGACCCAATTCAACAGCCAGTTCCACGCTTCCGTTTACTTCGGCCACCGCCTCTGCTTCTGCGATATCAGCTCCATCCAGGGAGGATACAAGTGCTCTAAGACGCAATGTCGACACGTTTTCTGACGCTGCCTCTCCTGTTGCCTCTGACTCTGCTGAGCCAGCTGATGATGGCACCTCAAATTCGGTCCAGACACCAATGGGCACGGAACAACCACCTTCCAAGATTCTCATGACACAGCGTTCAGCCTCGCAGCGCAGACGTGTTGGCAAATGATCCAATGGCTTGATCAACTCTAGCATCTCTGTATCGTCTGACCGGCATTCGATTGCAATAGATCCCTGGCCAACAGCGTGGAGCATCACGCTAGGAGGAAGCTTGGTGGTGATTCGATGGTCAAAGTTGAGGCGCTGAAGACCGGCAGCAGCCAGCAACAGACAGGTATAGGGCGAATCAGGTGCATCTAACTTAGCCAACCGCGTGTTACTATTCAAGTTTCATGATCGATCGGTACAGGGAGTATGTCAGATATCGGCTCATTCCCGTTTGAATCCATGCTTAATTAACAACTGAGGAGAGCGACGATGCTGCTGCGCATGCATGTGCCCCAATTGCTTGCCCACTTACACATTTCCGCGCTGCCATCGGTTGCCGGAGGAAGAACATGAGAGCATAGAATAAAATGGACACGACGGGTAAGTGCCAGGAACAGAGATCGATACTCAAGATAGGAAACAGCATGCACGGAGAAACACAAAAAAAAAAGAAAAAGAGTACTTACAACGTCCTTGACCTGGACTCCAGGGCACAGACGTCTAATCTGGCTGGCTCGACGCACACTGCTGGTTCCAATGACATCGCCTTCTCCAAAATTCTTGAGTTCTTTGAATTCGCCAGGTCGCATAACGATGACATCGTTCGGCTCCTCTCGCTTCATCATTGCTCCAATCACGAATCCAGGCTTGATCTGAGTGGGCACATCCTTGAGCGAATGCACAAGCATATGGCACTCCTTCTTCTCGAGCGAGGCTTCCAGTTCGCGAGTGAAAACCGCCGTGGTACCGATAGAAGAGAGAGGCTGCCCCTGGATGTTGTCGCCGGTGGTGCTCATCCTGAGCAGAGGGAAGGTCTTTGTGGGGTTTAACTTTTCGAGCGCAGACTGGACCTGGACGGCCTGGGCGATCGCCAGGGCGGACTTTCGAGTACCGATAGGGATGGTGTCTCTGCTCGTCATGGGCCTGCAGTATATGTAAAGGAAGAGTGGGAGGAAGGTGGGTACAGCCGAATGAAAAAGGTTAATAGCTCTGGAAAAGAAGAAAGTGAATCCCTCAAAGCGTATTATGGTCCTCGCTCGGAAGGGAGACATGTCTCAGATGCAAAGCCACCTACCTGGCGATCAAACCTTTTGCCCTTCTCCGGAGGACTCAGTAGTCCCGGACACAGACACACACTCTCTCTTCGGCATTTCCTTTTTGTCCTTGGCCGACTTCTCTCATTCAACATGACCCCCCGCACACCGACACTCCTCAGGACAGGGACAGCTGCACTCTCGAGGTGCCTGCGCACCGCTACAGCATACCGTCCCTCCAGATTCCAGCTTCACTCCTACTCCACAGCGCCTCCCCCACCTCCTGCTGGAACCAAGACTGTGCCTTCGACCTTCCAAGTCTTTAACCGCGAAACAAAGCGACAGCAAAAGGAACGGGCTGCCAGTAATGCACAATTGAGTCGTCAGGTCGACTATGTCAAGGACGAGGTCGCCTTCCGCGTGGTCGATCGCCTTCTGGTACACTTGCTCTTTGTTTTTAGTTCTTATATTTGCACATATGGCGTCAACCTTGCTACTCAACTCCAAGCAAAAATTGACCATTCTGTTACCGATCGTCTAGGATATCAAACGCGAGTTCAATGAGGTGGTCGAGCTGGGTTCAGGATGCGGTCATGTCGCCAAACACGTCGATACAGATATGATGAAGAAACTGATTATGTGCGACATGTCCGAGGCAATGCTTAACCGCGATAGGGATGTCGAATACGAAGGCAAGTTCATTGTCTGCTTGCGCTTTATCTGTTTGCAGGTCATCGGAATGATGACTGAACTCTGTACGCTAACCGATCCGCTGGTGCGCCTCATTTGACCTCACAGTTCCTGTAGAAAGACGCGTCGTTGATGAAGAGAACCTGCCGTTCGAGGAAAACAGTTTGGAGTGCGTTGTGAGCAGTCTATCCATGCACTGGATCAATGATCTGCCGGGTGCCATGATTCAGATCCAGCGTAGCTTGAAGCCCGATGGTGTGTTCATTGCAGGACTCTTTGGTGGCGATACCCTCTTTGAACTGAGGTGTGTTACAGAACCTTTCATCTTTCGAATACCATCATTTGGTGCTTAGTCGGCATGTTAACAGCTTCATCCTTGCTGTCGGTTACAATAGAACATCATTACAATTGGCAGAGTTGGATCGTGAAGGAGGCATCTCGCCTAGAATCTCTCCGATGGCTGACAGCCGTGATCTTGGCGCTTTACTTTCTCGTGCCGGGTTCACACTTACAACAGTCGATGTGGACGAGGTCACAGTCAATTACCCCAGCGCAATTGAGTTGATGGAGGATCTGAGGGCCATGGGTGAAAGCAACGCTGTCATCAATAGGTATACCATTATTGCCTTTGTCATATTCATCATGGCAGTCAACCAAAAGTCGTTGCCAACACGTTCTCGTTCAATCTTGTAGAAGGGGACTCCTCAAGCGGGATACGATGCTGGCTGCTGCTGCAATCTACAAAGGTACAAAGCAGGCGCTTCGATTGGACGACGACAGAGGTGTAGCCCACTTGCTATCAGTTTCCTAACATGCCCTTTCGTCCTGTCCACAATAGAGATGTACGGCAACCCAGACGGAACAGTTCCTGCCACCTTCCAGATCCTTTACATGGTACGTTGGGGTTTCGTCCGCTCTTCTATCATAGGTACAATTGCTACATAAAGCTAATATGCTGCTATACTTCTGTCTATTTTACCCCTCTAGATCGGATGGAAGCCATCATCGACACAGAACAAGCCTTTGGAGCGTGGCTCAGCAAGGCATTCGCTCAAAAATCGTCTCGAAGGCGAAGGCACCTCAGCTACGCCGACTAAACCCGAATAAAGTGCCTTTGTATCAATCGTCCCACCTCACTGACGCATTCCTGATAAAGATATCCAACAATGACACTGCTTCACTTCAAAGACAATCTGATGTTAAGCTGAATGTGTTTCCAATGTCATCTTTTTTATTGTTTGCCATCGAATCATAACTGATGAGTCATGCCTCAACGAGCTCCGATCATAAAATGAGAATCCATTGATTGATATCCGTCTTGGTCCTGTTGTTGTTGGGGAGGCGACAAAAACATGAGCAGGCGCAGATTTAGAGGGCAAGGGTGACCTCGCACTCGACACCGGACTCGAGGTTGATGGAGGTCAACTGCTTGACGATCTCAGCAGGGGAGTGCAAGTCGATCAAACGCTTGTGGATCTTCATCTCATAGCGGTCCCAGGTCTTGGAACCCTCACCGCAAGGAGACTTGCGGGTGGTGATGCGGAGAACCTTGGTGGGGAGGCGGACGGGGCCCTTGACACGAAGGTTCTTGTCCTTGGCGCGCTGGATGAGGTCGGAGCAGACCTTCTCGAGGTTCTTGACGTTACGGGAGGTCAAGGTGATGCGGATGCGGTGGACAGGGGAATCAACCTGTTCCTCGACACCGGGCTTGGCAGACTTTTGGATGGCAGACATGTCGACTGAGTGAATCTTTTAGATTACAGAGTGAACGTTGGGATGGGAAGGAGGAAACCAGGCCCGAGGGCCCCCAGGGCCAGCTTTCTTTTATTCCACTCCCTGAAGAAAATTTTTTCCAAACAACAAGCTTCACGTGAGGCCTCTTTATTTTCGGGCCACATAAGGACGTTCTCCCTTAATATTTTATATATTTTAGGCTAACTCGACGCGTCTAAAACATACCATCACTCACGTCTCCATCGTTTCTTCTCTGCTCCTCACCCGCCGACGCCTGCGTCTACCCCCATTAGCTCGCCTCTCTTCGTAGTATCTACAAGCATAGGTAATGGTGATCAGTCGTAGCTGAGAGCTGCTAGTCTTTTTTTTTTCGATGGTGGTAGTGCAGTCTGTTCAACTGTGGTGGTTTAGTCACTCTGAACCAAGATTGCAATAGCAATCACATGCTTTTTGACATCTGTCAGATGCCTCATGTCATAGTAATGTGATTATGGAGCATCTACTCGCCCATCACTTGCTTTAGTTCTACCTACTTGCATTGTTTGTTTTTTCTCGACTATATTCATACGATTTCTCGTAGTTTAACTTGATTTTAAGTCATCTGTTTACCCAACTTTAGAAAGTTGTGGCGCCTTCATAGACGTGCCTCTCGTTGACGGGTTCATAGTGTCTATGGAATTGACCGTGTTTTTCAACGGCATAATTTACTTGCAACCCTTGAAAGCCCGCTATTGTTAGGGCTTCACCTGTGGTGTCGGCCTACATCGTCATAGTCACCACTGTGCTTAGCAGAGATTGGTCAGAGGAATTCTACTCATGTATTGACGAGGGAAGTTGTGGCGGCTCCATAGACATGCCTCTCGTGAAGACGGGCTCATAGTGTCTATGGAGTTGACCGTGTTTTTCAACAGCATAATTTACTTGCAACCCTTGAAAGCCCGCCATTGTTAGGGCTTCATCTATGGTGTCGGCCTACATCGCCATAGTCACCATTGTATCCTACCTCTGGCCATGCTTGGCAGAGATTGATCAGGGGGTTCTCTTTAGGAGAAGAGTCTACTTGCTAACACATTGGCTTTTTTTTTAGCTCCCATGTCGCAGACCTCTTTCAAACCTCATTTATTGTGCCTACCTTTTCCCCTATACTTTCTAACAGTTGGTCATCCTAAAGATATAATTTTCTGAAGACTTGCGCCACTTCAAGCTCCTGTCAAAATGATCTTCATACAGTGCTGGACATCTAGTCGCGGCACGAGACTTTTGATTAGAAACGCCTATTCAACTTCAAGTACAACCGCTAAATCGGAGTTTGGATCATTAAAGTGCGCATTACCCTTCCCACTACAAACCATTGTTCGCCGTTTGTCAATATGACCTCTAGTTCAAAGGGGTTTGAGCTTCAACGTTTTCTACGTACAGTCGTGACTAGATGCCCCGCACTATATGAGCCACACTTCTCTGGACACACTTGTCGCGCTTAGTTTCCACCACATCATTCTCAAATCCTAATACACCAGAAAATGGTATTTACATATACTTACCATTATACTCTTTTGAAACATATGATTGATATCTATCGCTCACTCATTCATCCCTTATAGGAGGCAAAAGAAAACAACTACCGCATGAATTGACTACAGACACAGCGGAAAATGACACCAAGAAGAAGAGGAAGAAATTCGCGAAGAATCCATGGAGTAATTGATTTTCAAAGTATTAGAGTACGACTTTCGAATAAGAAAACTCATATTTTTCACTTTGTACATCGTGGCGCGTTGATGCTCATCAGATTCATCATTGAAAAATTGAAAAATTGAAAAATTGAAAAATTGAAAAATTGAAAAATTGAAAAATTGAAAAAATTGCATATGATAAGGAAGCTCTGTGAGGTTTGATCAAGTGTCTATTGTGCTTTATCGTTTTTACAAAAGTTTGCGGAGCAATTCGGAGAAGTGGTGCATATACAAGTTCTTTGACGCGTCTTTTTACACTTAGCATTACCTACGGATATCAAATTTTACCAGAAACCATTGAAACCAGCTGAAGACATCCATGTCGATATCTGCTATCGATTGAAAAAGAATGGCTTGAATCGGGGCACCTTCACTTAAACCATTGTGCCATGCTGTCATGGAACATGGACGCGACTCTTATCTTTACAAACCTTCTACCCAGATGGCGCCTTGTTGAGACTACCTCTTTTTCGCCCGTAAAAAGGATTTTGGACATTCTCTTTATCAGCACGTAGGAGATCGCCTGCTCTGTAACCCTGAAGAACGCGTGCTGTCTACGAAACTGATATAGCTAGTCCCTGCCTCTGGAGTTCTTCTATGATACCTGCGACTGCTCAGGGGATAACATCTATGCTTAATGGATATCACAACCGCTATTCTACACCGAGGGCAAGGAGATTGTGTCTTCTCCAAGAATAGGTGAAATATCCTCCGTTCGAATAAATGATCTGGATTCAGACCCAAGCTGTAGACAAAAGAACCGCTTGTATACATATACAAAAGCTGAAGTATTAGGATCAGCAGGCATTGTCAAGAACTCAGAAGAGTCGTCTCAGTATTATATCCAAGGTGTGATCGTTGAAGTCGTATAAAAACGCGATGATTCAGCAAAATCCCCCTCGTTCACCAATTCGAACGTCTATCACCTTCCACGATGTCCATCACAAAAGTAGCCGCGGCCGTATTGTCGTTCGCGGGAGCATTAGTGCTCGTCCAGGCAGTCGTCCTGCCCCTCTCAGCAAACATGAACGACAAATCAGGGCATCAAACCTCGACACAAAACATTATTCATAAACGCAACATGGATGGAATCATCACCAGCTGCACAGTTCCCAACACAGTTGCCTTGACATTCGACGATGGTCCTTACTACTACACACCTCAATTGCTCGATTACTTGGACTCCTGGGGTGTCAAGGCGACATTCTTTATGAATGGGGACAGCGTCGGCAAAATTGAGAAGTTCAAGGACGTTGTGGAGCGGGTGTACAATGACGGACACCAGATTGCGTCACATACCTGGGGCCATGCAGACTTGAGCTTGTTATCTTTGCACGAGATCGCCTTCCAGATGACTCGACGTAAAGTTCTTCATTTGATTGGCAATTGTAGGAGGAAAAAATGTCAATTTCGTGTTTTAACCATCCACCCATACTTGTCCTCTTCATTCTCTTTTTCAGTCGACACTGCCCTGAAGGACATAATTGGTGTGCGTCCAGTGTACATGCGTCCTCCCTACGGAAGCGTCAACGACGTGAGCCTGGATTACCTGAACAGTAAAGGATACAAGATCATCAAGTGGACAATTGACACAAACGATTGGAAACACGACGGCGATGCCACAGCATCGATGGGCCCGTACGAAGAAGCGCTGTCGAGCTTCGACGCACATGACAGGGGGTTTATTTCGCTTATGCACGACACACATCCAACAACGGTCGCTCATTTGGTACCTGCGGCCATCCAGTACGCACACGACCGTGGCTTCAAGATGGTGACCGTAGGCGAATGCTTGGGCTATCCGCGGAGCAAGTGGTACAGAAACTAGAATGCATGTAAAATAAGAAGTGAATAAATCGTGCATCGTGAGCGAGCCTACATCTCTCTCTCTCTCTCTCTGGGAAAAAAAAGAAAAAAAAAATAGCCCACTTCGTCCCTGAGACTACCAACTGTTTTTTTTTTTTTTTCCTCTCTTTTTTTCTCATGTTAATATAAACGAAAATCTCCGTGTCCACAGAGGAATGAGATCATCCCTGTGAAAGCAATTGAAGAGGGAAAGACGGATCGACTTGCAGATTGACTATATAAGATACAGAAACTTGCTGCGGGGGCAACACTCTCGTTCTTAGAAAAAAATCCCCATGCTCTGCGTTGGGTTTAAGCGGTCGATCTCAAAGCTATAAGAGCAGACGAGCGACACTTACTGCCAAGGCCTCCGGAGCTTTCGAGGCCACCTCAACAACAGGAACAACCACAGCAGCAACAATAATAAACCCCGCATGAGTCGGTGGCACAAAACTAGGCTGAAGAGGTGATTTCGATTAGTCGCTATTCCTTGGGGGGTACGAAGGAATGGATAAGCAGAGATAATAGTAGCACAAAGGTTCTCTGGTCGCGTTCGTTTCGATTTGCTGTGCCTTGTGCCTGTAAGACATTTTCCCCCGCAGCGGCACGGTGGCTTTTGTGCACAAACCAAAACAGAACTGACATTCGCACACACATACACCGCGTGCACTAAGGAAATAAAAAAGAAGTACGCTTTCGTTCGAGACACCTACCTCCCACAACAACTCCCTCCCTCCATCGCCAATAAGCTATCCATCATGTCCGGAAGATTGCAATGCCGCATGTACGAGAACAAGTTCCCTGAAGGTGCGCACTCCACTCTTCGCAAATAAATGCCCAACAGATTTTTGTTATTTATTTCATAAGCACACACTGTGTCCAGATCTCACAGACGATGGCTAACAGGGAACAAAAAACAACGCTTGACTTTTACTAGTGGACGACTTGGTCATGGTCAACGTTCGCCAGATCGCCGAGATGGGTGCGTACGTTCAGCTTCTTGAGTACGACAACATCGAGGGCATGATCTTGCTCAGCGAGTTGTCCAGACGTCGCATCCGCTCTATTCAGAAGCTGATTCGTGTCGGCAAGAACGAGGTCGTCGTCGTCCTCAGAGTTGACAAGGATAAGGGTAAGCCTAATTCGAGTCTTATGTGATATATCGAATGGAGGAACCTCCTGGAAAGGTCGGGACTCGTCTTGCATGGATACCCCCAATTGCATTTATCCAGAGAGAGAAAAAGCGGGATGGTTCAGCAGCCAAGCAAATTCGATATGACTCAACAGTCTAGGACCAGGATTCATTTGGAACTTGAAGCTGCGGCAATGTGTGAAATGATATTAGAGGCAATCACTATTGGAACAGTGCAGGACTTTTTTTTTTTATCAAGGCGTCGCGTCAACACAAATCGACCAACACACTGGGATTTGGGAGCTGGCAATTTCACCAGGATGCAATTTGTTCTTAACAGGATACTGCGGCAATTTGTCTACTAGGTTACATCGATCTGTCCAAGCGCCGTGTCTCTGCTACAGACATTGCCAAGTGCGAGGAGCGCTACAACAAGTCGAAGGCTGTTCACTCGATCATGTCTACGGTCGCTAAGAAGGAGAACAAGGATCTCGAGATCCTCTATGAGCAGTTGGCCTGGCCCCTGTACAAGAAATACGGCCATGCCTATGATGCCTTCAAGGCTGCTCTCAAGTACGCCTGCTTTTTTCTTTTTCGTTCGGGATCTTGGGATAATTGCGAGCGCGAAACAGTTTTCGAGCGAACGGTTCAGGGATGCTGACCCTTACAATACTTTTCTTTTTTTCTTTTTTTTTCTATTGTTTGGTCTTCATTTTCAGCGAGTCTGAGAAGGTCTTTGAGGGGCTGGAAATCGCCGAGAGCACGAGGGAGGAGCTCTTGAACAACATCAAGCGCCGCTTGACACCACAGCCGATTAAGATTCGTGCCGATATTGAGGTGACATGCTTCGACTATGAGGGTATCGACGCCATCAAGACTGCCTTCAAGGAGGCCGAGGCCGTCTCCCTTCCGGATGTGGCCATCCGAGTCAAGTTGGTCGCACCACCTCTTTATGTCATGATCACCAATGCCCTCGACAAGCAGCTCGGAATCGATACCATGGAGAAGGCTATCGTCGTTCTGGAGGAGAGCATCAAGAAGTCCAATGGAAATATGGTCACCAAGATGAGCGTACGTTTTTTTTGTGTAGCGATACTGCAGGTCAATGTGAAGGTGCGGAAAAGTCGACTATTTCCTTGACTAACGCTGTTGTTTCTTTCTTTTCTTTTTTGATATAAAAACAGCCCAAGGCCGTTACTGAGGCCGATGACATGGAGCTCGACCAGCTTCTTGCAAGAATTGACAAGGAGAACGCAGAGGTTTCAGGAGACGATGATGACTCAGATTCGGATGCTGATGTGTAAAGACAGATAAAGCAGGTGTAATCAGGAATGCAGGGCTTTAAACGGGAATAGTCGGAATAAATGCGTGCATTATTGCAACCATCGCCTCAACAAGTGAAGTGGATTGACCTCCTACAGACAAACAGTGGTAGTTTAGAAAACGATAATGCATTGACTTTTGAAGACGATTAGGCTATTTTGGTATACATAGCATGGAGCTGCGCGCTTGGTAGCCTGTCAGGGCACTCCATTTCACCTATGCTCGCTCAATGCCTTCAGTTTATTCCAGGGCCCCATGTCGTGCGTCGACTCATTATTTTGACCCATAAGCACGCACAGTATCCCTTCCGACTACCTATGCTCGATCGCATGAACAGCATTGTAATCAACATGCACAAATGCCCTCTCAACGCTATCCAACCTCTCTAATGCACCCTGCAAAGACTCTCCAACATCGTGCGCCTGTGACAATGGCGTATCTGGTGGTAGCACTATATCGACCTCAACAAAGAGACCATCCCCAACATAATATGCACGAACGGTATCAATAGCCTGGATCAGGTTCGAGAATCGGTAGGCCATGTAAGTCAACTGCTGGATATCTGCCGCAGTGGCAGCCTGGCCTGTCAATCTACGAATGTTGTCTTTTTTTTTTTTTTTTTTTTTTTTTTTTTTTTTTTTTTTTCAAGAAAGAGGGTGCGAAGCGTGGATTAGGCATGATGTGAATACATTCCTCGGTTACCCAAATTTCAATAGGCACACTTACGGAGACAGGTGCCAGTCCATTCCGTAATTATATATATCGAGAGAACAACGGCGCCCACGGCATCCAACCACCACCATCCCATAAACTGTCCAGCAACCGGGAACAGGGTCGAAAACACATTGAAGACCACGTCATTTAAATGATCCTGCGCCAACGCCTGAACACTCGAGCTGTCTTTCATGGTCCTACACCACGCCCAGAGCGCAAATTTGATGAAGATATTGAGCCCTAGAAGCGACAAGATGATGATACCCAGATCCACAGGCTCATCTGCTCCGGCCAAGAGTCGTTCGAATGATTGGAGCATGACCTGCAAAAATGAAGTAACCATAACAGATGCAAAGACGATGATCCCCAAAGGCTCCATACGAGCTTTGCCGACGGGGTAGCGGTGTCCATCCGAGGTGTTGCTGCGGAGGCGGGCAGAGTACCAGATAATGGCGCCGCTCAGAAGATCCATAAGTGAGTCGATCATGGAGGCGAGAACTGCAAGAGAATCTGAAAATAGGACGGTCCAGATCTTGATGATGACCAGGAAGACATTAGCCATAAAACTGACATTGATGGCCAGACTGACTGAATGTTTGTGTGCGTTTAAGGAGAATAAAGACAGTGTTCGCGTGAGATAGAAGTATCCAGAGGACAGCATTTGAAGTTGATGAAGGAATAAACCAACTAGTGTACCTAATCTGGGCGAGGTCCTTTGCTTCCTAGTGAATCCTATCAGAGGCGTGCCCTCTTCTAAATCTCCTGTAGGTTCGTCAGAACCATGACCGCCATTGAGATGTCCGTTTGATCGTTTAGCCACATCCATAGGTTGTTCAGGAATAGAAGCAATTGTAGGCACATTGCTGGGCGTGGTCGTTCCAGATGTCGATCCGTAGGTCGCGATACTCTGATTATCTGATGCCTTGGCCACAGGAAGTAAGGAGTCCAGAGGCCGAAATGGAGGTAACTGTGGCAGTATCTGAGCTTTTGCCTGCTCTTCCGCCCGATGCTCCTTCAAGATCTCTTCCACCTCTGCAAACGAGTCCAGAAGACCATTCTGTTTCCATTAAAAAGGCAAGACAGTTGAGTAAGATAATTAGTCTACACCAAACACTAAGTGAGCTCTCTTTGCGCAATAGACTGATGATCAAGATACATGTTGTGATGCTCATATCTCATCCATACCAGTGATTGATAGTACTCCTGTACTTGTTTGCCCTTCATGGCCGCGATTTCCTCCTCAGACTTGCGTGCCTCCTGAAAACTCTGTGCCGACAAAACCGGTCGCGGCGTAATTGCCTTGTAAAGCACACCTGACATCCTTCTCCTTCCACGCGAATGGGATCTAGGCTTTTCGCGTCCATTGGGACAAGAAGCGCATCTCACAAAGGATCCTGCAGGCCAATCCTGTCCGTGTCGACGACCAAACTGTTCCCCGATCGACAGCTCCGAGAACTCGTGAGTGTGAGACTCCAATGACGACGACTGCTGACAAGAAGAAAGCTCGTCGTATTGGATCGGTTCTGGAGATCTTACAATGATTCTCGTCGTAGGCGCCGCCGTTGTGGTCAGTGTGGGTGAGGTTGACGGAGACGTATTGACGACAATGGTGTTGGAAGACCCCAGGTCTTCAATCGCCACGGGTTCGCTGCTGCCTTGCTGGCCACTGTTTGTCTTTCCACGTCCACGGCTGCGAGTGGGTTGCTGCTTAGACATGAAATGCAGCGATATGGATGTGTCGTAATAAGAGAGAGTTGACTAGTCTTGTCTGCTCGTGGGAGGGATCTGAATAAAAAGGAATGAGGGTTGCTTCAACGGAATGAAAGTGCGAGATTCAACCAGACCAAGGTGCTGAAAAATTGATAACCGAGAGAAAAATGAAAACAATGGAAGTGATGATGTACGATTACACGAGTTCAAATGTTGGCAGCTAAGCAGATAATGAGGCCATCAAACCCGAGCAGGACAACAATACAGTCTATGGAAGAGCCATTTCTTAGAGGCGAGAAGAGTCAGCCATCAGTGATCCACGGATGCCAATTGTTCAAGCATAGGAAGCCGGACGTTGTTGTTACAGGTCGTCGTTCGAAGTTCACGACCGACAATGATGATGTATGGATGCGTGCATATATGCGTATGTGTGTGTATGATATGCAATGCGGTCTTCCTTTGCATGACCCTTTCCCGCCTACCGTTATGTTGATCTGCGCGTGCTGTGTCCATCGAGGCCATGCAGCTCAAAGAAACGAGTTGATAGTACAATCGCAGACTTTATTATTTTTCGTTGACAACAGAGACTTTCACAACTCATCAAGACACTTAGGCCTTGGTGGTCTTGACAGCCTTGTTGACGATCTCACGGCGCTATTAAACAATCAGAGTCGCAAACAATATCAGAACCAAAATGATCTCGAAACTCGCAATCGACTTTAAAAAAAACGAAAAAACAACTTACAAGAGCCTTGTACTTCTGGAGCTTGAAGCGGTCAAAGTCAGTGTTGGCGGAACGCTGAGCACGGGAAGCGATCTTCTTGGCCCAGGAGGTCTTGGCCCAGTTACCAGCGAGATCCTGCTTCTCAATGGCCTTCTTGAGGACGACCTGGCCAGCGTTGCGGGGAACCTTGACGACCAAGGGGGTCAAGGTCAAGCGACGGAAGGCATAAGCACCGCGGGCGATGCCGGTGGTGGGACCCTCGATGAGAGCCTAGTAAAGTGATAGAAAACGTAATAATTCGTTAGGATCACTTAGCTCCATAGCCTCTTTGGTTCCACAACAGATGATAGTGCTTCGTTCGAGTGTTGCTAGTCCCGCTCCTGATTCCTTCAGCTATACTTTATATATCGCAGTATATAGCGATGAACTAAAGTGTGGTGCCTGTTTTGATTGTACTGGAAGGATTGATAGCGGCACAGAGTGCGTTGCAGCCAAAACGATCGGTTCAAGCTAATGAGTTGAATCAGCTTGCCGCAACTCATCCTGCTAGGCTGTTCAGTATGTCTGAATGCAGAAGCCTGTTCCTGCCATCGGACTTGATTCATCTCTGGTCTGTTCCAGCATACGCAGTCAGTTGATAATACACCTGTTGAATATCCGTTCGTTGTATGCGAAACTGTTGCTCAACGCTGCCCTGCGGTTGATATGACTAGGCTGCCCATGCTGGTTGTCCTGAGTAATTAAGGTGAAAATAGAGTCGAGAATTGGGAACATACGCGGTTGTGGTCAATGATATCGACAATGACGGCGAGCTTGCCGGCATCGGGGCCATAGTTAACCATGACGACACGGCCGATCTCAACGACACGCTGGAAAGTAGGAATGCGCTATTAAAGGATAACGTCGAGGTGGAGACAATTGAAGATAGGTTCGTTAAAATCGCTGTGCCGATACAGGTTTTCTTTCGAGGTGGGGTCGCTCCGTCTATCCTGATGAATAACAGCCTTGCTGATCTCGCAGTCTACTGATGAGTCCTGATGTTTTCCGGCAGATAACGAGCGATCTCTGGTTCCCAAGTGTAGATTCCTGTCCAGCACGTTATAAGATGTAGGGTTCTTCCTGATGGCTGTTCGCGCTAGCGGATCGGATGCACTCTTGCTGATCTCTCGCCTGAGTGCCGAGTAGTGCTATTGTGTCAGTTGAGGAATGCTTTCCAGTCGCCTATCACCATTGCAGTGTGTTCAAAAGCCTGCTACACCATGCTCTCAGCATGGGGCCCCCGCATCATCGTCCAAAAATGTTGCTTCTAGTCTCAATTGCTTCCGATTTCCTGGGAAATAGCCATCTGGCGAGTGAAGGGTTGCTCAACGATAATGATAGATCGATCGATGGATGTTGTTGGTCCCGTATGGATAGTGGATTCCTGGATGTCTCATGGATGCACACTGCAGGTCACATACAGCCATTTTGAATAGACTGGTAGAGGAGAGGGCGTATAGTCCTTCTCCGCCCAATTATTTTATTGAAAGATCAAAGTGGCTTGGTGCTCCGCTCCGTATCGAGGATTGGTGGCAATTCGCGTATACTTTCCATGGTGGAGATATTTATTATGTACAACTCATCAAACCTATTGGGTATCATGCGTATGAAGGTACTGAAGAGAGAGACCCACTAACTGTCCATTTTTGGGGGAAAGACTTATTACTTGTGCTGCTTGTGGTGAGGCGACTTCTTGGGCTTGATGTCCTGAGTTTTGAACAGCTCCCGCTTGCTGTTCTTCTTCTTCTGGCCCAAGTTCCAGGTCTTGCGGTTGCGACTGACCTTGCGGTGAAATGCCAGTTCGGTGTCCTCGTTCTTGATAGCACGCTTGATGTGCTTGCTGCAGGAAGAGAATGATTTCTTGTGATTCGCATAGTTCTTGCGGTGGAGCTCAAAATTCTCGATAGCACGCTTGTTGTACTTGCAAGAGGATGAAGACTTCATGTGGTGCGAATGGTTCTTGCGGTGAGGCTCGAGGGCGCGCTTACTTTGCTTATGGTGACTGTGGTTAGCCTTTTGGTGTTTGCCATGACTCTTCTTGCCATGGACTTTCTTTTTGTAAAGGGCAAGGTCGGGTACATTGGCTTTGACAGCAGGGACTTGGGGAGCGGTCAAAGCGGGCTTATGCAAGTCGCGGCGCTCCATCATTGATGAGCTCTTGCTGTGGCTATAGTCGGCCTTGCGATGGTGATTCTGCTGTTCGTGGATGCGGCGGGGCTCAAGGCGGAAGGCAGCCTGCTGTCCGTGGCGGACATCTGCAGCAGTCATAGTACCCATAATGGCAGTCGTCAACAGTGCTGAAAGAATGAAGCGCATGTTGGTCGTTCGTTAATTGTCGAGCAAATTGAGGTACAGGGGATACAGAGACCAAACTTGAGAGTAGAGATAGATTATGGTAGACAACTCACGTCCTTTATATACTTTATAAATACACTGGGCAGCACATCGCATATTGGCCTTGAATAAATTACTGTAGTCCATCCTTGCTGTTTGTGTCTGCACCAACAAGAGAGCCAAAAGGTATGTGCGCGCGTGGCCGGCAAGGACTTATTTTCAGTCAAGAGAAGAATAAGAAAGGAGCCAGACGGTGTCAAAAATGAGATTTCTAGCGGATGTGGCAGGGGATGGGTAGCTTTGGAATATAGAGCGAGTTGATATTCCTCGCTTCCTTCTTATACCTACCCATGACCTAAGGGGGTTCACAAAGAGTTCTTAGTTTTCCTCATGTCCTCTCTCATCGAGCGGATAACATGCAAACACATTCCGAGTTTTCATAATTACGAGTCAATATCAGCGCGTTGGTGTCGGCGTTTATTTTCTATGCTAGTGGTATGGGCGATAACTTGCGCCATTGACAACACTTCCCCTTCCTCCCTGCCGCCCTGTTGGTTGCGCTTGATATCCTCCATAAGGACTTAGTGGCGCGCCGCCGCGTTGACCAAGATCAGACATCATGACCGTCTCGCCGTAATTGGGAATATGTCCTTGCTGCAGAGGGTGGGGCCTCACTGCCCGAGGACCGTGGCCGCTCGCGACGCTTCCTTGATTCGATCCGCTGAGGACTGTGCTAGTGTCTGATGCTTGCCGCCGATGGCCTGGAAGCTGCGGTTTTGGTGGATACTGCGACGCAAGGCAACTACTGCTGAGGCTATAGGCGCCGTCACTGATCTCGCTCCTGTCATCAGCATAGTCATAACGATGGTCCTGCCGCTGGAGATTACGATTGTGATAAGCCTGCTGATGGTTAGCCTGACGGAAAGGTCTCGTGTCACTATCGTCCTCTAAGGCTGGCGTATATGACCTCGGGCCCGGCGAGTACGATCTTGGAGGCGGAGATGGATGCTGGCGGCGATAAGGATCGTTGGGCAAAGGCCCATTCTTTCGCAAATTTGGAGATCCTGGAGCTATATAAGGCGACGCTGCAGTCATTCTCGGCGCTGATGAGGGTATAGGGGAACCTCGCGGTCCTTCTTCGATCAAGCCAATGTTGGGCAAAGTTGGCTTCTGTAGAGGCGTGTCACCGCCCTTGCCGCCCTTTGCGTTCTTGGAAGCCTCCTGTGTACGCTGCTTGACCTTTCTCTTGATGATCTCGTCAATACTATTAACAGGCGTTAACATGGGTCAGTTCTCGATGCGCGGCCAATGCTGCCTAAAAACACAAGTATAAGATAAAAGAAGTATCGGCCTACCGTTTATCAATCTTGTGGCAACAAAATTCTTTCAGGTTGCCCTGGATGTGAATGACCAACGGAATATAGAGAATGACTGCCACCAGCATAAGAAGAACAGAGATGATCCACAGGGTAAGTGTGAATGTCATCACTCCCATGGTAATGCGTGTCATCAGAGGAAAAGGGTAGTTCCAAAATGCAAGGTCAAGGTCATTGTTCTTGGTCCTGTTTTTGTTGACGACAGTGATAAGGATAATGCCGTTGATAACCTGTCTTGGTCCGTCCGCAAATATGAGCCGCTTCCAACCTGTTCATATATAGTGTTTCATCGCAATGATTGCTTGTGAATATGCAGCCAATAAAGGACAAGACGAGCATATGAAAAACCAAGGCAGTGTCCAGTTGCATACCTCGGAAAGTGAAGAAGCAAAAGAACGCGACCTCATCGATGGTCTTTTTCGAGTTGTGAATCTTTTGGAACAGGCAAAAGTGGGCATAACTTTTGACCGCATAATATCGATAGGCAATCATGCTGGTGAAAGCATAGCTGATGTCGCGACTCTTAATGATTGCCGCAGCCTTTTTCATGTCCCATGCCAGGAGAATAAACGAAAGAATAATACAGGCGGCGAAAATCCACTTGTAAATCTCGAACGAGATCTTGATGTCCTCTAGAGGAGACAACATAGTAAATTACAAGCAGGGAGGTGTGTTGAGTATGCGGCTACTTCCCGCTGCTCGCGTGTTGTTGAGATTACCAAAGTATAATGGAGATAATAGAGGAGCTTACTGAATGAAATCTGTCTATCTTGCACTCCGAGATTGGTCTGCCACGTTTTAGCGACGAGCAAGTTGACGGCTGTCCTATTTTCATTGAATCCATACGAGGGAAAGGTGTGTGAGCTATATGCGAGAACCACTGCTGATCCACATAGATGACAGACCTTTATCCTACCATAAATCGGCACAGTAAATAAGGATGCCCTTGATTACGATGCCAAAGACAAGTGAGTACTTGAATTTCCTCCAGAGCGAGTTATCGACATAGTCGTCAACGTCAATGAAATCAAACTTGTGGTCCTCGACCTTTTGTCGCCGCCAATCGGCTATTGAAAGACGCAGGTTACGACAGTTAGTGGAAATGGTGAGTGCGATGGCTCCTGGTTTTTTTTTCGCAGTGGTAGCCGGATGGCCTTTGAAGATGGAAAGGGGTAGGGAACAAGGAGCTGGTGAATCAGGGATAGGGCTGCTTATTTTTTTGCTGTTTGAGAGGACGGGAGGGCAGATCGGGGTTAAATTGGGTAATTTAACATCGCCCATTTGTCTCCCTTCATTTATTGAGAAGGATGCAATTTAATGGTTGAATCCCCATTTCCATTTCGTCAGTGGTGTGTCCCATTATCTTTCCATCTAACGTATTCAATTGACCAACAAAGAAGAGAGGTCCATGAAACTCCAAGGATCACAGCGTGAACTTAAACATACTTGACATGGTGCTCGAAATCTTTCTTGAACTCGACGGAAGAAATGCGAAAATGAATAATAGAAAGCGTGTTTGTATAATATAGATTGGATGAGAAGCAATGAGAGGAGGTGATGTCTGATATTGAGAACGGGATGTTGGATGAAAAAAAGGTCGTTATTTAGGGCAAATTGTCATTAGAAGCATTAGAAGAGAAGAGAAAGGGAAAAAGGGGTGTGCGTGTGTGAATGTGGATGGTGGTCTACAATGTACAATGTGATGCTGTCGTCTCTCTCTTTAACTGGGAGTGAGTGACCGAGGATGGGGAGGTAAGGTCAAGGACAGGGTAAAAAAAAAAGATAGAGAGAGAAAGAGGAGGGGATCCGTCGATAGTAGCTCAATGGATGGCTACGAGGACCTGGGACCAACAGAACGCCAAATAAAGTTAATTAAAATTGATTGAAAATTTTACGATCCATTGAGGACGAAGAGTATATCACGTTACCCAGCAGGCACTGATGCATCCTCACCACCTGTCTGTATTCACAGGGCATACACAACACTACAGGCAAATGATGTGCGGTCCTCGTGTTTCACTTCGAAACGGGGTATTACGCTTGCCACAACAGCTTCGCCCACGCAATCAGTAGATCATCCCATGGTGCTCCGCTGGGCTAGTCGAATGGTATCGGTTCCCGCTTCCTCATAGGAGCAATGTCTGTGTCCACCACGACGCATTCATTGACCCAAGCTATGAAATCAAAAAGGCCCTTGAAAGCAATTGACTTTCATGGTCGCACAATATCTTTTGTCTGCATCCCTCATGACAAAAAAAAAAAGAGAGAGGGGGAAATAGAGAAACTGAACAATGGATGCGAATGATGACATGATGCGTATGCTAAAGCCACAGTGCTCTTTTGACGATGCTTGCAATCCACGTACGCGCCGCAGATGCAGCACGTCTTAGCTTGTCTTGCTATCATCGTTAATCCTCTTGGCGTCTATCCAGCCCTCGGTTCCTCCCTCATCGTGCCGACGCTAAATTGTTTTTGTCATGAGTCTGGCCCAACCTCCCCTCAAAGCGAAACATGCAGAGGCCCGTGTTCCTCGCCCGCATTCAGTCACATTCCCACGACAGGAACAAAACGCATAACGGTGTCTCCATAAGATGTACATGCGTAGTTCTGTCACTTGGTCCAGCATAGTGAAGGTGGCTGTTGCAGGTGGAATAAGGAACCATTACCGGGCGCCTTGATTGGTTCGTTCGGGGTCTGATGGGTACAAACTAGCCGGATCTGAAGGTAAATTGGGCTTGAAGTGGTCGGGAGGCGAAAAATCGCTGATGGACGAGATGTAGACACGACAGCCGAGACAAGCGATCGAGTGAGTGGGCCCTGAAGGGAGCTTTGGGCACATTCGTTGGCGGACAATCCGTGGTTGAACATGAATGAGACGCCGTTGAGATTCAAATTATTATTTACTATTTAAATCTCCTTTGTGGGGTGCAGTAGTAACAGCAGTATGGGCGGTTCCTATTTTCTTTTTAATGGTCATTGAGCTGTTTCGGAGAAGCAAAGCGCATCAGCATACCAGCATCAGACAAACACATCGAGTCAAACATGATTACCACTAGAGTGGTAGTGGATGTCTCCGGTCGATATTTTTTATAAATAATAAATGGGGGAGGCCGTTCTGGGATCCGATCGCCACCCCAAATGTGCGACATACGTACACAGCGAACGAATAGGCTAAAGAGTCCAGTTGAGATTTGAATAATGAACTATTTATTGGACTATCTTCATCATAGGCTGCACAGTCTTCCATCCTTCTGCCTCCTTCGATGGTTTCTACAACATTTTCCACTGAGTTGGGCCTGTGGCATATAAAAGAAGAAGAAAAACGGCCAATTGCCATTTTTTATTCTCATCCCACTCTTTTCTTTTGTACCTTTTTTTTGTTTTGTTTGTGTGCTCTTATTTTTCACACCTTTAAATCCTTCTTTTTTTTTCTTTCTGTGTAGCACCTTCGACCTCAACGGCTCCCCACCCTTCCCCCTAATTTTTTTTCTCATCAAGGTGTGAGAAGACTCGACTCTCAAACCACACCCACAGCGACAGTAGAATACCAGCATGAGCACTAATAACAGTTCGCCCAGCGGTACACCTCCATACCAGCCAAACATATCCTCAATCTCAACCTCATCCTCGCTCTATGTGCCCACTTCCAACCAGATCCCCACACCCCCAACCATAACCATCAATCCGCCTTCCTTACCCCAACCGACCCTCACTACTATCAACGAAGCAGCCTCTAGGCCCGGTTCAAACAGATACAACCCGCCTGTGCCCAGCAGAATGACAGGCACATATTCCAGCAACAACAGTATTTACCACAACAACCTCGCTCCTACCCACAACGCACACGGACGTCGACTCGGAACCAGCAGCGCCTCTAGCTCCCCTCCAGGAACACCTCCCAACGGCTTACGAGATTACTATCTGAATGTTGCTCTTCAACGCGCTCAGCACCGCTTTTACACACACGGAACTGGATCAGGGCCCAACTCTGCAAACAACTCGAGCACGAACCTGAGCCGGCCCAACATCTCTGTCGTAGTTCCCTCACAAAGCAAGTACCAGGAGGCCCGACGAGCGTACTCTGCAGACCAACTGAGTGTCCAGGAACCACAGATTACTGTCACCACACCAGGGGGATCCAATGAGACCGAGGAACATGTAAAGACGCTGCAAAATGCGCTCAACAACTTGATTGCACAAGAAAGCAGAGCAGCCCCACATAATGACGATGACGATGCGGAGGATCCAGACACTGATGGACCCATCATGATGAAGGGCAACAAATCGAACTCAGTACCTGGAACTGTTTCGGCGGGTAGGAAGAGCGGCGTCTTGCTTACCCCTACAGTTCTGGCCAATCGAGAGGACCCCGAAAAGACGGCCGCCGGTACTATGAGCCATGGAATTGTGGGTTCGGACGTCACCCTCAGCGACAAGGACCAGAAAGAGAAGGAGAGGAAGGCGCACCGCAAGTCTCACAACCGGATCTCGCGGCTTTTTGGCCGCGATGTACCAGGCATTGGACACACCTCAGATCAGCACTATCACATGCAGGTCTCGCGCGCACCGGTGCAGCCCTCAAAAGCCGGTGTCCTCAGCAATCTGTTGAAGCTCCAGGACAATGGCCGCCATGCAAAGGTAACTATTATTAAGAATGATCGCCGAGGCTGCCAGGGGTTGTGTACCATGCATATGTGCATGCGTGCCTGTGTGTTCATGCATCTAACAGTCGTTCCCATCAATTTCTCCACATATCCCTCTGAATGTATAGACTCTTCATACACTATCGACAACAAAGCCGCGCAAGGAAAAGAAGAAACGACCCACGCTCTATACCCGGTCCGCTAACAACTCTACCACGTCTATCGCAAACGTCTTTGGCACCTACCCACCCCTGCCGACCATAGGATCTAGTACAGGCTTGGGTAACCTTGGCACGGCTACTCAGCGCAATAGCTATGGCAACGGCAATGGCAACGGCAATGGCAATGGTAATGGATACGGACATCCACCTCAGCTGGACGGTAGCTTTGCGGGAGCATTCCCACAGGGTCATTCGCCTTTGCACTCGCCCAACGGCTCACCTCGCGGCTCATTCTCCTACGACAATACCTTCTCGGCTACCTCAACCTTGCACTCGCTCTCGGCCGAGGAAAAGATGCGCATCACATTCGCAGTTGCAGACATCCTGCAGCGTCAGGACTATGTGCTGCGCCTGGCCAAGTCCATGATCAGATATGGCGCACCCTCACATCGACTGGAGGATGCGATCGACCACACAGCCAGAACCCTGGAACTCAATCTGCAGTGCGTCTACTTGCCAAACGTGATGGTCATCGCCTTCACGGATTACGAGACCCATACCTCTGAAACGCACTTGCTCAAGTGCTCGGCAGGACTCGACATGAACAAATTTGCCCAAGTCCATCAAGTTCTGAAGATGGTGACACACTCCTCCATGCCCGTGGAGGAGGCCATCATGAAGCTGGATGCAATCAGCGCCGAAAAGGACATGTGGCCACGATGGGCCAACATCCTCTCATACGCGATGGCGTCCTTTTGCACCGCTACCATGTTCTTCAAAGGCAGCTGGACGGATGCCGGTGTCTCATTGATGCTCGGAACCTTTGTTGGTCTGATGAGTTGGTTGTCGGAAAAGGTGCCCAGTTACTCACATATTTGCGAGGTCACTATGTCGGTGGTTGTGGCCTTTATCGCGGAGGCCATGCACAATCAAGTGTGCCGAAGCTCCGTCAAGATGGCGGGTATCGTTATGCTGCTGCCTGGATACACGATCACCTGTGCGATTCTGGAACTCAGCTCGCGACAGATGATTTCAGGATCCGTTCGTTTATTCTACGCGATTGTCTTCTCACTACTGCTGGGATACGGTTTGACCATCGGCGCCTCGCTCTGGAATCTGATTGACCCGTCCAGTCTTCCAGCGGCCGTAACAGGAGTCTGCCCAGAGACACTCGATGCCAAATGGAACGTCCTCTTTGTGCCGGTGTTTGCGATTGCGCTCAACATCTACCTGAAGGCCCATCCCCGTCAATGGGTCCTGGCGACAATCCTGTCGATCCTCGGGTATATGGTCTCATATTCGACATCGACCTGGGCTGGGGCCCGAACCGAGGTGTCGTCAGCGTTGGCTTCTTTCTCGATCGGATTCTGTGGAAATATCTACCAGCGTGTGACCCACCAACTTACGTTTCAGGCGGTTGTGTGCGCGGTCTTCTTCTTGGTCCCGGGAAGTTTAGGTCTGAAGGGCGCAATGGCCTTGTTCACGGACGACATGGCAGGAGGTGTCAACTTTGCGCTGCAAATGGTCATTACAGCGATTGCGATCAGTGTCGGTCTCTTCGCTTCTGCGTTGGTTGTCTACCCCATGGGCAAGTCTCGGTCTGCTCAAATGACCTTTTAAAGCTGGTTGCTTTACGCCAGAGAATTCCATTCTTCGTTGTGAGGCGATGCTCACCGGACCGAGCAAATGTAGCTATACCCGACCACATATTCTGTTCATCCCTCCTTCTACCTCTCCTCCTCTCGTTCAAAAAGCATTTCCACATGTATATGCATGCATGCATTGATTCCTAGATAGACAATAATAGATAAAGGACTCCATGCGATAGTTTGTAACATCCACATTATTGTACCGTGTCATGAAGTCGATAAGAGCTTGTGCGTACAATTACGCCCGTCCGGATCCGTGTCTGCATCCAAGGAGATTTCAAACCATTCGTGTTTTTTTTGTACGATTTGGCTTGGTCAGTTGGGTGTCAAGAGATCAAAAGAGAATGGAAAAAAAAAACTGGGGATGAAAAGGACAGACCACAGTAAAGACACGGGTTGCAAACAAAAGAGGGGGCTGCACTCTTCGTCCTACCCTTCCGAATTATCATAGCGAGCCTGTCAAATAAGCCAAGCAATCCATGCAAGCCAGGGAAACAAACAGGCGGCAATGAGAGCGATGGTCGCCTGGTCTTTTTCCCACACTTCACGATCATGTCCTGTACCCGCCTTGGCACGCGGCATATGATCAAGTTGATCCCCTTCAGTGCGAGCAAGAGGTAAGGAAAAGAAATATGAGAGCAGAGATGGCGAGATGTCCTTTGAAAGGCCGAAGTATACAGAAAGGCACAGTAGGAGGATGGGATACAAAAAAGGGCCTGACACGGCGCACTATCTTTCAAGTAATAGCCCTGTGTTCGTCTCATCTTCGGGACGACTATAAAAAGTATATCCCTACCTCTCTTTACAGACACACACCATCCTTCATAAATGCGGGCCTCGTCCACCATCCTACTATCTTCAGCAATTCTCTTACTGGCAGCAACCGAGGACATCCACCGACGCGCCCTCAACGTCGTCGATGCCCAAGTCTCAGTCCCCGGACGATTCCCCGCCAATTTCGCAGGATCTCTCTACCGAGACCCTCCTTCCCTCACCAGCACCGTAGTCTTTCAGTACCATCACAGCGATCATTTTATCGACCATACCAAGATCCGAGGACCACCTCCGACCCTGCGCCTACCACATCTCGACAATGCCCAGCTCCTGAGCGACGAAGAGATCTCTCGTCGACAACTCACCGAACGAGGGCTCGAACCCGATGGAGCTTACCAGTTTGGAAAAGCGATCGCCGTTGAATCCTTCGATAGCATTTCAACCCTCACAAGGGGCCGCTGGATTTCATTGAAGTCGTTGAAGCACCAGCGGTTCATGTACACTCGCGAAGACGACGAAGACGTGCTCGTCTGGCAACTCGAAATCTATTCCCAATCGGCACTTTCGTTGAACTTGATCTTCTCGGAATTCCATCTCCCCGAGGGTACCGAGTTTTTTGTTTCGGGACGGCGGCATATCTTGGGCGCGTTCACGGCTGCAATTAATAATAAGCCTGATGGGATCTTCGCCACCGCACCCGTCGCCGGAGACAGGTTGTTGTTGGAGTACTATACACCGAAGAAAACGCTGTTGCGAGGGCTGGTGCCGAGGATCCAGCTGAGTCATGTGGTGCATGGGTACAAACCTGCTCCGCTCGCTGCGTCGTCCGATCTCACGGATATGGGTCTGCGCCGTCGGGACAGATCGTTTATCCCAAGGACTGCGAAGAGGAGTGAATTGAGGGACCAGTTTACCTTGGACAATATGGGAGAGTGGGATAGGGATGCGAAGGATGAGATGCTGCCGCCGATTCGAGCTATGTCGGGTAAATGCAATGTAGATGTGGCCTGTCATAGTAACGAGTATTATGAGCAAAGTCGGAGCGTTGGCGTGATTTTGACGGATTATAACCAGAAGTATTGCACGGGGGCGTTGGTCAACAATGCGCGACAGGACGGCCGGCAGCTCTTCTTGACAGTAAGTCGAGTTTTTACTTCTTTTCACTACTCCATTTCTTCCTCGTTCGGGGGGTCATGATCTATTTACTGACAGCAGCTGCCACGGTGGCACATTGCATTTACTTCTATACGACATTCAACAAAAACGCTCGTAGGCAAATCACTGCTCAGAATTCCCAGATACGAGCGCCCATATCGTCATGTTCAACCATGAGAAGCTCCAATGCGGATCCAACTCCGAGGTCGTGAACGAGCACGACACAGCCATGGGCCTCGTCAAGCTGGGGAACTACGCCCCTAGCGACTATACCCTTTACGAAATCGTGGAACTCATCCCTGACGCCTATAACCTTTACCTCTCCGGATGGTCCGCCCTACCGAAAGCGCCCTCCAGTCGTCCTCGTACGCCTGCTCCCCCTCCTCCCTCTGAAGAGGGCACTGAAGAAATCCTGTCCGGCCCATGGAGAACCACTCGAAGCAACATTAAAGATCGGGTTGGTCGCCTCCAAGTTCATCGCAGGAAAGACCCCACCCCCCATTTCTCACCTATGGTGCCCGAAGACGATTCCGCGACCCATATCCCCATCGTGGGGATCCATCACCCCTCCGGCGACTCCAAAAAAATCTCCTTTTTCTTCAACGGTACACTCCCGCGAGCCTGTTGGGCCGAATGTGGGTTAGATGAATATTTTCACTGGAAGATCCCTCGATGGGACAAGGGCACGACCGAGCCGGGTTCGAGTGGATCACCCCTGTTCGATGCAGACAAGCGGATCGTTGGGCAGTTGCACGGCGGGTCCGCGAGTTGTTGGGACCGAGATGGGTATGATGCCTACGGAGCCATCCATGCGTCCTTCCAGACCCCACCTAAGATTAAGAATCGCTTGGCGACCTATTTAGATCCTGAGGGCGAAGGCGTCAAGGTCATGGATGGGCGTAGCCTTGAGATCGCGAGGCGGGAGACACGGGAGCGGAAGGAGCATGAAGGCGAGCAGGAGAGTGGGGAAGTAATGAAAGAGACAGAACAGCAGTGGGTGGGACCTTTGGGATCGACGAGTATGGAGAAGCCGCTGGGGCTGAGAGGGGAGGACAAGAGGTGGTTGTTTTCGAGAGCTCCGGATATGTTTGGACGGACGCATGATGTTATTGAAAAGACCTGGCAGCGCCGTGTCCAGCGACTTGAGGACCTCGAGGAGGAGGATGGCTGAGGATTCATTGGCGGAAGCAGAGCAGGAAACAGGAACGCAGTTCCATTACATTTAACTATCGATGAAAGACGACAGCTTCTTTTGTATATAATACACATTTTTTTTATTGTTTGTTTGTTTGTAAAGGATTCTTATTATTCACTCTTTGGTGTCGCGGAACTCTGCTTCCTTGGCCAATTTTGCAAACTTCTTGGTCTTGACGTTCCGCAGGTTCATGGACGCAGTCTCGATGCCGAGATCGACTGCTGACTGGTAGGCATTGATTGCACCATCAAAGTCTCCAGTCTGCTCGCTGATCACTCCCAAGTTAAACTAAAGAGGTCGAGCAGATAATAAATTCAGTGCAACTATTCCACCATAGCAAGAGTTCGATTTATTCATAACTTGTGTATACCTGGATCTCTGCATCCTGCGAGGAAATATTGGCAGCGGCCTGGAGATGGCTCAGGGCCTCCTTCAGGTTCCCGTTCAATTTGATATGCGCCGTCGCGATGTTGGTATGGACATCTGCGTGGTGCGGCGACAACTTCAATGACTCCTGGAATGAGTTGATTGAGGATTGAAAGTCGCCCAGTTGAAAGTATCCCACGCCCATGTTATAATACGCAGCCGCTATTCACATAGTACAAACCCCCCCAAAAATGAAACGTTAGCATGGTCTTATCTTCCAACCTCAGCCATCTCCAGGTTAACTAAATATCATTAGCTCGCTTGGGCGAACATCATTGGAGATGTTACCTGTGGGTCGGACGTTGATACTCTTCTGGAAGGAACTCATGGCGAGAGGGAGCATATCGTTGTTCAAAAACGAGACACCCTCGTCCATGTACTCCTGTGCCTTATCAAGCATATCGTCCGATTTCGAGAAGTCTGCATACGGCAGCGACGTTGCGAAGCCCTGTCTCTGGTCCTGAGCGCCAACTGCGGTGGCTGCGGTGACCTTCCTAGGCGTGTGTGTGAGGAGCGAGAAGGACCGAGTGATCACAGGGAGTTGTTGGCGGGGAAGCACTCGCCTTGGAGTCGACGAGAGCACGTTTCGAATGAGCGCGTTCCTGAATGCAGACATGTGTTTGAAGGAATGATTCAAGTGAAGGAATGAAGGAGGAGTGGATCAGATCCGTCAAAGGAGGGGGTCTTGCCTTATTCGGAGCTTTTGTGATTATCACTGCCTAACCAACCCGTCAGCTCACAAAAAAAAAGAAGGTACCAGCGTTTCTCACTGACAACTCATCAGGCATTTGCGCTGGATATGGCCAATGTTCAAAATATAGAGTAGTATTGGAGTTTATAGTCTATTATACATGGGTGTCTAGGTCTGATCGTGGATGATCTATGCGAATGCAGTGCACCGATCCAACGGCGTCACATGCGTGCCAGGCACAACCCAGCTGCGGATTGTAATGTACAGCGTAAACACCATCACTGCGGCCCCAAAGATGCCGAGCGCAATATCTAACACCTTGGCCCTCATCGTTGTCGCACAAGCCTTGTAATGGAACATCGCTGGGAAGATGAAACACAGAGGCATGCAGGCGACGCTGCCGACGAACGATACAAACTTGTCCAGATTAGGTCCACCAATCCCGAACGCTAAGAGCGCACAGCAAATAATCAGGACGATCCGAAGAGCATTCTTCTGCATCTTGACCTTGAAGAACTGGCCGCCAGATTTATCGCCGAAAATACCGTACTCGAATATACGTGAGGCTGGCGAGAGCATCAGCGGGACGGAGAGGATGATGGCGAGGGAATAAAGGATTTCGACGGTGATGGTCATACCGTCGCGGATGGGTAGGTTCAGGAGTACGATCGTCTGGATATCGCTACCAAAACTTGCGTAGCAGAGGGCACCGATACTGCCAAAAATCAAGGCGACGATGGTCATGGTGATGGCGAGCACGCGAGGAAATTTTTCTGGCTCGGCCATGGACTCTGTGATAGGAATGACTATTGACGATGGAATTATATGGTATTATTGTCAGCAAGGAAAGGACGCGTTCAGTACAGTACACACAAATACTAGCACGAAGGAATAAAATACGTACTCAGGCCGATGCCTTCAAATGAAAAGACTGCCGTGCCGATGAACAGCGCAAAGTCATCCTTGTTAAATAGCCCAATGTTGGGTCCTACGCCACGATGGACCAGGCTGTTGATGGAGTAGTACCAGAGATAGACGATTCCAAAGATGATAAACAGGTTGGCGAGCATGCTTGGCACAGACAGGACAGCCATGCGGCGGATCAGGACCAAGGGAATCAGCACCACCAATGGGATTAGAATATAATACTTTTCGGAAATCCCATCGAACGTGCATTTAGTGAAGGTCTGGACGACAGCGAACAGGTTCTCGGATACAAAGATCAAGTAGGCGCAGACGAAGCCGATTTGTGAGATAGCCACTGAGATCAGGACCGCCAAACGCATGTACTTTCCAAAAAGGACTGCACCCATGTCCTGAAAGTTCTCGCGGACAACGAGACGCACTTTGACGAGCAGCAGGAAAGCAACGCAGCATATTAACGCCACGGCTGCCAACATCAAGCAGGAGAACAAGATCCCTAGAGAAAAAAAAAAGAGTGGTCTGTGATGAGGATGCGGCGCTTGTTTTCTATTGATATGCATTGGCCGAAGTAACCCGGGAGTCCTTACCTCCGTTCTTGAAAGCACTGGGAAGGAAGAGGACACCTGTGCCAACGAACGCCTTTCCGAGCAAGAAACTAGCCTTGAGCGCCGAGACATTTCCTCGAGGGGCCGCATGCTGGTCTAAGCCTTGTCCAATATCCTTGAGAGTAAAAGAGCTAGTTGTCGAAGAGTGTTGCAGTAGCATTTCTGGCCTAGTCGAGTCCATTGTCTGCTTCTCACTCGAGCCGTCAGTAGAGAGCCCTCCAGCATACGAAGACTTGCGCGAAACCCTGCCATGTACACCCTTCTCTGCTGCCGAGAAACCATCTTCGCCCACGTATGAGTTCCTCCGGGATCGGGTGCCTCCGTAGTTGTCATACATGGAAGTGTACTCGGAGTTGGCATGGATCAGCCATGAGACTGGACGGGAACTCGGCCGAGAATGCGAGTGTGAGTTATGTCTGGAGATGCGCGAGCGTGATGTTGCCCTAGAGCCGGGTGCGGAATGGGGGCTAGTAGCGCCGCTGTGAGCGTGAGGCCCTGTACGGCCACGTTGGTGGTGGTGATGGCGATGTGGTTGCTGTTGCTGTGGCAGAAAGGTAAGGTTTTTATCGACACTTGGGGATGAGCTTATGTGGACTTGAGAAGGTGCTTGTGGAGCGGCGAGATGTGATCCATCCTGTGGTGGTTGTTGCGTTGATTGTAGCTCACCCATGTTAGTTGTTTTTTTGTTTTTCTTTCGCGTACAGGTTGATAAAATACTAATAGTAGAAGGAGATCAGAAGGAAGAGGAGGATAGAGGTTTGAGAAGGGGCCTGCACAAATGGCGACTTTATATATGTGAAGAAATTAAAAGAGTCCGTACCCATACCGATGCAAGGCGATCAAGACATGTAATGGTATTGCGAACCAGGATTGTCGGTGGTTGGGACAATGACCGCATTCCATTCCTAAAAAGGAATTGGATCTCCACTCACTTGGCTGTTGCCATAACGCGCGGTACCTGTGTGTTTGACTCTGTAGGCTCTGTGCCCTACAGGAATACTACTCTACCGGGGCTCCGATTTGGCTGATTACTGTGCTCCTCCTTCGACCCCTTGCAGTAGACTGACCCAATGCCCTAGGCGCCCTTTTGGCAAGGGATGGAGAGTAGAGCACAAGGGCCTGTATTGGCTTATTAAAGGGTTCCTGGACTAGAACTGGGAGCGATGAAGCATTCATGTACCCGCAACAGATATCCAAATGTTTCGCTGTAGGAGGTATAGTAGCGTAGCTCTGACAACTGGGGCTCCCAAAGAAAAACATCGGACCAAAGACCTCGACTACTTTTCCGTCTTCATTCCTTATACGACCATATTCTGACGTCGCTTTGCTCCTTTTGTCGAAGGAGTGATGACGGGGTCTCATCTCCCATGGCCCTTTGGCCCAAATTTGACATGCACGGGGGCCAATGGCGAAATATATGATAGTATAAGTAGTTCTGATCCCTGACTCGGTTGCATGGGTCGAGACATGATCCCTGTTGAAATCCATACCGCAGCTAGCCATCTTCATCACTCCTTTGGTGTTTTGGGAGCCATAGTGTGTGGAGTAATAACCACTTTTGGGATGTAAAACAAATGCTCATAGATCCCTTGTCCAAATACAGCGCGGCAAGACATTTGTTCTGCTCTTCCAGACAGATGGACCCCATCAAGTCGATCCTGCTGCCTTTTTTGGCAGATCGATTGCTGGCTAGCGCTTCCAAGAATCATCCCTTCATGATCGCCCCTTTATCCCCCTCGAAGAATTTGTGTCGAACACAGGTAGTCCATAATTCCTCTTGAGCCCTGTCAAGTATATTGACATTGTTGCTGCAACAGGTTGAAACGAGAAGAAAACGCAAGGGAAATACGGCCTATTAGGTGGATACCGCCTCGCCAACCTATTCTTGTTCGCTGGATGCGCGCAAAGAGTGATGACGATCTATTTCAAGAACCGCCGATCCAAGAGTGCAAAATTCGTACTTCAATTACGTATGTAGATTGCAGAGTTGCTGACGATTGGTCAGAGGGAAGGCATCTCTCAAAAGTGCCTTAATGGAACTTTGCGCATCCATGTCAACTAGCCAGTGTATGATCCGCACTGCAGGCGAACATTGACGTAGAGGCGCGGACAGCTTTAGAGAACACACTTGTACCCTACCCTGGAAACTGGGGTGCATTACGTCACACAGCTCCAGAGGTAAATACCAATTTCCTATTGGTTACCCCATAGCTGGGATCTGAAGCGGTCGTACTTGTTCCTGAGAAAGAGGTACCAAAAGTGATTTGCCTATAATTTGTCGCAATTCTGTTGGCTGATAGGCAATCCAATACAAATTTTATTGCAAAACGAGGGCTCATGCCCTCTGTAATGGAAAACGCACGTCAAGCTTCTTTTCTTCTTGCAACCTCGCTTTTTTTTTTTTCCCTGAATGCCTTCACCCTAATGTTTCCTCGCTGTGCTAGTTGTTTCTATTGGCCACGTCGATGCCGTCGAAAGACTTGTTCCACACTGTGTCTGCCATCTTCTCCACGTCCCTCCTATGCTGATTTAGCTTTTTCCCTCGCATTAACAAAGCAGCAGCATGCAAGAGACTGTGAATTTGGCCGCGAATGGCCCCTTCAGTCTCCCGTTCCCCGGCGCCGTCGTCTTCTTCCTCTCCATCGCTGGTTCCTTCCTCAGCGGTGCTGCCATCCTCCAATACCGAGCTCTCGGGGCCTGAAGGGTCTGATGTCCCTGACGAAGCCAGCTGCTCCACCAGGCTCCTGTACTTCCGTCCGTGAGCATACCTCTGATTCACCTTCGGCTTCAGTGGAGATCCTCTCTCGCTAGTCACCATAAACTTGGACCTTTTCTCCGAATAATCCGTGTCAAAGTCCTCATATTCGGTGTCTTCACCCTCGCTTGTACTCTCGAGCCACTCGTCGCACAGTAGCTCCTCCGCAGGCTTTTTTTTGGGTACAAAAAAGGACATAAAGTTGGCATCGACTTGTTTCTCGTCAATCAGCTTGGAGATGAATGGTGAGCCATCCAGAAGCTTGGAAACCGAAACCATTAGGGCGCCGTGATAGCCTAGAGCGTCTGCGATGCCCAAGCCTTGCTCTTGACTTGAAAAGTTGTGCGCAGGAGTGTCGGCAGTCGCAGTGGCAGAGAGTGGTGGCATAAAGTCCATAGAGAACTGGGGACTGGTGCTTAGCGACTCGTGGTATCCCTGTGATCGGACTTGATGGAGAATGTTGTGCTGCTCCTCCGCAAGTGCTTCTAGTACATCCGTGTCCCTTTGTTCATGAGGTGATAGCTCCAGTTGTTGGGCCTCACATAAGATAGGGACATGGCGGAAGCAGCCCCTGATGGATTGAGGCTTGACGGCATCCCAGGCATGCACTATAAAATGAAACCCTTCCTTGTTGGACTCCTTGAGCTTTGCCTTGAGAATCCTTGTACGTTTAGCTGATGTTGCTAACGCAGTACTTGCCGTGTCAGCACTGTCGCGGCATCTCCTGTTGCAACACCTCCTGTCGCGGCACCCTCGCTCGATTCTGACGCCACGCTGGTAGAGGTCCAATTGTCATTGTGCTTCTTGATTCGCAGTTTTAGGATGAAGTCGCGATACCGCTTTTTGAAAACAGATATTACTCCAGCGTCGAGTGGCCATTATCTTGATATTCGGGAAGTCGGGGCTTGACCGTGCAGCCTTTGTATGACAGGAGGCGTTGTCGACGAGAAGTAGAATCTGCCTTGAAGGATCCTTTTCGACAATGGACTGCTGGAAATTCTTGAGCCAGCCAAGAAAGAAGGGGTTCATGTAATCTGCACACTTCTTTGGCTTCGCCTTCGGTATCCTTGCCACCTGCTCACCCTTCTGCTGGCCCTTGACCATGTCCGTCGCGTCCTGTACAGCCCTTTCCGTCACGTCCTGTACAGTCGTATCCGTTGCATCCTGTACGACAATGACCGCTGCCTCCTGTTCAGCGACATTTTGTTCCTGAGCGTTGGTCTGTGGTTTCCATGGCTCAACTTCCACCAAGCCCTGCAACTCCTCATCATGCCGAAACCCTTTAGGAAGTTTTTCGCCTAGTGCGCAATATGGAATACCAGACATATGTTCATAGCCGTGACAACTTAACCAAATTGAAGAGTGATAACGCACATGGAGAACTTACTGAGGATGAACGGCTTCCTTTTGTCACTGTCTGTGGCGTTGGTGCAAAAAAGAATTGACACCCGTATCGAGGGGATCTTTGTTCCAGCCGCCCCTCCATCCATGTCCACTGTCCAGCTCGACGTGCTCTGAAGAAAAAGGCCAGTCTCGTCTGCGTTATATATGTCGTCCAGTTTGAACGTGGCAGCGGAAGTCTTGATGATCTCGACGGCAGCCGCAATGACGTTCCAGTCCATGGAGGCAGTCTTCCCCCCTGAGCTGAAAATATGAATATCCCCAGGTGCTCTTGAAACTGGCCATCAAGGGGACGTGAACTTCGGTTTGGGGAATGTTAGGCGGCCCACTGTCGAATGCAACGTGTCGTAGACCTCTTTGGCCATCAATTGCAACAACCACTGGTCGACTGGCGCTTTTTGTTTGCGAAGATCTTGGATCTGCCCGTTCAGAATCACCTCAACGGGATAGAACTCGCGGACGTTGTGTCTAGTGTTACTCCGGGACTCTAGCAAAGCTGTAGGCATCCTGTTAATCTTGACCCTGTCCTTGAGAAGTTGTGATACTGTTTTTGGTCGCAGGTTGTGTGCTGTTTCAAAGTCGGTCATTTGTGGTATCAATCCCAGGTCGGGGTTGCCGAGTAAGTGTCTCTACCCGTCGACGAAAACGTCCCAAGAACCAAGGAGTCGGTTCTTGTTACCAAGGGTTATCCTAGAGTATTCGTTGGTTGAAGGATCTTGCAACGATTGTATAGGAGCAAACCCCTTCTTTTTTTTAGGTGGCATGGGATATTGCAGTGTTGTGGTGCTAGAGTTGCAGGATGGTGGTGAGGAAGGAGTGTCGACGCGGAGCCAGCGATGAGGTTTAAGTCGATGAATCGATGCGGAGGCTTCCATATCGAAGGAATGATGGCTTTGGTTGCGAGGGTGGACATGCCATGGGTATGGCTATGGCCCATGGCCAATATGGCCCATGGATGCATGCGTTTCCGATTACATAGGTAATAAAAATTTTATATTGGATTGCTTACCATCCAAGATTTGCAGCAAGCTATTATATGCAAATCACTTTTGGACCAACATTGGTCGAAAAGTGATATAGGACTCTCTATACAGATGGATTTCTACAATAAAATGTCTTTCGATCTCGACAGTCGATCGTTTTGTTCTTCTGTCACTTGAACAGCAAGGTTCCTAGCGAGAGTCGTGGTTATCGGAGCATAAAGAAACCTGAGGTTCTAATTACAGGCTGAAGTAACACTCTGGGCACGCGAAGTGTTCTCAAGTAACGGGGCTGGTTTTTTTGGCAATACTCGAGCGCATACTTCTAGGTGAGTGTATGGGATATAACGCTATCGATACAGAGACCAGCCATCCCGGCTAGCCGCTTTTCTATGCAGTTGGTGTGAATATGCGCTCGCCGGCATTTGACACTTTGAACTAATAGTCGATTTTCACATCGGATATGAACACTTTTTGCATGTGGGGCGTTCATGTGCACTCGCGGAAACCACGGCCAGTGCTCCGTGCCAATACGCTCTGCCGCGCCATATCCTACCCACCCCTCTCTTCTCCTCTTTCACTCCTCATTCCACACAACTTGCGCATTCGCTCCCTCATTTACAATGACATTCACCTCCACTCCTCCTGCTCTCCGTCTGCAGCAGATCAGTAACCATCTCGCCGACAAGAACACCACAGGTAAAATGTTGTTATTACACACATGGCTCCTGTTGACACGTCCACAATATATATGTACTTGCCGTCTAACATTCGCTTTTGTTGCAGCCTCCGTCTTTGAGAGCGTGAAGGAAGCGCCCGCCGATGTCATCTTTGCTCTGACATCCTCATACAAGGCGGATACGTATCCTCAGAAAGTCAATCTTGGCGTGGGTGCATACCGTACAGAGGAAGGCAGGCCATGGGTGTTACCCGTTGTCAAAAAGGTACAACATTCATTCGATCAAGCCCGGTTGCACATACGGCTCAATTTGCATCCAGATCGATAACCAACGACGGTCTTTTGCCTATTGTGTTACCTCCCTGCTGGGTTGCGTCTCGGTCGGTTTAGGCAGACCGCATCCTGGTCAACGACGAGAATCTGGATCATGAATACCTCCCCATTCTAGGATCGGACGCCTTCCGTAAGGCATCCTCAAAGCTGATCCTTGGAGCGAATTCCAAGGCCTTGGCCGAGGGCCGCGTTGGCTCTGCGCAGTGTATCTCCGGAACTGGTGCTGTCTATACCGGAGCCCACTTTCTCTCGAAGCATTACCCTATCAAGGGTGCCGCATGCTATATCTCCAAGCCTACTTGGGGTAAGTGAAGGGCCCGTTCTCATTAGGTAGCATCTCAGCTCCTATCTCTTTCTTCATTTGAGGGACCTATACACGTTGCAGCCGGACGCAACATGTGCTCTCCATACACATTTACACTTTACATGAAAGCAAATGCCGGCTCAATCTCCTTCCGTCGCTCGGGATATATTACAAACCAAATTGCCTGGATTAAGTATAGCCGTGGTTCAGCAACCGGACCATTAACATTCGCATCCTTGCTGCTACTATAGCCAACCATCGCGCGATTTTCGAAGGCGTTGGTATCCCAGTGCTCGAATACCCGTACTGGGACCCAGCTACGAAGGGCCTGGACCTTAAGGGTATGCTCGGTACTATGCAATCGGCGCCCAATGGGTCAATCTTCTTGCTCCATCCATGTGCCCATAATCCTACAGGAGTCGACCCGACACCCGAGCAATGGAGACAGATCGCAGATGTTATGGAGGCCAAGGGTCATTTTACATTCTTCGACTGCGCATACCAGGGCTTTGCGTCCGGCAGCCTTGATAAGGATGCGTATTCGGTTCGGTACTTTGTTGAGCGCGGATTCGAGCTGTTTGTGGCCCAATCCTTCTCAAAGAACTTTGGACTATACTCTGAACGTGCTGGCAACCTGACGATTGTCGCTCGGACTCCGGAGGTCAAGAACAGGGTGGAGTCGCAGATTGCAAAGGCTCAGCGTGCGGTTATTTCGAACCCTCCTGCGTACGGATCTAGGGTCGTAAGTGTGGTGTTGAACGATGAGAAGTTGTATGCGGAGTGGGAGACGAACCTGTCAACGATGGCGAACCGGATCATTGATATGCGCAAGGTGTTGTATGATGAGCTGACGAGGCTGGGCACCCCTGGAAAGTGGAACCATATTGTGGACCAGATTGGCATGTTTTCGTTCACAGGATTGACGACGCCACAGGTGAAGGTGTTGAAGGAGAAGTACCATGTGTATCTGACGGACAATGGGCGCATCTCGATGGCGGGGTTGAACAGCAAAAACGTCAAGTACTTTGCCCAGGCTGTCGACGACGTTGTCAGGAACCATTAAACCACCAGGAAATAAATTTGTTGGAGACAGTTGAATTTTTTCTATCACTGCTATCATTGTTTTTTTTTTTTTTTTTGAAAAAGAGAGAGGAATAGAAGAGGGCTTTCTTCTGCGTTTGCGATCCAAGGATCACAACACTCATCTGAATAGGATGTTGGGTCAGGAGCCTTTTTATAATCATTCAGTTGAATAATTCAAAGAACTTTCATCATTGAAAATATATGTTTGAAGTCCCGTAGGATCTTCATACAGATATAGTTGTCCTATTGATGAATGTAAGGAACAAAATTTGGTCCAGGGGAACGGTCGTATTTATACGCTTCCTGGGACAGTCCCAGGGACTGGAATTTTTTTTCGTCAGAAAAAACAACAAATGGGGCCATTCACTCTTTGTGGGGACCTTTTTCAGACGCAGACTGTCCAAAATTGCTTTTTAGACAGCAAGACGCTGTTGTGACAGTCCATTTCAAAGTGATAGTCAGTTCTAGTCGCCGATTAAAAAAAAAACCGATTAGCGGAGAACCTCAGTAACGTGCCTGGGGCACTTACAGGCTGTCCTGGTGAGGATACGACCAGTGGTTGACACTTGAAAGCAAATAAATCGAAAAAAAGTCCCGTGTTTTGCAGCTCGCTCTGTATTTCATCCCGAGATGCGTGCAAGGACCTAACCTACCGCCTATCCTTTTTTGAGCATCAACGCAACTCGAAATGGTTTTTGTAATACTGTACATGTGCCATGCTGGCACCTTGCATAGCGTTCTTTATTTTGCAAGGAATAAGTAGAAGCTATGATGGAGGTATAAGCGCTCACGCAAAAGGCGACTCAACAGTGACCATATTGAGCTGATGCGAATGCGTCGGACTTGAATGGTGTGGGAGTTGGTGGTGGTGGCGATGATGATGATGACTCTGTCGGAGTCCCTCCAAGTCTACCTTCTGCATCTGCCCAATCGACACGATCGTCGGCCCATTATCATAAGTCGACATTGTCATCCTTGGATCGCACTCATACGACGGCACAACCTGATACAAGACCTGTTTCGAACTCGGCGACATCTGTTGCTGACTACTCTGCGTCTGGTTGTGATTTAATGTGGTAGCATTCGATGCCGTGGCATAGTGATCGTGCCCACCCATCGAGTCGCATCCACTATCCGCAAAATCTTTCGGCAGCGGCATCAATTGGGAGGACGGCCTGGTCTTTTGACCTGAATGCTGAGGCTGCTCTGACGCTGTCGCCGCTGCAGAAATAAGAATCGGCTCACACTCACCGCTACCAATTCCGCTATTGAACACACGATGGGACGATGCCGAGTGTCGCAGCACAGACGATGCCGGAGGAGGCGTCAGAGACGTCTGTGCGAACGGCGATTGCAGCACACCGTCGTCAAGGTCCTGATCACCAAGGAGGAGCGCATCCACATCGTCCTCTAACTCCTTCCTTTGGAATCCCAAACGCTGCGGCAGGACCGGATCCACAAGGCTTTCACGTGGATTCTTGCTGCTTCGACCGTTGATATTACCGTTATTGTTGTTGCTGGCATCGTTTTGATAGTTGGATTGGGCGGTGTCTGGTCTCGAGACCGGGGTGACCAAACCCTTACGCTGTGTAAGTGTTGTAGAGTAGATGTGTTGGTTGTGGATCGACGTATTCAGGTGTTGCTGGTGATGAGGAGAAGGCGTCAGCGCGTCGCGGATATGGGTCGAGGGCAAGGAAATGTCACGGAAAGGAGACTCGGCCGATCGACTGTTCCTCTTCTTGGACGAGATACCGAAAACATCCTTGAATATTTGTTTCATCCGATTGTTGCCCCTGGGTTTGCTCATAGACGTCTCCGTCCATGTCTGGTTCTCCTCGCCTCCACCTTGCCCCTCAATCCCAAACGGGGATCCCCCTGGCCGGGTTGAAAACAACGGAAGCCTAGTATGGCTAGCATTGGAATTCGGAGACCAGGTCTCCTTCTTGGAAGCAACAGGCATACTCTCGTGCCGCTGGTGTTGTCCCTGGCGTCGACGAGTCAAGAACGAGAATCTAGATGAAAACCGCGCTGGTTTCTTTTCCTCCACAAATGTCAGAGGTGGGGACGCCAGTTGCCGTGTCTGCTGCTGTTGTAGATGTTGTTGATACTGTTGTTGTTGTTGTTGTTGTTGTTGTTGTTGCTGTTGTTGTTGTTGCTGTTGTTGATAATATTGTTGTTGAGCGTGTGATATAGAATGTTGACGACGATATCTTGCGGCCATCTCGGTTCCAAATTCGTCTTCCTCGTCGTCGGGGCACTGAGGCTGTCGGAAGACGTTTTGTTGTTGTTGAAGCTGGCGCCCCTGTTGCCAGTCTGGGCTTCTTATGACAGGGTTATATTCGTAGGTCGGGTACTTGTTCAGTGGTGAGGATGGAGCAGCTGGGGAGGGTTGTCGTTGAAGCTGTGAGTGCAGGTTGGATGTGTCTCCATAGATGTGGATGCCCGCTAGACTGTCAGGATCGAGTTCTTCGAGCTGCCGCCAGTCATTCTCTTGACCGATACCCGAATAAAAGGACTCGCGGTAGAGAGTTTGATCGTGGTGGGTCATAGTACGAGGCAGGGCCCTTGGTAGGGCCATGGTTGGGTCAAGCCCGTCTGGAATATAGTCTTGATGACGGGGTGATGGATTAAGACTACGCTGCTGCTGAAGGAGTGCTAGGGGCGGAGGGGGCGAGCGTGGGCGAGTGTGCTGTTTGGAGGAGTGTCGAGAGGCTAGAGGGTGCAGTCCTTGGTCTGTCTGCCGTTGTTGCGGCAGTTGTTGTTTATGTTGTGGCAGACCCTCGAATTGCTCTTGTTGTTGATAGTTACGAGGATGTGGAGGTGGAAGTTGAGCGCTGTGTAACTCAAGCGCGAGGTCTGACCTCGATGGACTGATGTTGCTGTTGCTGGTAGTGTTCCGCCACCGACCCTTCTCGGCCGTGCTGCGGAACAGCTCCTCCTCCAGCGTGATAAGTTCACGCTGCAGTTCGACATAGTTGAGGATATGCTTCAGCTTTGCCTCTCTTGAGGGTGGACTCTAGAGAGGGAGGGATGCAGAGCGGCAGGGATATGAATTAGGGGGTGAAATGGATGGCATGATAGCATGGAGGAAAGACGCGATTTGTCCAAGGAGACACACGCGTTTTGGTGGCAACTGATTGAGCGATTGGATTGGAGAACCAGGAGAGTGGGACCTCCGCGGAGAGGTTGAAAAAGAAAGAGAAGACGCGTTATTCATGAACACATAAAAGACAAGAGAAGCATGGAGGTGTTGGTGGATGATTATGAGGACAGGATAAGAGTCGGCTGTCGCCATCCGCCCTTCAGGACCACAGCCAAACTGTCGCTCCAAAGTTCGTCTTTTCCTGCCCTTCCTCTCTTGTAGTGCGGCAATACCACAAGATACAAAAAGGTACAGATGACTAGATTAATTTGGACAGATACACATGTCTTTGTACACACAGCCAGGCATATGTCCAGTTTGTTGTTTTGCATGATTCCCCGTGAATGTGATTCGCATACAACGTAGGCCAGAAGAGAAGGAGGGTGGACAGGTGTGCTACCAGCAATAAAAACATAGGGATGTTGCAAATAGTGCGCCATAGTGGCGGTTGTCGCGACGACTTACTGTGATGGTGTGTCTGTACAGGTTGGCCTCTGTGAGAGGAGCGACTGAGGACTGAAGCCGCTGGGAGACCCGCCTCGAGATTTTTGTCGAGAATTCGGGCACCGCAGCCATTGTATCTCACTGTACAGTGCGGCGAATATGATTGTTTATAAATAACAATAAGAATAATGGTGCAGAACAAGTGAATACAACAACACTAACAATAGATGAGAAAGAGGGATCGATCGGGGTGGTTACAAAAGAGCGATGAGGATGAGTGATGAGATCAGGCAGGCGAAAGAATGTTGGAAGAGTGGAGAGTATAGGACGTCAGGATATGGTGCCGGCTAGGGGGGGATTGGGAGTGGGGTGGGAGTGGAGTGTGAATATGAGTTGGCACACAAACAAAATACGATATATGATACGGGGACCAATTGATGTCTCTTTTTTCGGTCCAGAACGACGAAGCGACTGAAGGACAGTGACAAAGTGTGTTAAGGGAAAGAACAGGGACCTTGGATGGATGGAGCGTCGAGGAAGGGGCCAGAGGGTGGCCAAGGAGTAATTATCAAATTGTGAGCAATAAAAGGTTCAGTGGAAACAAGGAAAAAAAAAAGGAAAAGTGCAATTGGGAGGTGAGATAATGGTTCGACCGTTAAGTTGCAGTTGCATGACCATTTGACGAGCAAAAAGAGTAGCGTATTTCGATCGAAAGCTGCTCCTGTTTCCAAAGGGATCAGGGGCGGAAAGAAGGAAGGAAGAAAGGAAGGAAGATGGAATAAAAACACAAAAGTGGTTACAAGAGGGAGGTAGAAAGAAGAAATTGTCAAATAACATTGGATTGGATAGAGGACGAATAAATTCATTTTTTTCCACTCCGCTACAATAGCCCAGGGGGATGAAGAGGACGAATGGAACAATACAGCGGGCAAAATTAGGCAATGAGAATGGTGCAGCTCAAACTATACATTGCTTGCTTCAGCAACCATTGGTTGGCGTTATAAAGAAACGAGCGAAAAATCACTGCCACGCCGGTCCCTCTTTGCGGCTGCGCTTGGTCTTTGTCTGCGCCTTGGCTTTGTCTAGCCTGGCCTGGGCTGTGTGTATGTCTGTGTCTTCGCGGGACAAACCAATACATCAATCGGCTTTGCAAAAAAGAGGGTCGCTTCCTGCCTCTGTTTACATTGACTCTTGCAGGAAAGATCGCGTCAGCCCTCCATGTCCAAAACACTGTTGGTCCGTTCTCCTTCCCATTCATTCAAAGACAATAAGAAGAACCAGCAATTACTACACACGCTTTCTTCTCTCCTTTCCTCATCTTTCTTCCGGGTCAAGCGCAAAAAAAAAAATCCTTGTGGAACTCAATAAAAAGCCGGCCTTATAATCGATTAATGTCTTGTCCTTGATTGCGATTTGAAAGCATCGCATCTATTACAATCACTTTTGTGAATATAGCAGCAGGGTCGCTCAAGGGCCATAAGCAGGACTTCCTTCTGATTAGCTGCTTACCTCTACCATCCCATCGTTGCAAACTCGAGGAACAGGAGAAAGGAGAAAGGGCGGACATGGAAAGGGGCGAATGACTGAAGGGGCCATCAGACGAGGGAACACGAAGTGGAACGAAGAAAAATAGAGCTACTCCTATCGCTGATGTTGCTGCTGTAATGACCAGCCCTGGTAGACAACTGCAGGATCCCGCAGGATATGCGGCCGATTGATTACCTTTCTGATCTCTTGCTAGCTGGGGTCTTGTCCTGGATCTGGAATGTACTCTCGTGACAAGGATAGTTAGTACACGCAGTCTGCAAGGCAAACGGATGAATCACTGCGTTATATCCATCCATTATTCCTGTGCTCTTTGTGGCAAATTATTCCTGACGGGAAAAAAATGCGACTGCATCCAACAACGCACAAAGCAAGACCATTCATTTCACCAGCACCGCGGTAAAAACACACATCATAACCCAATGCCAAATATGTGTAGTGCATTGATACTGAGTTACCCTGTATGTTTAGGGCGTTATCTCTTGCTCCCAGCCATTGTTTCGATCTCCGGTTAGCATTGATACTGAAAACGCCCTTTTGTTTTCTGCCTACTACCGTACCTCGTCCTGTTACCCAGGCGTACTCTTCCTGAGGAGGGGGTTGAATCCCTGTCATGGTTTAGACTGGTTGCACTCAAGAGCGTTGACCTTTGCTGATACAAGCACATATCATGTCGCTATATGGGCCTGTGCTTCCCGTGTGTACACGTGTAATCCATGGAGCGTGGCGAAGTCGTGGGCTTCTTGAATCATGTTCACGTACGGCACGTACACTTTAAACAGGGAACGCGATCGTCTAGGAAACAAGAACTACTTTATCGCATAGACATGAACAATGGTGGTCTGTGCTTTTTTTCTGACGACATCCAGCTAGGTGTTCAGTACGACATTCTCGTGCATCAAGCTGTGAATTATCTGGGAGCCGGAGATATCTTCCTATTGTCCTCATCACCGCGTTGATACTGCTCGACATCGGTCTTTATGAGCTCGTGCACTCGCACTCGCTCTGCTTTTTAGCCAAAACGTGCTCCACTGCAGCAAATCATCTTCGTTTACTCTCCTTATGAGAGCTTTCCCATCGTTTCAGCAGATCAAAGTAGGTCCATAGAGGAGTTCAGCACGAGCGTGAGAGAAGGGTGCCATACCGGTACAAGCAACAGGAACCAATCCTGCTGGAATATTTCCCATTCTGATCACCCACAACAGCGATGGCATCAAAATGGGCAGAACGAACGATAGAGAGGGATGATTGACGAAGAGAGCTAGCATCCATGGCATCTGTCCTGTTCTGCCTTGTTCTATGTTGTTCTGTTCAGCTGGTAGAATTTTCTTTGTAAAAGATCATTTCATTATTTGCCTTACGCCAACTGCACCTTCTACTGCCTTTCACTCATCTCTGTCAAGTCATCTTCTCATCTCTCGCCAACACACTCGAGCCCACACAACGAATATGACTCAGGCGTCAGGACCATCTTCACCCCGTTCACGGGACCGCCCTTCCTCCTCTCCGGCCCCACCGACCTCGTCTTCCTCTCCACAGCATTCCGAAGGAACTGCATCTCATCACTTCGAACATCTGCCAGCCCAGTACGCCAGCGCCATGGGCGGAGTCCTGGTGGTTGATCCTGTACGCATTCGAATCTTAAAAAAATACTCATGGCGCGAACCCCATCACGTTTTGCATGACTGACATCCACTTTTTGCCTGCCTTTTTTCATAGCATATGATGCCTCCAGGTTATGTGCTCGGCCAGGTGGCACCTTCTAGGGTTGACGAGCCAGAGGAACCACTTTATGTCAATGCGAAACAGGTACGCTGAACACCGCAAAGGTGCCGGTGTGGGGTTTGACTGATCCTGAGGACAGAGGACCACATCAACCTCGAAAGATGGAGGATGCATAAGAGTGACATCGCTGTGTCGCACCCCAGCGTGATCGCTTTTCTTCCTCTCTGCCTTCGCTATACACCTCCAAGGTCTTCGTACACGGGCGTGTATTTGCGTTCCTAGCATTTTTGGATTGTTTGGTTCTGCTTCGTTCTCGCGGACGCGACCAAACTACAGCGAAATGATTGGCTTGCATGGGCCAGCCTATCATCGTCGGTTTTTCCCTTCTTTACAAATGCTATGGGGGAATACTATGAGAAAGGATTAAAAACCTCTACGGATAATGCGGATAATACAGTGGTGCTTGCTTTTTGCTCACTTGTCTCTCATCTTTTGGGATATCACAATCAGTTGCTACCTCGGAGCGAGAAGGGCCTGAGGCCCTTTCTAACAAACATGTAATTGTCTCTCCTGTGCGTCTTATCTATACAGTACCACCGCATTCTGAAAAGAAGGGCTGCCAGAGCGAACCTCGAGGCTGAGAATCGCCTGCAACAGCGTGGTCGCAAGGTAAGCGGCGATCTTTTCTTTGTCCTGGTCCCCCAGGAAATAGAAGACTGACCATCTTCCCACCCTTGCTGCCTTTCTATTTTTTCTTCCCTTTGTTTGTTTTGCGTAGTTCCTTCATTTGTCACGCCATAATCATGCAATGAGACGCCCACGTGGGCCTGGAGGACGGTTTCTAACAGCAGCCGAGATAGCTGCGATGCAGGACAAGGAAAAGTCCGGCGAAGATGACCAGGCTGGACAGCTGCACGACGGGAGCTCTGCACAGGGTTACGATACCAACCATGCTGCCCCATATCAGGTGCAGCAGCACCACCGACAGCAGCTGAAACAGGAAGAGATCTATCAGCAACAACAGCAGCAAAAATTACAGCAACAGCAACAGCATCATCACCCCCAACGTCAGCAGCAGCAGCAATACCATCAGCGCCAGGCATACGAGACAGGTGTGTAAACCTGTCCATGGAGCTATTTAGCGTTGACGAGAAAGCGACAATATCTGCTCACTGCTTGACGGATACGAAAGTTATAGACATAGCCCTTCCTTGAACGACAAATCCATTGTAAATACATACCGTTATCGAAGAAAATAATAAAAAAAAAAAGACATAATAACATGATTCACATAGCAGAGAATACCGTTTGAATGATAAAGTGGATAGCAAAAAGTTGTGTTTTTATTAGGAATCAAGGATTACGTTCTTGGCCGGGGTTTGTTGCCACCAACTACCATGCGCGAGACGAAGGGAGGTCTCAACAGACAACAAGACGAAAACTTCAAAGTCGCCTCGGCCCTGCTTGGCTCAGCAACGACATGTCCGCGCCGCGGAGGAAAGAGTCATCCATAGACGATCTCTTGTGTAATGTTCATAAAATAACTAACGTATGGCAAGACTCCTCTGTGAGCCATCGATATTTTGTTGTCGGCTAGTCATGTCCTCTGTTTGAGAAAGAAGAATAGGAAAGGCTGAGTACAGTAGTCTGATCTTACTCCCTCGCATGTCGCAGCACTTGGCACCAGTATTTTAAACCGCTGCTGTTGCTGAAAAGCGAGTCAATTGAGTCCTTAATCGTGGCCCCGCTTTCTTTTTTTTTTTCATGGCAGCCGATAGATCATGTGATTTGAGCGAGCGACGTAAATTTTGGCTGGTCTCCCACAGCAGTCCTTTGTTGTGAGCGAGCGACCTCAAAAAAAACTCCGTCGCTCGCGTCGCTGAGTCACCTATAGTCGCGAGGAAGTTCCAAACATACTTGCGACTACAGGTCTCAGTCGAGTTCAGCTCATGACACTTGGGGGTGGTTTCTAAAAACGATTACAATTTAAACATTCGGCCTCTCGGAGGGTCAAAAAATTTCAAAATCAGGGAGAAGCTGAGAAATCTAGAGATGACGTCGAATGTTGGATTTAATACGTAGTTATTAGACAGTTTGCGAAACAAATCATCCAGTACAATCAAAGTTTATCAAGTAGGGACTCGCACTTTTGGTCATTGCGAAAGTCTTACCACAAGTTCACCGCAATTTCGCAAGTTCACATTGCACCAATGGGAGCGCATTTTTTTCACATTTAAAAAAAAACACAAGCAGACGCGAACTATGCTTACACGCTTTAATTAAAGAAAGGTGGTGTGCTTGCTTTTAAACTCCATTGTTCTTCCCTCCGTCCTTACTCATTAAAGCCCACAGAGATGGAGCGCGATACAGACAGTGACGCCAGCAGCATCTACAGCAATGACACCGATATCGACGAACTCCACGCTGCATACGAGCTTAATGCCGTGGACGAAGTTCTACATGATGACGATGAATTCGATCATGTTCTATGGGATCAAGAGTTCGACGGTTTTGAGCGCAACCTTTTGGATGCTGAGCTCGAAGGCCAGATCCAGTATGAAGCTGACCTGGCCGCGAACAGAGAGGAGGGGGTGGTTATTCCTGATCGCGCTGAGTATTTCTTTGGTGTGGATGAGATTGGGGCCGAGTTGGAAGACATGCGGCTCGAGGCTGCCAACGAGATCGAGAACGAGGATCATGAACCCGAGCAGGAGCAGGGAGACTTCGAGGATGACAGGAGAGTTCAAGCTATTGTGGCAGGTATTGAGCTAGTGAGAGGGGCTGTTGAAAGGATGGATGATGAGGTTGTGCCAGATCCTGATGCTCAACAGCAGCTGCAGCGCTTCATTCCAGTATTACAACTTATTGCACAGGCGATCCAGGTGATGCATGGAAACTTTGTGCAAATACGGCCCAGGATTGAGCGACCTCGCATACCCAACATTCGTTTCGATCTCGAACAAGTCCCTAGACCAAACTGTCAGCTCTATTTCCGCTTTTACCAGGAGGACATTCTGGAGATGGTTGTTGCATTGCGAACGCCAGAGATCTTCGTCCTTGACAATGGCTCCAAAGTTCACTCTGTCGAGGCGCTTTGTATCGTGTTGCGTCGACTTGCATATCCATGCCGCCTCTTTGATCTCATGGATATCTTTGGACGATCACAATCTATGCTATCACGCATTTTCAACCACACCCTTCGGTTCCTCTATCGGCGATGGAGGCAAAGACTCTTTTGGGATCCCATCCGTCTCGGCCCCGACAAGTTGGAAGAGCTTCATTATGCTATCCGAAGGCAGAATGCACCATGCCTTTCAAGCTTTGCATTTATTGATGGTACTGTTCGTGCAGTTTGTCGTCCAATCGATGGGCAAGAGCAAATCTACAATGGCCACAAGCGCGTTCACGCCATGAAGTATCAGTCAGTTGCCACACCCGATGGTATCATTGTTCACCTGTCTGGGCCGTTTGCAGGGAACCGCCATGATTCGCGTCTTTTCGAGATGTCTGCCCTTGCTCCGATTCTTCGAGCATGTGCAAAAGGGTATGACAACCGCCAGATGAGTCTGTATGGAGATCCTGCTTATATACTGAGCGACATCATGCAGCGGCCGTTCCACACAGCAGGCATCTCTCCTGAGGAGCAGCGTTTCAATGAGTGTATGTCTAAGGTCAGAATTGGTGTTGAGTGGTGCTTTGGTTACGTTCTGCAATACTTCCCCTTCTCTGATTTCTTATGGAGGTGCACACCCACTATATTTGCTCTGTCCTTTTTGCAAACATTCGCTCCTGCATCCGACAAACAAACTCATCCTCTTCCAAGTTTCGAGTCAACCCCCCACTCTTGATGAGTATCTTCATGATTAAACAAGGCAATCAAAACGTTTATATTAAGGGATATAGTAGTGCTGTGTATTAAAAAAAAAAAAAAAAAAAAAAAAAGAGGATTGAATTTAAATCTTTTTTCGAATATCCGAAACGAGTCCGTTGATGTTTTCCATGAGTTCCAACATTCTTTTCTCAACAGTACTTGCTCGTGGAGCCTGTGATCGCGGAGCGCGTCTGTTGATAGGGTTGAAGCGAACAGATTCAGCTGTTGCCAGGCGGTTTGGATTCGAAGATGTTGCTGTGGTGGTAGATGATGAACTTGAGGAAGAAAAAGATGATGAAGTCGAAGAAGAGGGATCCATGGATGATGAGGATGCTGCCGTGGCCGATGAAGTCGTGGGCATGCTCATCTGTCGTAATGACTCCTGCCTGTTGGTATGACCATAAAACTCCTCCAAGTTTTGAGCCGAAAAATCATCCACTGTGCTTTGACTTTGTTGCTGTCTATGCCCGTCGAAGTCGTCTTCCTTCTGTACCAGTTCCAGCAAAAGCTCATCCTGCCTTGTCATAGTCTCTGTGCCGCCACTTGACCTCCGTGATGCTGCCTCTTGTTGCTTGAATTCTTTTTTAAGCGCATCATATCGCCTCATGCAAAGAAGGTAGTTAGCCTTCTTTAGGTCGCGCCCTCCTTGTGTCCTGACATATGCTGCGACCTTCTCCCAGGCCTCCTTCTTCTGACCATGTCCAACGAAAGGTGGGTGTCCCATCATGCCCTCGAGTAGAGTGATAGTGTTGGCGTGGTAGTTGTTGCTCCTTGGTGCGAAACCTTGACATACATCGCGCTTCTTTCTAACCGACTGTTCCTGACTATGCTCCATCATGGTATCCATCGAGGTGGATCCATTGCGGTTTTGGAGAGTGGACTCTCCCTCTTGCTCAGGTTCCTGGGATTGCAGTTGTGCGGGTGGTTGTTGGTGCGAGACTTGGTCAAGTGGAGGGCGAGGTAGCTGAGGCCCTTGTTGCGTGGAGAAGCGAGGAGGATGAGGTGCGAGAGGACGTTGTTGCTGCAGAGACGCATACGGCTGATGCTGCTGTTGTTGCTGAGGGGCACTCTGTTGCGGCACATACTGCGGTTGCTGCTGCTGTGATGTAAAGGTGGACTGTGTGAAGCTCATTGACGAAGAGAAGTAATGGAGTGACAAACTCATGTTGACTTTTCTTTTCATATATCTAGACAAAGCCGCCTGGTAGCAAGCCAATCAAAACGCCGAATGAACTTTGCTTCTGACCCTCGAGTTCAGAGCTCGAACTCGAGCTTCAGAGGCATAGTTGAGTTTGAAAAAATTCACTAGCGTGAACTTTATTGAACTTCGAGCGAACTCGAGGGTCGAGTTCAGTTTCGCAAACTGTCTATTGTCTATAGTCCGATAACAACGAGTTTATACTCTTCTACCATCAACTTCTATAAACCCTCTGAAAAATGGCTAGTACAGAAAAGCACTTTGTCACGGATCCAAAGACACTAGTCAAGGACAGTCTCCAAGGCTTCACCATTGCCAATCCACACCTATCTTTCGACGAGAAGAACAAGGTCGTTTACGCCAAAGATCTTGCAGCACGACGCCAAGAGCAGGTCACCCTCTTTTGCGGTGGTGGTAGCGGGCATGAACCCGCGCATGCTGGATTCGTTGGACATGGCATGCTCACAGCAGCAGTATCTGGTCACGTCTTTGCCTCACCCACATCGTCTCAAGTTCTTTCATGTCTGCGCAGGGTCTATTCAGAAGAAAAGGGAACTCTGGTCGTGATCAAGAACTATACAGGAGATGTGCTCAATTTTGGTCGAGCCGTCGAGCGCTTCAAATCAGAACGTGTTCATCAGGATAAGGGCCAGCCCAAGGTCGCCATGGTGGTCGTGAACGATGATGTCGGCGTGATCAACCAAGAGGACGACGATGAGGGAGGAGTCGGCCGCCGCGGTCTTGCAGGCACAGTCTTGGTTTATAAACTTGCTGGGGCTCGTGCTGCCAACGGCGGAACTCTGCAGCAGGTCAAGCAGGCGGCAGAGTACGGAATCTCACATACTTTTACGATTGGCTGTGCGCTCAATGCGGCCTCAGTGCCCGGACAGGGTTTGCCCCGTACGCTCAAGGATAACGAAATCGAAGTTGGGATGGGCATTCACAACGAACCAGGATTTGAGAAGAAAGGGCTCGAACCAGCTGATGTCCTAGTGCAAGGCCTAATCGACCACATTGTCAAAAGCCAGCCCTTCCAAGCATGCCGTCCCGATGGCAAGGCTCGTGTGGTGCTTTTTATCAACAACCTCGGCGCGACATCGAATCTGGAGATGGGGCTAGTGACCAAACTGGCCGTGGAGGCTGCCACGTCCCGCGGTCTGGAGCCAGTGCGCGTGTTTTCTGGAACATATATGACAGGACTCGCCATGCCGGGGGCCAGCATCTCGATATTGGCGCTCCCGGACAACGAGGACGAGTTCAAAGATCTGGTTTCTCTGATCGATCAGCCTGCAGAATGCCCTGGATGGATCAACCACGCATATGTCGCCGATGCTGGAAGTACGGACGAATCGGCAGAGGGCCCAGCGGAGTCATTCACTCCATCATCGGATCCCACCTGGGAGCGCGTCATCGAGACCGCCTACAAGAACGTCGTTGCTGAAGAGCCCGAGATTACACGATTGGATCAGCTTATGGGAGACGGTGATTGTGGCCAGGTTCTGCTCTCCGGCGCCAGCGCCATCTATCAAGCCTCCAAGGATGCAGCGCTTCCTCTTCAGGACTCATCAGCTGCTCTGGGACGAATTTCCTCAATTGTCGAAGACGCCATGGGTGGTACATCTGGAATTATCTACTGCCTCTTCCTAGACGCTACGGCACAGCATCTACACCATTTTGGAGCAACCAGCAATGCGACACTGAAACCAAAGGTGTGGGGCGAATGCATGCTTCGCGGTCTGGATGCCCTGTACAAATACACAACCGCACGACCTGGCCATCGGACGCTCATTGATGCACTGGAGCCATTTGCCAGGACGCTTGCGGAAACGGGCGATATGGACAAAGCGTTGAAGGCTGCACAGGAGGGCGCAAAGGCAACTGCGGCAATGAAGCCTAAGCGGGGACGTGCGGTATATGTGAGTCAAAACGATGGACTGGCGGATGCGGGAGCAGTAGGCCTTGTCGCGGTTTTGACTGGCATCGCAAATGCACTCCGATAGGCACCTTAAGACGCTTTGTCAATATAGTGCCTAGCGATAAAATAAACGATGGGAGTCAAGTGTACAGTCGCCGGACAAGATAGGCTAGATTTTTTATGAAGAGTGTGTTGAGGCACCATGACAACGACATGAATGGGAAGGTGAAGAGACAAGGATAGGTGCAGCAATTTGGGATGTGATGATAGTGAGAAGAGAGGGCGGTGGACATTAAAAATACGGTGCCTTTCGTTTTCCTTGCGCCTATATGAGACGACTTAAAAATGAGTGTCCACCATTGGACTGGATGACCTCCTCCAGCCTTGTTCGCATTGAATCAACCAACCAGCAGCTCGGCGCCGGTGCTGTTCCATACACCCCGAAGGATCCTCTTGAGTCCAATGGTATTCGCTGGTTTGTGACCAGCCGTGTTAAAGCGATCCGTGAGTGTGGACCGAAGGTTCTCGATTGGGTTCAAGTCCAGTGAGCATGCTGACCATTTCATCTTCTCCACGCCATCCATACTGCGTCAATTACCCCCCACTTTGCCTCGACGGACGATAGCACCATTCTCCATTAATACGCAATCGGACACTTGGTGCATGAACACCTTCAATTCCCCTTCATAAACCCTTCTAACAAATCCGGCACTTTTGGTGTCTCCATCCTCCAGAAAAGAACGTGCACTGGCCTGCAAAAGCACACCGGGCCATGAGGGTACTTTTTTCGCTCCTGAAGGTGCACGTTATACTCTTTAGATCATACTTCTCGCCCTCTGTTCTCCAGACCCTGATCTGCCGGAGTTCTTCCCAACTCAAATCCCACTTCATCAGTCCATATAACTCGTCGCCATTGACTAAAAATGCTCCCTCGCGAAGGCCAGATATGCCGTCTTATGATCATCGGTGGGGAAGGGTTTCTTGGTTGTCGCAAAGCTGGAGATACCTTCCTTATGGAGTTGCTTTCGAACCGTCCTGGTGCTTACTTTGGAGGGTAGCTCATTGGTGATACTGTGGAGAGGTATGGTGTTGTCTTTGGACACAATCCTTCTCAGTGCTCTTACACCTCGATTGGTAAAGTCAGGGACCTTCCGAGGCTCTTCCGGGGTGCTGCTGTTCCTCGCTTCTTGAAGTTACTCAAGGTCTTGGATACCACCGATTGCGACACTCCCTCTTTTTTTCGCGATTTCCTCCAGCGTAAAAGAACCTCTCGCCATACTGACGACGCGACCTTTCTGTTCGACTGGCAGATGCTTGCCCATGTTAGTGGTTTTAGAGAGGATGCTACAGTTGCTGTGGAGACGAATGAGAGGTGTTCCATGACCATCACTCATCGCGAAACGAACCATCCTAAATTTTATTGGACCTCTGACTCGTGGGAAGGTAAACACATATTAAAACTCGCACTTTTTGTTTCCTTTTCTTCATCCTTCATCCCATTCAATCTCGATACAATGTCCACTACAACACCCTATCCCTTCTACCAAATCGACGTATTTACCGAGAAGGGCTACCTCGGCAACCCAGTGGCTGTTGTCGTGGTTCTGGATCCATCTCTCCCGGTTCCTACGGACGAACAGATGGCTCAGTATGCCACATGGACCAACCTCTCTGAGACCACCTTCCTGCTCCCTCCAACGGATCCGACCAAGGCGGACTACCGCGTGCGTATCTTTACTCCTAGCATGGAGCTTCCGTTTGCAGGCCACCCAACTCTAGGCACATGCCGCGCATTCCTCGAGCACACCGGTGTGGTCACCAACGAACCTAAGAAGATTGTGCAAGAGTGTGGCGTAGGATTGGTCGAGCTTTCAGTCTCTCTGGATGGGTCCATTGCGTTCGTAGCGCCACCGCTTTCAAAGACTGGAACCGTCGAAGAGGACAAGATCCAGATTGCCTGCGACGCCATGGGCATTGATCGCAAAGAGGTTTTAGACACGCAGTGGATCGTCAATGGCCCGCATTGGTTCGCATTGTTGGTCAAGGACGCCGAAACAGTGATGAAGGCCAAGCGTACTCCGACAGAACAGTCCAAGGAGCTCGAGTTTGGTATCCTTGGAGAGTACCCAGCTCATCAACGCAAGAGCTCGCAGGATCCACTCTTCGAGGTTCGAACCTTCCCACATGCCGATGGCGTGGACGAGGACCCTGTTACGGGTTCGTTCAAGTGAGTACACAGTGCACCAGCAACGGGAGGATGCTATTTTATTCTGCTCTTAGTGTGGTACCTCTAATCAGAGTATCATTATACCTCTTTTGCTGTACGCATTACAGTGCTGGTATGGCTCAATGGCTCATCGGAACAGGCAGAGCGCCGCTCAGCTACGTCGCTTCACAGGGCACAGCCATGGGCCGAAAAGGAAGGGTCGTGGTCAAGCGCGATGACACGGACGCGTCGTCTGAGGAGATGAAGAGAAAGATCTGGATTGGCGGTCACCAGGTTATCTGCATCCGAGGCACTGTTCAGATCTGAGCATTTGGCTCGGTTTGCCGTGGAGGGGCCAGCATTCCTCATAGCAGAGATGAGAGATCAAACATCAAGGCATAGCAGGATGACTCGTTCGTTGCAAATAAAACATGACTCGTTAGACTACAAAAATGTGATACTGGAGATGGGACTGGTTGGCCACAGGATTATGTCCCGTTGCTGCGCATCGTGGATCGTTGTGTATGAGAAAAAAAAAGGATTGTTAAGCTGAGTCAGGGTACGCCTTGCCGTGGGAAGAAAAAGACAAGTAAGGCACGGGTGTCATCAATGTGTTTTGAGAAACTATATAACCAAAGCTTCCTCCTGCACGCACATTTCATTCAGTCACTCTACATCCTATCAAACGAGCACCATGTCGACCACTACAGCAACCTATCCATTCTACCAGATCGACGTCTTCACGGACAAGAGATATCTAGGCAATCCGCTGGCCGTCGTCGTGGTTCTGGATCCATCGCTTCCAGTGCCAACAGACGCACAGATGGCCCATTACGCTACCTGGACCAACCTTTCCGAAACGACATTCTTACTCCCTCCAACGGACTCAACCAAGGCCGATTATCGCGTGCGGATCTTCACGCCAGGCGGGGAGCTCCCTTTCGCTGGCCATCCAACCCTGGGTACGTGCCGAGTGTTTCTCGAGCACACCGGTGTGGCTATCAGCGAACCTAAGAAGGTTGTTCAGGAGTGCGCCGTAGGACTGGTCGAGCTTTCAGTCTCTCTGGATGGATCCATCGCGTTCGTAGCACCGCCGCTTTCAAAGACTGGAACCGTCGAAGAGGACAAGATCCAGATTGCCTGCGACGCCATGGGAATCGACCGCAAGGATATTTTGGAAGCGCAATGGATTGTCAATGGGCCTGAATGGTTTGCTATGTGGGTCAAAGATGCGGAGACAGTATTGAGGGCTAAGCGTAACCCGACAGACCAGTCCAAGGCACTGAAATATGGCATCCTTGGAGAGTATCCAGTGCAGCAAAGACAGAATTCGCAGGATCCACTATTTGAGGTTCGGACATTTCCTCATGCAAGCGGTGTTGATGAGGATCCTGTTACAGGCTCATTCAAGTGAGTATGCACTCTTAATTGCTGGTAGAGCAACATATCCCAGATTTCACGATTCTGACAAAAAATATCCTTGTGCCCTTTCTCTGTATGTATCGCAGCGCTGGAATGGCTCAATGGCTCATTGGGTCAGACAAGGCACCTGCCAGCTATATCGCTTCACAAGGATTGGCCATGGGTCGTCGTGGAAGAGTTGTGGTCAAGCGTGATGACTCTGACGCGTCGATTGACAAATCAAAGAGAAAGATCTGGATCGGAGGTCACCAAGTTTTCTGCATCAGAGGAGCAGTTCAGATCTGATGTATTTGGTACCTATCGTGGATCGAGTAGTCATCACACATTAAGCTACGAAAAAGATACCAACTATGTACTCGTATGCAGCGAATAGAGTCTTTCATTTCTGGCGTCAATTGTGCATTCCTACATCGCCACAAGGACATAATATCCAAATCAGGAACCTGAGAGCTGCTACCAGATCAAGTCCTCCTATTTTGGCGACCCTCTGCAGCCTCAGCCTTCTAAGCCGAAGGAACGTCCTCCGCGGAAGAGAAACCATCTCTCTTTTCATTGTTCTGATACAGAGACGATAAAAATAACATTTTGTTTGCAAACAAAAAAATGAGAGCCATGGTCCCCATTGAATACGAAGGAAGCAATTGACTGTTTGCATTTGTTTTTTGTTATTCGTTCTGTTATTAAAGATTATTGACCCTGATCAGCAAAGAACTGCTTTCGAAAGCAATGGGAAATGGCAAAGAGGCGAATCCTCCACAAAAAAAAAGTTTCCCGTGGAGGTTTTTTTTTGCTTTTCTCGATCATCGAAGGCGTTTTGAGTTAATTGCGCGGACCCGCTCTTTCGTTCTATGGTTGCCCTGATCGTGTGTTTTGGTCCTAGAAAAGGGAATGCGTGCTTCTTTAAGAAAAACCTAGAAAGAGCTGAACATAGGAACAAGTGACCTGGTCAATGGACTAAACTATCATGACATCGTACTGCTGAAAGTTTTTTGATATGGATTGTTCTTCAACTGAACCATAACTATATTACTCAATTCGAGCGAGCGGAGGAAGCGATTGAGGTAAAGGTGCATATAGGCTTAGAGGAGCCTCTCTTCCTTATTCTTACTTAAAATGCCATTTACATTTATGATCGCCATTAACCCATGACAGTTGCTATCCAAAACGACCGTTGACGATCTTGTTTGGCTAAGCCCAAAGGAATGAAGCCTTTCAAGGTTGATGTAGCCCACCCATCTCTTAATGGGCTAGCGCATGTCTCTATTACCTCCTGCATAAATATTTCACTTTAAATGTCGTCCAGGTATCCAAATGGAGCACTTGTCAGCATTATAATCGAGCTAGGGCACAGGATTTTTCATACCCGCTTCGGGTGCGCAGATCATAGACTAAGCAAGCATTCCACCATCTTTTTAGTCGATTACCATAGGAGCACTATCCCAAAGCGCGTCTGTTGTAATTGGCACACATCGATTTATATGGGAGGTGTAAAAACACCCCTGCATTGCTCTGGAATGAACAGCAATCTTTTTACCAAGACCTGACCATCGACAATCGGAGGAGAGTTGAGAAATGAAATGCAGATTAGATACAGCAATTCATCTAACTCATTCCATCCGCACTTTTCGTTTAAGAAATTAAAAAAAAGGAGGGAGAAAAGATGTAGGTACCTGCAGATGGCCCAACGGTCGCGCATAGACTGCAAGTAGACCGTGGCTCATCCCCGTTTCATCCGAGGAGCGATTGCACGGAAATGAATTAAAATAATGGGCCGAGACTATTTTAGTCGCCGAGTCTTGCGACATGGGCATCTGTTTGACTTGTTTCAGGGCGCAGTGTTTGGTGGCTCGTGGTTTGTTTGCGTTGCTCAGATGTGAACATTAAATTGCAAGCCAATAGCGGGCCAAAAGAGAAGAAAAAGAAGACCATGGACATCGAGAGCCGTATTTTTCATGTTGTTTTGTTTAACTGCATTGACTTGGAGCTGTCTTTGGAGACTCCGCGCCCGGCGGAGCAAATTAAAAACTAGGTCTGATCCCTTCTTTACCTTAAATACAACCCTTCCTGCTGCGATCCCCCCACCTTCAACTCTCTTAGAAAAAAAAAACTACACCCTACAGAAACAGACATTAGAGCAGTTTATTACCGTATCATCACATTCTTTTGCACACAACGAATCCACGCTCCATAATGCCCACCACCACATCCTTCGTCTCAGAACCCGTTATGACTTCAACACAACAGCAAAACTCACAACCCTCCTCCCCCACAAAGCGGAGAGTGCGACTCACGTTCGGCTACCAGGATTCTGATCAGCAAGCACCCTCCTTTTCCTCACTCCCTCCCTCACCCAGCAGATCCCTCGACACTGATCCACTTGCAACGCCTACCTCGCCTCCAACCACATCAGCACCGAGTATGCGCCATACCAATACTCTCAACCCCGACTACACGCCAACGCCCGCAGAGATCGCCAGTGTGATCCCTATCCGCACCAGCTCCATTATCTCAGCACCACTCTATCTCCCAGCGCCACGGCCCCACAAGAGGTCAGCATGCGCCTCGCCATCATTAAGCCGCTCCAGCAGCGTGGGCAGCACCATCAGCTTCTCGGGCAGCCTTGACCACCGCACCATGTCCCGTGCCCCTAGCCCATTACCATCCTCCTCGTCCTTGTCCTCCATTCCGCATTCCCCCAACCAGAATTACAAAGAGGTCCTCCCTGCCACGCCTACATCTGCCAACACCACGACCCCCTCGTCTCCACTTCCAAACATGGACACAACCGTGCGCCGGTCCTCGATGGCCGAACGTGCCGCCTTCCTGTCCTCGGCCCCGATTCGCTCCCGGATCACACTCACCCCCCGTCTCAGGAAATTCACCCCCGCCGTGCCCTCCGCGGCGTTTCCGACAACGCTATCTTCCCCCTCGCTCTCAGTCATCCCCACACCATCCTCCTTCTGGGCTTCAAGGCAGTGCTGTGCCTGTCTCAGCCCAAACCTGGAGAAGCGGAGGTGGTCGAATGAGAGTACCCGAGGCCTGCATGGTGCGGTTCCATCTTCGTGTATGGATAGGATGTGGAAGGAAGATGAGGAGGACACGTTTAGCGGCACGACACTTTACGATAACGATAACGATAACGACTTTAATGACCTTTATGACCAACGGAGGGTGGAGGAGAGGAACGGCAAGAAGAAGAAGATCAAGAAGCGTTGCCCGACTCTGACCTTGTTCAGCTTCATGTTGAAAAAGTAGATATCATGTAAATAAATAACGACATATACAAAATACGCGTAATCAAACCGCGAAAACACATACAAAACTCTTGCTCCTCTTTGCGTTTCATCGGTATCTTTATTGCTTCACTCATCCTTGTTAGACATATATGTAGAAAGGGTTCCTCTTATCTATTCTTCGCGTGGTTGCATAGCCACCGTCTGGGTCAGCGTAGTCTTTGTCTGGACTGGCTGCCGTGATCCATTGCTGAGAGCCTTACTCTCTTGATCCTTGTCCTTTAGCTTCACATCCACATGCATCTGCACATCCACATCGATCGCCTTACCCAACCCAACCTGACCTTGCTGCTCCCCTTGGTCACCATCATTCGAAGCCATCTCAACTCCCTCGTCCACACTCACGGTCTCCTTCTCCATCTGATCCAGCCACTGTCCAAGACGCTCCTCAAACGCAGCACCTGGGAAACTCTTGAAGTAGAACCGTCCTCGAACAAGATTACGCTGGTAGGCCACTGGCGCATGTGAAAGCAGGCTAGGGATTTTGAGCAACATGCGTTCTAGTAGATGGGGCTGTCTCAGCCGGCTCAACTCGTCAATGTTATACAATGCCTGTGCCCTCAGAATGTCGTCCGCGATCTGCTGAGCCGTTTCAGCCTGGCTCTTCTCGTCCCCCTCCTGACCCACTGTCGCCGTCCCCGTCAAAGTCGTTGTCATCGTAACAGTCGTTGCGGTGTTGGTGGACTGATTGACGCTTGCATCGAGCTGATCCTGCGCTTTCCAAATACTGGCGACCTTGGCCAGCTTGATCATCAGCGCATCCACCTCCTGTTCTTTACGCAGAACATCCCGGCTCAGGTCGGCCTCAAACGCTGAAGGCTTGACCTTTGGGGCCCTCGCAGCGTTGTATACCTTGACGAGCTGACCCACATGTTGATAATCCAGCAACGAGTGCAAGTGCATCGGACGCTTATCCTTGGTGTCGCACTTCTTGTTCTCCTGCCTTATCTTATTGTCTTCTTGCTTCTCATCAACGAGCCATGTCTTTGCCTTTGGACAGGGTCGGAATGGGAAAAGACGGTTGTAGGGCTCATTGGGGTCCACATTGCATCCAGGTGGCAGACGAGGCACTATATCCGACCGTTAATAATCCATACATTTCGTCAGTACGCATTTCAACATCTTGCTAAAGGAGGAGCGAACAAAAAAAAAAAAAATGCCGAGGCGACTCACCAACATCTTTGTCAGCAACGATGCGCCAGTATGTAGGTTTATACGGACTCTCACAACAGAATCGAAGATGGTTACGTGCGAACTGCTCCGCAAAAGTCGAGTCTCCGATTTTGGGACTCGCGATGCTATAACAGTCTCTCAGCACGAGCAACTCATTGTCATCGCTAAACCTGGCGAGCATCTCCTGGAGAACCGTCCGTGGTCCTGCTCCTTCCGGAGTGCTACTCCTAGGTCCATTGGTCTCATCGTAGTCCTTGTTCATCAGCGGGTCCTTATCCTCAACAGTCATCTGCAGACGTGCCATCGTCAACGCTGCCAGGGCTCCACCGAGGGAGTGGCCTGTCATCCACAGATTGACGGGCTTACCCGTCTTGTTTTTACAGAGCTTGGCGGTCTCGAGGATGGTCTTCATGATGGTGTTGAAGGGATTGGTTTGGTCGTAGGTCATATCTTCGTACCAGTTCAATGGCTTCGGATCCGGGAACAGGGATTCGTAAAAGCCCTTGTGAACCTCTCCGTACAAGTACTCCCTGGCATCCACGCGCTGAATGGTCACATCGAGCAGGTATTCGTCTAGAGAGACACGCTCATGAAGGGTTAGTATGCAGCTCAGATAACCAAGCATGTACGCATGTACCAGGTATTTATACCAAAAATTGACCACCAACGAAATATGTCTTACTGAATGCCAAGACCGAGGTGCCCTTGAAGACCAAGACGATCGCATCATCATTATAGAACAATCCCGCAAACGGACCCCCCAAGGTCTTAAGTTCACTGATGCCCATGAATCGCATCCCAAATTCTTTCGATGCATTCTCGTCGATCGCCTGCTCGCTCTCCTGCAGCAGCTTTGTGGCCTCATCCCTTTGAGCCTGGTTCTGGACATTCAAGAGAATCTTGGACGCTTGCGCCACCAACTTGTCGTCGCGCTGATAGGCCATGCTCGTCATGATCAGCAGCAGGTTCGCGATGTGGTAACTGAAATGGGTTGTCAATCTCGGTTTGCGTTCACAGATCTGGCGAACGGCTTCATCGTTCCCCTCTGGATCCACGAGGTCTAAAACGACAATCGTCATTTATATTGGTAACCATCATGAGAGTTAGACTAGCGCTTCCAATTATATTTTTACCGGGCGAAATGACATCTGCGTGCCAGAAAAAAAAAAAAAAAAAAACAAAGCAAAGCAAAGCAAAAAAAAAATCGAGTTACCTGTCTCGTCAAAGAGTGCGATCTGGTCCCTGAAAAAGATTCCATAGTAGTATCCACCCAGCTTGGTATTATTCACAACAATAACCAACAGCCCAATCACCCACTGTATGATCGTCATGGCAATGATCAGCACCGGCAGCAGACCCATCGCATACACCCTACTGAACAGATCTCTCCCCGGGATCTGGCTCGGATGCATCACATGCGACACATACAGGGCCAGACCGTCCGACAAGAAGTTGGAGAGCTTCATCGGCCTGATCGACAATGGTTCTTCCAGCGGCCGGGGTGCAGCCTCCGGAGCCATGGACGGCACCCTCCCCTTGGTTGGTTGTTTGGGTCCATACCCCGAGGGTGGGGGCACTGGATCCTCCCGTTTCGTGAATTCGTCGAGACGGAATTGGTTGGTTGGGTATCTCGCCGGCGCAGCCTGTTTTCGTTGCTGCTGTTTCAGGGCCTGGCTCTGGGCTGTGAAGCGACCGAGGGCAAAGACTCCATGCAGATGTGCATGGGCTGTGGCACGACGGCTGCTGCTCAGGCGATCTTCTGTCGTCATTTTTTTTTTCTCTTGTGGGTCTCTGTCGCTCTTGGTCGACGGTCGGAAGGATGTGGACGTGGGTGTGAATTTGGATACAGGCCGTACAAGGACAAGCAACGGATGAAGGTGAAGAGAGAAGAAGAAGGAAAAGAAGAAGAAGAAGGGGGAGGGAAGTTTGACTTTGGCCAATTGGGACAGAAGGCGAGCGTAGGATAAACTATATATATCTCGGACCGAATATCAGCGCAGAAGGAAGAGGAGGAGAAGGAGGAGGAGGAAGGTCCGAGCGGTAAAGGTTCTTTTTTACTTGTTGTACGGAAAAAACGCGACGGAAGGAGAGGGGCTGATTTCGATGGGGTAGAGGTAAAGAAGGATGCGTGCAGCGTGCATGGTCTAGAGTCGATTCTTGCATACGTATTTACGTATTTTATTTCAAAATGACATAGGGCGCAGGAAACTAAGGGAAGAATGGGCTCAGGAGAGGTGCGTGTGTCCGATTTCCCTTCCTCTTTTCCACAAGCATGCGGCTATCAATCCATTTCAGATGTGCGTGCGTTCCCTTGTCGCTTTACATAGACCATGTCACTATGTCTCGATCATGCTAAACATTTTCTCCGCGCGCTGTGCCTCGTATTGCCAGACGGATAATAAAAAAAAGAAGAGAAAGAAAAAGCAGTGGGCCATTGACGACATTGGCCGTAAAGAAGACTCGCGCACACTGTCCTTCCTTGTATGACAATGCCACATGCAGTTGAAGTAGCACATTTTTACAAATGTGGATATTCTGGGCATGTGTTGGACGTAGACACATGTCGGTGCTGTGAAAAGAAAAGAAAAAGTCGAGCCGTACATTGCAAGTTCAGCCGCAACGTCTTCTTGTTTTCGAACCCAACCCCGCGCCAAAGAAAATTAGACGGATAAAAGTACGGGCTGGCGCATCTTGAGGATGCAATTGCGGCAGTCAACTTGACGCATGTGTGAATATATATAAGATCGTCCTGGTCTTTTAGCAGGTTCTAATGATAGCTGGCGATTTACTGAACTGCTGTTCGTCCCGCTCGCCCTGCTTGCCTGACACATATTTTCATACAGACTGAGTTGCATGTAGCCGTAGATCCGACAGAGCCGATAGGATGTGAATGAAGAGACTGAGGATATGCGGTTTAGTAGGAAGGAGCTGCAGCCTGCTTTATAGCAGAAATGAATAGTTTCTCGGATCGAGCGATTGGATGATGAAGTGTGCAAATGGGGACCTGAAACCAACAAAGTTGGCTGCCAATTGGCCAATGGGATGTCGCCATTTTCCAAGAGTGAGAGATTCGTGTTGAAGCCACCTCTTTTGTTCTTGGGACTCTTGAGGGTCTCCATTGGGTGGAAATTGTTTCAATTGCCCCACTACAAAAATATCACATCTTCACTATGCCTACTGTCGGCAGACATTCGTAAAGACATCCAGATAACGCATTCATTGAAAGAAAGAAGACAAGGGCAAATACACTACAAAAACAATAAACTATGAAAAAAGAAAGATTCAAAATAACAACCTGGCAATGCAATTGAACCGATTCAGAATGATTCCCAATGGCCTGGTCTGGTCCAGTTCCCACTCCCAGCAAAGATACTTCCAACCCTTGGAACCAGCCAGTAATGAAAAAACCAACAACAGCAAATAACCAAATAGCCAAAACCTCCACCATCTGCTTCCACCTTCATTTGACTCATACGAGATAGACCTGCATTCTTCTTCCTCCAGCACCCAGACCTCGGACACTCAGCATACGAGAGGGCTGTGACCTCATGAGGTCCAAGGGTGAAATGGGCGATGAGAGCGATTCAAGACTGCAGAGATCCTCCTTTTCGCTGACTCCCCCTCCAGGGGGCGAGTGACACAGGGTGGGAGAACCTGGAGTACTTGAGGGCGAGGACGAGGCAGACGAAGCTGATGAGGACAAGGAGCCGGAATCACTCAGCGAGGGAGTCGAGGGCTGTGACATGGACGATGATCTTGAGGGCGCTGACGGCCGACGGTAGGGATGGAACAATGGCGAGGACGGCGAGGAGACGGACGACTCTTGAGGTTTGCGTGAATGCAGAATCAGGACGTTTCGGCTCAGGTCAACGACGTTGCTGCTCATGTATGAACTTGGATCGCTTGACCATTGCTCTCCGGCAACCTTGAGCTGGGTTGGCATCAGTGGCGTGGATGCTGCTGCTGCTGGGGATGAGTGGCCCTTGTGTTCACAAGGCTCGGTTGCTACTGCTATTGTCGTTGCTCCAGTTGATGTTTCTGTGGCTGTGGCTGCTACCGCTGCCGTTACTGGTACTTGCCCCGTATTTCCTGTGCTATTGCTGCTGCTGCTGCTGCTGACGGAATTGTCTTCCTCCTGAACCTGGTCATAACTGAGAATGTCAACTGCCATGGAGAGATCAGAATCGTTCTGGATGCGAAAAGCAAAGACGATGCCCTTGGAGGGGTCACCCTGGGAGGGAGAACGGACGGGGGTGCCCTTGCGGCGTCGTTGGATTAGATCTTGCGGTTGCGGCGATGGCGAGGAGACAACGGAGGGGGAGGTTGAGGCATGCTTGCTGCTGGGGTGGGCGGCCTGCCTGGTCTTTTTCGTTGTGGTCTTTCTCTTTGCCATGAAGGATAGGAGGAGAGGTGTGCAGGAGTAGAAGCAGGAGTAGAAGCAGGTCTAGGCGAAGTAAAGATAGGCAAGAGAATGATGGCGGTGGGTGTGAAGTGTGAAGCAAGGAGGAGTGGCGATACTGCAGAGAGGTCCGGGTAATGGGATTGAGGTATAGATGCCGCGGTATGGAGAAGGACGTGCTTGACGGAGGAGTGTGTCAAGGAAGGAGGAGGGTGTGCGGTTGGAGGAGGAGAGGAAGAAAAGAGAGAGAGGACAAGTTGGGAAATGAGAATAAGACTCAGTGAGAGCGGGGAGCCGGGAAAGAAGAGGGGAGTGGATGAGAGAGGGCGGATAAGGCGGACACACTTTTTGGAGGAGGAGGGAAGGGCAACATGTCATATATTTTTTGGTTGGCAGTGGGAAGGGGAGCAAGGGAAGAAGGGGGACTTCTTTTTCAGACCAATTTGCATTCAATACGATAGTATTGAGTTGTAAAGAATAAACATAACATGGAGCGGAAAACTGCCTTCCCCACCCCCACATACACACACATAACACACAATACACATTCTTCGCTGTAGAAAAGTACTCTGCGATGCATGTACAAGTACATCTACCATGTATTCATCCTCGCCTCCACCCTTCTCTTTCTCTCCAAATGCTGCAATGGGTTGCAATGAACCCATCAAAGGAATGATTTTTTGAAGCAATGGTCAAAGAGCGAGAACGAGAGCGAGAGAGAAAAAAAGGGGTTTTCCGTGTGGAGTGAGACTACCCAGGACACTATTGAACCTATATAAATTACACATTATGGTGTGCACTTTAGCTTTCGATTTACGTGGGCCGAAAGAACGCACCGCAGTGTCCAGTGCAGTTCGAAAAATATAATGGATGGCGAGCAATTGGTGGCCGTGAATAAGACGGACGTTGTCATCGAGTGAGCTTCGTGAAACCTGTGTGCCACCTCACCTTTGTCTCCCACCGAGTCCACACAGCAACTCCCTTTCATAAACAGCACGTGGTATATATACTGTCGAGCGTCCAGGGTGCCACCAATAATTGCATGGTACCATAGTCCACTACGGAGTGGCCTTGAACAGATGCAGAAGAAAGAGAACCACCACTGGCATTCTTTTAGCTTTAGTCCTTGGGCTGTTGTTGCACTGGTGAGCGTATAGAAGGAAGGAAGGAAAGAGAGAAGCAAAGAAGTAGGGACGAAAGGAAGGAAGGAAGGGATGGATGCTGCCATAATCCGAAGGTTGAGCCATGACGGCGCTACGGCCGTTAAGACGAATATGGCGAGAGCACAGGAACACGCGAACCAGGAGCCATGTCCATGTAGCCCTTTCATCGTACAACAATAAGTATTGCCATACAGCACCCCATGGTACAACACTACGGATATCCTTCCAGTTCTCCAAGCCCCGAGGATCCCTCCAGCTGATTCATGGATGCCTACCCCGTTGATTTGGTGGCAACTGGCAACACATCCCATTCACTTGATAGCAGCACAACTAGGTATAGGTCGGTACCTGACTCAATCCATGTTGTTCATCCATGTCGTTCATCCACGGGTCGGTGCCTTATCACGAGCCCATTACCATCACGATCACAATCAGGATCCTTGATCTCTTGATCCATTATCGACTGGGAGCAGGGGCGAGGATGAGTAAATTCATGATCCTTCCACCGACACTTATCCACCTTCGCTCACCATTACTCTGCTCCTGATCCGTTCATTTCCCCTTTCCTGGGTCCTCCTCATTTGGTCCTCTTCTCTCTTCGTGGCTCCTACTAGTCCTCTGCAGAGAGAAATTGTCGTTCAAAAAAAAAAAAAAGAATGATGTATCAAAATAGAACGAGTTCAGAGAGGAAAATAAAACGAGAGCCCTTTTTCACTACTAGGATGAGGACTTTTTATTACTTTTTTTTTATTGTCGAGAGCACTGCACTGTGGACATTGACATCCAATTGCTACCAAAAAAAAAAAAAAAAGCACAGGGAAAAAAAGGGAAGTATGAGTGTGTGGCTCGGGAAAAGAGGGTGTAGTTCAATTGAGTCGTATTGAGTTGGCTTTCGAAGATGATTTCAGGTGATGGTGTTTGTTGATGATGGGATGGAAAGGTGATGAGCAACACACTGCACTGCTCTTTTCTTCAAGCCTCTTTTAACCCCACTCCCCCTCCTTTCCGTCTTTCCTTTCCCTTTCCTTGACTCGACTCGACTCGACTTGACTCCATCCGCAGCTCCACTCCCTCATGTTCGCATAAAAAAAGAATAAACCCGTTCCTGTCAAAGCCCATTCCTCCTTTTTTCTTCTTTTTCCCTCGGTCTAAACAACAACAACAACAATTGCCTCCACAACCCTACCGACCCAAAAAAAAAAGAAAAGAAAAGCACCTCTTTCCTCCCTTCCCCACTCGCACTCTTCTCTTTCTTGTTCGTCCTCTGAACCCTTTCGACTACAACGCACGCGGCACACGTCTCATAAAAATATCCCGCCATAATTTTTTATATTGAACACATCTGCAACACTTCTTTACTCCTGATCGCCATTGTTCTCTTGCAGAGCGATTGCCAGAATTGTTAGTCTCTCCTCTCCCTCTCCCTCCCCCCACTACTTCTCTTCTTCCTTTCCCCTCCCTCTTTTCATCCTTTCCCCTCTCAATTCTCTCACGAAGTGAAGGAACATATACGATTGCACACTTTCCATATAACATAACAAAGGCCACCGAAAATGCCACCGACAACACGGCGCGGCAACATGTTTGGGCCCTATCTCCTCCTGCAGACTTTGGGAGAGGGCGAGTTTGCAAAGGTCAAACTCGGCATGCACAACGACACGGGAGAAGAGGTAAGCTTTTTTTTCCCCCCTTCACACACCTTTCTTTCCTTCTCATCAATTTTCTCTGACAAAAAAAAAAGAAAAAAGCGATCAGCTCTCATCACACTCCAAGTAGCGGGACAAAATATAAAATAGCGCTTTCTGGAGAGGGAATAAGAGGGAAGAGGACAGGAAGGGAAACAGGAAAGGAGGGCAGAGACGGGAACGGGGATCAATTGAGACCAATTGACCAGACCAGCGGGAGCCGTGGACCGAGGGTACTGCGTCTATGACACGATTTCCGTTCCTAAAGTGGGACTGGGACGCGTTTTGCTCGATAGTCCCTCTGGTACTGGAAGGGTTGGTTGGATTGTGGTTTTTTTTTTTTTTTTTTCCTTGCTTCTGGTTGAATATGGGCTACCAGCATTCACTCGCGTGGCTGAAACAAATGTCCTAAAAAAAAAAAAAAGAGTTGGACACGGCGACCTTTTTTTTTGCGCAGGCACCGATCGTCAGCACAGAGTGCGGACAAGAAAACAAGGGATATGAATGATATCCGGTCATTGTCGATGTTGACCGGGCAATCAGCCAAAAATATCTCTGCTGGATGCCTAATCTATATCACTGCACTAATTGTGCGCTCCCACCCCAATGAGTCGGGTCCACATTGTACGGTGGTCCCCTTGTTGTTGTTGCTATGACTTTATTTTTTACGCTTTTTATTCATTATTCTGTACAATTGAAGAAACACGAGATACAGAAAGAGATGAGGAACAGAAAAGAGACAACGCACATTCTGTTTCTCGGGATAACAGAATCGGGCAAAGCACAACAACCACGCACAGGTCAAATGAACAAAAAAAAAATCCCCCCCCCCCTCCTCCTCCTCCCTCCCTCCGGCCACAACAGTGGAGGGAAATCCTGAGGCAGTAGCACAAGCAAGAACAAAAAAAGAGTTTGCTTGTGGTCCCAACATTGGGCGTAAAATACCCATGGATGCACCCTTCCCTTTGCATGCGGTGCTCCATTCACAAAGGGGTCTTGGGAGCTTGTTTACCAACAGCTGGGTAGCAGAAGGCTGCATCCGCATTCATGCGGACGTGTTTGTGTGCGTGTGCGAGCATTCATATGCGAGTGCTGCTTATCGTTAGCATCAACCTCAACATCGACATCCCATCGCATCGTTGCTTGTTTGTTCGGTTGTCTGTCCTTGGTGCTGTTCGTGGCCGTGGTAGGTGTCGATATGGAGCTGTGGGCCACAGTTTAGGTGTATGAAGGCGTGTAGGTGTATCTGTCTGCCCTCTCAATGCGCATCGTCGTTCTCGCTCCCCCCTCCCCCTTGGGTTCAGTATGTTCTACGTACAAGCGAATGCTGCCGCCTGATCCTTTTTTTGGTCAGCAAACATACACACACATACCCACACATTATTCATTCATTCATACATCCAACCCCCTCTTTTTTTTTATTTTTATTCTGGCCCCCCCTCGTAGCCACATGCTCGATGGCCTGCAACGTGATGATGATGATGTGCTGCTGCCTGTCGACGTGAATGTGTGGATGTGTGGATGTATGGATGTGTTGTGGTGTGCATGTAGCGAGGGTCATGGAGGGGATACACATCCCTCGACGCTCTTTTTTTTTTTTTTTTTTTTTTTAGTGCTGCTCTGCTGTGTTGGTCAGTCAGCATGCGGCTCTCTAGTTCTGAGCATGCCCTCTTCTCCCCTTTTTCTTTCAGAAGAGAAGAGGATAAAAAAAGTGCCTGGATTTGGATGGGCCAGCCAATGACGGCGACCCATTCCTGCGTCCTGTCCTATTACCACCGTCCTTTTCATACTTGTCCCTACTCCGATGAGGAGACCCGGGGATGAAATGAAAGGAAAGGGGGGACGGATTGCCGCGCATATTCATGACTGCGAAGATGAGGAACCACGACTGACATGCAATTTTTTTTTTACTTTGCCAATACCAGGTGGCCATCAAACTCATTAGGAGGCAGTCTGTGGATAACACGCCGCGAATCAACAAGATTGGCCGCGAGATATCCGTCCTGCGGGTACTTGACTCAACACCATGCAAACCTCCGGAACTGCATAAAGCTGAACTATGTCTTTACTTCTCGATTGTACTCACGGCCCACCACCCTCTGCACTGCCTCTCCTCGCTGCGTAGACAATTCGACACCCCAACATCATCTCCTTGTTCGACGTGATTGAAACAGAGCGCTACATTGGCATCGTCATCGAATACGCCTCAGGTACTGTGCCGTACAGAAAAACGAAAAGCAGGCGGGCAACAGAACCCAAACATGTTTAGGAACACAAGCAGCCATGTATGTGGGCGAATTATGGTGCTAATTTGTTTTAGTTTGGTCCTCCCGTTGAAACTAGGCGGAGAGCTATTCGACCACATCCTTGCGCACCGATACCTCAGGGAGCGAGATGCATGTCGACTCTTTGCCCAGCTGATGAGCGGCGTGCACTATCTCCACTCAAAGCACATCGTCCATCGCGATCTCAAGCTGGTATGGATGAAACACGACGGCACAGACCACCAGTGATTTAACGCCATGTGACCATGCTTTCGCTAACCTGGGCAGGGGGGTTTTTTTTTTTTTTTTTTTCCTTCCCGCTGCGTAGGAAAACTTGCTGCTGGACAGAAATCGTAACATCATGATCACAGACTTTGGATTTGCGAACCAGTTCGACAGCTCAACCAGGGATCTCATGTCCACGTCGTGCGGATCGCCATGCTACGCTGCACCTGAGCTTGTTATCAGTGACGGTCTCTATGTAGGCACAGGAGTGGATATCTGGAGCTGTGGTGTCATTCTTTATGCAATGCTCGCAGGATATCTCCCCTTTGACGATGACCCATCCAATCCAGACGGTGACAACATCAACCAGCTCTACAACTACATCCTTGCAACGACGCTGGTCTTCCCAGACTACATTTCGCCCGACGCACGAGATCTTTTGAGAATGATGCTCGTTCCCGATCCTACCAAGCGGTGTAACATGAAGAGAATCATGAGCCATAGATGGTTGCGACCTTATGCACCCATGTTCCAGTACAGCATCGAGGATCTGGAGGTTAGAATAAATGGTCGCTACTGCATAACACGCATACTTGGTCCTACAGTAACCCTACTAACTGAGCGCGCATAACCTCCATCGTTGTACACAACACAGGCACAAGCCATGGCAAGACTCAATGGTACGGTCTGGATTCCACCTCAACAGGCTGCTGCTGCCGTAGCCCAACCAGCATTATTGCCGCCTGTCAATGCTGGTCCTCCTAGGCCATCTGCGGACGAGGTCATGCCAAGGCGACATACCATTTGGATCGAATCGGCACCCGCTTGGGAGACTGGCCATCCACTGATCAAGGAGGAGGAGCTGCGGCTGCCTCTTGTTGCCCTTAATGAGCACGCCATGGATATCGATAAGCAGGAGGAGGAGGCGATGGTGGATCCTGTGCCAGAGGCATCAATCCACGACGAACCCATGGAGATCGCAGAGCCTATCGAGGTCGATCCTACAGCAGACATGTCACAGGGCCATGGACTGGACACGGATGTGATGATGGAGAGTGACACTCAGCTCAATATGATGTCTGTGCCATCAACAGGCTCGCCAGTATCGACCGTGAGCCATGGAGAGGATCAACACATGAGCAACGATATCACGCCATCGCCCTCCGCTTCATTGATCGCCAAGTCGTCTTCTGTATCTGAACGCATCGCGCGCCAGAACCAGGAGGAGATCACCGCAACGCTCAATGTTGCGGAGCGACCCAAGACACCGGAGCGGGTGGTCGAGACTATGAGGGCGAAGCCCAGTGTGGAGAGTACATTCGAAATGTCACCCTCGGCAACGGTATCACGTCGCACGGGCCAACACTCCAGAATCCGACCCACGACCATCCACGGAGAGCCTATGGCGCACAACTACAATTACCCGACCCCCACATATCACGAACCCTTGCCTACGCCCAAACCCCGTCCAATGCCATCGCAGGAGAACGCGTTCCTTATCCCGCCAAAGGTTTACCACCAGTCGCAATTTCAGCAGTCGTCCCCATCTCTTCCGAACGGGGCATCGAAAACATCTACAGATACTCCACCTGTACCTACTCGACCAGAGTCTGCGGATGCAATGCGCTCACACAACATGCCACTACCTCCGCCTGTGCCATCCTCACCCATGCAGGACAAGATTCATCGCAAGGGAACATCATCTTCTGGACGTCTCTTCGGATTCTTGGGCAACCTCTCAAAGAAGCATGGAGAGTCGAGTACCAACGTCGCGTCTCCCCCCAAGACTATGCACGAGGCAGGCACGGGTGGCGATGCCGAGTCACAGGCTGCTCTGTCGCCCCCTACAGTAACAGGAACTTCCTCCAAGGGGCCAGGCTCGATCAACCAGGTCTTTGGCCGTTACCACCACAACACGGACAAGGCAAATCAGTCGACCAAGGGCAAGAGGCGCAAGACGCTCAGCCTTGTGGGGGGCTCCAACGAGCATCATCAGCAGCAGATCCATGGCGGAACGCGACCCCCCGTGCCTTCAACCGAAGGTTTGGGCATTACCACTGCACAATCTGGATCGGGCACTGCTCAACGTATCATGGGATGGCTGCGGCGCAAGTCCTTTGGTAAGGATTGATTTTCTTTCTTTCTTCTGCTCTAGTTATATCGTCTTGTTTTCAAAGGTGTGTATTGTACAGGAAAACAACTGCTAACGTATAAGCATCTATTCAACTTTGTTATATTTTCATAGCCAAAAACTCTTCCGACAAACCCCCAGCAGATGCTGTATTCGATCAGTCACGTACCAATGGCTCCTCGCCGTCACCTGTGCCAGTGCCCAATAACCGGGTCTCCCGTGCAGGATCGGTATCACCTCAGGATCTCGAGGCAGCAGGCATTATTCCACTAGGCGGAGTGGTTGCGACCAACCGTGCACCAGCAACCAATGGTGCTGCCGGTACGGACGAAGGACGAGATCCTGCACTGGAAGCGCTACTCCAGAGACTGCCCTCGAACTGGACAGACTCGAAGCTCAAGTGGCATTCAGGAGCGGTGGAGATCTCAGCACTGTCATCGCGTCACCCCGTCGAGATTATGTTCGAGATCAAGAAGGTCGTTCTTCGGTTGGGCATGGAGTTCCGTGTCGATTCGGATTTCAAGGTCAAGTGTGTGCGTCGGAGGAGGCTCGCGGACGGAACGACGGAGAGCAAGGCACACCATCCTTACAGCTCTCAGCTGCCTGATGATACTATGAGCGTCCTATCAAGCAACATGTCTGTGGGCGAGGCATGGACATCAGCCAAGGGCGCTGGCAGCTCAGTGATCAACGGGAAAAAGAGGGGCGGCATCAGATCGATGCTCTGGCGCAACAGTACCGCATTCAATTTATCGTCATCCCCACCCCCACCCGTACCGGCGTTGCCGGCCTCTCCGCGCGCGTTGCCTCAGGTGATGAACGGATCAACCATGGGCTTATCCTCGCCACCAGCTATCGGCTCTGCAGCCACAAAGGAGATCGATTCTGACCACGGCGTCTGGGTGAGCGCAGCAGCCGCAACGGTCAACAGCTCTCACAGCTCTGGTGCGGGCATGTCATCTCATGAACCCAACGGTGTCGCATCCTTGCCCAGCAATTCGACCATTGCCACGTCAACGGGTGGTGCGACCGTCAACACAGGACCGGAGCCGCTGTATGGCGAAGAGTCAATCGACTCTGGTGAGGAAGTCCGGTTCTCGATCGAGATTTGTCGCATCAAGAACTTGATGGGCATCTACTGTGTGGACATTCGTCGTATGAAGGGCAACCTGTGGGCCTACAAGTTCCTGTACCATGCTGTGCTCAATACTCTGGACCTCAACGGCAAAGGCGGATACATTCCCACCCTGCCCGAGAGCGTGAAAGTGGTCCAGACATAAGGAAGAGACACACACACAGACACACACGCACACACACAACCATCTCTACCTATCTCTCGTATATGACCGTTTGTTTCTTTTTATGTGCTTTTCTGTTATACCATCCTCTCAATGTTTATTCCTCTATTGTTTTCTCTCTCTCTCTTCTCCTCCTTCCCTATTTACAGCTTATACAAATACAAATATAATATCTTATAGACCTATCAAATTTCGGACCTTTAAAATAAAAAAGCAGCCTACCCGGTGAAGCAGCATCAAACTGCTATCTTGCTTTTGTAAAGGTGGTCCTTGACATTTTTTCTTATTATTTTTTTTTCTAGTGCTCTGCACTGGTTGACTTGGCCTCATGGGGGGAGGGGGGGGGGGGGGTTTCCTGACGTTGCTTCATTCAAACCTTTGGTATGCGGGGCGATGGAGAAGCAAGATCGTTTTGAAGATAAAAAAAAAAAAAATACAACAAAATAAAATAGAGTGCGCATTGCGTCTGCATATCGCGGCTTCTGATTGGATAGATCTTATCATCTTCATTTTTGCTTAGCTTTTTTCCCCAGGGTCAGTGCGTCCCTCCCTCTCCAGTGTCTACGAAAGCAACCCTTACACCCCGAGTTCTTCAGGGTGTCCCTTCTCAGTCTGCGAGTCCGTAATGGACCGTTGGGCCACATCCTCCCCTTCCTTCTTTAAGCTACCACCATCCACCATCCTCATATCCGTATCCGTATCCATTCCCATAACCGTGCCCATGTCTATGTCCAGAACACGCGTGCCTCCAGGTTTAAACCAATGTCTACCCCAGATCGCAAAGTACAGTGAACAGAGTCCGATCACGACCACGAACGGGACCGCTGCGAAATTCATGTTCTCGACCGTGACAGGGGCCTCTGTCGGGCAGAGGAACAGTGCGGAGGTGATGACGATCCAGACCGAGGAAACCATCCCGATCGGGATCGAGAGCTTACCCAGGTGGAATGGACCGGGCTCAAAGGTGTGTCTGGCCAGGACGATCCGACACAGGATCGGAATCAGGTACGAAATCGATGATGCGATCGTGTTCACGGACACAATGGCCGAGTACGCGGTTTCTGACCAGATGTAAGGCATACCCAAAATGAAACAGAACGCAATGTTGAACCACACTGCGGCCACAGGGCTCTTGTCCTTATTGAGTCGGTGGAGGTGTTTCGAAAGTGGCAGGGCGCCATCGCGTGCGAATGCAAAGACCATGCGTGAGGACGCCAATGTGAGGGCGCTCCCACAGAAGAACTGCGCCCCCAAAATGACCAGGATCAGGATGATCGCCCAGGTCTGACCTGCAGAATCCAAGAAGATCTGACTCAACGAGACACCGACGGTCGGGTTGACGATCTGGTCCTCGAAATTGGTGATGCAAAAGGTGATTCCGACCAGGAAGAACCATCCGACCGCCGAGGCCGTGATGATCGCACGGATGATGCCCCAGGGGCCTCCCTGCTGTGCGTTCTTGGTCTCCTCACTCATATGGGCTGCGCTGTCGTATCCGGACAAGGTGTATTGGGATTGAAGGAGACCCAGCATGAAGACGTAGAATCCAGAGGACCATCCCGTGTTGTTTTGCCATTCCGTGAACACGAATGCGGCGGATTGTTTCTCGGGGGTGGTGGCGACAACGACGACGACAATCAGGACTGTTCCGAGAACATGCCACCAGACAGAGAGGATGTTGAAGAATCCGTTCAAGCGGATGGCCAGCGAATTGACGAGGCCGTGGAGGATGATGATGCCGACGTAGATAGCAAAGATGACATAGGTGTTGGCGTTGTATCCTGAAGTCATTGCGATCATCGAGGCCAGGAACTGGGCCATAGCAAGGTCCGTACTAGCGATGGCCACTATTTTTTTTTTTCATATTCATGCATTCAGGGGAAGAGAGTATGGAGAGGTCAGCACGGTGGCCACTGAAAAATAAAAGATTTTTTTTTTATCTCTGGCCTCACTCACCACACTGCGATCATGGAGCAAGAGGATTAGCATTGACAAGTGCATGTAACAAAACCAACCCAAAAAAAAAAAAAAAAAAAAAAAAAAAGACGGATGTTCGTTAGTGGTATTTTCCCTTCTCGGAGATGACGCGCCAATGATGTTTCTGTTATTTTTTGTTTTTGTTTTTGTTTTTGTTTTCCAGTCCATACCAAGCCCAGCCAGTTGGTATATCCGACGATCCAGGACGCCAGGGGGACCCAATCCGGGCTCCCGACCCTCACTCCGTTGATGACCCGACCCTCCAAGATCTTGATCGTCCAAAAGTAGAGTCCTCCAGTCGTCGGGTACGCAGAGCAGATCTCGGCCAGGGACAATCCAATCGCCAACGTGAACAGACTAACCACCAGCCATCCTGTACGACGAGTGAGCGGAACAGATAAAAAAGAAACGAAACGATTAGTCTTTTGCTGGTTCCTGAGAGGTGCACCATAAAAAAAATTTTCTATGAACGAAAAAAAAAAAAAAAGAACCCGCAATTGGGGTGCCAGGCAAAAGTAAAGTTTCAACTTTTTTTTTTTTTTTTTTTTTTTTTTTTTTCTTCCTCAGCCAGGTGGGAAGGGAGGGAATTAGCCGCCGATCAAAGTCGAATGATAGATAAATACTGTACCCCAAACAACCGTGACAGGTCCTCCAGACTGCAGGGCATTCCCATAGAGCGGTGTCAGGCCCGAGAGGATGGACAGACATGAGAAGGTGATGCCAAAGGTGCTGAATGCACTGAGCGACCGATCGAGCGACTATATAGAAACCAAAAAAAAAAAAAAAAAAAAAAAAAAAAAAGTGAAAAGGTTGCAGCACGTATATTCATGCATGCATGTGTATTTTAGTACGTCTTGAAAGAAAAAAAACCCCCTCCCCCAGGTTGTCTGCGGTGAAGTGTTGGATTGGGGGAAAAAAATAAAAATAAAAGCCATTCCCAGGGTCCAGGTCGGCACAGCAGAGGGGAAAAAAAAAAAAAAAGAGTTTGTGTGCCAGTTGTGGTGTGGTCTTCGTGTGACATTAATAATTCTTGATCGGAGCAGCCAGTGGCCCAAGAGGGCGATGGCATTCGCGCCAAACAGCACTGACAACGACAACCAATGCTGCTTGTACGCTGCATGATTGTTGCTAGAATGGATGTTAGCATGACGGATAATTACGATGCACTTTTTTTTTTTTTTTTTTTTTTTAGGTCGTCTGCAAAGTCGGCAGAAGTGAGATGAAAAATGTATTGAGCTCTGATTCCTGTGTCCTGAACGAAACGATGGCAACAATAGGTATGCTGGTAGCAGTAGAGGAGGATGGTGATGGTGGTGGCGATGAAGACGGAGCTGAAGATGAGGTGGCTATTACCTGCTTGTAGCCTAGCTTCTCGAGCACAGCAGTATCATGATCGTACAGCGATGCTGACTCAACAGACCCAGTTGTCTTCATGTATCTGCGATTCGAAGAGGGGCGGACGTACGGAGGGAGAGGGGGGGACGGAGAGGAGGGAAGTGCGGAGTGACGGGTGGAGGAGGAGTGAGGAATGGACGATAAAGGAGAAGGAGGAGAAAAGAAAGAAGGAAAGGAAAAAGAAGGAGCGGAGCATGTCCATGTTGATACATGTGCATGTGCATTTGTGTGCAAGTATGCGCAGTGTAAGCGGTCGACAATAACAGATCTCAATTGGCCCTTTTTTTACCTTTTTTCGTTATCTGCAGCAAAGTACGTACATGTCCATGTATTGCCCTTTTTGCTCAACTCTCGGCTCTTGTTTCCGCCTTTGTATACACCGCCGACTTTAAGGGCCGAAGCCGCAAACCCCGTTCGCCCTGAACGTCTGTCTTTCTGCCTTGATCAACATGCCACTCTCTGTCTATCTTGGTATCTTGGGCTGTGCATGTACTATCCAGCCATAGCCTTGTCTTCTCTTGCGTTTAAATAACACCTCGAGAATAACGTCGTGTTCTGCGTATTCGCCTGATATCACCCATAGATATGAAAAATAAAGATCACTGTGGAAAATATTTTTCTTGTTTGACCTTGTTCGCTCATGGGAACAAGCATTGCCACATGGTTTAGAATACGTCTACAAATATTTCTAGCGTCCACTCTGACGACCAGCATCAGAAACTATGAATAAACACACCTTCAATGAACGTCCTATCCTATACCTAGACTTTGCTATTGCATATAATCCTGATGCATTCCAATGGACTGGTCCTTCCTCAGCCCAGAAGACCTAGGGCATCACAATCGACCATACACCTTGCTTTCTAGCCTGCTCTGCAAAAGTACCGATGTATCTCGAAGCGGATGCATCCTCAAACCATCGTCTACCATTGCCAAGGGCAACTGAGGCGGAGAAGGAGGCGGCGTGCTTAGTCCCGGGCTCGTATGTGTACTCTTCATCAAAGCCCCACGACTATTGGATCTGAAACGGGCCGGCACCCTCGACTGCGCGTCTTCATCATCACTGTCCCCCGATGAGGAGGTCCCTCTTTTTGCTGCCTTGACCATGCTGTCAATATCGATATCGTCATCGTCTTCCATCATCAAACTCTCGAGGCTCGACAGATGCTGCATCATCTCCTCCTCAAACCGGTCTCGGACAAACGTCGGCCGGTCTGACACCCCTAGGTAATTGGGGATCGGCCACTTGAACTTTTTGTGACATGTGTTCGAAGGGATGGTGCCAATGACAATAGGAATTGGCCCAAGCTGAATAGCAGTCGGCGTAGGAGTCCATGTCAGACCGCCCAGGGAGTGTTCCGAATGCTGAGGCTGATGAGTAGAGCCTTGCAGTAGGGCTTCGGTTGAAGGTGAGGAGGATGAGGCATTGAAGACTGCAAGATCCAGAGGTGATCGCTTTCGGGAACCAGATGTTAGACGACTAACCAGACTATTGCCGCAGTTGTTGCGTTGAGGGATGGGTATTGAGATGAGGATGTGATAGTCGACTTTGAGCAGCGGGGTGATCGCACGGTTGATGGACGGGATGAGTCCGATATTGGATGGCAGTCTGAGCTGCAGTTGTTGACTCCAGGACGAGTTTGCATTCTCGACCCTGGCAATGGGGATGGTTGCGGTGTGGATGGTGGTGGAATCGGGCTGGGTGTAAGTGTGTTCAGAGGAAGAGGAAGAGGAAGAGGAGGGAGTGGTGGTGGCGTAGGAGATGTGCCGGACGAGGGCCAGGTGGATGGAGCATAGATCCGTCCGGGACCTGTTGTCGATGTGGAGGACCATTGCCGCGGACTCACCTACGAAGGGACGGAGGCGATTGTTAGTTGATACGCGACACTGCTGCTGCGTTTGTTTCTGCCAAAGGATTAGGACCATTGGGGATTGTGGAGGGACCAATGGGAATGAGAGGGACCCAGACAAAGACTGCCAAAGATAGAAATTTTGTCCCAGTGGACCACACCGCGCACTCCCACTCATTCACACGCACGTTCTTTCTCTCTCGCATTCGGATAGGGAGTGGAATGCTGTGGCAGGATTAAAATAGCGCGTGGCACAAATGAAAAAACAGGTCTTACCGATGCAAATGGCAGGCTTGCTCTTGACTGAGGCATTAATAAAGGACAACGATGACATCGCATTGCTGTTGGGGGTGTCTGCAAGAACAACATGGGTGCTAGTCTCATGCATCGAGGCACGAGTTGAGCTTGTTGGAGCACAGGTTGCTGCTGCTGGCGGGGATGGCGCTGATAACGCGGCCGGAACAGCTGTCGGAACCAGCGGTAGGTACATGATCTTAATCGGGCGGGATGAAACCGAGGCTCTGGAGGAGACATTTTCCGGGCGCGCCTCAAAGCTAAGGACGGCGTGGATGGAGTAACATACGGAGCGAGCACCGTCCTTAATCATGGATAAATAAGGAAATCATGTCCAAATGATCCAAAATGACCAGGGAGGAAGAGAAAAAAAATGTGGTCAGCCGCGAACTTATCACCCACCACCTTGCCCACCAATACGCTGCCAAAGCTCTCTTTCTTTCCCTCTCGCGCCCATGCGTGGCATACCTCAATGCTCGGGGGGAAATTGCAGAGGGGCAGCTTGATCGAGAAATAGAAAGCTCGTTGTCTTTTGCATGCCGGCAGTGTCTGGTCTTTGAGCAGTTCATGCTCCACCTTGAACACTGGCGAAGAACTCTTATTCTCTTGAGAATAAGAAGATTTTCGAAAAAGAGACCTGCTGGGCACTATTGGAGAATTCGACGTTGCGGGTGGAGCTTGTGCGGATGAGGGGGTCGATGGAGGGAGGATGTTTTGGTGACAAGTAAAGACGACCGTTAAATCGCATGGAGAGAGAATGGGCTTGTTCAGGTGGAGATGGACCCGCCCTTGGATGACAGCACCGGGCCCATAGTATTTGGTGGCCAAGGACACGACGAGTCCTTGTGGAGAGACAAAGCTGGATGCATTGGAGGAGGATGCCTTTGAGAGGAAGCGCATTGGAGGATGTGGAAGAGGGAAAGGATGGTGGAAAGGTAGAGGCGAGTGGGAGTGGGGGTGATGTGAGGAGGTGAGAAAAGTGAAATAAATGAGACCTGTAGTCATTTTTTTTATTTGGACAAACAGTCTGCTCTTCGCCACCAAACCCAAAGGGACCAGTGCACGGTGACTGAGAATACTTTTGGCGTATGCAGAAGACTTTGTTGCTGCTGCGAACACGTCCACATTGCAGCTTCTCGAGCACCAAGCAAGGAACAGGCATTCTCTTTTGATAATGCACTCGGATGGCACCAAATAAAAAAAATAGAAATAAAAAAAATTCTTTATTGTAGCGTGCCATGGTCATGAGTGGCAATATTAGTATGGTCATCAGTAGCGAGGATAAAAGGTGTTTTGAGTGCACCTGTCAAAGAGGTGTAGTCAAAGAAAAGCGAGCGTAATGGCTGCGGGATTGGCATTTAGCTAAAGTACACAGCCTTGGGGTCAATGGGCACTCCTGTGCGAGGGTCGATTCCATTGGCCTTCATCTTGTTCTGCTGGTGAATCAACCGCGCCTGGTCAAAGTTGCAGCGGTACTTCTTCATGATCTTGCGAATCTCGTTCGCATTCTCGATTCCGTGGCGGTCATCTAGCACATACACACACATACACGTTTTAAAAAAAAAAAGATAGACAGTATTAGATATTGTCCACAGTTATTATTTCTTCTGCGACGACAGTAGTGTAGTTGTAGCTGTTGCGTTTGAATGGCATTACCTCCGTCGAGCAGGTTCTGATGCAGGTCAAAAGTCGAGGAGGTCAAGCCCTCCTCGATGTTCTGCTGAAAGGAACTGTCCTCGTCTGAGCGGAAGAAGGGCAGACGAGTGTACCGCAGCCGGTCCAACAGCTCGTCGACTTTGGGCATCCAGTAGCCACGTGTGACATAGGCGGCTATGCACCACAGCAGCAGAATGAGTAGAATGGATATCATGGCAGCAGTATACGGGTGAGTGTGTTGGTGAGAGGGTCGATGTGTGTGTGTTGGGGCGATGAAGGAGTGGATGGATGTCAATCGGGTTACAGAGGAGAATCAATCGAATGTGAAGAAGAGATTGAGTGAGCCATCCGATTATCGCTAGCCTTGGCAAAGCAGCCCATATTAGCCATATTATATAGCCCATGTTAGCCATATTAGCCATGGCGAAGCATTGAGGAAAGTATGTCACACTTCTGCACTTGCACGGAGACGGGTCTGTCAATGCACGCTCCCCAGTCATAAGTCATATACTCATATTGGGACAGACGTGCACAGGTCGATTGCACTTCCAGTCGTGTCGTCCATCCGATATCAACATGTTCATCCTATGCGTCCGAATCGCCAGCGAACATCAGCAGCCGTATTTGACTCGACCCCACTGGATATAGCGAGCACGGCAACGGTGCTTTACCTGCACCATCCTTTGAACCATGATCCACCTACACCTTGACTTCTGTTATTCATTTATTCACCAGAGGTGGAGACGAAGTTTGGCATGCACTGATCTTCAGCAATCGCTTGTGCTCGGAATATGGGTGTCAAAACACAAAGGCGTATATGATGCACAGTTGACATGACATGGACCTGCGTTCTGCTAGGGACCCTCCTCTAACCGCTGTTGATGCTGGGCGCAGAAGCTGATGTGTCCTCCCTTGGGGATATATCCTCAGTTGCCTCAGTTGGGGTCCATTTTAGCTGCTGCCTTCTGCTCCAGCCTCCTCTGCATTCTTTACACCCCCTCATGCGCAACCTTAATCCACATCCCCAATTCAGACCATCTGCCCTCTTTTCTTTCCCTTCTCTTCTTTCTTCTCCCCTTCTTTCCTTCCCTTCTTCATCTCATTCTTTTCCTTCCTTTGTCAAGAACATTCCACTTATTCCTACTACCTGGATACTATGATGACGGACACCCATCCTGCCTCCGCTACCACGACCGAGGATCCCGTCGCCGAGGTCACCTCTGCTGCCGACAAGATCACAATCGTCGACAACGCGGTCCATACCACCACAGAACACATCCACGACGAGAACTGCAAGCACGACCACGACCACGAGAAGGAGTCCAGCCAGCCCCAGGGACGCAATGACTATGACCTCCTCGAGATTCGTGGCACAAAGGATCAGACAACCGATCCTCTTGTCAAGGTACATGCTGATGCAGAGATGATCTCACAGCTCGAGAGAACTCGATCTGTTTATTCGCGCGCGTTCATTTTTATTTTCGTAAACCGTCTAAAACCATGTCCGTACATATTCTCAAACACCTCCAATGTTGTTGTAGACCTACTTTGAGGCCAAGGATATATTCACAAAGGCTATGGAGCGCCTGAGCCAGATCCCAGAGGGCTCTGATGCCGAGTTAATCGAGAAGCACAAGGACGACATTGTCTCTGTCACCAGCGATCTGATGCGCGCCTTCTTGATGGACGAAAAGGCCTGCGCCATGAGTCAGAGGATCCTGAAGCTGGCAGAGCAGTACGAGAGCTATGTCCAAAAGTACAATCCCGAGAACACCTCGACCTCCACAGTCGAATCTGAGGAGGAAGGAGCAGAGCAACATACGACCATTTACACCAAGGACTCAGTTGTCTTTGGTAAGTACCAGCAACAAACAAGCCAAAAAAAAAAGAAAAGAAAGGGATCTTGCTGATGATTGTGCTCTGGAAGACCACTGTCGACAGTATAGTGCGTGGGCACTTCTTCATTGGATGAACGAGTGAAATAGTCCCCTTTGTTTTTTGTTTTGCTTGCAAAAATGCAAAAAAGGGGCGGTAATGTGCGGGAGTAAGGGTGCGAGGAATTGAAAACGAGAAGACGAAGATGGGATCGAGACCAGAAGATTGGCTAGGCTATCGCTCGTCCTTCTTGTCTATAGCACCGTGAACAACTGGCAGGCCTTCACTCGACGACACCATACTCATCCTCTAGGGGCCATCTGGACGCGGTTCCCTACCTTGTTCCTTACCCTCACTCGTTGCTCTCTTTATTTTGCTCATACTCCCGTTGTTCTTAATGAGGGTGGTCTTTTCCACGATACGCTTGCATCTCATTCTGATCTGCAAATGCATGCTGCTGCATACACTTTGGTCGACTAGGTGTTTACCCAGCTTGACCCTGCTGGTCCTCTGCAGACTGTGAAGGTGTTGGAGAAATCTGATTTGGTGGCAGCAGCAAACCTTAATGCATTCGCGTTTATTTATACCCCTCCCCTCTCCACACTCTTTAATTCTCAATATCAAGAGGGATATTCCTAGACAAGGCCATATAACCATATCTAATCATATCTTACTATATTAATAACGATAATAGTCATCTGGATCTTGTTCAGCGGGCAGCAGTTCTCCCACTGTATCCAGACTCTCGGCTTTGCCATCACAGAGTTCGAGGCACTCCGCCCTCGCATGCTCGAGTTCCGCGCCTCGTGCCACATGGCTCTCCGCAACTACAAGGTGCGGAACAGCACAGGAAGCGTTGAAATATATTGCTATCTGTATTCCGAAAGCGAAAAAGACTAATACTTTCTCGATTTGATCCGCAACATGCTACATTATAGGCCTGCACGGAAGACCTTGAGCAAGTGCTGACTCTCACGCCCGAATTGACCGAGGTCCACTCAATGCTCGGCAACGTCTACTATGCGATTCACCAGGCTCAGGATGCCATCCAGCACTTCAAGGCCTTTATCGAAACCGCCCACCCTGACTCGCGCACGCTTCCCTACGCCTACTATGCCCTCGCTAACCTGACCCTGCAGTCCGCACCTTCGGGCGCAGCCAAGAAGAAAAACCAGTCTTTGAAGCAGGCAGCTGTTCTCAAGGAAGCACAAGAATTCTACAAAAAGGCTCAGGCAGCCGACCTTCGCTTCAAGGAACTCTATGGTGTACCTACGGCCTTGAACGAGGTCAAGCGCACGGCCGTGATGGCGTTCGAGGCCCGTAGCGCTGGTCGCAACGGTCTGCTCTTGAACGATTCGTCTCAAGCTCTGCTGGATGCCTCGGAGGCCTTGAAGAAGTCGTTCAAGAGTCCCGGTATCTCGTCCTGCGCCAACTGTGGCCGTCCTGATAATGTCGCCAACAACGATCGCGCACCAGAGTTGAAGCCCAAGCCCTTGATTAAGTGCACCAAGTGCAACAAGGTTGCGTACTGCTCCAGGCCATGCCAGATCACCCACTGGAATTCTACCCACAAGAACACTTGCAACAAGAAGTAGACGGTCCATGCGCTCGGCTGTTTTTCTTGCTTTTTCTTTTTTCTTTTTTCTTTTCCATATTTTTCCTTTTTATTTTGCTCTGCTTGCCTGCTTACCTGCCTGGTTCTTTTTTCTTTTCTTTTCTTTTCTTTTTTTTTTTTTTTCAGTTTCCTTTGTATTTCAATAGCCCAAAGTTCGTTTTTAATAGTCGGAAATTAGAGAGACAAGGGAGGGGTTGACAGAAAGAAAAGTGTTTTCTGAAGATGGGGGGGTTTTTTTACTTTTTTTTTTTTTAACAAATAAAACCCATATTGTCATAAACACCAATGTAGATTAAGACGAGCAAAAAGAAATGTATTAACTTTCAAGTGGTCCTAGTTATCTCAAGTCTATGCACTTGACGTGTGCTCCTCTTCTTCTTCTAGACATCTCGGACATGAGCACCTGAAAAAGTACATCTCCCACAGTCGCTCTTGTCGGTCTTCTTTGCTCGTGGTGATATCCCCATAGCTAATGCAACACTCCTCGCCTTCCTCAATCAAGCGTGTGCTCCAGTACTCCATCTGTCGCGCCCGGTCGCCCTGTCGTCTCTGCTTCTGCACATTGGGACAACATGAATGATTAAAGAAGCAGGCTCGTGGGAAGACCGCGAAGCCTATTAGCTCATCAGAAGCGTCCCTGATCCCGAACGAATTGGCGACCTCACCAAAGAGGATGGTCCGGAAAAGGGTGTTGTTGATGGAGAGTGAGGGTGTGGTCGTTGATGGGTTCATGGCTGAGGGTCCTGAAGGAGAGGAGGAGGAGGAGTTCTCGAGCGCTAGGAGAAGACATGCGTCTCGTAGGCGGAGATAAATGTAAAAGCAGCCCAGAAGATGAGCAGGCACGAGAGCGAGCAAGCGACGCCATTCTGCTGCATCTTTGTGAGGTATCGCCTTAGACTCCTGGTGCTGATCCAACTGTTCCTGCTTCAACTGTTCCTGCTCAGTCATGTCCTGTCGCAGCTGCTGTCGGAACATGACCAGCTCGTTTGATTGCATCGCACAATAGTCCGCAAACATCGTTCGTTCCCCTGGGACCCTGGACGGACCTATACCTGCAGCGGCCGAGATATGGTCAACACTAGCAACTTGAGAAGCCGTCGAGGGGCTCGGAAGCAGGTGGGCCTGCATTTCAGTCTGGCGACGGTGCAGGACTTCTGTGATCAGGCGTGTAATCTCGCAGTCATCATCCGACGTCTGGGCGGCGATGGTCGCATGGTTGTCTCCCTGTAACAAATACGTCGCCAGCGTTGGGAATAGGGCTTCCGGTTTCAAGTCATATCCTGGTTGCTGTGGTGATGATGATGATGATGATGGAGGTTCCATTGTGTCTACAGAGGATTCCTGCTCGTCGATGATCCCATCCAGTGCGCTCCAGAGACAGTTCAAAAAGCACGCCAAATCCTGATCACTCAAATTCAAGAGTTCCTGCCGTGTGTGTGCAATCGACAGGGCCTGCAGTACCAAAGTCGAATAATGTATAGATCTCGGATCCGTCGCTGTCGCTATAGCTGCCACTGCCGCCACCGAAATCGATCCATTGCTCGAGGTCCCCTGTTCGCCCTCTAAACCCGTCGGCTTGACTACGGACGACATCGTGATCTTACAGTGCTCCATTCCAGAGTCGTTCCAGGTCCTGCGAACCTTTTCCTCAACTCGACAGATCGTCTTTGCCGTAGCCGGCCCATAGAGTCGTAAACAAGTCTCATCACAGAACACCATCGCGGTATCCTGGTTTCGGTTCTTTGGCTTTCCGTTGGTATCATCACTCTTGGTCGGTAAACGGATCTGAGTCTTGCGATTTGGAATCGTGGTCCAGCAGTAGTGACAGACCCCACAGTCGAGCCATGGATCGCACATGGTTGTCCCATATGCCTCGGCGACAAAGACGAGTTCGTTCGGTTGGATGGTCCGAGTGGCGACGTAGGAGCGGCCTTTGTTGGGTAAGGAGGCGATTCTCACAGGGAAGGTTGCTGCTGTCGTTGAGACAGCGGTCGAGGGTATGGTTGAAACTGCGGCGACGGCAGCATCAGTCTTGGTATCGGCACTGGTTGGCGAGGGATCATTCTGAAGGAGAGCAGCATTGGCAATGGGGTCATCGAGTGAAGGAGTAAGCAGGGGGTGGATGGGTATCGACGGTGCCTTGAGTGCTTCTGGGAGGGCGAGGTGATCGATTTTGAGGTTCATGGCTGCCAATTGCAGGTGCAAATGGGTGTGTATCGAAAGGGGTTGAGGATAGGAAGGGGTGTGTGAAGAAAGAGAAAGGGGAAAGGGTGCCAGCAACGCTGCGTTGTCATTGTTGTTCCTTCTTTCATACTCAATGGCTGGCTATCAAAAAAAGAAGAAAAGAAAAAGAAAAGAAAGGACGATCGGATCGCACCAATGGGAGGGATTTTAATTTCGGCGTGGTAGCACCTGGAGCAGGGTCCACCTGCAAATAAACGATAATAACGCGCGAACGGACGTTATTTCCCAGCAGGACATGTACTGCAGCGCGTCGCATTAAGGAGTGTCGTGCATTTGCCACCAACCAGTCGTCGGGGGGTCCACGGGGATCCGACAGTTACACAACGTCCGCTCTCCCCATTCCTGGGCATGCTGATCGCAGGACATATCGTCATCGTCACCCATGGGACTCGTGCGTAGGACTGACACACACATCCCAAGCAAGACAATTTTTTTAGTCGTTTAGTCGCGTCGTCGGCTTATTTTATTTTATTTTATTTTATTTTATTTTATTATATTATATTTATTTTATTTCCATGTCTGATCTCGATCTCAGCCTAGCGCAAGTTTATCGAACGCGACATCCTGACATCCACTTCAAAAGCATTCCTTCTTTCTCTCCCCTCTCTCTTCTCTCTTTCTCTCTCTCTTCTCTCCACAGATTACACCCTCACTACTCTTCCACATCCCTAACCACCCACCAACCAACCACCCATCCCATCCCACAGCACACACTCTCGCCCACACATTCGCACGCATATCCCCCCCGAGGCCAATTACCGAACACACCATCAGCAAAAGACAACCACGGAATGTACAGGATCAAGCCCCAGACGCTGGTTGCAACCGCCCAGCGCACCCGAAATGTAAGTGTGCCCCCTCTTTTATACCTGTGCTCAGAATGTGCATACACACAGACACTCAATCTCTAAATCTGACCTGTGCGTGAAATTTGGTTTGTCCACTACGATACTTAGCCAACGTTGCTAATCGCCTCCACAGCCGCTGTCGCCGTTGTCGCTGCTGGCCCCCTCGTCTCCAGAACCGCATACTGTCAGCACGTAAGTTCTTCCCTCATTGTCATCTCCAAGAAAAAAAAAAAATCATCAAAAAATTCTATGACGAATATAACGAACATAACGAACATAACGAACATATAACAAGTTCGTCATAATTAGCCTGCATTTCGCATATGAAACGTTTTTTTACCTTTTCTTTCTAACCCTCTTTCGTGCTTTGCACATACGTCTTTTCCTTCTTTTCATCAGGACTCTGGCATCCAAGCCCAGGCAGAAAACCTGAAGGAGCACGTCCAAGAGTTTACAGATCAAGTCCTCGAGATGTCGGACTCGCCCTACGGTTCATCCTCCGGATCTCCATCGTCGTCGTCGTCGTCGTCGTCTTCGTCTTCGTCGTCGCCTTCCACAGGCGGTGACCATGACCGCGGCCACAATTCCAATCATTCTTCCTCCCTGGGCGACGCACACCGTCAACACTACAACGACGCTGGCAGGAGGCCGATGCGACCTCGTGGTAGTACCGGTGCCTATGTTGAAGAACCCCTCGTCCCTGCGCTGCTCTATGTCACCGTAGCCGGTATGGCCGGATCGATCATTGCACGCAAGAGTAAGTGTGGAAAACATAGCTATGTGCCACCATTTCTAGGATGGCAAAAAGGAAAAAGAAAAAGAAAAAGGGCATTTATTGATCTTTTTTTTTTTTTTTTTTTTTTTTTTTTTTTTTGATTTTCACAATATCCATAGGCAATTTTGTCTTCCGATTTCTCTCTCCCCTGGCATTGGCACTTGGCGCTTCGGCGTACTGCATCCCCAGGACCACGAACAATGTCCTGCACGGACTGCGCACATACGACTACCGCGAGATGACTCGTGAATGGCAGCACAAGTACGAACACGCGAAATCCACTGTCGTCGGCACCACCCATAGTCTTACCAACGTTGCAGGGTCCGTCGCCACTGGCGCCAAGGACGCCGTGCACGATCTTTCCGACAAGACATCCGAGATGAAGGAAAAGACAGAAAAGGTACTCACTGAGGCCAAAGACAAGACCGTCGAGGTCGCCCAGGAGGTGAAGGAGAAGGGCCAGGGCGCCGTCAAGGAGATGAAGAACAAGGGCCAAGATGTCGCGAACGAGGTTAAGGTCAAGGGCCAAGACGTCGCGAACGAGGTCAAAGTCAAGTCCAAGGACATGGGAAACCGGTTCGAGAATGCGAAGGATCAGGTCAAGGATCAGGTCGAGGATAAGGCCGACAGCACCAAGGACTGGTGGAACGCTCAGAAGGGCCAGGCCGAGAGATCTGCCAAGGACTTCAAGCGCTCAGCACGCCAGAGTGGGGAGCACGCCCGCGACTGGGCCGAGGACACTGCTGAGGACACGCATGATTGGATGCGTGAGAAGAAGGCCCGCCTTGGTCAGCATGGTTATGATAGGGATGACGTCGAGCACGGCTTTGATAAGCTTCGAAACAAGGCCCGTCAGAGCTGGGACTCTGCGCGCGACGAAGCCCAGGATGAGTGGCCACACGCCGATGCCCGTCGCCGTGAAATGGGTCGCGACTTCAAAGATTATGGACGGGATATGCGCCGTGGTGCTGAAAACATGAAGGACCAGGCCCAGGACTGGGTTCAGGATCGTTCCCATGAGATGCGCGATCGATATGAAGATATGAAGGACCGTGGCCAGGATTGGGTTCAGGACCGTCGCCACGACTTTGAGAGGAAGGGCCGTGAGGCCGAGGGAGAATATGACCACGCACGCACAGAGGCCAAGAGACGCGGACGTAATGCCTGGGATCGCACCGAGGACCGTGCCCGAGATGCTGGACATGATCTTCGTGATCGAGCCGAAGATATGCAGGACCGGGGCCGCCGTGGGGTGCGCAAATTCGAGGACGAGTGGGACAATGCCCGCTCTCGATCCCGCTCGGGTGAGCATGGTGCTGGCTCTGGTGCTGGTTGGGGATTCACTGGACGCTCTGGTGAGGACAATGGTAACAGACGTGGCCGCTATGAGGAGCGCGATGACCATGATGGACGACGCTTCTCAGACTCGGAAGCGCCTCGTCGTTCAGTGACCGAGGCTGCCAGGGAGGGCAAGCATTGGTGGCAGAATAAGAACCCATCAGACTCTTACGAGTCGTATGACAACAGCAGGCCCTCTTCTGGCACGCAGTCGTCATGGTGGAAGGCCGGATCTGATTCCAAGGAGCAGGCCAAGTCCGAGTTTGGACATGCTAAGAACCATGCCCAGCGGGGCATGGGTCACTTCAAGGACTCTGTCGAGGAAAAGGCCCAGGGAGGTCGTGCATGGTTCGAGGACAAGACTAATGAAGCGAAGCACCGGTTTGAGAACGGCAAGAAGCAGGCTGAGCATGAGCTCCATGATAAGTTTGGACGGAGCGGTGCTGGTTACCGCGGCGAGCAGGGACGCGACTTTGGAGGACTCGACCGTGATCATGGATCGGTTTATTCACAAGACAACTGGTTCCATTATGACCGTGGCCAAGATAATAGGGCCTCTGCTGACCGCGGCAGAGAGAGAGGCATGTAAAGGGTTGGGATACTTCCCAGATGTAGTTTAAAACGTCTTTATCATTAAATCGAAACCACTATTGTATTTAAGATGATCTCGCCTCGCGTTAGATTGCGGAGCCGTGTTGCATGCACGTGTAGTCTGAGGGAAGGAGCGAGGGGGGGGGGATCGAGATTCAACATCGCCGCTTTCTTTCATTCTCCTCATCCTCCATCATGGTCCGCGGCAAGTTCATCGTCGGCTCCAACTACAAAGTATCTTCAGAGGGAAAACATAGACGTTGGAAGCACAGCTCACCCCCATGTATCCTAACCATCTTTTGCCCGACCAACCCATAATCAGATGAATGGCTCTCAGTCTTCATTGCTGGCTCTAGTTGGGTTGCTCAATCATGCGCAGCTCGACAGCAACGTTGGTACGCGATCTGGACTACCGTGTCTTTTATCTTTAAATTCCCCTTGACAGCGGCGTTCTAACATCAATAGCACACACACACTGCGCCATCCACATTTTTGTAGAGATCTTCATCTCCCCTCCCTTAGTATATATAGATCTCGTACGAAAGAACCTCCGCCGCGATGTCGCGGTTGGTGCCCAGAACTGCTATCTAAAGGCCACTGGAGCCTACACTGGCGAAGTCGCGTACGTCCCGCGATGTCCTATGCTACAAAGTCTCAATGAAAATTTAAAGCACACGAAAGGTTTTTGACGCCATGGTATTTTGCCCTAGATCAGCCCAGAAATGCTTAGGGACATTGGCGCAGAATATGTCATTCTCGGCCACACCGAACGCCGTGAAATCTTCAAAGAATCCGATACGGATGTTGGACTCAAGGTTGAGCAAGCCTTACAGGCCGGTTTACGGGTCATCGCCTGTGTAGGTGAAAAACTTGAGGAGCATCAAGCTGAAAAGACTCTGGAGGTGCTTTACCGCCAGCTAGATGCCATTGCTGACCATGTTCTGGATTGGTCTAATCTCGTGGTGGCCTACGAACCTGTCTGGGCGATCGGTACGGGCAGGGTCGCCACGCCTGAGCAGGCACAAAGAGTCCACAGGGCAATTCGGGAATGGTTAAGATCAAAGAAGGGCGACCACGTTGCGGATCAGACACGAATCATCTATGGAGGATCTGTCAATCTGAGCAATGCAGCCATGTTAGCGAACGAGGAGGACATTGATGGGTTGTTTGTTGGAGGCGCGTCTCTCAAACCAGAGTTCGTCGATATCTGCAATGTCCTTCAGGGTTCACGGTAGTTCCACAAGGAGTGGAGGCGCAAAAATAAAAGTGCGGTATGTCAAAGCGGTAAAAATGCTTTTGGGAGTCCCATCCATGGACCCCTCCACATGCATGCCAATCGGTGTGAACGGTAGTGCTGTCTTTAACAGTGAGTTGCACTCAGGCACGCCGTTTCATTAACCTCCTCAAGACAACCCCCTATAACCCCCTGTCAAGCATGAGTCTCAAGGAAAAATCGATGCTGTTTCCTCTCGTCCATCACCGTCTTTCATAGGCTATCGAACGATTGACTCCCCCGTGCATTGGTGCACAGCAACCCGCAGGCGAGGGTAATTTTTTCGAAAATTGACAATCGCGCGTTGTAGGGACAAGAGGGAAGGATAGAGCATCAAAGTTACGTACACGTACGTGCCTAATATTGATGACGTTTCAGTTTCTGCAACAGGTGCACAGTCTGTGGACCCCCAAATTCATTCTTTTTGCCCGCGACTTCATACGCGTCAGCCTGAGAGGACAAGTCTACCTTTAGTTCTCATTCGACTCCTTCCCATTACGCAACCCAAGCATCTCTCTTACTCTTTCTTTTTCTCTCTCTCAGTTAACTCTCACTTGTCTTGTCCGTCTTCAACAGCACACGTACACTGCATCAAGAACAGCGAAATAACCAGATTCAGTCAGGAAAAAATATTCGGAACCATCCAAAACTATCCAGTCATGGTCCGCGACGGCATCAAGGGCTTCTACCGTGCCAAGATTGAGGAGGCCGAGGGCGAAATCCATGAAAAGACCCAGAACCTGCGTCGTTTGGAAGCCCAGCGAAATGCACTCAATGCTAAAGGTAACGATTCTCTGAAGAGAGTATACGTTTCTTCGTTTCCTTGCACACTTAGTTTTTGCTGCACGGTATCTTTTTTTTTTTTTTTTTTTTTTTTTTTTGCTTACATTCCTTTCTATATTCTTGTTAAATAGTGCGCCATCTTCGCGAAGAACTCCAACTGCTACAGGAACCTGGATCCTATGTTGCAGAGGTCGTTAAACTGATGGGCAAGACCAAAGTCCTTGTCAAGGTACTTTTGTTTTCCATTTTCTCGATGATCTGAGTGAATGCCGTGGAACTGGAGTTGTACTGTACCAATTCCTTCAGATGAATTAACTAACCATGCTCCTTTTTTTTCTTTTCTTTACTTTACTGTACTTTACTTTACTTTACTTTAGGTTCATCCAGAGGGAAAATACGTGGTGGATATTGGTGAGGGTATTGACAGGACAAAGCTCACGACCAATCTGAGGGTGGCCCTCAAGAACGACAACTATGCACTTCACAAGATCCTCCCTAATGCGATCGATCCTCTGGTCTCACTCATGATGGTCGAGAAGGTGCCTGATTCGACCTACGAGATGATCGGAGGTCTTGATAACCAGATCAAGGAGATCAAGGAGGTCATTGAGTTGCCGGTCAAGCATCCGGAACTCTTTGAGGCCTTGGGTATCGCTCAGCCCAAGGTAAGAAACACACTCGCCATTAGTCTTTTTCTTTTTTTGCAGGCAACTGTGATTCCATGCACATTGAAATGGAAGAGGGAAAAGAGCATAAAAGATCTCAAGACTGATAGCTAATTATGCTTCTATATTTTTAGGGAGTGCTGCTCTATGGACCACCAGGAACAGGAAAGACACTGTTGGCTCGTGCTGTCGCCCATCACACAGATTGTAAATTCATTCGCGTCTCTGGTTCAGAGTTGGTGCAAAAGTACATTGGAGAGGGAAGTCGCATGGTCCGAGAGCTCTTTGTCATGGCAAGGTATGGATCATCGACACTAGCATTGACATTGGGAATCTCTGCTCCATTTTGTTGTCCCTTTTTTTTGACATCTGCATCATAACCCGGGAATAACGGATGGGGAACTAAGATTCCACTTGGATACCTTTTATTCAAAAAAAACCCCCTCCCCCTCCAGCAAACTAACATTGCTTTACTTTTTGTATTCATATCTACAGAGAGCATGCGCCTTCGATCATCTTTATGGACGAGATTGACAGTATTGGAAGTTCCCGTGGTGAGGGCGGTGGCGGTGGTGGAGACAGTGAGGTTCAGCGTACGATGTTGGAATTGCTGAACCAGCTTGATGGATTCGAGGCGACTAAGAACATTAAAGTCATCATGGCGACGAACCGTATCGACATTCTGGACTCTGCATTGTTGCGTCCCGGTCGTATCGACCGTAAGATTGAGTTCCCGCCACCAAATGAGATCGCTCGTGCCGATATTCTGAAGATTCATTCCAGAAGGATGAACCTCACAAGAGGTATCAACCTGCGCAAGATTGCAGAGAAGATGACAGGATCCAGTGGTGCGGAAGTCAAGGGAGTCTGTACAGAGGCTGGCATGTATGCCCTTCGCGAACGCCGAGGTAAGGCTTACGATAGCATCCTATTTGCTTTATTGCATTGATGGCTTTGTTGTTGCAAAGATGGAGTGTGTGAGAGAGAGGCCCTACGACTAATTGCATCATTTTTTTGTGCATTTGACTTATAGTTCATGTCACACACGAGGACTTTGAGCTGGCAGTAGCCAAGGTTATGAAGCGGGCAGAGGACCAGAGCATGAGTGTGCACAAGCTATTCAAGTAAACGAAAGAAGGATTCGGTCCTTTCTTTTTCTTTTCTTTTCCCCTCCTCCTTTCTTTCTTCCTTTCTTCCGTCCTTTTAAAGGGGGACAGACCCGAAAATAAACATTTGCGCACATGTATTTACAAATGACGCATAGAAGCAAGCACGAGCATGGTTTTTTTTGTATCTTGATGATTGAGGATGAACGTATGAAGGACTTTTATTTTACATGATGTGTGTGTGAAGAGAAGGGAGAATGATGTCTGCCGAGAGGATTCTTTTTTATCGAGTCAAGTCAGTCGAGCCGAGTGTTGTTACAGCGGGTAATGAGTACAGGTCATTTGCGAGTAAGCGCCCCCTCTTTCGCAATATGAAAAAAAAAAAGAGAACGAGTGTCTAAGTCATGAAAATGTTAAAAGAGCTGACCAAGTGAAATAATCTTACACGCGCCAAAGGTGGGGGAGAGTAGGGGAAGCTATTATGATGGATAGATAGTATACAGGATAATGGTAACAAGGCAGGAAGAGGACGATAAGAAAAAAAAAAAAGAAACAAAGAAAAAGAAATAAAAAAGAGAGAGGGGAGGGGCGAAGAGGACTCGAGTGCAGGAGTGCACAAACATCATTGTATCTAGTCCGTAACCTCCATATAACGCTCCAAAAGGATTGACAGCGAGGGCAACGAGATGGGTTTCTAGAAAACACACAAACAAAAAAACAAAAAAAAGGAGTCGTTAGTAATCAGTTACTTTCATGCAGGACCCTCCAGACGCGTTCGGTTGATCTCAAGATACTTACCACCATCACATCGTCAAAGCCGCCACTCAATGCCTTTTCACGATCCTCGCCAATCTCTGCTGTCCAGTCGGCCGTTACAGCAACGATGCTTGCGGGTTGAGCTACCTCGGTCTTGGAGTCGCTGCTCTGTTTCCGTGAAGAGGAAGTACTTCCAGATTCTCGTCGTTTGGTCATGTCGGCCATGTCAGGGGGGCCAGCAAACCGCTCTGGTGACCATGGACAGTTGTCATCCAGCCAGCTTTCGTTCAGGGTCTGCAAGAGCGGGGAGCCCTTGTTCTCGTGATGAACGGCTGAGGGGCCCCAGTAGGCGAGCTCTTTCTCGCGGATCAGCGTCGTTGCCTGGAAACCGCCCATGATGGGCATCTTCAGATCCATCAAGACCAGAGCGTGAATACCAGGAAGGAACATGTCGACGGCCTCTTGGCCAGACCCTGCCTGATCGACCTTGGACACCCCTAGCTTCCTCAGCTGGTGAAAGAGTAGATTGCGATTGAAAGAGTTGTCGTCTACAATCAGCACACGCTTGCCGGACGCATTAAGAGATTGGATGCTGTCATTCGAAATGAGCGCTGGTCGTGCCATGCTTTTGATATTGATTGACCTGCGCTTCAGCAGACCTTTGGGTAGTCGATCAGATGCCTTGGATAGGGATTCAATCGATGAAGACAGAATTGGGCTGTCATTGCCATCCAGGGTGATCTTGGGCACAGACCCGTTCTTCTTTGCGAATCGGACATGGGAGGCCTGGGGGGCACTCGCGACTTTAGAGCTGCCGCTCTCCATGTCGCTTGTCGACTGCTGAGAGACGCTTCCAAGCTTGGGTGAGGCCGAGGCTGAAGAGGCTGAAGAGGCTGAAGAGGCTAAAGAGGTAGAGGAGGAAGAGGAGACAGCGCTTGAGCCTGTAGGCACGTTCTTGGAACCCACCGAAGGCAGAGTGGAAGCCCTCTTTGCCTCCTGGCGGTCAGGACTGCGCACGTTTGATGTGCATGACACAGATGTCGAAGACGCATTGGTCGTGCTCGGGCATGATTCGCCCTCGCTCACTTTCGCCTGGACTGTAACAACCTGCTTCTTGATGATGACGCCCAAGGCCCTTTCGGACACGGGTTTACGGCAGAGCGAGATCTGGTAGTACTGGCCGAGAGTCAACAGGGGTTCCTGTGCAACCGAGGGAGGGTGCCCAAAGGGATAAAACAGGATGATCGATGCTTGACGAGCTTTTCCAATGCGCGCCTTGGCTCGAGTAATCAGCAGCTTCGACATCTTGACCAAGAATAGACGAGCGTGCTCCTGATCCGTGAGCAAAGTCTCGGACTTTGATCGGTTCGTGGCGGGGCTCAGGTCGATCAGAAACACATCGCCAAAGCGGGCCATGGAATCGTCGGCGCTGAGATCAGTGTGCCATCCGCGGATGCATTCTTCATACGAAAGTCGACGGACGGCTTGTGCCTTCCAGCGTCCAGCGGCCGTGTTCCACAAAAAGTCCTCGAAATATCCGCACTGAGAATGCAAATAATACTGTCTGTTAGAGAGAAAGGCGTGGTCCCGAGTTCGAAGGGTGATGTTGTTGGCGTTAGCTCGGGTCACCTCCGAAGGCTGCAACGTAAAGTAGTCCTTGGCCTGGTTCGGATCCTTAGGTGTTGCTGGGGTTAAGACCGGGGTCATCTTGATACCCGTCATCGACTCGTTCGTGGCCGAAGGAGTCGTGCTACGTGCAAGTCCTGGGGTGACGGGAAGCACAGGCGAGGACGGATCCATTTCCTGAACCATTCCAGCCTGAAATGCAGATGAAACCGTAACAACGTGGTCGTATCCGGGCGTGCGGAACGCGAGAAACTGCTTCTCCATCTTGATCACGAATCCGAACGTAGATCCAACGCCGAGCTGGCTAGTGACAAAGACAGAGCCGTTCATGACTTCGACTAGATTCTTGACCAAAAAAAGGCCAAGGCCGGTCCCAGCCTCGTGCGTCTTGCAGGTGCCGCCCTCGACCTGGCTGAACTCGACAAACAGCTTGTCCTTTTGCTCATCGGCAATGCCTTTGCCAGTATCCTGAACCACAAACTCGACCGTCACTGTATCATCATCTTCCTCCTTCAATGAGACGCCAACGTTGACATAACCGACATCCGTAAACTGTAAGGAATGTAAATATATGTTAGAATAAAGAGCAGATTTCGGTTATGTCAAAGACTGTTCCAATTTTTTCAATCACGTTACCTTGATGGCATTGGAGATTAGATTGCCCAAGACTTGTTTGATGATGCCAGGGTCAGCGCGGACCAACTCAGGGACCTGGGCGCTAAAGTCGACCAGGAGCTCAACTGTGCGGGTGCCAGAGAGTCCAGTCATCATTCTGGCGGTGTCGAGCACGAGGTCATGGAGGTTAAAGTTTTGGCTGCAATTGGTCATTTTGGCTGCCGAGACCTTGGAGACATCCAGCAGTGCGTTCAGGATGGTCAACAATGAGAGCGTCGAGGAGTGGAGCATCGACACGGTCGACTGCGCGCTTGAGCTGAGGGTGTGGTCGCTCATCAAGAGCTCGGTCCAGCCAATCAACGCAGCCAATGGAGTTCTTTGAGATTATAAAGGAAAGGAATGTGTCAGTCCGAAACGCACAGGCGGATACATCGCGTTTGTGGAATGAGGCGTTTCAAAGTCGCATGTGAATACCGGTCATGTAAACACATACCTCAGTTCATGAGAGACAGACGAGACGACGCCGTCCTTGGACTTTGCATTGGCAACAGCAATATCTTTGAAAAGATTCGCGTCGCGCACACAGACCTCGACGCACCACTGATAGAGACACGTCATGGCGCTCAGGAACACCAATGCAATCCAATAGGCACCGAACCCTGCCCAGAGGCGAGCGGCTTCTTCCCCTGATAGTGTTGTGCTCTAACGATGATAAAGAGAGAAAGAGAAAAACGAGAGTAACAGCGTTAATGTTTGGATACTTTGGATACTTCAAAAGTAATGAATTTACTTTTTACACGATAGTTATGCAAACTTGCCTTGACCTTGGAACGGTATTCCTCAATTGAGTAACACAGAACAGCAACACAAGTAACCAAACCAACCCTGCGACCAACAAGCATTCCAGTCATCAAAGGTAATCCAAACAACAAGGTCGTCTCCAGACTGGGCCCGAGAAGAGACATGGACCGGGTCTGGAAGCTGAGGAAGACAAAGGCGAGGGCGAGGGAGAGAATAAGGCCACAGAGACGAGTCGCGCCCGTTGCGCCCTGGACAGCAGGAAGGAAGAACAAGAGGAGCGAGCAGGCGGAGATAGAGACCTGTTTGTCGAAGACCAGGCCGTAGACACATCCGAGGGAGGCAGCCATGAGCGAGACACTTTTGACCAAGAGAAACCTGACGAGGTTCTCAGATCCGACCTTGGTGGAGGCTGGATGCTCTCTGAGCCATAGCAAGAAGGAGCCCAACCCAATTTGGCGAGGATGGATGCCCTGCATTGGGTCGGAGCTCTTGCTTGGGGTATAGAGGGGCGTACTGATGCTGCCGCTGAAGCTGGCGCTACTACTCTGGCGACGAAACAAGTCGGGGACGCTGGAAGAAGTCGTTGACGAAAGAGACATAGAGCGAGGCACGTTCCTCTTGGAGGCCAGCGATGACTTTGACGCTAAAATAATAGAAAAGAGAAAAACAACAAATAGGCGTTAGCATACTCGCTCAGGGCATGGCACAGACAGCGGGAGGGGCGGCATTATCATCATCATGTCGTCGGAAATGCAATGGCTCATAAAATTATGTTTTATATTGTTCTCCAAGGAGAATGGCTTACCTTGCGGTGATAGGCTTTGGTAAGAAGCAGTAGATGATGTAGATGACACCGAGGATATGGAAGATGAGGTGGATGAGCGGGACGCGGTGGAAAGGGCAGTAGGGTGTGAGGTGCTCGCGGAGGGCGTGGAGATTGAGGTAGTAGTAGTAGTAGTATTAGAAATAGAAGAAGCAGGAGGCCGTCTTGAACGCAGAGATGTGGTGTGTATTGAGTCAGCGGCAGAAAGAGAAGGAAAGTATTGGTCCTGCTGTTGCTGTTGCTGAGAGTGTGAATGGAGTTGGGACTCGTCGTCTGGCTCTATGCAGGTCGTGGTGGTGTTTGAGCTCTGTCGAGCCATTGCGGCAGCAGTGGATGTGCTTGTAGATGGGCCTGTGCTGGCGATCATGGTGTTGTTGGTTTCAACGCAGCTGCTGCTACTGCTACTCGCTTCTGGGCGGTCATTGACAAGATCCGGATCCATGTGCACACACGCGACGCCAGTTGGGTGTTGTGACAATGATGGTTGAGAGTAAACGGAGGGGGATGTAAAGCAAGGATGGTTGCGGAGAAAATAAAGTAGACGGTGGAGTTACGAGAAAGATCAGATAAAGAAAAAGAGAGTGTAGAAGAGGAGGGGGGAGGAACGATCGACGGCGGAGAGAAGATCAGCGGAGAGAGATCGGCGGAGAGTTTAGCGGAGTGTGACGAATGAAATGGGAGTAGGAAAGAATGAAAGATCTGATATGGGAAATGGATTATGAATGAAGAAGAAAAAGAAAGGAGTGGCAGAAGGCAGCAATGCAAGGGCAGACCAGAATACAAAGAATAAAATAAAAAAATCCGACAAGGGAAGAGAAAAGAAAAGGTGGGGCTGTAGAAAACAGAGAGTTAGTCGACATATTCATATTCATATTCGTATTCATCACCACTACTACCGCTACTGCCGCTATTCAGCAACAAGCAGATATTACAGACATGCACATCAAGGGAATGATAATGATGGATATAGACAAACTCTTTTCAGCAACATCAACCGGACTCAGCTCGACAGACAGCTTGACTGATAGACTGATATCTGCATCAACTGCAACTGCATCCAAGGAAAGCTCATTGACGTAGACTTTTGATGGATGAGGAGGAGAGGAAAAGTGTGCAGTTAATGCCCTAGGATGGATATGAATACGAGACTCTTGTCTGTGTCCTCCTAGCATTACAGCTGCTGCTGTGCTGAGTCAAATCAAATACGCTGTGTGCTGTGTGCAAGAGAGAGAGAGACTGAGAGAGAGGAGGAGGAGGAGGGGGGGCATGCGTATTGAGAAGTGATATAAATGCTGTGTGGTGTGTGTGGCAATTGTGGTGGTATGTCATTCCCGCCAACATACAGCTTTGGAGTGGGCGAGGGAGCCTGTGGTTGATTTGAATCATTGATTTGAATCAATGAATCAAAAGGAGAAATGTTCGAATGTGTGTGTGCATGTATGTGCATGTGTGCGTGTGTGTCATGGGTGGATTTGTAAGATAGGGAGAGAAGCTTGGAGGCTTGCAAATTTTGTCAGGCGGAGGGTGTAATGTGGGTGGGATGTGGGGGGGGAAGAAGGAGGAGGGGAAGTGGAGAAGGAGGGGGGATGGGGGGCAGGGAAGAGCGCTGCAAGGGACTTACTGTGGATGTTGAGTGTGTGAAGATGATGAAGATGGGGATGAGAATGGGCGATGGAGAGGCAGGGGATGGAGGATGAAGAGGGATGGGGATGAGGATGGGAAATGGAGGGTGTGTGCTGGATTAGATGATCGACCGGGGGTGGATTATTGAAGAACAATATAAAAGCAGGTGTGTAAGTATATGAAATGCGTGTATGTGTTGCGTTGAATGGGGAAGAAGAGAAAAGCGAAAAAAATAAAAAGAAAGAGAGGGAGAGAAGAGTCTTTTCCCTCCTGCGTCTGTCAAATAAACTGCCCCCGCAGTCCGAACAGGCCGAGTGGAATTGAATACGCGATTGAATTGAATTAGATGTGCGGTGTCATCATCATCCTCGAGTCGAGGCAAGGCGGGCTGGAAACAAAACATATATAAGAAATGGGTGGCAAAAAGGCATTACTGAACTAGATTGATTATCAACCTATGCACTCAATTCAATCCCGATCAAAAAATGAACGGGCACCACCGCCTCTACCGCCATCACCATCATTAAAGGATTCCCTTAATGCTTAATGCTCCCTGCTGTGCGTGTGTCTGCTCTCTTCATATTTATTATTATCTACCATACCACCGACCACCACTATTATACTATTATTACCATCATTCTATCTAAACCACCATGTTCACGTAGACATCTGAGTATGAATGCCTAGGTGGCTGTATGAACGATGCTTTCCACTGATAAATGAAGTACATGTACCCTTCTCGATGGAGTAGAACAATATCCCCCCCCCTCTCCTTACCCCCTCACCCCCTTCCTCCGCTTGGACCCGTGAATGCTGTTGCCATGTTAACCAAAAGCGGGGTAGGCCTATGAGAACCGGCCGCCTGCCTGGATGATAGGGTAAGGGTCGAGAACCAGAAAAGAAACATCGACAACCTGACGATGATGCAAATGACGAAAGAGAACTACGCTAGCGTGTGGCGGCACAAAAAAAAAAAAAAAAAGGATACAAATCCCCCCAGAAACCAAATCATCCACGAGGCTGCCCCCAATTCGACAGACAAGCACTGCCAACTAACGCGCAGCTTGCCTCGGTCTACGGCTTCGTGGCTAAAAAGATGAGATAGCCCCAAAGAAACCTGCAAGAAGCTCTGTAGTCATCATAGCAACTGCAAGACCGGCATAGAATTCAAATCGAGAGACTACACAGACACCGGCAGCCAATTCAAGTCAAGACCAGGCAGAGACACATCGACATCAGACACGTATACGCACACGACGCATTCACGTCGAATATATAGAAATAGAAGAAAAGAGAAGACGGCCGGTCGTCTGTTCTTCTTTTTCTGAAAAAAGAAAAAAAAAGCAATGTTAATAATTGGATGTGCAGTGACATCATCGCCTAGAGCGCAATGCGCGTCATGATCATTGGCTGCAGCGGACTCTTTAGTCGAAAGAATTCAGTTGGACGAAACCGATGGGTTGGTTCCCCAGCAGACCCCAAGGAACCATTCACCGCCTACGACCGATCTGTCATTTCATCACAATACACAGGCCAACAGGCCAAGCTAAAAGATGACATTTTAAAAAACAATAAAGCAGGACCACATTGTTGCCCACCCTTTCCCTTCCTCTCCAAGCCCGGCTGGGATGCCGCTAGTTCGTCGCTAGTCTTAAAAGCAAGCGTGTATGTCTTAAAGGAACTAACTCCCACTAGGCTCCCTCCTTATTCCTAGTACCTACACCGGCTACCCTGCAGTCGCACTTGTAGATAATCACCATAAAAGAAAGTCATCCTTTCGTGGGAAACGAACGGGCAACAATGACGATAATAACACCCCTACTGCTTTGTCTAGTCCAGGACTTGCCACCCTTCGGCACGAACGACAAGTGTCTAAAATGGTAAAAAAATCCTCGACGCGTAGTCATCACAAAGCATTTGCGGATAGCACCTGTTTTTTTTGGCGCCATGAAACTAGCCTATCGTCTACGCTACATTCACGACGAAGCTACAAACCATGAATGGCCTTGAAAAAGAAACCAAGAGAAGATAGCAAGTATGCATTGACAAAAAAAAAAAAGGTTAAGACAAGTAACGGAGATAAACCAAATGGCCCTTTTTCGGCATGGCATCATATCAGACCCCTTTGCCTGTCAATCTTCAAACTCATACACGTCCTCGTATTCATACATCCCGCACTGACTGCTACGCGCGCACTGCGAACAAATGAGCTAACTCATTACATATACCCCACCCACACATACACACACACGCACAGAGAAAGAGAGAGAGAGAGAAAAGGAAAGAGAAAGAAAGAGAGAGAAAGAGAGAAAGAGAGAAAGGTGGATGTGCTGTCAAGTTCGTTCATGATACTGTTCTAATAAGCCAAATACCTTCAACAGGCGTCTAGTAATGGCCACTTTATCGTAATTATTTTGCTCCGCACCCATTTTACTCATTCCTTTATCGAATTCACGTCAGTGGAAGCGTGTCAGTGTCGTTCTTGTCTACCAAAGTGGAATTTAATCCCAACGGAATCGAATCCTTTGTACAGGGATATGTACCGGGAGGTCAGTCAGCATGCAATCCCTAATATGTGTCTCTCTTTCTCTCTTTCTCTCTCTTTCTCATCCCCCTTTATTCCTTACTCCCACAGATGATTGGAAAGCTTTTTTGTTTTTTGAGCATACTGGGGGTACTCGCTGGGAAAAACGAAACTAGCGTGTTTTCAACAACACACAAAAAAAAAAAGCCTGGCCCTAAAAATGGCTAATTCAGTAGAGAGTCTTCCAGTTAGAATAACCGGGAATCAGCTGTAGGGATCAAGTCATTTTTTGCCGCTCTTAGGGGTTTTTTTTGTATTGACGATACTGTAGGCTCTCAGTCAATGCGCGTAGAGATGCGTTTAGTGGTCTGTCCTCTTGATTCTTTTCTGACATGGCCCCCACATTGGGCCCGCGGGTCCATTGAGTCTGCGCTACCACTGAGTCTGCGCTACCATGGCTAGGAAACGCGCCTTTCTCTTTTTCTTTTCTAGATAATCTGTGTAAATTATCAGGGAAATGAAAAAAGGGTGCTTGCTACCTTGGAATTCGGCCTACGGACGTAGAGCTACTACATCATTTTACTCCATCACCATCCCCCCTTCCATGCATTCCTGCATCCTTGTAAGATAGATTTATATTTACAATAGACTATTATAGGTATTTTAATAATAAAATAATAAAATAATAATCAATATTCATATTCACGTTCATATTCACCACGTTCACATTCCGTAGTCTATATCCGTCGTATATCTGCACGGGTTACCGGACGAAATATTGATAAAGGGAACTAATCATTTTTTGTGAGCGCTCTAACGGCTGCCCCGTCGTCGTCGCCGTCGTCTTCTTTTATTTTTTTCCCTCGATCTCCCTCATTAGACTATCTGCATCTCAGGTCCTCCTTTTTATTGCGTGCTCCTCATTACTAGTCTAGTATCGATCTAGGACCTGTTGACGACAATGATTGTAATCAGTTTAGCTCATAAAAAAAAAAAAAAAAAGATAAACCGGCTGGAGGTTCTCATCCCTGTCTGTAGTGGCTTTTTTTTTTTTTTTTTTTTTTTTTTTAGTTGGTGCCTGCGCCAAACCAAATAGGACAATTGCAAACGCATGTGGCCGCGGCGTTCAGGAGTAGAGGCAAGTCTAAGTAGGACCAAAAAAACAACAACAAAAAACAGATAGAGAGAGAGAGATCTGTCATATCATTATGACAGCACAAAGGTACATCCCCTCCTCCTCTCTCCCTCGGCTGCAACTTTAGTCACAAAAAACGACAGAGAAGGTTTCTCAGGTAGCTCTTTTTTTTTTTTCTTTGTGCAACAGTTCCGTGTACCTTATGCATGTAAACAGGCCACGCGTTCCCAAGGACCTGCCCTGCCCGTCTCTCTATCCCTCCTTCCCTCCCCTGACACAACCTTGACGACAGAATGCTTATTCCACAGTCTTTTATTTTGCGAGCAACATCTACTGTCCTTCGGAGGCCTCAAATGCTGGCAGATCAAACATGAACGGGAATTGACCAAAATTCGCCTTGAACTCGAATCCAATCCAATCTTCAAAAGATGAGCCCGTCAGGGTCTGGTCCCTCGAGAACGGACCCAATCTGCCTCCATTGACATCCGACCCATTCGCCCCGGGTTGCTCCCTCAGAATTGACAGAGGCCCACCCACGCCGCCGCCTCCGTCGACAACGGACACACAGGGATAGCAATCCAGGACATCGACCTCATTGAATGCCTGGCCAAGACATTCCCCATTGAGCGTGAAGAAGATCTCCCTCGACGCAAAGTCGACTCCACATCCGACCACGGACCCGGCCCTGAAGGGAGCCCCACGAGCACGCGCCTTCATCTTGCCCGACTGAGAGCGCGCATTGAGACTGGATCGGCTCGAGGACATAGAGAGGAAATCTCCACATTCGCCAGAGTAGCCATACGAGTTGGGTTTCCAGCCCAGGACGTCGGTCATTTTTTGGTCCGAACCACAAATTCCAACCATGATGGTTCTGCGTTCCAAAAAATAAAATAAAAAAAATAGAAAATAATACAAAAGGATCGAAAAATGATAAACGTCAGATGTCATGCATGCGACTCACTAGCGCTACTGCGTCGTCAGTTCATTTAGTTGCATGCAGCCAGAAAAGAAAATAAATTAGATCAGGCCCGTTACCCTAGTGCTGTTGCAGGCATGTACAGGATCGTGATCTCAAAGTAGAACACATCTCTGTCGCGCGGAGACACCTTCGGTCCTCGGATACATCCCGCATCCTTGCCTACACGTCCGGTATTCATGACATAGTAGTGTCAGTCGTTATGAGAAATCGTAAGAGGTGGCCCAAATATAACTAATACGCGCATAGAAAACAAAAAAAAAAAAAAGAAGAGAATAGAAACCTACCGCTCGCAATGACAGAAAGACCGTCATTAAGAATATGGAAGACCTTGTCATTCCTTGCACCGTTGTTCCATGTAAGCATGGTTGGGGGCCGGGGTGGTTTCAAGGTGATCTTCTATCAATCGCAAACATACGCATACCAGCTATTCGCATGAGTATCAAATCCGATAGAGATTATTTTTTTCCTCCTCAAGCACTCGACCATGATGAAGTTCCTTTACCTTCCTATACTCGACAATGTTGAACAAGAACGTCTGGTCGCCAAAGTTGGCATTGATCACTGTCCCCGCATGGGAGAGACCAACGGCCGGGTACAGAAGAATCGTATCCTTGATGAACTTGAAAGCGACGCCCATCATGTCTCCGTTCAACGTGAAGAACACTGTGCCGCTTAAAAAGTTGACCCCGCACCCGACAACGTCTTCTTCATGGTACTTGTCCGCAAACTCAATCGTTTGCTTACCGTTGCCGAAATACAGGCATCCATCGTTGCTGTGATAGCCCCACGAGTTCAGGTCCCATCCTATCGTTTGTTGTTGTTGTTGTTGTTGTTGTTGTTGTTGTTGTTGTCAGAGTACCATATCTGTTCGTCAGCATATAAAGAAAGAGAAAAAAAAGAGAAAGAGAACACCATCTGCTGCAACAGGACTTTACCAACTTGACAATTCTTGCGCAGGGACTTGCTGGCAATACCGACACTGATGGCGCTGCCTTTGAACTGGTCAATCGTAATCTCAAAGTAGAATACACCCGATTTAGGGTTAATGGGATGATTGGCCGTAACTGACGCAGGGACCGTCATATCATTCTTGAAGTCGGCTATACAAACCAAAAAAAAAAAAAAGCCGGATACAGTGCACGTCAGTGGACGAGACCTTGCGATTATAGATAGCATCATTAGTGAGACTAAAACGGGTTCGCAGAAACTTACAGCTATATTTGATATAATTGCCCTCCACGTCCAATTCTGGGGGTGCCGCATCATGATCCCAGGCGTCCGGGGGCGAGGCATAAAGCGCAGTATTGTCGATAGAGTGATAGTTTTGGACTACGTTCGAGACTGCAGCTGAAGCAGCACCGGCAAGCGGAACAGAGTTGGGTGTCACGGCCCGACCCAGAATGTCTGAATAAGCCTGAGAGGGTGGCAGGTTCTCAGTTGCCGAATCCGGTCGGTACTGGCTCCGCGACAAAGAATCATCCTCCATAGATATAAATACAGGCGCATTATCAGGAAGATCGTGCAACGCGTGCGGTCCTGGCTTCGAAGGCATTGCAGGCGTTTCAGGCGACGGCTGCGGTACAGCAATAGTCATGGTCATGGGCCTGGATGCTGGGACAGGGGCGTCCCTGTCATCAGAGACTGCATGTTGGCTAGGCGGGTACTGAGGCATAAACTGGCCATGGACTGGAGTGGGAGTGAAGACTGGAATTGGGGTAGCCCACTCTTGCTGCTGCTGCTGCTGCTGTTCGTATTGATAGTGATGGTGTTGGTGCGGATAGGGCGCATAGGTATCGGGTTCTGTAGGTCTTGGTTCCACTTGAGCCGGTATGGCTGGAGAATCTTCCACATTATAGTCAGTCAAAGATACGTTATAAGCATGCATGAAGTCCGATCCTGACGACGCGACAGGCTCCACATAATCAGAGGGAAGAGTAGATGGTCCTTGGACGGGACGAGCCGGGGGAACGACCCGACCGACCGCTGCTGCGGACATCATAAGCTCGTCTGGGAGATCGGCAGGGAGTTCGTAGCCCACAAGCTTGCAGTTCACTAGATGAAGGCCTGCGATGAACTGTGTGCGCGTAAGCGCCGACTTTTCCTCCGGATTCAGCAGCTGCCTATTGTTTAGTTCCACGATATGATATTAGGGTAAGGCGTCTTTCGGTACTCGATCGACCATCTTTTCAAGTGCACTTACCAGACTCTATGCAGGTCTTGATCCGAAAGGCCGAGAGTCATAAAGACCTTTCCTGCGATGTCATCTAAAAAAGTAAGGCGCAAAAGTCGAGAAGTGAAATGTGAGAATAGCAACCGCTTTACTACAAGGCAGATCCGGTATACCCTGGCGATGACACCTACAGGACACACATTCCTCTCCAGGACGCTCCCAAAGCCCGAAAATCTTTTCGTATAATGCCTGCTCTGCCTCCGAAAACGTCCACTCAAACTGTATCGCCTCCAGCTGCTGAAGTTCACCGTTCGGCAGATTGTTTGGCTGATCCGGGATACTGCTTGCATGAGTTGGTAGATCCTGTTCCACAGCACTCGAATTTGTCTCGGGGACCATCTGTTCTAGCGCCTTTGGCGCATCCTTTCCAAGCTGACTCGTTGTGCTGCCATTGCCGTCAGATCCCTTGACGCGCTCCAGCGTCTTGTCCTTGTTTGACCCTGTGATCGAGCTGCCGCCAGAGTCGGGTCCGGATAGAGGCATAGTAGATTGGATCTCTCGAATGAAGGCGCTCATATCGTCCTCATCCTCGTCCTCATCCTCGTCCTCGTCGTCGTCGTCGTGATCGCCTTCGCCACCAAGGCCAGTTATTTCATCTTCACTCCTCAAAGCATCGCTTTCGAGCTCTGGCTCGTTCTGTAATGGGATCAAGACATTTCCCTTTGCAGATAACGGACTCCAAGGAAGGACCGCATCCAGATGAATTTCATCCGATATAGTCAATCTCGCGCCTGAGGATCCAGACTGAGGATGGTTGGTTTTGCTGGTCATTAGAGCTACTGGTTTGGGTGCTGGAATGGGTGGGGTTGAGCCTGCAGGGCCCCTTGTTCGGCTAGAGAACGAATTAAGGGTGGACAATGGCGAGTTGCGAGAAGAAGGGTCGCTAGTGGCTGCTGGGGTCAAAGGTATCAAAATACCGGTGTCATCTGTTGTCGCTATGTATGAATCCTCGTCCTTAATCACGGCGGTATCGATAATCATAGTTGCGGGAGATCGCGCGTGGCGTGTCGCAGTAGGATAAGTCTCATCGGCCGTTTCTCGATCGTTGTTTTCTTCTGACACCGACGACGCTGGAAAATCTGAAGGTATGGTCCAGTTGCTCATTGAAAACGACATTGCTGTGACATCGGCCAACGCTTTCATAGCAGGTGAGGCAGCGGAGGGCGACTCTGGAGATGGAGCCGTGCTCGCATTAGCGCTTGTTGAGGAGAACGCCGTTACTATAGCTGTTGTTGAGGCGGTGGATGTTGTTGCTGTGGAAGGTAGTGTCGCCTTATCTTTGGGTCCAAAGCCTTTTATAATACCGGCGTCTCTTTGCTGTGAGGACGATGCTATCGGCTCATCAAGCACCGTTAATGAGGATTGTTCTGACAGTGGATGCGGAAGACTGCCAACCTCGGTCAAGGCCGATTGTTCCTCCAAGCTATAGGGTAGATCATCTACTGTTGTCAATGCTGATTGCTCCTCCAGCGGGTGAGGCAGATTATCCAGTTCTGTCAAGGCAGATTGCTCCTCCAGCGCATACGGCTGATCATCGACTTCGGTGAGCGAGGATTGGGCTTCCAGCGGGAAGGGCAAGTTATCGATCTCTGTCAAGGACGATTGCTCCTCGATGGCGGAGGGATAGCTCTGATACTGCTGTTGATGCGGCTGCCCTCCAAACATCGCGCTCGATCCTATTCCTGCTCCTGACCCAGAATGTGACCATGTAACTGGTCCTTCACCTGAAAGCGGTCTGGCGGTGGTCGCGTCAAGCTCTGTCAAGGAGGACTGCTCATCAATGGAGGATGGATATGTTTGCGATGGATGCTCCTGAGACCGACCGTGAGATGAACTATATGGGCGCGAGATCTTAGCATTGACACCTGTCATCGCTGCAGGTGCAGGATCGAGCGTTGTTAGGGATGATTCTTGGCCGTAGGGAGGAATTGAGGTGTTGTCCGTCAGGGCGGACTGTAGCTCGACCGGAGTTGGATGGAGAGGCAATCCTGCAGTTTGCGACAGCGGCGCAGGCGCAGAACTCGGGCTCGGCCCATTCGTCGTCGAGTTCTGGTTCCAAGATGGCTGGGGTGAGGGCGCAATACCTTGGAAGGTATTGCTCTGGCGGCTGTGTTCATGCAAGGCCTGTAATTGACTTTGCCGGTGCAACTCGAGCTGTATCTCTGCATGCACATCTCGAATGGGCTGCTGTGAATGTGCTTGTGGTGGCTGTGCGTGAGCCTGTGCTGGCGCATGGCTTGAGATCGACGTCTGAGAGGGTTGTTGCTGTAGAGTCGAGTGGTAGGACGCGGCCGGGGTCGAAGATGAAGGCGAGGATAGGGGCAAGGGCGATGGAGGGGAATTTTTAGGCTGTATAGTCAAGGAGGGCATTTCGACTTTGATGTTCTGTTGTTGCTGTAACTGCTGTTGCTGTTGCTGCTTCCAGTACTGAATCTGGCTCTCTGTCATCTCAGCCTTGTACTGTGGTGGCGGAGCTGCAACTGCAGCAGAAGAGCCGGCAACAGGAGACGATGCAGGAGCAATTGATGCAGGGCCCGTCGATACAGAGGCAGTCGGGATCAATGGCGAATGAAGCGAATAGTAAGTAGAATTTGTTGGCGAGGGATGCTGCTGCTGCTGTTGATGATGATGATGCTGCTGATGGTGATAGAGAGTAGGATATGTGCCTGAGGCTGATTGCGAGGGCTCTGGCGAAGGTGAGGGAGAGGTAGGGGTGTGAGGATGGGCATGAGGTTGGAAGTATGGATGGTATGGGTGTTGCTGCTGGTGCTGATACTGGTACTGATGTTGGTACTGATGCTGGTGTGGATGCTGGTGCTGGTGCGGGGGATGAGTAGGTGACGGTAGGCCCTGTTGACCAGGCGTGCTGACAGGGACCTGCGGGTAACCAGTCCAGCCATACGGCGGTGGGGGACCTTGTTGCGACTGGGCATAGGGATGCCCGTGCTGCGGATACATTGCTGCGGTGTCAAAGGAGGATGGATGAGGATGGATGAGGATGGACGGGGATCAATGAGAATGGGTGAAGAAGAAGAAATGAGAAGTAAGGAGGATTACTACGAAGACGGAGGTGGAGGTGTTCTTTTTTCAAGAAAAACTCAGGCACAGCCCAGGGCCGATGGCCCTTGGCCAATTGAGTCGAGTCGCTTTTCTACCACTCAATGGGAGAATTAAGGTTTTCTTGATGCACACTTTCCCCATTCGAAATCTTACCTTTCCCCCATCACTTCGCATCATCTTGTTGAACCATCGTCTTCTTGTCTACTGCCTACTTCCTTGCTCCTTCCTTCATTCTCCCTCTCAACCGCTTCTCCACCACCTTTATTGTTTTCGTACGTCCCTATTACTTCTTAATTCCTCGCCAGCTTTCTTTTCCCCTCCTTCCACTATCGCGCTCCATGTCTATCAGGGTATCATCGTTCCCTACTCGCTCCTATCGCCCATTGCAGTGCCGGACCTGCAAGGAGCTGCTGCTGAACCCGGTCACCCTACCTTGCGGCTTTACCGTCTGCCAGACGTGTGTACCGCCCGCTCAGACCATCGCCTTCCAGCAACAAGTACGCTGTCCCTTCCGTACCTGTACCAGGTCCAACCTCCACCTGCCCGACCAGCTCACCATCGATGTCACACTCCAGAACCTGACAACGGCACTTCGGACAGCTGCACTACACTTGACCAGAGAGAAGCCTTCACTGTGCCATCCACCAGATACATTGCCCGCAGACACGCTACTGCATACTAGCGAGTTGACCAATCATGTCAGGAGTTCCGCGGTGGATAGCCCCAACACCTTTTGCGAATCTGACGCTGCCGAGACGTTGGTGTCGCACTCCACACCGCCGTCTGTCTTTTACCGGAGCATGCCCTTCATCATTGACGCCATTCGCCCGAAGATCCAGCAGGAGATCGAGTGCCAAGTCTGCTTCCTAGTCTTTGACCAGCCAATCACCACTTACTGTGGCCACACCCTTTGCAGATCCTGCCTTATCACATCCCTCGACCACAAGCCCTGTTGCCCGCTCTGCCGCCGTAAGCTGCCCCTGTACATGCACTATCACAATCAGGCACCTAACAAGGCTCTCGTTCGCTTTATCCAGTACTTGGCCAGTCGCCCAAACGCTAGTGAGGCCGATGACATTCCGCCTGAGGACCGCGAGATCCAGTCGACACTAGCAATGACTCCGTTATTTATCAATTCTCTCATTTTTCCACGGATGCCCTGTTACCTACTGGTCTTTGAGCCTCGGTACCGGAAGCTTCTAAGGAATGTCCTAAAGACGGAAAGCAAGCTGTTTGGGATGGTACTGCCACCACAGCCGCAAAAGGGTCGCACTTCGGAGACAGCGGCCTGGGAGCCAAGCATGGAGTACGGAACACTGCTCAAGGTTCTTTCCTGCGAGCTCTTGCCGGACGGACGGGCTTTGGTCGAGACTGTGGGTGTCTCGCGCATCCAAATTCTGACATATTCCATGATGGACGGCTACTATACCGCGACGGCAATCGAGTTAGTCCATGATATACCAGTAGAACAGGAAGTTGGTCTTGAGAGGGCTGCTCTGAAGGCCGCGATGGAGGCTGCTGTTGCACGCGAGAAAGCGCAGCGCGCCGATGAGGAGACATCCAGAAGAGTGACAGAAAAGGACGGGGAACAGGATGAGGCGGAAGCCTTGATCGGGACACCGTACAAGCAGAGAGAGGATGAGGACAGGTCTCATTCCACAGCGGTCTCTAGTGGTATGCGCTCGCTGCACCGCCGACGTTCACCTCAGCCTTCTTCAGCCGACTCTTTAACGCCTTTGGCCTCTGAAGACGATGCCATGGTCCGTAACGGTAGCCTGGGCTGGACACAATCAGATGGTGGATCAAGAGACCTTAGGCTATCTGCACAGGAGCTGCCAGAAAGGCTAAATCATCTAGGGCTTCAAGATCTGCATGAAGTTGATCTGGAAACACTATCGCGGAAGCAATTGATGCAGATCCTCTTAGGGTTTGTGGGGCAGATGCAGGAACGACTCGGCCCTCTGGCGACGCAGCGTCTGCAGCGCGAATTTGGAGAGATGATTGAGGACGACGGACAGGCGTTCTCGTTTTGGGTGGCATCGATCTTGCCTGTGCGTCACTATCAAAAGTATGAGCTGCTGCGAGTGTCGTCGGTTCGGCAGCGGCTACTGATGGTCCTGGAGTGGATCAAGGACATTGAAGCACGACGATCGCTGGCCGTGTGTACGATATCCTGAACATGGATAGAGACACGTTTAGACAACCATTATTTATATATATTTTAATATATCTCTTTTGCTGCTTTTGATAAACGATCTCCTTACCAGACCGCTTCAATGGAGACTTTCTGCATAGAGGAGCTCATCTGAGAGGATCAGCTCCGCGTGGATGTGGATTGGAAGATCTTAACCTTCTTTTGTTTATGAGCAAAATTAAAGAGAGGGGTTGTTGCGAGAAGCATCGACGGAAGATGCATTGCGACGTCAAGACACTGAAGTCCAGGGGGGTCCCCATGTCTAGGCAATCACATAGCCCAATGCGTTCAGCAGCGGCCGTTGAGAGTGACTCAGGGGAGAGTGTGCATGGGCTAGCGGATGTATGCGCTGTAAAACGGGCGCTGTCCAGGTGGATTCAGTGCTTCTTTTTGTTGCACGAATGGGTTGGATCGGTCTATTCGATTAGCTCTCTGTTTCCGCGCGGGCCTTCCTATCCACGTTGCGACCGGTCCTCTTCTGGGCGCAGAGAGAGAGAGGGGAGGAGAGCGAGGTCGATGTCTGCTTTTTGATTTCGATACCCGTGGCATGCATTGATGCATCGGGTTCGATCATGATTGTACGGTATACAAGCATTTGCGAGTCGTTATCTCCTTTCGCTTGAATGGCCATCCTCCGCCCTTGGTCGTGTCGACATCCTTCATGTGCCACGGACAATAACACAAACAAGAACCACACCTTTTGCGCTGTTGTCCTGTGCTTTGCACGTGTAAATGAAACGGATGAGACCTATGAGGGTATCAGCCTGCGTCCTTTCCCTTTTCCTTATCCCTGCGTCCATAGGATTCCCCCCACCACCACCACGTCACTTTTCCGCCTTGACACCTTTCCACTTGCGCTCGAAACGACCCCCCTCCTCCTCTTTTAACCTTTATTATTTCTCGCACCCTCCCTTCCTCCTCTTTGCCCCTCTCTTTTTCTCCTCCTCCTCACATCACCCATCATACCCATCACACCCATCACACCCATCCATCGCCCATCCATCGCCCATCCATCGCCCATCCCCCATCGCTCTCATCCCTTGGTCTGCCCTCCCGCACACCCACACACCCACACGCCCACACACCCACACACTCGCACAGTCGCACACTCGCTCGCTCACGCACCCCCATGCAGCCATAGTACAACACATACACATACACATACACTCTCACTTTCGCACTCCCTCTCACTGCTACATATCCTCCTCTCTCTTTCTTTTTTTTTCTCTCTCTCTCTCTCTTCCTCACTCTCCCCCCTACACTCTTTAATACGTAGCAAGAATGTCGTTCATTCCCAACCTCACATACTCCATCGCCTCGACCGTCTGGTCCGGGACCACTGCCGCACTGGGCAAGGGCTCCGCCAATTCCGCTTCCACAACCACAGCCGTCACTGGCCCTGGACTGCACCACCACCACCACTCCCACCACTCCCACCACCACCACTCACACTCCCGTAGCAACTCAACTACCAGTGCTGGTCTTGGTCCTAACAGTCCAACTGGCCCCAATGGGCCCTCAAACAGCAACAGACGGTTCTCTCACAGCCGCAGATACAGCAACACCTACAATTTCAGCCGCAGCCATCCCAATGGCCTCCACAGCTCCTCCTCCTCGACTTCCTCCCCCTCTTCGCCCATGACCCCACCGCACTCGCCCAGTCATTACAGCCATGCCGGATCATATAGCGGTGTCTCTGCAGACAAAAGAGCAGCCCGCAAACGCAATCCCTCCATATCATCCATGCCCAGAACACCATCATCCTCTCCACAGCCAGAGTCTACATCCTTTGACCCACATAGCTTTTCACGGAAGAGAAACTACATGAACAACACCGCCTCGTTCTCCTCCTCCTCCAGGTCCTCGCACAGTAGCCATCACAACAGACATAGCTATCACGCAGATAGTTCCACAGGAACAAAGAGGAGCAGCGCCAAGGACAAGGAAAGCTCTCCCAAGGCACCACCATCAGCCGAAGAGAGGTACCGGATTGTAGACGATATCCTCGAGACTGAGAACCTTTACAGTGTTCTCGCAGTGAATCGCACCGCAACAGCAGAAGAGATCCGAAGGTAAATTTGAGGACCATGCTGGTCATCATCTCATTTCCAGTGCTATCTGAGCACGGCGCACTCATCACCCGTGTTGTTGTTGTTGCTCACACATCATCCATCAATAGGGCTTATATTGCAAAGTCAAGGGTGTGTCACCCAGACAAGTTTCCAGAGTACCCCCGAGCGACTGAAGCATTTCAAAGTAAGCAAAAAGACGAAGCGTCGACTTGTGATTCAGTTCATATCTTGACCCTTGTGCTGTGTTTGGGGTGGTCGGTGGTTGTTTTAGCATGAGATTTTTATGTTTATTTGCCGCTTACACGTGGAGAGGAGCATGTCAATCTCGCGAACATGTATCCCATGGTCCACAGCAGCGGCCCCATCGAATTCGTCATGTCTACTTCTGCTTCCCCAGAAGACTCGTTTTAATTACTTGAATTGGGGTCAATGCGACACACGTCCTTCTTACTTGCAGGGCAAAGGAAAAAAAAATGCCATGATAGGTTACTCATCTCCCCCGAAATGCTTTCATTATACTTCATATAGAACTGTCATTGGCTTATGAGACCCTGTCCAAGCCGTCGTCGCGATTTGTATATGATTCGACTGGAGGAGCATCAGGAAGGACAATGCTGGGCAGTGACGAGACACTGCAAAGCGTGCTATCTCAGGTCTTTTTCGAGTTCATGGATGGTGACTTTGAAGTCATCCGGAACATGATCAGTACGTATTGCTCGAAGTAGTAGTGCGGCCCATGCCCTTGTTATCATAGATGATATGCTAAAATGGTTTTCGTCATCCCTACCTGTGTTTACATAGACACCATGAACAACACCGCGGGCGGAGTACGACTTGGGGACGATGTCATTGGAGTCATCGAAGAGATGTTTCTTCGTCTGCGCTTCGTCTTGCATGGTAAGGAGATTCGTTTCCCAAAGGGTCATCGCGGGATTTCTGATACACTCCAGCGATGCTCTGTCACATAGATGCATAGCTTTCGTTTTTTAAATGTTTCTTTGCCTTTGATGATAACTTAGGATGCAAAAAGTATATGACGCTGGTGCATGACCAGGTTCAGCAGCTCTCAGAGATTCATCACAGCATGCGCTCTCTGGCCTACTTGGATGTACTGGGTCGATTCCGGTTGACACTCAAGCTGTCGAAGGTCATGTTGACGATCCCAATGATTATCCAAGATGAGATGAGACGCGAAATAGCTGTTGCGGCAGCTTTGGAGGGCAGTTCGGAAAAGGAGGATACTGGCGCGAAAAAGAACGCTGGTATTGTTGGAACCGTCTTTTTGAACGATCGGGTCGAGACAGTGCTCAAGAAGGTCGTATCAGCCATTGAGACGGGCGAGCGATGGGTGTAGATGAGTATGATGGTTCTCTTATTAACATCGAAGATCTTTTTGAGGGCATGGGACTGGAAACATGCCGCTTTGTGTAGGTGTAGAGTGTTACAACAACAACAACCTCCCCCCACTAGGCATCGCAGGTGAGTTGGTGCCCTGGATGCGAGTCGATAGATACCCCGCCATTTCTTTGCAGCATTGTAATAAAAAGTTGTAATACAATCATATGCATGTACTTTGAATAAACGACGCGACATATTGGTGCCGAGTTATCATCATGCTCATTGCTAGCTCGTGCATAGGATCGCTAATGTAGTGGCAATTTTCATCTTCGTTTTTCAGCCAAGGATGTCGTTAACATAGACGGGTGAACAAAAGACAGCCAAGAGGACCCTTTGCAAAAGCAGACATGGGTAAAACGGAGCGAATATTTGACTATGGGCTATGGGCTATGAACTACGACCATCGAACAGGTCAGTGATTATCATGTGTACGACTCGACTCATCTTGCCTGCTTCGCGTACGTGAAGCAGAAGGAGGACATCCTTATACCCTGCCTTTTTCGCTGCTTCGTTACCTCGTTGCCTCGTTCTCTCGTTACTCGGTTGTTTTATATGTTTTCTACTTGTCCAGAGAGAGTCCAGGGCTAGTGCACATGTTATCAGCCTCAGCGCCTCGCTGCGAACCGTACCCTGGTGCCTTTGATGCTCAGATATCCAATGGCCCCTACTATATATCGCACTAGTGTTGAGTGTGTGTTCCTGTGGTCCTTTTGAACCCTGTCCCCAGACGCAGTTGATGCTCCTTTTCCCTAGCAGTCTCGCTAGTCCGTAGTTGCTCACTTTTCTCTCTTTTTCTTCTTGACCTCCCTTCCCATCTCTCCTTCTCTCCCCCTACTCAATTGGTTCCTCGCAGCACCTGTCTTGCAATCGTTCCCTCCCCACTTACTGCAAGTTCAGTCCGCGCTCTTCCTCTCCCTCTGTGCAGCCTATTTGTACAGACCACGACTGAATTCGACCGATCGCGACTGATTCGCTTCACTCACCCCCACCCTGTCGCTACACAACGCCATGCTGACCCTACCACCGGCCAATAGCAAGCCCCGCGGAGTCACCCAGCAGAAGCAAAAGGGATCCAATGCCCAGCGCGACCAGGGATTCGACCATGACGAGGAGGAGGACCTGATCGAGCAGCTCAACCGCAAGCTCTCCAACGTGACATTGAACCCACCCACAACGATACCAGACGAGATGAATATTGCGGACATATCCACCATGGTATTTAAAAAAAAAAAAAAAAAAAAAAAACCTGTTGTCAAACGAAATCAACCAAACGACGACTGCCTGATCCCTTTTATCCAGCAAGACACTCCCCACCGACGATACAAATCAACAGCCAAGAGCGCATCTGGCTCGTGAGAGCGAGAGGGACAGAGGACAGAGCCGTAGTGGTATATAACTCACATCTAAAATGACTTGATTGACCCAACTGTTTTTTTTTTATTGTTATTGTGTTTGCATCATGTATAGCTTCCAACGTTTGCGCAACCCCTTTACAACCTATTGGCATCTGGAGTGTATGAGCAGCAGCTCCTGGGGATGGTCCGCATTCGCAAGTATCTGTCACTACGTGAGTCCTTCGGCTTGTCATATCCTGCGCTCGATTTTTTTTCAAGACAATTGCTACAAGTCCCCTCAGGCTAATATGTTCGCCTCTTCTGCTGATGTACACTTAGAGGATGTGCTGCCAAGGATCGATAATGTTCTAGCATTGGATTGCGTGAACTTTTTCATCGCTTTCCTAAACATGAGCGACTGTCCGGACCTGCAGGTATGACATGGAATGCTAGCATGTTGACTATTTTATTTATGCGCTGTTACAGATTATGAGGTTGCTGATAGACTTTTTTTTTTACTCGTTTTTTTTTTTCATCCTCTAGTACGAAACTGCCTGGGTTGTCACAAACATTGCTGTATGTGAACGTGCGATGTCATGCCAATGATTTTGTTTTGTTTTTCCGTGTTGAATGTCCAGGTAAACATTAATAATGATCCCTCTTGTGTGTAATTGATAACCGCAGGCTGGAACGACTGCTCAAACAGAGCGACTGGTCGAGGCTGGGATCCTGGCGCCATTGATCCATAATCTTCGAGTCTCGCGATGTGTCCATGTGCAGACACAGGTAATTTTTTTTTTCCGCAGGATAAAATCCGAGCCATATGAAAGCTTGATCCTGCTGGACTAACCTTTCTCACGTTGTGTTGATATTTTGGTATAGACGATCTGGGCACTGGGAAATATCTCAGGAGACGGTCCCCCATATCGTGACCTTATTCTAGGATCCGGCGCATTGGACGTTATTCTTCAGCTCATCGAAATGTGCGACGACCCATCAGTGGCAAAAGATCAAAAATACATGATCCTGAGAATTGCCGTCTGGTGCGTCTCGAATTTATGTCGAGGAAGTGGACGCTGTGCGCCAGAGTGGTTGCAGGTAAGGAATGATCTACGCACCGTGTCATACTCGGCACATTCGTGCAGGTCTAGTTAGTTTGCAGAGACCAACTACTCTGGTCTTGATGCGTTCGTAGGTGACACCCGCGTTCCCAATGTTGCGGCGCCTAATGTATATTGACGATACTGAGATCTTGGCCGACACATGGTATGCGATTAATTCTTTATTTTTATTTTTTTTTGTTGATTAACAAGATAATCGACAATTTACTAATGCTTTGCCAACAATAGCTGGGCAATGTGTCGAATCCTTAATGGAACGCACAAGATGAACCTAGACACCGTTGTCATCGATCGGGAGCTATGCGCGCGATTTGTGGCCTTGCTAAGGTATACTTCGACATATGGAATAAGAACTAAGAGTCTTTAGAGATAAGTGTTAACCGCTTGTTCCTGCCCCTCATGTGCTATGACTAAAAAACATGATAGCGAGCCCCATCCGACCATTCAGGTGCCATCACTTCGATCGTTGATAAATATCGCTTCTGGACCTGAGCAGCACACTCAGTTGTTGATCGATGCAATGGCTATCCCAGTCTTGGGATCGCAAGAAATGCTTGCTCATCGGAATAGCACGATTCGTCGGGATGCATTGTTGGGTATTTCCAACATCACCGCAGGGACGGCAGATCAAGTACGGGAGGTGACAGTACAGGATAGCGGAAATGTCATGCGCCGGATTCTCGAAATCCTGAGGAGAGGCGACGTTGGAGGGGAAGACCTTGGAGAAGATGCTGTAGAGGGCCAAGAAGAAGGTGGCGACTGGCGAGTGCTTCGTGAAGCAGCATGGGTGGTCAGCAATGCCACCAGCGTGCTTGATCTTGAGATCACTGGGTGAGTTGGCGTGCATGTGGCGTGTTTGCATTTTGCCCTGCTGCCTAATTGAAACGAGTAACTTCTGATATCTATTTTCTTTTCTTTTCCTCTTCTCTTTCTTTTCCTTTGTACATAATTAGACATTTGGTGTATCGCTTGGAGTTGCTGCCGTCGATTGCGCAACTGATTGATCCTCGTCGGAATCGCAAGGCAAACTATGTCTTACCTGCTATTGGCCTTAAACATCCACCGCTGCTGACAAAACTCCTGGATATTGTATTCAATGTGTTGCGGTGCAACGAGCATCATCCTAAGGAGCAATTCATGAAGATTTGGGTGAACGACTGTGAGGGTGGATCGATTTTATTGGAGTTACTGAGGCTGTCGAGTCAGGCGCAGGGCGATACTCAACTGCGGCACTTTGACAACAAGATGTTGCCTCGACCATTGCAGCACCTCCGGTTTGCTCAGAACGACAATGTAGGCAAGTCAGCGCTACAGGCTGTTGGTCCTCTGGGGTCATCGGTGAAGAAAAGGGTAGAGACGATCCTGGACAACTTTTTTGAGTTTGGTCCTGAGAACGAGGGTTTCGGACCGTTTTTCGGTGAGAGACAAGGCCACGAGAACCGTTCACATCGCGATGGATATGGGTCGGATTTGAACGAGGATGACCAGGACGATGATGAGGACGAGTACACGGAGGCGGACCAGCAGACTCGTCATAGGAATGGTTATCGCGGAGCAAGACACGGGGCTACGGACGACTTTGATATTGACGAGATGGAGGAGCGCGTTAGCAGAATGAACCTTGTCTAATGCCACAGTATCAATTTGATAAAACTGCATTGTAGCATGGAATGCCGGGCGGGCGGCGACGTGAAAGATCTTGTGTAAATAAAATTCTCCCTACACGAATAGCACCACGACGCGACAACGCGCTATATGAACATGAAATAATGAGCGTATAAATGGATAGATGCCTTGTTCTTTGTTTGATATGTTGTGTTCGCAGATGCTGATGCCGATGCCGATGCAGGTGCCGATGCAGGTACCCTGTTAAGGCTAAGCACTCGTCTCTATTTTATTCTTATCTTTCTTGTTTTTGTCGTTTCATGAAAATGGCGTGCAGGGACACTGACAAGCTGACAAAAATTGACTGCGGTTCAGGTTAGCAACGGTCGCTTTCACCTACGCTCAGCATGGGGCGAGAGCATGGCAAGGGCTGGGAGCTGGTACCTGCAGGCACAATAAATGAAGGTTCAAGTCCAGCTATTGGCTGCGCCTGGGTTTGTGTACATACTATCTTCATGCCAAAGTGATTCAGCCCGGGTCGTCCCTTAAGTTATTTCTTATGTGCCCGTTCGTCAACCATTTCTAGTCAATCAACCACCATGTGTGCAAACCCAGTTAAGCATGTACATGTAGACTGGACATGGCATGGTTGCTGGATAGCTATCAGTCTGCGCCCGTTTTCCCTTTTTTCATTCCGGTTACCAATCGGATCCTTTATCTGTAACCGCTGGCTTTCTGTTTCATTGTTGCTTTGTTGCGTGTACACAAGGGTACAAAAAAATGTTAGTGCTCACTTATTTTTTCCTCTGTGTTTTTTAGACAGGCTCTTACGAGATAGTGAAGAGATGCATCTATAGTAGTCTACAGGAGGACCCGCTCCTAGAAAAAAGAAGGACGCCGGAGAAGATGAGAAGGCTCTCGTAAACTAATTGAGCAGCGCCGCACATGTACTCAAGAGGGATCGCAGTATGAAATGAAGCAGAGAGCATACACACACGCATTGAAAAACGCCCCCATTCCACTGCTGAATTATGTAAAAGTGAATACGCGAATGAATAGAAAAAAATGCATGTGGCCGTTTCGAGGATGTTCGCCTTCCGCCCGCACTGAGGTGCGCGCCGCGCCCACTCTCTCTTCTCACCCCCCCCCTCCCCGAATTCCTGTTCGGTGGCCCTTTCTCTCTCTTTTTTCTCTTCCCCCCCCCACTTTTACCCTGCCCCCCTTCCATTCGCTCTAACCCTCCCTTCCTCCCTCTTTTCTCATCACACGGCGCCCCGCTTCCATCAGCATCCATCCTGGCAGCCTGATTCATCATCCCTCATACTCATCGTCATCACTCATCTCGGGCCCCCCTTCCATCTCAATCCCTCCCCCACTCCCTCCCCCCATTACTCTTAACGACAACCTATCACATCGAACCCCATTCCCCTCCTTTCACTGGAGAAGGTAAGGAATAACACAAAGATGAATCACCCTTTCTGCCTCTTCACGTACCTCCTTTCCCTCCCTTTCTTGCCCCTTCCCTAGCCCCGTCTCTATTGTTGTCTTTTGGGTATCACACCTTATTATTAGTGCCATCCAATTTCATTTTCGCCAGGGGTACGTGTGTGTATGTTGAGTGAAGCGCGAAGGGCGGATATAATTAGGTTTGGTTGTCTTATTATTTTTAAACATCTATCCACATCATTATCTGACACCCAACCAACCGATTGCTTCCACTCAGGAACAGAACAGCCCCCCTGTACGCGCGCGTCTCTTTTTCGCACAACCACATTCAGGCACACCCAACGACTTGATTATGCTCGTTGTCTGTTTTGACTTTCCTGCCCCTTTCCCACCTTGCCTTTTTTTCTCCTTCTTCCCTTTGTGGAGTAACTGTATATGAATTCTGCTGAGTTGCATGGGAGGAAATTCTTGACCGAAACAAGGGGTAGAAGAAAAACCGCATGCAAAACACAGCACAGCATAAGCACTCTTTACGCCTTGCTCCTTAAAGCCCACGTCTTACCTCCCGTTCTACGTTTGATATACTGCCTGGATTCTCCTTCTTCTTCTCCTTCTGAATCCCAATATCTTGGGTTTAATAGATGCAATCGATCTTTCGTCCTCCTTCGCCCAATGCTAACTGACGCACATGTCTTTCTCTTCCTTTAACTCTCGCTTCCACTGTCGCTCTGCATCAGACCGATAATACTTTCCATCAAGAGACCAATCCAATGTCATTTTCTGGAATTTACCTCAAAGACAGGCAGCAGGGCGCCGTTAGACGCCGTGCAGAGCACTCATCTTCCATTCTGCAGAGAGGGTTGACTCCAACCATTGCCGGCATTCCCGCGCCATCGATGGTGCTCGCCACTCGTACTGCCTACACCCACACCGTGACGCCGGCTCCTGGCAGGGCCGGTCCATATGCAGCGGCCCCCACTGTCGTGACTCGTCTCGTCATTGTCCCTGGAAAAGAGGAGGATGATAAACAGCAGAGCGAGAAGACGCAGGAGGAAGACGACAAGACGCAGCAGAAAGACGACAAGACGCAGCAGAAAGACGACAAGAAGCAGCAGGAAGATGATAGTGAGCAGCAGGAAGATGATAGTGAGCAGCAGGAAGACGACAAGGAGCAGCAAGACGAGAAGGAAAAGGAGCAAGAGCAAGGCAAGGAGGGGCAGCAGCAGGAGAAGGAAGAGAAAGATGATCAGACCTCCTCTTCCCCTCCAGTCACTCTGTCCTCCAATGAAGGCAAGATCGTAATTGCAGCCCCTCCTGAGGGTAATCCCGCCAATACCACGACCACGACCACGACCACGACCACTACTACTGCCACCATCACCACCACAACCCCGACTCTAACGACGACGACAACGACGTCTACGGATTCGACAAGCGTGTCTGTCAGCCCCACATCGACCAACACCACCACAACTCCGACTCTCACGACGACGACAACGACGTCTACGGATTCGACAAGCGTGTCTGTCAGCCCCACATCGACCAACACCACCACAACTCCGACTCTCACGACGACGACAACGACGTCTACGGATTTGACAAGCGTGTCTGTCAGCCCCACATCGACCAACACCACCATAACTCCGACTCTCACGACGACGACAACGACGTCCACGGATTTGACAAGCGTGTCCGTCAGTCCCACATCGACCAACACCACCATTACTCCGACTCTCACGACGACGACAACGACGTCTACGGATTTGACAAGCGTGACCGTCAGCCCGACTTCGGTATCCCCCACCTCGACGAACACTATCACCTCCACCTCGACGGGCACTACCACCGTCAGCCCGACCTCGGTGTCTCCGACCTCGACGGGCACTACCACCGTCAGCCCGACCTCGGTGTCTCCGACCTCGACGGGCACTACCACCGTCAGCCCGACCTCGGTGTCTCCGACCTCGACGGGCACTACCACCGTCAGTCCGACCTCGGTGTCTCCCACCTCAGTGCCTCCCACCTCGGTGTCTCCCACCTCAGTGCCTCCCACCTCAGTGCCTCCCACCTCAGTGCCTCCCACCTCGGTGTCTCCCACCTCAGTGCCTCCCACCTCAGTGCCTCCCACCTCGGTGTCTCCCACCTCAGTGCCTCCCACCTCAGTGCCTCCCACCCAGACGGAAACTCCTACGTCTGCTTCCACGGCGCTCTCGTCCTCGGCGACCGAACCATCATCTGCTACTACTGTTCCTGTCACGACTGTCACTGTCGAGCCATCGTCGTCTTCCGCTGTCCCAGTGACAACCGTGACCATCGCTCCGTCTTTGACACCGACTTCAGATGTTGTCGTCCCAACAACTACGCTTGTGATTATCCCCTCGTCGTCCTCAACTGAGACTCAACCGATTCTGACCCAGACTACCAACTCGGTCACAGTCATCAGTGGAACGATCTTTACCATCGGCCCCGGTGGCACTAACGTTCCTGGTACTAACGGTGGCCCTAACGGTGGCTCTAACGGAGATGGCCTGACAGGTCCTAATTCTTCAAAGTCAGGCTTGAGTTCTGGAGCCGCCGCAGGAGTTGTCGTTGGCTGTTTGGCGGCGCTGGCTTTGATTGCTGGTGTGTTCTTTATTATGTTCAAGCGCCAGTCGCGTCGTCTGCAAAACCCTAACAGTCGCTTCGTGTCCCGATCTGCTGCTGCAGCTGGTGCAGCAGGCGCTGGGGGTGATCTTGGACATTTGTACGGCTCACGACAACCCGAGGGCTCTGGTTCGCATGGCTCCTACGGTTCCGTGCGCAACTTGCCCGGAGGAGCTCCTGTTGCGGGTCATATTGTTGTGGCGCCTGAGATGATGGAGCATCCTGCCAACCGCTCCAACCTCAACTTGCATTCTGGACCAATGGCCTTTGGCACTAGTGCAGCCCTGGGTGCCTCGTCCGGCCTGGCGGGTGTCCATGCTCATGATGGATACCACGAATCGAGCTCAGATGGACGAGAGATCTCGTCCAGTTACGGCGCCAGCGGTGGAAGCGGCCCTGGAGACGCGACTGGAAGTGCAGGTGGCGGCGGAAGCGGATCTGGTTTGAACCCTTTCGGCACAGCAACAGCGCCCTCTGGAGGATCTGGCTCGCCTCAAAGCCAGAAGGGCAGCATTCACTATATCTAAATTAAGTGTCTACGTCCACATTTGCTCCGTTAATACGCTCGGTCTTTTTGCCGGTGTACTTTGATAGCATGCCGCATTTTTGACCTTGTCTTACTCCCTTGCACGTTTTTTTTTCTTCTTCTTGGATGGTCATACCAGTTTGCCTCAATACCACCATTTCACGAAGCTTTCTCATTTTTATTTATTTTATTTCTATCAACTTTAAAAAACTGTTTCCTGCTCTAAAAAATAAAACTAATAAATAAAAAAACACTTTTTTTGCTATTGCATCCTTCGTGAGACTCTTGGAAGCGTGAAAGAAAGACGCGACCTGAATCTGGTGGCAGCGTGGCTTAGCAGTATTGCCTTAATATCGAACACGGAGACTAGTTTCATAGAACTTCCTTTCGCTGGAATAAACTCAGACAGACATGGTACATAAGTTCACAGGGGCAATCCATCGATATTCAGGAAGGGCACAGCCATCCATCTGACACCGCCGCTATTTTGCTATCATCCTCATGCTGATGTGCTGCGTATCATCAGGCGTCATCAATTGCGACTAGCAGGAATACAGGATCTACCAATCTCGCTCAACGAATCTAACATCTAACATGGGGCAGGAGTAGCACACCAATCGCCCTTGCAGTGCAAGCGAAACAGCAACAAAAGCGAAAGAAAACGACCTATCATCATGTGTCGAGAAGGCAGACCAGTATGATGAGCAAAGGACGAAGCCAGTACCCGGCACTTTCCAACATCTCTTTGCCGACAGACTGCGTACGTCCAGTACAGCAAGGGTGGGCGCTAGCACTCGCCGACAATCGTGTACTGCAGCCAAAAGACCGAGCCCTATTATGGCAATCTGTATTTGGTATCATACAGGAACCCGACGAACAACGCACGGAGTCATATATGTGATACGTCGTGCAGGAGCGTGCGTCAAAGAACCAAAGAACTGCGCATACGTGGATAATGGGTGGCCGGGGTTATATTCAATGCAGAGTATATGCAGACATCAAAGGAACTGACATTCGACTACGACAATTGTCTGGCGTTCACTGGCCTAGCCTTCCAACAAGTCGTTCATTATCAAGCGCAAGCTTGGAAAGAAGCAGAAGCAGAACCGCCCTCTGCCCAACTGGTGCCGCATGCGTACTGATAACAAGGTACGTCGCTTTGATGACTCGTCGTATTTTTTACGGCATGAATGGAGCATACAATTATGTTTTGCGGTCAAAGGAGCATGCCTGAGGATCTGAACATTGTTCTTTTTTTCCTTCGCTTGTCCGTTGGATTAGATCCGCTACAACGCCAAGCGCCGTCACTGGCGCCGCACCAAGCTGGGTCTTTAAGCTAGCTGCAGTTGCATTCAGACAGTTGGAGTTCATTTATTCCTTGGCCTCTATAGGTAGCCCTATAAAGATCTCGCTATTCTGCGTTTGATTTCGACTGTTCCCGCCAGAGCTGTGCTTTGTTTTTTTGAAGACGAAGTTAACGGGATATTACTGGATAGAAGAGAAAGATATACTTTCTGGATGAACACGCCATTGACTACAGTGCCATTTGAGTGATTTTATGCTTAGGCAGGACACAGGGCCACAACATGGCAAATAAGCAAACGTGGTTGGCTGCTAGGGAACCGTCTGGCGTCAGTTTTGGTGTTAGTGCAATACGATACGATACATGTGGGCTTAATCCACATGCGCCAGGTTGCAGGGCGTAGCAAGTTTGCACCAATTTCGACCAATTGAATGAAAAAAGGGGTTGAGGGGGCGGGCCAGGCACTTTTTTGAGTCTGCTCCCTTTCTTGCTCAGCATCACTTCCTCTCTTTTTGACACCCATCACACTCATCACACCCATCACAATACACGCACGTTTCCGCAATCCTTTCTTGTTCGTTTCCACATCTCGGACATCCTTCGCACCTTGACTCTCCCTCCTTTCCTCGCTCATGCTCATCCAGAGTGCTCACAGCCCGGCCGAGACCCCCAACAGTCACGACTGGTCACAAGGCCCCTCTAGCGCTTTTCCCGATGCTGCGCTGGAGCTAGATATCTTTGACCTTGACCTGGCATACATGCCTATAGTAGATTGCCTCGACTCTTCGAGCATGATGGGCGAGCAACAGGTTACGGCCTGGACTGAGGCCAAGGATGATGCCTCGCAGCCAAGCCAAGAACAGCCCCGTACACCTGTGAACGACAAGAAAGACCTTAAAGACGAGAACTGCACATCAAGCCAGGACGGGATCCAAGCACCCGATTCGCAAAGCACATCTCATGAAGGCTGTGATGGTAAAGCATTGATAGGACATACCGGCGTCTATATTAGTGACTTGTCAGCTTTTTTTTCCTGAATTGTGTGTATAAGAGGTATTGATATACCACCACCATTGTCAAAATGGTAGACGCCGAGGGGGACGAACCTCTTATTCGTCTTGAAATCACAGAACTGACCAAAGACCATCAGGAAGCGGGTGATCATCATCACACTCAGCCAAGGCCTCGCCAGTTCACGTTCCAAAAAGATGCCCACTTATTGTTGGGACGCGCCCCATCTTCTAGCTCAGACCCCCAGACGCGGCTCCGACGCTCGGTCGACAAGGCGGACAGGGCGTACGGGCAAGCCCAGGCTGATAATGGGCTCGACGATGGCCTCTTCTCTAACCAGGTCATCAGCAGAATACACGCTGTGCTCTACGAGATGGACGGCAACATTATTCTGGAAGATCGCCATTCGACCCACGGCACCTATGTCAATGACCAAAGAATCGAAAGCCGCGTCCTGCAAGATGACGATCAAGTTCGTTTGGGCCGCCATGTCATTCGAAATGGCCTACCGTATCTACCGCTCGAGTTTATTGTCCGGATCCAAGGCCACGAAGAAAATGAGGCGTGGGAAGAAGAAGCAGATGTAACGGCGACAACGGAGGTTAATCATAGTCTTGTTGATCACCACAATACCTCCACCACGGTTACGGTTAAAGCCGCCACAATTACTGTCGAGACTGCTACAGCTGCTATCGTTACCGCTACGGATCCAGCTCATGTCACTGTCTCTGGTACCGAAACTGTCGAGATGTCAGAGGTAGGACGATACACTGACAGAGACCGGATTAGGGTCTAAGGGTCATTTGCGCAACTACTGACCTCGCACATTCAATTGCCTTCCTTCTATCATGTATGTAAGCAGAGCCAACAAGATTGTTCTACCCAAGATGTAGGGATGCCACGTCCTCCAGCAAAACGCAGTCGGTCCGATGAGTTAATCCAGGCAACCCCAGGCCCTGCAAACAAGCGGACCGCGCTGGTCGCGGCAGCCCTTGCTGGTGCAGTTGTTGGATCTATTGGCACGGTCCTCACACTTGCCAGTATTTAAGTCAGACCACGGGAGACCATGGGACGTATGAGACGTTTTGGTTTTTACAACTGCTCTCAAGGCGCGCGTCGCTTCAGCATGAGAGCAATACACAATATGGATTCGACTCACTTGGCAAACGATTAGTCGTTCGTTCTTGCCATCCATATCCATAAACGCCACTCAGACGCGTCCATTCATATATCAGTACATCTCATAGCCAAGTCAAAAAGTGCCTCCAATGTGCTTCAGGAGCGATTTATTACAATGGGCCAATAAAAACAAAACGAACAAAATGCATTCATCCTCTGGTCAAGACATCCTTCATGTTCCCGCAACCAACTTAGAACCCTCCGCGACCACGACCACCTCCGAAGCCTCCACGGCTGAAACCGCCACGACCACGAGGAGCACCGCGGGGAGCACCACGACCACGGGATGGACCACCGCGAGGTGCACCTCCTCGGCCACCACGAGCTATATCCATAATACGAGCAGCATGCAAAAGATTGGATCAGATTCGCGGGTCGAACATAATCGGTCGTACAATCGTACAAATACTAAAATAAGGAAATAAAAACTTACCGCCACCGCGTGGAGCGCCGCGTCCTCCACGTCCGGCATTCATGCCTTGCATGCCTCCGCGCTTGGCAACTATCGCGATGAGTTAAGGTAGAAACAATTACACACGTAAGACATAGGATCGATCGATAACGCACACCCTTAATTTTCAGCGGCACAAAATGCATAAATGATGGTGGCCATACCCTTTCCACCAACGACCTTGGGCTTGGGCAAGAAGCGCTCCAGGGGCAGGAGCTTGTCAGGAGCAATGAATACTTTGTCGTTGGGTTTGAAGGAGGTGGCGACCATTCCATCCTGCAGCTTGATCGTGAAGTAGAGCTCGTTCATTGGTCCGAGAATCTCGTCGACCTTTCCGATCTGGCTTTTGTTCTCGAGATAGATAGGGGCATTGAAGTATGGGATCTTGACATTGGTCGATTTGCAGACCATCTCGCCCTCGCAAGCATGCATAAACTGGCCGATTTCTATGTCCCAGGCGAATGTGAAGTGGAAAGAAAGCCATTGGAGTCGTCAGAAACTGATGGCTGAGACTCAACATAGCCGACTATACGTCCAATTGCTAATCCCGTCCAGTGATAAAAAGCTGCTTCATGATCTATGCGCCGAGACTTCGGTCTTCGATTGAAGAGCCGATATGGATATACGGGTGAACTGCGCTTCCTCAATGGCTCGAACAGCTGGCGAGACGATCCATGAGATTAAAATAAATAAAAAAAGTGCTGACTGCCATGACGCTCAGACGGCGGTGTCTGCGGGCACCGGTTGTTGGTATTTTTTTTGTGAGGGTTCAGTGACATTATCCGTGGACATTAATGACCGTGGTGCCCGAGTTCTAAGCGTCCGATCCACAGGCTATTTTCTATTTTTTTTTTTTTTTAAAGCAGAGGACATACCAAGAACGGACTCTGGGGGGCCGAACGAAGGTGCTCCTCCACCTCCAAAGCCTCCACGTCCACCACGGGAGCCGCCTCCGAAACCGCCACGGCCTAAACAATAATAGAGAATTCGATTATATGCGTATACAAGGTGAGTTCCAGGAAGGGACACAAGCAGCCCAGTCTCAGTTAAGTGCTGTGTTGGGTTGACAGCAAGCAAAAGCAAATGTACCTCCTCTGGGGGCACCTCGACCTCCTCTAAAGCTCATGCTGTATTATGTGATGTGTGTTGGGGAAATGAAAGGACAACACTGGCAGGAACGCAAGTGTTTGACGAGGGGGAGCTAATCGGTGGAGTAGAGGGTGTTTGCAAACGGTGCAAGCGAAGATGCCCACAAAGGGTTAATTTTTTTTTTTCTAAAGTGGCTTTTTTTTGTTTATATATACCTTTTTTTTTTTTATTTCTATGCTGCTGCAGATCAAAGATTCAAGTGGTCATTTTATTATTGGAAATCGTCTTGCTTCATATCCCAGGCTCGGATATGATTATTGTTTAGGCCCTCCACCATGCGACCTTTTATAGCTATTCAACGAGCGCCTTGGCCTCCATATTGCACAGAATCTAGGAGATCACCCGATAAAAGGGCACGATAAGTCCTGAAAGTCCCTGGCTCAATTCCAGTACAAACATTGAAACAAAATGGATGTAGAGGGTTCGACAAAAGGCCGCTATAGCTGCCGATAAAGAGCAGGATGGAAAATACTTTAGTCCTCTAGTTGTCCAGACATTTTAAGAGGAATAAAAACCCTTTGATGCCTTTTTAGTGCCCATCGTAGCGTTATGCTCTATAGTTAATGCAACAAGGCACCTCTGCACAAGTGTTGCCACCAATTTTAAATTTTAAAGCCGGTGACGTGACGTCATCATTTTTCATCTGCGCTTGATAGCTCAGTGGTCGCGTACGTTTTTCAAGGGAGAGAGGGACAAGACTTACGCGTTTAACCATTCGCTCTCAACCCTTTTTCCTTTCCTTGCTCCATTGTACAATTTCTGACATTCCACCCATAACCATCTCTTTTGCTTCTATCCACTCCTTCCATCAGATCCTTCTCACTCTCTTTCTGTGCTTCCTCCACTGTTAACAGCAAAGGCGAAACAAGGCCCATTCTCCATCACGCCCCCATCGCAGCCTTTCGTTCCACTCCATTTCTTGTACCTTTGTATAACGCGAACAATGGTCGGACTCACCTCTGCAGGTAAGGATCCTCATGTTGCGTCGTCTTTACTATTCTACAGTTATTGCTGTACCATGGTCTCATTTGGCCTGTATGCACCTATCCACACATTCTTCAGTTACGCTTACTAACGCTCGTTCGTACTCTCGCTCACCACCTGTGTCGTACGCTTGCTTGGGTGCTTCTCAGCTGGAGTTATCGCACTCCTCGATGAACATGATGACGACCTCAAGGTGTATGCCCTGCAGAAGCTCAATGGTCTTGTCGATCAGTTCTGGGCAGAGATCTCGGACGCAGTGTCGAAAATGTATGGATTGCATGATTCTGCCTGTCCTGATGCTCGTTAATGCTGTGCCTCTCCTTTGTCTGCTTCGCTAACGGCTGCATACCTTTTTCTCGTCCTATCGACCGCTCACACATTAATAGCGAAATCATGTATGAAGACACTGAGTTCAAAGATCGGCAACTAGCAGCACTGGTCGCCTCCAAGGTATGATCCGGATTTGAAAATAATCAGCGCTGCCTGACGGATGCTGTTGCATACGTATCGATAATAACGCCAGTATTCTTCCAACGCTCATCTGTCTAGGTCTACTACCACCTGGGCGAGTTTGATGACTCCCTCAACTTTGCTCTTGGCGCTGGAAACCTCTTTGATCTCTCGTTAAAGTCGGAATACGTTGATACCATCGTCTGTAAGTTCAAATGGCCGTATCGAGTGCTTTGGTCACAGATCAAGCAACCTGATTGGATTATTAAGTAACTCTTTCTCTTGCTTCATGTGCCTCTTGCAGCAAAGTGCATCGACAAGTATATTGCTTTGCGAGTCCAAGAACAACAGGACCCGCAGAACGCAGAACCTATGGATCCCAGACTCCAGGAGGTTGTGGAAAAGATGTTTGATCGGTGCTACCGGGATGGCGAGTACAAGCAGGTATGTTTAAGCACGCTCTTTTGACAGCCATTGGTCGTCTAGTAATGAGAGAATATATGGCTTACTTACGTATACCAATGGTTTGGATTTGTAAATAATACATAGGCTGTTGGCATTGCATTGGAGGCACACCGCCTAGATGTTGTTGAACACTCGATCAAAGCCGGCGGACCCTCCAACATTCTTCCGTACGTTTACGAGTTGACAATGACGGTCGTCTTGGACCAGGCATATCGCAACACGCTCCTGCAGCTTCTCGTCGGGCAATTCCGCAAGTTGGAGGAGCCCGACTATGTCGCCATCAACCAGTGCCTCGTCCACCTTGGTGATTATCAGGCTAGTGCAGAGCTGCTTCAAACCCTTGTCGAGTCGGGCGTACAGGTACTTGAAATTTCTTTGCGTTTCCCGACCTATGTACAGGCAATAACCTTTCTCGCCGATGCTAACCCACTGCTTCAAACTATATCCCTTACGTCCGTATTCTTAACGTAATAGTCCGACTTGCTGATGGCATATCAGCTTGCCTTTGATCTGGAAAATAATGCTACTCAAAAGTACCTCACAAAGGTCGCCAGTGCTCTCCCCACGGAGCCTGGAGAGACTACGCAGGCCAAGCTCGACAAGGCCAAATCCATTTTGTCCGGAAAGGAGACCATCAAGCTGCAACTCGAGTTCCTTTGCCGTAACAACCATACGGACATGTTGATTTTGAAAAATTCCAAGGTTCGTAGAGAGTTATGTTCGAAGGGCAACCACTGTGTCTTATATCTGTGAGCGCAACCGAGAATGCTAATTTCCTTTTTTCTTTCTATCGCTGCAGACGGTTCTGGACGCTCGTCTCTCAATCTATCACTCTGCGGTGACATTTGCAAACGCGTTCATGAACGCTGGAACCACAAGCGACGACTTTTTGCGACAGAATCTGGAATGGCTCTCTCGTGCTACCAACTGGTCCAAGTTTAGCGCGACTGCTGCGCTGGGAGTCATCCACAAGGGCCATCTTTCTCAAGGACTGTCGCTGTTGGCGCCATACCTCCCTCAGGAGGGTGTCACTGCCAGCCCTTACTCTGAGGGCGGTTCACTCTTCGCTCTTGGACTCATCCATGCTAATCATGGCGACGAAGTACTTGAATATCTCCGTGGTGTCCTCAAGAACACCCAAATCGAAGTCTTGCAGCATGGTGCTTGTCTGGGTCTCGGAACTGCTGGAATGGCCACTGACAATGATGGTAAGCGCTGACGTCGATTATCGGAGATTTTGTTTCCATGCACCATGTTGACAATTTCGCGTTATGGACCATTCACTAAACACAATCTGCTATTAATTGCCTCGTCATTGAACGTATTGAGTGTAGACATCTATGAGGAGTTGAAGAACGTCCTCTTCAGTGATAGTGCTATTGGTGGTGAGGCAGCCGGACTTGCAATGGGCATGGTGATGCTCGGTACAGCTTCAGAGAAGGCGTTGGATGAGATGCTGCAATATGCTCATGAGACCCAGCACGAAAAGATTATCCGAGGATTGGCTGTTGGCATCTCTCTGGTTATGTACGGCAAGGAGGATGCGGCCGATGCGCTGATCGAGCGCCTTTCGGCAGACAAGGATCCCATCATGCGTTACGGAGGAATGTACACCATTGCCATGGCATACTGCGGTACTGGAAACAACAAGGCTATTCGGCGTCTTCTCCACGTCGCTGTTAGCGATGTCAATGATGATGTGCGACGTGCAGCTGTCACTGCTCTCGGATTCATCCTGTTCCGTTCTTACAAACAAGTTCCTCGTATCGTGCAGCTTCTTGCAGAAAGTTATAACCCTCATGTACGATATGGTGCATGCCTGGCTCTCGGAATCTCTTGTGCTGGAACAGGGTTGATGGAGGCTATCGAGCTACTGGAGCCCATGACCAAGGACAATGTTGACTTTGTTCGTCAGGGAGCGTTCATTGCCTTGGCCATGGTCCTGATGCAACAGAACGAAGTGCAGAATCCAAAGTCAGCTACGGTGCGTACGATGTACGAGGAAGTCATTAAGAAGAAGAATGAGGACGCATTGGCCAAGTTTGGCGCAGTCCTCGGTCAGGGAATAATCGATGCTGGTAAGGCGGCGCTGTTTTATCTTTGTCCTCATGCCGATGGTTATTTGTTCCATTCTAGAGACGTGTTATTAAATGATCCCTTTGCTTATGGACGGTTCTAGGTGGACGGAATGTCACGATCTCTATGCAGTCTCGCTCTGGACATTCGAACATGCCTGCCATTGTCGGCGTTGCGCTCTTCACTCAGTTCTGGTACTGGTTCCCCGCCAGCCACTTCCTCAGCTTGGCCTTTACCCCAACCGCCTTCATCGGAGTGAACGCGGACCTCAACATGCCCGAGATTGAGTTTACGTCAAACGCGAGGCCTTCGTTGTTTGCTTATATTCCACCAACCAAGCCTCCAACGGCGGCAGTCGTTGAAAAGGTCGCGACTGCAGTGCTTTCAACAACAGCCAAAGCTCATGCTAAAGCAAAGAAGGCAAAGACTGCAGAGACTGACGCCATGGATGAAGACGAGAAGCCGGAAGAGAAGGTGATACTCATTGCACGACTATGACCGCTGCCATTGACATTATTCGTATCCACTCCATTTCTTTTGGTTTGACGTGCTAACCGACGAATGATTTTCTCTTGTTATAGCCCGAGGAGCCGAAGGATGACGAGGCCAAGGCTGCTGTTAAGCCTAAGAAGGAGCCCCAGTCTGAAAAGCTGGGTAACCTGGCACGTGTGGTCCCAGCTCAGCTCAAATACATATCGTTCGATAAAGAGGCACGCTATGTCCCTGTCAGAAAGGTAAGCGATGCGGCGTTTGTTTTGCTGTACGACGGAATAAGTATGAGCAAATCTCTCATCAATGCGTTCTCTGTCTCTTTACTTTTTTTTCCCTTGGTCTTCATTCTCTAAAGGACTTTACGGGAGGCATCGTTGTACTTCTGGACAACAGGAGCGGGGAGCCAGAGACCCTCATTGCCACCACAGCCGCAACTGCGCCTGCAACAGCTCCAACAGTTGATTCTAAGATGGAGGTAGAAGAGGAGGAAGCGCCCGTTCCAGAGCCTTTCACCTATCCCTTCGACCAGTAATGAAACGTAGACAGAACGGCGTCCTCTTGGCTGATCATTACCATTGTCCAGGGGTCAAGCTGATAAGCAACCAATAAATGTGTCCTTGAAAGGACAGTCTCCATGTAATGCATGAGCATGAAGGAACTGCAGTGTGCTGCAATGGAAAATGAAAGAGATGAATGAAGTCAACCCCTAAATGGAACAGGGTGAAGGATGCGCAGGGTTCACATTCCTCATGCCGTGTGTTTTTAAAAAACAGGAGTTTCGCTGTTGTGAACCAACCATACACCTTATCGAGAACGATTCGCCAGTTCGAGTTACGTGTGGGAGGCTATACGCGAGTGCATTGACCTATCGATCAGTGTCCGTTTCGATATCCGCCCACAACATCACCGACTCCACTTTTGAGCACACACTTGAGCCTCCAGCCGCTGTAGGCAAACAGAGGGACAGCGAAGAGCTGTCGATCACTCTCGCTCACTCATTCAGCCATGGAGACGTTAGAAGGTTTGGAGCAATTTGTCTGCATAGTGATCACTTTGCTGAAGTTGAAGGTAGGAGTGAAGTAATGGCAACCTGATGACGAAAACGTCGCCCTTTTCCAATGCATCCAACTTTGATAAAATATTTCAGCGCACTCAGCCGAAACAGGATGCCTGCTCGAACCTTCCGCCAACATTATAGTTACAGGGCACCCAACAACCGATTCATACCTTTGGCCTATCCTTCTCAGGTGCTGCTCTCTCGAGATTGGCAAGTATTCGGAGTGTCGGTTCGGTCCTTTCTGCGCTAAAGTCTCGCGAGCCCAGTTGGACCACGAAGCTGCCGGTGAGAAGGCAGCGACAACTCCCAATATCCAGCAACGGTTCGATAGTGAATGACTCCTCTAAATATCTACACAAGCGAAACAAGACTCCGCATGTTGCTGAACTCGAGGCTTCGCTCAAGTCGATCAGATTCGAGTCGACGGAAACACAGTGTCAAGTCCTTCAGCAGGTTTTATACGTTCTGAACCTCCTTCGTCAATTTTACCGATCCAAGTTCATGAAAAAAAAAACCCCCCCAATGGAGCGCCAGAAAGCGATGCAAGCGGAAAAGGGTTTAGCTATTCATGGCACGTTGCGTACCATTAATTCGAAAAGCGGTCTGCACACAGAACCCACAGGACCTAGTCTTTTCGTTACGGCGCTAGACGATTTAACACGCACCCCAAATTCGCGGGGATGTACAAATATTTCAATTTTTGTTTTTGTTTTTTAAGACAACGCGCTGTTTAAGGTCTATTCATCGATCAAGCTCAGTACCACTTCTAGTGTTATATATTTATTATCAGCACGATATGCAGACTACATTGCTTTGTCGAATCGGACAAATGTCTGACTCTGTCAATGCGCTCAGGTTGTGTCATGGAGGAGAGGGGCTGCAGGCTCGCAAATGTTAATCTCAGTTGGCTTGCGGGCATGGTTGCAATAGTAACTGGGTCGACCTACCAGTCTATATTTATCACTGGAGATAGTTTCCGATTTCAGGGTTCGGTGAGACAGCCTAGGGGATATGGTTTCTCGTTCCCATTTTTTACTTCTTGTTCTTCAGTCGCCTCGCTGTCACCACGAACATTGATGGTCACTTAGCCGCCTGCATGCATAAAAGGGCTTCTGGTTTAAAGACATTTTGCATTCATAAAAATATAATTTCAAAAGAAGTGAATTTACATAATCTGATTCTTGATTGTATGGTGCGACCTGTTGCTTTCAAAGGTGCATCATATTCTCGGGAATTGATGCACCATTGTGCGCGTTTGGACAAATGTCTTAGTGTTGTATGCAGAGTTTAGGGGCAGCCAATCTGTTCTCAGTAAGTGGGCTCCCTGATTTAGAAATCATAGACGCGTTTTAGGAAATAATAATTGATTAAGCTTCGCTTTTGTACGCGCAATCCACATGTTGCACTCCACGGCATAGACGTGGCCCTGTACTCTGCTGCTGTCCCTCGCAATGACTTGCTTGGTTGAAAACTTCATCTATTTGCTCATTAAAAGTACAATCAAAACGCTTTGACGAATAAAATTGGTCGACATGGTTCTAGGTTGCCTGCTGTTGTTGACTACTCATGGACTCTAGTGCCATTCCCTGTGGCGGGTTCTTCAGAGCTCATACAGAGCGAGCCCCCTGTGTGGATTTATCATTACTGCACTGACCCGAAGTCGCAAGCGACATGCTGTGTATTCTCTGCTCTTTCCAGCTGAGGCTATTATGAGAAACTGAAAACGATGACTCTACTATAGCTCCACTGCCGACATCTCTTATCGTATTCCTTTCCGTCACTTTTGATAGTCGCTGTACTGCCCTTTTGCCACCCTATGACTGGTACAGTCTATATCGTCTTCAGAAAGATATTAATCCCCCAAAAGCCATGCTGCCTTTTTTCATCGCCCATACAGTAATGACGTGTCCTTTACTCCGCTTCTTCAAGATTTCATATCTTTTAAGATATCTTTATTTAAAAGCATATGTCAATAATTGACACATGAGCCATACATGCACAAGGATAGGGAAATAATTTCAGTACGCAAAACCGACGAGCTTTCTACGCGACTTGACTATGCTCTCGTCGTTGCTGCTGGACTTGTGCTCTCAACAATGCAATATAAGCGACGAGACGATCGCTCATGGATGATTGATGCGTGTATTATTTGAAAATGTATTTATTTTGATGCCGTTAACTGTAAAGCTGATTGCTTAGGAAAGGCTCAAGTTCTGTTTAGTACCACTCGAGATCTTGAAGGTGCATCGGCGGGATTGTCCTCGGATGGGATCCAAGAAACAGTGAGAGTTATGTGATTGCATTTAAGGAAAGACATAAGTAGCTGGAAAAGGGGGTTTAAACATGCGTGTCTTATAGGGTGGTTGAGAGATCGTTGTCTGAGCACCGAACAAAGACCTTTGTGGTCGCAATGAAGATGTATGTGCATAAATTGGGTTGCATTATCAAAAATCCCTCTGGTGACGGAGTATAACTCCGACTCGAAGGAGGAGTGTTGATACTCCTCTGGTATCGGAAAAGACCTTGATACGCCTTGGTCGTTGATCCACGCGCCTTGCAATAACGTCGCATCGGTATATAGTTGATATGGATAATTTTCTTGAGTCATGGCAGTCGCGGAGTGTGATAGATAGCTTCAATGCAACGGGGAATTTATCACAATAAATACGAAATACTCGAATATCTAAAATATGCATCGTTGGTTCAGGTTCAGTATCCACTACACCATGCGGTCAACCACAATCCAGGCCGCCGTTAGTAGGCTCGAATCCAGCCTGCGTCGAAGCTGACAAACCAACAAATCCACTTTATCTTCAAAGGTCGTCCTATAAATCGTTTATTCTTGGCAAGGAAGCCTTGAAAGTCTCCTATCATGGCATACACGCGGGTTTGGATGGTCATTCGAAACAGCATGGACTTTCAGGCGTCCATCAAATCGATATGTCCGCCACGTCCTGCAAGTTCATGCGACTGCGGAGTTAGGTTGCGCGCCAAGTGCCGACCATACTGGTCGCCTACATCCCCCTCGACGATGCGGTACGGTTCTAGAGGGTGATTAGCCCGCTCCTTTGCAAGCCTATAGTTAAAATATATGGCACCGATTCTGCATCTGTCGTAGTAAAAGATCGTCCAAGACAATAAGGCCCGAGCACCTGGTAGCGAATCAAGAGTTTTTGTTCTTGAAAGGCACAAATGTTAAACCTAATATCAAATTGATAAATACTTTCGGGTGTGGGCTGGCCACGTCTCTTTCACACCCACACAAACACTTTCCGCCAAACCAAAAATCTTTCCAATGGCATCCGCCATCCCAACCGCCACGGTTACTACCGCGGCCAACATTGCCGGCAGCAACATTTTGGAGACGTGTATGGCAATTGTTCCGCAATACCACGAATGAGTACAATCAAGCACAACTGTGTGTTGAACAATTTCTTTCAATTTTCAATAATGGCCACCAAGGTAATATCCTTATTTCTGATCCATCACCGGTGTCAATTGCTACTTCAAAATTTCTTAACACCACGGCAGATATGCTACTCTTCCATGAGCATGTCAATCCACAACAGCTTCTGACTGATTTAGACATATTGTGTTTACACCCATTGGTGAGGAGATCTTTTGATTGCAATGTAGTCGACACTTGTCCTATCTGACAGTAATTGATCATTATTATGCTTTACTTGACAATGAATTGCGAGTAGGATATGCACTTAGTAAGTGTGCGAAGTCGAATTTTAATGCATTACACTGACTGAGCAACAACACACACTATGCTCGTCGATTGCTGGACCTTCAAGAAGAATGAAACATGTCATCAGTCTACTTACACGTAACGCGCGGTCTTCAGCTGCATGACATAAAGACACCAACGAAACGACCTCGTCCATTTTTACTTCCTATGTTCCAGCTGTCATCCTCATGAACATGGAAAAGCGCTTATATCAATTGAAACATGAATGGAAACTCACCCATGCAGGCGGCTTTACTTGCATTTTGGGTGATACCCTAGGTCCAGGTTTCTCCAAGTATTCAACTAAAATCATGGCCATAATGGTTCCCACAACGATAACGACCAGTCTACCGTTCCAAAAATTTCCCAGTTGTCGCGTTTAGGATTTAGGGAATGAGAAAGAGATGTGGGCCCACACACCACATTGGCAAGATTTACTTATGTGAAAGTTGATACGGGGAAATGATGCGCTAGCGATACTAAATAAAGTGCACTGGACTCTGGTGAAAATATGTAACGCCAATAACAATGGCAAAACCGTTTTTATACTCATTATGCTGTCGAACAACCATAAACAACACTTCAGATGCCATAAGATAGGCAACCACGGCGTACTGTGACCAATAACAACGATGACCACAGTGATAATAGCTAGAACGACAATGGAAACAGCTAGCGCGTCTATTCGAATGCGTTCAAATCGAGTTCGAACTGAGGTGGATTCGATTCGATTCGAATAGATAATATTGAATTCGATTCGAATGATTCCAATGGTACCCTTATTCGAATCGAATTCGAATTTACTTTATTCAAATCGAATAGATGCGCTAGTTACTGTAGCTGTTTGAAACAGCTACAGTATAATCACAATGCTTAAGAAACAACTTCAATCTCTGCAACAACCTCAACACCAGCACCCAAAACCAGAGCCAAATTACTGGTAAACGTTACTCTTCAATCAGCGCCGGCAATACAACAACGATGCAGGTGTGTGTAATCTGTCTGGCAATAAATTTTATCTATTCCAGACAGCAAGGCCTAGTAAATCATACACTAATGCTACAAAAAAAAAAAAAAAAAAAAAAAGGGTCAAAAAATAAATTGCTTGCGCTTAAAGAGCTTAAACCGCTTAACCTTTCGACTGTTCCACGACACAAATACATAAGCACAGCATGCTATGCTTCTACAAAAGCAATCTAATTTCACGGATTACTCGGATGTGCACTGATGCAGATACATTAGCTCAGCATACAATTCTTTCTGGACAATCAATATTCTAATGCAATGCCACCTCATCAATTGACCAATACTTGTATTAATGGCTATGTTGAACTATTCATTAATTTCAAAAGCATGTGCAACGAACGATGCTGAAATCAGACACAATTCAACTATTAAAAAACCAAATCCGTATTTCATCTCTGCGAACTCTTGATGGATATGTTATTGATATTGCTAAATTGCATACCAGTAAAGACACGTTTTAGCGCGTCTGTTTGGATCCACGATCCCTTACCACTAGTCTCTGAAATCATAACACATCTTGCTGGTAATATCAGTTTTTGCACTATAACTGAATGGCTGATATGAACCTAGCATATCGTCGGTTGCCATTTCATGAAGATACTAAACTGCATTCATGCACAATATTTTCAAGATTTCCTCTCGGTTTAATACCTTTGTCAAGTCTATTCAGCTTCACTAGTAACACTATAACCTGCGTCAAACTAGACAGTGATGGGAGTAATGGCGTCAGATAGAGCTTGGTCATGGCTTTCCTGCTGTAGGATCGGATGGCGCTAGGTTAGACGTTGGCTGCCCAGTAGTAAGGAATAAAGAACGAAATCACGGCATGGTCATGAATCCTCTGTAAACTTGGTCATCTTTTTCTTCCCCTTCATCATCGGCCTTGACATTCATGTCGAAAATTTCAGAACGCCAGAAAGCTCTCAAGGAAGCGGAGGAGATGTTTATGCTTGCCGTTATTGATTCCGACTCGGAACTGGAGGAGGATACTCTCATCTGTTACACCTTGATCGCCGAATCCCGCTATTTCAACAAATCAGAGCATCACCGAAAAAAACACGACGACTATTTCTTCACAACCAAGTTTTACGCTCTCACCGATGATGAATTCCGCCAACATTTCCGTACAACCAGATACGGCTTTTCAGTTATTGCGAAGCTGATTGAACAGCATCCAGTCTTTCACAACAACTCGAACTGCAGCCAAATGCGTTCTGCCTGGCAACTGGCCGTCGCTCTCCAACGACTCGGACACTATGGGAGCAGAGCGGCTGTAAAGATCGTTGCAACTGATTTCGGCATAAGCGCCGGGCCTGCTATCGAATATACCAACAGGGTGATGACGGCGTTAGCGTCCCTTGCACCCAAATGGATGAATTGGCCTGACGAATACGAAAGGGAGGAACATGGCCTGCTTATGCGCCAGGAGGGATTTCCTGGCTGTGTGGGATTCATTGGCGGAACCACTTTGCCCCTTCACCAAAAGCCAGCTCAAGAAGGAGCCGCGTACTTTGATCGTAACAAAAGGTAACCCATCAATGCTGCACACTGAGATTCCACGCGGTGAAAAGGGTATTGTTCATTAATGAATTGAGATGACATAGGTACTCGGTCAATACCCAGATCCTTTGCGATATGCATGGCAGAATTATCGCGGTGCATACCGGATGCCCAGGTTCAACCGCGGACTCAATTGTTTTCAAGCGGATAGAACAGTTCCAAAGCCTAAAGGACTTTTTCTCTGCAGGCGAGTATCTCCTTGCGGATTCGGCTTATGCGGTCTCCAAGCATTGCATCCCTCCCTACAAGTCCTCTGCAGCGGATCTACCTGACAACACAGCATTCAACTTTTATTTGGCCCGCTCTCGCGCACGAAACGAGCACTGCATTGGAGTGCTGAAAGGTCGATGGCAATCTTTGAAAGAATTGAGACATCAGCTTCAGGACGACAGTAGCATGGAAAACCTTTGCTACTGGGTCATTTCTTGCTGTGTGCTTCATAATTTAATGGCTCATATAAACGATACGTGGACGGAGGAGCCTGAGGAAGAGTCGCGCGCCGCGTCTTGCGTCGGGTCCCAAGCTACACTTACAGGAACCACATTCCGCGAAGCTTTGAAGAAGACGACACTCGAAACGAACAGGGCAAAGAAAAGCGGCCCTTGATGCACTTTTTTTTATGCGTGCCTTAAGTAAACGTCGCTTATAATAACAGCGCCATTGAAACTATTGTTGAGCAAAGACCGCAAGAAAAAGAGAGATTGCGGAGGAAAATCAAGAACAAGAAGAAAGTATAATGAAAATGGCAAAAAAAGCCTTGGCAAAGGAAGCTGGGCTACTTGGTGGGAATGACGATGGCATCGTCAATGGAGCCGTTGGTGGGTTCGGTAGTGGGGTGGCTTACTGTCGCCAAGCTGCTGATCAACCCAGAGACAACTGCGGCATTACTTGAGGTGCTGTTTTGAAGAAGTGCAAATGCAAGTTGTTCTTTGAGCATCACCAACTCACGCTCTCTCTTATTTTGCTCCTTCCTCAACCTCTCATTTTCCTCTCTATCTTCGCGCTCCTGCATCCCCTTTCCCTTCCTGTCTTTGCGCTCCTGCCTCGCCTTTTCCTTCTTCTCCTCGCGCTGCCACCTCTTCTCCTCCAACTCGTGCAATCCTAGTCACAAACAAAGTCCAAGGTTAAAAAGAGAGCGTATGTAATGAAAGAGCTGATTGAAGTAGGCTTACTTTCGTATTTCCTTCTCATAATGTTAGCCATGTTCAGACTGCCAGATGTGCTATTCGCTGTCTCCAGTGGTTGATGACCATGCAATGACACTGGAGGATTCTTCCGCACATCGAAGCTTTTAGAAGATCCCTTGTCCTTGCCTGGCGAAGCCTTGGTTGTGAAGCGTATTTTTTTCGATAATACTCTAGTCTATCGAAATAGTGGGATTCGGCGATCAAGGTGTAACAGATGAGATTATCCTCCTCCAGTTCCGAGTCGGAATCAATAACGGCAAGCATAAACATCTCCTCCGCTTCCTTGAGAGCTTTCTGGCGTTCTGAAATTTTCGACATGAATGTCAAGGCCGATGATGAAGGGGAAGAAAAAGATGGCCAAGTTTACAGAGGATTCATGACCATGCCGTGATTTCGTTCTTTATTTCTTACTACTGGGCAGCCAACGTCTAACCTAGCGCCATCCGATCCTACAGCAGGAAAGCCATGACCAAGCTCTATCTGACGCCATTACTCCCATCACTGTCGGTTATTGTAGCCTTTACAGGAGCTCCACCTGGAACATCGACCCTCGCGACCTTTGTCTCTACCACCGCCTACATTTTAATAGAAAATGAGCTTTACTAACGATTCGATAAAAAAAAAAGCTCTTTTAGCACTTACATGCCCAGATGCTTATTGCCAACGCACATCACCATCCTATTGGTGTATGCCATCAACTTCTGGCATTACTGGAGCGCAATGGCCACCAGCAGCTCGAACAAGTCAACCGGGACACAGAGGACGGTTTCTCGTGATCTGAACGGTGCATCAGCACGGAGAAGCCTGTACAGCCGTGGGAGGACCCATGCATATCGTCAACTACGACATCTCCAGGGCATGATTATCCAGGAGGAGGACACACATACAAACGGGCTGCCTCTTTCGACAATACGACAACAAATCCCTAAGGCCCCATGAGTTCCGCGTATTTGTGCTGCTACTCTGGACCCTGAATAGCCAGCTTGAGATAACGAGCAGGTATGGGACTAGGCAACGCGTTCGACCGGAGGATCTGGGTGAGTGCGGCCCGAAAGTGTTGAAGGAGGTCGTTTATGCTCCTTGATGAAGTGGAGAAGCGTAGCTAAGAAGGATTGGGTGGAAGACATCTTATTCCTTTCATAGATACCATGAACGAACATTTCTGCGCAATCGTCCCCGCCAGCGATGTGTCACGCAGACATTTTGCCCACTTATCACCACACTCAACAACAACACACCTGCTAAGCACACCAATACCGACAACGTGGTAAATATTGGCAGTACTATCCTTTTCAAATAATTTATTTCTATGTACAGCGCCCCCCAGAATTATCACTCTATCATATTCTGGTTTCTGCCGAGACCGCGAGTATAATATATCAATTCATAGTATTGCCTGCGTGATGGTTGAAAATGATTTGGAGCCTCCTATGATCATTGATCCCGCCATGGCATTCCTTTATTTTTTTTTATTTTTTTGGATGACAGCCTGGTGGCAGTTGGCGGCTGTCGGAAGGTCTGCGGAGGCGTTCGAGACGGATCGACCTTCTCGATCAGAATCGATCACCCCTCTGGAGGTCTAAGATCAGCGACATTCTCTTTCGGACGCGTAAAGAAGAAGACCTTTGCTATTGCCACAAGCCAATGCTCCATGTTCCCCAATGCCACTGGAAGAAGCGTCGGGATCTCTCGTTGGGACCTAAAGAACAGTCTCCGACCTAATCCAATGAGAGTACCTGCATCTGACACCCCTGCATATTCTAGTAGCTTGTCCTCCACTACAATTCCGGTTCGCAAAGTCCTTAAAGGCATCTCTTGGGTCCTAATGACAGTGTGGTGTTCCAGTTCTGTATCGCACAAAAGCACTGTTTGTGAATATGTTGCTCAATAAAGTTCAGCAAAACTAATCAAATAAGCTTACGGTAAAATACGACGCGTGCTGATTGCAGCGAAGTAAAAAGCAGGGGTGACTCGGACCTAGAGCCAGAGTCTGTGAACACTAGCTATATAAGAATATTGAATAGACGTTGAAGAACCACTGACAGGAACGATAAGAGCTCCAGACTCGAAGTACACTTACAAGGATATCTCTTGGATTGAGGTCTCAAGGGCCTTGTTCCTTCACGAAGCAGAAAGAAAGGGAGCAAATGCTATTTACAAGAATAGGGATGCGACGACACACTTAGGTTAGGGTTCAACTAGGTCAAAAGGGACCCTGCCTTGACTCATGTGCATAGTCCAACGGCCATCGAGGGGTACTGCTCTTGATCCTCCTCACTCGACCATTATGGGATCATGATCGTTACCTTGTTGACGCTTACTGGATTCGCAAGGCGGACAGGACCACCAGAGGAACGCTGGTGAAACAGTATGGCTCTTGGGGAGGGTGAAGGTAATCGAAGTGGTCTAGCAAGGACGCTTGGACGAGCTTGGGGTGCAGAAGTTCGAACGCAAATGTTCCATCTCTAATCTTATTGGCGATACTGGTGATGGCTAGCTGTGGCAGAGTATACAAAAACGGATGTGGTACAGGGTATGGGACTAGGATAAGAGAGCGGCATTTCGGATCTGGCTCCGTCTTCTGTTATTTATTTACATTCCCTATTGACATATTCTTAAGCTGACTTCCTGTTGCTACACTCTCCTTAGTTGCACGCGCAATATACGCCCGACATGCCCGTATGAAGGCCCTGTGCCTATTTCGCTCGTCGTACCATTTCAAATGATATGATTGGGCCCTCCACATGGATACCCTATTTGGGCCCCATCTGGGTCCACCACACCATACTGCCCATTCATGACTTGGCAAAAGTATGTGGGTGGAGCTGAAGAAACACATCATACCAATAGGTGCGTCGCAAAAATAAACGTCCGTGCACAGCACGACATGGTGTTTCCGCTGCTGAAAAAAAAAAATGTCTACACTTTTCTCCCAAACTTGCACCCGACATCTATATATCGAAATTGAAGGTGATTCTAGAAATAGCGGAATGACGAGGCTCCCACCGCTATTGGTCATAGTACCGGAATAGCTTTGTGAAAGGAAGATCGCATTGTCTGTATAAGGTCAATATTGGTGTGGAGGGCTACCTCCTTGGAGGAACATGGGGGAGTACCGCCTCAATGGTTGCCGCGGGGCATTGTTCTGTCCTTTTCATAGCCTGGAATCTCTCATTAATGACAGAAGAAATCCTTGGTGATAGACGTGGTGCCGCTAGAGTTAGTTGCGGCTTAAATCAGATGTCCTTTCTCTTGGTCCTCAATGGCAACTCTCCTGTTTATTTCTTTCAATTAGCACGGTGCCTTGTAATAGGTGTGCATCAATGGTATGCAACCTCTACCATAACTCTCCTTATTTTACTTACATAGAAACGAGACTGATAGTGCTATCTCGTGGGAAGGAAGCCATGGACTTGGGACTACAGGAGAACGATCACTGTATCCTATTCAACTCCTCTTGACGCGTGTCTCAACAATAAGAACAGCAGATTCCGCATTTTATCGATCGGATGATTCTGTGTCGCTTGTGTTAATGGTGCTGATGTTGGGGTTGCTTGGAGAGTTATCAAATGAGAATATCAATGTCTGGAGAAAAGACTACTGATGTTCCCCTTTCATTGCCCGTCGCTACGTTCCTCCTAAAACAAAACAAAAAAAGTGATACAATGCAAGTGAGATCTAAGGGCATAGACTACCAATAGGGTGCAGATCTGAAGATGAGATATAAAGCAGCCTGCAGGGACAATGGCTGTGTTATGTGTACAGTTGCACGAGAGATTAAGGAGAAGAGATGAGACAGCGGTCGAAGAAGGACAAGGAAGGAAAGGGATTGCTGCGAAGAAAGTGCCCTTTTTTTTTGGACTCCCAGGAGACTTTCCGTGCCCTGGTCTTATGTTGAAGGAGGACGAAGGAATGGAGTCGAAAGGTAGGGGCGAATGGTAGATGGCGGGTTCAAAGGCAGGAAAGGAGAGAAGGAGAGAAAAGAGGCCCGTGGGTTGCAATTTAGAGTTGTTTGTTTGAACATGAGAGAAGCACAGCGCGTTTTGGGGGAGCCAAACAAAAGGGGGGGAGGGGAAGGGGGGGGGAGAGGGGATCAAGGTTATTGGCCTGTCTCGGCTATCTAGGGGAAGGGGAAGGAGTCAGAAGAATAAGCGGAGCGGGGAGGGGCGGGGAACCGTACGCAGGATGCTATGTACACCATTGGAACCATTGAGCGTGTACGTTTGGCGTACCACATCTTGCTATTGGATGCGGGGCGTGGCTTTTCATTTTTCATTTGGACCCTGCTGCAAGGAAAGCATGGTGCGGTTCTTTGCCCCATCCCATCCTCCATTTCCAATTTTTTTTCCGCCTCCGCCTCTTTCTCCATCTCTCCTCCCCCCCCCATACATTCCTTGCTCATTCCTCGCTTTCATACCCACTCAATCGCAAGGGATCTCGTCCTTTCATAAACACCAGTAGCGGAAATAAACAAGTACACCGTATTGTACCATTGTAACACGTTGCCACCAAATCCGTAATTAAAAAAAAATGCACTCTGATCGACAACATCAACAGCGGCTTGGGGAGTCCTCAGCGCCTTCTGAAGGTAACAAGTACCACTCCCTATTTCCCTTCAATCCACCTTTCTTTTTTGCAACGATCATCAATTGCCCCTCCTTCTCTTTACATGTACGTATGCTTTCATGTTCAAGAGAACGGAGTCAAAAAAAAGTTAAAAAATAAGCAATAAGAATAAGAGGGAGGCAATGAATTGGATTGCCGTGTAGTATATGAGAGCATTCTTATTTCGATCTCGTATGATTTTTTTTATAAAGCAAAGCAATGAGATATACTCTTTGCACCGGTGCGGAATGTCTTGTTTTCTTTTTTTTTTTTTTTGCTTTTTTATCGTTGGGACCGATGGCACATGGGATAAGTCTCTGATCCGATTGAGAGCGGGAACAAAAGACTTTTGACTGAGTGCCTGAGCGGGTGAGTCTGGAAGGAATGAAAGGAAGGGGAGGGGAAACGTAAGGAAGCAAAAAGGACCAGCGGCTGAGCCTAAGGAATTCTTGTTTTGTACCTGGAAATCCTCACTTCAAATTGATCCGACACACCAGGCCGAGCAATTGCCGAAGACGGTTGATATTGCTTTCGTGCCGTATTGCCATGTAACGAACTTCCATGTGGAACCCTAATCAAGTCTTTTGAAAGAATGGATTGACCGATCGATGTCTATTCTCATTTCATTTCCATACAGCGATGGAGGTACCTGAACCTATTTGCTCTTTACACGTCGCTATGAAATAGCCCAACTAGAAAGAAACAAACCATTGTATGCACGCACTTTTGCACACAACACACACATGGCACCCGAACAAAAACAGAATCCCGGGTTTGGGGTATCTCTTCTGCTCCTTCACCATATTTTCTTGTGCTTCCTCATGCTTCGCCGTCGTTTTAATTGAAAGTCGGTCTTGTCTTCTTGTTCTCCCCTCCTCCCCTCCTCCCCCCATCGCGCTGCTTGCTTGTTTGTTTGTTTGCTTGTTTGTTTGTTGGGGGGTGAACTGGATGAAGGGTGACACGCCTTAAAATCCAATTGCTTCGCGTACTTCTTATTCTTCTTGTTCCTCTCTTGCAACCTCTCTTTTCTTGCTCACTCATTCCTCACTTCTTTCTTCCCTTCCTTCCATTTCATCTGTGTCCAGACAAGAAGCAGACATCGATTCAGCGCAGCTTCTCCTTGCTCAAGTCAAAGGCAAAGTCGTCGTTAGGAAACCATCCCTCAACCCCGACTGTAACCTCAACCTCGATCTCGACTTCTGTCGTGCCATCGCAACGGGCGCCTCATCGCACCGCTATGCCAACACAGACACCACCACTCTCCTCGCCCTCGCCCTCGCCCACACCTTCGCCCTCCCCCTCAACTCCGTCATCTTCCTCGGCCTCTCATGTCACTCAGTCAGCAATAACATCTCCTGAAGCTGCTTTCTCATCCCCTTTGACTCTGCTTCCTCACACGCGCGTTGCACCCATGACGACATCCTTGACATCAGCAGCTCAGCACACCCCATCTGCTGCTTTCTTAAACAGCGACAAACATCAACAGGATCGCCAGCCGTATGAATGTGACCCGTCTATGCAGGACGACAATGGCAAGCATCTGAACACGTCTACTAGTCTATCTCAAACGACTACACCAGTTATTCAACCGCCCGAGGCTAATCCAAAGAACGACGGTCATACGCCGCAGCAGGACCAGGCACAGTCATTATCTACCTCCAGGACCATCCCATCGACCTTTATCACACTTGCAGATGGCCAGGATATTGGTTCGGACGATGACGAACTTGAAGGTGTATCAGCAGCAGCAACCGGATCTACTCGTAGGCGTAATGTCACTACAGAAGCGGCGCCTTCGACTGGACCGTACCTGTCCACAGGCACCGTTGGCCAAAGATCACTTTCGACACCAAACCTCCACGCCGACAACAGCCTGATCATCTCGCCCGCTAACAGCCCGCCCGGCTCTCCCGGACTGCCAGCCATTGCCTCTGTCACGGACTCTAGCCTCCCTTTGGCCATGTCCTTGGACAGTGAATCAACTAGTTCTCCTGGGAGTCCCAGCATCATGCTCTCGCCAGCGGCTTCTCCAAACTCATCACCACGCCTCACTCCTCGAGCGTCAACGACATCTGTATCAGGAATAGCACTCTCGAGCTCTCGAACGATGAACACAGACCGCCAGGGTAGTAGACCGTCTTCCTCCAAAACAGCAAAGACGTCGACTGCTGTTCCGGATAGCGTAAAAACATTGAAGTCCTCCAAAAACAAGACCATCAATAGACACTCAGTCACATCACTATTCGACACCGGTGCATCGTCCATGACACTACCGACCAACTTTGCCAGGAAAGGATCGCTCACTCAGGACGCTGCAAACGCAGGCAACAATGCTGGACTCGCAGGACTGTTTGTCGCCCAATCGCAGGATCTGACCAGCACGCCTTTCAGTCTCACTTTGGCAGAATTCAGGCTGAATGATATCTATCCAAAGAGACAACGTCGACTCTTGACAGTACTGCACCGTATGGACAGCCGTCTACGAAAGGAGGGTGTCATCAAGAAGCTTACAAAGGAGCAGCTGAAAGGAAAGCCAGGTATGTTTTGCTTCGCCCATCGGACGAAATTTTGACAGTCAGAAAGAGGTATACCGACTTACACAACGTTTTTATTACATATAGATAAGGAGATTATGAAGCCAAACCGCAAGTCATTGAACAAGGAATATGCTAAGAAGGGAAGCCAAGGGGGATTCATGGCGCAGAGGGTACCCGCATTTCTCAGATCCAAGAAGCTGAAGAAGAGGACACGCCCAGGTACTGAAGCGTGTGCTAATCTGGAACTTATTTTGTTGCTCATTGTCAAATGTAACAGAAATCTAACCTACAAATGTAATGGTCTCTAGTCATTCTTCACAATATCGAAATGGCAATCCGCGATAAAAAGCCGGAGCTGGCACTCCAGTACATCAGCTTGCTTCCGTCCAACGCTCTCAAGAAGAAAAAGAAGAAATCTTACTCGGATCTGAACCACTGCATGCTTCTTGCTATGATCTACAGGATGGAGCAAGTGGCCATTGAACTCGTGGAGCGGGGATTCCCTATCGACGTCAACTACCCGATCATTGGAAAGGCGCGGGATGAATATCGCACCAAGCCAGGAAGAACCGGCCCTTTTGAATACCCAAGCTACTTTATTGTCGCCGTTGGTCTCGGCATGGCCGACCTCGTCCATGCCATGATCAAGGTATATTCTTGAACTCGACAATTTGGTGATCTTCATGGATACTATTATGGTCGCATGCTGACCAGTCTACTCCCTTCCTGTTTCGCTTTTTGGATGTCATCATAGAATGCGAATCTCAATCAATCGTGGTGCGGCCTCACGCCACTGCTGCTGGCAACGACGCTGAACGAGTGCACGAACGCGACATGCCCGCCGCCAACATTACCCCCTGCAAAGCTGGCCAGCATGCTATCTAGAGGCGAGAAGTTTCACTTGGATATGGCGTCCCAGACCCTCATCAACCAGCTCCCTTCGTCTTTCAACAAATCAACCAACACTCAGTTCCGCATCCCAGGATACACGCCTACGAGTCCCAACAGTATTGTCACCACATTGCTTGAATACGGTGCGGATCCCAACCAAGGTATCACGCTGCAGCAGTATCTCTGGGCCAACAAGTTAAAGGGTATGGGTGTTCTCTCTCGTCGGCGCAAGACTGTTGATTCCCAGAATGCTACCATCGACAACCCGATCGAATTTTACATTGCCGCTAGGAGACATGAGAGTGGGCGTCAATGGCTGAGTCACGAGGAGATTAAGGCCCGCAAGGCAGCCAAGACGCAGGCTGCTCAGCCTGGGGATGGCAAGAAGCGATTCTCGCCAGAGATGCAGGAATTTTGGAAGGGCAAATCGATTCTACCTGTGGAGCTGGCGATTGCCTCAGGAAATTTTGACTGTGCCAGGTCTATTCTTCAACGGTTGAATCAAAACTCTTTGACGACGTCTTCGTTCGGTCTGCTGCTCCAGAATGATGTCATGCTAACCTTGTCGCTGATCAAGTCTGGAAGCCCAGTGTCGCAACATGACTTGCATGGGTGCACACCCTTGCATTTGGCGGCCCGAAGAGGCCACCTGGAGATGGTAATGGTTCTGGTCCAGCTCGGCGGCGACGTCAACAGTCGGGGAGAGCGACAGTGGACACCTCTGCACGAGTCGATCAGTCAGAATCACAGCAGCATTTCATCTCTCCTTATTGCATGCGGAGCGGATCTGCAGGCCAAAAACGATGCTGGCGAGACGCCAGAAGATGTTGGCCGGAGACGTGGATTGGCTCCAGAGATCCTCTCTGAACATTTAGGTAAAAGCTGCACCACTGTCCTATTTGAAAATATCTATTTTGGTATAACTTTGAGCTGTTTACCAATATGTTCTTATGTTACATTGCGTCTTAGATGTGGCAAAAGCAAAGAACCGTAGCGCAGGTATTGTCAACTCGTTTGCGAGTCATCTTTCCAGCCATGTATCGGCAGCGGTAGAGACCCGGTCAGGAGCATCTTCTCGCAGAGGAAGCTTTGAGCAACTGACGTCGAACACATTACAGTCGATGATCATGGGGAGCTCAGAGAGGAACGCTAGTCTGGACCAGTCCCGTCTTTCTCAGCACTATACTTCGCCTCTTGCGGATATCAGTAATGGTGTCAGCAACAACAACAACAACAGCAACAACAACAACAGCAGCAGCAGCAGCAGTGGGTTTAAGTCACCGCTGTCAAGGTCTGAGGACTCTTTGCACCAGACGAACGGCAGTGGCAGCGGACCAAATACGCCGCTGACGCCAACCTCGAGCACGTCGAGTCTGAACGGCAGTCGAGGCAGCCATAGCGAGAAGAAGAAGAAAGTGCGGGGGTTTCTTAAGAAGATCTTTAACTAGACAAAACAGATTATTACCTATAGAATCAAATCGTATGAACTACAGGTCCTTTGGCCCTTTTTTTTTTTTTTCAAGACTAATATAGAGATTGCTGGCATGTCGCACGTGATATTCTGGGAGGAGGTGTAAACAGATCTTTTGTTCCTGGCTCCTCCTTCCTGGTGAGATTTGATTCCCTTCCGCTCCTCTTCACATCACATCACTGCACATCATTTCATAACGCACAACGATGTCGCTGTTTGTCTCTTTGACCCGGTCCGTGGCCCCTCGCTTGAGCGCGACGCCTTTGATGTCCCGTCCAGCAGCGATGACCGTCTTGGCTCGTTACCAGAACCAGATCCAGGTGCAGTCGAATGCGGCTTCAGCTTCGGCTTCGGCTTTGCCCTCGTCGGGGTTCGGTGCGACCCGTGGGATGAAGGTCAGGGCTTCGGTCAAGAAGATCTGTGAGGGCTGCTCCTCGGTCAAGCGCCGAGGCCGTGTGTTTATTATCTGCAGCAAGAACCAGAAGCACAAGCAGAGACAGGGTTAAATACTGGAGCTCAATGAATGGTAGCGGAACGGGGTGGTGAGAAAATGGGAATGATGTCCCTCCCTCTTCCTCCAGAGTCGAGTTCTAATGAGTTCCCATCCGTTTTATATATATATATATATATGACAATAGATATTTCAGTCCAACAGCGATTTTTTCCGAGCAGAGACAGGAGTTACAGGAACGATGTGGGATAAAACACTGTACCAAATGGATTCGCTTAAGGACACAACCATGCGCCTGGGCAACCTTACCTGGGGCTTTAGTTCCACAATGTTCGCCCAAACAACCTCATGTACTTTTAATTATATTGCGCTCGTCATTTTTTTTTATTTTTTTATTCAACATCGCCAGACGTCAATAAAGACACAGCTTGGACCAGATCTCAGTTTGGCGGCTTATGGAACATATTGGAGTGCCCTTTAACTGGATAGCATATGGCGAGGAGATATATGGACTGCACGGAGGAGACATTCAATACGGTACATGAGGATCGATATATGACAGGCAGTAACATGTCCTCTGTCTAAGGGGCGTCCACCGTTCTGGATACGACGTCGATACGGCCAAGGAATGACGGGATGCGTGTGATGACTATGTATTATGATGATGATGAGGGCTGAGGCAAAGCATAGGAGCGCAGAGGAGTCACCGTGGCATTGTGGCACTGCGGATGCAAAAAGATATATGTTATGGATCAGCAAAGAACGCTACAGGAGGAGAAGGGACCATCAGTGCGCTGATTAATGGATGATGAGAAGTCTGCCCTTCATGACGGGCACCTGGCTGTCCCCGCGTTTGCCGGCCCGCTTTCTTTTTCTTCTCTCTCTCTCTCTCTCTCTTTTTTTTCTTTTTTTTGTTATTTCTCTCCCTTTTTCTTCTTCTTCCATACCTTTGCCCCATCCGTCAAAGTGGCTCTTTTGGTTCCCACTCTTTTCTACGACTACCGCATTTTCCCTGTACGTTTTTCCGTGCTGCCTTTCTTTCATCACACGAACAAGAAAGCGCGCATTCCATCAATAAACCCAAACCAAATAAATAAATAAAAAATACCGATGTCTTCTTCAACCGCGCACGATATTCGAGAGATGACCGGAGAGGCCTCGCATCGGGTGACGGAGACGACAAAGGCGGCGCTGACGACGGTCCAGAGTTCGGGCTTTGTGCAGCGGTACATCATGCCAAGCTACCAGTGGTCGAGACAGAAGTATGAGCAGTCGCCGATGCTGGTCCGACTCATGATCTTGGGCTTCATAGCGATGAGCGCTATCCCGATCGGGTGCTTCATGGGCTTCATGGCCCTGGTTACTCTGGGCTGTTTGATCGTCGGAGGGATCGCGTTTTTGATCGTGGAGGTAAGAAGAAAAAAAATGGTGATGAGATATATATAGTGTGCATATCTTAATGTAATATATGGTTTTTTATATGTATATTTTCTTTCGTTCTTTCCACGGCGATATTGATCTATCCTCATCTCGCGTTTTGAATAGCACGGACTCAAAATACTAATCATGAATCCCTTTTCTTTTTTTTTTTTTTTTTTTTGGGTAGGGTGGATTCACGATGTTCGCATCCGCTTTCCTAATGCCAGCCCTGGGTGTCTCCTTCTTGGTCGCGGGCGGAATCGGTCTGGTGGCCATGGCGGCCTATACCGGCTACTTGGTGGTCTGCTTCGTCGTCGGAGTCTTCCGTGGCCCAGTTCAGAGAGGACAGCTCGAGCGTGGGACCGAACACTTGACGGATCGCGCCCGAGAAAAGGCCTCGGAATTGGCGCATGGGAAGTAAGAAGGGTGCAATTTTTTTTTTTTTTTTGCTTTTTTGCTTTTGGTCTTGGGAAAGCTTTTTGCTTTTATCAAAAAGTCGTTACACTTTTTTTTCTATACTTGATTTGGATGGGACGGTCCTGGCATTCATTGCCAATGGATAGCTTTTTCTCACCTCGTTCATAACTTTGCTGCCTGTAAAATGGCTTTTTTTCAATAAATCATTTGCGGTATCAATAAATCTGGGTGCCTTGGCAATATATGCAACGTACCATTGAGGCCCGATCGCTACCGGATGATAATGGATAGGATCCAAACCAGCTAGACTATCTGTCATTATTTGTATATATGGATATGTTTGTATAGAACTGTGTATGGATGGAGGGGTATTCTACAAAAAGGAAGGGCGGAGGGGGGAATCAATCCTTGGACTCGGCATGCTTGAGCAGATCTGGCGAGCTTCCGCCTGCCTTCCAAAAGTGCAACAACTCCTTGTACGAGGATGGTCGTCGAATGCCCTTGGTGGGTGATGTTCTTGTGCTAGTCGAGACATGTCCTGCAGATCTGGGTCCGATCAAACCGACGGATGTCGGGAATGAGCTATGGGAGGTTAGTGTGCGATCACCGGTTCCGGTTCCGGGAACAGATGATGTTCTCAAGGAATCTTGCGAGGCTAGCTGTTCTGTCCTTGAGGCTGTAGGCATAGGGCCTGCAGAGTGGGGGCCAGGCCGTGGTGGAGGTGTGCCGTAAAAGTTCATGGAAGCAGAGGTCTGGATCCTTGCTGGACGTACCGTATTGTTGCGATAGGTTGAGGAAACAGAGCTGTCGGACGCGGCAGGTAAGGATGAGGTACTGCGGTTGCTCCTAAAGATGGCTTTGGTGGCTGTGAGTGGCGGTGTCGCTTTCTCTACCCTGTCCGGCACCGGACTCTCTGGGGACTCATTACGATCTATAGAGATATTAGAGATATTATAAAACGCGAGACGCGTTGTAGACAGAAATGGTTAGTTATTGCACCAATCCATGGGACCAATATGCGATCTCGATCAAACACATACTCGATAAAGCCGGCTGCTGCAGCTGCTGCAGTTGCGGTTCTGATGCAGCCTTTTGCTCCAGCATTCGATGCGTGTTTTCCGGATGTGAGCGCTTCGAGGCAAGGACGGTCTCCAAGGCTCCGAGACGACCTTCCATCTTATCGAAGCACCGCTCAAGACGAACAGAAGTCTGTTCCATGGCACGGACACGCTCCTGGATCCTGTTCTCGATATCGCTCAACAGTTTCGCGTGCATCTCAGCCTCGATCCGGTCGACTCTTCTTCCGAGACGCTGGTCAACCTCGTCCACGGTCTCGAACAGCATCAGCTTTGCTTCCTTCATTTGGGTCATCAAATCCGTGAGAAGCCCATCGTTGAGTTCGTGGTAACGCATACCGAAGGCCTGAAGTTCCTGACGCAATTCCATGACAGTTGCCTTGTCCACAAGTGCGGTCGCGTTTCTGCGGTCATCCATATCCTCAAGATCGCTGTCGTCGTTGCCCATAGGGGGTCGATACCGCTGAAGTTCGTTCATCGTGTCTCCTGACAATTGTTGCTCACTGCCCTGCTGGATTTCAACCTCGCTTATTGTCTGGGCCATGTTGTTCTGTCCTTCGTGCAGTTCTTGAACCTATATCAATGCATCACCGAACGATGGCGAAGTTTAAGTTTCCAGGCACCGTCGCTTAAAAAAAAAAAACCAACCACATAACCATAATGCAGATTAGCTAGTTTGACCGTACCTTGGATTCGATATCATCCAGCTTGTAGGAGACCATGTACTCCATCTGGTTGACACGGTCGTCCAGTTCCTCGACGATCTGTGAGGCATTGGAGAGCATATCCTTCCTTAGGGCTGCAGAGCCGCGTGAATGGTATGACAAAGTCTCCAGCGAGTCCAGATCCTGTTCCGGGTCCGGATGCATCATTGAGAGGGATCCCGTTTGCTCCTCCAATCGCTGTACACGGTCAGAAAGTTGCAGCTCCACCTGCTGCACTGCTTCTTGGATGCGCCGGTCGAGAACTGTCTTCACCTCACCGTAGAGGTCTTCGACCGAGGGCTGGGTATCATTATCTGCATTGTTCCTTTGACCTGCAGAGCTCGCGTTACGTTCCTGAACTGGTTGTATCACATGTGGTCCGAGTCGCGAGGTATCACGATCGGCCTGTGCGACCTGGCTTGGTCCCCTAGAGTGACCCAACAGATCTTCGTCCACCTCGTGAATGGCATCCAAAAACAGGGGTCTGAGAGAAACAGTAATATCCTGGATTTCGGATTCGTCGACCTTGGTAAGGAGTTTTGCTGGGACGGGCCGATCATAGAGCTGGTATCGCTTTACGTTATCTCCGACGTGGTCGAGTCCTTGTTGACGGTCCTGATCGAGGCCGTGTGAAGCTATGGTACATAAAACGTTTTTTTTTGTTTTGTTTCTTTGTGAATAACAACATCTGCAGGATGCATGCGGCCACATGGACAAGGCTGTATTTTTTTTTTTTTTTTTTGGGCTTTTGTCATAGTTACCTACCTGACTGTGGAGAGAGATAGGAGAGGTCCTCTTGCTCCTCGTCCTTTGACCTCTGGAAATCCGCTCGGTCTCGAGGATGATGTTCATAGGAGTCAGACCGGTTTAGTCGTGAGTTCACATGGAGGGTACCGTCCAAGAACGAGGGCGACGCGGTGATATGGCGACGTTGTTCTTTATGATGAGGATTGCTGGGAGGATAACTATCTTCGCCATGGATATCTTCCTCCCCCGAATCATCACTTTCGTCGTAGTAGACATGTTCGTTTTGGATCGGCAAAAGCCGTAATACCGGCGCTGGGTTCCCAGTACCCACAGCTCCGGTGTTTGTGCCGCCACCTATTGTAGCACTCGAGCCGAGGGTAAGAGACATCCGGCGGGGAAGGGAGAGCCTGGAGCTGTTGGCAAAGGTGTTGCCGCGCGAGAGGTTATGGTCACGATGGAGGAGGAGGTTTGGAGTGGACATGGAGAGAGAGTTTTGTCGCTTGATCTGCGGGTGGGTCTCATTGTAGTGCCGCCTATGGTAGGGCTCCTCTATGCTTTGGTTCTGGCCCATGGTTCTGGCTGTGGAAGTAGTAGCTGCTGATGCGAGGAATGTTGGTTGTTAGGCAAAGGAAATAAAGCAGGACGAGGAGGGGTCGGCCGGGCGAGAGCAAAGAAGGAAGAGGAGGAAGAGGTGTGAAGAGGGATAGGTTGAAATAGGAAACAAAAAAAGTAAGCAAGGACAGAACGACAGCACGCCTCCTTCTTCTCGCTGAGGACCAGTTAGTGTAAGAAGGAAGGTCTGTACAGGGCAGTGGAGGGTTCCTTCAGGCACGGAAAAAAAGGGGGGCACGATAGCAACCATGGGAAGGAGGTCTTTTGACCAGCGATGTATTACCTCACTCTTTTGCAGGATACCCCTTTTTGTATCCATCCAGGTCCATAAGATGACATGTTGACGACAGGGAGCTTGGGTAACTGGGGGCGACAGGGGGAGGGGGGCCGAGGAGGATCGTATTGGGCGTACATGGAAGGTACCGATGCAGTCTAGTACAGTCCACGTAGAAAGTGAACCAGTGAGAAGAGGGCAGTGGCGAGGAAGGGGTGTATGTAGTCTACATTGCGCTGATTGGGCAAGGGCCTAGGGGAATTGTCTGCGCACGGAGCAACAGGGACGCGACGATCCAATCAGGAGCCAAGCGAGCATAAACTGAAACGGACACCAGAGGAGGACCGTCGAACATGAGTCCTTTTTTTTTTTTGGTATCTGTCTGCAGTCTATCTGTCATTCTAGTCTATCTATCATTCTATCTGTCAGTCCAGCTGCAGTCCATGTCTGGTCTGTATGCAGCAGGATACGCTTGCATGCATGCTTGCTTGTTTAATTGTATGGAAGGAAGGTATGGAGCGTGGCACCTTATATCCAAGCGTGGTGGGCAATAAAGGAAATGGATTATTCAGCGAGCTGTTAAGGGGAACATGAGACGGGGCATGTATATATACCAAGTACGAGTGCGAGTTACGAGTACGAGTTACGGGCACGGATACGAGTTGCGTGTCAATGAGGGAGAATGGGGGTGAGGATGCACATGTCTTTATCCAGACTGCGGCAGGGTGCCTGGGGAAGGCAGTATATAAATGTAAAAGTATATATTTAAATATGTGTGTGTAGCAGGAGATAGCGAGGCGAGGCGGTGGGCGGCATGGATGGATGGATGGGATGGGGCATGGCTGGGCGTGTGTCTGCGCAGTGCAGCGTCATATCGACCTTGTCTGGTTGAGAGTCTACTTCTGAGTGAGTGAATGGGGTGAGTGGGGGAGTATGTCCAACTGGCCTCCTCCCCTGGGCCGTCCTCCGATCGCTGTTATCTCCTTTCCGTCTTTATTTCCTTCGTATCCTTTGCTTCCTTTGTATCTTCCTTCCCTTGTATCTTCCTTCCTTCCTTCCCTTTCTCCACTGCCCACTGCCCACTGCCCCACTGTACAACAGCAAGCTGCATCCCCTCTGTATAACAAACACCAGTCATCCCATCCCATCCCATCCCTTCCCTTCCTTTCCCTTCCCTTGTATCCCACCTGTACTTATCCCATCTTCCTCCCCTCCACACTGATCATCCCAATGTCTCTCCAGCAGCACACCGACATGTACCCGCTCTCCCTCTCCGACACCGACTGGGCCCAGATCCTCAACAACAACAGGGACGCACAGGATCTGCTCTCCACCGCCATCGCCCACCACGACCAGTACCGCGAGGACGACCCCATCAAGCGCAAAGGCATCATCTCCCAGCTCCACAACAAGGCACCCAACAACCCCTCCCAGAGTAAGCACCCAACCAACCAACCAACCTGCCTACCGCCGTCCTATGGAATCCATATGATCCATATACATACATATATATCATACAAATATATATCTAACCATAACCTCTCGTCCTCCCACAGGCGACCTTAATGAAAGGAGCCTTGCGGATTCACAGCAGAACCACTCCGAGAATGACCACAGTTCTGGTGAGTCCCCTACCTCTGCCCTTCACTGCTGTTAAATGGCTTGGAGATATCTGCTGTGGAAAACAATGGTGTCAGCATAGGTGTTGATTCCCCTTTCCTTGCCATCCCTTTCTTTTACCTTCTGTCCGTGCCAGACGAAGGCCACTCGCCTGGCGAAGGAAAACCTGCCCCCAAGAAGGCTGGTCGCAAGCCCTTAACAACCGAGCCGACCAACAAACGAAAGGTACGTTTTACCCTTTACTCCAGTGCGTGCTAGTACTTCCTCCATTATAATCTGCTCACACAGCTGATATCCTCTATATCCCTCCCTAGGCGCAAAATAGGGCAGCACAGCGTGCGTTCCGTGACAGGAAGGAGCGGTATGTCAAGTCGCTGGAGGAACGCATAAAGGAGCTTGAAGAACTTAACCCTACCAAGACAGATTCAAAGCTTGCAGAGGAGAACATGAGCCTCAAAGTCCTCGTCCAAAAGCTCGAGACCGAAAACTACTTCCTCAAGGAGCAGGCCTTCACCTTCGACTTCCCCATCAGTCAGCCTGGTCTCTACGATGTCTCAAAAATAAGCCGCGATGGTCTCTTGAACTCCACTCACAACCAAGTCAACCCTAGCCCGGACCACTCCTCTTCAAGTCCGGCTTCACAGTCCATCGATACCGTCAGCAGCAAGAGCAGCGCCTCCCCAGCATCTGCTTCAACCAAACCCTTCCCGGGCAGTGTGGCTAAACCGCCCACATACGACCAACTGCCATGGTCACCCCCGTCGTCAGTCGGGGACAGTGTTCCTAACTCACCCCTGAATAGCGACCCTACGACACCAGAGCAGGAGAGTATTCATCAGCCCACATATACCGACAATGCAGGAGTCGTGCCCTCAAGGTTCCGTAACAGCTCGCCCGAGGAGATCGCGCTCTTTTCGTCCATCCTCGACGGGACCGGGAACACTGCCTCTGTCCTCCCCAGCACAAACCCTCAGCTGCAGCAGTCTACCCAAACCAAGGACGCCTTTGGTGCCTTTAACGCCACTGGCCAGCTGGGTCAATTCACTCAATCGGGCACACTGAGCGCAAGCAACGCCAGCCCAGCAAGCACATTAGCCGGTCTCTCGGAGCATAGTCCCTCGCCAACACTGGAGGATCTCGTCAACACTCCATTGTTCGGAGTGGCCGGGAACGTGCCGTTCACGCCCACGACAGCTAATATGTCGGTTCCTCCGCTGACGTTCGAGCAGACACAGGCCCTCTTCACCGACTTCCGCGATCCCTCGGACCCACGCGACTTCTATACCAACTTTGAGGACCCAATCGAGACTGCGTTTCCAGAGGACCCGATCGGTGGACTGTTCAACGACCAATTGCTCGACTACACCAGCATGTTCGCCAACGTTGCTACGACGCCCGCAAGGGAGGAGAGCCAAAAACTTTCCGACAAGTCGCAGACGTCAGCTGAGAAGCACATGCTACCCGCGCTTGAGGAGAATGAGAAGGCGATCCCTTGTCCGCAAGCTTGGGAGCACATTGCGAAGCATCCCAACTTTGATGATGCGGACATTGACGATCTGTGTATAGAGATGAAGTCGAAGGCCAAGTGCTCAGGGCATGGTCCTGTCATTCCAGTTTCGGAGGTCAACAAGCTGATGAACAGGCTGAATCAGGAGTAGAGGCGACAAAAAAGAAAAAAAGAAAAAAAAAGAAAAAAGGGTTAGCAGAAGACAAAAAAAAAGTCCGTTGCCCAGTAGCAGCAGATCTCTTTGTGCTCCAGTCTCGATTTCCTCAATTCATTTGTTTATCATTGTAGTTTTGCATTTGTTTTTCTTTCTTTATGGCATTCGAGCGCGTATGAAGGAGAGCAGGGCGGATATGGAGCCGATTCTTTTGGCTTTTTTGTTCCCCTTACGTTCTCTTCTTCACTCCTCCTGTAATCTCTCCCATTTTTCAAGTGTATTTCATATCTTACCAGTGTCTGCCAAATGTTCCTGGTTGCGCGCTGTGTACTCGTATTTTTACATTCCTATTGTATTTTCTCTGCTGGATAAAAAATATATATAAACATCTATATGTATTTTTATACACATCTGCTTCGGTTACTGGTTCAATACATGGTAGTGGTTCCAGATCGCTTGCAAGAAACAGCCTTGTTAGATTATGTGTTGTCAACGGTGACATTTTAGTTCCTAGTTCGTTCCTGGCAAAAAAGGGCCGGGTTGAATGTGGAGAAGCGAATCGAGTCGATCGATTGGAGAAGCACAAGAAAAAGGTTTTCTCATGGTTCGGCCCTGCACAACAAAAATCATCCGTGGCACGAAGCGGCGCAAAGGAGGACGAAGCGTGGGTAAAGAAAGAGGGGGAAAAAAAAGCTGCTTGTTGTTGGGTTGTTGCTGTTGTTGTTGTTCATCTCTGTTCCTCATCAGCAATCGTTTTCTTCCTCTTCTCTCCACTCTTTATTTTTCCCCACCCCACACTATGGCAACTCAGCTACCTCAGGAACAGGAACACGGCGCAGTCAGAAGCGGACAAATCTGGACGCCTGGCGAGGAACTTGCGGCAAAGTTGGTGTTTGGCGGTCTTGGGTGTATGATCGCGGTGGTGTTCACACACCCTGTGGATGTGATCAAAACACGGCTGCAGTTACAGGGTGAAGCCCAGGTTCAGATCCCTCATGCCCAAGTGCCGTTATCATCATCATCGCCAGGAGCCGCTTTATCAGGAGCAGGACGGATAAAAGGAATGTCGATGACATCGACATCGGTCCATTCTGCATTGTTGTCGTCTAGCTCGGGGTCTCACCTGGCGTTCTCGCCCACGGTTCCGGTTTCGAATACGATCCATCATCGTGATGCTGGGCTGCTTGTGCATGAGACCATGAAACCAGCAATGGCGACAACAGCGACAGCAGCGACAACAACGACATCGACAGCAGCAGCGGGGATGACCCCGTCAAGAACGCTGAAGCTGTTCCCGTTGCTGAGAGAGATCCAGCGGTCGGAGGGACCGCGGGTGTTCATGTCAGGACTGGGAGCGGCGGTGCTGAGGGAGAGTATCTATTCCACGATCCGGTTCGGGAGTTACGACCTGTTCAAGGGCATTTACAGTGGGATGGGTAGTGGAATGCGCGGGGGTGAGGAGACGACGACGGTCGTGAAATTGCTCTCTGGATTGACGAGCGGGATGATTGGGAGTGTTATTGCCAACCCTACAGATCTCATCAAAGGTCAGTCAGGAATGCAGTGTTTTTTTTTTTTTTTTTGTTTTTTTGTGTGTATGTGTGTACTCACTCTGCATCATGAATCATTCTTTCGTTAACTCGGCCTTTTATTTTTTTTTGGGTTCTCGATTCCACCTACATCCACACCATATAGTTCGGTTGCAGGCATACTGGCCCAGCGGCAAAGCGCGATACGCCTCCATTGCGGACGCATGCAAGTCCATCTACGTGGAGGAAGGTCTACCGGGACTGTATCGAGGTGTGGTGCCGACGGCCGCACGGGCGATGGTCGTTACGGCCTCGCAATTGGCCTCGTACGACACGACGAAGCATTGGCTCCTGAGGTTGAGGGACCGAAATGGCGAGGCTCCTTTCCGGGAGGGTTACTTGACACATTTCTGTGCCAGCGTTGTTGCAGGTAAGGAAGAGGGGCATCTTATTCGGATACGCAAAAAAGGAACTTGCTGTTTGTTCTTTTTCTTGTTCTTTGTTGTTGTTGCTATGGGATGTTGACTTGGATTCTACCACCTCCAAAAAAAAAAAAAAAAAAAAAAAAAAACTAGGACTTGTGTGCTCGATCTCGACATCCCCGATCGACACGGTGAAGGTGCGATATATGAACCAGCATTTCAGTGCGAGTGGACAGGGGGCGCTCTACAAGTCTGCACTGGACTGTGCGATCAAGACGGTTCAACGCGAGGGACCCTTGGCCCTGTATAAGGGCTTCTTGATGTGCTGGCTTCGTCTGGGCCCGCATACGATGCTCTCGTTGATGATCTTTGAGAAGCTCAGGAGCTTTGTTGGCTTGAATCCGGTTTAGACTAGCTGGCTGCCTGGTGGAACGTGCAATCAAATAAAAATAAAATAAAAATAAAAGTAAAAGTTCGTATGCTTCCTTGTGCGTGCGCTCGTGTCGAAAGGAGTGGTGGGGGGAGGGATGCTTAAATACCTTATAGAATCGTGAACTCATCCATCAATGGAGAGGTTCGTTCGAACCAAGGTCATCTGCTGCCTTTTGGCTTTATGAGATTTTGCTTGTATCTACCGCAGCGGAAGGCCATGGGGTCTGGTTAAGATTACGCCCGGGTCGGGGATCTTTAGAAGTACACCATTGGCGAAGATGTATTACTGGAAAGAGTGAACGGTGGTCCAATGAGATCTTTTTTTGAAGGATCATTGTTTGAAGGATCTTATTAGGTCGCATGATAACCATTTCTGTGTTGACGGAATTGCAATGAGTGTCAAGGGCTCTTCGTATCATTTACACAGGGCCTCTAAACTCAACACATCCTGATTAGCGCGCATTTCGATCATAACCTCAATGACATAGCTTTATTAAAGCCATAAATAATTTGATCCGCAACCCTCAGTTAATAGTGTTGGGAACTGGAAGATCTTGGAATTTAGATGTATGGGATGTATTGACTTGAATCGCTAAGAATAAAAATAAAGAAATCCGGCATTGTTTCATGAAATATGTAATGGGCATGGATAACGGCCCTTGGGACGACAGCGTGTCCTCACTTTCTGTGCTACAAAAACAAATCTCAAAAAACTCTTCAAGGGAGACAAATTATCTTGGCTAGCGCTACTCCCACTTTCAGATGAAGAATTTCGTTTGCGCCAGAAGGGTTTTACCATCTCCGTATTCACCAAAGTTTTCTGTGGTATCTCTCAGGCCTCGCGTATTCGCTGGAGACCTTGTCTTGGAGCGCGCGAAATGCTTGTAGGCGAAGTAGCCTACGGATCACTTCTAAACGCCCGAGACGCGCCATGGTCCACCGACAAAATTGGTGCTCAGATTTCAATTCTACATGCCCTCGCTTGCGCCGGCAAGTCACCCCAAGCAGCTATTGTAGACACCGTTAACAACTGGATTGTCATTGTTATAACCTGATGAACGAGTTTTTATGGTCCGAGTAGATACGATCGCAGCCAAGCGTATGAGGAAAAGATCAAAGACGCTGATGGGGTGTTTATACTGAGCACGGTCTAGAATCCTTCCTACTATAGATTAGGTATCGCGGGGTAACAATACTCGCCTTTATAAGGAAGCATTTCTGATCAACACAGTTTTTTCCCTGGCGTCAAATAGGGCTCTGCTGCAGCGGGAATGCCAATATTGAGAAAACACCAACTTATCAATCATTTCCCTGGCTCGTGCGTTGCGCATGGACGATTGAAAAAAGGAGCTGTTCAGTAGAAATTTTGTCGTCTAGAGCCCGTAAGGATGAAGGACTATGCTTCCAGGTTTATCATGCAATAACTAGGTGTTGCACTCTGAAACATGATGGGCTAGCATTAACCACGGTAAGAATAGAGAAACGATAGTCACGGATGATGAATCTATTCGACGATAACCAGAAGGTCCAGCGAGACTGAAATTGCGTTTGTGGTCCGATGTTCAAGAATTCCCCCTGCCTGAAGTGGCCATATTGATAGCCTTTAGCAGGTCTGGTGCATTAATGATAGGCAGGATGAAACCAACACTTGGAGCGCCCTACGAATATAACTTGAGGTACGCAACGAGTATCATTGGAGATAAAATAGGGTGCTATAATATCGGCAGGAGGATGCAGCTCTTCATTACACTGCGCATGATGAGCGCGAAGTAGAAAGTAGCGAGCAAAGATCATAACTACAATTAAACGGCCTATTTGTGAACCCAAACCAGTAGAAAAAAAGGCTTTTGTTAGGGGACTGATAGTATGCCTGCCAGGCCCACTATCAGAGTCTGCTGTCAACATGGAGCTCCAGTTCAGCAAATCGTCGATCGATATTGTTATGTTCTCGATAGATATCTGTCAACTGGAATAGCCTGTACAGATATAGTCAGCACGTTCATGCTGCACTGTGCGTCACGATGTGAGGATTGGCAGAGTGATTTCTGGATAGCCCATATATCAGCTTGCTGTACAAGAACGTCCCTGCCTAGATGGCTTCCCGAACTCATATTTTAACTCTAATGGCGATGCGACCCTGTTGTATTTGGAGCTTTGACAGGAAGAGGCGGACAAAATTGATATCGAGCACAAGGCCTTTGCTATCCGAAATATGAAGCAAGGTGAATGTAAGCCCCTGAGAAGCTGCTTTATTCAATAAAGCGCATCAAGAGAACCAGAGTACAAGAAGCAATGAATGAACGGATGAGGAGGGGCAGCTATAGGAATATACAATTACTCCCTCTTTTTTTATCTAGTACCAGGACCTTACAGTCGTATTGGAATATGTCCGATTTTCGTATTACCCTGTCGATATCTGTGCAAGAGAATTGAACCTCCTATGGAGTTGTCTTGACGAAAGAAGAACGCTCGAACAAGCATCTAGTAAGAGGTCTGCATGCAGAGGTACTGCGTCTGCATCTGCATTTTCCAGGCATAGCCACCTCGACAGGTTTACATTGAGCGAGGATTCAAAGAATCCATTGCCTTACAACGGCGTTCTCGTCCGGAGTGTGCAGTGCCACAAGTTTAACTCATGTAAAGTTCAGCATACCGATCGCGTTCCTGTGGAGTGCTAGGCAGCATGCCATGCGTAGATTGATATTGAAGACACATGAGCCCTTTCAAATGACGGACAGGGGTACCGGTGTGATGGATTAATCTGGCGCTAGCGTTGTCTATGTCGCCTTGAACTACGATAAATCCAAACACAAAATGAGATATAAATACACGTCGCCGCCGTTTTCACGGGTATCTTGAGCGGTAGACTTGTAGGTGGGGTGAAAACGTGGTGTACGAGATTGAGCGCGTGTTGTTCGTTGGATCTGAGGTAAGGACTGCAAATGACCGGTGCAGAAAGGGCTCTTCAGGACAACACGCGCAGTGTCTTCTTTTTACCAGAGATGCTCAACTCTGCGATCGCAAGCTGACGTTTGACCTTTCACTCGTCTTGCACGCGAGTTGTTGACAGCAAAGTATATACACATCGGCGAAGAGATCCATATGTATTATTCAATCAGCTTCATTTCAAACCCAATTGTGTTGTGTGATGAAATAAGCTCTTGAGTCGTGCAGTATTTTTTTCAATCCAGGTACCAACCGATTGCCCTTTGCCCAGGGGCACTCACCACCCACCACAGCTTTCTCATCATCCCTCATCATCATCCCTCATTATCATCCCTCATCATCATCATCATCCTTCACCTTTTCATCCCTCTTTCTCTTTTTCATCATCCTTTTGCCCCTGCAGCAGTACCCCCCCTCATCTCAGATCCCTCTCCCTGATATACATCCTCTCCTTGCCCTCGCATCTATCTCTCCCACACACTCCTTCTCACTCTCTCGTTCCCATTTCAGACCTCACCCCACACCGCCTGATTACAACAACAAAAAAAGAAACAGCTCCCCCTCTGAGCCATGCGTGGACACTCCTCCAAGGAGTATTCCGACATGAACATCCCGCTGACCTCGGCCGAGGACCAGTATGTCTTCGATATGAGCAGCCAAAACAACAGCAACGCCAGTCTGCACTCACGCTACCCGCCCGACTCGCCTGGTATCAACCCCACCCCATCCTCCGCTGCAGACAAGCACAGGGTCCACAAGCCGCCCTCAGCCTTCAGGTCCTTCATCGCTAACTTCACGGGAGGATCATCCGCCAACCAGGAAGGCATTCGTGTTATCTATCTCAACAATCCCGAGCGCAACAGCCAGTCAAAGTATCTGCACAATCGTATTTCCACATCAAAGTATAACTATTTGACCTTCCTGCCAAAGTTTCTCTATGAGCAATTTTCGAAATACGCCAACGTCTTTTTCCTTTTTACCGCATGCATCCAGGTAAGGAGGCTTTCCTCGCGAAAGAAACTGCCTGCCATGCTCATGGATGACAATGAGATTCTAACCAGGCTCTTCTATTCAAAAGCAAATCGAGGGTGTGTCACCCACTTCACGATACACAACAGCTGTGCCACTGGTGCTCGTCTTGTTTGCAACGGCTGTCAAGGAGGTCATGGAGGACTATAAGCGCCATGCATCCGACAGTGAAACAAACGCTCGCCTCTCCAAGGTGTTGCAGGGAAACACATTTGTGTCCAGGGCATGGCATTCAATCAGGGTCGGTGATATTATTCGAGTCGAGGGAGGCGAGCCCTTTCCTGCAGATCTGGTGCTGCTGAGCTCATCCGAGCCAGAGGGCATGTGCTACATCGAAACTAGCAACTTGGACGGGTAAGGAACATGCGAACTTGAAGGCCAACTTTAGAAATTTATTTTGGCGGCAATGGATATCGATAGTATCGGCGATATTAACACTTCTTTATTGGTATGGACACTTAGAGAGACGAACTTGAAGATCAAGCAGGCGCTGCCAGAGACCGCCAAGCTAATTACTCCACTAGATGTGTCCCAAATTGGCGGATGCATTCGCTCAGAACAGCCCAACAACAGTCTCTACACCTTTGAAGGTACCCTACTTATGAATGGCACCCAAGGACACCCCAAGGAGTTGCCTCTGGATCCGACCCAAGTTCTTCTCAGAGTAATGACTTCCGCATATTGAATGCACTTTCCCGTTCGGCTGGTCTCTGAAACATACGTCACCTATTGTTAGCACTCGAATACTAATCTAATATCGTTCGACACGGTCGATATCTTAGGGAGCACAACTTCGCAACACCAACTGGATCTATGGAGTGGTTGTCTTCACAGGACACGAGTCCAAGTTGATGCGCAATGCCTCTGCGACACCGATCAAACGCACCTCTGTGGAGAAAATGACCAACGTCCAGATCGTCTTCTTGTTCGGCATCCTCTTGGCAATGTCTCTGGCCAGTGCTGTCGGCAACATGGTCATCACCAACAAGAACATTGCTCAGCTCTCCTATCTCGAACTCACTGAATCTTCATGGTCGGATTTTGGACTCAGCATCCTTACCTTCCTAATTCTCTACAACAACTTGATCCCTATCAGTTTAATGGTCACCATGGAGGTCGTCAAGTTTTGGCAGGCGCAGCTCATCAACGCGGATCTGGACATGTACTACGAAAAGACCGATACTCCTGCGCTCGCCCGAACTTCGTCCCTGGTGGAGGAGCTTGGACAGATCGAGTACATTTTCTCCGACAAGACTGGAACACTGACATGCAATGAGATGGAGTTTCGCCAGTGTTCAATTGCTGGCCTGGCCTATGCGGATGTGATTGAAGACGGAAAGCAAGCGCGAGTTGAGGACGGAATGGAAGTTGGTATTCATGATTTCAAGCAAATGAACGCCAATCTTCGCAACCATCCCACCAGCAATGTCATTGACGAGTTTTTGACGCTGCTGGCAGTCTGTCATACCGTCATTCCCGAACGACAGGAGAGCAATCCTACAGGTACACGAATCTGGACAAAAATGAATTGGTTATAATATTTCTGTACCTTTGCTAGGGTCCGCATTACTGACGCTTTGAATAATATTTTGCTTCAATAACAGAAATCGTATATCAGGCATCGTCGCCCGACGAGGGAGCACTTGTCTCTGGAGCGGCAGACCTGGGATACAAATTCACGACTCGCAGACCCCGATCTGTTAATATCCAGGTCGGACGAAATGAGCTGGAGTATGAGATTCTGTGTGTGTGCGAGTTCAACTCGACTCGCAAGCGCATGTCGACTATCGTTCGTGGACCAGATAGGAAAATTAAGCTGTATTGCAAGGGCGCTGACACTGTCATCTTGGAGCGCTTGGGGTCTGAGAACGAGTTTGTGGATGCGACTATGCAGCACCTGGAGGATTACGCCACAGAGGGTCTCCGTACATTGTGTGTTGCTATGAGGGAGATTCCTGAGAAGGAGTATCAGAACTGGAGCCAGATTTACGACCGCGCGTCTACTACCATCCAGAATCGATCTGAGGAACTTGATAAGGCTGCTGAGTTGATTGAGAAGAATCTGTTCCTCCTCGGCGCCACTGCCATTGAGGACAAGCTTCAGGACGGAGTCCCCGAGACGATCCATACGCTGCAACAGGCCGGTATCAAGGTCTGGGTCTTGACTGGAGACCGACAGGAGACCGCAATCAACATCGGATACAGCTGCAAGTTGATCCAGGAGGACATGTCGTTGATCATCTGTAACGAGCAGACACACTGGGAGACCAAGGAGTTTTTGGAGACCAAGGTCAAGGCCATCAAATCGACTATGCAGCGCGGTGACGATATCGAGCCCTTGGCGCTCATTATTGACGGCAAGTCGCTTGGATTCGCGCTGGAGAAGGATATCGAGAAGACCTTTTTAGAGCTGGCTGTCCTATGCAAGGCCGTCGTTTGCTGCCGTGTGTCTCCATTGCAGAAGGCCCTGGTGGTGAAACTGGTCAAGCGTAACTTGAACTCGATCCTGTTGGCTATCGGAGACGGCGCCAATGATGTCTCCATGATTCAAGCTGCTCACGTTGGCGTCGGTATCTCTGGATTGGAGGGTCTCCAGGCTGCCCGCAGTGCTGATTTTGCCATTTCTCAGTTCCGTTACTTGAAGAAGCTGCTCTTGGTCCACGGTGCATGGAGTTATCAACGCCTCAGCAAGTTGATCTTGTTCAGTTTCTACAAGAACATTTGTTTGTATACCACGCAGTTTTGGTATGCGTTCTACAACGGTTTCTCAGGCCAGACCGTCTACGAATCCTGGACGATCTCTCTTTTTAACATTGCATTGACTGTGCTGCCGCCGCTGTCGCTTGGTATCTTTGACCAGTATGTCAGCGCCAGGATGTTGGACCGCTATCCACAGATGTACATGCTCGGACAAAAGAGTGAATTCGTAAGTGAAATGCCTGCATTGCATTGTGCCGATACGTGGATTTATCTGTCATCATGAAAGCGTATTTAACATACCTTCTTTTTTTTTTTTTTTTTTTTTTCTGATCCGCAGTTCAACGTCAGGACATTCTGGGGATGGGCAAGCAATGCGATATACCATTCTGTCATCCTCTTCTTCGCGGTCTCTTCCATTTTCCAGTTCGACTTGATCATGACCAATGGCACAGTCGGAGGAGCATGGTTGATGAGTGTCACCCTTTACACAGCTGTGCTAGCAACCGTACTTTTGAAGGCGGCACTGATTACAGAGTAAGTTATCGCCAATTGTCGTTTCAGAGTCTTTCAGATCTCATCTTGCTTTTCCATTTGACCACTCACTCACCCATATGTATTCCGCTTTCTTTCTGCTAGTCTTTGGAACAAGTACGCATACATCTCCATCCCTGGATCGATGATCTTTTGGATGGGATTCTTCCCTCTCTTCGCCATTGTTGGTGCCAAAGTGGGATTGACGCTCGAGTACTTTGGCATTGTTGGACCCCTATACAGTCAGCCGGTTTTCTGGTTGACAATTATTCTGTTACCTATCTTCTGCAACCTACGAGACTTTACATTCAAATAGTAAGTTCCTTCAGTGTCATTGGTTTTTTTTTTTTTTTTTCTTGGCGGCGGCGCACTAACCACACTTTCCACCATATATCCCTTTATCGCCATGAAATAGCATGAAGAGGACATTCTTTCCGAAGACGTACCACTATGTCCAGGAGATTCAGAAACTCAACATTCCGGATTACAGACCAAGAATGGAGCGCTTCCGCAAGGCTGTTCACAAAGTCAGGAATATCCAGCGACTGCGTCGCAACCGCGGATTTGCGTTCTCGCAAAACGAATCCGGCACGGCTCGTTTGGTGCGGGCTTATGATACCACGGCGCAGAAGCCCCGAGGATGATAGTCTTGTAGATTGGAATAACACGTCGATGCATACTTGTAATTTCGAATGGATATCTAGAACCATAAAATTTTCTTCCTTCTCTTTGCCATTCATGGTGCCAAATGCGGGATTGGATCGTGAGTACTATGACATTGCCGGTCCGCTGGCTTTGGAGAAGGGGGAGGGCAGCTCGTCATCTGGCTGACCATTGTGCTCTCGCCCGCGCTCCGCAATCTACCTTACACTAGTAAATCATGGTGGTATGTGTCCACATTGATTGCGCATGTCCACTCAAAAGTGACTAAATGAGCAGACACCAACACTTACTGTCTGCGCGTAAAATTGTGTAAGTTGAAGAAAGTGCCTTTGTAGTACTGCCGAAGTGTGCGTTGACCTGGATCTCCGAAGAAAGATCGGCGCAAATTTGCAAGCGTTGAATTTATTGTCTTGGTTTTCTACGACTCACTTGACAGATATTTGGGCCAGAGTTGAGATGACTCGCGATTCGTATTTCCTTGGATACCATGGACCGGAACACTCATAGGCCTTGAAAAAAAGGTAGACAAATATGCAGACGCGGACGTGGGATAAAACGCGTAAAAAAAGAAAACGCGTCAGACTATACACTCGCGACCAACAATGAAAGTAAACACAGATACGCGCGGTCGTGCAGTTGTGGTTGTTGCCTCGGATATGGTTCACAAAGGGCGGCTACAAGCAGTGTTAGTGATCGCCACAGGTCAGTTTCATCTATGATTACCCACACTTCCGAATGAACAAAGTAAAGAGTCAGGTGCGATCTTTTTGGCGCAATAGCATCCACAAGCACCACACCTCGCTGACCTCTGCGCAAGCCTTTTCAGTGGCAACCTGGGACCTACTCCTCTCCTATTATTGCTCGCTCTCTCTCTCTCATTCTGCCTATGTAGCACTTTGTTATACCTATCTGTCCTCACTCTTCGCTTTATATATCTTATCCCACCCTACAAATATGATCGCTTTACGATGTAAGGTCATTTTCCAAGTCCTGTTCTACAACCAAGGCCCCCTAGCACTTTGTTACTAACACGTATTCTCGACCCGTGTTTCTCAGTTATGCCCCATACAAGCAGCACACGATCGCTTGTCTGTCAAGAGGTCACTTATGCTAACAACACCGGGAGCTGCACCCGTTTTCCCGACACTCGCACATGCGTCAATGTCAGCGGTGCACAAAGAATCACCTATCGTTGTGTTCCCAACAATCAAGCCTCTACAACAGTCGGTACAGGCATTGATGAGAACGGCGTCACTGCTGCACCTATCTATGAATGCACCATCAAGAGGTGTCCGAATAAATTTTCTGCCTCTGCTCAACATGCCAAAGCGACATCAAAAGCCGGATGGGCCGTTTTGGCTTTGGCCATGTTGTCAGCCATCCATGTTGTATATTATTGAATACAACACGACAGAGTCCAAAGCAAGTGACCGGACGATCGTGTTGAATTTATTGAAAACCCGGATGCTTGAGATGGCAGTGGTTTTGCAGCTATAGTTTACCTGTTGCTGACGACCAGCTCCAAGAACTGTGGCAGCAAAAGTGAATAGAGCAGATTACAAGGGTGAGTTGACCATAATAAAATTTCATTCGACAGGGACAAGCAAAAAATAAAGACAACACCACATACCTGCTCGTAGCCAATAGTGGCGTATCCCTTCTTCTCCGTGTCGATTCTCATGAATGCATCCGTCAAACTCTTGACGGTGACCGCAATCTGCACAAAGTTATCGAACGAGACATCGCCGCGACCTAATTGGCAGTGTTATAAAATAAAAAAAATCAATAGACATTGTAAGTTCAAGTGATCAATTGACCCTTCTTTTTCTGCTGCTGTGCTATCTTTAGGCTTACCATTTTTGTCGTATTTCTTGATGAGAAGTTTCAAAAAGTTGTCCGAGAGATGGTAACCGAACGAGCGCATGGCGGTCCTGAGCTCATCAAAGTCGATCGATCCGCTTTGGTCCCGGTCAAAGGCTCTGAAGCAAGCACGCCATTCCTCGATGTACTTCCACAGACCTGAGAACTCGGCAAAGTTGATCTGTCCAGAGTTGTCTAGTCAGAGGGTAGGGCAAAAGCGTGGGAAAATAACAAAGACGCAGGGGCCTTAGAAAGGGATGATGCAAAGCAGGAGGCATTCTAATGGGCTAAGGGCCTGGATTCCAACTCACCGGTGTCGAACATGTTCATCATCAGACGGACGGTCTCGTAGTTGAAGGGGCTCCTGTTACAGCGGAAACAAAGTGGACGTTCGTAGTAAGAACCATGCTATCATTGGGAACATTCCATTGATGAAGGAGTAGCAGGCATTTAATGCAGTCGTACCAATCACCTATAAGGTATCAAACAGGTCAATTGATAGGGGATGGGAGTTAATATCACAGAAGACGTCGTTTGACCCTTGAAGATAATGTGTTTGGCAATGACAAAACACACACACACACACACACACAAAAAGAAAAAAAAGAGGAGAACATAGCGTGTTATAAGTGCTATAATCTTACCATTGATCAATGCCCTCTGAAGTTCCTCCGTACTGAGCTGTCCGGACCTGTCCGCGTCGACCGCATCGAACCACTGACGAAGACTTGCCTCAGGGCTGCTTTGAGTGGCTATGTGAGATTTTTCGACACAGCCATGGAAGATGGTCAGCGACAAATACAAACACACGACCAAGACGATTGAGCCAGCTAATAAAGAAAAAAGTCGCTAAGAATGCGGAAGGACATTTACTATATTGCTGCTGGTAGTTGACGGCTTGCTGGTATTGCTGGTTGTACGGGCCGTGCTGCTGCTGCTGCTGCTGTGGCGGCGGCTGTTGCTGCGGCGGCTGTTGCTGTTGTTGACCGTATTGCTGCTGTCCGTAGCCTTGCTGTCCGTAGCCCTGTTGCTGTTGGCCGTATGGCTGCTGACCATATGGCTGCTGTCCATAGCCTTGTTGCTGTTGGCCGTAAGGCTGCTGCTGGTACCCGCCGTATCCCTGGTTGTATGACATTTTGGTGGCGGAGGAAGGTGGATGAGAGATGAGAGATGAGAAAAAGAAAGATGGATGGAGAAGAAAAAAGAAGGTCGTCCTTCTTGTCCTCGGAATAAAGTCAGGAGGGAAGGGAGTGAGCGATCGCATCATCAGCCCAAAGAGAACATCACCGCGCATGGGAATAAATATCGAATTGTAGAGGAGAACCGTCTATTCGAATAGCTTGCGCCGTAAGCTACATCCCCAGGACGAAGCATCCATCCATCCCGCAGACGACAAGACCACACCCAGAGACATAGGAATCTAATCACTAGAAACAACCGCAAAACAGCCAACGCAGCCCAAAGCCTCGATCGATCCCTCATCACAACACCAACATCGACGAGCAACAGCAAGGACCACCATGGACAGCTTTCAGATCTTTACTACATCCACCAGTCTGGTGGACAGTGTCGACAGTACGTGTATTTGCTGACAACTGTCCTTTTCTTTAGCCGATAATGTCGTTTACTGGAAAACCAGGCGTTGCTAGCATGTCTCGGCGCTGTTCTATCGCCTGGATACCATGTCTACCAGAGGCTGCTGGACCCTTGATCAGCTATGCTAACACAATATGTCTCTATACTCATGATAGAGAAGCTGCTGGTCGTGCTCAGGGACGGGCGAAAGCTCATTGGGATCCTGCGCTCCTTTGATCAATTCGGTATGCTGGCTTACACTCAATTACACTGGATCTGCGTTCCTTACTCGGCTTGGGACATGTGTTGGATGAGTGGTTCTGACGCCTTGTTGTTCATATCGCCGGCCTTGTATAGCAAATCTGGTTTTACAGGACACAATCGAGAGGATATATGTCGGCGATACCTATGGCGATATTCCCCGAGGAATCTTTATCATCCGTGGCGAGAACGTTGTTCTTCTGGGCGAAATTGTAAGCGACTTGACACTTCCTCTGTATATTTCTTTTTGTTGGACATTGAAACATGGAGCATCGACGAACGCTAATCGCTCGTTGTTATTTTGGTATAAAAAAAATCAGGATGAGGACAAGGAGGACGAGTTGCCATTACGTGAGGTGCCTGTGGAGGAAGTTCTTCAGATCCAGCGCGAGGAAATGGAGGCCAAGGTCAAACGGGAAAAGACAAAGCATAGACTGCTTAGTGAACAAGGCTTCTCTGTCGATGTAGCCGAGTTTGGAGAGATGTATTAGAAGCACCTGGACATCTCGATCGGAGCCTACCTTCCTTTTTTTTTTTTTTTTTTTTTGAAACATTGGACACTGTCATAATAATCAAAAAAGCATGATCAAACCAACTATACAAAGGCTATATGAAAGCCATTTAATGCGGGCGATATATCGCGAGTTGGCGATGGTCTAGTAATAACAGCTAAAGAACGCAAGGATGGTGTCGCGTCAACGGCGAATGGAATAAGATACGCTAGGAGATACAGGCGGCGAGCAACAGCAGCAGTGCATGGGCTCATTCGTGTACACATTGCAAGATATGAGCTCATGAACGCGAAGGAATATTGGTTAGGCCACAGCCCTCCCTGAAGAATAGAGACGAGACATAAGGGAGGGACAGCACTCGGCGATGTCTCTGAAAGACCAGGACATGAACCGTACATGAATGTGGAGCACTTTAAAATAGAGTTTTATGAGATCGACGCGCTACTTCCTAAACTGCTATCAGAGGCGAGAAACACTCGCTCGAAGAAAACTAAAAAGTTGACCTCTGTTGTGAAGTATAGCAGAGACTATCGCAAGGCAAATTATATAGCTTGGGCAAGCTACAAGCTACATGAGAGCTGTCTTAGTAGGTAGGGCCACAATCGAAGGGAAACACGTCTTGGTCTTTCCTATTGCACACTGCTTCTAGACGATCGTTGGAATATAATGCAACCTCTTGCTGCCCAGATGATATTATATGTACACTGTACCCTTTTGACCGATGACATGGAGCTGAGTGATGATTGTGGAGGTGTTGAGGATGTCCTCAACCTGATCCAACGCGTTCTTGGCGAAGATCCCAAGTCTGGCAATGTCACCGGTCTGCTTCGGCGTGTATTTGCAAAAATAACAACAGCAGCAACTCAGGCTCTTGCAGTGAGGTCAGGCTGCCCACGGGCCTTAGTCTCAAGGTCTAGCAGGCTGTACAGTTTAGGCTATACAGCCCTAATTATGCAAGGATGGGCTATAATTTAACAATCATATCAAACTTTCTAGCCTAAGCGAGCCTACTCACCATGTCTGAAGCATGGAAGAACCTGTGTAGAGGGGTAATACAAATGTTGCTACTTCATTTGCCTCTCTGTAGCCCATTTCTGTCTGGCTATGTTGGAGCTCGGAAACAGCGTAAAATAAATGCCGCTTGAGCTGTATGAGGTTAAATTTCACTTTACTGTCCTTAGAACTGATCAGGGCGCCTCCTTGACTTCAGCCATAATGTGTGAAAGACCGGGCATAGAAAGTGATGAGTTTTTAAAGTCCACCTGCACTAACGGTGTCGGTCATGAAAGTAACGTACGATACAACTTACATGTGCCCACTCACGAGCCAAGGCGCGCTCAGCCTTGACATCGACGTTTGGTGCTCTTGACCTCAACTTGCTTCGCATGGCGTTGCCAAGTCAGGACACTGCTCCTGCAGTGACGAAGACGACTCCATCAGGAGGGGTGTGTCATTGAGGACACTATTGATACATAGACAGTTAGCACAGCAAAAAAAGCCAGAGAGCTATCAAACGTAGAAGGCATCGAATGGGTACTTGTGTCACGGAATTACCTTTGTCGGAAAGTGCATCAATAATTATCGTTTACATTCCCCGCCCATGCTTCGTGTGCTTGCTTCATAGTTGAGCGAGACTCGTCGGTGGTTTGGGTTATAAAATAAGGAGACAACTATTATATGGGACCAACCGGTATTTATCAAGACAAGTTTGTGGAGCGTATGTAGACGCGCCATTAAATCATCAATTTGCAATAAAACTTCACAGTTGGGCCTAATCCAGCGCTTCGAGCGAAGCAATTCCTTACCAGCCATGAGGACTAGGGGTGACCGTAATTAGATGCGGGGTACTTCAAGATAGAGTTTTATGAGATCAACGCGTCTACATAGAAAAATAACGACGCGCTACTTCTTCACCTGTGTCCTAGGATGCCACTCGATGTTAGGTGAGAGAAACGCCCTTCGCAGGAAACTAAGAAACTTGGACCCTATTGTGAAATACAGCATCATCTACATGTACTAATACTGGAAGTTATACACGTTGCAGCTTTGATATGTTTATTGGACAGGCTTTGGCAAGCTATAGGCTACATGAGAGCTGTCTTAGCAGGTGGGGTCACAATCGAAGGGAAGTGTTTTTTGGCCTCTCCTGTCTGCACACTGCTTCTGGACAACCGCTCAAGTTCCTGGTGGAAGATGGAACCTCCTTTCATGAGGCAAGCGATATCTTGTGCAAGGTCAGGCAGCGTCTTGAGTGAGTCAGGAATTCGAAATGTGCCTACCTCCACCATCATGTACATTGTACCCAGTTGAAATTGCATGTAGATTGTACCCTTTTGACCGATGATATGGACCTGGGTGATGATCGTGGAGGTGTTGAGGACGTCCTCAACCTGATCCAACGCGTTCTTGGCGAAGATCCCAAGTCTGACAATATCACCGGCCTGCTTCAGTGTGTCTTTGCAAAGAACGCTAGATACTTCTCCAAAAAACAACTCAGTCCCTCCACCGACTCTTGCAGTGAGGTCAGGCTGCCCACAGGTCTTGGTCTCAAGATCTAGCAGGCGGCGGTGATAGATGCTTGCCGTGGATGCACAGTTTGTACTATAAAGTAATAGAAGTCATGTAAGAACGGCTATTTTTCCATCCGAACAATAGCTATAACCGTATCAAACTTACTAAGCGAGCCTAGCCATGTCTGTTGCATGGAAGAACTTGCGCAGGAGGGGCAACACAAAGGCCGCTACTCCATCTGCCTCTCGGTAGTCCTTTTTCTGCTCTTGCTGGAACTCTGACACAGCGTAAACAAGATACCGCTTGAGTGGTCTGAGGCTGGACTCCACCTTGCTGTCTTCGAGACAGGACAAGGTCCTCTCTCGGTTCCAGTCGTGATCCGTGAGATGCTAAGGGCGATTATAAAATAAAATAAAATAAAATAAAATAAAATAAAATAAAATAAAATAAAATAAAATAAAATAAAATAGAAAAAGACGTGTTCTTCATTTGCCGCTTGCACTAACATTATTATTCTTATGAATAAGACAATGGTATATAATGCAACTTACATCTGTCCACTCGCGAATCAAGATGCGCTCATTCTTGACATCGACGTCCGGCACTTTTGATTTCATTTTGTTCCGCATAGTGTTGAAAAACTCCAAACCGAAGCACTGCTCCTGAAGTGGCGAAGGCGACTCCGTCACCAAGAGCGTGGCATTGAGGGCGCTATTGGCACATAGACAGTTAGCAAGAGCACGCAATTCATATTGCAAAATAAGTGAGGGTTATTTAACGTACAGAGCGTCGTGTGGGTACTTGGCCTTGAATGTGGACTCACTGCACCTCCTGTAGTACTCAGTAAATTTGGTTCCAATGTCCAAATCGTCCTCTGTCGCAATAAATGGCCAGTCGGCTGTGCCGAGCACCTTGCCCATCGGCTGATTGTGGTTAATCAAGAGGCGTTCGATGGGGTCATTGCTCTCTTGCAGAATGGTGTCGTCCGAGTTCGGGGTGACATGTCGTGCTCTCTTGAAAACGCGCTCTGGACTATCTAAAAGCAAGTATCACAGAAATTGCATGTCAACACTTTTTTTTTGATACATGAATACAAATGTCTGCTGCCATCGTACCTGCTGCAACAAACCCTGGAGCAGCCTGGTCCATGGCACTCCTTTCGAGCTGCCATTCTGCCACGCGTCTTGCATAATCTGTAGATATATGGTGATGAATTTCCAGATGTCAATCGTGGTCATTTGCGGTAGTGAATAAACGAAGCATTTGAGCCACGCCTTACCAGACTCAGCAGCCTCATCATGATGGGTCTCAGGCTCGGGTATGGACTTAATATCGACCTCCGCGCCAGTAATGTCTGTATCAGTAGAAAGTTAGACAGTGCCGATTAGCATAAATTACTATCCCTACAAATCAATTAATAAGCTCAGTGATAGCTTACCATTGCCTTTGATTCTTTCACCAACTTTCTTGACCAGTGCATACTGTCCCTCCTGAAGAGATGTGACAGCACCATCCTCGGCCTCTTTCAAGGAGAGCATTTTGTAGCCTTCTTTAAAGCAGCGCAAGTTTCTAGCACCCTTGAGCCCCTGCACGTACGTTGCAACTACCTCGGGACACTCTGTGGCCTGGCTGATGAGGGTTAGATCATGTTGGTACTGATCATGGTATCCTTGAGCATTACTCTGGTCTCTGCTTCGCTTCATGAATAGAACGACATCTCCCCAGTGCCGAGCGTAGGTTCTCTTAAAAAACCCATCAACTCCGAACGTCGCTGGTGCGCGCCAGAGCAAGGTATGTGTGGCCATTCTGAATGTAAAAATTATTAATAAATCAGCACAGCTTAGCTATGATGTCGCACGCCTCTTGCTGTCTACTAACTTTTAACTGCGATGCGACGAGGAACTGTTGTTTGCTTTATTGGAGGATTATGAGGATGGGGGACGCGTTCGAAAGAGTTGACGTGACGTGTATTTTGCGCGGACTGCCGGATGGCTCGGACGTCAAACCCCCTTTCCATCTCTGGTGTCTCTAGAAGCGCGCGCATGTAATCAGGACTTGAGTATCCTCTCGTCGTCCTCGCTCTGTTATATTTCCGCACAGCCCCTACCTCTACCTCATTTCCAGTTTCGTTCATCTCGTCTCGCTCCCACTGTTTCCTATCCACTCCTATTTTCTTCGTCGTCCTCACTCTGCTTCTTTGCGCCTCGATACTTTGATGAAGCACAAATTCTGGTTCACACTAGAAGGTTTTTTTTGTTGGTGCAATTGAGGGGTGTTTTTTTAGTATGGTGACAAAAACAATGATCACAACGACGTTTCTCCATCTATTCCTTAATCCACAAGCTATTCAAGTAAGTCGCTGATGAGTTTGTTCCTTTGCCCTGCTCATACTTTCTCTCACGTTCTGCCTCCTGTTCACCCTATTCGACGGTGAAAGGCAGACGAAGTGGCCTCAACTCTGCTTGACTTTAGGCCATGGAGAGCTCGAAGATGGGCAGCAGATGTTTTTCTGGTGGGGTAGGTAGATTGTCCAACCTCTGCGTGTGTGGTCGCCTCGACATAGTGCGACCAACGCAGCAACAGCAGCGCTCTTGCCGTGGTCTCTGGAGTCACAGATCGCGGTGCAGAGACTGTGGGGCAATGTGTCTCGCTCATCTCAGAGGGGTTGGTTTTGTTCCTTTGCCCTGCTCATACTTTCTCTCACGTTCTGCCTCCTGTTCACCCTATTCGACGGTGAAAGGCAGACGAAGTGGCCTCAACTCTGCTTGACTTTAGGCCATGGAGAGCTCGAAGATGGGCAGCAGATGTTTTTCTGGTGGGGTAGGTAGATTGTCCAACCTCTGCGTGTGTGGTCGCCTCGACATAGTGCGACCAACGCAGCAACAGCAGCGCTCTTGCCGTGGTCTCTGGAGTCACAGATCGCGGCGCAGAGACTGTGGGGCAATGTGTCTCGCTCATCTCAGAGGGGTTGGTTTTGTTCCTTTGCCCTGCTCATACTTTCTCTCACGTTCTGCCTCCTGTTCACCCTATTCGACGGTGAAAGGCAGACGAAGTGGCCTCAACTCTGCTTGACTTTAGGCCATGGAGAGCTCGAAGATGGGCAGCAGATGTTTTTCTGGTGGGGTAGGTAGATTGTCCAACCTCTGCGTGTGTGGTCGCCTCGACATAGTGCGACCAACGCAGCAACAGCAGCGCTCTTGCCGTGGTCTCTGGAGTCACAGATCGCGGTGCAGAGACTGTGGGGCAATGTGTCTCGCTCATCTCAGAGGGGTTGGTTTTGTTCCTTTGCCCTGCTCATACTTTCTCTCACGTTCTGCCTCCTGTTCACCCTATTCGACGGTGAAAGGCAGACGAAGTGGCCTCAACTCTGCTTGACTTTAGGCCATGGAGAGCTCGAAGATGGGCAGCAGATGTTTTTCTGGTGGGGGTTGGTAGATCGGGCTCTAGGCATGGACACAAATAAGGCTGAGGTCAGGAAGGCGAAGCACCCGGAGCGATCCCTAATCTTCGCCGTTCGAGATAACTGCAGCTGGAGAGGACAGGATATCAACACTGAGAGGCACTTCGACAGTATGTAAAGTCAGAAGTGAGATTGAACAAATATGCATCAAGCAATAAACAGATAAACACCTATGCGCTTCATCCAACCTCATTCGAACTAAACTCCGTATGAAATGCAGATAGACTCAGATGTCCTTCCTTGACATCTTAGATGCCCATCGAGGCAGTCTGCGCACGGAGTCGCTGAAGCCCTGTGCACTTTATTCATGCCAGTGCTACGTCGCGTATATACATTCGTAACTGTGTGTACACAGTACACATTGGCCATCATAGGAAATTGTGCATTCAGGTCTATCCGATCCAAGTCACCCGTCGCTCCAGGAACTGCGTATATATCCATGTCGCCAAGGTTCCCATGCCGACCATCACGACAACATGGTATATCCCTCTTCCAATCACGCCAAAGAGCTGGCTCATCCATAATCCCAAGCCAAGCGGATCTTCTTCTCCTTGAGACCCATCCTGCATGTCTTCGTCGTCTGAAGGCCATAGTCTAGAAGCCGGAGTTCGAGAGTGATTTTTACTGCCGCGAGACGACCGGGCGTGATATTGCCGATAATTAGATCGATAGTTGCTCCTTGATCGCCCATCGCGTGAATACGCAGACGGTAAGGGGTCGCCCAATGCATCTCTGAGCGACGGTTCCGTTCCCATGGACACGCCTCCCTCAAGTCCCAACCCAACCACATGCCCGCGAGTGCTGCCAGAATCGAACGGGCTGCGTTCTCGCTCCTGTCGCTGGTCATGCCGATGAGGCTGACCCTCACTTGCCCAGCGTTTTAACTCTTGTACCAGGAATTCAATGCGTTGCTCACGTTCCATTCCTTCCAGTGCCTTTTGCCATGCTGCTTGTCGCTCCAACATGATTCGTTCAAAGACTTGGCTGTGTGTTTCCAGCATCCTGTTAACCTTGGCCGATATCCGCCTATGATCCTGAGCAAGCAAATCATCCATGACATCCGTTGGCAAAGGCTGCGATAGCTGCAGGGGTCCTGAGATGGACGAGGGTGAGCTGTACGTTCCTGTCGACAGATTTGCTCGGCTAGATGACCCCGGGAGGTAATCAGACGCATACGGATAGATCAACTGGTTGCCGGAGTGATCGTTACCGTTGCTTGAATGCTGCCGGTACCTCGAGGAACCCGACTCTTGCGACGAATACATCGGTGATAAGGTCATGGTAGGTAAATGTCGCCGCCATTTCAGGAATTTGAGCGTGGTATGGTGTCGCAGCACCGCCAAGTTGCTTACATATACCCACTGTCGCAATGGCCCGAGATCAGCTTGCGGTTGGTCTACCGAGCTTGATGATGAAGTTGCAGTGGACGAGTCATGGGAAGCAAGCGTCTCGCCTCTGGAGTCCTCACCGTGTCCTGTTACATTCAGCTGTTGTACATCTACATCCATGCGCACTGCAGCTACTGCTTCTACTGCATCTTCTGGAACATGGAATATGAACGGCGGTGAGACGAACTCGGTCTGCAGTGGGCTGGCGTCAAGCGAGAGAGGATGCGTCGAAATTTCGTCCTCAGTCGGCGCATCCAATGAAAACCGCGGTGCTGATAAAGCAGCCCTTGCCTCTCCTTCCTCGATCCCGTAAATCTCGATACCATTCTCCCTCAACTGTCGAATCAAATCTAGTCGTGCGGTGGCAATGTCCATGGCTGGTGGCACTTCCACGCTTGAATCCGAATCTTGGACGGGGGCACTCATGGGTACCAGAACAGGCACTAAGTTGACCCACACCTGCAAGCGCTGCATGAACACGATATCTAGATCCGTCAGCTGCCCTTCGATCACATAGAGGCAGGCATCAACATGTCCATGCGCTCCTGTCGTGTTATTGGCCAGAAACCGCCCCAAAGAATCGTCACTGGCCGCTGATTTTGAAAAATACTCATTCGTCGTCTGAAACTGAAGGCCGAGGTATGATATGACAAGATCCATGGCGCGATTGGGGTTGTTGAACGAGCTGTATCCTGGCGTGTCAACAAAACTAACAAGGTAGCAGATATGGACAATTCGGTTATTTTTCTGCTGTGATAATCCTTCCACAAGTGCAATGTTACGTCGTAATAAACACCTTACCAGATATTTTTAACAAGAATTTCCTGCTGCATCTCCTGCTCGTCCAAGCCTGTGCGAGCCCATGCTGGCAAAACCATGGTCGATGCAAACCGCTCAACAATGGCCTCCGTCATGCCATGATATGGCTCCCGTTTCCGCTCGCGTGAGCCATCCGATTGCTGCCCGCTCAATTGGCTTGATCCAGATCCTTGTGTCACATGAAAGTTAAACGTTGGGTCATTTCCCTGCCGATCCTCCATAGCATGCAAGTCTGCCGCTACCACTGTCTCTGATGATGGTGGCAACGAGCGTTGTTCCTGCAGAAACTCATCTTCAAAGTCGTTCGCAATTATGCCCTCCCACTGGAACATTTCCTGGATTAGCCGCGAGTGCCAGACTCGGCTTTTCCCTGTAACCATCAGCTTAACAAAGCCCAATCTATCTCCCTCTACAGTTGGCTCTCTGCTCTTGGTAAACATGGCCGACGAGGGCATGATCAAATTAAGAGACGATGCCCCCTGGTCGACCCAGAAGCCGGTCCGGGACGAAGAACGAGAAGGATGCGAGTAGTAGCCAAGTGAAGGACTTGAAAGAAAGCTGTTAGGTGTTCCTGGAGCAGTAAATCCTCCGTCATCTTCGGTAAGAGATGCTGGATAATACGTTGGTGTTCTTGAGAACGACAGCTGCGAGTTCGACATCGATGGCGGGATCGAGTCCTCATCTACGTTTTGACCGTTCGAGTACGAGTGAAAGAAGTGCGAGGTGGTTGCCCGGTCAGGGATGTACCCGGAACCCTCCGTGTTGGCACTATTGAGGAAGCTTGTGTGGGCTTCAATATAGTCGTTGTACCGCCTCGCCCGCTCCTGCTCCTGTTCTGTATGATATATTAGACCGCCGCTGGGAAGACTCGCCGCATTCTTCCCCGTGCTCATGCCTGTGCTTACATCTGTGCTCGTGTTTGTGCTCGTGCCAGGGGTCGACTGCGTGTTTGCAGTAGCATTTATTCCCGAAATGCCCATGTCTTCCAGGTCTGCCAGGTCCTCTGGCCTCGTGAAACGCTGCATCTTTGGTGGAGGTCTGTGTCCATGGGAGGCGTTATGTTCTGAGGTGCGAGAATGGGGCTTGCTGGAATGGGATGGTGTTCCCTTGCCAGTAGGCAACATATGCTGATGAAGAAAAAAGTAAACAAGAGCGAGATAGAAGGAAGAGGTGAAACGGGTAGGAGAGTTGTCTGCCTTTGACAAAGAAGGACACTTAAAGTAGTGTGTGAAAAAATGGAATGCTGGAGGCTGCGCCAAGAGTGATAGTCACAATAGATAAACGAGATATCGGGTGATAAGTGAAAATGCCAATGAGGGCCATGAAAAAGAATAAAATGAGAGGTAGGAGATATAGCAAGGAGTTAAAAGAACGAAGAAAAGATAAAGAGGAATGATAAAGAGGAAAGAGAAAGAGGAGAGAAGAGGACATGTTGAACCATATAGGGATGCGCACCATATCCAAAAATGTCATCATTCGTTACCTTCATGCAAATTTCCCTTTCTTCATCTGCAATCTGGTTCTTTTTTTTTTTCCTTCTTGGATAGCCTTCAGCCTATACAGGGAACAATAGTGCGACACTCTGCGTTCCATTTAGGGATTGATAGGGATAGACAAAAATAATTTGGAAGTACAGGTAGCATTAGACATTGGACCATACACAGCATGGGATTACATCCATTCCGTATCTACATCCTGTTTGAGAGGATGAGAAGAGGGCATAGATGCAAAGGCAAGCGCAGTGCGGATGGATTGTCGAGCGAACGCGAACAAACAATCCGTTTAGTCGTTTCGCCACAGCGCGAATGAAGAGGGCATTGACCATTTACGGGAATTTTCCTTCCCTCGGTCCCCCGATATGCTATGGACCGATTGCGCGTGACCAGCGGCACCATTGTGGTGCGTCTTCCACCTGCCTTTAAGTGGTGCAGTTGTTGAAGGTGGTTGCACAGGTGCCAGTCATGTCGCGGCTCTTAGTCATATTAAAAACACGCTGCTGCGCAGACACTGCGACGACGCATTACCTCGACCCATGAGGCACCGCGTGGCATGGCAATATTTAGGAAAGTTCCTGTCGGTTCTTTTGCTTTGTTCTCCTTCCATTGTCCATGCTGCCATCTTAAAGGTTGTCCTGAAAAAAAAAAAATCATATGTCCGGTGTTTGACGAGAAAGGGGAAAGAAAAAGGGGAGAAGGGGAGATGGCCGCCATCACCCTTCTTTTTCGTCCCTCCATTTTAGTTCAGTCACAGTGGCACTGTTGGGCGTAGTCGTTTGATTTGGCAAATGTATTCAATAACAGGACCTTTCGACAACAACAATCTTGTTTGACTTGAATGATCGCATATCCACATTTTTGCTGTTTCTTTTAAGAATATATTTATGTCCAATCATCTACTCCGTGCACGAAGAGAACTGTTCTTTATGCGCTCGATCCAGGGACATCAAATGTCTTTGCGCGTGCAAGGAATCTCGACATAAGTTTGAACACCGCCGGAGATGTGTTCAGCGCAATCAGCGTGTTCTGCACCTTCGCCAGGCCTTCAGACTGGATCAGCTTGTTCAGATTGTATGCGATTGCCGTGGGGAACTATCGTTTCATAAAGTAGCGCGTTAGTACCGTCATCATATGCACAACATTCATGTAGTAACATGTTTAAGCAAACATCGCACACTTACAATCGTTTCGTGATACCAACGCTCCTGGTACACACATAGTTTGATCGAGGCCTCCATCGCCTTCAGTAGCTGCCCCTCCTCGGCGTAAATCTCCAAGAGTCGCACCAGTGCCTTTGCCGAGAATTTTTGCTCCGCACAGCGTTGGTACGCATCTTTAGCTTCCTCGCGATGGTGCAGACGCGTTGCCAAATCTCCATAGATCTCCCAGTCTGTGCCTGACTTGCGGTACGGCGCCTGCACGGACCGGAAGTGTTGCACCTCTGCACGCCAGATCGTGTATTGGCGCAAGTCCTCATACAGCACCATAAAGAGATTGTCCAGCCAGCGATCGCAAAGACGCTTGTTGCTGAACGAGAACGACAGCTCGACCTCATCATCCTCGTTCTCCTCTTCATCCGACGCGGCAGCCACACTGGGCTTCTCGATCTGCTTTCCTTTGATCGGAGTATCTTGGACTTCCTCCTCAGCTGACTCCTCTGAAATCTCGGCCACTGCTTCAGTTCCAGCTTCCGCCTCTTTCTCCGCCTCTGTCACTTCGTCGTTTGTCTTCTTCTCGTTTTGATCTCCCTCCTCCTGATCCTTATCACTGCTCAACGAGAGGTCGTCCAACTTGATGTCTTCCATCGACTGATCCGGATTCTCATCTACCGCCTTTGCAGCTGCCTCCTCCACGGCCTTGACTCTCTCCTCTTCCTCAGCCTCCTCCTGCTCGCGCTCGCGCTCACGTTCAGATTCAGTAGAGATCTTAATGATCGGGATAGGCGTTCCATTGGGCGACAAAAGCTGATCTCTTGCAGGCACGACTTCGGGGACGCCCTCATCATGGCTCTTCGACCTGGCCTGACTACCCTTGCGAATGTTTTCCTCAGCCTCCTTTTGCATGCGGTATTCTTCCTCCATGACGAAGACAAGTGAGCGGCATCGCAAGAGTTCGTCCCAGCCGATCTTCGACACCAAGCGAGTTAAAAGGTTGTAGGCGCTGGCAAATGTTCCACGCAATGATGGCGCAGGAAGACGCAGCAATGCAGGGTCAGCCTAAGATAATGAGCCAATGCAAAGGTTTTCGAATATTAATTACACAAATGGCCGAGTAAAATGCGATTATATGTCACTTTGACTCCTCATAAAAACTTGCCTCATGCTCGCGGCCCGTTTCATCGTCAATCAAAGACAGGTCAATGTCATTGCGAATGGGAAGATGGGCTTTGGCTGGCTTTGGCATCCTCTGCAAGTCCCTCTCATTGAATGTGAACATTGGGCACGAGTTGAGGGTCAGCAGGGCCTATTACAAAAATGGCAGCAGACGGCTCCGTCCTGTTAGATGTGTCTCCCATACATAAATAGGGTATAATTGCTGTTCGACCTTAGTGACCTTACACTTTCATAGTCGCCCAGATCAATGTAGACCTCAGTCAGCTTGGCCCAGGTGATGAATTCAGAAGGCGCGCAGTTGACAGCCTGCTTAGCAAGACGAAGTGCCATCTCCAGTTTTCCTTTGCCTCTCAAAAAGTCCGCCTGCACGTGCAGTAAGGCATAGCTCTGTGGGAACTGCTTCAGTGCCTGGTACAAAACATTGATGGCTTTGAGCTCCTCATCTAATAGGGCCGCATATTGAAGACAATGCGTGCATTAGCATTTGCTCAGTAGTGGCTCATATACTAATGATCAGGTTTTGTGAACTGTAGTTACCAGTTCCAATGTAGGACTGTGCCAGTAAGGAGGCAACCTCGGGTTCGCGTTTGAACAAGCGCTCAAAGAATTTGACCCCAAGATCATACCGGAAACTCTCCTGGCAGTACTTCATGATTGCAGCGGTGAGGTGGTTGTTGACGATGGTCGGCACCTGGATCTCAGGGCTGCTGCCGAGGAGCCAGCCCTTGAAGAACAACTGCTCTGCTGCCTCAAAGAACCGGTTCTCCGCATCCACGTCAGGGATGGGGTCCAGCTTGCGGAATCCAGGAATACGATAGTTGACATCATCTGAGTACAGAACTGACCGTAGCATGGCTGTCACGTACGTCTCTTGCCAGATCGCCGCTGTTGCCTCTTGTCTAAGTAGAAGGACAGGGCACAGGGCTTGTTGTCAGTATTCTGCGTCCGATTTCAGGAATGAATGCTTCCATGACTGGCGAAAAGTACCTTTCGCCTCTGATGTTGACAGCATAACTCTCGACACCTCCTGGGATCTTGACCTCTACGCGAACATCGACGCGAGAGAATGCATTGTAACAGCTAGTAACGAGTAAATAGTAATAAGGAAGACGCGAAACAGGATGTTACTGAATATGAAAATCCAACGCCAGATGCTTTCAATGCGCAATAAAAAAAAAGATCTTTCATTACCAGTAGACCCCGGAACGGATGCGCCATTGTACACCCTTGGAGAACCATGCATGCGACTCGTCCTGTTTGGTGGCAAAGAAAAAGCAAAAGAGCGCGCGGGTTAGTGACCGTGAAAAAGGCGCCAATTAAAATTGCTCACTCTCAGCCAGGGGACCAGACCAGGTCTGGAAATAGACATTAGGACGGGTCTCAATGCCCGCTTCTGTCTACCCTGTCATCTTATCATCCTATCCATCGATGCTGCCGCCGGCGACTGTATTGGTCTCCTTGCATATTGTTGCTATATCGCGTGCCTGATCTAGGTATGCGCCTCTAGTCATCGTTTATTCTGGAGTAACGACAAGCGTGCCCTGGAAAGCATTCATAGTCGTTTGAAGCTGAGAAGGCTGTCCGTCCGCGAAAATAAGGGGAAGGGCACTTACAATGGCATATGTCAGCGAGTTCAGGTATGCAGCAAGGCTAGCCGAGGACGAGGCATCAATACCGGAGACGTAGTGATAGGAGCTGGTCTATAATCGCACGAAGAAAACACAGAAAATTCGTGGGAGAGGCGGTAGAAGTCAGCGGTCAGTCGTATCTATAGTTGATTTCCTCGTACTCCATGGATTCCAATGCTCCTGTGCAACGACTGTTACCTCCTTGACATTAGGCTTGACATTGACCTTGATGATATGGCAGAGGTCGGGTGCACCCAGTTCCTTGAAGGTGCCTATAGGATGGAAAACAGACATAGCAGGCCTTTAGCTGTTCATTGTCTTGTACTCGAGGCTCTATGCGCCTTTAAGACGTGTCTTTCTGCTTCTTTGCCGAGTGATGTGTGGCCGAAGAGTGGTATTTACTCAGGGCATCTGTTCTGGCCTGGAGGGACTCGCCCAATTCCCGCTCGATGAACTCTGGGATGTCGCGCAGGTTGTCGGTCATCTCGACGGTGGTGGATCAGGTCGCGTTAAGAAATAAAGGTGTGGTAGAACAAGAGAAGACTCGCCCGGATGAATAAAGAAACAAGGAGAAGGGCGTGGGAGGTGATGAAGAGTGATGAGAGAAAGAGCGTTTGATGACAAGGAGAAAAGAATGTACTTCCAGATACTCGTGATGATGGTGTTCAAGATGACTTGACCGGCCCGTTGGTAAGGGCGTGTTGTCAATTAGGGAGGGGAAACTTAAAACGTGTCAGAACAAGAAGACAAGAATAGGATTCGACTTTCCTCTGCAATTGCACAAGGCCTTCTGACATTGCTGATTACTTTTATCTCCGCCAAAAAAAAAAAAAAAGCATTCAGACCCGCCTTCTTCCTCCTCCCCTCTACGTCGCCATTCCCTTCCTGTATACATTCGAATCACTCTACATCCATACTCTTCAGCGATGGCTCCCGTAAAGACAAGATCAACCTCATCACGGCATCGTCCTCACCGCGGATACAAGGCCGATCCAGAGGACACCAACGACGACGAGGACTTTTACGGCATGCGAGAGCTCAAGCATCAGCTTGCCAGTCTAAATCTCCAGCTTAAAGACACAATGGGCGATGGCAACTGCCTCTTCAGGGCCTGCGCAGACCAGTTCTACGGCATCGAGAAAGACCATACGTCACTGCGCGCAGAGGTCTGTCAGTACATCGAGGAGCACACAGAGCACTTCAAGTCGTTTCTCGACAACGAGACCGTCGAGGCCCATGTGGCCCAGATGCGTAAAAACGGGACCTATGGTGGCAACATTGAGCTTGTCGCCTTTGCACGCATGAAGCGGGTTGATATCAAGGTCTACCAGCCTGGATATATATTTGTGATCGAGGGAGTCGATGTCAAGAAGGAGGGATCCAGTCCAGGACAGCGGCCGACCATGCACATCGCGTAAGAAACTTGTTTGATCAGGTATGAAAAATATGTAATTGAGCGTAAATATGTGGCTCACATTTATATATTCTCTCTACAGGTACCACAGCTGGGAACACTACTCTTCAATACGCAACATTGACGGCCCACACGAGGGCTTGCCAGAGATCAACCCTCGCCCCACCAAACAACAACCACTTGCAAAACTTACCAACAAAGATCCACCACGGGCCATTGAGCGTGAAATCATGAAAATCTCAGGCGTTAACGATCTAGAGCTTATCCGTGAACTGCTCGAAAAGTATCGTGGTGATTTCGACTGCGTTTACAACGACCTTGCAGAGAAAGTATTTGCAGATGCCAATGGTAGCGATCGTGACGATAACAGTAGTCCTGAAGGCGAAACCAAAGAAGAGTCCAAGGGTTCGGTTCAAAAGACTAAAGGTGAACAGGATACGAAAGCGGGCAAGACAAAAGATCCCAAGGCAGGGACCAAGGATGAAATCATCACAGCACCTGATCCGCCTTCTCAGAGCAACTCGATTGATACCGAACCTTCAGTAGCATGTTCAAAGTCCTCTTCACGCGCATCATCTCCAGGCTTTGTACCCTCACGGACAGGTTCACCAGCAATATCATCTACTGAAACACCTATGGCATCGGATGAACCAGCACAAGGTGTGATTCCTAAAAAACGAATATCTGCAAGAGAAAAGAAGGAGTTGGCGAAGCGGAATCAGAAGCTGAATCGAAAGAACAAGGGTAAAGTCGGAGCTGCAAGTGCCGACGCCAGTCCGAGTAGCAATAGCAGCAGTGGCGGCGAGCGGAACTCAACAGATCATCCGGCAAGTCGAGCAGGCAGCAACATGCGAGAGCTCTTTGTCTAACCAACAGTGTACAAATGTATTCGCTATAATGAAATAAACCAGCTTTTTTTTTGGCGCCGATGTTTCTTTGTGGTGCCTTTTTGATCTATCCATTCAAAGAGCCTTTGTGGGGGATGTCGCGGTCTAAAGGAATTCCTCTGCCTGCACACAGCCACATTTTGTGTTTGCACATCCCTCCCTTTCCTATTTGCATGAGCACGGGTCAATAAAAGCTTCAAAGTTTTTATCTTAGGACCTCCACTCGAATAGCGCTAGGAAGCCCTACATGCACTCCTTAATAGCCTCGACAGCCGTCGATACCTCTTCGCGGCGGAAAAGTAGTCGCAGATAGAACACATCCCTGTTTGAAAGCTTCCTCAGACAACCTCCTTTGAACTTGGGTCTGGACGATGGTAATATTCTGGACATCTCCTCGAGAAGTCGAAGGGCTTGCTTGATGGTCGATGGTTTGTGAGCTTTCATGTCGCTTGGGATCGTCAATGAATAGTGGTAATAATAATAAAAATAAAAAAATGGCGATTATGTATATATGATGGAGGAAGTAGCATGCTCGTGAACATCAAAAATCCTCACATAAAGCTGGATCTATCCTATGTTCTACTAATGTGGTGAGATTCGTTAATGGGAGGGTCGTGGTCGCGTTGTTGGGCTGGCATGCTCCATCGAGTATAAAATTGCAAAACATCCGGACAATTTTGGGAGCCAAGCTGACCTTGTGCTGTTTTTTGGAGATGGTGGAGGAACCTATGGAGTTGTAAAAGTGCCCTAGAAGCGCGTCTTCAGTATTCCTCCAGATCTTTTCGTTGTCGTTCTGGTGTTTAGAGCGGTTTGTGCACAGAGAGTTGTCGGCATTTTCGAAGGTGACGTCCGCGCATCTATGTTTGCCTAGGAAAATATCCGTTGACTTTTGTATCTTTCGGAAAGGCTGTATTTCGAGCAAGGTCTGGCTTCGGGCTGAAGGCATCAGAAGGTTTGGGACTGCACGATAAAACGACGTTTCAGGACCGACAATACGATATAAGTCTCACTTATTCACAACTTGGCAATACGGATCACACTGACCGACTAGGATTAGATATTTATGGCGAAGCCGGTCGAAGATACCAAGTAGCACAAAGTACATTCCGTCGTAGGCATGGCTGAGGACAGCTGAATTTTGCGTCCGTCGTTCGTCTTTGACGCGCGACGCGTGTGTTTATTTCGTGCTGGCGGCGCCCATGTTCCTTTCACAAATCAATCTATCGTTGTCCTATCAGTTTCAAGGTGCAATTCAAATTGGGTGCACATGCTGCTCTTCTACTTTTCGTACACCTTCTTGGGGAAGTACATGTCCTGTACCGCGGTTTGGGGCTAGCGGTAACCAGGCTACCTGTGGGCGGTATTCGAAAGACTTGGCGAGTCCTTTGCTCATCACCCAGTCTGGAATGTAGTTCAGGACCAAATGGCGAATGAGCCGCTCTTTCCAGGACTAAACATATGCAAAAAGTTGAAAGTTGACTTGAGAAAACGGATAGTTATGTCGCTCGAATCTGTGCGAAAAATCGGGTTCCGTGTTTTACATGGCCAAAGATGACTTTCGACATGTCTTCGCTTCGTGCGTATTGCTCTTCAGCTCGAGGGTATCGTTCCCTGTAGTAATCTTGGAATGCTGCTTCGATACACTTAGGGGTTGAGTCGGACATGTTGTATAGGCAGTTGGCGAGGACGACCGCGTCATGCATCGCGTTCACAGCGCCTGTTGAAAGTAGAGAATGTTTTTAGAACAAAGCTGTGAGGTTGACGCATAAGCTAGGGAGAAAATATTACTTTTAGTAAATTGAAAAGTAGTTCTGACCTACACCGGCACCAGGGAGCATCTATAAAATGGATAGGAAAACGCCTTTTAGTAATACAGTTTCATGAGAACGCGCCCTTACGTTCTGCGTAACCCAAGTACTTGCCTTGTGAGCCGCTAATGAAAGCAGTACGACAAACAGTAGCGGTGTTAGCACAAGACAGGTTCCAGCTGCAAGCCAAATAAAACTATCGACTCTTTCGTCTCCCTTACCGTCTCCCAGAAGAACCGTGCGGCCATGATACCATGTCGAGAACAGCTTAGCCTCCAAGAACACCTTCGAGATCAAATTTCTTGGAGTCGCGTCAACGATCTCGCGCATAGTGCCACCCCATGCGCAGGGCAAATCCCGCAGCTCTTGGATCATGGCTTCGCTCGATTCGGGGCCCCACTCCGAGTTGCGGAACTGCTGCTCTTTGGCGTCCGATTCAGAGAGCTGAATCCCCAGTCCCCAGCAGATCTGGTTGTTTGGCACGCTAATCACACTCCACTGCATGGATTAAATATGAATGTGTGTGAGAGAGAAAGAGAGAATGACCTGTCGGTAAGTGACGTTCTACGGAAAGGGGATGTTATATAGCAGAGATACGACCAATGTGTAGAGGGTAGAGGACTTACCCCCATGCCTTTGTGCCCAAGGATTTGCGCAAAATGGCAAAAGTCATCCTTCAGCTGTGGGTATTTTTCTGGATCCTGAGGCTCAGAAATACCTACCAAACTAATATATCCGACCGAAAGCTCACCCAAGTCGCTTTTAGGAAGGAGTTCCTTCTTGTCAAGATTCTTGTAAAGACTTTGACGCACTGCACTGTAGGCACCATCTGCTCCAACGAGAATGTCCCCGCTGTAGGATGAATTGTCTGCGCAAAAAATGCGCACCTTGCCATCGCTTTCCTCTATGCGGAGGACTTTTTTTCCAAGACTGATTTTTTGGGCAGGCACTTGCTTGCGCAAAAGCTCGTAGAGCTGTGGTCTTGCGATCAAGATGGTGTTATATCCAGTACTAGAGAGAGAAAATCAGAGAGAGGTGAGGACGGTGCGCTGCTGTTTTTGGTTGTTGAAATACATGCATCAATCAGCTCAGACGTCTCTTACGTTGCTTTCTGCTCCCCCAGATTGAAAGACCCCAACTTCTTGACATCGACGTTGTAAAGGTCAAGCGAATTACATGGAAGAGATATTTTCTTTAACTCTTCCATCAGACCGAGTTGTTCAAAAACAGGAAGGATGCTCGGTCCGATACTGATTGCCGCCCCTTTGTAATGCAGATGGATAAGAGGTTTGATGCACAACAAGAACGTTAATAAGACGTTTGGAATTCAAGAGGGTCATGTACAATTGAAGCTGGCAATACCTAGGGAACGCAGTTCCGATGCACGTTCGAAGATTTGGTACGGGATATCGACTCGCTCCAGCAGTGCGGCAAGCAGCAGGCCTCCGAGTCCAGCACCTGCGATCAGCACATCGGGTGCGGTGCCATTTTTTGCAGTCACAGCCTTGGTGTCAGACATAGTTTCTCTTTATTAAAGGCAGCAAGCTGGAAAGTGAATGAGATGAAGGAAGAGGAATAAGATGGCGATTGCAAATGAGATGATGGGCATCTACATCTATGGCACACTGAACCACCGTACATGTCTTTTTTTTGACAAGCACTCCAATACGATAGCTCACAGTGCACAGAGAAATCTGAATAGCACAGCATCCACCATCCAACCACTTCTTGAGATTTCATTGGACAGAAAAGAGTTGAAAGTTGACAATAAGGTTGACTATAGTCGGTACAACATTGAACGGCAATTCAATTGGCACTGCAAATCAAAACTGTTTGCCAGATGAACACAAAATGCCAGGCATGCACAATCGGCTCGTACCATGGCGTATGCCACTTTCCCTCAAATTTTCCTGACACAAATTTCCTTGGCGCCTTGGGTGGTTCCTTTTTTTTAAAAAGTGCAACTGCCCACTTTCCCTCTCTCTCTCTCTTTCCTCTCTTTGCGAAAGTTCACCATGCAGTTCCGTCGTCGGCCCAGCACACCCATTGCTCCCTCCACTAGTATACCTACAAGCGTCCTCCAGACATGGACTGAAGATATTGAGAGAGCTCGTATCAGCGTGGAAGTCCAGGGCATGGCAGTCGCCGTTGTACACCGAGGAAAGATTATCTACGCCAAGGGGTTTGGCAAGAGGAACGACGTCGACCCCTTCACGCCAGAGGTATGGCCATATACCAGAGAGGAGATAATTGTTGTTCGTTCACTCCTTTTACGTTACCACTCACTCTTCAATGCGCTACAACGCATGTTTTCTCGTAGACCCTCATGCCAATTGCGTCCATCACAAAGTCCTTTACAGCTGCTGCAGTCGGCGAGCTAGTTGGAGACAACAAAGCCAAGTGGGAAGGCGTCCCTGTGAGCGAGTATTTGCCAGAGTTCCAGGTCAAGGACCCATCTTAACAAAGGAGATGACCTTTATCGACATGCTCTCTCACCGCACAGTATGTATGCGTGAACCTTTGAGCGCCGATCTCTCAATTTTTTTTTACTGCAAGGAAGCCGCGCTCTTACACTTACAATGGAATGTTCTCACAAATCCTCGACATCTTTAGGGCCTCCCTGTTCTGGATCTCCACTGGTACCACCGTCTGGAGCCACGGATTGAGCTCATCAAGCAGATGCGGCACGTCGACGCAGAGGCACCTCTCCGATCTGAGTACATCTACAACAACGTTATGGTTTCGGTTGCAGGCGAGGCTGCAGCACGGATTGCCGGTACCACCTACGAGCAACTTGTCCTGGATCGAGTCGTCCGACCGGTAGGAATGGCGGAGACGGGATTCTCAAACGTAACGCTCCAGACACGACCCAACCATGCTCTGCCGTACATGTGCAAGTCGTTCAGGGACGCCCAAATGGGCTGCAATCATCGTTTTCCACTGGACACGCTTCCAAAATCGGATGCCCCGGCTGGCGACCTTCACTCCAACGTCATTGAGCTTGCCAATTGGGCTCGGGTGATGATGCACGACGGCGAACTCGACGGGAAGCAGGTCCTGAACAAGGAGAGTATCCAGACAATCAAGACTGCCTACACTATTACGAGCAGGGCTCCTCGCGGCCCAGAGTTTAGTATTGGTGCGTATGGACTTTGCTGGGGCATCGAGCATTATAAGGGCCGCCCCACCGTTCAGCACAGTAAGTTGTTTTCGTTTTTTCTTTGTACACCATTTGCTGTTTTTTTTTTTTTTTTTTTTTTTTTTTTTGGGTTCGATTGCTCTACATCTCTGAGTATGGATATGAATACCCTTTTTGCTCATTAGGTGGCGGCCTTCCTGGATACATCTCCCACCAGTCACTCTTCCCGAGCGACGATTTTCAGTGGTTGCTCTCACCAACGACGCCTTCAACTGCCTTCCCATGTGGCTGCCATATTACTTTGCTGACCAAGTCCTCGGCCTCCCAAGGACCCGCGACTGGCTATTTGATGTTGCCATCACGTACACGAAGTAGGAATACGCTGGGATTGTGCCGTCGAATTTACCTCCTCGGATCAAGGACAAACCCACGACACGCGACCTCACAGAGTTTGCAGGCGAGTACACGCACCCTGTCGCAGGCAGGATCATCATTGAGACGCCGAAAGAGGAGGACGATGACGAAGATGAAGACGCAGAGGATGGCACGGCTTGCCATCTCAAGTTTTCTTTCAACGCCACCCAAGGAAAGCTGCGCCACTACCACTACGACACGTTTGTCTTTTCGAACGCTGCCCGTGATGCTGTGCGACTCGAAATGATTGTTACTTTTCTGCCAGGCGACGATGGAAGTGTTCAGCAGTGCAGGCTCTTTTATGATCCCGATCCCATCATCTTCACCAGGACCACTCCAAGCGCGGTAAACAGCCTTGGAGGAGCAAAAAAATATCTCAGGAGAAAAAAGCTCTTGTCCCGGGTGGATTGGCTCTAGATTATTATTATAATACCAGTAGAACTGCCTGTAGCACACGCCACAGGTCCGAGGCAAAAAATAAAATAGCTTTATTGCACTTTTACAAAATATATATATATATTGCAGTTCAGCAGATTCCTACATGCGATATTTCGCGTATAAACGCCCTCCTTTCCATCTATGGCACCATTTTCGACCAGAACCTTGAGGTTGTCTCGGTATTTGCAACGCGAGAAGCCGACATACAATTGCCCAGCACCAAAGACGTGCTGAGGAAGATAAACACCAACGTGGTCAAGTGTTTGTCCTTGCGCCTTGTTAATGGTCATGGCAAGCGCAGGCTTGACAGAAAACTGGCACCTAGTGAACTTGATTGGCGTAGACCCGTCGTCCAGGGTCGCGAGAGATATGCGTGGAATAAGCACCGTTCGTCTCTTAAAGTCACCGTTAAGGATCTCGGCACTGATGTATCTCTGACGGAGTGCTCGAACAATCAGACGGGTACCATTGCAGAGGCCGAATTTGCCGTCCATGTTTCAAAGGAGGACGATGGGTTGGCCCACCTTCAACAGCAGCTCGTAGGGAGGCATACCTGGAAGATTATTACATGTTAAGCTTTACATGATCTGGAGGGGATTTTGAGGGTCTAATGGGCTGTACGACTTCCTGTCAAGACCTGAGCAGCAATTTCAGATGACGCAACTACGATCATCTCCTTCTCGCGCCTTCCTCGGATGTGGGCAATCAAAGTGTTGTACAAAAAAGACTTGTCCGTTCCTCCTGGTCCATCAATAAAAAACACCTTTGCCGTACTTCCGTCCTTGTTATCCAGCGCTGCTGTGATTGCAGCGTACAGTGCTTTTTGATCGTCATTGCAGAGATCCAAGTCATGGACCGCCTTAGCTGCAAGTGCTTCGGTGTCGAGCTCTGCATGTTGTCCAAGTTCGTCATTGTTAGGTTGGCGATTGATGAGGTTGCGAAAGTCTCGAGACATCTCTTCATAGACCGCCAGACTGATCCCAGCTCCCTTCAAAATCTCGTTGACGTGGAAAAGCGCAGTGCTCCTGGCGTCCCCTTCTCATTCGGGCGATCTCCAGCAACGTACAGAAAGTCTTGAGATATGTTATCAGCGAATGCTTCCCATACTTCGGGAGGATTGGATGGGCTGCATAGGTATAGAATCATGGCGAAAAGATGGTGTAAGGTCGTGGGACTTCAACGCCTGTTACCAAATCCTCAGTGAAAGGCCATCGCGCAAGGGGCGACGCATCTCAATCCTTTGCGCTATTCCGGCGAGTGTGAGCGGTAATTATGTCAGCGTGCCTGGCGAGAGACATAAACTCGTCCCATAAAAAATAAAAAAAAATAAAAAATAAAAAATATAATAAAAAAAGAACTTGCCTTTCAAGCGTATTACTGAGAATCTTAGGGCATTCCTTGAATATGATTCAGGAGTGGCCAATTTGGGCGCATCTGCATGTCCGATACGCTTGGAGAGATCCCGCAGCAGGGGCAGGTGCCAGGTCTGCATGCTCTGGTTCGTCCAGATGGTGATTAGCACGCTCATACCCCTGCTGCCTTTCGCGGGCGCACTGGGCGGCATAGGCGGGAAATAGTCCAGCACGTCTGGTGAGAAGTACATCAGCGGTTTGTTCAGATTGTCCGTAAGCCCATCCCATTAAAAAAAAAATAGAACCTGCCTTTCGAGCGCGTTCTTGGGATTCTCAGGGCAGTCCCTGAAGGTGATTCTGGAGTGGCCAGTTTGGCCGCATATGCATGTTCGAGCTGCTCAGACAGGTCCAGCAGCAGGACTATACATTCGATAGATTCGTGTCGAGTCAGCATGGGGACCAATATTGATGTAAAAAGTAACAAAGATACACTTCACATACGCTTGGTTGCACGTTGTATCCATATTCTCGGTAGTCAATGTAGGAGAGATGCAGTGGTTGAGGGGGGAGCAGGGGTAACGGCTTTGAGTGGTAAGGGTCAAGCAGTGAATATGCAAGGATGAAGGGTGCTTGGCAGCGGTGGATGTGGAGGAAATTTATTTTTGGGCGAAGCAAGAAAGAGCATTGCAAAGGGCCATCGAGATCTTAACAACAAAGAAAAGTACTGCAAATTGATAAATTTATTAGATGTCTTCAAAATCCCCCAAATCAACCTTGTGTAACTCGTCAAACTCATCAAACCACCATCGATATCATTCATCATACCTCAGACTAAGCATTCACTGTGGTTGTTGCGGTGCGAAATGAGCGAACGACATGGTGACATGAAATACCCTTTCGGACATGTGTAGTAAGTCTGGTGGTCGTGGTTTTTCTTGCACTTTTCGCACATAGGCATGTTGAAGGTGCTTCAGATTAGGATGGCGGTAGGAGGCGGTGATAGAGACAGACAAAGAGAGAGAGAGTTGATGAGAGAGAAAGACTTTGTTTATTTTTTTTATTTTTTATTTTCTGGCTCTCGAGTGCATCGAGTCTATGAGGGAGAGAGATTCTTTTTTGGTGGACTTGATTCCGACTTTGAGCATCTTTGAAAAGTGGTAACGGCACGAAAACGCGATCTTTTCCTTGTTTAGCCTCTGAGAAAACCGATAATCCATGTTCAAATCATCATCCTCATCAAACTCGTCTTCCTCAACAAAATCATTCTCCTTAACTACTTGAAAACGTCCCTGAATCCCTCGTCCCCGATTGTTTTCATGGCAGACTCAAAAACCGACTTGAAGGGGCCTCCGGTATTGCACATGCTAATATAATTGAGGACGGCTTGCTTAAATACCGTGTCTGGCGGTGGGCATGGTGGTTGACGGGAGGTTGGTTGATGGTGATGGGCTAATGAGTTCAAAACGAGGTCATGCAAGAGCTATAATTTTTTTCAATTGGATTGAATACTTCAGACCGAATCCTACCTACATCCACATTTGAAAATTTTTATCATTTATAAAAAATGTACTGTAATAGATTGCCCCTTATCAGTAGAAGAGGTTTTTTTTTTCATATCCCTGGCATGGACCTTATCAACCATAATTCACTTAAAAAACTTCAAGAAGATCTCTGAGGGTAGCATCGTGGGCTTGTACAGAAAGATTCTGGTCAAATCTGGACCCTTAAGCAACTAAAAGCCAACATTCATTATGCACAGGACAAATACAAGATGGCCAAGGTTATGACCAAACAGACAAGTCAAGGTACCGACGAGGATGGGACGTTGAGGAAGAAAATGCTCCAAGAGTTCCCCTTCTACAACTGATTCGATGTTGTCTATATGTTGGATGCTGTCATTAATGCCAATCCTCATCCATGATCTCCTCTTGTGCACCCTGGTGAATAAAATTGTGTAAAACAACACACGCTCGAATCCAGCTAGCGGTCGCTTTCATATCCTTTTTGCTGGAAACTGTGATAGTTAGATTTTGTACGGAGTGGAACTTGAGCTTGAGTATACCGAATGCATTTCAACCACAACCCTAGCTTTCCTATGACAAGTGTTGAACCTTGATTCAGTCCCAGTCGGGTTCTTGTATCACAGGATAATGGTGGTTGTTAGACCATAGACAGCGTCCGCGAGCAGATACTCTTATCCATGAAAGAATAGTTCCTTTCTTGTATAAAGATAGGTCCTTCTGTATTCCAGCGAGTCATGCATGGAGCCAGAGTAACCGGTAGAGAAGTAGGTGAAGCGTCCCAAGTGGTGACATACGGCCGTTGTACCCATTATATACTTGCCTTTGCGTGTGGTCCAAGCATTCGTCTCCCACAATGGAGCTATGTCAAAGGGAAATGGAACACCGTCGACAGCACCAATTGCATTGCAAAATCCATGCTGAGGTTTAAAGGTAGACTTAATCACATCCCTTGCAAGGATGGGAAAGTGATCGTCGAAGAAAAGGTCACTTTCTGCGTCCGAAACTTGCAGACACATCACGCAAAAAGTTGGTGTCATCAACGCATCGGATTGGTAAATCTCATTTTAGTGCGCATAATTCCACAGCTTCCTTGACCAATGGATACTCTCTCTGTCGCAGAATTCGGCTACCTCAGGGCCCTGTCGTTTCTCGCCATTGGCTGGCTCTTTTCGTCCCTCGCCCTCGTACACAGGACGTGCCTCTGCAGGGACAATCGGGAATGTGCGTGGGAATGCAGCCTTTCCTGCCTGTGCCTGTGCCTGTGCCTGTACGCCATTGGATGAGCAGTTGGTGGCAAAAACACATTTGTGAGGTAATCGACGCCACCAAGTGGCATGCTTCGTTTCCAGAATGGCTCCCCATACATTGAGGACAACTTGAAAATTCCGATTTGGGTCATTATACGAACTGGGCAACATTCCAGTGCACTGAGGGCCTTGGACTACCTGCTCCTTTATTTCATCGACTGCATGCTGCTCCTTTTTTCATAGCGCTGGTATCCTGCCTAGGTCAATCCATCATCTATCATGTTCCCATTATTTGTTTTTCCTCCTCCTTCCTTGCACTTCCCCCTCTTTCATTCATTGCTTTTCCCTCTCACAGCTGCAACCTCAACCTCATCTACGTACACTTAGATCACAATGAAGCTACTCCCCCGGTTGTCCGTCGCCGCCCTCATGGTCGTCTCCTCCTTCGCAGGACGAAGCTTGAAGGACTTTACTGCTGATCCACAGATCCAAGCTGCCGCCCCACATCTTATCCAACTGATTAGTTCTCGCCCTATCGAATACGCATTATCTCGCAGCGGCTCACCTAACCCACCCACCGGCAATCACGTACCGCTCTTCAACGACATTGTTGAGATCGTGTCCCAAACAGTTTTCACTCCCAAGAGCAAAGAAGCGGACTGGTCACGTCTCGAAGCCGCAAAACTCAAGGCCATTCAAGCCCATGGAGAGGAGGCGGTCTATTCGTTTGCGGATCTTACAGCCATTGACACGCATCGCGCTTTACTGATAGTAAACACCATCTATGACACCGTTGTGCATCTACCTCCCAGTAGCAAGGTTGCCTATGCTGCAAGTACAACCAAAAAATCATTTTCATTCTGGGACTTTATTGGATTTGGCTTGATCAAGTCCTCAGATGCCGTCAGGGGTGTCAAGTCCTTTGTCTCTCCACAGAGCGGCGGATGTAACACCCAGGACACGGTCTATCTTAGGAGTGTCAAGGAAATTGTTTACTACAGCTCTTTGACAGACGGGGTCGCCGGAGGAGCCATGGCTGCGGCGCCAAGCAATTCAGCCGTCAAGTCACTGGGATTGGGAACGATTATTGCGTCCGTCGGTAAGCTCGCAGTCGAGATTCATATGGCTCAGTCGATCGCTCAGCTTGCGGGACTAGACCCCTTTGACGAGAGTGTGAGGGCAATGGTCTACTTGGCACTTGCTGCAGATTCGCCATCTTCGGACTATGCCCTTACTGCGAGAGATATATTCAAGGTAAAGAGCCGAGGTATCGCCAGCAAGGTCTCCATGGAGGCACTCAGATTTTTGGAGCGGGAGACAGCATTGGTGTTGATTACAAAGGGTACGGGGCGTATCATAGGACAGGGAGCGTTCCCGAGTATGCCGGTAGTGCGCAACATCTTTGCTTTCAGCAGAGACGTATTGAATATGAATAGCGTTGGGGATGTGTTGAAGTACGTGTTCTGTCCTGGACAGAACAGCGAGCCCTTATCTGTTGAGGATGACAACCTTGAGTCTCCTTCGGATCATGATCGGAATGGTGCAGCTGAGGATGTGAGCATAAACGAGAACCATGACGGCGCGGTTGAGGACGAGGAGGCAGACGAGCACGACAAGAATGAGAGTTATGTGGAGCAGACTGCTGGCGATAACCGTCCTTTGGGTGGGGGGCAGAAGGCCTTTAATACGCCTCAGGGCGTAAACCAAGTCGAACAACAGAAGGCGGCCGGGGAACAGAAGAGGCAAGATCTGTAGACCGTGAATGCAGGGTCACGTTCGTATTGGCTGATTGCGACAATAAACAATTTTCTATATTTTAAGCGCGTTCGGGTGATTGTCTACTCCTATCATCGCCACCAACTTGTGCCCTGCATCGAGCTGGGTCCTTTTGAGCCGCTCCCTCACAGTCAGCTCAGCAACAGCGACCAATTGAATCCTGATATCGAGTGCTGCCCCTCATGTCAGCCATGGACGCATATCAAGTAAGTGTTCCATATCTGCATCGCGCTGACATAAATGTACGTTGCTTAATAAGATTGCTTAGCCGTTCTGTTGGCCAAACCTGCTGATTTAGCACGTTCAACTAGATCTTCGGGCAAGGCCAGTTCGCTATCATGATGTCGGCGTTCTCTGGAGGTGAGCATGATGGTTCTGCGTCATCTTTTTTTCTTGTGTTATCGTTTGTTATCGGTGCACTCACTGCGGTATGTGCCCTTCTACACTTGGCTCCCGCACACTTGGTTCTCGCTTATAGACGCACTGGCATAAGGATCAAGTCAAATGTAAAGAAGGACGCGGATGGATTAGACAACATCGACGATTTTTGGGACGACGGCAACGACGATGGCAGTCAGGGATCCGATACCGCAAAAGGGGTGCATTATGCTACTCCGATACCCACCCTGCTCAAAGGTCACTCCACGCCCAGAATCCGACCCGCCGAAATGAAGAACTCGAGCGAACGCCGGCTCGGCACACCAGCAGCGCACAGGAAACACAAAGCGCTACCAGCTTCATCTGCACAACACCTCCAGAAACAAGTTACGGATACATGGCGCTCAACGCTCGTCAGCTCCTGGCTGACCACCGGCACTATGTCGACGGCAGTTGACCAGCCGCTCTTGCGTCCAAATAATCAAGCGTCACTGTCAGCAGACACCGCCTTTCAGCTCCATCAGACATCAGCAACCATCAAAGAGATTCGTCCAGTCTCCCAGCGATCTCTAACTCCGACAAACCATGACTCTGGCATATCAACGACCTACGAACCTTGTACCACAACGAATTCGAGCCCGATCTCAAGGAATTTACTTCCAACATGGAACTCTTCATTCCTGGCTGGCAGACTCGACAAGCCATTATACTCTACGCCAGCAGATACGCAGCGTGATAAGTACAAGCAACATCCTGGCGACTCCTTTGGAATGCTATGTTGTCCACGCGCGGAGAGTCCGACTCGCTCACACCATGTTGAAGCCGGACGCCTGACGCCTGACTGGGTCAAAAGGCAAGTGCATGCTACACATCAGCAGCCAACGCGGCCCGTAGGCCACGTCTTATCGCACAGCGAATTCTCGAAAAGCTATTCACAGCATCTTGTGGATCAGGGCTCAGCGCAGATCTACAATTATTCCGCAGAACACGCACCAGCCACTTGCCCCGCAGACGGTGAGGGTGAGCAATACGGAGGCACGGAGGAAGACCAGGGCGAAATTTATGACGAACCGCTCGACAACTACCTGAAGAGCAGGGCGATCGCGTGGGCGCAGAACGTCCGTCAAGAGCCGGCGTCCAAGTTTAAATCGTCAGCTTCAAGTCTACGATCATCAATCTCGCGTCCATCATCACTGAACCCAGGTCTACCCTCATCCGCCTCAAGCCAGCCTTCATCGCGTGCCCGGACAGAAAACGACACTCCGAACAACCGACGGCTCCTCAGCCAGGAGCTTGGAGAACTAGAAATGAGTGTCACAACTCAAGAGAGCTCGGTCATGCAGAAGATGTTTAGCCCTTCTCTGTTCTCATCTGCACCGAAAGCTCGCGTCGCAAAGCCTTCATCTTCGGTTCGACCATTATCGCCTCTGCCCTCATCAAAGACGAAACTGGCTGGAAAGCGGAAGCAGATGCCACACGAGGCCCACGATTCAGCATCAGAAGACGAACGATCGGCAAAGCGAAACCGCCGCGCCACCACATTCTCTAGGGCCCAGGCGAACCAGCAAGCTCAACGTTTCACCTCTAATGAACACTGGAATAACATCAAGGATACGGACGAGGAAGATGCTACGCTTACTCAGCGCCATGATGCGCATAAGAGTCAATTCGAAACTCATACGGAGCAAAGGAGTAACATAAATGAATCTGCAGATGATGCCCCATTGAAGCGAGGACGGAAGACAATGGCCACTGATAGATCGCGGGCTGGTCCCAAGGAACGAGGCAGAGATTATCTCGACAGATCTCTGAAAGACAGACATTCTGTCCCGGTATCACCAGGGCCTAGCGAGGAACGGATGGACGGAGGTACCTACTCTGACATTTTGTTTTCAATTGTTCAACTCATGTCATGGTAGTAGAGTTTAATGTCATCGGATCTTGATTATCTCTAGTTCGTAAAAGTCGGCGCACAAAACATCGGCCGCTCGAATATTGGAGGAATGAAAGAACCATTATAGACCCTAGAGAGGATTCTGGCCTGCACAACAACCGCAAACAAAAGCGGCAAAGACGTCACTTATCTGCAGAGACGCAGCCAGCATCAATGCAAAAAAACTCGCGAGGGGCGACTTCAGACGAAGAGAGCAACTTAAGCGGAAGTACAAGGCCTTATGAGCTGGAAAGCAATGGATTTATCTGCGACGGTCCACAGCTTTGTGAAGCAGTTGACTTTGCCAAAGGCGGTGTCATCATGCGAAGTCAGTAGCCGTTTTAAGTCGGACAAATCTTTTGCGGAATACAATGAAAGTATAGTGCATTTGCCTAACGATAACCCGTTTTTCATTGCATCTGCGACAATAGAACTTGCGGAACCAAAGGGATATGGCAATTACCTAGATGCGCCAGGTGGCGAGTATCAATACCATCGAGGTCTGGAGGACCTCGACATTTGTTCAGGGTTCATTCGTATCCCTGGTCTAGGTACTAAACCAAATAAGAATGCACTGAGGGCCTCTCTCGTAAGTTGTGGTGTCGCTGTGGTGCTCTAATATATATGTATATAGCTTCTCTGCTGTGCAATACACGAGCTTGTACTAACCCATATATTTCTTTGTGCATTGTTGTATAGACGTTCTATGTTGTCAAGGGATTAGTCCAGGCGACGATTCACAGAAACAGCATTATCTTACCGGAGGGATCGCGTTTCATTGTCCCACGCGGAAACCAGTACATGATTAGAAACCTCTCCAGAAAGGAATGTCTTTTGTTTTTTGCGCAAAGCACCGCTTCAGCCAATAACCACTAATCGGCTGCATGTACTATACACACCACCAACTTGTACCATACACCACTGCTATCCTCAATGTCAACTTTAATGCTCAATAAAGACGTCTCATTTCCACACCTTCGTTTTCGTCATCCTACGCTGCTGACTTTACCGCTTTATGCCCGCACTCTTGTTACGTTTCAATTGCGGAGCAAAGCAATCTGTCATTATGTCGATCAATAAGATGGCACATATACTTTTCGACAACGATATCCATGTTTCGTTATCTTCAACAAAGTTGAGAAGGAATAAAGCAGGATTGAGCAATATTCAAACGCATGATTTATGGATAAAAGGAGGAGGACTTGATGAAGGGGAGTAGGAAATAAGGACGGAGTATGCGATAGCCAGTTCCTGCGAACTACGGTGCTTTTGCTTTGAACGCGATCCAGCGTCGTTTCAATTACAGGCTAGACGTCGCGAGTGGTGACCAAAATGATATTTCGATTCTCCAGTACTCTATGAAGCCCATCGACTAGCATTTTTTTTCTGGATGCTTTATGGGATGTTGGGTTGTCGCACCATGGACGATGCGTAAGAGAAGTCTACGATAGAGTTGTCTGCAGCGGACCACTGCAGGCCATATCCCATACGAGAAGAAAGGAGATATAGTCCATGGTGAAGATGCACCACTCATAACAAGGACAGCGCGCGTCCATGTCTTGTGAAACTCATGTGGATCGAATCATGTTTGGATGATGATAATCCTCGCCATTTCTTTCTGCTGAATAGGAGTTATTGCTGCTTTAATTAGATCGCGATATGATCGCGGTACGCCCATCAAGGACTTTGTGGGCGAATGGCTCCGCATTTGTCATGTCACAGCAGGTGTTGCACTCTGAACCATGTTGAAATAGCCTTAATCGCGATAAAAATGAGAAAAACAACAACGCTAACAGCAATGATAGGCCTATTCGACGGCGTTTATAGTCGTATGTTCCTGAATCCCCGTTGCTTGAAGTAGCGGCATTAGCCCAATGAGTACCATTTGAAGTAAAATGAAGTGGTATAATACCGGGGCACAATTAATAGAAAGATACAGTTCTTCAATACAAGGCGCATGATGAAGATGGATCAGAAAGTGGCGGTCGAAGGTCATGGCGGCAGTCCAACGCCTGCTTACGGGCTGAAAATAAAAGCACACTTGTAAACAGAGAGAACCTTTAGAGAACAAGTGAGATCCTTGAAAGGCAATAGAATGCCAGGTAAAAAAGGTCGACTACTTAAACGAGGGAGTGACAATATGGTTTACTTGTATCTCTTAAACAAAAACTCTTTCCTGGTTATGGGTTATGCAGGTCTAATGTCCTGGTCCTGAAGTTATGCGGAAAACACCGCCTTTCATCGAGCTTTTTTATGATCATTTCTCTTAATCGCTCCCCCTCCTTTGAAGGTGAGCAGCAAAAAGTTCATGACTTTGTTCCCTTTTACAGCTTACTGCTACTCGCCATCGCCTTGTACTTTCCAAATAGCTTTACAATAGGCCCGGGCGCGTCCAATTCCTTCAAAGCTACCTGGCTTTCAGATGACCAGCCAATATAGGGTTTCATACGACTGCCCTCGCGACGATAGATAGCCTCTGGACCCTTGCCATCACTCTTACTGAGCGAGCTACCTCCATCCACTGGCAGATTGATCCCATTGATGTACGATGCTGCGGGTGAAAGCAAGAAAACAACGCTCGCAGCAATCTCGGACTCGGTACCCATGCGGCCAGCAGGGTTCTACGAGAATTGTAGAGAAAAATAAAGTGCAAATGAGCGCCACCGTAATTGTTTTTTCAAGATATGAAAAAAAAAAAATAGAACGAAGGAAAAAAGGAATACCATCCATGAGCTGGCAAGGAATCCATCGAGAACTTTTTCCGGGTAGTTCTTCATCCCAGAACTGAGGATCATGCCGGGCGCAACGCAATTGACCCGGATCCCATTGTAGGGCCCCCACTCGACTGCCAATGTCTTGGTCATGTTGATGATTCCTGAGCGAGCTGCGCCCTAAAAAAAGAAAATAAATGAATGGAATGCATATCTTGTTGGCAATAAAGGATAAAATAACCTTGAACATATCCATACCGTATGCACCATGCCTGGGAAGCCATTTCGACACTCGGCAACAATATTGACTATGCTCCCACCATGTTCGCCCATGTATCCATCGAAGGCCGCTTTGCATAGGTTGAAAGTCCCCACTAGGTTTAAGTCTACAACCGTCGCGAATCCCTTGGGTGACATCTTGGACGCCGGTGAGTGAAATTGACCGCCTGCATTGTTCTATACTCGAAAAAAGAGCGATGTGGGTGAGGAAACGAACTTGCGCGAAGGGCAATAGCGAGAAATATGCAAACAAAGTATAGATAATAGTAAAAAACAAACGTACGACTAGTCCGGTGAGTTTTCCATGCTTGGCAACGATCTGTTCGACCAGTTGTTGTGCCTGAGCAGGGTCCCGGATGTTGATTGTCATAACATCGCATTTTCCTCCTAAAAGCCCGATCTCCTCGGCTGTACGAGTCAGCTGGTCCAGTTTCCTCGCTGCGAGGACCACCATCGCGCCTAGGCTATTGATTTAATATTGCAGGAAATCAAACACAGTGATATGAAAAAGGTGATGAGCTGCAAAGATCGGAAAAAAAAAGAAATGTTTGCGCGAACTAGAGAAAGACATCAACGTACCTAGCCAGCTCGTGCGCGATGCATCTTCCAATACCTGTTGTTATGGCGAGAGAAGAGCAAAAGATGTGTGATATAAGGATCTGAGAAAGCAGGTACTAGTGAAAGATAGAAAGGTTGTGCCTCTTACCTGTGCCTCCGCCAGTGACCAATATGACGTGGTTCTTGAACAGGCTCTTATTGAAGACAGATTTGTATCCTATGATGGCAGCGAAAAGCCATGTAAGTCCCGACAGCCATGTTTCTGGTTCTGGGCGAAGCAGCAAGTAGTGAGCCGAGATTCCGGGTATATCTTTTAGACTTGCCAGGAGAAAGATTAGGCGGAAGCGATTGCATTACAGAAACAAGAGCTGCTTGGAGGAATGAACAAGGAGGAATCGAGAAAAAGAGATTTTAATGAAGAGAGATGCAACAGGAGAGGATGATCTGTATTGCGCTCGATTTCACTATAAGGTGAACACCCTTCCGGGCCCAAAGTGCACAAATGATTTTGCTGTGCTGCATTACCACGAATAAACCAATTGCCAGCAACAACCGATCTGACATACTGTATCTTTATTAACAACTGAGTGTTATGAAGTATATGGCCTTTAATATCAACTGAGTAAACGTCTAGATTGTCCAAGAGTTGATCATGAAGGCTATGGAGGAAGCAGGTTCAAAATGGCCGTCCTGGTGGCATAGGCTCGCGAAATACATGGAAGCGCCTGGTATGAATCGCTGCCCGCAATCCGCACTTGTGATCGATATCGATGAAGACAAGGAAAGGCTGGAAGAAGTACTGGAGGAGACTGTAGCTGGGAATATGGATACAGACCAGCCGGAAGTGAGTTTCATTCCAAAGATGAACTTGTTATGAGCGATATGGAAATGGAGGGGGCGCGCCTGGGATGCTGCCGCACAGAAATCCATTGACGGTTCTATGCCCTTTGTACCATTCGAAGGCGAGCATCCACGAAGGAGTCATCAAGTAAACGACAGTCAGCTGCAACCCCCATCCATTCTGTTGCTGTAACTGCAAGCGTTCTTCTCTTCTAACCCATATCGATTAGTGCATCATGACTCTGCATGTTTGTTTGTGCAGAACATCTGTAATCATGACCAGGGCCTATGCATTACAGGCTGATATCAATCATCGTGTCTCAATAGTCTTCTGTGTTGCTTCCTGGAGCATCCTGGAAAGCGTTGCAGGCGTTGTCGAAATCCGCACATCTGCGCACGTCAGGTGACGTGTTAAAAAAAAAGAAAAAAAAAGAGTGCTGGTGTGGGAAAATGAAGACATAGTGGTTTCTACGCTTTCTGCACTCCATCTGTACTCTCTCAGGATCAACTTCATCAAGGCACATCAAAAGGCACAGCGAGCACAGTTTTCATTCATCACCAAGGGAAAAACAGGAGACTACAGGACTATTATTTCTTCATTGCTACCGCTGTCAACCACCACCACCACCACCACCCACAGGGATACAATGCGTGACGCTGGAAAGAGCTCCAGGGACGGAGATGATTATGAGGAGCAGTTCCTGCATCAGACCATAGGAGCCTCGCGCATCCGCTCTCATTCCACCAAATATGGCTCACACAAGGTCAGCCGCCACCATCACTTCACATCCACTGCCCCATCATCCTCACTACCATCAACCTCTGCTTCTGCACCAGGTGCTGCAGGGACCTCGGCCTCCTCTGTTTCTGCATATCTCGAAAATTTGCCATCACTCAACCTCGGTGGCACACCACCACCAAGACCTCCAAGACCGCCCGGTGGACTGCTCGGCATCAGCAACGGACGAGGCATTGGCTATGGCAGAGCGCTAGGAAGCAGTTACGACAGCCCCTTGACCATCCATGATTCCTTCAATGGCCATGTGCGTAGCGGAGCCAATCTTTATGGTGGCAGGAGCCAGAGTTCAGGACTGGTACACATCAAGCCATCTTCAGGACATCATCGACCGTCCATGTCAGTCTTTCCGATCCAAAAGGCACTCGAGATTGCCATGAAAGAATCAAGACTACTCGCAGCTGCGTCCTCGCGGGGCGGATCAGGATCCTCTGGAACGGGTATGAACACTGGTACAACCTTTGTGAGAGAATTGAGAAGAGCACGACACACACGCGGTGCTATTATCACAGAGCATGGCCCAACTCCCGACATTTCTCTTGATGAAGAGGAAGACGAGGAGACCCATGCTGCGGATGCGGATACCGATGTGTATGATGCTAGAACAAGTTCGAGTCAAGGTCAGGGCGGTAACAGTAGTCGCAGCGACAATGCCATGGAGTCATTTCAGTCCAGAGCAACAGCGCGATTCGACAATCTCGGCAGTGACCGGTCACACGATATTTCGATGGGCGAAAGGACAGGAAGTGGGCATGTGCATGGCGATATCAGGATCCAGCGACCGGCCATTGCTTCTTATGATTTAAAGACACACTATCCGGGCATTGCTTATCTTCCGCACAACGCCGCTTCATATAGCGGTGTGCTGTCTCTGCATTCGCCCAGGTCTCTCAGAAACGTGCCGTCGACAAGCATCTGGAATCAGTCGTCAGGGCGAGGGTCAGGGTCAGGACCGTCACCAGGATCCGCATCCGCAGCAGCACTGGCATCCACTTCAATTTCATCATCAACATCTTCTGCATCCGCCGCCGCCAACACATCTTCCGGTCGTTTCAGCCATGCATCGCTTGGCACACTATTTATGTCTTCAGGATCAGCAAGCGCACCATATCAATCTCACTATTCACCTGTCTTATCTTCGTCTTCTACCTTTCCATCTACGCACGCTCTTTTCTCGAACCATTCGACCCCCTCCTCGTCAATCCCGGATATGACCTCTCGATCAGCCGTCCACGCTGTCCGCGAACTGTTAGATTCATATCCTGCACCCTCACCATACTGTGTTGACGACAAGAAGCGGTCGCCGCTGCACTTTGCTGCTGCGTCCGGAGACCTAGAGTTGGTCGAGTTCTTGTTGGAGCGAGGAGTACGACCTGACTGTGGTAGAGATATTGCAGGAAACATGCCTTTGCACCTTGGTATACCCTCATTTCTGTTACTTTCTCACTGGTGCGTTATCTACTGGTCAATTGTTATTTCTAACCACCTTTCTCTTCAATGCTTAGCCATCATATCCAACAGGATTGATGTTGTTGCTGCTCTTCTGAAAGCTGGTACGGCACCGCTTCCGGCGCTCACTTCCAAATCGAACTGGGACTTAGTTTATGAAAAACAAATTGAGTGCTGACTAACACCTTTTTGGCGAACATAGGAGCGGACATGACCCTGGCGTCACCGATGACACATAAAACGCCGCTGGACCTCGCAGAGTCGAGATTGAGCTATTTGCTGTCAAGGGCACAAGAGACCATCAAACAATCTCGAGCTCAGTCCTCAGAATCATCCAACTCTGGAATGCTCGATCTCCATGACAGCCAGATTGCCACACTGTCATCGTTTCAGCACGCACCACCGACACAGTCACCGGCATTATTATACCAGATTCGAGGGATCGTCAACTTGCTACGACCTTATGTGGTTCGACAACAAAAGCTGCAGCAGGGAGAGCGACAGAAGGAGCGACAAAAGGAACGGTCATGGGAAAGAGCAGACAAGTATATGAGGCAACATCAAGGACAAGGTGGCGGGTCTGGTCAAGGACTCTGGCGGATGGAGGCCAACTCGGATGACAACTTTGGAGATATGGAGGACGAGGATGAAGATGACGAAGAGGACGACGATCATATGGATACGGGCGACAGGCGGCGACTTGTACGGAGCCGCTTTACTGTGGTGGATATGGATGGAGACATGGAGTTGAATGATGATGAGGATAGCGGTTTTAAGGGACGACCGCTGCACTCGACTAAGACAAAGAGATCGGCAAGGCGTCCTATACGAAGGATGGATGCAGATGAGACAGAAGAGGCGCTGGAGAATCTGATGAATGGCCTGTCGCTATTAGAGGCCAACAGGAAGCAATTAGAACAACAACATGCCCAAACCCAGACACAAGGACAAGGACAAAATCAGGACCAACAGGCACTTCAACAGCTGCAACAGTCGTATCCACACACACACATGCATTCACATTCACATTCGCAACAAAGTGGTGTGTCAGATATCGCAGACGGCAATCTGGCGGACAGTGAGTTGGATCCCCGAAGCGAGCAGGAGGTGGATGAGGCGTTACCGGACCTGCTAGAGCAAGTCCAACAGGTGCTGCAGGCCATCAAGCTGAACGAGAATCAGGGATAAGTAGGCAAGCCATCTGGGTTCTCTCCCTCCCTTCTTTCTTTACTGAAAAGATGAAATAAAAATAATTGACCCCCCCCATTGTACTTTATCGTATTCTGCGTATTGTGCCTGGCACTGGCCGATTCTCAATTGTCGATTGTCATCTATGACGCATATTGGTCTTACTTGACCTTAGTTGTTCCTGCGTAGCTGTCTACGCCCATGGCGCGCCATGCGAGCAATTGGCATTATAGACTGCAAAAGACTTTTGTGCAACATGGCACGGGGACAGACCATTTCCATTAACATAAAAATTGGAGTGGGGTTCGATTGCGCCCTTCTTTTTAACTTCCTTCGACTTTGGTTCCCATCGACTTTGGCTCCTTCGACTTTGCTTTCCAGTGGTAGCATACATATACAGGCGCTCTTTCTGCTACCCTCATTTCTCATCTCACTCACGCTCACTCTCATCTTCATCCTCACCCTTGCCACAACCTCATTCTCATTCTCATCCTCATCCTCATATCCCATTCCTCATCTTCATTCCCATCTCCATCCACTTCTCACTTCTCACTTCCCAACGCTATGCAGAGCAACCAGGACGACGAATTCCAGCAGCTGGAACATGCCAGGGTCGTGGGAGCGCAGCCCAAGAAGAAGGCTGCCATGAACCCTAGCAGCAATGTCACTGTGCAATCCCATGCACAAGGTATACTTTCTTCAGTTCATCAACCTGCACTTGGCCAGCAAGCAAAGCATCTGCGCATCAAGATATTCCCTCGCCCTACGGCGTGACAGACGGACTGACAGAGCTACGACTTTAACCTGATAGAATTCCCTGCACAGCGTGTCAATGGCTTCTACGGAACCATGGTCAATGGTTTTGGCAGCATCATCGGAACCCTGGGCATGGTAAGAGCACCTCTGCTGCTTAAAGAGGTACCCATTCATCCTGAACGTCAAAGCACAATATTTACGGGTTTTGTGTTTGACTTTGGCAATAGATCCCGTGTTGCATCTGGTACGCGCTTTGTGTGTATGTTTACGGCTATGGTGCTAGCACAATTCTGACTTCACTGTTATCTGTTTCGTTGGTTTCACCTTGTCTTTCAGCTGTCCGAACCCGTAAGTTGTAGTCCGCCATGTATCCACAAACAACCTTGTCTGTCTTTGCTTTAACGGACTCGTGGCGCTAACATATTATCTACCTCTATTTGTCTCTCTCGCCAACAGATACAATACAATTGAACAGGGCACCATTGGTCTTGTGACCAGGTTCGGTCGTTACTACAAGACCGTGGACCCAGGACTCATCCGCTTAAATCCGTACACCGAGCAAGTCCAGAAAGTAGACATGCGTGTTCAGATTTCACACATCTTGAATCAAGTCATCATGACCAAGGATAATGTCAATGTGCAGATCGACTCGATTATCTACTGGCATATCATTAATCCATACCAGGCGCTGTATGGCGTCTCGGATGTGCGCGTGGCCCTGATCGAGAGAACAAAGACGACGCTGAGACAAAGTCTGGGAGCAAGGGTTCTTCAGGATATCATTGAGAACCGAGAGCAGCTTGCGCATGAGATCCAGGAGATTATTGATGCGCCCGCACACGCCTGGGGCGTCACTGTAAGTGACCTTGAATGGTGATTTAGAAATAATCCAGGAAATTGACAGGGAATATCATGTATTGAAGAGATGGTATTTCGAACTTCGCTTTATATGTTGTATAGGTCGAAAGCATTTTAATCAAGGATATCCAGTTTTCGAAGGGTCTTCAGGAGTCGCTGTCTTCTGCCGCGCAAGCCAAGCGCCTTGCAGAGTCCAAGGTCATTCAGGCACAGTCTGAGGTCGACAGTGCCAAGCTTATGCGACAAGCTGCCGAATGTACGTTTCGGGAGTCCGAGAAAAATACAGGGCATGGCGACGGGAAATCACCACATCAGCTAATGCCATTCTTCCTGGTTCTTTATCTTTTTCTTTTTCTTTCTTTTCTATTTTTCAGTCCTGAACACACCCGCCGCAATGCAGATCCGCTACTTGGAGTCCATGGCTGCCATGGCTCGCCACAGTGGGCAAAAGACCATCTTTATGCCTACATCAGATGATGTCAGGACGCATTTCCACCCTGCTGTAGGAAGCGCAGTGGCCCCTGCAGATGGCAGTTCATCCTCGGCCGGGTTCTCGATGCCATCTATCTCAGTCGCTGGTCCAGGTGGTAGCCAGCAGTTCCTGAGCTATCAGAACACCGGCAAGAACTAAACCTAAGTTCGCCAGTTCGCTCAATTAAGTCCTGAGCGAGTCAATTGGAATGTGGATCCATGGATTGACCTTGAACACGATGTTTGATATGATATGAAGGTCACCCACACTAATAAAACCTAAATGTCTGCGTAAACGAACATCCACACATCGCCCAGGGCGAAGCGTAAACTTTAAACTCGTCGTGCATCTCAACTTTGAACGCATTTTTTCTCTGGCCCATCACCACAACGACTTCGCCATCACTGCTCTTCATCCCCACATCGTCGTCTGTTCATCCCTGGCACAATGACAGAAAACACTTCACAAACAAATCAACCCTCACTCCACCCATTGGATCTTCCCGAGATCCACAGCCTCATCAGCTCATTCCTCCTTGGCGATCTTCCGACCCTGAGTGCTTGCGTACGCGTCTCAAAGGCCTGGAACGCCTCGTTTCTTCCTCCTCTGTGGTCCCACATAGACCTATCCAGAGTGCTTCCCTTGCCAGAGAATCTCAATCCTAGGAGAAATGAGCGCCATCCATTTGCGCCTGTGCTTCAGAAACATGCCCACCTGATCCGACATATATCAGCACTGTTCATGAGCCTGGACGCAGGATCCCTCGGCCACCTCCCGACCCTCCTCGACGACCCCACGCTCTATATCAATCTACAGACCTTCAGGATCTCTCAGGATTACAGTATGAGGCTTAAAAATGACATTTCCGACATTACGATCCATGAGCATTACTGGGGAGACCTTGCGTCCTTCCTGAGACGGGTCCCGTCCTTAAGGGAATTAGTCATCCGAAGCATGAATTCGCATGTCATACCGGTCGCTGTTTGGCAGACGATCGCGACCTCGCTTCCGACTCTTCGAACCCTTGTCTTCAACGGCGCTCACATGGATGGTGAAGATCCACTGCGGTTCGATTACTTCCTGGACGCTTGCTCGAAAGTCGAGTCCCTCGACCTCGATTTCTTTTCCTTTTGGGACCCTCCTGCTCACAACCCTCGCTGGACGTCGACAGATCCATTGTTTCCGAGACTGGTCTCGCTCAATTTTTTTGGTCGCAGGGCTGAGGAGCTGAGACTTTTTGAGAGGTGCCTCCAAACCCCGGGGTTAAGGCGATTGACCTGGTCAACTAGGTTCCCGACTCAATTTACGCCAGCGGAGAAGACTCCGGAGGTTACGAGGCTGATTGTGGAGGCCAGGCTCCAGAATTTGGAGTATTTGAATTTGTGGGACGGGCTTCCATTCAAAGATGAGGAAATTGCGAGAATTTTGGATTCGCTAGGTAGGCCGTTGAAGGAGCTGCGTGTGAGTGCATCGGAGTTTGGGTACCTGTCATGGAATGCGCTACTCAGGGGTCATTCGCAAATGGAGGTAGATCCTACGGCGACGGAGTCGGATTCATCGCGCCCTGATGTTGTGCGGTTGGCGCATGCGGCGACGCTTCGTACCCTGGACTTGACGCTTTGTCCGGATGTTACGGACGATATGCTGGCGCAGATCAAGAGGGATTTCCCTCGGCTTGAACAGTTATTGTTAAGAGAAGAGCCTGACTATGACTCCTCAGAAGAACTGGAGGAGTAACATTGTCTGCTTGACCTATTTGAGTAATTAATACTCGATTTTGACACCCATTCATACTATCTCTGAGATAATAATGCAAAGAGTGCGAGCGTAGAATCATAGCGCCTAATCTTGGACGAGTTAGTTCTCAAATAAAATTGGTAAAACAATTGAGCGCGTAGTACATGAGTCAGGCCGAAATAATGCATGGTAGGATATAATCGACGAGAGGTAGAAGGAGTCATTGGTCGAAATGCTGCATCTACTTCGATTTTTTTTTGCGGACAAAAACATAGAAGAATGAACGAGTAGTTACTAGCGAGACTTTTGTACGCTCCGTTACCAACAGCACCGACTATTGTAGTCCTTTTGGATGAGGTTAAGCAAGCGTTTTTTTTTAACTGCTTCAGCTCTCGTTGCAAATAATTGGGTCAAGGACGCCGGATTAGCGTTACCTCTAGTACAGGATATCTCTTTAGTCCAAGATACATTAAGGGATCCCGTCATACTCTTCCCTTTTTATTCGAGTACAGATACGCTTTATTTCCATACAAAATTTATTCGCGTGACGTTATTATCTCGTGATTTCTCCACCCATCATCGCTTCGCCCGCTGGATCAAATCAAGACAACAAGACCTTTCATCAACTCGATCGCCATCAACACAATCACCGCCAACTTCACGTCGATCTTCAGGAACCACATTCACCTCACTCAGACCATTACTATTTTTAATTCAATGGACGCTTCAGAGCTGAACAGTTACAGAGAAGAGGTAGCAACGATCGATGCTGCGCTGCTGTCTGATCCTCAGAACCAAGAACTCTTGGCCCTCAAGACTGAACTGCTCGAACTCATTTCTCTTACAGAGAGTCTATTGCAGCAAGAGGAAGCGGCAGCATCAACTCCCACAGCAGGGGCAGTACAAGAATCGATCTCTCTTTCTGTATCCGCTCCCTCACCCCACTCCGCATCAGTGTCCGCCTCAGGATCCGGCTACTCCACTCCTACCGCCACACAACGTATCTCTACCGCAACTTCCTCCTCCCAATTAGACCCCTCAAAACAACCTATTTATCAACCTCCACCTTCAACTCCCCACAGATCCTGGGCCGTGGGCGACAAATGCCGAGCACTCTTCGCTGCCGATGGAAAATTCTATGAGGCCACCATTTTGACGATCGGTGGGGGTGGGCAAGCCTTTTCGGTCCAGTACAAGGGATATGAGTCCAGTCCTCCCGGAGTCGTAGGACCACAGGACTTGAAGCCGCCGCATGATCCCAAAAAGTATCAAAAGCAGAATCATGCGTCACCGGGGGTGGGAGACGAGGTGGCGACGACGAGCGAACAGAAGAAGCGTGGGGCAGATGACGGACCAGCAGCAACGGGTGCAACAGGGGCGCATGCAGGAGGAGCAGGAAAGAAGAAGCAGAAGGGTCAACCAAGTGAGCAAGTTCAGAAACAGATGGCGTGGCAGAATTTTGCAAAGGGCGGAGGAGCAAAAAAGTCAAAGGGCACGACGCCGTTGTTAAAGAAGAGTATCTTTGCGAGCCCGGAGGGTCCTGATGGCAAAGGTACTGATCAAGACTTGTTTGGCTTTGCAATTTTGTATGGAGATAAATAGGGACATCAGGATGAGAACTAACATGTCTTTGTTCTTCTTGCTGTTTCTTTTTTTTTTTTTTTTTTTTTTTTTTTCGTACGCGAATAGTTGGCGTTGTGGGAAGTGGCAAAGGGATGACACATTTCCAGCAGCGCGGCAAACATGTCTATGGACAACGGCCCGACTCTTCCGCCAATTAGATCCACACTATAACACCTTCAATCTCCCACACCGTCGGTTTCTCAACATCATGGAGTCGATGCAGACAACATCCAAGGATTCAGTTTCATCTATACAAGCTGTCATTATTCTTGATCAAAAGCGAAAAGAACTCAAGTTTTGCTCACAACCATTTTTACTTCTCTCTCTCTTTTTCTTGACTTTTGGACCATACGACCCACAACGAGTTCGCGAGCGCCAAGGACAAGATATAGACGTGGGTAATGCCTGTGCTTCGTGGAGGTATTATTATTATCATTTTTGATTCGCAGGACAATTAGATTGCCATTCATCCCATTAAAGCATCTTTATTTGTTCTTGTGCATGTATGTGTCTGTCTGAATGAAAGTATATATACGAAAGAGAGATGGAATAGTACAAATAGTACAAGTTGTGAAGAAATGGTCTTTGAACAAAAATGAAACGTGACGAGGAAAGGGCCGAAAAGTCGAGACGATATGTACGATGTAATGCAAAATGCGGCGCCGAAATGCGGGGTCGGAGGACTACATGACTTTACAGTTCTCGTCCTCGGGCCCTTGCGCACCTTGACGTCCACGATCAGGACGGACCCGCCGTATGGCGCCCAGTTTCTTCATATCGACCAATCGCTTCTTGGCCCGATTATTGCCCTGAGCTGCCGATCGTAGATACCATCGTCTCGCCTCTTCCAGATCCTGCTTCACACCAACGCCGACCTAGCAATAACGACGAAAACAAAACAAAAATAAACAATGATTAATTAGACATCTCTCCCTAAGCTCATTCAGATAAAGCAATGCCTTGGTGGTGCTCACCTCAGAGTAATATCCAACGGCATATTCGGCGCGGGCAAGGCCTTTATCTGCAGCCTTGCGTGCCCACAGATAGGCCTCAGTATCACTCTGCTTCAGCACTCCCTCCGCGCCGGTCAAGTACCATCCTGACAAACCCAGCTCGCTCTCCGCATCGCCCTGTTCGGCCGCCCGTGTGTACCATGCAATACTCCTCCTCGGGTCGACAGGGCAGGACAACGTACCGTACTCATAACAATGTCCCAGCTTGAACTGACTTGGCGCATACCCATACCCGGCCGCCTGCGTGAACAGCTCTCTCGCATAGGCCTCGTCCGGAATCACCGTCGGAATACCAGCCTTTTCGAAGCACAAGCCGAGTTCGTGGAGCGCGTGCGGATTATCCTCGTCCGCGTTCGCAGCTGCGCGTTTGAGCCAAGTGATCGCCTCGCGTGGGTTCGCATTCATGCCCAAGAGTCCCTTGAGCTGAATCATGCCCAGCTTGTACATTCCAGGCGTGTCTCCGAATGAAGCCGCTTTCCGATAGAACTGCACGGCTCTGGAATAGTCGCGCTTCGTGCCCGCCCCAAGTTCATAACACACTGCCGTACGATACGTCGCCGCCGGATGATTCTGTTTCGAGGCTTGCATATATAAATTAAAGGCCTTGTCGTGATCGATCTGCAGACCGAGTGCTCCGTTGCCATAGCAATTCGCTAAAAAGAACTGCGCATCCGGGAAGGCTGGTTTCCCGATGCCCATGCCCGTCGTCGCCAGTCGCTTGATGATCTTGAGCCCCTCCAGAAATAAAGCCTCCTTGTTCTTTTTCTGGCGTTTGGGATCTGGATCGTCGTTGCCGAACGTTACAGCTGCCTCGATCAGGGCTTTGGCGTATTCGAGCTGTGTAGCGGGATCGTTACTGACCTTGGCACGCTGGCGCATCTCGTCCAGGACTTCGAGTGTCAATGTTCGTCTCCGTCCGGCACCTGTTCCTGATGCTGCTGCTCCTCCTGCGTGTACTGACGGTGAAGGATGTGGACGACCAGGGGAAGGGCCCATATGCGGCGGGCGACCGGGGTAATGTGGACCTGGAGGCGGGCCACTATGCCCCACCATCATCGGACGTGGCGGACCACCACGACCCGGTGGAGGTCCTCGCATCGACAGCGATGGTTGCAGATTCGCTCCTGGAGGACGTCCCATGTATGGCGTGCCAGGGGGACCGTATCCTGGCCCGTAAGGTCGGTATCCCGGTCCATGCTGATCGTATCCATTAGGTGGTTGCACAGGATATGCGCCACCGTAATGCTGCTGGTACGGCGAGTCCTGATAATAGTCCTGTCCAGCAGTGTATTCTGGTCCATAGGGTTGGCCATACTGGTCGTATCCGGCCGGGTGTCCATTGGAGGGGCCACCGTGGCCGCCGCCGGGATATGGATGCTGCGGCTGTTGTTGTTGGTATCGTGGGTCATGGGGTGGGTATTGGCTGTAGGGCTGATGGGAAGGGGGAGGTCCTCGGTAGAGTGGGCGCTGGAGAGGCTGTTGTGCGGGATAAAGAGCACCATATTCTCCTCCTGTTACTGCTCCCGCGCCTGCCCCCAGCGGTAGTGCTGGCTGACTGCTGGGAGAACTGCTGTAGGTCGGTCCATTTGGGTTTGCGGCTGCATAGGCTCTGACGGCTGAGTGAGTCGAGTGAGTCGAGTGGGTCGAGTGGGTCGAGTGGGTCGAGTGGGTCGAGCGGACGCTTCCAGTTCGTCGGTGTGATAGTTGAGACTGGGCGTCCTGGCCTGGGAGGGAGTTACCGGAGCCGAGGGATGTTCTTGGGGAATCGGAGGAAACACGTCTGTTTTGATTGACTTGTTCATGTGGATATCCGCGATCTGAGGCCGATGCCGAGGCCTGGGAACCAGAGGAGAACCGGGTGTCGTCAACATAGCCGACTCGCTCGACAGGCTCCCTGGGCTCTCCTTCCGCGAAGCGTCGGGGGAGAGGTGCTATATCGGCATCTGAGGAGGAGTCGCCGAGTCCGAGAGATAGGGAGCGGAGATCAAGATCGAGAGGAGCCTGGACCTTGATGCTGGCACCGTCCGAAGAGCGCAAGGAGGCTGGAGTGGTTGCGACAGAGGAAGAGGGTCTTCCGGCGATAGTCCAGGCGGAGTCGGAAGAAGAAGAGGAGACGGAGGCAGGCGAATAGGTGGGGTTGTTGTGGGCGGCAGAGGGCGGAGGAGGGGGGCAGTACGAGAAGGAGAGGCGGTCGGTGTCGTGGGGGTCGTACTCGACTGCGTGCCGGTAGTTCGTGTTGTTCTTGGGCGGGAGAGGGGCGAGCCTGAGCTGCGGGTCCATTTGAAGGAGGGATGATCAAGAAGAGAGAGGAGGGCGGGGGAGGAGAAGGAGGAGTGGGCTGATGAATGAGGATGGGATCGGGGTGGGATGATCGAGGTGGAGTGCGAAGGTGATTCGAGTGTTCATTTCGAGCCCAGGAAATACAGAGGAGGCGGTGCTGCACTGTTACTCTGATATGTGGTCATGGGCCACCCAGCTGGATCGAGGGGGGCAGTGCTGCAGGCTATCTTTTTCCTCCTTCCCTCCCGTAAGCATCGACAGCAATATGACACTCCAATGACGAGCCATTTGTTTGCGCCTAAAAGAAGGCCCTCCTTCCCAATGCTCTCCGCTGCGCGTTCCCATCAACAACGGCTGCACTGCTGCTCTCTTTCTTGAGAAAAACTGCCGAGGCCGAAACCGAAACAGAAACCGTAAACTGAAACACAACCGATAACCTTAACCTACAATCATTCCGGTGCCTGATCCCTGGCCCCTGCTCGCTCGTGTCTGTGAAATGGTATTCTCGCTTCATGTTCACGTCAACCGTTCAAGTTCACGCGATAACTGCAGTTCAATCTCTGGAAGCAGTGGCATGCGCATACGTTATTCCTCAGGTCGCTCATGATTCCTGCACCCCTGCACCATGGAGCACATCAGCCCGTCTCACATAGGATCCGTTGAGTGTCTCCAACCCTCTTCTCCGGCAGCAGCACCAAAGCTCCAAACACAACTGGGCCAGTCTTGAATTGCATCACCCTCGTAGTCAAGTCAACATAACCCATTCTTTGTGCATCTACGCCGAAAGCCTCTGGTACAGCCACCGAACAAAGCGGCGGAATAAAATTTAGAGCGCGTCCAGCGATGGTCATGGAACACCACTCCACAGCGACTACAGCTGTCTTTTCAAACCCAATATGAACAGGCATCTGTCACTCAAACAGATGGGCCAAATTGTCGGGATCATATATATGTAGGAGGAAATTGTGGAATGAGAGGCAGGGCCGCAGCGTCACGGTCGGCGGTATACGAGATCCTGATTAGCTTCAAGAGCCGAGGAATAGTTGCATCCCGGAAGAGCTTCAGAAGGCTTCCCCCTCTCATTATTACCGAGCGAGGCACAAGAGGCCTGAGAAAGATTGTGACCAAAAACAACAGCGCATCTCCGGGCGATGCTACCAATGAGTTGCTCTTAGGCGTGTACTAGGACAGTCCAAAGACAACCTCACAGGGAGCGCATCTTCCGCTTTGTGGCAACCAAGGAGCCCTTCCTCGCCGACAATCGTCAGACTGCATGTCTAGCCTTTGTCAAGGAGCATCTTGATTAGACACCAGATCAATGGCGGTGAGCTATAAGGACTGATCGAAAAGTGAAAAGTACGATCCGATGAGTATAACGCGTACCTTTTGAAACGAGAAAGATATCCCTATGTCCTAGCGAGCTTTTGCAGGCCAGCACGAGTCCAATTTGATTTTCTGGAGGACGGAGGCGCCAAGAGCTATGGTAATGAAGGAGAAATGAAGGAGTTCACGCGTTAAGCGCTTGACTGAGCATTAATGGAAAATGGTATTGCCGTCCATCGAAGCAAAGTGGTGAGCAATTGGCGCAATATGAACGGCACGGAGAAGATGAAATGGTCGGCATGTTTACCGGACTTGAATCCAGTCGAGAACCTTTGGTCCACCCTCCAGACTGTACGGAACAGCATAGGCCCTGGACTGCTCGATCGCTTACTTGAGTCTCTGCGAACAAGACCGGAAAAGGTCATCTAGTCCAGGGGAGGACATGCCCATTCTTAAGTCGACTCATATTGCACAAAGGAAAATATAAGGCGCCATATTTTTACTACACCGTAGACTCGCTTTCTGTCGCTGCCTGTCGCTTGCAGGCGCCATGGGGAGCACACACTGCCGAGTATTAAGTATCGACCTTGGTCTAGACAGGTTGTATTCGCTACAGTGATGAAGGACGACGGACGGACCTAACTACGGAATCACCTGTGTATGCATACACAAGAACGGCGGAAATGCAGCCTGTTATAAGAGTGTTGGGCGGAGCCAATGCAGGCCTGTTTTAAGGTACAATAGCTATGAACCAGCAAAAAAGAATTAAAAAAAAAAATGGGGAACAAAGGATAGAGGCGCCCTTTGAGGTATGGTCCGTGATCTACATGGATATTAACCGCGAGCATCAGCGACTTGAACAGGGAAAACAGGCGCGCGTACTATGGAGATTATAACCGTTGCGTATGATGCCACCTTGTTCTATGAGGGACCCTAAGCACACGATCTACCAAAAAAGAAAAAATGAAAAGAAGAAACCAGGAACGAGAATGAGAACCAAGAAAAAAAGAAAAAAGAAAAAAGGAAAAACAACAACAACAACAACAAAAGCGTAGCAACGCGTCCAAAGCAACTAACTCTACACCATTTTCGTTTGCACCGCTGGTATCTGTGCACTTATTATGTATGGATTCAGAAATATGGAATTGTTTATTGGATTATTGGATTCAAGCCGTTCTTCTTCGACTGCCCTACTCGCCCCGACCTGCTCGATCATCCTGCTCGATCGCCCTGAGCACGCCCCGCTGCCATCCCTGCGCCATCCCTGCGCCACTCTGGCGTCGTCGTACTCTCGTCCAGTTCCGTCCAGTGCCGTTCGGTACAGTCCAGTGCGCATCGTGCTCGCGTTGTTGTGTTTGCAACCATAAAGAGAGAGAACATGCAAAAGAGAAAAGAAATTGTTAGCTCTGTAGACGCAACTTGCCAACATCACACAGTCAGTGAAGGCATGCTAGCTTCCACAACCCATCTCCCTTGTTTTGCCTTGGGGAACTGAGAGCCAGCAGAACAGAAAGAAACGAGAAAAATAAACTATATAGAAAAGGACAGCGAGCTACCCATCCGGTTTCAAACATCCGCATTTCCATCTTGGCGCTCAAGGAGCACACAAGAACATGATGTGGAAGCGGAAAGAAGAACAATGAAGAATAGTGCAGAATTGTGGAGATAGAAGATGCTGCTCGCTGTGAAATATCCCAAACGGTGTTGCGTTTGCCATCTACCCAGTGTGCTGCGCCGTATGGGCTCAAAAGAGGGCCCCAGCACACTATGCCACATGAGCAGAAGGAGTGGTGCGCTTGCATGCTGTACATGAAGCAACAGGGGGTAGTGCAGCACCAGAGTGGGCGTGTGTCGTTGTGTCACTAAATGGAGCACTCGGGGGGCCATTGTTGGATCGTGGCTCTAAGGCCCTACCCTCACCCCGCACACACTTAAATGATGTGCGACATGCCCACTGCTTCATCCTCCACAGCGTGAGGAATTCACATGTAGGTCAGTGGTAGAGCCCGTCGCACTGCGCCTGGCTGCCGTTGTGCTGCAACAAATCTTCTTCAAACCGACACACACGAAATGGCACTGATACTAGCTGCCATATTCTATGCATTTATAATGCGCACCCACGTATACACGTGAAAAGGGAATGAAAATGCTCTGGGGGCCCCGCCTTAATGACAAAGCTCAGCAAGTGAGCAGGGGATTGGTTGTGTGCGAGGAAAGGTGGTGTGGACGCGTTTTGCCTACCTTGTGGGGTCAGTTGTGGGAGTAGAGACGAGAGAGGTGCTGCTTTGTCAAGGGACAAAAGGAAGGAGAGGAAGGGCAGGGTAGGGTATGACCGAGCAAGGCCAAGTGGTCAGTGGATGAGAAGCAAAGATGGAGTGCGTGGCAGGAGGCGCAGTGGCAGTAGAAGTGGGTATAAGAGGTGCAGTGGCAGCAGGAGTGGCAGTGGTTGTGGCAGTGGCTGTGTTGCCAGCTGACAGGAAAGGAAAAGAGGAAGAGCTTTGTTGCTCTGTTTGCTTACCGTGGTGGTCTACTTACTGTGATGGTCTTGTTCGCTGCGTGGAAGGGAGTGAAGAGTGCAGAGGAGAGTAAAGAGTGTAGAAGGAATAGTGGGAGGTGTGAGTTGTGAGGAGTGGAGAAGAAAAGAGAAGAAGAAAAGAGAAAAAAGAGTTGCGTGGTCAACGAAGATTTGGGGCACGTGCACGCTGGGGTGGCTGTGTCTGAAGTTGGCGGCAAATCTTGCAAGTATCCCACGCTCTTACTCCCTCTCTCACTAAGCGCCTCGGTAAGGTAATGTGAGAGTGCTAATCACAATCGCGCGGAGAACTCTCAGCCGAATGCATAGGGACACTTGGAGGGTTATTCATCTATAGGTTAGGCCTAAGCAGTGCCAGCGTGTGGTTGCGAAGTAACAGGGGGTGCAGCCAGCACATGTCAGAACGTCAAACCTTGCACTCATGTACGCTGTGCGCTCATGTCTGCTGTGTATGTGGAATAAGGTCAACTAGCCTGAACCTTTCTGTCTTTCGGTAATACGTGTTTTGTTAAGCACTTTTCTCTGCATTTTTTTTTCTTCCAGGCCCATAGGGGAACCGCAAATGGCGAGCATGCTGCTCGCTTGGGCGTCTTTTCCCGTAGAGCTGAGATCGACACCTATTGCGAGGGAGCGAGCTTAAACGATCGCAATAAGAGTCCTCCGGCCCGGACGGGCTAAATGGTCTTGCGGCGAGCAAGCAGAATCGCGCGCAATGTTTAATTTTAGCTTGCTGCATGCTCCGTTCAGCTGTGATGGTGTGTGGAAGAGCTGGTGTTCCAGTACAAGGGAATGCGACTAAAATCCGTGCAAAGCTGCCTGATGAAAGACTCTATAGACCTCAGGTTGAATCCTGTAGCGCAGCTTCATCAGACCAGAGCATTGGAATGTTGGGTGCCGGTTTCTTTGGTTGCGATATCACTCGCAGAGAGCCAGAGCTCAGGGCATGGGCTTCCATCGACATGAAAACACATAAACCTTTTAGTTCATGCGCCTCTTTTTTTATCTTTTTCCTTTTTTTTTTTGTTCCGACACAGGTGATTTGATAAAGGAGTCGCGGAAACACGCGTCTTGTGCAAGTCAGGATATTAGAGCGACTTCCGGCCAAGAGCAGCGGTTGAATTCTTCGATGAAAGTGAAGAAGAAGAAGGAAATGAGAAAGAGGGAAATGAGGATGAGTAGCCGTTTCTTTTACTATATTAGGGGTTATGCTTGGCGATACAGACACTTGAGACATAGGTTACCATGACACTGGGTTAGGGAAACAGGAAAATAGAAAAAAAAGCACAGGCAAGAAAAACACCATCAGGATTCATAAAAAAGCAAACCGCCTAATACTATGAACTTTTATTACATTCGGACGAAATTATTCCGCCTTCTGGGCTTGTTTCTACGCGCGAGATGCTTTGTACGAAGGCGCCAAGAAAAAATTACTCTGGAGATGGAGGAGGAGAATGCAGGCAGAACGAAAGAAAAGTCAAGCATTGTATCATTTTACGCTTTGTCTATGGGCGACTGACGAAACCCAAGGAGCTCTGACGCGTCTTGATTTGCGGAAAAGACGGATAGGAACAGCAGAAACGTTTAAGAGCTATGCAAAGCTCGCCAAAGAGTTTATTTATGGCGGAACTGGATTAGCTCAAGACACTGAAGTATCTACGCCTCTTTAGTTGTAAATATGGGATTAATGAACTGATCATGAGTGGGAAAGGACCTGTGCTTGCAGAGTGGAATATGAAGGGTTGGAAGGAGTTTGAGATGTCACAGGCTTTACTTGAATGTGTCCAGTGGGATACGCAAACGCTAATGGTAGGAAGGAAGCCATATCTATTTCACTGAAGGCGATAGGGGATAGGGACTGAGATCCTCAACGATTACGACGACCGCATCTTTAATGAGAGACAACAAGGTGGAAGAGCCCAAGTGGTTGATATCCAGCCACTGATTGAATCAATCTAAATCAAAGCCTTTTGCTCGCGCAACACAGCAAGCTCGCGATAAAGTTCCACAACTCTGCCTTTGCTCCAGCTCGCATCGCATCAATCATTCCTTCATTCAGCATGAGCAACCCTCTCGACCTGCCCGAGATTCTCGGATTGATCGCTAGCTACCTCAGCATTAAGGACATTCGTACTTGCGTGCGAGTGCAAAAGTCATGGAGGTCCACCTTCGAGCCCCTTCTATGGCATACCTTCATCTATCCGTCCTCCACAAAACAAAAGCCAAAGCTCGTCCTGGTAAGACAGAATGCCGAGCATATTCGCAGCTTGGTCATCGATAGAACGGAGCCAACGTATCTCGCGACAGTCTTCCGCTCGTGCCGCCAGCTGGAGGAGATCATCGTACGGTGCCATTTTTCAGAGCTTGGTAGACCATCTGCCGCCAAGGATACCATGTGGTCCTGTTTCCAGGAAATGGTCCGAGAGAACCGTAACCTGCGAGCGATTGTACTCGAACGCACTTCTGACTTTGGGTATCGGCCCTTGCCACGACACAGGCTTTTGCAAGCCCTTCAAGCCTGTTCCAAGCTTGAGGTTCTACAGACTGCAGAGTGTCAGTTCAACAGCAACTTGTCGCAGAGTTACTTCCAGGCCATCTCGCCCAACGTGAAGCGACTTTCTTCCGTTCTTGACTCTTTTCAAGGCTTCAAAGTGCCAAGAAACCTTGTCTTTCCAAACGTTCGACACCTCGATCTTAGAAATGCCAAGATGCCATCCCGCACTCAACTCTTTTGGATCGGCTGCTTTCCTAACCTAGAGTCGCTCACCTGGGAGCTAGATCGTTCGGTTCCGACCACGCGATTCTGTCAGCTCCTATCCGGGTGTTCTCAGCTGAAGGCTCTTGGTCTGGTGATCCCTAATGGCGCCGATGCTATGACGGAGGCCCTCGCGGTGGCCCCACCTCTCGAGAGACTGTTACTGGGAGGATCCGGCTTCAAGTTTCCGTCGTTTCAAACTCTTAAACGCCACGCCTTGACGGTCAAGGAAATTGATCTGCAGTACCTATGGAATGTCACCAGTGCTTTGGTTCAAGAGATCCTATGCTTATGCCCAAACCTGGAAAGCATCACCGCCGAGGACTTGAACTATCGCGACATTGTCAAGGGACCGTGGGCGTGTCGTAATCTGCGCAAATTCGATGTGGGAATCAGTGTCGATCGTGGCTCTATGAATGCCGAGCAGCTCCATACACTAAACCAATATGTGTACAGACGTTTGGCCGAGTTGAAAAACCTGCAGTGCCTCTCGATCTGTAACAACGGTTGCGGTTGGGAGGGCAGTGTATATTCATTGAACAGAATGATGAAAGTGTCGTCCAATGCAGGATTTGAACAGCTCCAGGCGCTGAAGGACCTCAGGCTCTTTAGCTGCAAGCTTGCGTTCGACGAGACGCTTATCATAGACGAGGGGGAGCAATTGGTTCAGTGGATGATCAATCATTGGAAGCGCCTCGAGGTCGTGGAAATAACGCTTAAGGTCTCGAATCACGATTATGCGAATCTGAACCCCATGAGAAGGAAGCTGCGCAGGATGCTAAGAGCCCGAGATATCCAGGTCATTGATTCGAAAAAGTCGGCCGAGTATACCTGTGATTTTGCAGGTGATTTTGAGGACGATAATATCGAGGTTCGCATGTGAGTTTCATATGTCCCTGAACGTGTGATGTGAGTTGCACATTGCAGTCAAATGAGGGATGCTGTGTCCCAGGATCGTATCCAGCAACTCTTTAGCTACCAAAGTTACAAAGGAATTTTCGAATATACTTGGCAAATTGACATGAGTTGGGTGGCTAATTTGTGCTGTGCAATTCCTGGCACACAAGGGTGGTAAACTTTATCGGCTCCAGTTTTTTTTTTTACTACTTACAACTCCATTCTCATCTCCTCTTCTCATAACACCTGGCATGAACTACATAATTAAGCCGCCAGAAATCCTCACCTCAGTACCAACAACGTTTTGCCCTAAATTTGAGTATGCAAGCTGCGGAAAGCCGCATTCGAGCCTTCGCTCTGGTTAACGTATGTCTGCAAAGACGCACACCAGGCACCGCAGTTAAGTTCCATTTTGACTAAGAGGAACGCGTACTGTATTCTCGCTAGGAAGTGTGGTATGAAGATGTTGTCCAGTAATCATGGCCTGTGAGGACCTTCATCACTTCAATGTGGGCATCGGTGATAACTATGGTCTGATGGGCAGAATGAATCTTTACGAAAGGAGCTAGCAAGTGTAAAGGCTTCTGGCGGAGTTAACGATCTGTGGCGCCTCTCGATTTGTTACCCCGAGAGTTATGAGTGTGAATCAAGCACGCTGGACAGGGCGCTAAGGCTGCCGTTGGAGGAGGATGCTGGGATGGCGGAAGACGTTGAGGCAACTTGAGCGCTTTAATTGTAAGCGTGCGCTTGACGGGGTATTGTTGAATAGTGAATATATGAAAATATTTTTTGCATGGCGGAACGCCAAGTCTTTTGAAGGATTGAAGGGACATCTGAACGAAGATCAGATGAATTCACAAATGTTAAGTGTATCAGTATGGCTAGCTCATATCATCACTATCTAACGTGGGATATCAAGGAGCTTTTGGTAATAAGTTTCATGGCGTACACTCTAAAATACGCGGCTGGGCAGCAAAGCAAAGGTTTTTTGGCCTCCTGAGCGCTGGATCAAAGTTCGCGATGCGGACGAAATTATGGACGCTCTTTGTGTCTGATCTTTAGCATTGGGTTGAATATTTAACAGATTGGTCAAAGTTGGCGCGGCTGACTACGATAACAGCTACTCTAGTTCTAAAAGCTTAGATGACCTTGCGCGCGAAATCTAGTCCTGTTTGATAACACTTCAAGGCACGAAGCATGAGCATAAGTCCACTGTGCTGCTGGCCATTTTAGCTGAATTCGTTGGAGCAGCAGATAATGTGACACTGTAACAGACAGCACAGTAGATGTCTACACATAACAAAGAAAGTGAGAATAAACAGGAGTGAGCGAAAAAGAACTCGGGCTGCTTGCACGGTTGGTCAATTCCTTTTTGTGTGCTTCTGTGGAGGAGGATTGAGTTCAAGGAGCCCTGTTAAGGGGTCATCCTGATGGACGCACCTGAGACGGAGGCCTTTTTCTGCCCTTTGCTCGTCCTCCCCTCTCTTCCTTTCGTTGCCTAATCGAGCCATCGAGCCTTGCCCTTACTTCACTTTCCATAATCGTAAGTACCCTTTCCGGCAAACAATTGTCGGCCACTTTTGGACAACGCACAACGCTTCATCGTTTGCATGCAACCGCGCCCTGGTTCGTATAAAATCACCTCATTCCCTCTTTTCTTTGGCCACATCCACTTTTCGATCGCAAGACAACCCCGGTCCATCACACTCCATCTCACTGCAAACACAACACGCATCACGCATCACATTTCAAAACAGCAAGGCACAGTTGTTTTTCGTAATCCCTTCTGGTTCTTGTCTGACTGGATGGAAGCATGAATACAGCTGGTGGCAAGTGCTTTTGCAAATATAGGTCTCCCGCTTCTTTGTAACACCCGAAACCACATTATCTGTTGGAAACAAATAGAAGGCCACGTAACAATAAGCATTGAAGGAGAGATAATCATCCCGTCAGACTATGAGACGAGGCGCATGGGATTGTGCTGCGGAAACAAGAGAAGGATCTTGGCGCCGAGAGGTGGCAGGCATTGGGGTGGTTGATATATGGACCAACACTCCACAGCGGTGCTGCAGTCTGTGTGTGGGATTCTCCTTTCTCGCACTTCGCCACGGTCATTGTTCTTCTCATATTGCCCATTTATGGAATTCAATGCTGGCGAAGTACTTTTGGTGTCGATCCTTGTTCAATCTCTTTGCCATCTTTGAAGGACTTTGTAGTCCCCCCCCTTCACTCGTCGTTTGTTGCTACGCTTTGCCTGGTATGAGAGATGGTGTGATAGGTCAAAATGTGGAACTTGCTCATGAAAAATGAGATGAGGGCGGAAAAAAAAATGGCGCAACAAACTGAAGTGTTCTAATACCCTGTGAAAAAATGAACAAAAGGATGCAATGAAGATGGCTATGTGCATGGCGGAAGGTTTGTGGGACTGATAGCAATCCATGGTATAAGTAGCTGGTAGAGCGCCTTGCAATTCATGCAGCTTCAGGGACCCTCCGTGGCCCCCATGAAAGCGAGCACATCTCTTTTATTAAGATTTGTGATAAGCCAACTTTTCTTCCTTCACGTCATATCGAACCCTCAGACTGACGCAGCGCCTGATCCACTCATATAGGACGCATCTAAACAAACAACCCGAATCAACCCAACTCTCAAGGATACCGTTGCAATCACGACGACCATGAGCACAAAACGAAACCAGGCGACTACAATTGGCACTAACGGTGGACAGGACCGTACTTCAGGGGAAGGTGGAGACGATCATATCGACAAGAAGTTCAAGCAGGTTCACGGCGACGGTGACGAAGATGATGAGGAAGACGACGAAGAGGAGGCTCCCAAGAGCGGCAAGCGTGCTGGACGAAGAAAGATTAAGATCGAGTACATTGAGGACAAGAGCAGACGCCATATCACCTTTTCCAAGCGCAAGTCAGGCATCATGAAGAAGGTACGGCGATATTGCTATCATGTCCTGTTCCTTGACGTGGGGTATTTATTCAAATGACAATATGGCTCATGGCAACACATAATATCGACGGACGTTATGTTTTTCATAGGCCTATGAGTTGAGTACGTTAACCGGAACCCAGGTGCTTCTGCTGGTTGTGTCGGAAACCGGATTGGTTTACACATTTACTACACCCAAGCTGCAGCCGTTGGTAACCAAGGCTGAGGGCAAAAATCTGATTCAAGCCTGCCTGCATGCGCCCGACAAGGAGGCCACTCCCGTAAGCTTCGTTTGTTAAGCTGCTTTTAGTTGCTTTTATAGTTCGACGGTGTTTATGATGACTGATGGTTTTGTTTTCCTTTCATTCTGCTTGACTATTTTTTTAGGAACAGTACCCCAACAACGAACAGGAGGGCTCGCCCACAGCAGGATCAGGAGACGAAGACAACGATCAAAATTCGTCTTCGCCTGTCCAGCCCCCAATCCCATCGCCTCAGCAACAGCAGCAATCGATTCCGCAAAACGCTACGTACTCTGGACCGTCAGGCATCCCCATGTATCCTGCGCCATACAGTCACATCCCTTACCCTGCGCAGGCTCCTGGTCAGGCACCACCGTACAGCTACCCTAACATGGGCATGCCTTATCAGACAGGACCTCCCCCTTCCAATCCTAATGGTCCACCTCCTGCTCATCCATCTTCGCAGTACTGGGCACCATCACCCCAACAGCAGCAAGCACAGCAGGCAGTCGGATCAGGAGCACCACCTGCACCCTCAAAAGGCGCACGAGCAGACAAGTGAGGATGAGGATCGATAGGCGCTTCCGAGGAATACAAGCAGAAGGAAAAAAGAGCAAAAAAAGAAAAGAAAAAAACATACTGCGGCGGATTTGATGAAGCTGGATATATGAATTGAACAGCGGACAATCACAGTTGTAATAAAAGCAATTTTTCAGTGTCACAGCATTGGACAACAGAAGAGCATGGAGATGTGATGTGAACTCACACACCCCGCACACGAAATTAGTGGTGAGACATTTCGGCTTTATCAGTCAGTCAGTTTGTTCGATGCGTGTAGCTTCCCCCTCCATCTTGTCATTGGCCTCCTTGCGTTGGATTCCATTACTGCATTCTGGAAAATAGAGTTATTGACTCCTACTCTTTCTTTTAGCGTTCACCTCACATGGGATCGCGACCAGAGATCTCGCGCTACATCGTCTCCATGGACATCTTTTTCATGCACTTGAATCGGCAACCCATGGAGAGCCACGTTCCAACTCCCTTCTTTGGAGCACATCCACCGCTGTGTCCGTAATACCACGGAAATCAAGTCTTGTAGAACGCATGCCACATTTGCAGTCTGATCGTCAAGGGTATGGACACCTCCGACCGTCGACTGGAAGAGTATTCGGCGGCATTCTGCAAAGGCCGAAATAAGCCAGTTCAGCGCTTCAAGGATTGGATGTGACCATGTATTGTGGAGTCGACCGAGAACAACCCTCAATAGCGGAAAGCCGCTATTACTCATGGAACAGAGTCACCGGGCGTACTCGCTTCCAGGTTCTTGAAGGCCCTAAGTTCGTACCTGAAATTAGAGCTCCCGGAAACTAAATGGCGTTATTGGACATGAACCTCAGTTAGGATTGTATTCAGGGCCTCCCCATGCAACCAACTCGGAGGAGATCGTGGATTCCAACAATATAGGACGGCCCAACCTTCCTGTGATTGGGGCGTCTAGAGATGCGCATGCTCGTTGTCTCGGTCGAGACGCGCAACTCTCCTAGAAGACATATTATCCCAACCTGATCTTGCTTCCCCTGGAAAGATCTAAACAGGATTCCGACCGTTGATTCTCCAAGCTTCTCGCCGAGACCTTGAATTATCAGGAGATTGTCACGTAGCTATGGGTGTGCAGGAACTTGCGCGAATCCACTGTTGGCATCCGTATCGAGCAAGAGGGATTTGGGATCGGTAACCCGTGCTGGAAAGTCCGCTATCAAGTGTATCAGCGTTTGACAGAGTTGAAGTAAACTCAGACATCTCTCGATTTGCAGCACCTTGGGTTGGATTGAGATCTCTGCAGCGCAGGAAAAGAGGCAGTCGGAAACACTAAAGCAGCCGCGGTATTCGCTCACATGGCATCCATGAACGAAATATTTTTTTCTTTCGAGCAAGGAGGGACCCCAGCGGGTCGAGTGGATCCTGCAACACTGGAAACAGCTTGAGAAACTGGAAGCGTCGCTTGGACCGCACACTACGATGCTCCCAGCTGGACCGCCGTCCGTCAATCGATGTTAGATTCGCTGAGGGCAAGGGAGGGAAGGAGGTTCTTAACAGTGACATTATGTTCGAGTTAATGGAACACAAGACAGCGGTCCTTACCAATGATGAAGGTTGATGGGAAAAGAAACAAGGGCAAAGGCGGTAGAGTGATGGGACGGATCAGGGGCAGTGGCCGTCAGTCATATAGCTGTCAATAAATACCATGGCTTCGGTATATTTGCGGATGCAGCCATCCTGAGGGGATAAACATCTTCACTTATGCTTCTGTCCAGGCTCCGGACTGTCCATGCTCCTTTTTCCATCATCATTCATTGTTCATGGCACCTTTTTTCTTAACGGGATCAAATGATACCCAATGGACAGGGGTTTCTTATAGTCCTGGCGAAAATATTGTACGAGTTAAAATGTAGTATAAAATGCCAGCGCGTTGAGGCAACCCATATTCGTTTTCAGCTCACCATAACCCACGCTTAGGCATTATTCGACGTGTGTCGGAGTTTGCTCGACTCTAACACGGAAAGAATGCTATAGCGACTGTTTTAGCCATCACCTTCCTCGATGAGTCTTATCGTCGGCCTATGCCGATGTCTTGACCTTTCATCGCACTTCAATGCCATTCTAATACTGGAACGGCATCCTTGTAGCACATCATAGTAACCTTACTCATTGTCGAAGGGTCGGACGAAATTTAAAGCCGCACTTTGATTCACACATTATAAAAGATAGTGAGATCAAAAGAGATAGACCCAACCCCAGGCAACCCTTGAGCACTGGAACCTGCACATGTCTGTTTAAAGAGAGTGTATTTCCGTTCGCTGCTTTAAGAATAATAACGCGTCTTGAAGTGAGTCAGCCAAACAAAAGCATGGAGGCATTTCTCCATCGCAGTTTGTTGATTTATTGGTCTATAGCACTATAGCCTGCCATACTCGAACCAAGTGCTAATATAATATATATCTCCAAATACTCGTGTAAAAAAAGAAAAGACAGGCATGAATAAGACGCGCATTTATTCATCGCGTTTGATTTGGGCAGGATCGATGCCATAGCGTTTCATGAAGGCGAAGATGGTTGCTTCCGAAACACGGAATCCGAACCCACCAAAGCTGTACGTATTCAAGTCAAGGTAGGACCCTCCGCCATCTGCGCTCACTTTCTCACAAATCCCATTGACAGTCTCGGTTGCCTCGCTGCTCCACGCCAGGCGCTTGTCAACGACCGCCAAGAAATACCCAGACATTCCTTGGTCGTAGCCCCACGCGATGTTGATTTCGCCTTCTTTTTTCTCGTATCGCACCATGGAATAGGACCTTGTGATGAAAGGAAAATCAGGTCAGAGGACTCTAGTAGATAGCCAAGGAGATGAAGAGGTTCCACGGATAGGCTAGGCAGAGGAGGTTTCCGAAGGACAGGGGCAGGAGATGACAGAGATGACAAAGAAACCAGAGAGGCCTGAGACGTAGTAGGGGGGCTATCGAGGCTGTCTTATATAAATAGAAGTGCTGTGGGACTTGTAGAAGACAGTTTGGGAGAGACCGAGACGACATGAGAAAAGAAAAAAAAAAAAGAAGGGTTGGACCATGGAGATCCTGCTCTCGACTTTTATATGCATGGTCATGACCCGTGAAATTCTTCTTGCATAAGAAAAAGAGTTGTACACGCACAGCAGCATTTTTCCGCAATAGATTTCTGATATGTAGACTAGCAAAGCTGTCGTACCCTGAAAGAAAAGACAGAGAGGCGAGGACGAAGAACAAACACCAGGTCACACAAACCCCCGAAAGAAATCGGTTTAGAAGGACCGAGGCTGGTCAATACCGCGTGTGTGTAATCTGTGCATGTGCATGCGTACGGTATGCGAGGAACAGATTTGATGGCACAATCGGAAGCTTTGTTTTCTTTGCAGATAAAGACTTGTCTGTAAAAAAAAAAAAAAAGAAAGCGTCGAAGGATTGTGTCAAGAGTGCGTGTCGCATCGATGCGAAGAGACAGTTTGGATACCCTTTAAGGGGCCGAGATTTGAGTTGGGGGAGAATGCTGAATCAGAAATGCGTTCAAGGGGGTTTTCGAAAAAAAGAGATTTTGCACTTGCTTCTCGCTGATTTTTTTTTTTTGGCTGGGGAGGAGAATTAAAAAAGATGGAGTGAAAAGGTGACGGAGGCCCAAAATTGAACGCATTTCTAGTTTAACTTAATCTTCATCCTCACGTGCTCCTACACACTGCACTGCACATTGTACCCTATGGACTTGATGGTGTCAAGCCCTAGACAGCGTGCGCGCGGGCTTCATTCCACTTTTAGCCGTGTTACTTTACTGATTTACCAGTATCAAAGTACATACCTCAAATCACTCCCCACGAATGCGTTGAGAGTGGAGCTGTCCCACAGTGTGAGTGACCAAGGTGGTTACCACAGTGATTGGCTTTGCAGGGGATATGGAAGTCGTAAATGATCAGGCTGACCTCGGATCCTTTTTTCATCTACTTCTGAAGATGCGCCTCATAGGACACCAAGGCATTCATTTTGAAGGAATAAGACCCGAGTCCGGACTTGCTCGGGTGAATAGATGAGCTCTACTCCAGCCATATTAGCACCGCCAAGACCATCAATTGCATACCCACTCCGCCGACTAGCAATTGTCACCAAATCGATTTAAGCTCTCAGGAAGGCTACATCCGAAACATTGGAGTACAGAGCAATACTTTGGCCGGAACTTCACTTCAATTGCTGACCTGAAACCAAGAATCTGTGCGTATGGTCATCGTGATGACCCTATGTCTTATCGTATGGGTCTAATGAGACGGTTCCTGGATAGCCGTGCGCTATTTGTTGTATAGCTTTATGTTGCCTTCAATGATGATGTGCTCTACGATCGATCCTGGTGCTACGCTATTGGCAGAGGAGAGGTCCGGAGATACCTTCAAGATGAATCCAAAGCCCATGGCCCTGCCAGCGGACTCTGTATGACGCATGTATGATTTCCATGGCACTTGAAAGATTTATCGAGCATAAAGCGGAGAGGTGAACGTATACGCATTGGCATGATATTGTTTCTGAATTTTGCTTTTTTTTTTTCTTTTTTTTTTTCTCTTACCTCGTGTTTGTGCGCCGTCGAGTCGCGTCCTGCAGATAAGGATTGTCATTGAACAAATGAGTTGGCCCTGCATTTGGTCCATTCTGATCGTTCTGGAGGATGATATATAGTTCTTTCAAGAGGCACGCGATCCACTCTCTTTGTCGAGACACTTCTTTCCATGTTGAGTTTCTATACTCTCTTCTTCATAGAGAAGGAATGAAACACTCCTAGTATTTTTCTTTGTTTCATGCAAAAAGTCTCGAATACAAAACTCTTTCTATGAGAGGGTGAATCTGGTGGCACTACGGCATCAGATGAGACTCGATGACCTTTTCGTCTCCATAGCCATTGCTGAGTGTCTGCAATCGAGTGTGGGATAAGGGGCCAGTCCGAGACATGCATTTACCACATGCTGCAATTTTTTTATTGTTCCTTCCCGCCAAATTCAAAAGAATGAAGAGTGATAATTGAAGGCGTTGGCTGAGGCGATATATGAAGTGCGTGGGCGGTGAAGCGTGGGAATGGGTGGAGGCTGCCTCTAGTCTACTTTAGATTAGTTGAACCAGTGAAATGAGGCTGGGGCGGTATCTATCCAGGAAGCGGGCACTTTGCGGACGGTACCTGCATGGTGCATGAATTGGAGATGGTATATGGGCAGATGTATATTGAGGTTGTTCATTTAGGGAGCGGACTGCAGCGCAGTTTAAGGGATAGCTGCACAACATCTTCTACCCCGGATATTGTCCAAGACAACAATATATTCCCCGCGTGATATGTCTGTTTCGGACGCCATTCGAGGGATGGATATTAATGCGCCATAATGACAGCGCATTTGCACCCATCGACTTTCTGTCTATCGCTGTGTGATTACCTACTCGTTCATTTGCATATGTGCATGACGATGACGATGGTGCTGATGATGATGACTTTGGCCCTCGAGTCTATACTTTTCTGTCCACTGCATAAATTTTTCTTTCTCTTTTGTTTCCTTTCCCGCCAAAACCATTTTAAAGGTGCAACACAGCCCCGCAGAGCAGTAAGAGAGAAGAGATCAGCCAACCACCAGCCACTTCTCTCTCTCTCTCTCTCTTCCTCTTCCTTTCTCTTTCGCTCTCCCCTCTCCGTCCTATCGCATCCCTTCTCCCCCACACTCCGTCTTTACACGTCCCATCCACTCTCCTTGCTTCCCTTCTTTCTCTCTCCCCTCCCCGCTTCTCCTTTCCCCCCCCTCCTCCTCCACATTTCCCTCCATTCCCTCGGATCTGATTGGGTTCCATTTCATACGCACGTACACGCGCCAGAACATACCTACACACCCACGCCGCCTACACTCACACCTCCATTGCTCGCCCTACTGCCGCCCTTCTTCCCTCTACCCACACATGCAGCACCAGCATCCACAGCATGGCCAGTCCTACCAGCAAGGGGGGCTCATCTACACCAGCCAGCAACCACCGTACCATCTCCCACCTGTAAGTGAGATCCTTAAAGCCTTATGACAGTAGACTGCGGCAGGGTGGACCAAGGAAGCGGATAACTAACACCGCTGCGGTTTGTGTAGCACGATGGAGCCAGCAGTGGCGGCGGAGGAGCACATTTCCAAGGATTTCACCCACAAACAGCCTATCCCTCCATGGTATAGTGGATAATTTCATACAAAAACAAACAAAAAAAAAATGTGTCAGCTTGACGAATATCTTGTTTCAATCCCAATAATACTTACCTTCTTTGATAAAAACAACTTCATCGTCATCGTTATGTTTCTTAGACCTCAGGACTGCTGAACCCCCAGAGCCCTTCAGGCTCCTCACCTCCAACGCTCCCCCTCCACGCACATCCCGACCCTGAGACACTCCATCATGTTCATCAGCAGCAACAGCAGCAGCAACCGGCATACCAGCAGATCCCAGGAGAGGAACCGCATCGCCATGTGGTACTCCCTCCGACACAATCCGCAAACGGACAGGAGGAGGAGCCGTTGTATGTGAATGCGAAGCAATATCATCGGATCTTGAAGCGGCGCGCAGCTAGAGCCAAGCTTGAGGAGATGAACCGAATGGCCAAGATTCGCAAGGTGAGTCTCTTTGAAGTGCATGAATATGTGCACAGGATGGGGGAAAAAAGGATGGCAAGGCGAATGCACACCTTCTTGCTATCCTCTTTCCTAATCTCTTTTTTTTTTTCCTGCTGCTAATGGTTTCTTATGAATATAGCCATATTTACACGAATCCCGACATAAACATGCTATGCGCCGTCCACGAGGTCCCGGGGGTCGGTTCCTAACTTCCCATGAAATCTCTCAACTCGACCGTCTCCAAGCCCTCTTTGAAGCGATGGGTGGCGTCGGACCCGTCGGTGGAGACATGCACCTCGCCTCCTCGAATTATACACCCGAACAGCAGCACGAAATCGTGCAGCAGCAGGTTCTTATGCAGCAGGGACAACTTCATCAACAACAGCAGCAACAGCCGCAACCCCAGCAGCAAGGACAGCAAGGACAGCAGGGGCAGCAAGTGGGACAGGTAGCGCAAGGACAGATACAACAGATCCCGTTACCGCTACAGCATCATCTTCCAGGTTCCAACCGTCAGCAGCAGCAGCAGGGTCCGTTCGGTACAAGTACAAATACTACTGGCGTTAGCGGCGGGTATAACCAAGGTCTATACACCTCACAACCCTCGGTACTACCGCCAACCTTGACTTCTTTATCTACCACCGGGAGCGGACCCAGCACCAGCATCTCGACAGCTAGTCTCCTGAACTACTCCCACAATGACCCCACAATTTCAACCTCAGTAGGACACATGCCCTCGGGGAGACAGATTCACAGCGCACACACTCCATTGACGCCCACAACCTCAACCCCCACAACACCTACACCCGCTACCCCCCGTGGTTCCGACGAATCGAATATCTACTTGCAGGGTGCTGCAAGCCATGCGGAGGAACAGATTGGCGAAGCATCTGGTTCTGGCACCCAAGGAGGAGGAGTGGTTACGGAGATGCAGCTGCCAGAGGCATCAGCGACGACGGCACATCAGGGGACGTTGTATCCAGGCGCGATTCAGGGACTCGAAGGCCAACAGGGACAGGAGGAGGTTGGAGAAGATGATGATGGTAGCACAAGTCTTTTGACGCCCACAGGGGACGACTAAGCCGGAGTCGGTCGCGACGTTCAAGATCTTTTTTTGTTTTTTTTTGTTTTTTTCCGGCATTACTTCCCTCGGCTGCTTTGTCTATTCCTTCATTCACTTCAGTCCCATCCGCTTTGTCTTCGTCTTCGCTTTTGTGTCCATTTCTTTAACCCGAGCCTGGTCATCTCGTCTTTTTTATTCACACTTCTCCCACTCCAAGTGGTTAGCATAGCTTCGTCAATCGTCCTTTCCCATCTTTCAACAACTAGCTCCTCCTCGTTTATATCGCTTTTTTTTGCCCCTGTACATAGACAGAAAAATACAAATTTATTTTATTCATTTTGGTCATCTCGTAAACATTACATTGCCCTTTGTATACGATGGTCTATGCCAGACCCCACTGAATATACCACTCCGAAAACAAATCAATTCCCAATCCCTCAACCGTCAACGACCCAACTGCCTGATCCACCTTCCAGCTCACCCCTGTCGCTGGATCCTTGCCCTCCGTACCGTTCAACCCGCCATTCAGTCCATCGCCGAACGGAATCCTCGCTCCATTGATATCCAGCACTGTCAGCCTTGCCTCATTTATAGCAGCAGGCATCGTCGTTGTCGAGTTACGGCCCTCCAACAAAGGGACCTGTGCAGTCGTCTGGCGGTGCTCGGAGGCTGACGCAGAGGCCAAGGACCGGCGTTTGAACGAAGCCTGCTTCGTCCATCGCTCTCCAGAGCCTTCGCGCGTATGCACACGTCCACTGACTCCATGATCTACAACATCGCGCCTGTGCAACCCATGCTTTCCCTGCGCACGCAGTTCCCAGTGTCTCTGTTTCTGGTCTCTGTCCTTGTTCTTGCTGCTCGATCTGTCCGTCTGCGAAGGCTTCGCCGCAAAATTCAATCCCACCACTACAATCTTCCCAATCCGATCCGAATGCTGTACCTCTCGCCTAAACGCGTCCACCTGCGCCGGATCCATGCCCTTCAGATCTCCACCTCCTTGGTTTCCGCCAGGCCACTGTAGGACCGCCTTGCTCATCAGTTTCTGTCCCTGGGGATCCATCTGGAATGAGACCATGGCGTTGTACTCATTCTGAACCGAAGCTCCGTCGTCCACATACATTTCTCCGGCAGCAGTACCCGCAACATCCAAGGCCACGATTAACGAAACCGGCTGCATCCTCGTCGCCGCAACCGTCGACTGTGCAGGTGCCTGGATCGGGATAACCGAGCCCCCACGGACCGACATTGGGATCGGATCGCTTTCGGCCTTCGCACTCAAATACGCATACCTCCCATCCTTCCCTCCTGCGCCAGTGCCCATGACAGCTTGAAGCGTCGAAAAATCAAACCACTGTCCATCGCCTGGGAAGAACGCCTTGACCTGAATCTGTCCCTTCGTCAATGCAGGTGAAACCAGCACGTTATCACCCAACAAGAACTGCTCCTCGACTTTCCACGAGACCGGATCTTTCGGGAACTCGAACCACAGGGGCTGCCAGATAGGTCGTCCTGTCCGATGAGACCGCTGATGGAGCGTATAAAAATACGGCAACAGCGAGTACCGCATCCCCAATGCCTGTCTCGTCGCCGGGAGTACCGAATTTGGCCACATGTACGGTTCCTGATCCGTCGCATGGATATCGTTGTGGTTTCTCGCGAAGGGATAGAGCGATCCGAGTTGGTGCCAGCGCAGACAGAGTTCTTCGGTAGTGTTGCCGTTGAAACCGCAGATGTCGGCTCCAACAAAGGGGATTCCGAAGAGTCCGAAGGATAGGATCCCAGAGATGGAGTACTTCAAGTGGTCCCAATCCGACCAGTTATCGCCTACGAAGGTGTTGTGGGTATAGGGGGAGAAAAAATGAGAGAAGAAGGTTCGTTAGCATTGCCATATGGAACAGCGAGCTGTGTTATTCCTGAATAAAGGAAACAATAGTTTGCAGGTTGCTTACCAGTCCAGTGGGCAGCATAGGCGCCTGCGGACAAAAAGTGTTGTAAAGAAGTGCGGTGTAGTCAGTAACCTTTGTTCTTACATATAATTCACACGCATGCTACAATGATTCAAAAAAAAAAAAAAAAAAAAAAAAAGGTGTGCTGCTTACCAGTGCCGGCAAAGGACGATCTCGTCAAGATAAAGGGCCTCCTGTCCGGCTGGAGCTTCAACAGGGCCTGATGCGTCGCGGCCGCCTCCATATGTCCATACAGATTATGAGTATCCGTCAACCGCAGCCCATTCTTATGCACCGCATTCTCTGCCAACGTCTTCTCGTCCAGAGGTGCCTGTCGTCCCGCGTTATTGATCGCATACTTCAGACTCTGCTGAGGTGCTGCATCCTCTCGTTTCCGCTTGAGGGCATTGGGGGCGTCCTTGTTACAGGGGCCACTACAGAAATTACTCGGTTCGTTCATATCGATCCAGGGGTACACATTTACGCCCAGAGCTTCCTCGGTCTTGCCCAACTGTCGCTGCCAATACTGCCAGGTCTCGTTCGTGTTGAAGAAATCGGGAAAATATGTCTGTCCTGGCCAAACACGTCCCTCGATCGGTTTACCCGTCAAGGTCTTGATAAACACATCCTCCTGCATCCCCGAATCATAGGGCTCATATCCCGGAGCAATCGGGATTCCGGGGTCGACAATCAGGATCATGCTCTGATTGCTCGCCTTCAAATTCTCCGCCAGTGCACGAACCTTGGCTTGTGGGTACCTCGTCTCATCGAATGTGAAATCCCGATACTGATCCATGTAATCGATATCGATCCAGACCCCATCCAATGGAAGGTTCTCTTGTCGGTACTGTTGAACAACCTGTTCGACCGCCTCGACATTCTTATATCCGTATCTTGACTGATGGAATCCCATGGCCCAGGCTGGGGGCATATGCGGTCGCCCAATGACTTCTGTATACTGGTCCATCACCTCCGCAGGGGTCGGGCCTACAAACACTGTGAAGTCCAGAACGCCTCCAATGACCTTATACGTGACCTTGCCCGGCGTCACAAACACATCCATTCCGTTTGAATTCCTCAGGAAGACCCCATGTGTGGATCCGTTACGCATCTCCATATAGAACGGGTGAGATCCATACAAGTTCTGGTCCTTCGGTGTCGGAGCATCCCTTGCCCAAAGCGTCTGTCTTGTACCCTTGGGATCCCGCCTGAACGACGACATGACCTCCCCGAGTCCATAGATATTCGCTTCCTTTGGAATCACAGACGAGATCTCTAGGTACTCATCCTCAAATACCAACGAGTCCACCCCAGCCACGTTCGAATCAAATACAACCTCCCCATCCTGAACCCTCTTCACCAGGAATGTAAATGGATTCTCCTTGTACTCGAAAGCATACCCACGTTTCTCAACCTTCCTCACGGTCTCCTCCGTCGGGGGCAGGGCCTCGCGTGGGATTTCATATCGCGTCGCGTTCGCATCCACAATCTTGATCCGGATCCGGGACTCGGTCTCAAACGCAACCTTGACATTCAAGTTCGGAAGGTCTTGGCCAAATCGGGCACAGTCTGCGGGAGAGCCATTCAGGGACAAGGAGAGCGACAGGGCCGAGTCAGATTCTTGGACGGATGAGACAGTGTAGCCTTTGCAGGGTTGTTGTTTCAGGAAGCAGAAGGGGGCGTTCAGGGTATTCTCGGTCGAGTCCCAGCAGCATCCCCGGTCGTAGCTGTTGAAAGCGTATCGAGGAAACGGGAATAAGAGGGGAAGGGGGAGAGAGAGAATGGAAGGGAGGGAGCTGTGGGTTAACTGATTGCTGAATATATTGATTAGGTAAAAAAAAAAAAAAAAAAATCGTGTAGAAAACGAGCTTTTACCATTCCTGAGCGTTGATGCCCATGTAACCACAATCGCGTCGGCTGACAATATCGGTCGTGCAGAAGTATTCTTCATTCTATAGTGAGAGCAGTCGATTGCCCGCGAGGAAAGCAAAAAAAAAAAAAAAATGGACGATCGTTTAGAGAGAATGATCCTCCTTCAATTGATCGCTCAAAATGGTGCCACCAACGCCTATGTATTACGAGGAATGCGAGGGAAGGCATTCATTCCAATCACATACCTTCTTCTGGAAGCACCAGGGAACGGGTGCCCTGGAGGGAGACCAGCAGCACTGTCGCTGGATGCACTGGTCCTTCGTGATACCGAGGAATCCACAATCCTGTCTCCCCAATAGATGTGAGCACGTATCCTGACCATCACTGGATGCAGGCGCTGGCGTCGGCGAGGAAGTTGCAACGGAGGTTGGGGTATTGTCTGCAGCGGCGTGGATGAATGCCTGGGGTCGCGTCGCTGCAGCATGGACTTGGTTGACGGCGGTCGCGGTGAGGCCAAGGAGGACTAGGGCGAGGACGAGGAGGCGTGGTGGGCGCGGTGGGCGTGGTGGGGCAGGTGTGCGAGGCCCCATTTTCAGTACTTTCGATAGATGTACTTCAGCTGGGATCGGGGATGGAAACAGAAGATAGTCAGGGACGAGAGAAGGAAGTGGAGTTCAAAGGGAGAAGAGCTGAGGAGTAAAGAGAGAGAGGAGGCTGTTGGCTGCCTGGTCCTTTTTATGCAATTGCACACCTCCATTGCACATCCTATGTCCATGACTCCATGGGACACCCATGGCAACACGCTCAGGGGGAAGACAAGGCTTGAGCGGTCGTAAGGAGGAATTCCCCGTTGGCATAATGTCTGCTCCCTCCTTCATTGCCCATCGTTCATCACACTTCACTGTCTTCATTCTCATCGATCACTCCCCATAGACATTCAGCATGTGCTTTCGTGCTTGTGTGTGTATGTACCTGTCTGTGCAGGGGCTGTTGTGGCCAGTCCTTGTCCCTTTGACCCCGTGCTTATCCTATACAAAATACATTCCCTAATTCCCATCAGTAAAAAAAAACAGGCTCTTTTCAAATTGACCTTTTGCACACAGGCAAATCGATCCCTGTGCTCACATCCGTAGTCAGCTCTTGACGTTATCATCGTCGGAGTAAGCAAAACGACCAACAAAATCACCTTCGAAACGCGTCTTTGAGATCGGAGGGGGGGAGAGTTATCGTCCCTCCTGGCAATTAACAGCAAAATAAATACTGCCCATTCCTCCCGAATGCATGCCAATTCCTGCATCGTCTACATTAACCACCGATAGCAAATATGATAAGAGAAAACAAAAAAAAAACACCAAATCGACCTCACGATAAGCAACAATAGCATCGTTTTCTTTTTTGTGCCGCGTAACAGGGCTCATGGGAAACGAAATATACTGTACTCATGCGCAAGAGCCAACGCTTACAACGTAGTTCCTGGCTCTCTTTAGCCATGTACGCGTCTTGTATGATAGTGCACTAGTCCACAAAGGTAAAAAAAAAAAATTGCACACGGATCAACAGCCGCTATTATTCTCTTTCAATTGTCGCACAAACATCCTGTGTCGGAGCCAATTCGGATACGAACGTCCAGATATGTATCTTTTTTTCTTCTTCTTAAAGTCCTTGGCTCATTTCCTCATGGAAAGAAGGTAAGGGGGTTCAACCATTTTTTTTTTTTTTCACATGAGACTTCTCCAGGGCACCACCGCCCCTGTGAACTAAGCTACATACATGTCCATTGAGCCATTATTGTCGGGACAATCCTATGCACTTGCATGAATACGATAGCTCCGCCTTATCTTCCTTCTCTTATTACTCCACACGCAATGCGGGCCAGAAAAAGAGCCGTTTTGGTTTTTTTTCTTTTTGTGCAAACGCAACCCAGGTTCCAGTTCACATGAAGGGAGCCCAATCTCTTTGTCATGGACGGAAACGCGCTACCAGCTAGCAATTTAGACGACAACTGTACCAAGACCCCTTACGATCGCTCGCTTAATTTCTTGCATCTTGATGGGAGGGGGAAGTTTGCGAGAAGAGTAAGCAAAGATGTGAAGAAGAAAAAAGTGTTATCACATAGGATGTCTTATCGAAACGAATAGCAATAACAGCCGCAATAAACAAGAATATGGCAATGACATTTAGCTGCTGCTCTGTATGTCCGTTCTATAAACAACGGTAGGTTGTTGTTGTTGTTGTTGTTTTTTTTTTTTTTTTCGTAGATAATCAAGGTGGTCCTTTTCATTTTTTGAGGTGAAAGAAACCTTTCATGAAACGCACGGCGAATAATTCTCGTTATTATTATAATATATATTGCTTCATGTATAGACCCACCAACGATAGTAAGATTGTAGGCGACAAAAAACTGCTCCCCTAATACGGATGCTATTCCCCCGACTCTGCAACTTCACTGAGAACTCCACTGAGTTCAGATGGCAGGGTTTTACAGCGCGTTTCCATCGTTTGTTCCGTTATCAGGATGTCGGGAACACTAGGAATTCTGTTGAGACCGAGAATATCAAGGCCAAGAGGCGGTATTACCTTCAAGAGCGACGGTCTGACAAGTATAAGGGCGCCGTGTTTGTATATTTGGCCGAATCCTACTGTAGTCAGAACCACGTCAACAGCAAGGTTGTTATATTTGTTTAAAATGCGTTTATCCTTCACCACTCCCTGTCGCCACCGTTCTCCCGCTCAAGCAAAGAAGATGAAGTGTATCCAGAGCATCCAAATAGTTTTATTTTATTTCTTTTATTTATTTGCTTTGGATTTTCAGTGCAGAAAATAAAGACACATTATAGATCGGCTTCCTCGGATAAAATGCTCTTCTCTTCATATTATTCGAGATCGCTGTGGCATTATCACAGCGGGAACCGACCTATAATGTGGACCCAGAACTTTTACTGAGGTAAAATTTTTGGAACGTGTCGGGAGAGGACCAATTGCCGTGTGTAATGATGTCGTCAATGGGCATACCCGACTCGGCGGCGATGGTAGATCCAATGGCTCGGGGCTTGACACCACGGGTAGTGACATATCGTCATTGTCAGGCAGTAATTGTAGGTAGGTAAGTGCAGGTGAGATGTCGAAGCAACCGATTTCAGTGGGCATTATATCCGTGGCCTTTAGCGCGGCGATGTAATCTTTGTAGACCATGCTCTCCGTGATTGATGGTCGATCGTTGAACAGATCTAAAATGGCTGAGCGCTTGGCGAGGACGGTGGCCAGCTTCCAATCTCTTGTGTGGCGTTGATGGGCGAGATAGTTGATAAGGAGGACTGGATCTGGGTGAATCGGGTCCTCATCCCGTTCTTGTGCCCATTGGATGTAGACTTTTTGGACAGGACCGTAAGCGACGTGTCGACGTTGGGCTTGTGGCGAGTTCAATATCGTATACGACGCTTCTGAGCTGAGTCCTAGTTCCGAGTACAGGCGCTGCTTACGCGCCATGCCAGGTGTGGTGTAGTGGTTCTATATCAGGTAAAAGTACTAGCTGTGAATACGTTGCTCAATAAAGGTCTCTTCTGGTCAGCGATGTCTTTACATAACATTTGTCTTACTGTAAAAAGCTCCAGACGCAGAGAGCGCTTGTAATGAGATCCTTTGGCAGAAGGAAAATAAAGGCAGCAAGTGCCATTTACAAGAATGAGAAAGGCGACGACACACTCGTTAGGGATCAGCAAGGTCAAAGGGATTCTGTGTTTTGACTTCAGTGTCTAGATGACGACATTGAGGGGTGCTGTCCTTAATCATCCGCTCTCGTTCGTTATAAGGCCATGATCGTTACCTGGTCGAGGGGCCTTCAGGCTGCGCGAGCGGACTCGCAGGAACACTTGATTGCACTGGGAGTGCAGAAGCTCAGACGCACAGGCCCCGTCTCTACTCTTGTTGGGCGATGCGCTATGATGGCCAGCGATGGCAGAGTATAGTGGGACAGGGGTGCGTGGAGCGACTTAAGTAGTCGTACAGGGCAAGCGTTGTGCAAAAGTATTAGGAGGAAACAGACCAGGAACCTTTCAGCCCTGTCGTTCTGTGTTATTTATTAGACAGCTTCCAAGTTCAGCACGTACACGGAAGTAAAAAATATGTACATGTACATGTATTTGATAAAGAGAAGTGAGTCTACAGAAAGTAATTCCCTTTTGTTCTGATGATGATCGCCATTCAGTGGCATGGCTGCTCTTTTCTCGTGAATCCGTTTGACACAATTCCACGCCCATGACACTCCTTGTCGAAGCAAAAACTACCCATTCAAGCATCCAGTAAACCCAGAGCACGACAAAAGGCATGTGCTATTGCCCAAAACGTCAACTTCAAAAAAACCGAAGAAAATCCTCTTCTGGTTACTGTGAATGAGGATTGACAACAACGAATGCTTCCAAGCTGGATGTGTATAAATTCTGAAGCGCGATTGAATGCTGCTCGCTGTAATGCCATAGATTTTTTCGGACGATCGCATACATCGTATATACATGCTGCAAAGGTGCCTCAACAGTGTCAAAGCCGTTGTACGGGGATTGAAAGTTCAAGCGGAAAGCCTAATTGCCTTGTTATAGACAAAAAGGCCGTAAGCAGAGAGACGTCTTATCTCCAAATGCACATTTGCTTACGATTTATACCCTCATTAGCCGTTGCTGGCTGTGGAGGAAGGGATGAAATGGGCATCTGCATCTTCTAGCCTTATTCAACAAAGTAAAATTAGAGCCAATCAATCGGGCTTACCTCACAAAAAAAGACGCGTCGCCTACCAAAAATCAATTTTTTTGTTCCTCTCTAGGGACCTCTATATTCTTTCCCCGGGCTCCCTCATAACTTTGTGCAAACCATATAGAGACAGAGGGGACTCGGCTCCCTTGCTTGGTCTCACGATTTTTTATTTTTTTTTGCTCGTGCAAGAATACAGTACGTCGGAAGAGTACGAATTTATAGTATGTGCCAACGAGTCCATTCCTTCCTTCGTTTGATCCTCAGCAGAAGAGAAGAGACGATAAGAATGGTCGCACAGCATTATACTTTTTCAATGTAGAGAGAGGCCTCAGAGATAGTATACCAACCGACAGGCGAGCTTTGCAGCTCACATTCTGCTCGTCTCCGTAGCGAGACCGATATCACTTGTTTTTTTTGAAATCCATAAAGACAAGTTGGGACAGAAAGAAGAACGATCCACGTCCATGGATAATGATACTTTTTTTTTTTTTTTTTTTTTTTTCTTGCAAAGCCAAAACAAAAAAAAAATAACAATGAAAAGACGATAACAATGGTATCAACTGAACAACTCTCTAACAAAAAAAAAGAAGCAACCAAAATATGTCTACAAATACAAAATTACTAACAATAATGAACTAGATCCACCCAAAACGTTTTTCCCTTCAGTTCGATGGGTGATGACGGTGCTGCATGTGCGGCGGTCTCGTCACCATCCCTCCCACTGCTGGTGGCCTCCCACCACTCCCTCGCTCACGCTCATGCATCCCCGCCTCATAATGTTGCTGCTGTTGCTGGTGGTGATACTGTGGCGGATAATGCCCATGCCCATAAGTCTCATACCGCGGCTGCTGCTCCCTTTCCATCCGCTGCTGCTGCCGTGCCTGCGCCTGTGCCTGTGCCTGTGCCTGTGCCTGACCCATCTCCCACCGCTGCTGCTGCTCCATCCTCTGCATCTCCATTTCCTGCTGCTGCTGGTAATGCTTACCCGACGATGATGCCGATGTCGGGGGCACCTGCTGCTGCGCTGGTGGTTGAGAATGTGACCACGATGAATGCCTATAATTCGAACCCCCAGGACCGCCACCCTGCTGCTGTAGCTGTGGTGAGTGTCCATTGCCGGAACTTGGTCCCGACGGCGGAGGAGGACCTTGTGCAGAATAAGATCCCCGCTGTTGATGATGGTGATATCCCGGTTCAAACCCACTTGGTCCGCCTGGTCCACCTGGACCTAGCCGATAGCCCGCCCCACCACCTCCGTTCCCGGGCGAGCCGGTACTATATCCCAATCCCGGTGCCATGCCCGGACTAGAACCCGATGGGATCTGCTGTTGCGATTGTGGCCCCTGCGCCTGTGCCTGTATCTGTAAGATCGTTTTCAACGACGAAGGCGCCGTTCGTGGACTACTCCCATTCACGTTCGCATTTGCAGAATAAGAACTATGCGGCGGAGTCCTCGTCGAGGGTGATACCGCTGCACTGTTGTTGGTTGTCGAAGGTGTCGGGTAGTACTCCCCGCCTGCTCCTGGCCCTGCGGTTGGCGGCCGACCCGACGTCGACGACATACGCTGCTGTTGATGCTGTTGCTGTTGCTTGTCGCCTACTTGATGAGGGTACGACGCAACCGACTGCTGACCCTCTTGTCGCCCCTGGCTTGCCGCCTGCTGATGTCTCAAATGCGGTGAGTACCGCTCCTGCTCCTGTTGTTGTTGTTGCTGCTGCTGCTGCCGCTTTCGTTGCTCCTGCTGTAGCTGCTCCAACCTCTGCTGCTGTATCTGTATCATTCTCTGCTGCTGCTGCTCCATCTGTGCATCCTCCGCCATCTTCAGCGCCTGTCTTTGCTCCGCCTGCGTCATTTGCTGGAACTGCGGATGACCTATCACCGCCTCCGCCGTCATTGGCTTCATCATCCCCTCTCCCCTTGCTCCCTGGCCGGAGCCCTGCTGTGGAGTGCTGCCCCTCAAAATTGCCGTCGTCGCTGGCGCAGCTCTGGGAGACGAGACACCGCTTTGAAGCCGACCGTTTGGAGCTGGGTAAGGTTGTGAACGATATTGTTGAGTGGCCATTACAGAGGGTCGATCGACTAAAGGTTGAGCAACCGGACGAACAGGGATCGTCGCACCGTTCTGAAGTGGTGAGCCAGGATGCGATGATGCCTGAGGTAGCCATGGTGTTTCCTTCCTAGGCGAAGGCACTGGAGATGCTAGCTGCGGCCGTGTCTGTGTCTGTGTCTGTGTCTGTGTCTGTGTCTGTGTCTGTGTCTGTGTCTGTGTCTGTGTCTGTGTCTGTGTCTGGGGCTGCAGAGAAATCGGTTGCAAATGCGGCTCCTCTCTCTCTCTTGGAGAGACAACTGTCGCCCGAAGATTGCCATTCGCATTTGCGGTGCCCGGTTTTCCGTTTTGTGCCGGCCTTGTTAAGGATGCTGTGTCTATATCCATGGCCTCATCTCCGCTATCGTCGTCTGCTTTAAAATCTAAATCTGATTCATCACTCAGAGGTGTCAGACTCGCGAGTCTGCTCTCGATATCCTTAAAGATGTCCCGATGCAAACTATTCAACAGCTCTGACATCCTTCCCATCGGATGCTCTATTAGTATCAAAGTAAAATGCGTTTAGTGCACAACACTTACCCAAAACAATACCGTGCCACCGCCTACAGCCATCACCACGATCTCTTACCTGAGCGGATCAAATTCCCGCTCCTGCTATTCGATTTCTGTGCCCTCTCCCAGATAGGATGATCGCTCGTCAGGAACACGAACGAGTTCTCAAGATACCACGTCCCCAATTTCTTCGTCACCATCGGGATCGTATCATCCCCGGGCACCATCGTCACGCAATGCACATACTTCACCACCTCCCTCTGTCTCTCGTTCATGAACGCCACCACTCCATGGCACCCGAACCCTGTGGCAATCAGAACGATCCTTCTGCCCGTGTACCCTGTCGTTGAGACGTAATCGTCCCAAATCTCAGCCAGCAAACTTGACAGCTGCTCCTTTGCTGTGACCTTTTCGTCTTCGGTTGTTGGTTGGAAAGGCACGACAATATCGATAAGCTCGTTCTTTTCAGAGCCAACGATATAATCGATATAGGATGATATAGGGTCGAGGAAGAATGATTTGTTGGGTTGAATCACGTTCCTAGTCCCCAGAGTCCGTGCGCGATATTCGTCACTATCAACATCGAAGAAAAAAAAGCATTTGTCAGTACCTAAATTTTTGAGTCGTAAAAGCAATTGCATCTGAAATTTTAGCTTACAGGTCGTGTATAAGGATATACAATGGCTTCATTGAGTACGTGCGTTGTCTGGAGTGGACAGAAAAAAAAATAGGGAGCAAGGACACATATGCTGTCAGTCATTTAGCCGAAATAGATAAGAACACTTGGAGTTAACAACAAGCACCTACGTGCAGTGGACATTATCCAAGAATGCGGGCCCAGTCTCACTCTCGAGCTTCGCCATCGGGATCATATCGTACCGCTCCTTCAGGTATGACTTTCTATACGCCTCCATCATCTTATTCATACCCACCACATGCCTTCCTACTACAGGTTCTAGAAAAGAGATATAGGGCAAATTAGCTCCGATGTCACATCGCGCTCATATCCCTCACCCCTGATCCAAGGCAGTAGCATCAATAGATGTCCTTCTTTTTTACCCATCCCAATCGCGTGTGTGGGTTCATACCTTCAATTGGATCCGTATACACTTGGGGCAAGCTCTTCCAGTACCGCGACTGGACCTCAATGACCTCATGAATCGTCTGCACGCACAACGCATTCGGTACAATCGATCCCAAAGGCTCAATCGGGTCATTTAGCAAAGCCTTCGCACACGCCAATCCCGACACCGCAATCGAGTCCAGATTATATCCGCCCTCCAATGCTAGGATGATTTTCCCGCCCGCAAGCGACTTGAGCATATGAGTCATGTGTCCATAGGCTGCCGGCGTTACAAGCATCTGTCCAATATGGTCGCCTACCATATTGATTCCACAAGAAATAAAAAAAAAAATAAAAAAAATAACGGATCAGTTTTCACGTTTCAAGGGTAGAAAATCGCGCTACTGTTGAGGATGTTACTCTTGAAAGGTCCGGCATGCTACCTTTGGCGGCATCAAATCCTGCGCTGACCAACACAAAGTCCGGCGCAAACTCATACAGAATCGGCATGATCACCTTATCGAACGCATAGATGTACTCGGAATCGCCCATTCCACTACTATTCCACGGAATATTGATCGTCCTAGCAATGTCATTGAAATACATGCCAAAGAAAGCACATACTTGGTCAGTTCCGATACGAGCATCGCGGCATGCATCATGCAGAGACCTTGCAGTTATCAAAACTCAGTGAGATTAAAGGTAGCGGTGGTGGTGGGGTGGGGTGGGGGGGGTTGTACCTTCCACGTCCTGCGCCTTCTCCAATAGCTGTATGCGCCGCAGCGACAGGATCTCCTGGATAGAACGCCCCATGGTCGAATCGATGGATCGAGCAATACACTACATTCGGGTCATCATAAAACGCCGTCTGTGTCCCGTTTCCGTGGTGTACATCCCTATGTACCAAAAAAAAAAAAACCTCCCATATGTGAGTACTCTGAAAAAAAAAAAAAAAAAAAAACACTTTCGATTGCTAATCGCGCCTTACCAATCCAAGATAAAGATCTTCTGCAGCCCATGGGCCTTCTGTAGGTACCGCGCCGCAATCGCCACATTATTGTACAGACAGAACCCCCCCGCCTCATCCGGCTCCGCGTGATGTCCTGGAGGTCGAATAATCGCCACGCCATTCAGGACCTGACCCAGAGCTACAGCCTTACAGAGCTCGATCAGACTGCCACAGGAGAGTCGTGCACAGAACGCCGACAAGTTGTTGAGGTAGATGCTGTTGTAGCTGTTAGCCATCTCCAGCAGGTCATCCTTCGACATCGCTATTTAAAAAAAAACACAGAGGAATAGAAAAGGGGTCAGGACACAAAAAATAAAAATAGTGTTTTTCTGCCCTATCTCCTTATGGTAATCGCCAAGTCAGAAAAAGAGTCGTGAAGAGGAAAGTGTGTTACCTGTAGTTTTTGTGATGTTCTCGATATGACTCTCAGTGTGCACGAGTGCGAGTTCCTCGACGGTGGCCTCGCGCGAAGGGATCTTGATCATCCTGTCAGTACACTGCGCCGTGTTCAGCGCATCAAAGATCCGCCAGATTCGCCGAGGGTCCTCTGGATGGTCATCATCCCCATGTACATTGTTGTGAAACCTGTACGGGCCGACATAATAAAAATAAAAAAATTAAGAGAAGTCAAGGGGGGAATGTTAAGATTAGAGATCTAATGTATGGCAGAAAAGAGTACCTTTACATAGCAAAAGGTACCAGCATCAACAGCTCTCATTTCACAACAGCAGCTGCAACAGCTGTCCGTTGAATGACAACAATAAGAGTTGAGGTGATGGGTGATGGCAAGGTATAAAGGGGAGTCGAAGGGATAAGGCAAGGGGAAGCGAAGGAACACGGATGGATAAGGGTTCTTAAAACATACCTCATCCGCACATCGTAGACATATCCGGTCTTCGTACTCCGACCATTAAACGTCTCGGGCTGTAGGAGCAATGCTCCTTCGTACTCGACCTCATGCTCCTCCCACCGCGGCTCGTTCGGGTCTATCTCTTTCTCTTTAATCCTGTCCATCTCCACCTCCATTTCCATCTTATCCATGTCCATGTCTGTGTCCTTGTCCATGTCCGTGCCCTTGCCTATGACCTTATCTATCATTCCTCCTGTCTCTCCCACCGCCTCTGACCCTACTAGTAGCTCTGCAACCCTAGTCTTTGTCTCTGATACATTTGACAATTCCTGGCCATTTTTGGATCCGAGGCTCTCATTAGTCGCATCCTGTGTATGTCCCGTCCATGCTCCTGCACCTATACCTGTGCTCGCCCGTGCCTCCGTTACACGATCCTGACGATCCTCACGATAACCCTCATCATTCCCGATGTGTGCGGCTGATAACGTGTGTGAATCTTCCAGCGCGGATACTTTCTCCGCGTTGACAGGAAGCAGTACTTCGCCGTTTTCCTGTTCCGTTGCTGTGGTCAATATCCTTGGTGATGAGGCCTCGTTTGTGGTTACTTTTTCTGTCGCCACTTCCCCGGAAGCCGGAACCATATCCACATCGTGCTGCTTGGGACCTATAGGTCGGACAAAAAAAGAAAGAACACGGTGTGCGAAATGAAAGACAGTGGGAGTAAGTTTAATTGTACCGAGGCGTGAGGAGCGAGAGAGACAACGCAGTTTGCTTCGAGAATAAATTCGTTGTGTTAGAATAAGAATGGCGAAGAAGAAGAGTTGGATCCATCCTTGTTGTTGTTTTGTTGCTTTGTTCAAGGGGGGGGGGGGGGGGGGGGGGGGGACAGAGAGGCGGGATGGATGGATGCAGGGGCTATCTTCAGCACGGTGATCCCAGTACTCGGTGGAGGCATACTGCATCAATTCAATTTATACACCACCGAGCTAAAGAAGGCGAGAAAAGAGAGTGAGGGAGCGCAAGGTAGATACGCACAAAATGAATCATATCACATCAATTATCCAATTGCTTCTCGACGTCAGTCCAATAGCGGGGGCTCCAGTGAGAAAACAAAGTGAGCGGTGCAGGGTCGCGCGCTGGCGTGTGCGTTGAAGGATACTTCACTCGATATGGGTGTGGTGCTCATCAGAGTTGCATGGTTACCTAGAGTGATGGTGGTGGTAGCACGATCAGCCATGGTCGTGTCAGGGTTGTCTGATCCCATGGAAGGATCCATCCTTCTTTTTTCTGATCCTTTGAGAGGGAGGACAGCGCCGTGGAGAAAACAAAAGGAGTGTGAGACGAGTGCGAAAGAGAAATAGAAAGGGTGAGGGGAGAGAGGGTGAGAGAAAGTTTGAAGCGTGAGGATGAAGAATGGAGGGAGAGGCTGTGGTACTGCAGAGATGAATGATCTGCGCGAGCTCGTTGGCTGCAGTTGAAGTTGAAGAAAAAAATAAAAAAGGGGATGAAGAAGGCTGAAGGAAGTAAAGTGATGGGAACTGATGGGAACTCAGATTCAAAAATGGATGGATGAAAGGAGATTCCTTCCTCGGACTTGGGGCCAGCCAATAATGCTTCGTTCTCAATGTGCCGCACCGCCACGCTGTCTCATGCTGTTCTTTTGGTCGTCCAACAGACGCACCGCCACTTCCGACCACCGGCGGGTTCAATTGGTTGGTCGATTGGGACACAGCATGTATCTCACCTCAACGCGAGTAATTGCTATAGACGAACATAGAAGACTACCTTTGCTACGTGAACTAAAAAGACACGCTGCTCGAACTTACATGAAATCATATAACTTGCTGATCTTCGTTATGTTTATCATCGCTCCCTCATGAGATACCCCGATCGCTGTCTTTCAACGATAGTGTTTTTGCGTGCGATTAACAAGGCCTGTTCGTTTTACACGCCCTTGATCCTGCTTCTGTTTGAAAAGAAGCGCCACCTTGGCTCATGACCTCATCTATCATTATAATTGCCCATATAGTTCTGCTGCTTGTTCTAACACTCTCCACGCAAGATAGTAATTTTGCAAACCAGGTGCTCGTCAGCTGTGTGTCAAGAATTCATATTATTTTACGTATTTGCTATCTGCTGACTCTTTGACAACTATCAAAAGAAAAAAGAAAAAAAGAAAAGAAGAAAAGCAAGTAGGAAACGAGCTTGATTCTCGTCGTTCACTCGTCCTCATCGTCCCATTCCTCATGTGCGAACCGCCGCTCAAGTGGGACTTCCATCGGCGGCAAGACCTCGTCCTGCGGGATAGTGCACAAATCTGTAATGGTTGAATATCGACTGTATCCACCATTCGGTGTCGAAGTACCAGACTCCGACCCCGTTGTTGAATTCGAACCACTGTTGCTGTTATTGCTTCCACATGCTCCACCCCCTACAGGACTGATCTTTGAACACGACATCTGACGGACTAGATGTGAATGGCTTCGGAGTGTTGGCATCTGGCTGTTTGAGGGCTGGGGTCCGATATCGGTCATGATATACTGGCGCAGATCGCTCGTCCATTGGAATGGGGTCAAGATTGGCGAAATAGCAGTAGAGCCATAAGGATGCTGGCCACTGTTGAGGATCCCGGACTCATCAGGAGAGGAGGCGACAGACGATGGAGGCGAAGACATGGCTGGGGCGGGGTAGAAGTGTGGAACCGAGGGTCTTCTTGTGGAGGAGGCGACGATAAAACCAGCGCGTTCTTCTTCGGAAAGGTAGTTGCTGGCGGGGATGGGTTTCGGCGCGGATGTCGAGTTAACGAGGCTCAGGTGTGGGTGCGAGCCGCAACTTGTGTCTGGACTTGGTAGCGACATAGCCATCGACATTGTATTCGAGAAAAAATTAAGAAGAAAAGGGGCAGAAAGGAGGCAGAAACTAAATGCAGAAGTGATGCAATCGAGAGAGAGAGCGAGACAGAGATAGAGAGCAAGAAGAAGCAATGGAATGGTGATCAATTACGGGTTGTAGAGAGTAGGGAGAAAGCGTATTAATAAACGAGTATAATAGTGATAAGTGAAAAATGACTGGATTGGGTGTGCTGCTGAGCTGTTGAATGAAGGAATAAAAAATGGAAAGAGAGAAGGATCGGACGTATTTATATGAGTCCATGGTTCATTCGAATGAGAGGAGAAAAGACAGTGGAAGGAGAAAAGAGAGTGAGAGGAGAAAAGAGAGTGAGAAAGATTTGCATTAATGTATTGCATCCAATCGAATCGAGGCAAGCATTTTTTTTTTTTTTTTACACTGCATTGACATTGGCATTGGCATTGGCATTGGGCATTGGGCATTGGGCATTGAGCATTTGCAGGGCACCAATATATCCAATACAAACAAACCAATTCTCCTGGCCCTGCTGCTGTTCGGGAGGTACATCCTCGCCCTCACCCTCATACCCATGCATCTTTGCTCTTGCTCTCGCTCTTTATCTTTCTTCCTCTTTTGGGATGTATGTCCCGTGGCAATGAGCGCTCGTAAGGAGCTACCTCTTATTCTTTTTTGTCTAATAATGCTGGGCAGCGAGGTAGCCCATCACATACTCCGTATCCTGCACTCTGTACTCTGCTCTGCACTCAGCACTCTTCACTGCATATGCTACATGCTATATGCTACATGCTATATGCTACATGCTATATGCTACATGCTTTATGCTACATGCTACGCCCACATTACACAAAATGCACACATGCACACACAGACGGACTAGCAAAGGAGACGATGCATAACCCATGTCAACACCAAATGCACATCACTCGACCACAAACCACCGAACAAAGGAAAGAGAATGTGTGTCTGCCTGCCTGCTTGTTCGTCTGTCTGCCTGATCGCATTCGGACGACACGTCAAAAGGAAGAAACCAAAACCGAGGCTGCTTATGCAACGCCAGTAGGTACAAGATGTTGTTCATCATGTCTGTCTCTCTGGAAGCCTAGCCAATTCTATCATTACACTCTCCCGCTCTCCCGCTCTATTTCGCTCAATCTCGCGCGCCATATTTGGATCAGACTCTCTTTTTGACCATATGGCTTGCCATGACCATAGCTAGTCTAACTTGCTAAGCAGCTCGCTCGCTCTCATTTTTTATTTTTGCGTTCTATTTTTTCTTTTCTCCACATCTCCGCGCCGTGTTTTTTTACTACCTACTCTAGCACAGGACTAAGATCTTGCGAGGACATGTCCTTGAGATGAAGATGAAAAAGGATTTCCCTGCGACAAAACTCCGTGTTCCCGGACTGTTCAGCCTATCAGTCTGGTTTTTCAATTAGTCTGACTGTCCCCTTGTTTCGGCAAATGCATCAACCGCACAATACCCCCTCCTTATCATGGAAAAAAAGACTACTCGAAAATAGGATTGAGAACCTACAACGTTTGAACTGGCGCGCAGCTATAAAAAAAAAGTAATACGTTTGAGAACAGCGAAAAGAGAGCAAGCTGCAAAAGAGGGCCAGAAATAAATAAAAGAAAATAGAGATAGACCGTTAAAATTAGTCCAAAGTTGACGCCATGTGAGCCAACCGAGACCATGGGGCCTAAGCCATCCGTGGATGGATGAAAGCAAGAACGAACATATAGGAGAATCTCATGAGATCTTGAAAGATTCAGTTGTTACTGCAAATGCTTCGCGAATGACCAATTGACGAAAAACTCCTTTATGCGGGCGATAGAAGTGGACCTCAAGAAGCGGATGACCAGACCAGACATGAGATAGCTTAAAAATGCGTAAACTCGACCACTGGGTCTTCTCAGCTGAGCTGCTACTATGCCTTCCCTCCACTCTTCATCTTTCCTGAAAGCTATGAGGTATTCATGAAGAAAGAAGACGGTGGCAAGTTAACCAAGTGACCAAGGCCATGTTCATTTCACGTACCCATCGTCGTTACAGCATGATTAACTTTTAAGACTCTACCCTGTCTTTTCTGCCAAACTAGCCTCTAACGTATCATTCTCGCTCAACTCCTCCTTAGCCTTCTTCCTCATACTCCTCCCATTTCCCAGTCCCCCTATGCCAGGCGCCATGACTTCTTCCCCCTTAGATAAGTGAGCTAAAACACGAACGATAGGGTTCCCGCCAAACCCAATGCGGCAGGTGTCCAAGCAGGGGCCTATGGGCTGGTTAACACATCTTTTGAAGATGTAATGCAAAACGTAAGGAGCACCGATGTGCGCTTCGGCGCGATATTGGATCTATGACCCTTGCATGTAAACAAACAAACAAATAAGCATGTTGGATTTCCGCACACAATGCCGTGAAACGATTACGAAAGGAGGTTCCCCTTTCTTCTTCTGCTGGATATCTAAAACGGCTTTTGTCGGACGGGGACATGTATCGTACCCGCGCTGGGGTTCTTTATGCGATCCTTTTGGACTCCAGGTCCGACAGTCCCTTATTACGATGGTTTTTATCGCTTACTGTATGGGAATTTTCTCCCCTTGCCGTAACGGTATAAACGGTCGTTTACGCGCTTGGATACTAGGCTCCGTACACGTAAAGACGCGTATCCTAGACAACGGACTGTCAAACGCGTAGAAATAAGATAATCGAGGACAAACAGAAGCCACCAATGAAATTCTAGGACTAGAAGACTAAAAGAAGGCGAAGGTCACCCTTCCTTTCTTCAACTCAGCGCTACGCAAACCAAACTGCCATACATCCACCATCAACATGTCTTATCCAACCACCGTCCGCGCCAACTCGGCCATGTTGAGCAGCCAAGTGGGACAGACCGTCAGATTCGTTGGAAAGATCATCGAGGTACAGGCAATGGCAAAAAGGATTTTGTAACAGAAACGGCTCGTCAGTAATTGACCGAACTTGCGAGTACCAGGGCAGGACTAGCAACTATTTCGACTGGGCGTTCAGGACTAGGCGCAAAGATATCGTTCTTTCACTTTTTCACTATGGGATTCTTGACCACGGTTTTTTTGCATTGACTTCAGAGGGATCCAGCAATGGTGGCAAAACAGCGTCAACTGAGACATGAAATTGGTGGCAACAAGAATACAACGGACGAGATTGCGAAGCAAACCACTAACAAGAATACAATTCCAATATTGATAGCAAAATGGGACACGAGCACTCATGGCTGCATCAGATAAGGGACAGGTCGAGATTCATATGAACGATGTAAGGGAACACTTTTATTACGGTATCAAGTGGGTATTCAGTAGCTGGGGAAGGAGATCACGGATCTAACTCGCCGAATTTTTATTGCAATTGATAGAAATCGCAATATGGAACGCAGTTCGTAGAAGTCATTGGCGTTGTCAACGGCGATAACTCCATCACAGAGATGATCTCGACCAACTTTGGCAACGACTTTGGTATGCATCGTGCGATAGTGCTGTTACAGCTCTTTTGATTTGAGGCTAACAAAATACATTATTTACTCACACCTGGCCATTTCTTTTCTTTATTTGGATGTCTATTAGATATGGAGACATACAACGAACTCGTGAAGAAGATGCAGCAATTCCCATCATTGTACCCCGAGTGAGCAACAGCAGCAGAAGCGGCACGAAACTCGCTACTGCTGCCTCTACCAAAATCAATAAACGCGAATTCAAGTAGCAGTGTATTCTCAAGCGAGATTTCCTTTATGAGTTGGCACTGCACTTCAAGAGTGAGATGACAAGGAGCACGTACAGCTGCCTGTCGTCGTAATGTGCGGATGCTTATCAGGAACAGCAGGCCGTGAAGGAGAGAGACGATCAGAGTATTCCAATGGCAACCTAAGTCTATCAACGGTCATGAAGAGTGCATCCTCGGTTCAAGGCACTCTTTCCTCTTTGATCCATGGGGCAATGTAAAAATGTAGCAGGGCGAGGACAAATATACGTTCCATATCCCATGTTCCCAATTAGACCTTGATGAAGCTTTGACCAGTAACCGACCCTGCTGAATGAAAGAAAGCGCAGCGGGGGCAGGGAGCGCGTGGAAGGGACCAAGGAGGAGCGAGAGGAAGTAGCAAGCATCTTGCGCACAACAGACCCAATCGCCGCTTGCCAGCGACCACCAATTGATGGTTCTATGAAAACATTGGCAGCACGGACACACACGCCCCTCGCGTCCCTTTTGATTCTTTTACCCACAGCACCGCTTCTTTTCTCCTTCCTTTTCTCATTCGCTCCACTTCCTTCCCTCTCCTCTTGTCATTACCGTCTCCACCCCCTTCATTCTCATTCCCTTGAACATCTGTTGCCCTTTTGTCATTTGCACTTTTTTCTCATTCCTTCCTGTACATACAACTTATTTTTTCATACCTCGCCTCACTCTTCAACAAGTAACACATAGACATGAGGACGACAGTTTTCCTAATCCCGGTTGTATTCCTCTCGACAGCACTAGCCTGGGGAAGGGATGCATACTCAAAGCCCTCGCCCGACATTCTGCCACCAGCACTGAACCGTCGCCATGACTACAAGCAGTCTCTGAAAAAGCCCTTCATGTACAATGGTGCCATTCCCTTCTGGTCCCACCATGGCAGTATGTTTACCGTTCGTTTGTCCAGAAAAGCGTGTCTTTTGGAACCTTTAATGTCTCTCTAGTATGTCTAATATGCTCTTTGACTCCTTCGATTGTTCGTGGCAGACTCGTTTGTGGCCCAAGACTTTATCCGTCTGGCGCCTTCGGTGCCAGGTCTGAAGGGCGCGGTGTGGCGGTTGAGTGCGAACGAGTACAAGGAGTGGGAGGTTGATATGTCCTTCAAGATCTATGGACAGAGCCATCTCGGCGGCAAGGGTCTCGCGTTCTGGTACACGCAGGAGCACGCGGTCGAGGGACCCATCTTTGGAAGCAAGGACCAGTGGAAGGGTCTGGGAGTCTTTCTGGACACAAGTGATCCAGCCAATCAGGTGCGTGCAACACTCAAGAGACCTGCGACTGGCTGGGAAATATTTTTGTGGAGACGAACGGGGGCGAAAGAAAGGAAAGGAGGAGGGAGCAGAGCCAAACTGACTCGCGAATTCTCTTGTGTCCTGTTTCATGTCGCTCTGCCTTGTTTTGCACCTGCAATAGAGAATGAACTCGGTCATTTATGGGATCATGAACGACGGGTCAAAAAAGTTCCCCGCGAACCCGACGGCAAACCAGATGAGCTTTGGGGGATGTATTCGTGATTACAAAAATACACCCTCGCCAGTCGTGCTGAGGATCTCGTATATTGGACGGACCCTACGTGTCTCGGTCGATACGCATTACAAGGGCAAGAAGTTCGTCACTTGCTTTGAACAGAAGGACCTGGATCTGCCTACGGGTTATTACTTTGGTGTTTCGGTAAGGTCCTTGAGACCTCATGGCCATTGTCGATGGGAATGGAAACCAAGCTGTAGGTGCGCTAACTCTTCTTATCTCTTTTCGGGCGACTAGGCTGAGGCGGCTGAGATTGGTACTCCAGATGACCACGATCTGTTGTCGCTCGAGGTTCATGAAGTCAACCCTTCTCCCAAGGAAAAGGTACCGCAGGTCTTAGGCAGTACTAGCTGTGGACACCCCGTTGTGCAATGAAAACTGATGATATTCTTTCTTTTTGGTTGATAGGCACCATTGAGACCTCATGAAGAAGAGATGATCAGGAAGGGCGAAGAAGTCAAGGTGGGAGTAGAGGACAAGGAAGTCTTTGAGGAGGTGCAAAAGATTGTAGAGGAGCAGGAAGCCAAGCTTAAGGAAGAGACCGATGGTCCCACCACCCTCTCTGCTGTACGTATCTCCCCTGTCTTCCGTTTCTTATCATATATTTGCTGCTTACAGTGCCCAGACCGTGAACGACAGTATACCCATTTAACGTTGTAAATTTGAACCTATTAGTCCCAATTGGCAGCAACAGTGTCAGATACGCAGTACAGGATCATCGAATCGCTCAACACCATCCACAACAAACTCGAGTCCCTCGGCGCACCCGTGCAACCCCCAGAGTCGACCTCCAGATCCCTGGAAGAGATCAGTGTGAAGATCAACTCCATGGCTGCGTCCTTGCATGCCATGGAGAAAGTGGTCCAGGGATTAGTGGGACACATCGTACAGCAGGGTGGGGTCGCGAATGAACAGGATATCAGCAAGGTATTGAAGGAGGAGCTGCATAGTCTGAATGCCAAGATGGAGGATATGGACACGAGGCAGTCGTTCCAGCATCGGCTGACGCAGAATCGGTTGGTGAACTCTACGAGTTGGGTTTCTTATGTGGTATTTTTGATTTTGGTGCAGATTGTGGGCGTCTCGGCTTATACATGGTACAGGAAGCGGGTTGAGATTAATGAGAAAAAGTTCTTGTAAAGAGCTAAAGGATGGGGAAGTGATGATGGTGAAGGGCAAAGACAGGAAGACGAGAGAAATGGGAGGCGTCTGTTTTCGCCTATTGTCTATAGTTTTATATTGTCTAAAAGATAAATGCATGCACGCGAAAACATTTTCATAGTTGCTGGTGTTATTGCTGTCGAAAACTGCCTTTGACTAGACTCTCCGGCTGAGAATATCCGTTCAGTACTTCGTTGTTCGCTATATCGAATATAATCGCGCCGCTAGGTTTGTTGTCGTATCTGTTTTCCACGAGACTGATGTGGTACATAAATGCTAACTTTCCAGAGTCTCAGGCCCTCGGTATTGAAAAACTTGAGCAGCGGGTCTTTGGTAGACTTGATAATCTCCATCAGTCCTAAGACGGCTGCACTGGGTTTGACATACATGAGAAATCCCTTTACAGGATGGTCATTTTTGAGCAGATGGATGGACCGCTGCGGTTTTTCGTCGCTGCTCTCAGAAGTGGTAGTCAAGAGAAAGGTGAGAAGAAGAGTGCCAGAGTTGACGGCTGAGTTAGTGCAAGGGTTTGGTGGAAGGGAAAAAAGGAAGGTCGCCATTTTCGTCCGCACACCCAGCGATTTTTTTTTATAGTCGAACCTCCACAGCTTGCACTTTTTTGATATCATTATGGAGGGACCAGTCCCGTATTCAATCCAATTGAAACTGGCATTTTAAGTTATAATCCAAGCCTATGACGATCAATGAACACATCCATATCGTCCAGAGCGACCTGGAGGTGAGTTCTCGACAGAACATTGTAATCGGCTTCCTGCACATCAACAGCGCCAGATATAAACTCGGTTACAGCGTCCTGATGATATGCTTGAGAATAGACCTCTTCTGCGTAGGGGCTTGAAGGTGGCGACGAAAATCCCTCGATGGGAACCTCCTTCTCGACGGTAAGGTTATGAAGAGCGATTTCGACTACCTGCACCCCTTGGTCACTAACAACTGGCTTCGGGTCTTCATAATCCAGGTCAGATTTGTCGTCATCACCCCACGTATCGTTATCAAAGTCTTCAGAGTTGTCCTCATCCACGAGATCATTCTCCTTCAGTTGCTGGAATGTTCCCTTGCATGCCTCGCGACTTATTCTCTCGTGGGTGACCTCAACAATCGCTTGCGAAGGCCCTCCGCTTTTGACCATGCTGAGATCGCTCTGGACGGAGGAGTCCTTCTGATCGACGATGGTTTCTTCGTTTCCTGATGTCGTTCCTTGGGCTCTTCTTGAGGACGATTGACTTGATCTGCCTTTGTTTCGACTCCAAGGCCCAGCAATCGATTTTTCTGATACTCAGAGAGGATGGGAACTTGGACAAATCAATTATGAATGCATTCAGGATCACCTTCTCCCAAGAGCGGACTAGATAATGCCCAAAATCTCCCATTTGAAACTGTAGCTGTGAATGATCTTTTTCGAACGCGACGATTGCAGACGACTTTGAGCATCTCTTGGACGTAGCGAGCCTTGAAAGATCAGATAATCCCAGCATCGAGTGGCTGGGTCATGGATGTTGTATTCGGAGGCAGCTTGATGATGGTGGTGTTGAGGGAACCCGGTCTTCGCATCTTCCATGTCCTGGTGCGCTGTCGATTAGCTAAGCGATCTTGCGTCTCTTCCTGTACATGTCCCAGTCTTGCTTCCAAAGCCAATCGGCGGACAGTTCACGTCTCATGTAGTCACTTCCTTGAATGTCAGCATCGATAGCCTTCAATGTCGCTTAGGTCAAACCGCTCGGACGGTGCTTGGCTATGGACGTATAAAACTTGGTGAGTAAAAATCCTTTGAATTTGCACTACTACACTATTCAAGCAATATTGCATTACTTACAAAGGTTATAAAGGTTGTGTTTGTCTATACCTGTGGCATTACTGCACAATAACACCGACGCTCGAGTAACCCGAGTGATCTTCTTGTCATGAGTTGGACCGGTAGCAAGAGTTTTGTTGGACATAGCCTTTAGAATGAGACTCGTCCCATGTCAATTAGAGATGTTATCAGGGCCAAAGTCCTCAAGCACCATTTGGATCTGCTCAATTTGAGTTCGGCGAGCTGACTGATCCGCTTTCGCCATGGCTAATGTATCTCTTGAACGATCTCTGTCTCTTGAACTTTTGAAGCTAGCCATTTGAAAAGGCATTTGGTTCTGGCTAATGCTCAGGACGAAAAGAATCTTTCATGAGGATCCACGTCGCCACAACCGTTCCTTTTAGGCGAGAATCAGACACGTTGATGCCTATCAAATTATATGGACTAGGGAATATGCTTTCAGAAGCGAGCAACTGCATAGACGCATAGACTTTCGTACCTACTGTTTATACTAGGTGTAAACGGCTTCCACAACCGCCATTGGTCTTGGCTTGTTAGGTACAGTCGTTCTTGTTGCCACAGGCGGCAGCGCCACCATTGCCTGACGGACCTCGTCTTCCTTCTTGAGTATACTGACGGCTGCCTGGGACTCATGTTCAACATTTTTGAGAGAGCGGTATGGGAGGCATATGGATTGTGTTCTTTCTCTGCTTAGTATTTTAAGATGAGCTACATCATATCGAGAAGCGTATACTCCGTATGGGATTTGTATAGTTTAGAAACCGAGGCGCCAGGGTCAGAACATTCAACGTTGGGTGAGTTAGGGACCGGAGCTGTGCGGCCAGACCGTTTTCTTTTGGACATAGTGGAGATAGAGGAAAGGATGGACTCGAGAGAGGTGTATGTAGGGAACAAAAGTGCTGAAATACACGATTCATTAATGTTTATAACATCAGTTTCAATTGGATTGAATTCCGGACCGGTCCCTCCATAATGATATCAAAATGTGCGAATTATGGAGGTTCAACTCATCACCACTCCTGGGAACGCGTTTGTGTAACGTTGACTGAGAAATAGGCTGATGTGTAAATGTTAATCCAATCGCTGCTCCTGGGAACGCGCTGTGTAACCTTGACTGAGAATCTAGCCTCAGATGACTCCCTCACCCCATTCTTGCTTTCAAGTGACCTTCCGCATCATGCACCACAACCTCGCCCTCAACTGACCCTTTGGTTCCCAGACCATACACTCGCCCTCAACTGGCCGTTGTTGAGAGCATCCCTAGAGACAGTTGCTGCTGTGTTGGTTTGTCAAACATACACGGCTCACAGGGTGGAAAGCACTCTCTTTGGCTGTTCTCTTCCTGCTTTCAGATTCCATCACCCCATCCTTGCCTTCGACTGACTGCCATCCCCCATTTAACCTCGCCTGCCACTAACCATCAGTTCCCATACCACGCTCGTGCCTCCAGCCAGCGAGGCCTGTGCAGATGAGCACTGCTGTGCTCATTTTCCACAAACCAGGCTCACATTGTTGACAGTGCACTCTTTAACATTTCTCTTCCTGCTCGTATCCTCATACGCGAGTACCTCACGCACGTACCTCTGGCGTCGCAATCTGAAATTTGATTCCTCGTCCATGTCCTCCATCACCAACGACAATGTCGGTATGAATGTAGAAGAAACATGAATGCAAAAGAAACATGGATGCGTAGTGTTGTAGCCACCATAGGACAGCGCTCTGCAATAAACATCCTCTTTGTCCCTGACTTCAATCATCTCTTGAACTGCTGTCCTGAGTTTGGCATTGCTTCTGCACTGGTGAAGGATAGTTCTAGCCTCACTCAAAGCCCCGGCCAATGATCGTGCATACTCCTCGTTCCACATCTTGCATAAGCCGTGGCCTCAACTAGTGCCAGTCTTTTCGTATATGGAATATTTATAGAAGGGAGGAAGTAAGGCACTGGCCGAGTCGTTGGTTTTCCTCATTGACTCAAGCTTCGAGCGGTTTATTTTGGCAATGACCAAACTACAGTTCAACAAATGCCGCAGCATAGAGGTCGGAGTTGTCGTTATGGCGACCATAGAACACAAGCTTGAGATCGTATTTCTTCTCATCGATCTCTATTGTCGCAGGCCAATAGTCACCACCTGCACCAGGGGCTGGAAGCTCGGCTATTAGCTCCCCAAACATCCTCCTACCGGAGAACCACCCCACCGTTTGGTTGCTGATGGAGTAATGGGGTATCATACTGGCACTGTAATGCTTGAAGTCTACTCGGCTGTTATTGTGGACTCCAATCAACTGGAGCTCGTACTGGGGTTCTCTTCTGTCGTGCACCCAGAGCTTGACGGCGAAGGTCAGCTTTGTCTCGGTGTAGTTGACCATGTTGCTGTCGTGTGGTTATGAATCAATACATAGGATGCTCTCTCTCTCTCTATATATATATATATATATAAGCGCCCTCTCTCGCCCTCACCTGATGCGTGAAAATGTCCTTGTGTGGTGCGCCGCATGGATACAGCAAGACTGCATGTGGCATACACTTTTGCCATGTATTATGGCGCAAGACAAATCGGCACTTCAGCTATCTCTTTCTTTTATGCGTTCATCCTTTGCCATCTTTTGTAGTACAAAAACCAAACCCGGGCCATCTGCTGAAGCGGTTTGGATGGCTAGGAAACGAACCTATCATTCGACACAAGGCAACGAGATGGCGTACAATAAGCTGATCTGCAGAAAAACAAATGGGCAGGGGATGAAAGAAGAAGGACAAGAGGTTTTGATGACGACAGGCGAAGGGAGAGAAGCGTGTGTACATGCAAACGACGAAAGGACAAAGTGAGGGCAGAGGTGTGTGTCCACTGCAAAGATGAGGCTTTTAACAACTTATCTTTAGAACAATGGGCTTAATCTCAGCAGATCGTGGCAACAAGGTTAATCTACTGCTTGCAATATCCCGTTCAATTAAAGCCGTCTGCAATGGACCTATCTCTTCCAATGTTTGAAATTAACATTAGCAGGCGCCTAATAGAGCCTTGCTGCTTCCTACAAGGTCGCCCCACGTAATATGATTTAGGATCCGAAGATCTATTCGTATTCAATTTAAAACCGGAAAAGGCGGTAACCGTCGCGTTCTAGCACGGATTCTGACTGAGAGGCGTTCAGCCATAATCCAACGGATGATAGCTTCGGGCCATTGCTTGCTCAAGCAGGCCCAAATACCAATTATCCGAATGAACGGTTCCTCTCGTACTAAGTGCAACTACTATTGCAACAACATTTCATCAATAGGGTAAAACCATCCTGTCTCACGATGGTCTAAACCCAGCTCACGTTCCCTATTAGTGGGTGAACAATCCAACGCTTACTGAGTTCTACTTCAGTATGACAGGAGGAGCCGACATCGAAGGATCAAAAAGCAACGTCGCTATGAACGCTTGGCTGCCACAAGCCAGTTATTGAACCCTATGGTAAATTTTCTTGCTACTTTTTTTGAGCCAATTTTTACCAGCCCCAATTTCTTCCAGCCATCAATTGCCGCTCGAACTATGAAGGGATCTGTCATCCTAAAAATCAGCACCAACTTTATCCCTAGGACAACAACGGCATAAACTACGATGACAATTGTAGTAGAGACGTCGCTAAGATGTCCCATTCTGTTTATTCAGGTACTAATCAAGCTGGTTAACCTTCATGATGTCCTTTTCATGCTTGGAGAGGAGCTCATCTTCTTACAATGGCTCTCACGCTCGAGTATTTTATCCCGCATTCGTGGCCAAAGACACACAAGCTTCTGAAAAATAGTCGACGCATCCTGTTTCCAGTTGCCAGCAAAGACTAACGTTTCTGGAAGCTTGGTCATCCTGTAAGACACTGCTTCAGCTTCATGGATCGTGCACTCAATCACTGCCCATTCACTGACGTCGGTGACAATTCCATACGACCTTATTTTTCTAGGAGGCTCCTCTTCTCCTTCTACTTCATACTGCCCTCGCTTCCGCTTCTTTTCTGTCAACGCCGATTCCAGCTGTACAATGTTCTGCGCCACCCCTCGTCGGAAACCGTCTTTCTTCACCTCCGTCACTCCAAGGGTATACGCATGAGTTTTCCGTGAATGTACTGAAGAGTCCACTGGTCCGTTACCTCGGCGTCCACTCAGGTTCCTTTGAGATGCAAGATATAGTTCTTGGTCGAATAACCTTGTCGCTGCTACTATAAACGATGCCACTATCATTGACTTTGATGCCTCATTTGCTCCAAACAGCTTTAGTACCTGCACCCTTGATTCGACTTCGTTGATGAGGTGACCGCGTATCGTCCTCTGAAAATCCGAGTCCAGTGGAGCCGCTTCCAAGTCAGTAAATGGCAGAATCACACCGATTCCAGGATCGGAAGCTTCTGAAAGATTGTACTCTGCGCAAATATCCTTGAATGTCCGTTCTGCAAAGCTTTTAGAGGGCGTCTCCAGTGAGAGAGTCAACTTGTTCCTGAACTTCGTCTTGGCAAACCAGAGTATCCTGCGCATGTCTTGGTCATCGCATATGAGTTCTGATTTAGGATGTCCATTGTAGACAAAACCTCCATGTGGTCGTCGTGAGCATATTGAGGAAACTCTTTGACTAAAATCTTCTTGAGGTCCTTCAGAGTCGCCTCTTCGACCAAGTGCACACTACTTCCTTTTCTGGCTTGACAACAATCCCTATGCCTGGAACACCAACAGATTAGCGGCACCGATACTATAAAAGTCTATAGGAAAGTCATTCGCTCACCCCACTTACAGGCAGATAAATCAAGCACGTCGGATGGCTGTTTACGTAACGCTGCAACTTCTGGATCAACGGCTACTATAAACAACCGCTGACTTTGATCCTCCTTTTATACAGGCACAACCCCAAAATCTAATATCAAATCCTACGTACCTTCGGTAGCTGTTGGCCAACAATGTGATATGTGGCTTGCAGCCGCGCATACGTGACATTGTTGGCCAACAGCTACCGAAGGTACGTAGGATTTGATATTAGATTTTGGGGTTGTGCCTGTATAAAAGGAGGATCGAAGCCAGCGGTCTTTTGTTCCTTGTTCCAGTTGAACAAGAAGACCGTTGTGCTGATCACTCGCTACAGTGTGCGTAGTTGTGCGTTAGACCCTTGTATTCAGTGTGGAACACAAATTATTCGAGCATTCAGATTGGGAGTTTCCTTACTCCATACAACTGTAAAAGAACTATCTCCAAGCGCAACATTGTACCTTTTCGTTGGAATGTACTACTAACTTCCGTATATTGTCTTTTGTATCAACTTTAACATCAAGTCTCAGGGCCACAAAAATGTCTGACTCTCGAGCATAAACGCGAATCCGAGCAACCTAAAGTGGTCATACAAGGGCAGATGACCGCATCAACCACAACAACGACTACTGCCGTTGCTGCTCAAACAGTTGCAAGAAAGAGTCGCCTCACATTTGCACCACTATTTCACACAACATCTCAAACAACCACACCCGTACCAGCGCCTTTAGCCACCCAACCCAAGGCTGAGTCTTCTTCCCCTCATACACAGGCTTCAACGGTACCCACAACTACGCCTAGCAAGCAGAAAGCCAATATAGCTGGCCTCCGACTTCCAGAACCATGGAGATCCCTAATGGAGGCGGCAAAAGCGTTGGTTAGCTATAATGCTCTAATTTGCTTGGCTGTAAATGAGAACCTGCTCGGTGTTGGCTGTTGAAATTTGACCACAACCCCTTTCGTGTATTTGTTTTACCAGCACCTTGGGCAAAACATTGATATTCCGCCGATGTCAGACATCTCTCATCTCCCATCCCTGCGCAAAAGTCTTTTTAAGTGCGCATATGGCAACCTAAGTTTGACAGGAAGCTAACTTTATGCCAGAAGGATGCTCAGTACGTTTTCGTTGTTGGACGTTTTTTTTTGTTTGTTTACTTGTTTGTTCGTTTGTGTTTACAAGGATACTTTTTTTCGCCTTAATTCTAAAATGCTTTACAGTTCATCTTCACTACATTCAGTGTGGCCCTTTCTTTGACATTGAATCTTTCCTCTCCTGAAATGACTGACTATCTTCATGGTGAAGATATATCCTCCGCAATGAAATTATACAATTTGAACATCACCGAGAACCGGACTTCTCACATCCTCGGACCACTTCAAAAAATCCTTGAAGGGGATGACGTTAAGTACCTGCAAGATGAGGTATGCATATTGAAGGGGCAGTACCGACAACAACAACGACAAGGAGTGCCCACGCCATTGCTTTGGAAGCCAATCCTGGATATTATTGAACATCTATAAGTTTTTTGTTTACTTCTTTGTTTTTTTTTTTTTTTTTTTTTTTGAATCGAACTGCCACTGACATTCTTGAGCTCCTTGAAGTTGCCAGCTGGTTTTGAGACCTTCATTTGGTAGCGATCCACCTGAAGCTGACGTTATTGACGAATGGAAAGCAGTCTTTAACCATCTCTTGGGAGGGTCGAACATTTACATGCGGAGGTAAGTCAGAAGGATGGAGTAAAAAGAAATAATTTAACTTGCTATTCGCGAAATCAATTGCTAAAGCGGTTATACGGTTATGACCTTTAGAGGAGAATGCGTGTCCGACTCGTCCAAAAAAATCAAAAGTACCTTGGACGAAGAATTTGATGGGTTTGAGAAGTTTGGAAGGAAAATAGATCTTACGTTCTATTCCGGCGAGTATAAGCTGGCGAACTGTGAGCTCAAGCTCCCAGATGCTCCAGAGATTGACATCAAGATTCAAAACAGAAAAAAACATACGTTTGAACCGCGTAATAATGGAGAGCCATCTCGAGGCGAGCGGTCTCAAATTGAATGTTTTGTACTTCAACTACCAAGGTATTTAAGCTGTTTGATACTTTGCAATGCTACCTTTGCCCTCTTTATTGCATGAAATTAACTTGTAGCACAGGCTGGAACGGCAGCATGTTTGCGCTGTTTCCATATGGAGACATTTATGTATCAAAATACATACAGTCTGTAGAGCTGCCAAGGACCAAGGCTGGATTGAGGGGATTCCTGAGAGGAGAGACCCTAGAACTGCTTTTCAAATTCGTGGTAAGATATCGCGGTGATTGATAATTAATCGTAAAAGGATAATTAACCTTCTATAATGGCAATGCCTATAAAAATAGTATCATTTACGCCAAATGGCAGAGAGGCTACAGGAGGAGACAGAAGAAAAGAATAAGCTGAATGCAAGGAGAAAACACCAACACCTCTTCGATAATAGCAACAGTCCGCGGCAGAAGGAGAGACGAATTTCCAACAATGTCTTCCCGTCATCAACGTCCCCTAGCAAAAAGCCGTGCAAAACAAACAAAGTTTGTAGAAAGAGTACTCTCCTGTAGGAATAAAAAACCCCAACAAGCTAGCCTTGACTTCTGCCAGAACCCTCTCCATCTCACTGCTCGTGCTTATGGTGTTTGAGTCTGTAGCGACAGATGGATAGTTCCCTGTGAGAACAGAAGTCTTGGGATATGAGTAGAGACTGAATGACGACAGGGCGAGTACCAGGAACAAGAATAAAATTGAAAAGAGATCCTAGTATGCATTCCTTGAGCATATGTGGCCTTGATGATGTAGCTCAGATTCAAATAGAACTTGAGCAGATTGATTTATTGGCCTATATAATGGACCACAATACAGCGGCCTCATCTCGGCGACGTAGTTATAGTGATGGTAGGGTGTGAAATGTTCATTTTTTTTTAAAGTTGTTACGCCGGAGGTGTTATCTTGGAGGCAAGGATCTTGGAGAAATGCTCGTAGAAGAGGACCACATCTGGGTCTGGTCTCTGAATCGGGTAGATAGCTTGAATTGGGATGGGCCACTATGGTTAGACAACGCAGGCGAGGATTGGACTGAAATAGCGCAGAGTCGACTTGAATCTTGGATGAATGCAGCGATGGCTACCCGTGTCCACAACGATATTCATGTCATCACGAATGCTTGAATGAGCGTTGTTTATTTGCTTATAGCATAGGGTTGATGCATGAACTATGTAGAGGCTAGATGATTAGCGTCTGAATATGAGTCGCATATGTCTACGGACGTTTATCATGCTAGTTGGTCTTTTGTCGCTTCTGTGATTGTTCTATCACCTTCTCACACAGAGTACGGTCAACCACCTCAAAGACATGACGGTGCAGCATGGGTCATCCCAGACAATAAGTCTTGCTTTTACAATCAATTGTGCGAGGGAGGATCGTGGGCTGACAGAGCATGTTGAGTCCTCATGGAGCTGAATTGGGACTTTGAACCTCGAATGAGCTGTACGGCCTCCCTCCATCAGCAATGCCGCAATGCCGGAGGATGCTATTGCCAGTGCGATGTAATGATCTGCACTAACCATAGACAGCAATAGCTTGTACAGGTATGTTTTTCCTGTTCCAGCAGGATCATCAACAAAGAACACCCTGGAATTTCCCTCGTCGTAGGCGGACTTGATCTATCAAAGGTATCATGTTGGTCGCTATTCAATCGTTGTTCCGCGCTTGCAAGAGTGGTTGCATCTAGGATATGATATGACATCTCTTCAGCAAAAAGTGGGTAAGCGAGTTTGACATCACTATCAGGATTGATGGCTGGGATGGACATTTGGGAAGTCCAATAGGGTCTTGCCATCCTGGTGGAGGAGCTCCTGAAGGGAAATGAGAGCCGCGTTTGACCGCTTTGCTGCGTGAGACTCTGATTGAACAGTGAGTGTCCATAACACCGCGTGAGCATGGCTCGAGGTCATCAGGTAGAGCAACAACGTACTTCATCCACAGCATCTCTGGCTTCGAAACACTACCGAACAAAAGAAGTGTTACAAAAAAAAGTCGCAGCTGACGGCCAGTTCGGAGTAGAGAGGCCTCCTGCAGACAATTGTCTTATTCCCGATCGTCTTGGAGGAGGCCAAGGGCCATGAAAGCAGCCTTGAAGGTTGCATGGCGTCCACCGTGGACTGTCAGAAGATCGTCATATGACTTTGGACTCTTGACCGCGTTCAGAAGTAGTCGAAGAAAAAAAAGCTCACCAGCAGTTGGATGCACAAAGAAAATGCGACCAACGGCACTCCCCTTCTTGCGAATGGTCCATCTCTTCTCCTTGTTGAAAATATGCTATTGACGAAAGTCGGGTTGCGTTGTTGGGGGCTCCAATGGGTGGGTTTCATTGAATTCGAAAAATGCTGTCAAGGTTGTCCTTGCATTTCATTCACACTCCAAAATTTGCTCTGGCTATTCATTATCGCTGAACACCACCTGGGGGAACAGAAGCGAAGGAGGCGCCCTCCCTCTGTGTGTACATCAGCTACTGCGAAACACTCCAGCTTGAGCTCTAGCCACCAAGAAACGAGCTCAAAACCAGATGATGCGATTGCGTTATAGGATGTTCATGTAATAGCTAGAGGGCGCGATGGAAGGGTAAGCTTTATACAAGTGGGCTACGGACTATATATACGCGTTGGGGACCATCTGCGACTCCTAGTGGCCCGAAGCGAACATATGAGAGCCGGCCCGGAGTTCATTCCTATTGCAGCTCAGCACCTCGGCTTGACTGAGATGGTTGGTAGGATCAGCTTGCCTCTGCCCACCAAACTCATAGTACGTGACGACACCCGGTGGTGCCTCCCACACGGTAACAATGGCAGCAGTCCACCTAAATGCATGATGACCATCCAGTCCAGTGAGCACCAAGCACAGCATGGTCACACCATCAGCCTCGTCTTTGCTACCCCCGATATCGGCTAAGAACAGCACAGTCGCGAGACTGAGCAGCAAAGTGGCCATGTCCTGGGCAGGCTGCCATCCGTGGACATTCTGGAAAGCCCTGAGCTTTAGCCGTGGCTTATCACCCAGCATAAGGCTGCCACTGCATGCGCGTCCAAGGACACTAACCCGTTCGGCACTGATCCCGGCCATCCACGTATGCCACGACTGCACATGATATATGAGTGAGTGCGCGCGTGTGGACCGCACATAACACCCCGTCGTGAGTGCCTCTGACAACCCGCCCTTCGCACTGATCAGCTCAGTGATCCAACCAGACGCAAGTATACCAGCCGAATCCCCGATGCAGTCACTGTACTCGTACCCTGGGAGCCGAGCAAGCCCGGCGGAGTAGGCTGCGCGCCGGTCATCGAGCTGACAAACCCGATAAGAAGCTGCACACGCGTAAACTGAACTCGTCTGCGAGACGCACACCGAGAGCCCAGTACGCAGTAAGTTCTCATTGCACACCCACAGCGCATGCTCAAAATCCAGCGACCCCATGCGCACCAATTCTACCGCTGCAGCATGGAGGCTGAAGGCAGGGACGACAGAGCTTTCTTTGCTGATCACACCCATGAACTCCTTATGTAGGGCCAACTCCTGCAGAGTCCACAACGACGTGAACCACGCACCGTCGGCCACCCGCTTGAGGTCAGTATTAGCACAAGCGTGCGTGATGCCATCATGGAGTAATTGAAAGCTGGTGATTGTCTGAGGTTCATGTGCATACACCACCATGAATTGAACTACAGCGAATAAAGCGGCCTGCAACGCCACCATCAGGGCTTTTTGCGGCGACGCCTTATCCTGATCGACACACAGCCAGTCCAGCCACACATACCTCCTCCCAGTGAGAGCAGCGCTACGCAGCATAGTATCCACATTAGTAATGACTGCATGCCTCTCCGTCGCATTATTGCAGACATGTGGGACGTCAACACCGAAACGGCGGTTAAGCTTTTTGCACCAGTACCGCCCCCACGTATGTGAGACGAAAACACTGTGGTATGCATTAGCATAAAACCAGCCATGGGTACTCAGGCCGCTGACACGCATTAAGGTGCTCAGATTGACCACCTTACCCTGCACCAAGTCGAAGAACCGCACATCATCACAATGCTTTGCCAGCTGCGCTGCACCTTCGGCAAATGTGATCGCCTGTGAGCGTACCTGCCTCACAGCAGGTGGAACCATTGCTGCGAGCGCCTCCATGACTGTCCCAGCCGTGGGCATCATACCGGGCCGCATCATGCTCCGCTTACAAGCAAACAACCAACATGCATCGCACATGCAAGAAATCCTGAGATCATTCCCTGCAGAAAGCACGTCCATGAAGGCCTTATGAACAGACGCATGATTGGCAGCCTCCAATTCAGTATCACTGACTCCCCACGCGTTCGGTGTGCGGTCCAGTACTGCACGCCTCAGGCCGCACGCGCGGCACCCAGTGCCACTTAGACCTGGCGCCCACCTGTTCTCCTCAAGGCCAGCGACGGCAATCAGGCATATACGCCGCTCGCCGAACCACTGCCGCAAGTGCATCTCAGCCACTGGATCGTAGTATTTGTCTGGCATTGCTGGCATGCTCCCGTTTTTGGTCAATCGGCCATTATTGAGCATCGTCCACAAGCGCCATGGAGTGATCCCAATACTATGCGTACATTCGCCACTGCAAGTCCCAGCATACACACCAGATACCATCCGATTGCTCACACCAGCATAAGCGATTCTAAGACTCGGAACGAGGGCTGTTTCATGCTGGTACCCTTGGGAGACACCATGGCACGCACACGAATCAGCCGCCGCTGGTCCGGCAGCCAGCCCCTGAAGCACACCGTCAACGAGCGCCCTCACCACGCGGAGGAGGTGAGCTTTCTCGATTTCGTCCAAGGTCGGGTCCAGATCTCTCATCGGATTTACTTCTCCCAAAGTCGAGATCAGAGCTCCCATCGGATCTTCAGTTTTTATTTGAGGGTGATGAAAATAAGTGAAAAGTGATCAGTAAACATGATACAAACCTGAAATCCACACTGCAGCTGCTCTAGATAATGTGTCACTCGAAGCAAACTTTAGCCCCAGATAATCAAGTTTAGACATATGCCTACCTTTGGATCGCCCAGCGATAATATGCATTGCGTCCTCTGGACCACCGTCTTGGAATGCCTTGATGATCGTTGCTGTGGTGTTGAGTAGCCGGTCGGTGTCATGAACGGCTGCAGTAATGCGCTCTTCCGATGAACTCTCATCGTGATCCTCGTCGTCTGTTGTACAGAGTACCGAGTCATTGACGTCAATATCTTCGAACACCATCTGAGCTTTCGCCATGATTTTGTCCTCGAGGTCGCCGACATCCGAATTCCTATCACGCTCGACTTTGAATGTATTCGATGCCATCTCGCCAATGTTTGACATGCTAGGTTGATGGGATGGGATATGAAAGATATTTAGATGAAGTGAATTGGGGGTGCCTTTGTGTCTGGCAGGGATGTCTTAAGTATGTTGTGATGGAGAATCGATGTCGGGTGTTACCAAGAGAAGATGCAGGTACCCCATCGCAAGGCACCTCAACATATATCTCACCAGTTCCTTTTTTCTTTCATGAAAGACACGTATGTTTTGATTTTTCCCTGCTTCGATGCTTCGCCAACACTTTGTCCCAGCCGCGCCCTCAATGATTTTCTGTCTGCTTCCAGGCAGACTGACATGTCGGTGAGCCCGCATATTTGCTTCGCCAACATTTTGCTTCGCCAACATTTTGCTTCGCCAACATTTTGCTTCGCCAACACTTTGTCCCAGCCGCGCTCTCAATAATTTTCTGCCTGCTTCCAGGCAAACTGACATGTCAGTGAGCCCGCATATTTGCTTCGCCAACACTGTTGCGCTTGGAGATAGTTCTTTTACAGCTGTATGGAGTAAGGAAACTCCCAATCTGAATGCTCGAATAATTTGTGTCCCACACTGAATACAAGGGTCTAACGCACAACTACGCTCACTGTAGCGAGTGGTCAGCACAACGGTCTTTTCAACTGGAACAAGGAACAAAAGACTGATGGCTTCGATCCTCCTTTTATACAGACAAACCCCCAAAACCTAATATCAAACCCTGCGTATCTTCGGTGGCTGCTGGCCAACAACACTTTGTCCTAGCCACGTCCTTTGTGTGTAAATATGATTTTTCTTCCAAACAGCAAACACGTAGCCCCTTACATTACTTCGCTTTACCAGGGTTTGCACAATATTGATTTACAAAAATGTAGAATCTTCCACCTTCAGCACCTCGTACATGCTGTATCATAAGATCGGAAGCAAGGTGTGGCAGTTCATGACCGAGAGAGAGAAAGAGTGACAGGCTGTGAAAATTCGCAGAGTATTTATACCTTGAAATTGACTCTTGGTTTCACAAACGAGTATCCACTAACCATCGCCTCAACTTTTGATTAACTCTGAGGTGGCGCCGATGCCTGGGTGCACAGTGTGTGCAGTAGTTGTGGGCTGTACACATATGATGACTGCAAGAGCTCCAGATATACTAAACGTCACCGCGACAGTCATGGGAGATACTGCAGTGGGTGCATGGGCACAGCCTATTACTACCAGTGGAACGACACGCTAGCCAGCACTGTGTCAACGTGTGTCATTTGCGTTGTAAGGGCCTGCTTGGTATGCGTGCCGAGTATGCAAGAGTGCAGAAAATGTTGGAAGCTGTATTGTGGGCAGTGCATCGCCAGGGATAGTAACCAGCCGTGCTCGTAGAAGTGCAGCAGTAATGGCCGATAATGATCAATCAGTTGTTATTGTAGTGCGCATTGTGGTTGGTTACAGCTTGTGCTGCACCCTTCCAGAGCGTCTGTGGGGCCACACAGACTTTCCAAAGTTGAAGAAGCCTCCTGAGCAACGTGTCAATTTCCATGAAGAATCGATTTACGTAGTTATTCCCCCATTGCCCTCTGGCCAGAATCTTTTTTGCGTGCTGCGACGAACTTCTCTGGACGCTAAAGGACGCAAGGCTCTCTTTCCCTGGAACGAGTGCCAAAAGGCTTTTCAATGACCGCCTCCTCTCTGTTGCTGCTCACATTGGGCGATATGTTTGGTCAGAAGGGTGTCGTTATCAACTGCACTTCCTACACATGAAAACAGCATTATCTCCGCAATGAAGCCCAATTGATAGATAGATCCCATATCGTAGATTGATCCCAAGTCGTCGATAGAACCCGATAATCATGGGGCGAGATTGTGGGCCAGCCAAAGAGAGTCATTGAGTGCAATAAAAGTATATAACGACACAGAGCCGCTTATAGTAGCACACTTTTATAATTTCTACTGGCCTGAACTCTGAGCGCTTTTTACCAACTTACTGAGAAACACTCTTGACCACTCCGACCCGCGCTGATGCATAATAATCTCATCACTGCTCCTGGGAACGCTTTGTGTAACGTTGACTGAGAAATAGGCTGACGTGTGAATGTTAATCCAATCACTGCGCGCTGTGTAACCTTGGCTGAGAAACTAGCCTCAGATGACTCCCCATTCTCGCTTTCAAGTGACCTTCCGCATTATGCACCACAACCTCGCCCTCAGCTGACCCCCTGCTTCCCAGACCACTCACTTTCCCTCAACTGGCCGTGGTTGCGCTCACGTGTCTCTGGCGTTGCCATCAGCGACGACAATGTCGATATGAATGCAAAAGAAACGTGAATGCGTAGTGTCGTAGCCACCATAGGACAGCATTCTACAATAAACATCCTCTTTGTCCCTGGCTTCACCCATCTCTTGAACTGCTATCCTGAGTTTGGTATTCCTTCTGCACTGGTGAAGGATAATTCTAGCCTCACTCAAAGCTCCGACCAACGATCATGCGTATTCCTCGTTCCATGTCTTGCATAAACCGTGGCCTCAACTAGTGCCAGTCTTTTCGTATATGGAATATTTATAGAAGGGAGGAAGTAAGGCACTGGCCGAGTCGTTGGTTTTCCTCATTGACTCAAGCTTCGAGCGGTTTATTTTGGCAATGACCAAACTACAGTTCAACAAATGCCGCAGCATAGAGGTCGGAGTTGTCGTTATGGCGACCACAGAACACAAGCTTGAGATCGTATTTCTTCTCATCGATCTCCATTGTCGCAGGCCAATAGTCACCACCTGCACCAGGGGCTGGAAGCTCGGCTATTAGCTCCCCAAACATCCTCCTACCGGAGAACCACCCCACCGTTTGGTTGCTGATGGAGTAATGGGGTATCATACTGGCACTGTAATGCTTGAAGTCTACTCGGCTGTTATTGTGGACTCCAATCAACTGAAGCTCGTACTGGGGTTCTCTTCTGTCGTGCACCCAGAGCTTGACAGCGAAGGTCAGCTTTGTCTCGGTGTAGTTGACCATGGTTATGAATCGCGATTTGGATGACTCGGAAACGAACCAACCATTCAATACAAAGCAACGAGACGGTGTTCAATAAGCTGATCTGCAGAAAATAAAAGGCCAGAGGATGAAAGAAGAAGGACAAGAGGTCGTGATGACGGCAGGTGAAGGTAGAGAAGTTTGTGCACATGCAAATGACGAGAGGACAAAGTGGGGGCAGAGCCATGTGTTCACATGCAGTTGCTAGAAGGGCGAAGACGAGGGTGAAGCTAAAACGACATGATAAACTGTATGGCACAACCTGAAGTTGCAAAGATGATGCTTTCAACTACAAGCAGCAGGGGCTGATTGCGATACAGTCAAAAGCAATTGGACGGGTCGAGTCTCATCTGAATATATCTAGGGATTGTCTACGTAGAGATCATTCTCCTCTCTCTCTTACCTACGCCTTCTCACCGTTCCAAGGCATGCTTCCTCCTCAACAACAACAAAAAAAGCAGAAAACAAGCACCTCGAATCTATGGTTCCGCTCCAACCTCTCGCTCTTTTAAGGACGTCAAGAACATTGTCATGACCAACGAGGAACGGAAACGTTTGCGCGAGCACAAGTTAAATAACCCCTTACTTCGCAGGGAGACCTAGTCAAGTGGTTTTGGAGGAATCACAACGGGAAGCTCGCCCAGAGCACTATTTCCAACACTCTTGCTAACATATCGAAGTTCATTGCAGGCGAAGGCTATACCAATCCAACTCTAAAACGCAACAATGTTGCCATGTATCCAGGCATGGAGATCAAAGAGAAAGCAGCATCGATTCTTAAAAAGCATGATGGCAATGCTACTTTCAAGTTCTCACATGGTTGAGCCGTTGGCCTCAAATGTCGCCGTGGTATTTATACTTCTCGTTGCTTTGGCGAGAGTGGATCCGTCGACATGGCCCTGGTTGAGGCTTCTCTTCCAGATACCAGAGCAAAACCCGCCCAGTATGAGTGGGTGGATATCTATAATATGGACGAGACAGGTCTTTACTATAGGATAGAGGTGAGTGTATTCAGCGTGAACAGGGATGATCTGTTGCGAGCTATTGTTAACATCTGTATATATTTAAGGCCGATTTCCCCCTAGCTATGAAGCGATTGGAAGGTCATAAGAAGGGAAAAGAGCGCATTACCATAGATTGTGTTGTAGCGGTGATGGCTCTGACAAGGTTACGTCTTTGATCATAGGCTCCGGACGAAACCTTCGGCGCTTCAAAAACATCAACTTGGAAAACCTTGGATGCATGTACCGCTGGAACAAGAACTCGTGGATGAATCGCACAGTATTCGAGGAGTGATTCCTGGCTTTCGGTAGGAGGATTCGAAGGGCTTCGAAGGAGACTTTGCTATTATTCGGCAACTTCAGTGGGCATATTCCATCGTCCTTGATGCCCACCCTTAGAAAACACTACCATCCTGCAGCGATCTTACATCATGGCAGAGCATACTTTGGCTGTACGATTTTGGCCAAAGGAGGCACTGTACCGTGTGACTGGAGGAGGTCAAGGTAGATGCAATGGCAAGAAGCAAATGACATCTCTTCATCAGAAGGGTTCATGCCATATAATGTTTGGTACTTGAAACAAACCCTGTACAGTCCTTCACAATTATCGATTGGGACAGATGAGGGCGAGAAAATGCAGGACGATGATGACAGTTTATATTGAGCAGGGACAGACTAGAACAAGGACGATTTACTATCGGTACTGAAGGATACAGTGCCTGATTCGCAACAGACACTAAAACTACAGACGAAAAAGAGACCTTTCTACCCTCTGGGACTCACCTTATCTACCGTAGCAACAAAAGGGAAACTTCCGAATTGCGGAGGTTGTCACCAAGCGATTCAAGAGGCAGTAGGCGTTTGGTGCTGAAACGGGCAGTCAACATAGACAAAGGTTTCACGACCACTGTCTCTTATCATTGCTTGTAATCCTGCATAGCCGCTTTACCCTGAAACCTACACGTTGAGGCCTAGGAACACATTCTGGCAAAATAAAGAGCAATGGTTATGGCTAGTTAATAGTGGCAGTGCACCGTGCGTGCATAAGGGATCTTTAATCTAGTTGGCAACTTTAGTTGGCACTCTTCAGATTTTTAGATGCACAACGGATTAATTTGGACGAAAAAAAAATCCGCTCAAGTTCAGAAACTGCGTCCCGGACGTTTGGACAGATTTCCCGCCAAAAGTTGCGGGAGTTTTACTATAGGAAGTAGGTTTCAGGCCCAAAATTGAACGCATTTTTTTTGTTCCAGATACAAGCCACAAATTGATCAGACACAGAAGTATCACGAATCTGTTGCAGCCTAGGCACCACAGGATTGAGTGTCTGAATTTTCTTACTACACGCGTATGGGCCGATATACACAGCAGACAGCTGTCAGCGTCCACCGCTTTCATCCTTGCTTCTAGTTACCTCTGTCCGCTTTATTACAGAGAACAGAACACCTCGCGAGGAGAGACAAGGCTACGAGGCGGAATAATCCTGTCTGTCTGTTTGTAATAAAAGCCTATAGTTCCAGGTTGTTTGCCCTCTATGCATCCTGATAGTGATTTTTCTCCTTTTCGCTTTATTCCGCACTCCAAACGTTTACGTTGTCATCATTATCGTCCTTATTACCGTCAATCTTATCCTTATCCTCATCCTCCTTCTCATCTTTATTGTCATCCTCGTCCTTGTATTCACCGGACAGGGGTCTGCGACTATGCTTCCGAGTGTTAGCAAGGCCATCAAAGTACTCAGTCGCATTCGGCCAAGAAAGACTTTGGGTATCTTGACCCCCTCCTGCCCTCGGCATGGACAATGCAATTTCCTCAAGAGTATCCTTGCGCTCACTCCAGTAGGAAGCGCTCTCAAACCAATCCTCGAGCGGCTCGAGTTTCTTCCACTGGTTGATCATTCACTTCACTACATCAGCTCCTTCCTCCAACCAGACAGAGCACGCACTCCATTACATGCTTGCAGCTGAGCATATATGCTTCAGCGTCTTCAACTACTACAGTTCCATGCCTAACGACGCTCTCAGCGTATCGTAAGAGACCTCATGCCGTTCCTCCCAGCCGCAGCCTTTGTTGCAGACCCGAAGACACTCTAGTTTCGAAAACGACGCCAGTCGTCCAGACACCTCACGATTCACTCCCAGTTTCCGCTCCTCAATACTCTAGAGACCGGCATTAATACCCGCATCAAGCTTACGAAGGTCCATGAGGATGGATCTACGGCTGACGAACGATATCGAAGTGCCTCACAGTGTTGCAGACTGTTGCAGACTGTTGTAGACTGTTTCAGACTGTTGCAGGGTGTCGTTCGAGGATCTTGCTCGGCCAATGTCCAGATTCAAGAGTGCTTATGAACGACTTTTGGAGGGGCGCGACCGCTGCATGGAGTTAACTTGTGTGAGCAGATTTACAAGGGGATGAGAATTTTCGATCCCACCCACCTTCAACATTTATTACACCAAACAAATTTGCATGCTGTTAAAGCTGGGGGAGGCGGGGAGTGACAGGAATAGTTTCTTCGTCTTCACACATAACTCGCTCTCTCGCTTATTCTCTCATTCACAGAACGACAGAACGAATGCCTTAGTTGCACACACACACACACACGCAAGCAAGATTCATATGTAAAACAGGTTTATTTATTTATTTATGTATTTTACTGCGCGACCAGTCAGTCTATCCACCCACTCGTTTCTATATTTTTTAACGTCGTCTTTGCTCCCTCCTTAGGTGTCATCTTCCCCTCCGCGCCTGATAATAAATCCCTCCGCATACCCCTGGCTCTCCCCCGGGATCTCAAACATCTCGTCTTCAATAATCCTCTGCGCATCATAATTCACAAACGTCACATCCGCCGACAATGACGGATACACCGGGATGTTCGCCCGGATCGGGAAACCTGGCGGCAACTGGAATTCCAGAAACTCCTTCAGCTTGCCCACCAATCGGTTGTTATCCATCCCAACCACCTCCAACAGCGGTAGGATCTTCTCGATCGTCAACGGGAACTGCGGCGCCTGCGTCTGGGCCTTGTTGCCGAAAAGACTTCCCTGTGAGGATGCCACAGAAGACGCGCCGATCGACGCTTGTGAACTGTTCTCGTGAAGCGTCGAGGACCCGCTCCCTGTCTTACTACTGTTATTGCTGTCATACATCCATAGGGTCGCACCAAAGGTCTTGCGCGATTCTTTTTGTTCCAACGGTCGTCCCAGATGCAATTCCCCTTGCTTCGATGGATCAAAGTACTCCTCGAACGTAACTCTCGTCGCAGGTGGTGGCGTCAATGATTCGCGATACATGACTTGCGGATCTTGATCCTCGTCCTCACTCTCATCGCCCTCGTTCATCTCTCCCTCGGCTTCCTGAAGAGCCGTCTCGAAAAATGCATCATCCGAGATGGTCCCCGTACTCCGTGTGTGCTTCTTAGGGATTGAGAGAGCCGCTCCCTCTCCTGGTGCTCCTGTAGTATTCGATCCGGGCGCCGTAAACGACACTTGCTGTTTTGTCTGATTCTCATCTCCGACGATTGCTTCACCACGATTAGACTCGCTCTCCGGCTCTGCTGCAAAAGGCGAAAACAGAGGTTGGTGAATAGGTCGCCTTGGCTGAGCGCCTCGTCCTCCTCGTTTTTCCGCTCTATCCGCACCAAACTTGAGCACAACACCCTTTTCGGGTTCGCCGCTTTCTACATGTCCGCTTGCTTCAATCGCGCCTTCATGCTGATGATGACGCTGATGCGGAACCTGATGCTTATGTCCTCCATGGCCATGGGACATCCGTTTCAAGGCCTGAATAGGCTTTCCAGTTTCGTCCCTCAGATGCTCAGATCTCACCCGAGTACGGAACTCGACGCCGTCCATCTTCCAGACCGCGCAATCGAATTCGCCGACCTTCTCAACTTTGTTGGTTCTGTAGCCCCAAAGTCCCGTCTTGGCTCTTTGAAACTTGATCGCAGACGTCGGCACATTTGTCGAAGTCTTTTAAAACGCACATTGCAGCATAGCGTGAGAGTGAGAGAGAAAAAGAGAGAAAAAGAGAGAGAGAAAGGGAAGCATCCTCGTCAGCATGCCTAGACCATAAAAATGAGGTAAAAAGAATATTATCCCTTTTACAACCAGAAATTTTTCAAAAGCGTTTGCCTACAATTTCCGAGTTGAAGCAGGTAGATACTTCTTCCTCAATTTCTTCGTCCGTGGGTTCATAATCCTGCTTGTGGTCATCGTCAGACGATTTCGCCAGTCGCTGTGTGATCTTTTTTATTCTATCCACAACCACCAATTCTGGGCCTATGCGATAACAGAAGCAGCGGCACTTGTTTAGAATGAGATTGGCCGTTATCCCGAACAAAAATCCTGAGTATAGCGTTCCCTCAAAAGGGTTCATTACCTGATTCGGGGTCGACCCGAAAGATGATCGAAATATGTCCTCTGATCCACTTCAAGTTCTCAAATCCAACTATCAAGATACAGCAAATGCGAAAAAAAAAAAAAAAAAAAAAAAAAAAGCCCTCCTCGGTTAGAAATGAACATCGATTCCTGCCCCGCCCTTCTTAACAGACAGTTTTTTCTGCAACAACATATGCATCAATAGTTCGTCATCCCCTCCTTCGCCCTTACCGAGAGAAGTATCCATGCGAACGCAATTGCCCTTCTTCCAGATGTGATAAGTGTCATTCGGACACAATCCACTTACGAATGGCACTATGATTAGAAAACGGACAAGAAAAGGGCAAAAAGGGCATAAAGGAACCCCCAGTCAGTATCCAGTCCTGTACTGTCATGTCGTGTCATGTCCTGCCCTTATGTCCTGACTGTGTCCTCGGCTGAACTCTTCTTCTTTTTTCCTTCTCAAAGGGCTTTTTTTTTTTTTTACCCCAGCTCTGAAACTCCCTAATAATAATACGAATGACAAAAAAAAAAAAGTATTAATAACTCACGCGTGATGCCTAGGAAAAAAAATCCAGATGATCTACAAATATATCTCAGAGAGCAGCTTCTTACCATTGCAATTGAAAGTAGAATTGATCAAGATCCTGTTGGGGGAGGAAAGGGGGGGTCCAGTTCCATGTGAATAATGCCCACCGAGAATCATCCATGCCAACAGAGGTTCGATAACGAATGACGAAGCATCAAGAGGACAAGTAAGCAAGCAATCGAAGAAAAAAAGGGGAGGAAAGGAACTATTAGCAAACCTCTTAGTCGCTTTGGAAAACTCTGCATGCCGCATGAATGAATGGATTGACCCACTCGTCATTTCTATATTAAAAAAAAAAAAAGAAGCATGCGAAAAGAAACCTCACGTTACCGTGGACAGCTGCTTGACGAGGTTCATGGCCTTGGTCTTGAACGAGCCCGAGAACTCCTTGCGCTGGTACCTTGTCAACATCTCGATCAATTCGCGGTTCCCCAGACTTGTAGCCTCCTGTCGTGGTGTCCATCCTGATCCGGAACGTGCCACAGGGTTGGCTCCTGCCTTCAAGAGGATCCCGACCATGTCTTTGCGGTTCAGCATTACTGCCAGATGTAACGGAGTGTGAAAGTGGTTGTCCATGGTGTTGATGCTGGGATGATGCAATGGCTTTGCCTTCTCATCCTGTGAAGACGTCCCTTGCTGCTGTTTTTCCTGAGCCTGGCTGGGGTGTGAGCTGATGTCGTTTGCATGGGTGTGAGAGGGATGGTGTGATGCCTTGTAGGGGGCCAGGTACATCTTGAGGGTGTGGACCTTGTTCAGAAAGACCAGCTTGTGAAGCGCCAGCGGGTCGGCTGGGTCAACAGCTACGGATGCCATCTTTGTCAGGTTTGAATAGGATGAAGGATGAATGAAAGTGGAATGTAGGGATAGAAAGATGGGAACAAGGGAGCCCAAGGATGATGTCAAGGGGTCATGGTCATGGTTGGTCATCACCACCAGACACACACATCAGACACAATTTTTGCCACCAAACACTCCACAGTGGTGTCATCCACTTTGTGGATACGCATTTTTTTTTTGCCCCCCGTGGGTGTTTGATCCCGAAAATAGCTTTGCGGTGTTGCTGCCCCCTTTTGAACCTTCTCCTCACTCCACACATGCAAAACAGCGCAGAATGTGAGTATGCAGAAAACAGCTGCGCCATGCCCGGCTGCCTCTAACATCCTCTTCACGCGTTGAACATAACCACTGCGCCATGTAACCTGGAATAAAAATAAAAAAAAACTTAGTTGCAAGGATGGTCACCAATCCATCACCATCGTCACTTTCTGGATACCTTGCAGACTGGACCCTGAAGACCTGAGCCCTACTCTGCCGTGTCAGCAACGTACTTTGTTATCGTACCAAACAACAATACAGCCGATGGTAAAAGCGCAAAATCACGATGGAGGGTGTTCGCACGTTGTGGTATTTGGAATCAGTCAATTTTTAACGGACCATTCTATACTGCTGCAGCAATGATCAGCCTGCTTCCAATCCATACTCTCCCTTTGAGATCTTGCACAGAGCCGTTGAACTTAATTGCAGACCGAGCTAGACAGTCTATCCTAGAAAATACTAGTTGAAATAAGAGTGGTTGCGTTTAAAAGATGCAGCATACTCTCCACAGGGACCGTTGACCTGCCCGCATGATTATGTAAAAATGCCTGATGAGAATTTAGGACAGAACTCCTACGATGCTAAATACAGTGCTTTCAAACACGCGTAACGCCAGCTGTCTTTACTGAAAGGGACCAAGTTTGAGCTTCTTACACCCCTACTCTATTTCGATAAGGCATCTTATTGCAAAGCAGGCGGATGAAATTGGTATTCGAGAAAGAGGGATGGAAGAAAGTGATGAAAAAATAGGAAAGTGTGAATCCATCCGACACACCTGGTCCTCGTATCAGACCGCAGGTTTATAAACGCGTATCTCGCGATCACCCTTATAAAACTCTCCATCATCCTCGTCCCCAGGTCCTCCAACATACCGCTTTTTTTTTTTTTTTTTTTTTTTTTTTTTTTCCTCTTCAGCCCCCCCCCCACTTTTTGGTTGCCTATCTCGCCGTATTAATCTCATATCCCTGTATCCTTACAGACGTTCCCCCGCATCATGAAGACATCTACCGTCACGGTCCTGTCACTCCTCTCCTGTGTGAGCTCCCTCGCTCAGGGATTCGTCTACCCAACCGAGCCCATCAACACCACCGTCTGGACACCAAACTCGACCGTCACCATTGTCTGGACCGAGGACAATCAGCCTCCCATGCTTTCCACCAAACCCGAATTTGACATCTTCTTGATGACCGGTGCAGACGACCATCAGACCAAACTCGCTACGATCGCCACAGACGTCAAAGGTGGAACGAATACAACCGTTCACTACCACGTTCCTTATGTCTCGCCTCCTGGCCAAAGTACGTAGCTTCAACTTTTTTTTTTTTTGCATCTAGTCGTTTATTGGGTTTGAAAAAGATTGGAAGATGCAAACCGACTGGCCTCGGTTTCTACATATCTCTCATATTAACACCTCTCTCTCTTGCCCTTTTTTTTTTTTTTTTTTTTTTTTTTCGGCATCTTCTATAGTCTACTTCCTAATGTTCCAGACAAGGGACCAGTCTTCGACCGCATGGGCTACCCGCTTCACCATCGCAGACGCCGCCGGGAACCCAGGCTCGCTACGCCCAACCATCCCTCCAGGTCAAGCCATCAACCCCGGCGGCATCGGTGCCATTGTTCCCGAACCCACGGAAGAGGAACTCGAAAAGATGCAACAGCAGTATAAAAAAGAAATGAAGGAAAAAAATAACGATTCGCAGTCGAAATCAGATTCAAAAAACTCTACCACCAGTAACGACGACAACAACAACAACGACAACGACAACGATAACGATAAGACTAGCAAGAAAGTAAAGGACAGCACTAAGGAAGACATGCATCCTGGTGGAACCTACCCGCATCCTGGTGGAACCTATCCGCATCCAAGTGGAAACAAAAACAGCAATGCGACAAAAACCGATGATACCGAGGAGACAAAGGATAAATCCACACAAGAACAACAACAGCAGCATCAACCGCAACCACAAAAGCAACCACAACCGCAAAAGCAACACCCAGGAACAGGAAGTACCATCCCGAATACGATCGATATTCCTGCTGGAGGCAACACGAACAAGAACGTGGTGTACAGTGGCACTGCGGGAGGACTCGTTGGCGCGTCATCGGCTGCTTCTTCCGTGGCCATGGTTGCCTTCATCGGCTTGGCTGTCTTCATGAGCTTCTGATCGGGGTTGGGATCGATGAGGGAGTTGGTTGGTTGGTTAGTTGAGAAAACCGCATGTGGTTACAGCTCTAATAGTAACTGCCCTGTAGAATCTTTTTTTTTTTTTTTTTTTTTTTTTTTTTGCTTTCGATTTATGAATACAATGGAGTCTTTTGGAATGAGAGAAAAACAGAACGCGAGACCCTGGATCTCACACGGTCGTGCGACCATGTGAACTTGTTTTTTTTTTTTTGGGACACCAACTTTAAAAGAAAAAAAGAAACCGACTGACGATTAGGGGGGAAGTCAGGACCCTGCGTTTTTGCGTTTTGGTCCCCCTCCTCCTCCTCCTCCTCCCCCTGTCCGTCGATATAATTCATTCTCCGAAAACCACGTTTTGTGCTTTTGCGCCCTGTGCACACACCTTCTTTCATTTGTTGTCATACCCCCCCCCCCCCTTCCTCCCGCACACCCCACTTACGCATCTAATCCGCAATCCCCACATCTCCCACCCTCGCATTTCCTCCTCACCCTCCTCTTCCTCATCTCCGTCTCTGCTCAGCAGTCGGAAACATCCCTCCCTCTCTTGCCTCCAATAGACCAATAGGCCTGCTCCCCACTCATCGATCTTCTCAAGCAATGTCGGTTCTCCGTCGAAACCATAATCGGAAAAACATCAACTTCCCAGTCCCGTCCTCGTCCTCCAGCTCGACAACGATCGACGAGTGCATCTGCAGGCAATCCACCGTCAACATCTATGGTAACCATGATCCAGAGTCTTGCCTCTGCGCCTTTGATGCTCCTGTAACTGCCGCCGTGTTTCTTAAACTCGGAGGGTTTTTTTTTTTTTTTTTTTTTTTTTTTTTTGAAAAATATATTTACAAAATGCTTTGCTTTGAGGTCGTTTGACCTGTTTGCTAGTCTGCCCGCCTGTTTGCCTTGCTACTTACTATCATGCTACCGATAATGTTACAGATCGAAAATGGTTTTGAATCGAACAAACAAAAGACGCCAACGAAAAAGATGAAAAATGAAAGAAGGAAAAGAAAGAAAAGAAAGAAAAGAAAGAAAAAGAAAAAGAAAAAGACCAAGAGGACTCTTCCACCCATTAGATGATATAGAAAACATTGTAAAAATACAGATTGATGTTGAGAGAAAGAGAAAAGAAAAAGGATGTCGCCTATGCTTCATGCCCTCACACAAAGGAACCGAACTTCTCTTGGAATCGGATCAAGTCCCCCGTCAGTTTGTCCATCAATTCCATGCTCGTAGTCGTCCCTGCCGGATCTGCCTTATTCTCCGAGGACCTCTGATCATGACCATCCGAAGGGTGATGCGGCGGCGTCATTGGCTCGTGCGTCGTCTCTGATTCCGGTGTCCCGGAGCTGTGGCGATGATGATGGTGGTGATGATCGTGCACAGACAAAGGGGGGGTCGATAACAGCGGTAGCCTATCCTGCGCACTCAAAGGCACGACCCGAATCGTCATTTCCTTGCCTATCCCATTCGTTATCGTTGTCGGTACCTTGGTGTCGGTAGGGCTACTTGGCTCGTGAAGCCCATCTACCAAAGACACAGTGCTGTCCATGCTCGATCTTGACAGGTCAGGGCACACTTGACTGTCTCCATGCATTGTCACTGCAGATACAGATGCAGAAGCTGGCAAACGGAACACGGACGGCTCTTTCGAGTTGACATCATTCTGCATTGAGCTGTGGTTGTCGTCATGGTGCTGATGCTGATGCTGATGCTGCTGATGTTGATGCTGATGGTCTGTTAATGATGGCGTGCCCGACTTGCTTGACAAAGATGAATCGTCCAGAGGGGACTGTGACCCGCTCTTGCTCTTTCGGTCCGCCATATCAATTTGCACTCGAGAGATATAGTCCAACAGTTGCTTCGCCCGCTTCGTCATCTCATGGATCGTCATTCTTGAGGACGGGTATCGGATCGCTGCAGGAGCAGGAGGGGCCATTGGCTGCGGTGTTCCTTCGCCGTTCGGCACTGGGGTCGAATGCCGTGATCCATTGCGTGTGCTATGTCCGCGGTCGCCATTTCGTCTGGGAAGCGCCTTTTTGGTCGATGACACAGGGGACAAGACCGAGGGTACTTGTTGATGTGAGCAAGAGTCGATGCCCTTGCGAGTCCTCGATGGCGTATCTGTGTTTGTTGATGAAAATAATAGATATATTAGTCTTCATTGCGATTACAGCATGACCATCGCGCAAAAAAAATATTAATCCGTGCACATACCTGGGCGGTCCTCACTTGATTCTTCCTTGTTCACTGAGCCGTCTTCGTCCCCAGGCGAGGCAGACTCTGCATGAGAGGTCATATCTGACCTGTTCGTCTTTCTCCTCTTGCTTGATGGACCCATACTGTCGACCGCGGCATTGCGCTTTGCGTCTTCCTCGCTCTTTGCACTTGCGAAGGACTCGCTTTGTTGATGATGATGTGAGATGCTACCGTTGGAAGCTGGGGAAGTGGAGCGAGACTGTCCCTTGGACGACGGCTTTGAGACAGACGTTTTTTTGGAGCCCATGCGCCCATGGTTGGGCGATGACGTCTTTGGGGACGATGACGGGGACGAGCTGGATGAAGAGTCATGGTCGTTTGAGGCCTGTCCAGCCTTATCCTTTTTGTTGTCGTATGCATGAGATGATGTAAACGATGCAGTCTCGATGTCCTTGCTCTTGGATGAATCCTGGTGGTGATGACTGTCGTCGTTAATGTCCGTATGGGTGCTTGAAGTCTTTCTCCGCCTCTTTGAGGAAGTGCGCAGAGCGAATTCGTCCTCCAGCTCGTCCTGGTGTTCTTCGTTCCATTTCTGCTGGGCCAACATCAGGTCCATGGGGATAGAAGCCTCCTTCGAGTTCATGGTGCTTCGCTTCTTTGTAGGCTTTTGCGCTAAGTTTGATTTTGAGTTTGATACACTAACAAAGGAAAGACGTTGTTAGTGGAAAGACACATTTACAATTCGAATAATAGAAACCACCAGTGTGAGAGATGACTTACAGTTGACCATTGACGACCTTGTAGGGGTGATTCTCGGGCCGACAAGAATCGCAGTAGTATTGGTCTGGGGTGACCTCTCCATCGCCGAGGCCGACGCAAGGGCAGTGCTGCCACACCTTGCATATCTCGCACTGGATCATAACACCCTCATGGTCTATTGGACATAGTGGATACAGAGAGAGGAGATTAGGTATCCTGGAGACAACAATAACAATGAACTCGTCTCGGAGGAATACAGCCGCATGTGCTTCATATGAGCGTCTTGCAAGTGTTTTCTGTGGCACCCCAAAGAATATTGCTTCCACCACTGGTACAAGTCGTGTATGTGTGTGCTGGGGTAAGTTGCATTTTCAAAAAGAAATGAGGAGTGCGCGGTGTAGAGTAGGCTATGTGTTGCTCCACTGCGTCCATTCGTCATGGTCCAGAGTCAACTTTTCACCCTTCCCTCATTATTTTTTCTTTCCCTCGCTCGTTGGGATGCATTCAAGGGGGGTTGGGTGGAGGATGGCAGAGCATGCCGGGACAAACAAAATAAAAACGACACTCGCAGCCAGTGATGGTAGGCTGAATTAGTCCTCTTTCTCTGTTGTCCCGTACCGATAAAGAGTGTGTTGAGATAACAGCTGTGTGTGTGTGTGTGTGTATGCGTGTGAGTGTTGAGTGGAAAAGAGGAAGACAGGTGGCGTAATAATATATAAAAAAAAGCCGGCAGCCGTGCAGTGAGTGCCCCATCACTGACTGAGTGACCCGATGACCCTCCAGTGGAGCAATGCAACATCAGCAACAACAACACAAGCAGAGTGAGACGAGAAAGCAGTGAATGTGCACTTACGTTGCTGATTGCAGACACAGCGGGTCTGGCCACCATCGTCCTCTTCTTCCTTCTTCCTGCTTTGCTTGGAGTGGCCACCACGGTTGCTTCTTCGGGCAGACGCTTTTTTTTTTTTTTTTTTTTTTTTTGAAGAGAATGAGAGTAAGAGAGTGAAAAGAAGAAAGGGGCGGTCAGTCGTCGGCGTTGCTGTTGTTTGCCAAAGTCATCAACAACTGCAGCGGAAAAAAGCAATGAGCGTTACCCATTGAAGTTGTGTGAGTGTCTCGAGGGGCGAGTTCGAGTTGAGTGCTGCTACAGTGGCTGTAAAGCGCTTGCGGGCTCCTTGCTGGCGGAATAAGAAAGTTTGCACTGGGGTGTGGGTGTATAGGCAGGTGTGTATGCGTGTGTGTGTGTGTGTGCGTGTGAGTGGGAGGGAGGGAGAGAAAGATAACGAAGCGAGACTTGGAGGTGAAGTGAGAGAGGAAGGGCGCAGGATGGTTGGAGGGATGGATGCAGAGGTGGAAAGGGATGCGGATGAAGAAAAGAGAAGGAGAGGACAAGGAAACGGGTGGGGAGCGATGAGAAAAGCGAGAGAGAGCGGGCAGAGGGAGAGATTCAACAGCAGAATGAAGAATGAAGAAAGAATAAAAAAAACAACAGCTGCTTCCACAGCAAGCACTGGGATTAGCCCTGCTGCCTGCCCTTTCCTCCCATCTTCCCTCTCTCTCTCTCTCTGTGTGTGTCTGTCTATCTGAGGAAAAAAAAAAATGCAGCGAGCGCAGAAAATTTTACAGTGACGTAGCGTAAACCTCCGGGAACAGTGCGATTCAGGCGTAAACCTCCTGATTGGCTGGACTCTTCGGATGGAAATAAGTTTTTTTTAGAGAGTGGTGATCCTATTTTGGAACACAATCCTCCAGATTCATTTGACCATCAATAAGAGTTCGTCTTCCTGTGCCTGAATTGACCACGGCCATTCTGTTCAGTGTATCCAGTACATTTATTTCTAACATCTTTGTCCCGCCCGGACAGCATTGAGGCCTTTCACCTCAAGCAAGGTCTTCCTTACTCCTGCAACTGTGGTCTGAAAGTACTCGAGCGTACATTTCCTCTTCTTTGTTGAGCCAGCGGTAATGACGATCTCCGATATCATGTTTTTCAGATCGGCCTCAAGATCCTGAAGCTCCTGCTCTTGTTCTTTTTCTCTGGCTATTCCTTTCTGTTCCGCCTTTTCTGCCCTTTGCCTATGAAGTAGAAGAAGGATTGCTGGTGGGAGACCGGCGATATGGATATACCTTTTGTTCGTCTGTGTTTGGTATGACCATAGTCTGAGCAGTGTTGAAGTCAACAGCGTCTGCCTTTGCTTACTCCTTTACGTTGTATGAGGACAGTTTCTGCGGGATCATGTTGTTGAGTCTTTTGAAGTAGAGGGTTCTAAAATCAATATTCACAATCCCTTGCAACAAGTGTACAAGGTCATCTGGACGCAAATTCCCCTCACTTCCCAGGCACTGTGACTTCAGCGTCTTGTGCCAGCTCTCAACTAGATTGTTGGTATCGTTGTGTTGGCAATCCTAACGAAGCCAAAAAAAAAGAAAAAAAAAAAACTAGCAAAGTTGGATCACCACAACACTTTGGCAGAGTTCAAATGATCCGTCCATGCTCACCGATCGAAGATATAGAGCTCATTTCACAAGTCTTGTTGGTTCCATCCATTTCTTGAGATAGGTAATAAAAGCGTCTGCAGATGGTGAAAAATTGGTTGTGAACACTCTCCACTTCAGTCCTCGGTCCTCGTCTGACAGAGCGTTAAGGATCCCGTTCAATGATTTCCGCATGGCATCGCTTTCTGCAACCTGGAGCAGACCAAAAGAGATTGAGCAGGAAATATTAGAGGACGAATGGAATAATGGAACGTCTCCGGCCGACATGAGATTCTTCCTTTGCCAGTTGCACTTACATTGTGAAGTTGACGCATTTTCCGTTCCCAAGCTTGACCAACGTGAAACTTGCAGTAGTAAATATCCAAGGAACGAAATGCTTGCTTGAGAGCCTCAGTCTCGACGACAGAGCAGTCCACCATAAATTTCGAAGGGTTTAGGCCACACTCTTCTTTGACCCGTCAGCCAGGTACTGAGAACATCCCTATTACAGCTAAGGAAATAAAACACGAGGGAATGTGAGTCAGCCGAGCATAATGCAAACCTGATAGTTTTTATTTTTTTTCCTTTGAAAAGATGAAAGAAAGCACACTTTGCACCAAACGGCGGAACTTGCGTTGATTCAGAATTGCATACCATGAACGCAATCGGCACACCCAATTGTGTCTTCAAATCTTTCACCAAAAGAGTGAACAGATACGCAGAGGCGAATCTCTTATCGTTTTTTGGATCTGGCTTCAATGACTTGACGGTTTTGTGTGTTGAGTCCATACACACGATTTTAGTGCTGTCGCTCATGACCTTAAAATCATTGAAGGAAAAATATAGAATAAGTAAAAGATCGAGGATATCACGTTCTTGCCTCCAAAAAAGGGCACCTTAAGTTGGAACTTGGTGCTCCAAGCAAACATGTAAAGACCCGCATCTCCGGCAATTCCGTCAATGAATGTCCCTTTACCTCCGTCTTCGTTGATAGCTTCGATCCAGGTTTGCACGCTTGCCGTTGTATTTAATGATTTCCGAGATTTCTTTATCCGTTCACGATATACTGTTTATCTCACATCTTCATAGGATAGGCAAAGTGCTGAAGGGACAATACCGCCAGATTTCTTCTCTTCGATCTATGTGTTGTTAAAGGATAAAAGAGCCAAGAGATAGAAATGAGAAGTTGTATGACAACGGCTCAGCTCAATAACACATGACGCCATAAAAACTGTACCTCTGACATCGAGTTTTTGTCCATTCGCAGCATAGCTCGTATCCCCCTCCAGTCACTACCTTCCGCCACCTTCAGCTTGATCCAGTTGCGTTCATTCGCACCCATGGGCATATTTGACAAGGTCTGGGTCGAAAGGTCATGGTTGTGCTGCCGCCGGTAATCCACAAGCACTGCATCCATGCTGACAGGTTTTTTCATCCGAATCTCAACAGGACATCCAGTGCCAACAGATGGTCGGTTGAGCGCCAAGGGTCTGGGAGGACCGTGCCTTCTGCATTGAAAGCGGAAGCTCCAGTCATAGGTCTTTGGTCTACCATTGGTACCAGGAGCGGTGATATGGAGAAGGAGGAGAGTGCCGTCGGGCTGTTTTCAGATGTCGCGATTAGATCCTCGTTCAGAGCAGGGAACAAATTGAATGGCGGTTTGCTCTTGAAACCAGAGCGCCCTGAAGTCTTCCGGGGTGAATCTAACCATCCACACATCCTGTTCACGCGGGAATGCGTTGGGCACAACGAGATCTCGAGGTTTGAGATCACTTGGATCAATGAAAATGTCTTTCAATTTGAGTCCACTCATCCTTGAATGTGGTGACAACAGGTGTAGATGGTGAAGGTGAGAACAAGAGAGGAATGACAATGCAGGGGCAACCGATGGGAGAGAGGAAGTCAGGGAGAGGTTTGGGTCAATAGAATAGAGGCGAGTCAACAAGAAGTAGTCACTTCAAACTCCTGGTGGCTTGCAGAATGGTTCACACGCGTCTTCACATGCACCCCTTTCTCCACACCAGAGATATCAGCGGATTGATTTTTTTGGTGAGACGCTGTCAACTACAGGAGTTTTGCTTAACAAAATTGTCATAATTGACAACATCTCACCAAAAAAATCAATCTGCTGATATCTCTGCTCCACACCCTCTCATTCACTTCCCCACGCATACATTATCTCACACAAACTTTCGAATTTATTATTCCCTCGGCTCACTTTCTACATCACTTCTCTCTATTTCTCATGTAAACGACAATGGGCCTAAAAGACGGATTCGCTTTTCTACGAAGAAAAGGCTATTCTCCTCGGGCGATACACAAGTCGGCGATGGTGTCTTTCCTGGGCAGTCGGAGAGGTCTCGTCGACGTGTTGTCCTTTTACGGCGTCATCAAAAACGCCTATGCCCATTGTACCGCAGAGAAGGCCCATGCAAGGCTTGAACAGCATGTCTTGGGGCTTGGCTCTAAAACGAACCTGGTCCTGTACATCGACGGCGGGCCAGCACTAGAGAAGCAGGAGACGGCGAAGCAGCGCAAGGAATCTCGGAGCAAGGCTGCCTCCAAATGTACTGAAAGCCTCGACAAGCTCGAAAGCATCATCAAGGACGGCAGCAAGCCGTGAAAATGCCACTTCGTTGACGTTAGGAAAAGTCTCTCGGCCACTTTCTACTGGTCTTTGGAGGATCGTCAAACATTCATCGGGTACCTTCAGCAGGCCGGCTGGTCAGTACGCATCTGTGAGACAGAGGCGGATGTCGCGATCGCGTTTGATTGTGGGCCAGAGGGCTATGATTCTGTCTTGACTCTTTGGCGTCCTATCTCTAAATACTTGGTCCTGGAGTACAAGCTCAACGATGTTTGTCAGCTACTTGGATTGACTCGAACTCAACTCACGGCCCTTGCAGTGGTGTCGTCGAACGACTACAACCGCAATATATATTCCCTGGGACCAGCAACAAACTTCTCCATTATCAAGAGCCTCGATGCACCCAGTAAGCTCAAACAAAAAAATAAGACGAGCGATTATGATTTATGGTCTTGGGACAATGTAACAGGAAAAATAACCTTTTTTTTTTTTTTTTTTTTTTTTTGTTTCTTCTTCAGACACAGAGGCTATTGTGGCCGCCTATCTGAACCACGTCAAGGTCTCGACCAAGAACACAACAAACGGGGATTTTCATGTATCCTTGCGGGTCTTTGTCGATAAGAAGCAGACTCTTGTCTCCCAAACCTCCACTCCAGCAGGCCCGTCTTTCAACGATCTCTGGGACAGGTTCAGAGACCTTTGTTCCTGTTACGAGCAGCTCAAGAAAAGTCGTCCGCCTCAAAGGAGGTAATAATTTTATTTTTGTTGTGGTTGCTCTGTTCCATGTTGTCTGTAGAGACTTGTTTGACTGATTTTTTTTTTTTCTTCAAATTAACTAGCTCAACCAACGTGCAAATCGTGCGCCTGAGATCACCCCAGACACCGAACCGTTTCAAGACTGTGGAGTCGCCGGTGTTCATTAAGGATCGTCAGACGGACTCTCAAGTTTCTTCCCTTTCCCAGCCAGCTACTGACAGCAATCACAGCAGTTCGCTGCGGTCACCCAACAAACACAGCAGCTTGCTTTAACCACGACCCAAGGTCCGTCTTCACCTCAGGAAGAAGTCTGTCACTCTGTTTTGCCACGAACCCGAGTTCCCAAGAAAAACCGCCCTCGATACTCGCTTAAACGACAAGGTCGGGCCAAAACGAAACGGCGATCACCTACAGCAAAGATGAAACAATACGTCTGGAAGCCTTTCAAGGAGCCTGAACCCAAGACTGAGAAACCGAAGCCAAAGCAAAAGCAAAAGCCTGCGCCAAAATCGTTATCAACTTCAACAGCGAAAACCTACAAGTTGAAAATCACTAGGATGTTGGCCTACCAGCACCCGACGACCTCTCTGCACATCGGCACTCTATCCGCCAATATCGAGCAAGCTCTTCCCAGCCAAAACAGTCTCCAACACGAGGTGAAGTCTGTCCTCTTGGATGCTGCAAGTGAGGCGGCTCGCATCAAGCGCAAGGCCCAGATGTTGATTGGGAAGTACTTGGAATGCCTGGTCGAAAAAGGACTTGAAAGACTGGATGCTCAGGATCGGACCTTTCTCGATCTGATATGTCCGCGAGTCACCATGAAGGATGTCAAGAACAACGCCGATGATGCCGTGGAGGAAGACGAGGATGGGGATTAGATTGCTGGCATTGTGGACGAAGACGAGGAGGATGAGGGCAATGTTGAGGAGGATGACACCGATATGGGAGGATCAGGCGGGAGTGACCAAGCGCAGCGGCATTTCCTTTCAAGCTTACTTGTTTATCTGTACTCTGGCAACATCCCAACAAAACAGGAGGTCGTCAAGTTCATCAAGCGTCTTGAAGAACTTCATCTGTACAATCCGCCGCGGACTCGGGTTGAGATCAACGAAAGAATGCCGTTCACACCCACGGACCTAGTGCGATCCGTAGTCGGACAGCTTAAAGCTGAGCTTAAACGAATGTACAAGACTGGAACCTGCGATCTCCACAAGATGGTAAGACTTGAAGTGGCATGTGTTTCTCTAATTTTTTTGCGGAAATCCAGATTCGGGGGGATCTCGGCCTTCGAGAACTACCTGACTCTGAACAAGTTGTCTCCGAACCCCAGAAGGACTATCCCTATAACGTCGTCCAAGCAACCGTATGTCGGATTCTCTGAGAGAGAGCTGGCTGGGCTCTTCTTCAAGAGAGGTGGAGCGCTTAAGCGGGGGCTTATAGATCTGGCAACCGAGGACAGATTCCATGCTTCTATCGACGAGTCTACAGATGGATGGTAGAAAGAGCCCGGGTTCTTGATCAAGAACTTTGTCGCCGATATCGATCCTAAAGGCCTGAAGGCTCGCCAGAAACGAAGAGCAGGTCGCCGAGCCAAAATCAAATTACGGTCCCTCAAGAAACTCAAGAAGCACTTGCAACAGCTTGAGGAACCTGGATTCCAGACAAGAGACTACGTCGAGAACGGGTATATCTCCAGGGGATCCCTAATGACAGATGGATTGGGATTGTACCTGTCGGTCTTCAAGTTGAAGGAGCTACAATCTGTACGATACAGGAGGTTACCAGACGATCGTCTGCCGCTCAGGATCGTGTCGACAGCCGGAGGCACAGACTACTACCTTCAAGAAATTCGTAACGTTATCCGGACCGAGGAGGACATCGAACAGTTGTGGCCAGGAGTCAACCCAAGCGATATCAAGATCCTGACACTCGATTTCGGAAATGGAGTCTCGTCTCCCACCACTTCGGGGTCCAGGCGCGAGCATCACCAAGTACTGAGAGGCACTTGAACCAAAGAAGAAAGACCCAAGGGATGATGACGAGGAGGAGAAGGAGGAAGAGGAGGAGCCGAAATGTCCAGCAGGAGAACGACTCTTGGAGTTCTATGCTGGATCCAACAACAGATTCAAAAAGCATGGTTGGGATCGGGACAGGGCGAAGCAAGTAGAATACCAGGCTATTGCGGCGAGTCTATTGGGTATCGTAGGCGGAAGCATTGGCCATCCCCGGGACCCAGCCAATCCAGTCTTGATTGGCGTTAGTCTTGGTCAGTTCAAGAGCACAGGGCGCATTTCGTCCCTCCATCCAACCTTCCTGGACTACTTTATCCCATTGGTATGTATGCTATTTGTCATGATTGCAAAGTGTTCAAATGTTTGACATATGTAGAGAAGGGTTGACACAATTTATTAAAAAAAAATCTAGGCCCGATCATTGGGATATATTGTTGTGGGACTCAACGAGTACTATACCTCAAAAAAGTGCCCTGATTGCCAAAACTTTGTGGCACAGGTGACCCTCCGCGAACTGTACTGTCCACACTGCGAGCATTATCACCACAGAGATGTGATGGCGGCTGAGAACATGTCCAGGATTGTCAGAGGACACCTGGAGAAGCAGGAACGACCTCTTTACCTACAGCCCAAGACGGCCGATGGACGGTACCCTTGGCAGGAGGACCCAAACATGAACTCTTCCACAGTTGGCACCAGCAACACCAACAGCAGTGCACCGACGACCAGCGCCAGTACAAGCACCGGCGCTCTCCCCCGTGGTCGCAAGAGGACACCATCTGTATCGAACAAGCCAAGAAAGCCCGGGAAAAAAGCAAAAAAGTTTTAGTATCATAGTTAAGACTAGTTTTTTGTGTGTCCGTGTTAAGGAGGGCACCTATTTCACTTCGGTGACCTAGTTTACGCCTGAAATGCACTGGATTCATTTGCCACCAAAATTGTAAAGAGCAGTGATTGGTCAGAACAGAATCCTGCCTGCAAGGACGCACCAGACGGCCGTGCGCGAGTGGGTCAAGAAAAACAGGACGGACTCAGCCGATCATTCATCCTTATCAGCTGCTACGAAGGTTATCTATCTTTCTTTCCTCCTCTTCTTCCTCTTCTTCTTTTTCTTCGTCATCTTTACTTCCTTGATACCATTCACCTCGCTCCTTTCTCCTTTATTATCATCCACAAGCACTCCTTCCGCAAATTCCCCTTACACCATTTGTTCCTTATTCGCCTTTGCACACCTTTGTTCCTTTATTCGCCCCTTCAATCTTTCTTTCACTTCATAAAGGCTTTACTCGTTGACCTGCTATCCCACCCCCCACCCCTGGGCTCATAAGAATGTCAATCACACTACAACCATGGAAACTGAAGTTGCTGTCGATCCCAAAATCCTTTCCACAGTCAATTGAAAGCTGCACTCATGCCATTGTCAAAAACATCTTCTTCCCTCGGAGGTATGCATCCATCACAACTTGTCACCTCGCGCTGTGCTGTGCTGTGCTTAGCATCATCACACCCAATCGCAATCACTCCCAAGACTGATACCACCTTATTGTTTGAATATCCCTTTTCTTCCATTGGAATTGAATATGTAGTCGCGATACCCTGTTCTCGTTAACACAGAACGCATTAGAACTGGCCGTTGTTGCTGACGTGAATGTTATTGCAGACGATTTTCTGTCACTTAACCTCGAGGGCATGCTGGTGACTGAAGATGTCTTTTGTGCTTTCATGGTCGATGATCCCGATGGCATAGGTAAGAAGCAGAAACATCCTTTTCCCTGCTTTATTACACGCTGACAGGCAGACAAGCAGACTGACGACAGAATGAATGTGCTATTTGTTATTATCGATGTTGTGTGTTGTTGGTTGGTAGTGCAAGAGGAATGAGCGAATGGAGGATGATGTTGCATGTTATGCAAGCGAGCAAAATGCGAAGAAGGTGTGACACCCTGGAATTGGATTAGACTAGTGCAATTCCTTTCCCGCTCTTTTTTATTTCTATGCATGTGTGTATTTGTGTATGTATTTGTGTGTTTGTGTGTGTCAATGCATGCAAATGTAGTAACAACAAGAAAAAAAGCTGATAAGAAATACTATGGCCCGCTAGACTACCCGCGTGAGGAATGGGGGATTCTTCCCCATGCTCTGCTCTGCTCTTGCTTCAGTAAGCAGACAAAAGCAGACAGACAAACAAACAACCCAATCGCGAATAACACCAATCAGCAATCCGCATTCGTTCACATACCCACACCATCGTACCCTTTTCTCTTGTTGCATCTACATTTGCATCTGTTGTATTCTGCATTGTGCGCGGCGCAGGTATCGAGACAGCCGAACAGCTCTGTTCTTCTTCCTTGCCCTACCCTTGACCTTTTCTTCTGATGCCACACATGACCAAGAAGAAAGAAAAAAACCCCCAATTGCTATCTTGCTATCTGGATTGCACATTTTCCTTTAATTTGATTTGATTTGATTTTATCGGGCGCTAGGTCAGACATGAGATAGTGTACTTTCTTTCATGATGGCAATAAGACGCGTCCATAGATTACTACGCGTGTTACTACCATTGCACTCATCCCTTCTCTTTTTGCACTTGCCCTTTCTATTTTCTGCAGATAACTCGGGTCGTCGTATCAACGAATTGTCTGCGCTCCTCAGCAGGCATGGCATCTCCATCTTCTACCTCTCCACCCGCATCACGGACTTTGTTCTCGTCAAGGAAAAGCGCCTCAAGTCCGTCCTTCCCACCATCCGCGCTCTCTTCTCCCTATCTGTCGATTCAGAGTGTGACCTCTCCTCCCGCGGATTCACCTCCGAGTCCGAGCAAGGTTCCTATCCAGGGTCCAGCTTCACCTCTATGAACTCCTTCCTCCACACTCCTTCATCCCCCTCCCGTGTCCAGTCCGTTCATTATCAATACCCGAATCACAATGGTTCTTATACCTCATCCTATCAGCAGCCACTTCCGGGATTCTATGGATCCAGTTTCAGCAATAGTTGTGGCAAACCGTCCACAGAGATAAGCATTCCGTTCGACAGACGGCCTAATTATGGGTACGGGCACTATGCAGGACCACCGCCTCGCGGGAACTCGTTCTTTGGAGCACCTGGTCGACAAAATTCCGACTCAGATTCATCTTCTACAAAGGAAGGAAAAGAAGGAACAGACGGAGATGGTGGATCAGGACATAGTATGACATCCCCCAGCGGCAGCCATATGCATCATTCTTCCAAACAACGTGGGCGACAACCCTCACTGCCCGAATCTTCGTTTGGCGAAGGAATCGGACGATATTTCCCAAAACGACGTCCACACGGCTCCTCATACGACAGTTTCGATAGCCTATCGAACCCGATAACGGGAGATGGATTCATGGGATCCATGAACGCTGCTTCAGGTATGGAGAACAGTCTACATATTCAAACCACCTTCAGGGGTAGAGATGTGAAGGGAGCTGTTGGAACGGGCGAGAATCCCATCATGTTTCCGCCCTTGACACCAATCTCAGGCAGTTATCCGACCTTTGGGTCTTTTCAGTCGATGGGGTTGATGCAGGAGACCTCGGAAGAGCAGGATGAGAGGGAGGCAAATATCAAGGAACAGATCCGAAAGTCATGTCCGCGGTCTGTGATTGACGACAAGCTGTTTCTTGCAGGACTATCACTGTACGAGTATAATTCCTGGATGCTTTGATGGATAGCGGTGTTGATGGTTACCTGGAATACTGAAGAGATTATTAACGAGTGGTAATTGTCAACTATGTAGGGATTACCAAAACGAGTGGGCGGTGACACTGCTGAAGGTCCTTTTTTACCCGGAAGAGCTGCCGGGACCGTTGAGGTAATGACGTATTGCGTTGTGCTGCCATGCAGATGGACCTGAGATTGTACTTGGCGGGCAGACTTTTACTCAACGCCTTTCTTTGGCACTACAACTATTCTCATGATAGTAATTCAAAGGCACGGTTTATTTCATTCACTACCACTGACGAAGGAACCTCGCTGATCGCGGTATGTTTTACAGGCTGCATCTACGACCGATTTCAACGTTTACCAACCCCCATACTCCCGATCTGTGAAATTTAACAATCAACATCCCTCACATTGTACAATGTAGGATCAAGAGGTGCTGGGTCAGTTCGAGGACCATATGCTGAATATGAGTTCTTCAGAGACGATGCTCCGCTGTATTCAAGTAGACCTGTCCACATTCGGTCTGGATACCTATGGGTTGGTGTACTTGATGTCAAACCCGCTAGTCGACCATAGCGTCAATTTACTTTGTCTCAGCACCTTCCGGACCGCAAACGTTCTGGTAACTCTCAGATTATGGAATGAAGCACATTTATTCTTGTGGATAATCAAATAACCGTTCCCTTTTTCTTTTTTTTCTTTTTTTTTTTTTTTGTATAGGTCCACGACTCTGACCTCGACAAGTCTCTCAAGATCCTCAGCATGGCATAATAGTTACACTCTTCGCAATCGTCCGTCCTTCTCTCCTTCCACGCACACACAATGTATCACTAGTCTCATAAATATGAATGTATGTACACAGCTTTTTATTTATTTCAAAAAGGAAAGAAAAAAAAAAAAAAAAAAAAAAGGTCTGATCGATCACGCTGTTCCAGTCCTTGGAATCTTATTTGCGCACCACAAAGGTTTTGACCGAGAAAGTGCCATAAAGGGTCAATCCCAAGGCCACCATACTCATTATTGTGCGTCCGAAATGGAGCAGATCCCACTTGACGAACAGCTCATCCAGGTTTCCATCATCGCTGTGCTTGCCCGTGCGAGTGCCCTCCAAGATCCCAATTAGAGTTCTATTGATGGGCATGAGCAGACCAAAGGTGTAGGGGACGATGGAGGTCATGATCAGAGAGCCAGCGAGGAAGTAAGGGTTCTCGGTCTTGTAGTACACGCTCGACCCGGCCACCAGGGATGTCAGAATCAACCCCACCTGCAAGTCTGATCAATAAAACACGCGCGAGGACACAAGGACAAACAAAAAAGATATTAGATGCCAGCTGAAGACAATATATTAAAAAAAGGGCTTTGCGTCTGTGATACCTTTGGCGGTGTTGTAGGAGTTGGCCCAAATGGGAAGGGCGGTTTGGTTGGAGACCTTGCGCAAGGAAGGCATGATGATGGTGTTGAAGGAGACGGCGATACCGGCAAAGACGCCAATGGAGGCAACCGTTAAGGATTTGCCAACAGCGAGGGTTGTCGGGCTACTGAACACCGTCGATACGTGGAACGCCATGGTTGCTGGAGTTGAGTGAATAGTTGAAGATGTGTGAGAAAGCGAGAGAGTGAGGAAGCAGAGGACGCGGAGAGATCCAAAAAGGAAAGAAATACGGGCGAGCAACTGGATGGTGTCGCTTGCGGGGTAGATGAAGTCATATCCACTGGGGGCGAGAGTGAAGTGGCAAAACGAACTAAACCTTCATAAAGCGCGCGACATCCCCCCCCCTCAGCCCTTTTCTCTCCATTCCTCCCTCCCTTCCTTCCTTCCTTCAGCAGTATTCTCCACCCTCACCTCCCCGTCGCCCTTTTCTTCAACTCCACCGCCCCCCTCTATAAACTATGGCGCTCCGCAGACTCCAAGCAGTAAGTCTTCCCCTCTTACCATTCTAGCGCGTTGGCATGTCTGCATCGCATGCCATTAGCGAATGCCGTCCGCGCTCAGACCAGTTCCTCATGGACCAAACAACGATCTTGATGCTAATACTCGTTTCTGTATACAATGTGTTTCTGTTGCTTGCCATAGGAACTGGCAGACCTGAACAAGAACCCTGTTGAGAATGTCAGCGTTGGACCTGTTGATGACAGCAATGTGCTCCACTGGCGAGGTAAAAAAAAGAAAAAAACCGTGTCGCCGACCTATTTTTCAGTGGAAACAATTGACCCAGTTCACTTTGCGATGGAGGAGTTTATCTTTCGACACTATGGTTTTATCACTACAAGCGCTATGGCGAACTACAGTTGGAGAAGATTTGTAACTCGCCTGAGAGCATGATTGTGGCGGTGGCACAGTCGATTACTTCCGGATCTTTCTTCTGTTTCCAGAACACCAGAACCCCCCCCTTGCCGCAGCGCTCAGGTTGCCAATGATAAAAGTTCTTTCAAACACTTTACTCAGCCCCAATATCTAATGATCTCTCTGTATTTCTTATCCATGCTTGCGTCATTTAATAGGCCAGATCATCGGACCTGTAAGTTGATGTCGTTGTTCGCGTTCATTCGTTCTCTGGCGGAGGAGCTATCGATCCCACCCTTGTCCAGCAATTGCGCGTCATTATCACTGTGCACTGCACTGCACTGCACTGCACTGTGCTGCATAGCCTATTGTCGACCTGCTGTGGCTCTAATTACTTCTCGCTCTCTATCTTGTTTATCACTGTCAACTGCAAATTAGAACAACTCGCCTTTCAAGGGTGGCATCTTTAAGATTGACCTCCAATTCAACACCGACTATCCTTTTAAGCCTCCAAAGGTACCGTCCCAGCGAACAGTTCTTGCCGTTGTGCTTTGCTTTGGACATGGCAGAATTGCAATTTCTGGCGTACATGATGACTCATGCATGTTTCTTTTTTTTTTTCTTTTTTTTGTCCTGTCGTGATCGTGTGTGCACAATTGCTGTGGTGTGCGACGTGTAGGTCAAGTTCTTGACAAAGATCTATCATCCAAACATCGATGACGAGGGAGCCATCTGCGTGGCATTGCTCAAGAACGACCAGTGGAAGCCAGCAACACGTATCAACCAGGGTAAGGACGGATTCATGTACCTGGACACACTCTTTTTTTTTTTTTTTTTTTTCGCTACCGAATCCTGTTTTCTTTGGATCATTCTTTATGGCATGAAGTCATGATTGACCAAAAGCAACGATGTGTTTTTTTTTATTCCACACGTAGTCTTGCGCGCACTGGTGACGCTTCTGGAGCAGCCCAACCCGGACGACCCGTTGATGACGGATATTGCCGAGATTTACTCCACAGACCAGGCAAGGTTCCAGAAGACCGCCAAGGAATATACCAAGAAGGTAATGCAAGCGTGTCTCTTTTTGGCGATTAGCGTTAAAATGGGTATTAGGAAAGGCTGTGTGGACCAACCAGCTAACCTTTTTTTTTTTTTTTTTTTTTTTTTTTGGTAGTTCGCCACGTGAAAGCAATTGGTGGATCAGTTTATCGATCGCAACTAGCCTCACTCGAGTTGTTCGCCCGCAACACTGGACACATAACCCTTGGCGCTTTCATCTCTTTCTTCTGCACTTTTTTTCTTCATCATCCCCTTTATCATTCATTGTCAATAAAAAAACATCGTTGTATTTCATTTATCTATCATTCTTTTTACGATTCATTATTATGTTGTACATGCTGCAGGCAGCGAAAGTCAAGCAAAAAAAGAAATGGATGTTGATCCGATATGCATGGTGCCGTACGGGTGCCGGTGTGATTGACTGCATTCGACAGCAGAGGAAGAATAACGAACCCATGCAAGATATTGCAAGGCGTTTCTTTGGATGTCGTCATAGGAGAGACGACAGTATTGGGATGCCAGATCCCACCTGGTACCAAATCTCATCCGTCTTGTCATCCTCTTCCATGTCAGTACCGCTACAGTGTCCACTCCCTTCTAAAGAAGTCATGCATGGCTCCATTGTCGCTGTAGACTCTGCCGAGAGGGGTCCCAGAACGTGTAGATGATGAATCGGCCATCGCTTCTTCTTCTTGGCATTGTTGTTGCCGATAGTCCCGCCTGTCATGCTCGCGTGGGGAGCTGCTACCTCGCCAAGCGCAGCTCCTGATCGCTCTCGCTCCCGCTCTTGTCTCGCAGATGTGATTTCATAAAGACTGTAATCTTCCTGGAAGGCGACCATTTGCTTAGGTAACAGGCCCTGAAAGGCCAGACCTGAGGGCGCCTTTATCAACAGATGGACTTTTGTCCGACCGGGAAGTATCACTGTGGAGAGTGAGTTATCTTCCTGATGTTGTTGATGTTGGTGGTATTGAGTGGAAGGATCGACAATATGTGTGATATTGTTAATCCCCACGATCTGCTGGACAAGTTTACGTTCCCAGATCTTTTCCTCGTGTGCGAGTTTCGGGTCCTTTGCTGCATGCTGATGACTCGAAACATGAGATGTATCCACATCCATATCCATGTCCACGGCCGCGTGTACTCCGTTTGCATTGTCTCCCCTAACATGGCCGCTCAGACTCGACATAGCGGTTCTTACACCGCTGGACCCGGCTCCTGCTATATCACTTTGCAATGACAACAACGGCGCCGATGGTGAAGGTGTAGGAATCCTGGTCCACAAGGGTTGCTGTGGTTCCAGTGGTCCGATCCGAATCATGTACTGCTCTTTTGGTGTCGTAACCGTCGTACCGAAGACTACCGCCAGAGAGATATAGAGCCTTGGAGTTGATGATGTTGAGAGTCGAGTTGACTTTGGATTGAGCGGTAATTCCACAGAAGTGATAGATGAAGTAGATATAGAAGAGGGTGTGGCGAAAGAGGATGACTTGAGATAGCTGTAGAGTTGGATGTAGATGGATTCTTCGAGGTCGATAAACATGCGCTCGCCGGTTTCAAGAAAACCTTGCAGGGATTTCGTAGGGATTGTGGTATCGTTGCGGTTGGAATGTTTTGTAATGCCATGGGACCCTGCTGCATGTGTTCCTTGGTCTTGGCTATCACCGTCTTGCTCGTGTTCTTGTTCTTGTTCTTGTAGGTGGAGCTCTATCTGTAGCTAGCGAGTTGACCATGGGTATTTGACACGGTTTGAAGTTAGTAAACAGGCATGATCTTCCTGTTATGGAAGCACGTTTTATTACTTGCAGAATAAGAAGCCGCGTGCTTACCATCTGCTCAAGTTGCTCCCATGGACTGAGGATTACAATGCATGATAAAACCGGCGGAGCAAATTGAGAAACTTCATCGTCCTCAAAATGAAAAGCAATATAAAATAATGGGTTCAACTTACGTGTCAATGACACCACGCATGTACATGAGGGTTTTGATACTGGTACGGACCATGCGGAGAGCGGCTTTAGCAGGAATGGGGCGGGGGAGGGTCATATCGACCAACATACTCATGCTGGCAGAGGAGGGTATCGGGGGTATCGTTACAGGTTGCGAAGACAAGGGCGGTGTTCTTGTCCCTGGCGAAGATGGCATCGATGAAGACGAAGGAAAAGAAGAAGAAGAATTTAGGAAGGAGAGGGAGGTGGTGGTGGTGGTGGTGGTCAAGTCATGGTGGCGGTGGTGGTCTACTGGTGCCTGGGTGATCATGGTTAGAAAAGGACGGTGGCAAATACCGAGCTGGTTACACAGCTGGCGAATGAAATGGCGTACATTGAAGACACTTCGCTTCAAACTCCGGTGACGTAATTGCAAAGTATTCTTCTACAGTATAAAAGAGCATCCAAGCTCGAATCTAATCGTCTTTCGTTCCTCTTCAACTGTGCACCACAACCATTGGATTGGACCTAAGCAACACTGGAAAAAGAGCTTTGCCCTGACCATTCGAGATCCTCTCTTTTAACATCCCATTGCATCAAACGGATTCTCCTTTAAGGATCGACCATCATTGCATCCCCCGAAGGAAACTCGTTTCTTTTGTTATTACTTGGATTACGAATCACCAGGAAAAAGACGTACACACAACAGCGTCTGCTTTCGTCTAGTCTGTCTGTCATAGCCCTTTCTGCCAACAACGAGGAGGGACAGCAACAACAAGGTCGCAATCACCTTCAATCGCGTTTTCGTACATCTCACCTTCAGACATGGATGATCAAGGTATGCTGAGTCCCATCTGATCGTCTCGGCTTGATGACAGCCTGCAGAATCAGTAGCCCTTCTTTAACACACATGCACTACATTGGGCTTAATATGCTGTTTTGATAGAGTACTACTTGGACGAGGAGGAGGAGGCCATCACGCAGGAGGACTGCTGGGCTGTGATCTCATCCTTCTTCGAGGACAAGGGTCTGGTCCGACAGCAACTCGACTCCTTTGACGAGTTCATCCAGAATACAATGCAGGAACTAGTTGATGAAAATTCGTCTCTTATTCTTCAGACATCTAGTCAGCATTCTGGTGCCGAAGGCGATGTTACTGTATGTCATGCAGAAGACATGGCGATTCTGAAGGCGATCGGAGGGTTTTTTAGTACAATGCATTAACAATACTTTCGATCTGGTTTAAAATACCGGATGATAGAAACGCTACGAGATCAATTTTGGACAGATCTACTTGTCCCGTCCGAGTATGACCGAGTCCGATGGTTCGACGCAGCCCATGTACCCTCATGAAGCTCGTTTACGTAGTTTGACGTAAGTTACATCTCTTATTTCTAAAAACCTTTCATATATCTGCTTTGATCTGGACCAGACTGACCCATTGTTTCCTTCGTGATCCTTCTTCGTCGACAGGTATGCCGCACCGTTGTATGTGGACATGAAGAAAACGGTCAAGGTAGCAAACCCTCACCACGAAAAGAACAAGGACAAGACCAACCCTCACGACATGTTCATGGAGGAAGAGGATGGCGATGGTGGCGATATGAACAAGATCTTTATCGGAATGGTGCCCATCATGCTCAAGTCGACCTACTGCATGCTCACTGGTCTGGATGATAGCGAACTCCAAAAGATGAACGAGTGTCAATACGATCAGGTAAGAGACCAGTTTGTTTTCACAGAGTTTTGTACACGCTCAACGGTCGCCATAAGTCAGCTAATTTTTCAAACCTGGATCCTTTTGTCTTTGTCTCGTCATGTAGGGAGGATACTTTGTCATCAACGGATCGGAAAAGGTCTTGATTGCTCAGGAGCGCATGGCGACCAACACGGTTTACGTCTTCAGCAAACCTCTCGGAAACAAGTACTCTTACACTGCTGAAATCAGGAGCTCAGTTGAACGTGGGTCCAAGAACGCATCGCCATGCTGGGTCAAATTGCTTGCTCGATCGGCTGAGCGTGCTGGAACTGGTCAGACAATCGAGGCGACCCTTCCCTATATTCGTGACGGTGTTCCCGTCGTAGTGGTCTTCCGCGCATTGGGTCTTGTTGCCGATCGTGATGTTCTGGAGCACATTTGTTACGACCGGAACGATTATCAAATGCTGGAGATGTTGAAGCCCTGTATTGAGCAGGCTTTCGTCATTCAGGATAAAGAGGTCGCGCTGGATTATATTGGCAAGCGTGGAACGACTGTGGGTGCAACGAAGGAGAAGCGTACAAAGTATGCGACCGAGATTCTACAGAAAGAGTTCTTACCACACGTCGGAACACAATCGCACAACCAAACACGAAAGGCATACTTTTTCGGCTACATGATTCATCGTCTCTTACTGGCTGCGCTCAACCGACGTGACGTTGATGATCGTGATCATTACGGAAAGAAGCGCATGGATCTTGGTGGCCCATTGTTGGGAGGACTATTTAAGATGCTCTTCCTAAAGCTAACCAAAGATGTCGGCAAGTATCTCCGCAAGGTATGCATCACCGCATTCAAATGGCATTGTTATTTGACTGAGGGTTCTGCGGTAGCTAATGTTCTTTTATATCTCAACGCAACAGTGCATTGATACGAACAAGGATTTCGTTCTGTCGGTCGCTGTCAAGTCGAACACCATCACGAACGGGCTCAAGTATTCGCTCGCGACAGGCAACTGGGGAGAACAGATGAAGGCCATGCAGTCTAGAGCCGGTGTCTCCCAGGTGTTGAACAGGTACACATTCGCCTCGACCCTGTCCCATTTGCGTCGCTGCAACACCCCCATCGGACGTGACGGAAAGATTGCCAAACCCCGTCAGCTTCACAACACTCATTGGGGTATGGTCTGTCCAGCAGAAACCCCTGAGGGACAAGCCTGTGGTCTAGTCAAGAACTTGGCACTAATGACCGCCATCTCGGTCGGTTCGCCCTCTGCACCCATTATTGAGTTCTTGGAGGAGTGGGGTATGGAGAACTTGGAAGAGTTGACCGCCAACAACATCCAGGATGCGACTAAGGTCTTTGTGAACGGAGTGTGGGCTGGTGTTCACCGCGACCCTAGCAGTCTTGTCAATACATTGAAGCGTCTGAGGAGAAACCTGGATATCAACCCCGAGGTGTCTATTGTCAAGGACATCAGAGAAAAGGAGTTGAGAATGTACACAGATGCAGGACGCTGCCTGAGACCGCTGTTCGTTGTCGAAGATCAGAGGTTGCTGCTGAACAAGGACCACGTCGATGCACTCACTAGACCGCCGTTCATCAACGAGGAAGGAAAGACAGAGGAACCCTGGACATGGCACGACTTGCTGAGTCATGGTATCGTGGAGTTCGTGGATGCGGAGGAGGAAGAGACTATCTTGATCTGTATGACGCCAGAGGACTTGGCAGAGTCACGACAGGTGCATCATGTCCAGCAGCCTCGGGATGCTTCCGGAAGACTGAAGGGTGCCTCGTCATCATCGTTACATACCTGGACTCACTGTGAGATTCATCCAAGTATGATTCTCGGTATTTGCGCCAGTATCGTTCCCTTCCCTGATCACAACCAGGTGCGTAACTTGAAGCTTCTTTGTTTTATGATGTTTGATGTTAGCATGTCCAATAGCGTTATAATTAATCTTTTTTTTTCTATTTTCTTTTTTTTTAATTCCACATCACAGTCGCCTCGTAACACATATCAGTCCGCTATGGGTAAACAAGCCATGGGAATTTATGTTACCAACTACCAGGTCCGCATGGACACACTCGCCAACATCCTGTACTACCCGCAGAAGCCTCTTGCAACAACGCGCTCGATGGAATATCTCCGCTTCCGTGAGTTGCCAGCCGGTCAAAACGCTATCGTTGCCATTCTTTGTTACTCTGGATACAACCAGGAAGATTCTGTCATTATGAACCAGTCTTCGATCGATCGTGGTCTATTCCGCAGTCTGTACTTCCGCACATACATGGACCAGGAGAAAAAGATTGGTATGACGACCATGGAGGAGTTTGAGAAACCTACGCGCGAACATGTCCTGCGCTTGCGCCATGGAACATATGAGAAGCTGGATGACGACGGTCTGATTGCGCCAGGAACGCGTGTCTCGGGAGACGATATCATCATCGGAAAGACCAAGCCGATTCCGGAAGAGTCGACTGAGATGGGTCAGCGCACAGGAACGCATACGAAGCTGGATGCTTCGACACCGCTCAAGAGTACGGAGACGGGTATTGTCGACCAAGTCATGTTGACGACCAACCACGAGGGTGTTAAGTTCGTGAAGGTCCGAGTTCGATCCACACGTGTGCCTCAGATGGGAGACAAGTTTGCATCGCGTCACGGTCAGAAAGGAACAATTGGTATTACATACAGACAGGAGGACATGCCATTCACATGCGAGGGTATCACGCCGGACATTATCATCAACCCACACGCTATTCCGTCTCGTATGACGATCGGACATTTGGTCGAGTGTCTGTTGTCGAAGGTATCGACGTTGGAGGGCAGTGAGGGAGACGCAACACCGTTCACGGATGTGACAGTCGAGGCAATCTCGGAGGCGCTGAAGAAGCACAACTACCAGCAGCGTGGATTCGAGGTCATGTATAACGGACACACGGGTCGCAAGTTAGCCGCACAGGTGTTCTTGGGTCCGACATACTACCAGCGTCTGAAGCACATGGTGGACGACAAGATCCATTCGCGTGCGCGTGGTCCCGTCCAGATCTTGACGCGTCAGCCTGTCGAGGGAAGGAGTCGTGACGGAGGATTGCGTTTCGGAGAGATGGAGCGCGATTGTATGATTTCTCACGGAGTGGCCCAGTTCTTGAAGGAGCGTCTGTTTGATGCGTCGGATGCGTATCGGGTCCATGTGTGTGATTTGTGTGGACTGATGGCGATTGCGTCGTTGTCGAAGAACAGCTTTGAGTGCCGGTCGTGTAAGAACACGACACAGATCTCACAGATCCATATCCCGTACTCGATGAAGCTGTTGGTCCAGGAACTAATGGCAATGTCGATTGCGCCCAGGTTGTTCACGGTTGACTCTGCAGCGAGGCAGTAGACCTTGTGGGGACTTTAAACGAATGGAGTCAAGTCGCCTGGTTACTTGGTGAAAAAGGGAGATGATATAGTGCTTGCGGCAGCTCAATAAAAAAAATGTATTAAAACGATTCAGAGTCCTCAAGGTTTTGTCCACTACCGCCAAAAAGAAGAAAGACAATGGCGAAGCGTTGGGCTTTCAGTATACGAGAGCCATCAACGTTGTGTGCATTTCTTTTTTCTACATTCTCTATCCTTCCTTTGTCCCACCCTAGATCTTGATTTAACCTTTCTCCGTCCTTCACCTTCCATCTTCCTCATCCTTCTTTCTTGCTTACTTATTTTTATTCCCTGTGCTTCGGTAGATCAGATTCTTCCCCTCAATACAATAACAACAACAACAACAACAACAACAACAACAACAACAAAAGCGTAGCAACGCGTCCAAAGCAACTAGCTCCACATCATTTTCGTTAGCACCGCTGGTATCTATGCACTTATTATGTATGGATTCAGAAATATATGATTGTTTATTGGATTCAAGCCGTTCTTATCCGACTGCCCTGCTCGGCCATCCCGCTCGATCAGCCTGAGCACATCCCGCTGCCGTTCCAGTGCCATCCCAGCGCCATCCCAGCGCCACTTTGGTGTCGCCGTACTCTCGTCCGGTGTCGTCCAGTGCGTATCGTGCTCGCGTTGTTGTGTTTGCAACCATAAAGAGAGAGAACATGCAAAAGAGGAAAAAACTTGTTAGCTCTGTAGACGCAATTTGCCAACATCACACAGCCAGTGAAGGCATGCTAACTTCCACAACCCATCCCCCTTGTTTTGCCTTGGGGAACTGAGAGCCAGCAGAACAGAAAGAAACGAGAAAAATAAACTATATAGAAAAGGACAGCGAGCTACCCATCCGGTTTCAAACATCCGCATTTCCATCTTGGCGCTCAAGGAGCACGCAAGAACATGATGTGGAAGCGGAAAGAAGAACAACAATGAAGAGTAGTGCAGAATTGTGGAGATAGAGGATGCTGCTCGCTGTGAAATATCCCAAACGGTGTTGCGTTTGCCATCTACCCAGTGTGCTGCGCCGTATGGGCTCAAAAGAGGGCCCCAGCACACTATGCCACATGAGCAGAAGGAGTGGTGCGCTTGCATGCTGTACATGAAGCAACAGGGGGTAGTGCAGCGCCAGAGTGGGCGTGTGTCGTTGTGTCACTAAATGGAGCACTCGGGGGGCCATTGTTGGATCGTGGCTCTAAGGCCCTACCCTCACCCCGCACACACTTAAATGATGTGCGACATGCCCACTGCTTCATCCTCCACAGCGTGAGGAATTCACATGTAGGTCAGTGGTAGAGCCCGTCGCACTGCGCCTGGCTGCCGTTGTGCTGCAACAAATCTTCTTCAAACCGACACACACGAAATGGCACTGATACTAGCTGCCATATTCTATGCATTTATAATGTGCACCCACGTATACACGTGAAAAGGGAATGAAAATGCTCTGGGAGTCCTGCCTTAATGACAAAGCTCAGCAAGTGAGCAGGGGATTGGTTGTGCGCAAGGGAAAATGGTGTGGACGCGTTTTGCCTACCTCGTGGGGGTTCGTTGTGGGAGTAGTGACGAGAGAGGTGCTGCTCTGTCCAGGGACAAAAGGAAGGAGAGGAAGGGCAGGGTAGAGTATGACCGAGCAAGGCCAAGTGGTCAGTGGACGAGAAGCAGAGGTGGAGCGCGTGGCAGGAGGTGCAGTGGCAGTGGAAGTGGGTATAAGAGGTGCAGTGACAGCAGGAGTAGCTGTGGCTGTGGTTGTGGCTGTGACTGTGTTGCCAGCTGGCAGGAAAGGAAAAAAGGAAGAGCTTTGTAGCTCTGTTTGCTTACCGTGATGGTCTACTTACTGTGATGGTCTTGTTCGCTGCACGGAGGGAGTGAAGAGTGCAGAAGAGAGTGAAGAGTGTAGAAGGGAGAGTGGGAGGTGGGGTGTGGGGAGTGTGGGGAGTGAAGAGAAGAAGAGAAGAGAAGGAAAAAAACGAGATGTGTGGTCAACAAAGATTTGGGGCACGTGCACGCTGGGGTGGCTGTGTTTGAAGTTGGTGACAACCCCCGCGGTCTGAGCAAGTACACCACCGCGCCAGAGACCTGGAAAACCATAGAACCCTTCTTTTCCTATAATGACGTTGCAGACTTGCATCACTTTGTGGCTCTCAGCGTTTCAGCGTTATGAGCGATGTAGAGGGAGTGCCTATTTAGATATTGGCTCTGGGGAACAACTCTGAATGCATGCTTTAGCTCACGACAGGGACGGAAACGGAGCCTTGTTACTTCATCACAGGACCTTTGAGCGCGTCTCTGCCTTTGATAACACGCACCCTTCGCTTACTTCATAAACGACTCTGTTGCTGATTTCATTATAGCCTTGCTACCACCTATACTCTCATCACCTTTGCCACCTTCCTCTGCTCCTCTTCTTCAATCAAACAACAACTCCAACACACCGAAGTGCATTGCTGTCGTCAATTGTGCCGACCGTTCGTGCATCTCACCAGTCTATGGCAAGTTGGTTTAGACGAATGCACATGATAGCCCCTACGAGGAACGCCCACAGTGTGGAGATGCAATGGAAGAAGGGGCAAGATCTTAATCTTCGGTAGTAGCAAGATGAGCGTCTTAGAAAATGCGTTCAAGTTATATGGGCACAGCTGGATCAATTATCTGTACATACAGCCGATTTCCGTCGGAAATGTGGTCTGAATGGGGTGTATTGATTTTAGTTTGTGCCAACTAATACCAACTAGAAAATGCCAATCAAAGTTGCCAACGAGATTCCAAGTTTTTTACGCACGTACAATGCTACTGCCAACTAGCCATAACCACTGCTCTTTGTTTCGCTAGCAGCTGTTCTTGGGCTGCACCCTGTAGGCTCCAGGGTAGATCAGCTATGCAGGGCTCCAAGTAATGACAAGAGACAGTGGTCGTGAAACCTTTGTCTATGTTGACTACCTGTTTCAGCACCAAACGTCTACTGCTTCTTGCCTCCTTTTATCGCGTTTTACAAAGCAATGTCTTTACTGATTCTTTGCGTCTATGTGAGTCGCTGTCACCATCTATACTGTATACAGTGCTGCCTCCGATCCTCATGGGCGTTTCCTGCGTTGGCTTGAGAGTTCTTTGGACCAGAAACGGGATATAGCCTTTCTAAAGACTGAACGACCTTGAAGTGTACACATCTCCACACAGCAGCGCATTAACCAAGCAAGTGGATGTGGCCTGCATTGTTCTTCATTTCGGTGTACGAGGTGCGTTCGGGGTGTGTATTTTCCGCAGTGCTGAACTACATAAGTAAAGATAGGGATGAGTTGTCAGTCTTCTTTAGGGGCCACTGAGGCATAGGCTGACGCGAGTATGATCTTCGTTTTGATGTGGAGGAATGCGCTTGTCCGGAAGCCAATGACATCCCAATTTCCTCTCTCAGCTCGATAGAGGTCACAGACTTCGTACTCATAGACCAACCTCGTGAGGACGTGAGTTCGGATATCATCGTACTATGTCTACCCAAAGCATCCATAGTCGCTTGATTCATGTCCAGCAGCATGGACACATTGTTGTTTATGCGACTCATTGTAGATATGAGCGACCGATACTCCCCTAACGAAATGGTCTCTGTGGATATTCGGGATTCTTGACCTGGAACAGGAGTTTCTCTGGTTAGTGTACAAGAAGCTTCAGAAGAGGCAATCTCAACGATTTGGCCTGAAGAGACGGCACGAGGCTCACTCGCCGACGATGGAATACTGTGACACGGTCGGAACAAATTGTACGTCAGGATTGACTACAGACTGCGCTAAAGCGGGATTCATTGCGATTCACGGTTGTTTGTCAAAGATAACTTCGTGCCGCACCGAAGCATTAGTCTGATCGCATAGCGTATGGCTGTTCGCTAAAGCAGACATTCTTATTTTCTGCATGGGCTCCTCTTTCGTAGCCTCAAATTTTGTGCCATCCTTGTTACGGCTATTCCTTTTTCTTCGTTTATTGAATTGTGTCCATTCTCTATCTCGGTTGAGGTATATTGTCTCCTTTACTTGCGCTCTTAATTAGGCTTGTAGGGACCCGAGTCATTGAAGGTAGCAGAGGACAAGGCTCATTCTTATTTGGACAGCCGACAATGTGTCACGGATAGCACCATAGTATGTAGTGCAGAGTGACAATTGAGCTGCACGTATAATTGCTCATGTTGATTTGTGGCTCTACGCGCTCTCTTTTGCAAGCGTACCTCTGCCACCGTATGCGCCGTCTTGCCTCGACCAATATATGTTGAAGTATCTTTATTGACATTGCCATTGTCCTGCTCGCCGAGTACCGTTGTACCCTATCAATGCCTTTGTACTACCCCTAGCCAATATAACTCGCGTCCCGTAGTAGCCATCCAAATACCCTGGCCAAGAATCCTAGAAACACATTAGTAGAGCCATAAATCCATAGCATATAACCTCAACCTGCAATACATTTTTTCCTTATCTTGTCCACTGTCTGTCCCTCCCACAACACGTATCCCACTCTTCTAAGTCTGTTCCTGACAGACTGCTCGGACAGTGTGATTATTATCATTCATTGTGTTCTTACCGGGCAGTTGAGACAGGCTCCACGTGTTAAACCAGCAAGTCTAGGTCGGAGTTTGCTGTCGGGAGAGTTATTCCCTACTTGGAGTTATTCTCTGCTGCCTCCGCCTGCTGCCACGCGGAGTTGACAAATTTCTCTCGTTCCTGGGAACTCAACGGCCTCTTCCATCAGAGCCTAGAAAAAGGTACCTATACTGCACATTTCCGAGTACATGCGCCTACCGTTCAAGTGCGTGCGCCCCTCCCATGTTCCCATGTAGTGCAATATATCTATTGGCAACAGCGCATGCATACAGGTATACAGTGGTTGCCTTGGAGAACGGATAGACGTGCATGGTTCTTGAATGTTAGCTCCATATGCGCACCATGGTTTTTTGCCTTGGTATTTTCTTGCTTCTTCAACAGCGCTCAATTTCAGTGGGGCAATCCTTCAAACAAGGGTTTCTTATGCTTCTACAAACAACTTGCAGCGCCCAACAATGATGTCTACAATAAAGATGAATAAAGAATGGAGAGAAGGACTGAGCAGTACCGGACTCTTGCATGATATCACAAAGCGCCATCACCACCGTCCAGAAATTATATGTATTGCCTATTTCAAACATGTCGGAGCATTGCTGAGAATCAAAATGACCCAGGATATGCGCGCATGGGCTGATTACAGATGTTGATTGCTGTTATCAATTGGCTAGATATGAATGTTGGCCCACCATCCAGCGCCCGTAGCACCAACCTAACAAGAGCATCAAGTATAAAAGGCACGTTTCTGATGGGCTGAAATGGTTCCTCATCACCTCCCATTCTCCTCTTCACCTCGGTCTCAAAGTTTTCCGCCTCTTCCTTCCCGCATTTTGTTCAAGATGTCTTCGTTGATCCGCCTGACCTCCGTGGTCCTCTTCGCAATCATTCTCCTGGGCCAGGTGTCAGCCTGGAGCAGCATCAGTTTCTGGGAGGATGGGAACTTCGGAGGACAATGCGTCGGTTGCAAAATCGACAACTATCAGGAGTGCTATTCCCTTGCCTTCCCCGGACCCTCGGGTTCGACGTACTTTAACAACGACCTTGTCAAGAGCAAGTTCAGCATCACCCTCTACACCGGAGATAACTGCTCGGGCACCTACTACCGCTATAGCGGTGGCATCGGTTTCAACAAGTATTGGCGGATGCCAATTTTCGGACCCAAGTTCAATGACCAGGTTCGATCCTTCAAGGTGGCCGACTTCCTCACCTCTACTGTCGAGGAAGGCTATTGGCCCAACGGCGATGCTCATGTCGTCCCTGCCCTCTGCAAGCCAGGCGTCTGTGTCCGTTGAGAAAGCAGCCAACCAGAAGATGGAGAATAAATGCTTCCTTCTTACCCTACTGATGAAATGTTGTTGCAATAGTAATTGAACTTAGTACGAGAGGAACCGTTCATTCGGATACTTGTTATTTGGGCCTGCCTGAGCAGGCAATGGCCCGAAGCTATCATCCGTCGGATTATGACTGAACGCCGCTAAGTCAGAATCCGTGCTAGAACGCGACGATTACTGCCTTTCGAATTTTAGATGAATACCAATAGAGCTTCGGCTCCTGAATCATGCTACGCAGGGTCATCGTGCAGGGCGGAAAAGTCTTGTGCTGGTTCCTGCTAATGTTACTTCAAATATTGGAAGAGATAAATCCATTGCAGACGACTTTAATTGAACAAAGTATTGCAAGCAGTAGAGTAGCCATGTTGCTACGGTCCGCTGAGGTTAAGCCCGTTGTTCTATAGACTTGCTCGAAAGAACAACCTCTGGGAATGAACATGCCTGGATATAAGATTTGATGGATTTAAGGCCGGTGCAACAGGTACAAGGGTTGATTCGAGAATGATGTCATAGTCATAAGAATGCTTCGCCCAGTTTCTTGAGCTACTATGCCTCACCATATCCTTCGTATAAAGTAGCTCTTCGAACGTGGGATTAGATGGCAACCATCATCGAATAAACCACTGGCTCAACCCTTGAACCCCTTGACCACTCCAGCCCACCGACCGTTTGCACTCCAATAGGCATGGTCGAACTTTGGGAAAGATTTCAAGTGGAGTGGAACAAGATCCCTTCCTTCTGTCTACCAAGGCTTGATTGAGAATGTCAAGTGGGGCCACATTAGGCACTAAGCAGGCCATGAGTAAACATCTTATCGTAGTTGAGCCAAAAAAAAAAAAAATTCCATGGAAGAAAGAGCCAACAGAGACAAGTGACATCTCCGTCAGCTGAAATCCTCCATCCTTTGAATTGCCATCACCATGACACAACATCTATACCAACAATTCCGGCAGGCAGACATCATTCGAGAGGTCTCTGTCAGGACCACCAATATTCCTGGAACCAATGGCACTTCGTCGTGCTTTGTGAGTCTGGAAGACATTCAGGACGCGTTTACGAATGCACAGCACTTCGCGTTGAATGGTCATCCCATTCCATTCCTCCCAGAGCTTGATGGCACAAGGCACGCACTAATCACCCAGACATTTCAATCGACCTGACAAAAGAGAGAAACTCAATTCTCATATGTTCTTTTGCTCTATTAGACCTCCATGCATCGCATTCTACCCTAACAAGATCCTAGACGTCATTACAGAAGAACCCTAGTCCAGCAACAAAAGCGTCGTTGCCCACTGGTATACACTAGGAAAAGTGGGTAGTCAGACCTCTCGGGACCTTCTTTTATCATCACCAAGCTTGGTTCCTTTTGTTTCTCGCAATGTCGAACAAACCACGATGATCAAGTCCGAAAACAAAGACATACAACAACAGATTATGGATTTGCTGCTGGAGGCCAAAGAAAAGGACGACAAGATGCAGGCTCTGCAGCTAGGGCTAAAGAGAAGGACGACAAGATGCTCCAGCTGCAAGAGCAGGCGCTCGACCGACTCGCAGTCATTCATGGACGAGTCGCGGCGCTTCTTACACAGACATACGAACTGCACGAGTATCCGATTCCACGACTATTCACCATCCTACCCAATAAGACCTCCAGCTGGGACCCCACCAACATCCTCAGCAACCAGTTCCGACTCCATTTTCTCTGTGAATGTGGCGAGCACACCAAGGTGTTCGATGGCGAGCACACCAAGGTGTTCGATGGCGAGCACACCAAGATTCCACATCACATTCACCTTGCCAAACATGAGGGATACGACCTTCAGAGACCCAAGGAGTTCTTCCAAAAGTATGGCAGGTACATGCTGACTGTACTAGAGATGATCAAGTACGGGGGCTTCGCCATTCCCGCGCTGGCTGCCATCAGTGCCCCTGGAGCTATTGACATGTTCAAGGACTCATTGGACACCATCTCACAGTCAGATATCAACCAGTCTATCGAGTATCTACAAGGACTCGCGAACAACGATTCAAAACATCAGGACTCGGCCAAGGGCGTTGAGGCGGATTCATTCACTGGACTGGACGCTTTGGAGGGTGCAGACCTTCGTCACTTGGAAGCGTTTATCAAGGACAAGGACAAGCATCGAGTGCTAGGAAGCCTCCACCGAATTGTCACACAGGAGGGCCATGTCAAATGGGTCTGCATCGACCATTATCGTTTGACTTACAAAAAAAAAGAGCAACAGGCATTTGCAAATGCAGTCCAGGTGAATGGTGGCACTTATGAGCCGCAACTTGGTCGAGCAGTAGTCAAGCTGGGGTTCAAAATCAGAGCTGAAGAATTCTTCGATGCCTTAGCCAAAGCACGACGTGTTGACGACCTGGATATCACGTTCGACTGGGAGTGCACCAGGAGTGATCTTGAAGCATTAAAGGATGCACTTAAGAAATCAAGAGTATTGATTCTTCGACTTGATCTCTATCGATTTCGAACAAGCCTCGGCACCAGACTATTATCGGCATCCGCGCGATACGAAGCACTTTCTCGCATCATAGAACTCCCTACTATGAAAATGATTCATATTGTCCTTCCAAAGGAGCTCGTCAAGCTTTCTAGTTTTCAACCCAAAAGACCATCTCATCTTCGCCAGTTATCCTTCGAGATGGTAGCTAGATCGATTGGAGGAAAGGAATTTGGAATACTAGCAGAGACGCTCAAGACCAACTCGATTCTGACCACTTTGGACTTGGCGGGTAACTCGATCGAATCCAACGGAGCCCAGGCACTGTCTGAGGCACTCAAGACCAACTCGACTCTGACCATCTTGTACTTGGATGGCAACTGGATCGAAGACAGTGGAGCTCAAGCGCTGTTCAAGTGTCCAAGACCGCAAGATGTGACATAATAATATAATAACAGAGTTTAGTTTAGGGATTTTGATGGACTTAACATGCAAAAAAATATCGAATGGTTGAGCAGGCAATGGTTCTCGAAGTTACCATCTGTCGGATTATGGCTGAACGCCTCTGGGTCAGAATCCGCGCTAGAACGCAACGATTACCGCCTTTTCCGATTTTTAATTGAATACGAATAGATCTTCGGATCCTAAATCATATTACGTGGGGTGGGCTTATAGGAAGCGGTAAGGCTCTATGAGGCGCCTGCTAATGTTAATTTCAAACATTGGAAGAGATAAGTCCATTGCAGACGGCTTTAATTGAACAGGGTATTGCAAGCAGTAGAGTAGCCTTATTTCTACGATCTGCTAAGATTAAGCCCATTGCCCTATAGATTTGTTCGAAAGAACTGAAATATATTGTGGTTCTTCAAATATGTGAGAAAGAGATGTGTCTCCAAACACACATCTACACGATATTTATTAATCAACTCTCAATTAAGTTTCAGAGGCGATAGATTTATATAGTAATAAAGTACCTCCCCTTGGAGGCACGAGTTCTAGGATCATGTATAGTCTAGCATATGAGGCAGAGGGAGTTGTACTGCAGACATTTCGAATCGCGTATATTAGGCTGATTGCCCATGGTTTTTTTTTGTGACACCATCCGGTCAAGGTCATCTGATCAGATGCGTGAGATCATCTGATGTCTCTTGGATCAAGATGATGAGGATGGTCATGAGTGATGGATGGGTGTTCAAGGTGAAGGATGAGCGAGGTTGATTCCCCTTTCTTTCTTCCTCATTCACTTCCCATATAACATCAACGCTCTTTCAGTTCACAAATCTATATCACTTCTCATTTTTCACGGAGGTGGATTCCTTCCTCACCAGCGACGACAATGTTTTTGCACACACTCCCGAACCATATGTTAAAGGCGGGGATGAGACTCCAGTTGGGACGCCAGAGGATGTACGTGACGACTTTATTTTGGAGTGTCGCCGAAGCTACTCACGTCCAAACAGTCCATACGTCTTCTGGGACGATCCGACGAAGGAGTCGAGTGTGGAGCGCAGATGGTATCTGTTCGAGGACACGATTGTAGATCATTCCGAGCGCCTTCGACGCGTCCTAGGCCGACTCGGCGCAGAGGTCGAGCTGGAGATCAAGACGTATATCGATCATGCCATCAAGAGATCGGAGAGGGCGAACAGGATGCTGCGCTGTGAGCGTATGCGTTGTCAAGCAGACATGGTGGTCATCAGCCTGAAGTATATCGAGCGCATTGCCAAACCAAAGGAGGATCTGGACAAGTATGAGTTGGAAAAGCGAGCGAGCCGTTTGCGCTACGGTCGTAGTTTTACCGATAGACATTACGCAGAGCGTTGTATCGATTTGCAACGAGAGATTGAGCGATTAGAGGTGCTCGCGACCGAGTCGCGAGGGACGCTTGCATTGCTCGGTGATCCATCGGAGGCGGCAGAGAAACAATCACAGCCGAACGACGAAGCGCAGGCTGGTGCTGAGCCAAGTCATTCTCGACAGGGAACCAAGCGAAAGTGCGAGACGAACGACAACAGCATTGGTGTGAAAGCCTACTGGCTTCTTTTGTTTCGCCAGGGACATACCCGCATACATAGATCATCACTCCATGTCTACTCCTCCGACACAAGATGCAAACACTATTGCCAACCTTCAAGAGATTTCAACAGTGGTTGTGGCACAGTAGTAGTATACTTTATATTGGCACAAGTCAAATCCCTGATGATAAAATTTATCAACAATTAAAGCGTTACGTGGAGAGGCCAACCTTTTTAAAATGAATCCGTTGGGGAGCAGGACGAGGGTACATGATGGCCCATGGTACAACCAGGTTTGTTACGCACTCACTTCCTATTCTTCCCTATATCGCCTCTTCTGAAGCTTCTTGTACACTAACCAGAGAAACTCCTGTTCCAGGTCAAGAATCCCGAATATCCACAGAGACCATTTCGTTAGGGGAGTATCGGTCGCTCATATCTACAATGAGTCGCATAAACAACAATGTGTCCATGCTGCTGGACATGAATCAAGCGACTATGGATGCTTTGGGTAGACATAGTACGATGATATCCGAACTCACGTCCTCACGAGGTTGGTCTATGAGTACGAAGTCTGTGACCTCTATCGAGCTGAGAGAGGAAATTGGGATGTCATTGGCTTCCGGACAAGCGCATTCCTCCACATCAAAACGAAGATCATACTCGCGTCAGCCTATGCCTCAGTGGCCCCTAAAGAAGACTGACAACTCATCCCTATCTTTACTTATGTAGTTCAGCACTGCGGAAAATACACACCCCGAACGCACCTCGTACACCGAAATGAAGAACAATGCAGGCCACATCCACTTGCTTGGTTAATGCGCTGCTGTGTGGAGATGTGTACACTTCAAGGTCGTTCAGTCTTTAGAAAGGCTATATCCCGTTTCTGGTCCAAAGAACTCTCAAGCCAACGCAGGAAACGCCCATGAGGATCGGAGGCAGCACTGTATACAGTATAGATGGTGACAGCGACTCACATAGACGCAAAGAATCAGTAAAGACATTGCTTTGTAAAACGCGATAAAAGGAGGCAAGAAGCAGTAGACGTTTGGTGCTGAAACAGGTAGTCAACATAGACAAAGGTTTCACGACCACTGTCTCTTGTCATTACTTGGAGCCCTGCATAGCTGATCTACCCTGGAGCCTACAGGGTGCAGCCCAAGAACAGCTGCTAGCGAAACAAAGAGCAGTGGTTATGGCTAGTTGGCAGTAGCATTGTACGTGCGTAAAAAACTTGGAATCTCGTTGGCAACTTTGATTGGCATTTTCTAGTTGGTATTAGTTGGCACAAACTAAAATCCGAACGTCAGGTTCTGAAAAATCTTATTTTAAGGTTTTGTGCACAGCTCTATAGCGCCGGCACGAACAATGCTGTATGGGCATCCTCAATCGCACGCTCATATCCAAACGCCAACCGGTATCCTCCCGCCTTGGCCACCTTGCTTAGCGATCCAACACCCACCGGTTCAGCATACAAATCCTTGACTCCAATACTCGAGCTCAAGAGTGGATACTGCAGCCCGCCCGCGTGCGCCTTATTATTGTTCACGCTGTTAACATATCCCACCCCCAAATCCACATCCATGTACAACGATTGAACCGGGTCAAACGAATCCGCCACCATATCGTCGTCCTCATCGTGCTGCCGATCCATCTCCTCGTCCCGCTGCATCCGCCAATAGGTATCCGAGAGTAATGAGGGAGTACTTGAGTTGCTAGTCGATGTCTTGACCTCTGTCTTGCGCATTGATGTTTTCTTTAGCGAGATCGCCTGTCGGGCCGCAAGGATCGTCTTTGCGGATTTATCAGATGTAGCCAGTTCCTGAATCAACATTTTCCGATCCTCGTTCTTGGCTGCCTGCTCTGCCTCGAGTTCTTTAAGGTATGCTTCACGTTGCATCTGACGCTCCTTACGAAGCATTTCCTGTCTCTGAGTAGCCATGCGTGATTCATTCAGCTAACACATAAAAAAGTCCAGTATTAGGCAGTATTAAAAACATGTCGAAATAAGAAGAAGATCAACCAATTGATATAGTTGCTTACCAAGCGGTCTGCATTGATCCTAATGAGGTCCCTGTTCTCTGCTGCAAATTTGTCGATTGCTGCTTTCGTTGTCTCGACATCAATCTCGTTGACTAGCTTGAACGCTATTGTCGACGATAAAGAACGTATATCCTGGATTAGTCAGCACCGTCTTATACTGTGTGATGAAGGTTTGAGTACAGACACCATGTCTGCAGCTGCAGTGAGCATCTGAAGAACGTACTCAAGTCCTCGATAGTTTCCAGGTAGTCATTATAATCCTTTAGCGTCTTGAAGTCCTCCCGCCGTTTGTTGAACCTATCAAGCATAGACCACAAACAACGTTGGCAGGCAGCTCAATGTCGGCATCCCATACGCCATGATTTCCTCCCTTGTTGCTAAACATTGCAGTTTGACGACGCTGAACGTACTTTGAAGACATCTGCTTCCGAATGCGGACCTCCTTCTCAACCGAAAGATCCTCAAAGGTCTGCTCTGAAAATGTTGCTTTCCTAAGCGTCTGGCGACAGGTCGGACAGGGCGCTGGTCCATGTGCGAACAAGCGCTCTATACAGTTTTCGCACCTTAGCACATAAAAAAGAAGGAGAAATTGTGAGGGCATGCGCTTGTGCCGGCAGGAAACCATACTTCAAACGCTTTGTCATGAGAAAAAGGACAACACATGTCTTACATCTTATGGAAGCATGGTCCGACTTTCAGCTTCATTTGTGGGTTCAGGTACCGGTCCGTCTGGCATACTGGACAGACATCGTCTATAAAACAAAGCAATTGACATTCAACATGCAAAGACTGAATCAGTCGTTGTTTGCCATAGACCGCCACTAATCGTTCCTTGTTGTCAAAAGTTATTACCGTCAAACATTGCCATTGTCATTGTCGCTGTGGCCATGTTGAATGCTCTAGAGATATCTGGTCGTATAAGTTGACGTGGGCAATGGTTTCTTCAGGAATCCGCGCTCCTGTGTTGGGTCGTTCAGAGAACAGATGTCAAGTAAAAAGTGATGCCAGAGGGAAGACAACAACCTCTTTTTATCAAACGGAGTAAGAGCGCAGCGTTTGCGATTGGGTTACACATACATTGAGACAGGCTTTTATTCACAACGATCCTTCTCCCGAGAAAGGTCTCGACCCTTCTCGTACGCATGCCTTCAATGGAATTCCTATCCCTTCATGTTCTCCACCATTGCCGTTGCCTCCGAGGCGATAGCATACATGACCTCTCGCTTATGCATATCCTTTAGCGTATACTGTAATGACGCCTCGTACGCAAACGAGATAATGGTGTCGTTAATAAAGATGAACTCCTGCGCCAGCGCCCGAATACAATTGACCACACGCGCAATGGCCTCTCGATCCGCCAGTGTGATATCCTCCTTGTTCTTGTTCGAATAGACCTGCTCTGTATCAATTTCATCCAAGTTCTGAGGGACATGGGCGCTCACCCAAATGTATCCGTTCAATCCCAAGATCAAGTCAACTCCGCAGGGCAGAGCATGAAAATGGGACTTGCATCGCTGTACCAATGCTGGAGATACCGAAATGAAAGATCCGTTGCGCAACTTTCCGTATTTCAAGCTACGTGTGTGAAGCGAGTAGGCGCCATCGGCAAAGAACGTCTGTAACTCGGCCACGACCAGATCACCTTCCATGAAAAAGTTGCGCATCTGCAATTCGTCTGATTCTTGTTTTCTCCTCTGTAGAACATGAAAAGAATAACTGCAGATTTTAGTAACTGCATCGGAATTACACACCCTAGATCCATATTAAAAAACATTAGAAAAAGGAATTGCAAAACGTACCTGAACACCTCCGGGTAAGTTGACAGAGCTAAGCATCAGAATTGCATCCAGGCGAGCATTGACATCGACCTTCCATCGCTTTTGAGCCACCTCTGTGATCCTACCCACAACAACATCTCCGATCTCTCCTGTGTATCTAATGCGATCATCGAATGGAGAAAAAACAACAGAGTCAGCGCTACCACACGAGGTACATATCAGGCACAGAGATATCTCTTTAAGGCTGTCTATGGTCGTCCAGTCATCCTTGCATTTTACCTTGTGTGCAGCGGTCTAACAGAGATCAGCTTATTGACACGATCAACCACTCCTGCAACACTCGAAAGCACCTTTTCCTGCTCAACGTAAGTTCCGTGTCCACTATATCGCATTTATATCGAGAAACGAAGAACAGAACAGCATTGTATTAGCCTTTTGCGATATTTGACATATTGGTCGGATCAATCAGAATCGCGGTCGATCTGGGGGCGATAACAAGATTATCTCCAAAAGCATTACCGCATGAATGCTGTGTCCGAAGTGATAACCTCTCCAGGCGTGACAACATGAAGCGTCGGGTCTTTCATGGCTGGTATGCTGGTGCCTGCGTGCTCGCCATCCAAATCCATATCATCCTCCGTGGCGTGTTTCTTGCCCCGCTTGCTGAAACCCTTATCTGTGGTTGTCCTTGGGACGGGCGAATAAAACGAGATGTTCATGGCGACTATGATCCTGATATGCTTCTCTGGGAATGACCTCCGAGCTTTTCCTGATACTGCAACTTGTCGACCGTCCTGTGTTGCCCTTTGGGATAGCGATGGAGTAAGTTGCTTCGTTGGGTGTCTTGCAAGCGATGGCAAAATAAAAAAAGAAAGCGTTGTTGTGAAATGGTGAGCATCAGCCAGTCACATCCACAGCATTGAAAGCTTGCCTACTTGAACTGGCGCAGTGGCATCACTTTTGTCCTCTGCTCAGCATCCATCTTTACCTTGCACCACCATGATTGAAGTAATTTGCAACGATCGTCTCGGCAAGAAGGTCCGCGTCAAGTGCAAGTAAGTTCCGTCAGGCGACTCTTTATCATTCACCAGCAGACTGCCACCTTTGTTTCCTACTTGCGAATACACCTTTAACCTCCATTATGTTCTCGCTGTTTAATTATAGCGGTGACGACACTGTTGGCGACCTTAAGAAGCTTATTGCTGCCCAGACTGGTACCAACTGGGAGAAGATTGTCCTCAAGAAGTGGTACGCTTTATTTTTGAAGTTCATTCAGCAGCCTTCTGCCATAATCAACCATGGGTGTTTTACAGGAGCTCAGTCCTAACGTCTTTCTGCGCTTTTTGAACTCTGCTGAACCAATAGGTACAATATATATAAGGATCATATCACCTTGGACGACTATGAGATCCATGATGGCATGAACATTGAGTTATACTATAACTAGAGCGTTCAGTGTAGAAGGATTTTCGTTGTGCAGAATACTATGTCCGAGGATGAGAATTGTACACGGCGAGTTCATTGATCGATCAAAAAAAACCGAAAAAGAAACTACGGAGTAAATTGCTATCAACTCAAGGAACCATATTTTGGTTGGCAAATGTCCGGACGTCCATTGTGTCTGAGCCAAGCGATACCAACTTTGTGCATCACTTTTGGATCTGATGAAGATTGCTATCAAGATAATATCGTTGCAGTGTCACGGAATAGCACAATAAAGCGGACTGCACTCGTTTCCGATTTTTAAGGATGCTGGTGAATTGTGCTGTGAATGGGCATCTCTTCGCTCCGGAAGCAGTTCGCCTCGATAGCTTGCACTGCACTCGGTTTAATGCTCAATTTCTCTTTTTCTACCGCGCCTCTTATATCTTTTTCGTTCATTTGTCAGTTTGGTGGCGTTTATCCGTAAAAAGAAAAGGAGCTGTGGTTGGCGATAGCCGAACCATGGCGTATTAATTGTAGAAGTAGGCAAAGGATTGACCCATCTCGGCAAAGGACCGCCCACCGCTCCATTGACAATTGTTTCGAGGAGGATCCTATGCGTTCTGGAGTCCACACTTCGTCATACACAAGCGTGTGAGCAGGGGCCTCGCCCTTACTGCTCGTTTGGTGGCGTCCATTGCATATCGCTGCGGATAATAGTATGATTCGTCCACGACCATGCGTGTAAATACAGCGCACTTTCCTTACGTACTTCAACATTTACCCAGTTTAAAGTATGTACGTTTCTCTGGCGCCAAATAAACAGCGCTTATACTAGTCTACACGTGCTTTTGGTCATTGCTATTTTTGAGAGGGATAGAATCGACTCTCATATCTTGCGCAAACTAAGACATGCTCGTCGAACACCCATTTTCATTTATTGATCACCATGCAAAAGTATTTGATATATCGATGTACCTCTAAGCTAGCATATTAGACCCCGCCGAAGAACTACCACTCCCTCGCTGGATTTCTATCGGGACCATACAATTGGATCTCGGGACAACCTCCATCTATTTTCAGGTACATAGCGAGGAAAAGGGGTTCAAAGAGATCCAAGGGGTGCTCATTGTGCTGGAAGGCTCGTTTTTATTCGTGAGTATCCCTAGAAGAGCTTTCTAGGGTGGTTTTTTTTTTTTTTTTTTTTTTTTTTCACAAATGGCTGCAGATGATGGGTCTGCTCTCGTACAACTTCGTTCGCCCTTTTCTTGTGCCATTTGCTGCTCCCTGCAGCTCTTAAGCAGCCTCTGAAGAGCTGGCTCTGTGTCGTCAAAGCGGCGCCCTGGACAAGTGCGCATCCTTAATCAAAGACGATTTGCATGTATAGTTAAGCCTCGTTGCCGGCGCTGTGGGGCCAAAGTCTTACGTGGTTATAAAGGACTGGGATCTCCTTTTTTTCTCGTCAATAATCCTACAACAACCTTCAAACAGTACCCTTCTTCCTTCAAACACCTTCTCACGATACCAAATCAGACCAGAAAATCTATACGCTCACTCAAACTGGTTCATTCACTACCCCCGCAATTGACGGTCCCTGACAATGCGTTTCCTACTGGTCCTCGTTCTTCCTGTACTCCTCGCATCAATTTTTGGTTTCTGCAGTATGACATCTGCAGCTCCAGTTCCCAATCTGGTCCCAAGACGCAGCCCCGTTATCTCTGCAGTCCTCGGAAGCCGTCGTGGCCATGGTCTTTCGCTCGGTGTCGGCACTGGTATTAATAACGGTAGTTCACTTCTGAAGATCCATCGGCCAAGTTTTCGTCGCTCTGATGAAGAGGAGGAGCAGTCCACCCAACATACTGCAATGAACAAGCGCTCAACATCCTCGCTTGCAGCCAAAGATAAGAAGAAAACAATGAAGCGCCGCCTGCACCGAGGGGATGCCAAGCCTTTGCCATGGAAACCCTCGCCGTCTTCGAAAGGGATGAGCCGACGGCGTCAGATGGATACGCAGTACGTCCCAGGTGGAAATGGTAGTGGAGGGCAATATGATAAGGGCATGCCTTATGGACGCTCGCTTCCCTTTGCATGATAACACTACATGTATGATTTGCAGGCAATAAAAAGAAGCTCGTCTTTCACACCTGTGCGTTTTCTGGAGCGGCAGCGATTAATCTGGTCCGTGCAAAAGAACTGTATTGCCGCTTTTCTGCTCTCTTCAGCTTGTGCTCGCACGGCTCTTGACACTCTCTCGGCCATTTATTCTTTGGTTCTTTAGCCAGTCTACCCCGTTTTTAAAAGATTATGCCCATGCAGATGAACCAGTTCATTTCGACATGATTCTCTTTTACGATAGCACTGCGTACTGTATGCCTATCCAAGGGGGTTCATACCGACCAGCGATCATATCCATCTGCACCATGCGGTCGTCCGTCTTCCCCTCTCTCGTCTAGAGCCACCACATTCCAGCCAAATTGAAAACCTGTAGCAATATGAATCCACAATTAATGGTGATGAGTTTATTTTACAAGGAACATTTTTAATATCCAACCACCAACACAACCAATGCAACGCCAACACTGCTTGCGACGGCCCACAACGGTCCTATCCTTGACTTTGTGCTTCTTCGCACTGCTCGTTACCACGCCTTGGGTGCATTCCCGCAGCACCCCTTTTGCAACGGTCTCGATTGCATACGCCTCCACCGTCTTTGGTCCAATGCATGCTGGATCCACGCCCGTAGTCGTTGATGTCGGGCTTAAGGAGTACGACGACTTCATGGGCGACGATATCAGAACTGGTGTTGTCAAGAACGAGAGATCAATTACGGGGCAAAGACAAAGGAACCGTCAAATTCGACGGCAGGTCCATGTCCCTGGGCAAGGCACGGGTGTAGGAGGAGATTACAATAAGCATGATCCTTATGGCCGGTGAACAGAGGCTCGAGGGTTGAAGCTTGAAATAAATCGCTGCTGGTATTTCTCTGCAGACCCTCTCACATGTTCAATACAGGTCGATTGCTCTCTGGTTTGTCGCCTGTTTGCGCGGCAGTCCTACTACAGATCGGTTCCTGAATTCGTAATATCGATTGAGCGGCGATGGTTCCACACGCGCTCTCATTGTGCCGCCGAAGAGTCTTTCTCCGGCCGGACTATTCCCTCATCCCCATTCTTCATCCCCATTCTTCATCCCTATTCCTCTCCCTCATCTCTCATCTCTCATCCCTCATCCCTCATCCTTCATCACTTAACCTTCATTCTCCCTACTTTTGTACCCTGCTTGTCTCTTTCGGTCCTTCTGTAGGCACACATTTCTCCCTTCTCTCTTTATCACTAAAATGTCTACAACCATCCCCACCACTGCCTCCTCTGTTCCCCAGCCGACAAAGGCAAAGGTCCTGATCGTCGGCGCAGGCATCGGAGGTCTAGTCCTCGGAGCACTCCTTCAGAAAGCCGGAATTGAATTCGAAATCTTTGAACGCGCAAAGAAGATCGTTCCCCTGGGTATGCTCCAGCATGAACACAAGGAAGAGTACAACTACTCCTATGTAGCATGAAATGATTTGCTATCCATGTCCTGTACTCATCTCTCGTTTTCTTATCTACTTGCACGCGACAAAACAAAGGCTCTGCTATCTCGTTGGGCGCAAATGTCATGTACTTCTTTGAGCAGCTGGGTATTGCAGACGAGATCAAGGCCAACTCTAAATATGTGAAGGAAGGCTTCCAATACCACGACGACATGCAGCAGACCGGTCGCTATGTTTACGCCTACAGTTTCGAGAGGTATGATCTTCACAACGACTATTCACAGTACTTGCCATGCCGCAGTCCACGCGTCTCATTTAATTAAAGTTTTTTTTTTACCTTCGTAAACAAAAAGATACGGCCATTACTCTCATATCATCCCTCGCCCGATCGTCTACGACATTATTATGCGTCTGGTTCCCAAAGAAAAGATCCATTTTGGGGTCAAGGTGACTTCGCTCCTCCAGGACATGAATGGTGTGATGATTCGCACCTCTGACAACCAAACCCATCAAGGAGACATCCTCGTCGGAGCTGATGGTGCCCATAGTGCTGTCCGCCAAAGCTTATACCAGCAACTAGATCAGAAGGGATTGCTGCCGGCCTCGGATAAGGAACATTTGCCATTCACTAATGTCTGTTTAGTCGGAACAACGGAGCCTTTAGATGTTAAAAAGTACAAGTTCTTGGATCAGGAGGAATGCTACTTTGTTGGAATTATTGCCAGAAACATACCCTACACTGTAAACAACATCTTTTGTCTTTCTGTTTCTTGCTATGTGTTTAGACATTGTACGCACAATGTATTCTATTCTAGTAGCTAACAATATCCGCCTTTTTTCGTTAAAACAGTGGGTCCTCTTCAGCACGAATGACTATCGCATCTGCTGGATGGCGATCGAGCATCTGGACAAGAAAAGCACCAAGGATGATGAGAGCTTTCAGAACTCCGAATGGGGTCCTGAGGCAGCGGAAGCCATGTGCAAGGAGGTCCGCGACTTCCCTCTGCCTCATGGTTTGATCCTGGGTGACCTCATTGACCAGACACCCAAAGAACTGATCTCCAAGGTCATGCTTGAGGAGAAGCTTTTCGAGACCTGGAACGGAGGTAATTTGTCAACGGCATATGCATGTTTAGCCGTGCGTGAATGCAATTTCGTTGCGGTTCGTGAAGGTACTCACCTTACTTGTTTTCAGGACGCACTGTTCTTATCGGCGATGCCTGTCATAAGATGCACCCCGCTGCAGGTCTGGGAGCAGTGAGCGCGATTCATGATGCGGTCGTGTTGGCAAGTCGCCTTTATGAGCTGCCATCGACCGAGCAGCAAGATATCGAGAAAGTGCTTAGGGACTACAGGGATGAGAGATACCCGCTAGCTGTCAAATCGTACGAGTCCAGCAAGAGCATGTCCAAAATGGTTGCTCAGGTATTGGGCAAATATCACCGACACACACACACACACACAGCGCTACTTCGCATGGAATCCATCCCAGCCCACTAACCCCCGTAAATACTTTCAATCGATTCCATTTATGATTGATAGAACTGGGTCAACGTTTTGTTCCGTAAGATCATGAGCATTATGCCGTTGTTCCTGTGGTTCAAGGTCCTGGACGCCATGATGGGATACCGTCCTCAGGCTACTTTCCTCCCTCTGATCCCTGACCGAGGTACAATTAAGCCTCACATGCAGACCAGCCTGGAACTCGCCGCAAAGTACTCTCAATCTGCTCAGCAGACGGACGAGAAGACTAAAACGGCGGCTGCTACGACTGCGCCCACTGTGACTACTGCGCCCACTGTTGGCACAACAACAGCTGATGTTCCAGCTCAAGCTGCCAGAATTGTATGAACGTCTATGTCAGGGCCTTCTATCAACTATATCCCTCTTATTTCGATTCACTGACTTAGAACACTCAAATAAACACCATCATGAATCAACTACAAAAGAAAAACCTGCATCCCTGAGCGAAAAAAAAAGTAACCTGCTAAGGGAGCATTATTTTATTTCTTCCACTTCTGCATTCTCTCTCTCGCCTGATGGAATGGCTCCATCTCCAGTGGAATCTCCAACGGATTCGACACAAACGCCGGTCTCTGGCCCGGTCTCAAAGCCATCGCCTCCTCCTGCTTCTTCCGATCTCTCAAATACTCCTCCTCATCCTCGCGTCGATTAAATGGATACCCAAAGATCCACTCATCAACATCAACAATCTTCGGCCGACGGTACTGTCTCAGATCCTTTCGACGACTCTTTGCATCAACCTTCGACAAGCGGGCTGTGAGTTCTGCACGCTGGCGTTGACAGCCCATGGCGATAATCTTGTTCTCCATCCCCATCATCATAGTCTGTAGGATTCGATAAGCAGCAGGCGAGAGAGGAATGGGATCGTTTTTGACCATCGGGACAAAGAGTTGGGCGAGGTAGGTGTTCACTTGGTAATAGTCTGTCAGTGTGGGTTCGTCGAGTTTAGAGGACGATGAGTCGGGTGAGGGCCCTGTTTCAGGTGCGGTCGCACTCGCACTCGCACTCGCAGTAGAAAGAGCAGAGGACGAGGACGATGATGATGAAGACGGAGCCCCTGTTGCTACTGCAGTAGAGGGCGCAGAGGATGAAGCTGTTGGCGAAGACAGCCCTACTGCTGCAACGGGCGCGGAGGACGAAGATAGGGACGAAGAAAACAGCGCGGCTGTAGAAGAAGACGCTGTTAATGATTGAGCGCCTGGGGCTGAAGCGGCAACTGGCTGCGTGCTGGACAACGCGGAGCTCAAATGCGTTTGCTCCCCGCGCGAAGTATTCGGGTCCATCAGCTGAGCTGCGGGAGAAGATGCTGTCGAGGACGGCCCGGAATCCCCGTTAGTAGATTGGAATCGAACGTCCTGCGTCTGATCCCTCGGGCTCTGCGCTTCCACAGATGCATTGAGTGGCTGATACACACGATCAGGGTCCTGCGGTCGCATTATCAATCCACTGCCTCCTTTATCCGAATGTAATTCAGTGGTATCCCTATCCGATTGCTTACCATTCCTTGTTTCCAGTGCCTTCCACTTCTCTGCCCTGACGCGGTCCAACATTCTCTTCGACGCCAATTCGAAACCCTAAAAAGGATCCCAGGAAAATCATCACTCGTTAGTGCTTTTTCTGCGACCACTAAAAGACGATTGTTTCTTCCGCGCTCACAAATAAAATTGACCGCAGATCATTACCCGTTGATAATAGATATCCATCCTCAAGTCCGCCGTATTAACCTCTATTGCCTTGAACAGCTTTTTCGCGTATTCAAACTTCTTGATCGAGAAAAAATCCCGAGTAATGAACGGACTCTGCGGCGCATACCAAGCATCCGGTAGCGGGTTCGGCATCGTCCCATATGTAGTCGTTTCCACGCGATTCTCAGGTGTCTTATACTCTTCGTAAGGGAATGCTTCCTGAAGATAAGGATATTCCATAACTGGAGGATCCAGCAACCATGGATTGCCATCTTTGTCGAGAAGGCGTGGCCCGTACTGCTTGTTGATCGATTTGGATCGCTTTGCCGGTCTCTCGTCGTCATCATCGTCATCATCACCGCTCTTATCAGCATTGTCATCACCAACAGGAGAAAGAGAGTTCGGATCCATGAAGAGTCGTAGCCAGGCCTTGGGTTTCCGAGGCCTGTATTTCCCGCGTCTCTTTAGACCGAGACGTGTTGACCTCTCTCGAGGTCGTCGCTTATTAGATGAATTAGCGTCCTCTACCTGCCGAACCTCTATGTTGTTTGAAGGCGCTGTGGAAGTGATATCTGCTGAGGCAGAAGCAGCACCTATTCGGACAGAAGTAACACGTACTGGGACAGGATTAGCTCCTTTTCGGGCAAGAGTATCGACCTCAAAATCTCTGACATAAGGCCGTCCATGACTTCGCTTACCGGATGAATTGTCCTCCTGTGCCATCCTGTCTTGTGCGTTGTTTGACATATTTGTTAAAGTGGTTTTTGCTGGAGCGGGAATGGTCGCTACTGGGACAGGAGCGGTATCCGATGGCATAAGAGCAGTAGTGACTGCAACCGGAGCAGTAGTTGGCACCAAAAGATTGGCGCGGATGGACACCCTTGGCTTCTTTGGCTTCTTGACAGTGGAGGGATTAGGTATGGGATCGACGAGATAGCTCTCACCCTCATGGGGGGGATACCTGTTGTTCCGTAGAGTTGCTTTCGCTGCCCCTTGTTGAACTGATGACGGTAATATTGTCCTGAGCGGCTTGGGCTGATTTCTGTCGGGATCCCGACCTTGACCGATTGCTGTTTCCTGCGGTTGCCATAAAGCAGGAAAACACTCGTCTATGCTAGTTAGTGCTTCTGATTCTGCAGAGCTGCCTTGTGTCCATGACGCTTTCTCGTTGCCTTCTGTCCATAATGATGTTATGCCGTTTTCATGCGGGGTTGGATTCACGGGCAATAACTGAGTATCGTTATTAGATGGAGTCGGGTGCGCGGACAGCCACGCGTTGTTAAGGTTGTTGCTAGGCAGTTGAAATGAGCTAAATGAACTAGTGTTCTGGGCCCCTGCGGTACCCAATGGTATTGGCGGGCATGCTGAAGGCTGTGCTTGGCCTACTTGTCCTGTTTGGTCTGCTTGTCCTGCTGGCGGCGGCGATCGTTTCTCCATGGCTTCGGCAGGCTGATTCAACATAACAGCGATCAAAGTCCGAGGCGGTGAAGTGCAGGAGGAGTGTGTCCAAAAATGGAAAGAAAGCACCAGCAATGCGGTCACCTTTCCTCAACGAACCTTCTCAGCAGCATGCAAACGAGCTTGCCCCGCGCCTGACAATCCCTGTCCTTCACTCTTCTCTCCACTTTCATCTCCACCTCAACTATTCCAACTGCAGTATCTGCCTTTCTTTACCCTCCTCCCCTTCTTTATCTTTTCCTTTCCAAGAACACGAAGGACCTGTCGCGATGAGGATATTTCTGATCCCGCTGTCGCGGACCACGAAAGCGATGCACTGTCACTCCACCATCGCGCCGTCTTCGACCTCGTATCTCAACCGCACAACCACCTGGGCGGGTAAGAAATGGGAGGGGCTGGGACAGGCCAAGCCCGACAGCTTGAAGCAGAAGCTCTATGGCGCAGGGACACGAATGCTGGAGAAGATCGAGCACCAGGAGACCTTTCTCAAGGAGATCCCGGCCAAGGAAGACGTAAACATTACCACCACGGTACCGTAATATCATTGTGCTGCGACTCTGCATTCACAGAAATACGCATTGGTCTCAAAGCTGTCTTTCTGACAATATCGTTTCGAGAATAGGTCCCTTTCTTATATCCGTCGGCTGTCAAACAAGCCCAGGTGAATGCGGATCTCAAGATGTTGATTGAACAAAGGATACCCTATCACCGCAAGTACATGATATACTCTGCACTATGGGTCCCTGTTACATCTCTGTTCACGATCGTGCCCTTGATTCCCAACATCCCCTTCTTCTACAATGCCTTTCGGCTCTGGAGCCATTGGAAAGGTAACGTGCGATGTTGTCTGGATCGGATTGTACATGCGGATGGAAATATCCCGGTTCTCGTTGAAGTGAGCCTAACCCTGGGTTCTTTGTCTCTCTTTGTCACCTCAATGGGAATTGTGTATAGCATACAATGGCGCGAAACATCTGGGCTTGATGGTCCAGAATGGAACGCTTGAATTTCAACCGAGCGATGTTCTGAACCTGGGCTTACAGCATGATCCAGATTTTGCGGTCTTCTTCACATCGTCTGGCCAGCTTTCGAAAAAGAGACAAGCACAAAGAAAGTCGACTGAGCAGGGCGGTCCAAAGGGGCCTGCCATTGCAGAGTCTTCAGGAGAGATCACTCCAACATTAGATACCAACAGGGACGCGGCAGTCAAAGCGTCATCAGCAGCAGAAACAGACGCCAAAGCATCACACCGCTCAACAACAGATAAGAAGGATGATCCACTGTCCATGACAGACCATGTGGTGCGTGAGGGCTTTGTAACGGACGCAGAGATTGAAAAGATATGTCAAATATTTGAGCAGGCTCCGCAGATGTCGCGGGAGATCAGACGGGCCCGGCGTCAGGAAGCAGAGAAGTTTGTGAAGGAAAAGCTCATGGATAATAACAATAACAAGCATAGACAAAGCAAGCAAGACTAGGTCGAGGTCTTGCTGAAGTAGAAAGACAAAATAGATATCATTCCCTGAGCAACAATTCCAACTAGCCAATCGCATGCGCTGCACACTCTTGGTGCTTGAAATGGAAACATAAACAAGGAAAAGCAGTCATTGAATTTTTTTTTTTTTCTTGCGAAGAAAGTTAACTGCGAGTTGCCCTTTTTTTTGTTTGTCCCTCTGTCCTTCATCCTCATTCCCTCCACCCCGTCTATCGCTTTCCCTGGACCCCAACTCACTCTCAGGATAACCAAAGGATTAAAAGGGATCAGACGCCATGACATCCATCTATAACTTCAAGAAGATCACCCCCGTCCCCACGGGCACGGACTTTTTGGACATTGTCCTCTCCAAGACCCAGCGCAAGACCCCAACGGTAATCCTCTTCTGCCACGCTTCACCATCCTCTTCTAGTGGACTGTAGACACTCAAAAGGGATGAACTGTATACTTATCTGGTAAACACGTCTGTTAATCGGGCTCGACAATAGGTTATTCATGCCAACTTTGCTATCAGCCGCATCCGTAACTTTTACATGCGTAAGGTCAAGTTCACGCAGGAGAACTTTGACGAGCGTCTGAAGGGCATCCTCGACGAGTTCCCTAAGCTCGATGTAAGTTATTTGAAATAAGCTATTGCAGGAAAGCAGAGGCATATATAGACTATCGACTGACCCTTTGCTGCTTTGTTTTCTCCCACCAGGATATCCATCCCTTCTACTCCGATTTGATGAACGTCCTTTACGACAAGGATCATTACAAACTCGCTCTGGGTCAGATGAACACTGCTCGCCATTTGATTGACCAGGTCGGCAAAGATTATGTCCGCCTGTTGAAGTTTGGTGACTCGCTTTACCGCTGCAAGCAGCTCAAGAAGGCAGCTATGGGAAGAATGGCGACCATCATGCGTCGTCAGAAGGACTCACTCGCCTACTTGGAGCAGGTCCGTCAGCACTTGGCTCGTCTCCCCTCGATCGACCCCAACACCCGCACTCTGCTCGTTTGCGGGTACCCTAACGTTGGAAAGTCATCCTTCATGAACAAGATTACTCGTGCGGATGTGGATGTCCAGCCCTATGCCTTTACGACCAAATCACTCTTTGTTGGACACATGGACTACAAGTATTTGCGCTGGCAGGTCATTGACACCCCCGGTATCTTGGATCACCCTCTCGAGAATCGCAACACCATTGAAATGCAGTCCATTACTGCTCTTGCTCACTTGCGTTGTGCCGTCCTCTACTTTGTCGACCTTTCTGAGCGCTGCGGATACAGCATCAAGGAGCAGGTAAGAAAATCAATCAATGCGGCGCAGCTCTTGCAATATATTTGATTGACTCGAATACTAATTACTATATTCTTTTTTTTTTTTTACCTTTCGTAGGTCTCGCTTTTCCACAGCATCAAACCATTGTTCGCTAACAAGCCTGTGTTGCTGATCGTAAATAAGATTGATGCCATGACGATCGAGGACATCAGCGTCGAGGACCGTGCACTGTTGGATCAGATTGTCGACAACGACCAGGTCGAGATGCTCGGCATGTCCTGCTACACCGAGGAGGGTGTTATGAACGTCAAGCAGACCGCTTGCGACCGCCTTTTGCAATCGCGTGTAGATTCCAAGATGAAGGGCCACAAGATCAACGATATCCTCAACAAGATCCACCTCACCCGACCTGCTGCTCGCGACGACAACCCCCGTCTCCCCCACATACCCGCTGCAGCCTCCAACAAGTCCAAGTATGACCCCAATGATCCTGATCGCATCAAGCTGGAGCGCGATCTCGAGGGCGAGAACGGTGGTGCTGGTGTGTTCAATGTGGATCTTAAGAAGAAATACTTGCTCGACAACCCAGATTGGAAGTACGACATCATCCCCGAGATCTGGCAGGGCAAGAACGTGGCTGATTTCATTGATGCTGATATTCAGGAGCAGTTGGATGAGCTCGAGCGCGAGGAGGAGAGGCTCGAGGCCGAGGGCTTCTATAAGTCGGAGGAAGAGGAGATGGATTCTGAGGATGAGGCATTGGAGGCGACTGCGAACGCAATTACGGAACGCAACCGTCTGACCCGTATCCAGGCACGTCTGAAGACCACGAAGAACAGACCCATGCTGCCGAAGACGGCGATTAAGCGCACGGTATCGGACATGTCGGACCATCTGGAGACCTTGGGTCTGGACTCGACCGAGGCTCGGGCCCGCAGCCGGGGTATCAAGCGTGCTCGCTCGTCCAGCCGAGGCGAGAGCATTGCTCGCAGTGCATCGATGGCGAGACCCGAGACGAGTGTTGTGCGGGACAGGACCATGTCCGGAGTGCGCAACGTCAAGCAGAAGCTGGAGTCGGAGAAGGTGCGCAAGCTGGCCCAGCGCACACCCAACTTGTTTGCGAAGCGGGGAGAGTCCGACAGAGCTGTGCAGACAAAGATGCCGAAGCACTTGTTCTCGAACAAGCGTGGCAACGGCAAGACCGACTGGAGGTAAACAGGACGCCTTCAGACGCTGGGCCTGTTTGTGGTTGGGTATTTTTCGAAATCTGGCTTGCGGCTGTAATGGTTTATCATTTCTATCATTTTTCTTTATTTCATCTCACATATACGCATTATTTCGCAAAAATAAACATTTTTCATTTCATTACATAACTCCTTTTTGCTTCGTTGTCCCGTTTTGCGTTGAAGGCGAAAATGCAATGATACTCCTAGCAGTTAGCGGAAAGAGTCTTGGTCTCCTGCGGACAGGAACAACGACGCTTTACCCTTGCTATCTTGTCGCTGGTCTATCTGTGCAAGCACGAATCTTGGCTCTAACTGGACATTTGCATGATCTTATGCGTCTTATGGGATAGGATCTCCAATGTCTGCGTATCGTCTTTCAACAAGTTCTGTAGATACGCGAGCCCAAGCTGGGTATCATGCAGGGTCTATTCATCAGGCAAACAGAATCAAGCAGTGTTTAGTCCACACGCGCACACACCATCCACCACTTTTCTGTATCTACAGTAGAGACAAACAAACCTTCGTAATGGCCTCCAACTGGTTCGGTGGGATCCATGACACCTCACAGCCCCGTCGATTTCCCATCCCTTTGCTCCTATTCTTCAACATCTCAACCTTCGCCCACAGATCCACCATCTTGCCTCTAAATATCGCCGGGTTTTCCAACAGAGCTAATCCATCTTCAAAACGTATGCCGAGTGAATTTTCGTGAGGCTGAAGGTCTACCCCACGGTTGTTTAGGACGTGAATGTATTTCATGAGTCGCAGGAAACGTTGGTTGAGTTGCATATGCCGGACCTTGATGGTTCGGATCCGTTGCTGGGTTCTGATCGAGTGCTCGAGGTGGAGGTCGTGGAGGGCCGGAGCAAATTCAAGGAGGTACTGGCGTTGGACTTGGACTCGGGATTCTTGAACGGCCATGCGGTCCAAGAGGGCGGTGAAGCCAACGGCTTTGATTGGAACCATCCTGTTAGGGAGGGGTAGATGTTCGTAGATTAATTATTATTATTTTTAAAAAAAAAAAAAAAAAAAAAAAAAAAAAAAAAACAGCGAAAGAAGCACTGTTTGCTCGTGATATGGTTACCATCCAGGATTAGGGCATTTATCGTGAGCATGCTGCCATTCTTCTGGGGTGACACCTGCGGGTGCCACTTGCTTCTGGACGCAGTCTGGGTTCGCTGCGTCGTAGAAAAAATACTAAACAGTTGCACAGAAATGGCACGCATACGAGCGTAAGATCGACACGTCTACGAAAAAAAAAAAAAAAAAAAAAAAAAAAAAAAAAAAAAAAAAAAAGGGCACGAACGCAGTAAAATAATGTTTTCAACAAACTTTGAACTGACAGTTTGGATGCTGTGGGTCCCACGCATCCATTATCCACTGCAAGCGGTGCCATACGGGAACCGAGGGTGCTATATTGTCTAAAACCATACCCAAGGACACGTTAAAAAAAGACTCTTTATCAGCCCATCCGTATGTTGTCTTCTATTTATCCTAATGTCTCTCCTTTTGTCGCGTTCATATTCAACCACTTTAGTTTTGCCTTCAATGTACCGTCGCCGCTGAACACTCCCCAATGAAGAGCTAAGATCTGATTTTCTAGTAGGTTGGTTAGTCGACCTTGCAGCGAATGTCATTTTTGGTGTTGAATATTCAGTCGACGGCATGCGTATATGAGTTGTGTTTCAATAAAAATAAAAAATAAAAAAAGACGAGAGGAGTATGCTGGGAGTGTTGAGTGATGGTAAGAAAGAAAAGAGGTAGTTTTGATGAGTAGGAACAGAGCAAAAAATACGAAAAGGCAGCGTGTCTTTATTGTGGTCGTAGCATAACGTTCAAGAGGACCACAAAGAAAACATAGCGCAGGCAAGCGCGTCCAGCATTCCCTTTATTTCCATTAATATCATTGAAACGGCTAAACATTGAATATTTGCATGCCTTTGTCCGCTCAATGGGATAAAATGCATTTCCTGTGCTTCTGGGACCTCATCTAGGCTACAACTCGATTTTATGTTTTTTTTTATTAAACATGGCCTCCGAGAGGGCCTGTTTCCTGTGTATACTCTATAGTCCAACTGGCCCTATATCTTCTAGCATTGTTGTCCTACCATGTCCGACAACATCAACTGTAATCTCCCTGAGCGTCCTGAGGTCTTTCTCCTGCAATCTGTTCGGCAGTCTCCTCACCTGCATATCTGCCAAGACCATCTCTCCAATTGCAACCTATACATCTGGAAGATGATCCTGGGGGGTTTTTTTTATAACAATTTGTCTTTCGAGTCGATTGACCCTGCGAATCTATCAGACCTAACTAGCAATGATCTACTACAGTCGTCCTTTCCACCAAAGTAGAGCCGATCTACAGTCGCCAGTTGACAGGTCACATTCCCCGGGCCTGCCCCTAGGGCTTGCGCAACAATTGCCACACCTCATCAGTGTGTTAAAAGCTGAAAACACCTTGTTACAAGAAGGGTATCTTCCCCATCCCCTCCATAGTTGTCAACCGCCTCCTCCCTTGCAGGCAGTCCAGCAGCGTCCGACCCGTTGCGTCTGGTTCGAGTACGGGGTCAGGGCAGCTCCCTTTTGCATGGTCGGCTAGCAACGTACCACACGGACAGTGGTCAACGTCGCAAATGTATCCATTGCCCTCACTCCAGTTTCCTCTAGGGCCCTTGTATGATGCGCGTTTCATCTTGGCTGTGACTCCCCACTCTCTTTCCCGAGCAATGGTCGCGTTGCAGCGTGGTTTCCAGATCAGCTCCGTAGCCCTCGAGGGCGTCTTTCCTCTCCCCGACCGGGACAGTTCGATTTATGAATTTTCTTTTTTTTTTTTTATTAACATAAATCCCCATGAGCACAAGACGCATGGTCCGCAAAGGCCTTGAAGCCATAGATGCCTTCCATGCACGGCAGAGCCGCATCCCCTACCAACTATGTTGGCTTGAGGCGTCAAATTCATAACCCATGTCGCATAGCTAGCCTAACCTAACTCCTGCGTGACCTGTTGCGCGATACACGTCTCCTAATCCAGATCCAATGTTAATAAAGTTGTTTTTAAACCGAATAACCCCTCCATTATGTCCAACTTCCCTCGCCCCAAGCAATGCTGTAGCACCCTATAATCCGCGGTCCGTCTACCTTCCTGGATCTCCGCGGTCCGTCTACCTTCCTGGATCTCCGTTGCAAGTAACCGTCTCCCTTTCAAATCAGAGAAATCACCAACACTACGTTGGTGTCCCCGATCACCGTTGCGTCCTCCGGCGCGTTTGCTCATGAAGGTGATTCCAACTGACTTTTCCCAGGCGACAGTGTCCTCGCATCGTTTGTTCCATATCTTGGTCCTGCCAAACTCTTCGATCCTGCTCACGAACTTTGTCACCATGATCGTCGCAATCCACTTGGTGGTGGTAAATAGCTGCTTCCAGGTCTCAATGAGTCCCGTTGGCACCAAACCTCGGTATAAGTCCTTGACCTCCCAATCTGCCTCACTCTCCGGCTCCTCTTCTTCCGCAACCCGATATGTCCCTCGCCTTTCCGCCGTCCCCTGAATCCACTGCATTGACTCCCAGATAGCCTTCGTTCCTGTTGTCGAGAAGTTGGGACAAGTCGCAGTGAAGGGCTTGTCCTTCCGTTCGGCCTCCTCTCTCTCCTGTTCCCATTTTCGCACTGCCTGTCCAGTTCGATTTATGAAATTTAGCGAGGAATTAACGTATACAGCGCAAGGAAATAAGCAAAATTTGTTTAAGAAATATAAAGGATTAAGTTGATTACCTTCCATCGAAGAAAATTCCTAGTTGGTCCAGTGGTCAGGATTTGTCGCTCTCACCGACAAGGCCCGGGTTCGATCCCCGGACTGGGAATATTTTGACCACTGCAGCTACTTTTTTGCGACTTCCTTGGCTGCAGTCTTATTTGACAATCCAGCGCTACTATTTGGCAAATAGTACTGGCAGAGTGATCACACACAATACAAGCTGTCTTCGTTGGACCGCTCCCATTTCCCCTAGCCCTTGAAATAAAATGGCTAACGCCAGATGCTGAGGCAACGTGTGACCCTTACTCGTTTGTCTATTGCGGGTCGGGCGCGATGAGGGTTACAGGCGGCACTAGGCCCGTCTTTCTGCATTCAAGTGCCGTTTGCTATCTCGAAGTTTTCATGGAAGGCTATGCTTCTCTCCATAATTCTCACACAGGCGGTCGCCGAATGTCACGGGGAGCCCAACTACCCTCGTACGCCAAGCCGATCCTATGCCGACGTATCGCACAATCTTGTCAACTGTGGCAAGAATTTTTTTTTTTGAGTTCTTAGAACCTGGTATAACCCAACCCCACGAATCCAGTCTGCAATAGGCCATTATCCTTATACCTTGTGCTCTTGCTTTCTCCCCTGAATCCTTTGTCTGCCCTTGACATTTACTTTAAGTAGGGCAATGATTTCGAATATGCATGAAATTTATCTTTATTTATGAACTTCGTGTGTTGCGACCGAGACGCTTCTGAGTCTCAACATTGCTCCTGATACGCGTCTGCTTTGGTCTGCCCTTGGCCTTCATCTCAACAGGATTCATAATTTTAAAAGTTCCTCCCTTTGATGATGGTTTTGGAAATTGTTTTTTTCACCATTTCGAACTGCTCCGGCTTTAAGTTGACTACATCCAAAGGCTCCCTCATCATCCTTGATATTTCCCCGTAGCGCCGTTTCCTCGATATCTCGCGTTCGTCGGGCTGCCTGGGTACTGCAAAGACTGGGAAGCCTCCGTGATGTCTCCCATGTAGGTGTCGACAGGTGTACTGGCATTATTAGACCTCCGGTATATTTTGACGATCCAAAACCGCTCAGAACTGACATCAAGGTCGAGATCGTCCTGTATGAATTCCTTGTACCATCGCTTGAGAATTAATCTGATGTGACATTTGCTTTGAAATAGCGTCGGCACACCATGCCACAGTTTTGCAGCAGAAAGCATGTACAGAAGTTAACATCGAAAATACACTTAATGTTACGTTTACCAATAGTAGAACGTAAGACATCTAAGGAAGCTTTCAGGTGGTCTTCCTTTGCATTTTTTCAATCTGTAGACTATGAATTAGATTGACAATCAAAAGTGTGTAAACATACTTCCAATACAATCCAGATACACCTAATTCGTCGTTATCGCCAGCCTCGTCTCATTCCTAGCACTGTTTCCAGTGTGGAGAGCATGCATTAGGTTATCAGTATGGTGTCGCGTAATTGTTGCTCATTCCTTCTTTTTTTTTTTTTTTTTTTTTGTCGCGGTCATTTTCAACCTGTAAGTATACTTACTTCTTCATCTTGTAGCTCGCCCGGAAGCTCGTCAGTCATTTCAATCTCGGCCTTCTCTCTGCACGTGGGACGACGAAGATATATTTCATAATACGCGGATCGTATCATTCCAGCGGACATTTGGTTTCTGGCCGCTTCACCGAGGAAACGACTGCTAAGCTCCTCAATTTCTGCAAACATATTCTTGGCGAAAGGCTCTGATAGGAGTCCGGCTTCAAGTCAGCTCTGTACTAGAGTAGCCTCGCGGTCGGGGTAGCATCAAACAGCTTCCTTTCGATGGTCAAGAAGAGATCATGCAGTGGTGTCTTGCGATTGATAGACCGCTTAATGACATTCTAGATGCTCTCAACTCTTTGAGCATACTGGATACCCACTATGAATCTCGTTCCAATCCGAAGCCAGGTCCAGTGCTGGCATCGTTCATAGATCCGTTCGAGGTAAGCATGGATCTTTGACTTATTTTCTCCAAATACTATGATCGTCTCCGACCAGCCTTATTCGAGCTCCTCCTCCGTCAAAGCGTTCCGTGTTGTCCACCAAGAAGAAATTAACGTTTACTATTCGCCGCCCAGTGCGCCGTGAAGGTTTCTGTTGAGATTCTGGTGTCTAAGGTTCCAAATACAGTTTATAAGAATTGTGTCCTCAATGACATTGTGACAGGCTATCTCTATTGCTAAGTCCTCATCTACCATGATAACATCAGGAGGGTATCCATCACTCGCCTCCAACGGCTGATGTAGAATCCACTCATAGTCGCCTGTTGTCTCTCTGCTAACCAAGGAACATCCGACCAAAACGACTTTTCCCATCGGTGTCCACAGCTTCAAAGGCGCTGAAAGGCATATTGAAACGGTTTGTTTTTGATGTGTTGTCGTTTAGCACAATGTCCCGATAACGGCGGTAGAGGATCCTTTTGGATGGACTCATCCAGAAAACCCGCCGAAGCCTTCCAGCATCATCGAGTTCAATCCGGACGAACCAATCTTTGTCCTCACGTTCCTTCGCAAGCAGCAAATTGAATAACTCTGCAGTCTCCAATGCTCCTGATTCCGCCCTTTTCGCCTTCTGAATGGCATTGACTATCATTTTACAGTCAAACGACTTGTTCAGCCAATCGTTGTTGAATAGGAAGAGAACGCCATCCAAATTAAAGTCTCCTTTGGAATTGACATATTATTGGAAATAGAGGTGAGTGAGAAAGAGATGTGGGTGGACACACCACATCGATTGGGTATTTATTTGCATAAAATTTAATAGTGAGCTAGAGATACATTTATTAAATTAAATGAAATATGCGACAGGAATAGCTAGCGATCTTTGCAAGGATCCCGGGTTCTAGCACCAAACAACGATGGTTAAACTCAGAGGCTGTGGATCGCATTTCATGATTGTGCTAACTGACGATGGTGGTTATGTGGCAGGAAGGCGATATACGTTGTGGAGGTCAGATAACGATATGACAATGGCGCCGAATGAGCTTCGAGGTTGATTTCCATGAATCTTTGCTTCTGCTTCTTCAATACCCTCAAATACTTCGCCAAATTCGGGTTTCCATGCTTCAGAGTCTGGATCTGGATGCCCATCCTTGTCTCCTTCAGACTCGGACCATGCTTCGGCGTCCAGGTTGGCATGCTCATCCGTGTCCCTTTTAGGCTTGGGTATCCATGCTTGGGCGTCTGAATCTGGATGCTCATCCTTGTCTCCTTCAGACTTGGGTGTCCATGCTTCGGTGTCCAGATCGGCATACTGTTTTCATCCGTGTCCATTTCAGGTTTGGGGCTGCATATTCCGGCGTGCGAATCGAGATGTTCATCCTTGTCTGCTTCAGGCTTGGGCGTCCATGCTTCAGTGTTCGAGTCGGGATGCTCTTTCTGAACGTCATAGATTTGGTATTCAAGGTCGGCAGGCTGAAAAACAAGAGAAAATAGTAATTAATATACTCATGCACAGAGTTATACCAATCAGGGATATCAGTATCGTCAATATAAGAGAAATATCTACCTTGAGCGGCCAGTCGCAAGTCTGATGAGTCTTGTACGATGATAGGCAGTTCTCTCGTGCGTCCAAACTTCAATAGCTGGATTGACGGTTTTCTCGATCGTATTGGTTGCATTGACTCCACAAGATCCACTTCCTGGGGGCTGCGAAGGAACACAAAGTTTGCTGACATGGTTGTCCCAATACTCGATATCCACGCCGCTGCATTTCACATTGCAAGTACGGTATCGTCAGGGGCTGACCAGGGAAGAAAATCCCCAAATGATATTCTCCGCTTGATGAAGTCGACCTCGAGTGCTTCCCAATGATTTGTCATATGAACGATGGTGAAGGCTTTCTCCACTTGTCCACTCATGAGTTGGTCCCTCTTCCATTCCCAACAGTCCTGTCCGCCATTCCTCCATAAGTGCAGCGCCATAGGTGGGATGAAAAGTTATTTGCCGCCTGCCCCATAATCCTTAGAAAAGAGCTCCATGGTGATCCTAATGATTCTGTTATCGGTGTACTCCTCGTTCACGAGGGTAAGGACGCTATTGATGGCCAGCGGTGTATCAGTTGTTGGCTTGAATGTCCATTTCATGATCCCAGGTATATGGTGAAGGATCTGCCGAAACTATGCCGTGAATTGGGGCTCAAACTTCGCGACCTTGTTTGTCCATTTCAGCAACGTTTCGATATCCTTGACAAATGATATCGTCTGAAATACACCGGGTAGGAAGTAATAGCTTGAGGTGTAAAACAGCCGATGTCGAAAATCCTGCTTCCGCAAGGGACCCTGTTGTAGCTGTTGCGAACCGTGCGTATTTGTCCCTGAGGCCCTGGTCATGCATCCGTTCTGAGTGCTGCCTCATAGCGAGGCGAGTGCGTAGTATTTATTTAGCTCAACCATTTGTATCTCTTGCTTCCGTACCGATTACCTTAAATAGACCCTCTATAACCACCCTGGCTTCTACACCCTACTTCATGCAGACACACACGCACCTACACTCACAGACCCGAGCCGGAACGGATAGCGCCGTTACGAGTGAGGGGTCACGACAGTAGCGTTGTAGTGTAAAGGTTGTCCCTCTTATGGGGGTTGTTCTTGGTCTAATGGACTCAGACTGCACTCTAGACAGCGCTGTTTTTAAAAATTGTCTTAGCAGTCAAAACAGCAGGCAGTCTTAAACGCCAATTGTAACCACAGCAAGCTGGGCCATAGGTCCGTCTCACATAAAGCACCCACAGTTCCGCGATAAGCTAAGAACCAGAACGTGGACCAGTACATTTTGTAAAAATGCAGCGTGTGGAAACGTCCCGCAACACCTGCCATGTGCTATAGCAGCAATTTTTACAAACATTTTAAAAAAATGCTGGGGGGTGGCATCTGCCAGGCGGCCTCCAAGATTCAAGCCCATTCGCCTGAATGTTGTCTATTTTATTGATATAGAAAAACGAGGGGGACTTGCTGCCTCACAGAGATCTAGGACCGCCGGGCGGACTGGTGTGATTTTTAAAAAATGTATTGTGCCCATGACTCTCTGGAATCCAGACTGTGCATGCGTTCTTGGTCTGCCCTTCAGACCCGGGACGACCCCCTATGTTGACAAATTGGAAAGCTAAATGCATTTTTTTTTATTAACATAAATCCCCATGAGCACAAGACGCATGGTCCGCAAAGGCCTTGAAGCCATAGATGCCTTCCATGCACGGCAGAGCCGCATCCCCTACCAACTATGTTGGCTTGAGGCGTCAGATTCATAACCCATGTCGCATAGCTAGTCTAACCTAAACTCCTACGTGACCTGTTGCGCGATACACGTCTCCTAGTCAAGATCCAAAGTTAATAAGGTTGTTTTTAAGCCGAATAAACCCTCCATTGCGGTGTAGGGGGTCTACTAACGAGTTCTATAATTTCTACCATTAGTTCTATTTACAACAGGAGTTACCACGTGAATAGGACTTCGGCAAGGGTGTGCTTCGGTCACTTACTCACTTACTGGTTCGTGGTGCAGGGTCCTCCTTTAGATCGGAATGTAAGAACACAAAGGTAAAATAGACTAGACGTAAATGGAAAGGAATAAATATGGGGATCTGTTTAGCTAAATGGTGCGAGCTAGGACTATATTCCTTTGGGAATGACTGGGGTAGTTTCAAGGAGTTCGCATATTGTGATGTCCGATGAGGCGAGGAGTCGTGACAATGAAGTCCACCCCTCTAGAGTCGTTGTATGCCAATAGTCGCTGATCAGGCCTCCGTTGTACCTTTATAATGCCGTTTCACGAGGGTGGGCCGATGACGGATGCTCAATGAGACGATCGGTAATCGGGGAAGCGCTGCGGGGCAAGTACAATGTCTAAATATGAGCGATTGACGGTGCAAAGGTGGCGAATGCTCAGGATCGGCATTCCCTGTTGATTGTATCTCGTTGCATGGGTTACTGACGGTGGTAGTCAGTACCTGTCGTTGATGCGGTGTTATCCGGACAATCTGGACGAATACAATATATGATACAAATGATTTAGGTGGAAAGAAGACTCTGGTTCAGGTACCAGACCGTTTATTCTTTTATTCTGGGGGCGGTGCTCCTCCCCGTGATCTAATATTAACTTTGCAAGAACAACCAACTGATTCTCATTTACTACACCACACTATTATGTCCAACTTCCCTCGCCCCAAATAATGCTGCAGCACCCTATAATCCGCGGTCCGTCTACTTTCCTGGATCTCCGTTGCAAGTAACCGTCTCCCTTTCAAATCAGAGAAATCACCAACACTACGTTGGTGTCCCCGATCACCGTTGCGTCCTCCGGCGCGTTTGCTCATGAAGGTGATTCCATCCGATTTTTCCCAGGCGACAGTGTTCTCGCATCGTTTGTTCCATATCTTGGTCCTGCCAAACTCTTCGATCCTGCTCACGAACTTTGTTACCATGATCGTCGCAATCCACTTGGTGGTGGTAAATAGCTGTTTCCAGGTCTCAATGAGTCTCGTTGGCACCAAACCTCGGTATAACTCCTTGACCTCCCAATCCGCATCACTTTCCTGTGCCTCTCCTTCCGCAGCGTGATATGTCCCTCGCCTTTCCGCCGTCCCCTGAATCCACTGCATTGACTCCCAGATAGCCTTCGTTCCTGTTGTCGAGAAGTTGGGACAAGTCGCAGTGAAGGGCTTGTCCTTCCGTTCGGCCTCCTCTCTCCTGTTCCCATTTTCGCGCTGCCTGTCTCCATGCGCGATATCCATTCGACTTCACCCCCTCCACCGCGTCCCTCCACTCTTGCCGCTGGTCGCATAAGGCAGCTGAACAACGCCAAAGATGATCGTTCGTCTCTGGTTCACTTTCACACCTACGACATATATCCGTTTGGTGGGTATCTGGATGTCGTTTCTTCATCGCCTGCAATGTCGGCAAATCTCCATGCAGCTTCTTGATCCTGTGCAAACGTAAACGACAGTCTTCCTGGCTGGTGTATAAGCGCTTTGGCGGGTTATTATCGTGTAAGATCCGCAGCGTGGGCGCCCATGCTACCGACCGCCAATCCTTGATGTAGGTCCTCGTTCGATGCTGCAATGTCCACTGATAGTGGTGCCGTACCGCGGACTGCAGCTTCAGTATCCTTCTCAAGTCCAGGTCTGCACTGTGTGTTGCAAACTGTGCGTGGCATTTCAAATCATGGTGTTGCGTTGCGACTAGCCTCCGTAGTCCTGTATCGAACCCATGTGCTGCCTTGGCAACAGTGTCTGCAGCCTCGTTGCCACGGTGTCCAGCATGTCCTCGTATCCAATGCACAGATATACTTTGTCCTTGTTGCAAGAAGGCATAATGCACCATCGCCCACCACTGTGCATCTGCAGATCTCAAACGCTGCCTTGCTGTTGCTGAATCCCGCTGCTGCACCAACTCCTTGAAATTGTTGACGACTGTGAGATTGTCGATGTAGATGTCGACGTTCTCTTCCCTTGGGCTGATAAGAATTGTTGCCAAGAGCCCACACATCTCTGCAATTGTTAACGACGCGTATCCACCGACCCGTCCACTGAATGCCGTTGTGTAAGGACCACCATCCACAGAAACGACAACTCCAAATGCTGCACCGACCTGCTCCGTGCCGTTGTGGATCACTGACCCATTCGAGCAGAAGTGAAGCCTTTGATGTGTTTGCAAACGTCTCCTAGCTGTCCGAATTTGCTGGATTGTTGGTACCTGGAGCGCCAATCCCAGTAAATCTCGCTCAATTTCATCTGATACTGCCGGCAATGGTTGGCGAACAGGTGTCGTCATATTGTCCACCGCCTTGTGCGCATCCTCATGCAAGTGGTCTATACACGCCTCTGCATCCACATTCATATATCTACGATATGAATGGCGTCGTCTTCGTCGTTCTTCTCTGTGTCGAGCCCGCCTCTCGATGTCCCGCAGGCGTCGTTGCTCCTCCTGCTGTCGCTCCTCTTCCAGTTGCCGCTGTCGGTCACGCTCTTGCTGTTCTGCCTGCCGCCGCTCTTCTTCCAATTGTCGCTGTTGTTCACGCTTTTGCTGTTCTGCCTGCTGCATTTGTTGCCGAAGGTGTCTCTGTATTGCTTTCAGTTGTGCCCGCATTGGAAAGTTAGATGCATTACACGGCTTCTTTCCTTTGCGTTATTCCATAATATTTGTGTTTATTTGCTACTAACCTTTTTATGCTTTTTTTAGTTCCTGGCACTTTTGTTGCTTCGTTCAGCATAGAACGAGCTCGCTCAATCGCGTCGACAGAAGGGATGATTTTGAGGGAGGGGACGCTGTGGTGTAGTGGCTCTATATCAGGTAAAAGTACAAGCTGTGAATACGTTGCTCAACAAATGTCTCTTCTGGCGAACGAAGTCTCTACATAATAGTCGTCTTACTGTAATAAATAAAGGTCCAGACACAGAGGACACTTGTAATGAGATCCTTTGGCAGAAGGAAAATAAAGACAGCAAGTGCTATTTACAAGAATGAGAGAGGCGACAACACACTTGGGTTAGGCTTCAGCAAGGTCAAAGAGACTCTGTGTTTTGACTCCAATACCTAAATGACGACATCGAAGGGTGCTGTTCGTAATCCTCCGCTCTCGTTCGTTATAAGGCCATGATCGTTACCTGGCCGAGGGACCTCCAAGCTACGCGAGTGGACTCGCAGGAACACTTGATTGCACTAGGGGTCCAGAAGCTCACACGCACAGGTCCCGTCTCTGCTCTTGCTGGGCGACACACTACGGTGACCAGCTATGGCAGAATATACCAACTTGGGGTACAGTGTAGTGGGACAATGTGTGCGTGGAGCGACTTAGGGAGTCGTACAGGACAAGTGTTGCGGGAGGAAACAGACCAGGAACCTTTCGGTCCTGTCGATCTGTGTTATTTATTGACCAAAAAATTCTTATGGATGCAAACCCTATTGACTATTCCATAAATGCACGCCTCTCTACCTGCACATCCCGTAACTGGATGATCGTATGAATGTCCTGTACCTATTCTGCTCATCGCACCCTATCAAGTGATGTGCCTGATCCTTGTATCTGGCCACCCCGTCTGCACTCTATGTGGTTTAGGTAACTATCGGCCGGCTGACAGTCCAAGTTTTCTCCATGCGAGGTGAGCCACTGGAAAGCAAACCATACGGACGATCCAATCTCCTTTAATAGCGGATACGCCAACAATCCGGCTGTCATGTACCGTGGGCCAAAAAATGGGCATAAGTTTGTTTGCATTCGTAGAAAGTCTGCTATCCTTTCTACAGGTCCGGTGAAGCGCTATTCAAAAGGTCTAGGTGTAGGTTTAAGTAAAGGTGATTTTATTCAAGGACTAGTAGAACTGCCCCACGGATCCGAGACAAAAAAAAATAGCTTTATTGGACGTTCAGCAGATTTCTACAGACGATATTTCGGGTATAAACGCCCTCCTTTCCACCTATTGTACCATTTTCGATCAGAGCCTTGAGGTTGCCTCGGTGAGGAGGCGTACCTGGAGGATTATTGCACATTGAGCTTTCCATGATCTGTAGGGGGATTTTGAAGGTCTAATGGGCTGTACGACTTCCTGTCAAGACCTGAGCAGCAATTCCAAATGAGGCAACTACGGTCACATCCTTCTCGCGCCTTCCTCGGATGTGGGCAATCAAAGTATT